ATTCACATGCTCCCACTATTGCCCGCCTCCGTGTACGCGCGCCGGCCCAAGTTCGTGAAAGAAGAGTGGAACGCCCTCTTCGCACACAACGCCACCACCCCGGCCGAAAAGGTCGAAGGAGGCTGGAAGGGCGTGCTGTATTCGAACCTGGCGCTGATCGACCCCAAAGCGTCGTGGGATTTCTTCGCCCAGCGCAACTTCAACTACACTTGGATTGATGGGGGCACCACGCGGACCTATTCTCTCGCCTTTGCTGCCGGTAAGTGCTGTCTTATCTTTTTCATGCTCTAGCCAGTGGGTAGATACTAACTCAGTAAATACAGGCCTCGGTGGCGGTCCCTCCTCTTAGTAGGATTTGGGTATTTCTTCTTTTTTGGGAGGCAGTTCTCTGCACCGTTTCAGAACATATTTGTGAGACCAGTTATTTACTTCGTGTCCAATTTCTTGCCATACGGGTTATGTATTTAATTTTGAATATCAGTCCATTTGAGGGAGGCATTCTGTTTAGTATTGGGGTTTGGCATATCTTGTACGATCGTAGTGTAGAATGATATTTGGATGTAGCTACTCGCCATCGACGAGAATCGAATTCGGAGGAGAAAGACAAGTAGAAGAAAAAGAAGAAGAAGAGGGAGATATCAGAACTAGATAACCTGTGTGAGGCTATGTAGACGCAAGACTCCAATCTGAAACTCGGGTTTGATACTCACTTGCTTAACTGTAGCTGACCAATCAGCCGTATTATTCAACTAGTCCTAAGTCTGATCCTCTTCGGAGCAGGCTGTATCGGAATCTACGATTGACTAATTCTGAGAGACAGTAATCCAGACTTCGACACTCTCAGCTGGAATTGAGAACAAGGAAAAATACTGAATAACGCTGCAGTAGACTATTACACTTGAGGAAGAAAACCAGCAAGGCAAGTAGTGGAGGCAGCGGGCTACTAAAGAATGTTGCGGAGACTACTTAGCAAAAGCGGTTGTTGCTTCGGGCAAACAGAGCAGGCTGTAGTACCTGATTTTTTATAACCAGGTCGCCAGTATTAATAAATCCATTACACTCTTTATGACTGTTTGCGTTTCAATTCAACATGACTAATTATCATATCAGGAGATAGTAAATGGACACAAATGTGGGGATGAGTGAAGAAGTGACAAATACTATAACACTGCATTCTGCAGAATATGTCATATTGATGAAAACACTAATCTTTCTAAGTCAATTTTGTCAAATTTATTGGTAGAATAGTCACCATACTATTGTATTTAAGTATAGGATACAGCAAGCAACAATTCCAGTGATAAAGTTTTCAAGATGAACTGGATCCGGCCCTGAGCTGTATTTATGACTTGAATCACAGAACTAATTATAAAGCTCTGATATTATGCAGAGATTCTCTGAGTAAGCCTACTCTTTATATTTTACAGCATTTTAGCTATAAAATCTGATAAGTAGCTAGTAATTGGGTAAAAAGCTAATGTAATTCTTCCATGATACTAATCATAAACATTTATCAAGGGCGCAAGACTCTTGCAACAGAATAAGTTTAATATTTTATAGTTATTAGCTTGAACTAAAACAGAGTAATTAGCTGCTAAAGACAGTGAGAAATAATATCCCACTCTAATAATCACGCAGTGCTGGATTCTTGGGGTGTATACTTTTTACTATATTAGCATTCGGTGCAGTTCGGTGCAGGTTCTCAGCCAGTGGAAACTAAACTTATTGCGGATTCAGTGTGGTTTGGTACGGTTCTTGACCCACATTCTGAAGCTTGACAGTCAAATGCCAGGCCTAATATAGACTAGTCTGCGTGAAATCATGCTTAGTAAGTTCAAGTACCCTAGCCCTAACTAGCTCTTTTAGGTAGAAAGCTCCACTATTTCGGATTGTGGGGCAAACCTGCAATAAGTCAGTGCCCGGGTTTAGATACTGAATCCGCAACGAGTTGGTTCCTACCTCCCTAGAGTCCGCACTGAACCGCACCGAGTGACTCTCTAGGCCTAACCTGCTGTGCTGCTTCCGGGTGGCTTTTTGTGGATGGCCCTTTGATTATACTAAGTGCGATTACATTAGACTGTATATACTTTCTCTCTCTCTCTCTCTCTCTCTCCAAAAACAAAGGCGAGTATTCACAGAACCGGACATTGATGGAAAGGTGACTAGTTAATTTAATTATCAATCTTCGTGACTGCAAGCAGACATGAAGTCCCAGAGTTGTGTGACTCAAATAGACCAGGAGTATGTATATAAAGCAGTATCCCATAGCCTTTTCTTTTACTGAAAGCTATGTTAGTATAATTTTGTTGAGTTTATCTTTAGATCTTACATTCTGATAGTTTCGACTTGCTTATTTCTATCCTAAAGTGCTATAATGAAGTTGTCTTCCTATGTCACGGTTGCGGGAGTTGCAACTATAACCCATGCCAACCCAGTTACCAAACGTGCAGTCACTGATGCTGAAATCCTTAACTATGCTCTGACACTCGAGCACCTTGAGGCTACATTTTACGCTCAGGGTCTTCAGAATTACTCCCAGGCTGAATTCACCAATGCTGGCTTCGCTGATCCATTCTATGCCAACCTTCTGAAGTTAGCTTCCGATGAGAAAGCACACGTCCAGTTTTTGACCAGCGCTCTCGAAGGTATTTTCGCTTGCCCAAAGAAAACTGCTGAAGGTACCAGAGCTGACGGATTTTTAGCTGCCGGTGCTCCTGCTACCGCTGCGTGTACCTATAGCTTCCCGGCCACTGATGTCAACAGCTTCCTGGCTCTCGCTAACGTCCTCGAGGGTGTTGGTGTTAGTGCCTACCTAGGTGCTGCCGCATCGATTGCCAGCAAGCAGTACCTTACTGCCGCTGGCTCAATCTTGACCACTGAGGCTCGTCACAGCTCCTACCTGCGTGCTGTTCTTGGCGAGATTCCTTTCGCCCAACCCTTTGACAACCCGCTTGACTTTGATGAAGTCTACACTGTTGCTTCTCCTTTCATTGTCTCCTGCCCCAGTAGCAACCCGGCTCTCCCTGTTAAGGCCTTTCCGTCTCTGACCCTTTCCGGCAATGACACGATCGTGACAGGCTCCGAGGTATCGCTGGTGACTGGGGAGGACTTCGTGGCCAGTGATACCGTTTTTGCTGCTTTCATCACTGTCACTGGTCCGATCTGGGCTGCCGTCACTCCGTCCAATGGGGGTTTCTCTGTCACCATCCCCAAAGGCGTTGAGGGACAGAGTTATCTTGTTCTCACTTCTAGCAACGACAAGGTCTCCGATGATAATATCATCGCTGGCCCTGCTATTATCGAAGTATGTTCCTTCAATTTTGTTTGGCAAATGCCTGGCTGATCTCCCGTTTTTTTCTGACAGATTGGTGCCAAAAACGGTCGCCTGTCCACTGATTGCACTGGTGGCAACAGACCCACGCCCACGTCTACCATGGCTTCTGGTGCTCCTTCGTCCTCTGTGATGACTGGCGCTGAAACTAGCAGTCACAGAAAACCTCCCGCACTCTTCACTGGTGCTGCTGGATCTATTGCGGGCAGACCTATCAATATCCTCGGTGCTGCTGCCGCTGCCATCTACTTTCTTGTCTAATGTCTAGATGATGGATTTATGTATCTCTGATAAGAAGCCGCAGAGGCTGATCAACTACCAGCTGCAGTTAACTATCCTGCAACTGGCCTTGTCGTTAATGAAAGGAAGATTATTCCAAAAACTACCCCTCGTATATACCAGAGGCAACCCGAGGATTAATATTCCTATTTAATAGATTTGAAGGCTGCCTAGCACGAGGTTTGTGGCCCTGCCCCCTTCACCTATGGTTTTCCCTGAGAGGTTAAGATGCCCACGAATATACGTTGCAATTCTCGAGATTTTGGATGTCAGCTGTTGCGAATGGTTCACTACTCCCAAAGAGCACCGGTGTCCATGGGCGAGCCAGTCTCGCTCATAGAAACTCAACGGGCGTTCCGTTGTACTCCAAACCCCGCACGGCCCAGGTACAATGATGGCTTGGATTGATTCAGGAATATTCATATCTCTGATATGTCTCGGCTTGGGTTTGGATAAATCCAGGAGAGCGTGTCTTGGAAAATGACATATCCTGGGCCTTGTAATCAGATGAAACCACTATACCAAATTTTTCTTTATCCTAGGTATCTTCCTGTGACTAATTAACCCAGGGATAGTTGGTCAAGACGGCAGGTTCTGGTTTAGAAGGGAAGCTCTCCCAGATGGATGATATCCCAGGAGAGGCCGAAGGCGATACTTTACACTATATATTGGAAACTTCACTGATCTTCCTTAGTGACACATTCCTCCTGTCCAAGGATTGACGCGACCTATATGGAAGACTTTCTGAACGCCCTGCCAGCTTGCACTGCTTTTGAGACATACGATAAGGTAACAGAGCTTCTGTTTTCTGATATTTGTGTATCGAAATTGACGTCGAGTGTAAAAAGACCCCACAAGTTCTAAGGCCACCTCCGACCGTCTTCTAACCTCAAAGGTGTCCGAACATATAGGAGAGGGAAAAGGCCATCTACCCTTGAATCAAAACATCTGGTCACTGCAGCAACCCAAACCGGGTGAAGAAAGCATTGGGAAGTAGGGGAGCAAATCGGAAATGACGTTAGAATGACAATTCTATAAATCATCTCGAGGAAAGAATAACACTCGATTCTTGGGAGTCTACGGCCGCCTCTCAATTTCAATTTCACCAGGTGTGCAAGGCCCAAAGGCCTGTTCGTATCCAATTGCGACGTACGGGCCAACATCACCGCGTTTCGGCAGATTCCTCTTGTACTTGATCGAATTACTGCTGCGGCGACCTTCATCAGTAAGATAAGACTGACCTGTCTCACGATGGTCTAAACACAGCCGAGCCAGCTTATACGCTGGTATGCATTCGCATTTATAAGCTAATATCATTATATCTGAGTAAGCATGTTCATACTAATGCTGTTGTATATCTGCTGCTCTTCTTTTTGAATGTTAGAAGTGCAAAAGTGGCATGGGTGCTTTGAACAAGTAGCTTTTATCATGCGCACGTGGTGGTTCTTCTATACTGCTGGACATCCGATCAAACCTTTGGATAGATAACTTGTTTGTAATTACCTAAAAGCACCCTAGGTAGTAATAACTAGAAACTTGGAATAATGATATTGATCAGCAGCACACTCACTCGTACCCAGTGTATTTCTTATATACCCCGCAAGACTCTAGGATGCAGAGTCTCCAAAGAGGGCATAGTGTTCACCGTTGGGTAGCAGCCTCAGGCCAAGAGATGCGGCCGAGCCCAGATCAAGAAAGAAATTTGCAGGATTTAGGATTTGATGATGGCCTATGGGATATACTGCCGCCAACCGGCGCTGCTGCCAAGAATGTGGCTGCTTCGTTGGTGGCCGTTGGTGTATGGCCAAGTGGCTGGTTATACAGATGGTATGGTGTGTTTGGGCAGACCAAGTAAACAAGGTGTGTATCATGAATGGGGTGTGTATAGTCCCTCTATTCCCTCATGTTCGTCAGACTAAGGTATGATAATCAACAGCAGAGGGAGAAGGCAGAAAAGATATGAGTATAGAATATCTAGTATCCGTCCTGGAGCTTTCAATATAGGAGACCAGGTGTCTATAATGTATGATATCAGAGCTATACCAGGAAGAGTAGGATGATCAGATAAGCAATCGACAAACCCTGATTTGCCAGAGGAAATCCCTAGCCTCCATCATCTCATCACTAGCCATGTTGATCACTACATCGGATGTGCGCGTTTTTGTGGAATTGTAGTGTCTCTCCTGTTGGTGGAGAATCAGCCAAGTGGCGGATTGTGGCAGTGCTCTGACTTGATTGCGCGACTTGGTCGAATGGAGGGGATAGATCAGAGTTAGTGGCTGTTTTAGATTTACAAGAGAGTTTTTTTTGGAATTGACAATCCTTCCTTGTAGTCCAGGACTTTGTGTGTTTGTTGGAGTTGTATCAATGATAACATGTAGAAAGTGGAATGAATAGTCAAAGGGTCTTTTCTGAGGATTTCCAGGAACGAACTGAGACACTAAACCCAAATGGGAAAAGAGCTTGGAGCAGGAATGGACATCGGATCCACCGGAGGGTTTTCTTCATTCCTCCCTTCCTCCCTCTCTCTTCGCCTCATTTGAGGTAATGACATCCCGCTTGATCCCCTAATGGCTACAGGTTCTTGAGCCATTCACTTTAGGTTTCTTAGATCTCGATCCTGGTTCCTTGGTCAAATTACATCCGTCCAAGTCAATACTCGACGTCATCATCCCCTGCCTGAAAGCTAGACGTTGGGTTGATGTGACCCACCAGGTTGAAGAGAGAGGCTGTGCACTCGGCATTTCTTCTTGGTGGAAAAGTGGACTTCAATCCCCTCGTTTCGCCCAGTGGGCCAATGAATGGTCCGGTCTAGCCGAAACGCATCCCCTTTGGAGCGACTGAGACAGAGGAATCCTTGGAAAAGCTCCCAAAGACGTGGCTGGCGTTGAGCCACCAGACCACCTCCATTGGTTGGACCTTTGTTCTTCGCACGGCCCTGAGCTGGTTTCCTTTATCCACTTGTTTGTTCACCCCAGTGGAACTTGGGAGAGCTTTTCCTATTAATCCCTCTGGTCATTGTGGAAATTTTCTTCCTTTTTAGGGGTTTTGAGTGAGAGCCAAGCACCGAAAATCGCAAGAGAGACGCGGATTCCCTTTCTCTTTCTCCATCCAGCTAACCCACCGAGCCACACCCTTGAGAGTCAAGCCGCTTTCGACTCCGATCATTCGAGTCTCCATTTCGATCTCCAGTGAAGAATACCCGAGGCGTTTGATTGTCTCCATCCATCGCAATAATTCTGACCAAAGAATTGGTCCAGATGTGTACGTCCCAGAGCACTTGACCTCTGTCTGTTCCATGACCGAGGGGGAGTCTCCATCTTTCATCTCTTACTTTTTCTCTCCTTTCATATCCATTCTTCCTGGTCTGGACTCTGCGCCACTCGTGATTTTCGCTCTTTTGCACTTTCATCATACATACGTCGTCGCTCACCAGATACTTATGCTTCCTGCCTGTCTTTCAATTCTTGACCTCGTCTTTCTTTGTGTCTGTCTTGCGGATTGATATGATTTGATCATACGCGTCATATATTTTCCATTTTCACACTCTCTCGGGTTAATCAGACATTCCCATCTTTGATTTTTTTTGATTATCTTATTCCTCTATCTTATTTTAATTTCTTTTACTGGTTTATGACAAACAATCTCTTTGAAGCAAACTACTTGTTGTTAATATCTTTATTTGCGCCCCGTCGGATCCTGCGGTCGAGCTTCTAGTGCCTGTATACTTCCCCCTGGTGATCCTGTCGGATAGTGGCGCCTGGAAACGGAAAATCATCCATCTACTTCACTGGCAGTTGAGCTAACAGGTTGTGGATATTCATACAGCGTTTCCAGTACCTTTGCGCTCGGCGTTTCGCTCGCATACATTGGGGCCCAGAAGAACCATGACTGGCCTTTCTTCGCCGCACAATGGCTCCCTCGAGCGGGGCGAGAGAGAGTCTCTGATCAACGAAACCAGTCGACTCAATGCCAGCCTCGAACGGGAACGTTTCAAGCGGGACAGTCGTTGGGCGCATTTTCCAGCCAATGTCATTCGATTGACCTGGACGACGTTAGTGCGCGATTATGTCAATGTCCTGCTCGTTTTCGTGCCTCTGGGCATCATCGCTGGGGGCCTCCATTGGGACAGCACTGTCGTGTTCACGTTGAACTTCATCGCCATCATCCCCCTCGCGTCGTTGCTGAGTTTTGCGACCGAGGAGCTGGCGGCGGTCATGGGACAGGCCATGGGGGGTCTGATGAATGCGACCTTTGGTAATGCGGTGGAACTGATTGTATGTGCCAACACCCCTCTTTGCGTCATTCGCTCCGTGGACGGTAATCACTGACTCGGTCGGTTGCGCAGGTGAGCATCATCGCGTTAAGGGACAACCAGATCCGGGTGGTCCAGGCCAGCATGCTGGGCAGCATTCTGTCCAATATCTTGCTGGTGCTGGGCTGCTGTTTCTTCGTTGGCGGCCTTCGCTACTCCGAGCAATCCTTCAACAGCACCGTGGCGTCGACCATGTCGTCTCTGATGACCGTGGCGTCGGCGTCTCTCATCATTCCGGCCACGCTCTACCCCTTCTTGACTGCCTCCAATGGCCCGGGGCAGGAGAAGAAGACCCGGGATAACATCCTCCTTCTCTCACACGGAACCTCCATCATCCTGTTGGTCCTTTATGTCATGTACCTTTACTTCCAGCTCCGATCGCACGCGCGACTGTTCGAGGAAGTCAATTCCGATGCCGAGCACCATGGCGGTGACCCGGCCGAGGCCGAGGCCGAGGAGGAAGAACGCATTTTGAGTCCCTGGGCCGCGAGCATCGCGTTGGTCGTCGTGACTGTCCTCGTCGCCATCTGCGCCGACTATCTGGTCGGGAGCATCGATGACATCGTCTCTCGGACCGGTATGAGCCGCACCTTCATCGGGTTGATTCTCATCCCGATTGTCGGAAATGCGGCGGAGCATGTGACGGCCGTCGTGGTCGCCTGGAAGGGTAAGATGGACCTGGCCATCGGGGTGGCCATCGGGAGCAGTCTGCAGATTGCCCTCTTTGTCACGCCGTTCTTGGTCATTCTGGGGTGGATCATTGACCGCGACATGACGTTGCACTTCCACGTTTTTGAGACCGTCGCCTTCTTTATCTCTGGTTTGGTAGTTACGTTCCTCATCCAGGATGGAAAGTCGAATTACCTCGAAGGAGGCCTCTGTTTGGGATTGTATGTGGACTCGCCCCTCCCTCCTTGTTTGATGATCTCATCCCTTGTGCAACCTGCTGACTGAACCCTCAGGTATATGATCCTGGCCCTCGCGTTCTACGTTTACCCAGACAATGTCAACGAGGACAACCTGTTCATCGGTAACTCTTGAGGCAATATCGAGTTGGGAGACGCACGTTGCTCTGAAATCTTTTGTAATACCACGACATGACTTGTGCTTTCTCTTCTGTCTTTTCCTCCTATTATTTTTTCCAAAACCACACGCGCGCCATGCTTGATCGACCACATGCTTGACATCCATCGAAATTCACCGTCACTCTTTGATGTCTAGTCCATACGTTGCCCTCGAAAGGCATCTTCGAAACGGCTTCCATGCCGCTTCGCGTTTCTCATACGACACCTGGGTTCAGCACTGCGGGACAGTTTTTTTTCTTATCTTTATGAGCAGGGGTTCCCGTTCATTTCTGGCGACTCTATTTTCTTTTCTTTTCTTTTCTTTTTTTTCCCCCTTCCCCGTCTAGATTGCTGCGAGTTTTCTAGTTGAGGGTCAGGATGGGCTAAAAAGGACATCATGTACTCTGGGATTCGTAAACTTATTTCCTGCGAAGAAAAAACACCATCCTTGATGGATTTGAATTCACTACATCCTTTCTCAAGTTTCACAGGCTTTCAAAATATCAAAACGTACTGTGCATTTTGCACTCCGTAGACAACAATTATACGAATCCTACAACTCAGGCGCTCTTGGCGTTGAATGACTAAGCGGGTGGAGAAGAAAATCGTTTGCCCGATTTCAAGGCACATGGATACGGATACGTCGAGACGGCGAAAGATTGCATCTCCTCCACACCCACCACCGCCATTGAGTCTTTACCTTTGACTGGGTTTTAAAGATGCCGCCCCGTTTGAACCTTTTTACGGCCAGAGCAGCGGTCTTCCGCCCGGCCTCCAGCAACCAATCCGTGTCTCGCCGCAGTATCACGTCGCTTCTCAACGCCAACCGATCGTCTGCCGCATCGCCGAGCGCGACAGGCTTGAAGTCATGCCTGTCGCAGACGCGATACAGTTCGTCGGATTCCAAGGGAAAGGATGATGCTGCGAAGGTGCCGGAAGAGCCTCTGCCTCATGTCAGTGAGGAGGCCGCAGAGGTGGCCCACATCATGAACAAGAAGTGTGATGGTAGTGCGCCGGCGAGTCCGGAGCTGGAGCAGGGGACGCCTATTTCGGAGGTGAGTTTTCTTCTCACTTCTTTTCCTGTTTTTCCTTCCCTTTATCTGTGTCTTTTCGTTTGAGATCTTCGGACCTGGACTCCCGCTGACCGACCTGATAACTAGATCTTCAAACGAGACACCGACGCTCAGAAGTACGCCCCCAAAGTGCTCAAGGACCAGAGCAAGGGTCCCTCGGGCACCCGCTCGTTCTCGACATCGACCCGCCGGACACAGGCCAACCTCCAGGGTAACAACCAGATGGAGCCCGCCGCCGCCATGGTGGCCAGCATGATCTCCCAGGTCAACCAACAGGCGGCGGAGCTCAACCCGGGCCTGAAATTCCCCGCGCCCGAATCCCTCCCCAGGACCGAGAACTTCCGCACGCGTTACGATACTCTCCTCGATCAGTTCACCAAGCAGCTGATGCGGGATGGCAAGTTGGCTACTGCCCAACGGGTGTGTACATATCAACCATGGGCCTAGTGTCACACATGCTAATTAGAAAAAAACAGAACATGTCCTTCATCCTGGACCATCTCCGGACCTCTTCCCCTCCCCAGGTCCACGCCAAGCGCCGCCTGCTCGGCAGCCCTTCCACCCCGCAACTCCCCATGAACCCCGTCCTCTACCTCACGCTGATCATCGACTCCGTGGCCCCCGTGATCAAGCTCCGCCAACAAAAGGGTATCGCCGGTGGTGGTGCGTCCGTGCCCGTGCCCTTCGCGCTCAACCAGCGACAGCGCCGCCGTCAGGCTATCCGGTGGATCATCGACGCCTCGGACAAGCGACGGGACAGCTCGCTCGCTCAGCGGGTGGCTAATGAGTTGGTCTCTGTGGCTGAGGGCCGCAGTGGTGTGTGGGAGCGCCGGGAGCATACGCATAAGATGGGTGTGGCTGGTCGGGCTAATGTTGGGTTGACTGGTCGTAAGTAGTTTACTGGAGGGAGGTTAGAAGGTAGGGGGAGGGTGGTGCTTTGTACGACTTATTGTCTGTTTTTTATTTTCTATACCAAGATGGTAGTTTCTTTGGTCTAGGACGGGATGGAGGTGCTCCCATCTGATGTATTTTAGTTTTGATTTTGTAGCCATTGAGATCATTCATGCATATAGTCACTGGACCTATCTAGATTCGCCTCGTTCCCGTATGGTAAAGTCGTGCTTCGTCTCCATTGACTGGTGTGCTTGTTAGAAACGACTTAATCGCAGGTTACACTTGGTGGACCATATAATCAAGACAGCGATTGCACCAAATGCTTAATCGGTATTGAGTCAGGTCTGATATGATCGATATCCCACCAATTATCCACAATCTCGAGATCCTCCCCCACGCCATGCCATACATTTTCCAGTGTGTAGCGTGCCATCTGAGGTTATGAGTTGAAATGTACAGTATAGCGTTGGCCATCAGTGCTGAAGCCTTGTACGGACGGGACAGACTTTTTGGCCATTTCCCTTTCATGGTAGCAGATAGCCAGGTACGCGGTCAACTGCAGCTCAGCACTCCCAATTTTTCTTTCTTCCTGGCTTCGGCACAGACCAAAACGGAGTCTGAAAACCACAGCCAGAGTGTGCATCCCGCTGCCCAGTCCGCGAGACCAGTGAACACATATAGAACAATTTGACACCCGAGACTGAATGGGTTATCTTGTCTCTTTTTGTAGAGTATGACAGCCACTGTATTGAGATACGCAGGCTTGATATAACTGATATCCCACATTGTAATCGTGAAACATTTTCAAGTCGTATGTGTACTTGAAGGCCGCCGGTATCTGGATTATGTCTCGTCGGTGTCTTGAGCTAGAATGTTTTCTCTTGCGAGAGCCTTTGATAGATGACTATAAAAGACGTTTGCGTTACATTGTCTGTCTTCACCTATTCAACGGTCAATATAGAGTCAATACAGAGCAATAACGGAGAAGCGAACATTTACGGAAAGCTCCTGATTATCTAGGGTTTTGAGGCAAATGTTGTTGGAATTGTATCAGTCGTATCAAGCCTGGTCAACGTGCTGATTCGGTCTTTCGGTGCAAGGGTTGAGAAGGGTTGATGTCCGTATTTGAGGTGCTGATATGGATAGATAGGATCATATAGTTTCAGTCCTTGGCTAGCCCAAAGCTGGTTTTGGATCAATATGACAAGCATATCAAGTCAGCTATAGTGAACGAGATATGGAGCCTGTCTGTTCAGAACAAGGTCAGGAAGATGTATACCCTGGTTTAAGATTAACTGATGAAGCTGTACCTGTGCCTATCTTAATCACTGCCCAAATTCAGGAGATTGTGCTATTTCAGACTGGTCTTGCTGTCACTGTAACTCTATAGTAATACCTGTCATAGACCAGGTACCAGCCCTATTTGGTGGGATAGCAGTTATAAGGCTGATTGATCGATCACTCTCATATAGTTGAAGATCCCGTCATATATATATATTCTACGGAGTATACTCCACCAGGACTATGCACAACTGTTCGCATACATTATATATGACTATAGATCAAACAGGACTACGGAGTACTAGTATACTAATCCAGTAGATGGTAGGTTCTTACTAGGTAGCTACGTAGTGGGCAAGATGCCGTACTGGTATTACCATCAGTGACTAATTGGATCAGAATATTACGTATCTCAAACCCTGTAATTACGTGATTTTACTCCTGGCAAGCTTGGCCTCAGGCTTGGCCGGGCCAGAGCCACCTAATCCTCCTCAGCCTTGTAAGTAAGCCGGTTCCTTCTTCTACTTCCTCTCTCTCTCTCTCTCTCCTCCCTATCCTTTTCTATCCTTTTCTACCCTCTTGTATGCAAGTCAGTCGAGATTATCCTCGGTTCATCCCTTGTTTGATTCCCTGGATTGATTGATTGGTCCGTACCTAATGTGCTGTCTCTCCACTGCAAACCGAAACTAACCCGTCCACAGATCCAAACCAACGGGTCCCTCAATCGATCTCCTCCCCTCCTACCATCGTGCCTTGATTTCCAATTAACTTGATCGTCATCCGATCTCCCCTCCCCCTCCTCTTATCCTCTCCCTCCCCATTGTCCCCCTCTCGTCCGACACCGTGTCGTCGAATGCTGCCGGACCGAAAGTGGCACGCTTCGCTTCTGCGACGAGTGCCTTCAGTGACAACGACCACTTGAACCCCCCTGCGCCCCCCACTTCTGGCCAGAACATCGAGCTCCTCGACTATCCCGTACGACCTGAGACTGCCCCTGGCGCACCTTCGTCGCAGACCGCATCCCCCAATCAGGACCCCCGATCCATTGACTCGTTCCGAGAGGCGAAAGAGCGTGCATACCCCAGGCGGTATCTCCGGGACAGACCCTTCACGCTTAAGTACTGGGTCGAGGCGCTTCACCGCCGCGCCCATTATCCCCAGGACGCCTCCAACATGAAGTTCTCGCACAGTCTCCAGTTCAATGCGGTGCCGGAATGGAGCTCCCATTACATTGCTTACAGCAATCTCAAGAAATTGTATGTGCCTCGCCTGCTGTGTCCTGTCCACCGTGACGCCTCCGGATCCCGGCTCTAGGCCTCAACAAGGTGTTTCCCGGTCGTCCCGCGTGCCAGTGCGACATTTCGTCCGGACCAGCGGTCTCATAACGGAAGACAACTCGATGGCTAACGACCCCATTTGGTCTTTAGGGTATACACGTTGGAACAGCAGGTCCACAAGGCCAGTGGACGCCCCCATACCGATGTGGAATCTGCCCCGTTGCTCGATGATTCCCCCAACCCGGACGCCGTCTTCCGCCACGCTCTCAACACCGAACTGGATAAGATATGCCTTTTTTACGACGACAAGGAGGATGAGATCTTCCGGGAGGTCGATGGCGTTGTCAAAGAGGCCGACGATTATGCGATCAACTCCGCTGGTGTCAATATTGACCCGATGAGCGAGAACATGTTCAAAGCGCGAACGATGAGTGCGGGATCCCAGCCGCGACCGATGGCTCCCTTCCGCGATCACCTTCCGGATGCCGATCGACGTCGGAGCGCAATTAGCGCGTCCGCGGCCGAGGGCTATGACGATGATAGCGACGACGAGGCACAAGCCCAGGCCTCCCGTCCGGGAACCTCCCACTCACGTGGCGCAGAGTCCAACCCCCTGGAAGGAAACCACACCGACGGCATGGGCGATTCGAGCTACCTGGGCGACTCGCGACTGATGCGCAGCCGCAGTGGGCCCCAGGTCGAACATTTCACCGACCTCCACATTCTGGACCTGTACAATGCCGGCCTTTCGCTGAAGAAGCGGGCTGTTGACGCTTATGTCTCGCTCTGCGGGCTCAAGTCCTTCATTCAACTGAACCGCACTGGTTTCTCCAAGATCCTCAAGAAGTACGATAAGACCCTGGATCGTAACCTCCGGCGGGAGTACATGAACTCCACCGTGGCCTGCGCCTACCCCTTCTCAGATTCGACCATGACTACGGTGGAAGACCGCATTCATATGATGGAGAAAGTCTATGCGGACGTGGTCACCTCGGGGGATTTGCCGCTTGCCACACGCGAGCTGCGGCTCCATTTGCGGGAGCATGTGGTCTGGGAGCGGAATACAGTCTGGCGCGAGATGATTGGTATCGAGAGGAAAGCCCAGGCGGCCAATGTCGGCATCCGCCGGACCCTCCTGGGCGGAGATGAAGATCCCGCCACTGCACGGCGCCAGGGTGACGAACAGGAGGGGGGCACCAAGGAGCTCCGGACCCCCCTGGGCGTGTTCTATCCGCCTCAGTGGCTCTGCAGCTTGAGCTTTGGGTCCCTCATCCTCATTTTATGTATCTTTGCGGCTTTGCTTGCTAGCCCTATCATGGAGAAGCCGGAGCAGCAAAATTGTCTGGCCATGCTGGTCTTTGTTAGTATGCTGTGGGCTACAGAGGTACGAACCCATCGGTGTCAGGACACTCGTCATCATACTTAATATTTCTGGTTTACAGGTCATTCCGCTCTTCGTCACGTCTCTCCTTATCCCCTTCTTGGTGGTCGTACTCCGCATCATGAAGTCGACAGACAAGCCCTATCACCGTTTAGGGACCAAGGAGGCCACCGGTGCCGCGTTTAGCGCCATGTGGACCCCCGTCATCATGCTGCTGCTCGGAGGATTCACCATTGCGGCGGCGTTGTCAAAGTATGATATTGCTCGTCGCATGGCCTTGGTGGTCTTGAGCAAGGCTGGCTCGAAACCGGGCATGGTGTTGCTTGCCAACATGTTCGTGAGCATGTTTCTCAGCATGTGGATTAGCAACGTCGCTTCGCCGGTGCTGTGTTATTCGATCATTCAGGTACGTCTGCTTATGTCTCGTGTGCCTCTGTGCGGGATACTTATACGTTTAACAGCCTCTGTTGCGGAATCTTCCTCCTGATTCCAGGTTCGCCAAAGCCCTTGTGCTGGGTATCGCGCTTGCGGCCAATGTAGGAGGTGCCGCGTCGCCCATTGCGTCGCCGCAGAATATCATCGCTCTGCAAAACATGTCCCCGAACATCAGCTGGGGCACGTGGTTCTTCATCGCGCTTCCAGTCTGCATCATCTCCATCTTGCTCATCTGGGTGTTGTTGCTGATTACGTTCAACGCCAACCACGGCACGACCATTGTCCCCATCCGACCGATCAAGGAGAAATTCACCGGCGTCCAGTGGTTCGTCACCTTCGTCACGTTGTCGACAATCGCCCTGTGGTGCGGCAGCCATCAACTCGAGCACGTTTTCGGCGACATGGGCGTCATCGCCATCATCCCGATGGTCCTCTTCTTCGGAACCGGCATCCTCAACAAAGAAGACTTTAACAACTTCCTCTGGACCATCATCATCCTCGCCGCAGGCGGCCTCTGCCTCGGCAAAGCCGTCACCTCGTCGGGTCTCCTCCACACCCTCGCCGGCAGCATCCGCGCCCAGGTCGAGCATCTCAGTCTGTACGGCGTTCTGATCGTCTTCTCCGCTCTGATCCTCGTCGTCGCCTCCTTCATCTCCCACACCGTCGCCGCCCTGATCATGCTCCCGCTCGTCCGTCAGATCGGCGTCGGCATGGACGATCCCCATCCTGATCTATTGGTCATGGCCAGCGCCCTGATGTGTTCCGTCGCCATGGCCTTGCCAACCAGCGGTTTCCCCAACATGAGTATGTTTTACTTCTCTCTCTCTGTCGTATAGTAAGATCAATGCTAACAAATATAACAGCCGCCATCATGACCGAAGTGCCCCAAACCGGCCAGCGCTACCTCCAAGTCCGCCACTTCTTCACTCGCGGTATCCCAGCCAGTATCATGTCTTTTGCAGTCATCGTCACGCTGGGGTACGGATTGATGTATATAGCTGGATTATGATCTCCCCTAGCTTTCTCTTTTCGAAGATCCTCTTCTTGCCTCCTCACCCTATCCACCCTGTTTTTTCTCCTCGAGTTTGATACTATACAAGAGGTTTTGTGACGAATTATCTTTCTTCTTTCTGCTATCTTATCTCACTGGTCTTGGTTCTCAATGTTGTTTTTGAAAGATTAAAGATTGGATGTGGGCGATTTCCGTCTGTCAGTGATTAGACGACTGCTAGTCAGTTAGCCTAGCTTAGCTTTGGTATTATTGCATATAAACTGTCATCTCTTCTTTTTCTCCCATGCATTCGTTATTCGTTCTCAAGTAAATACATACATACACGAATCACTTAATATAGGGAGTTAGCCGTACTAGAAAGTGCATTTCATTCCAGGTACTACGATCTGTGTACAAAATTAGCACTGAACCAGTGTACCCTTAATACTTGATATTGAATACGAGACGTATTTCGTTCAATTCACAGCCTGTCTAGCCAGATCATTCATGGGGTCAACCTGACAAGACAAGCCAGTACTGTACATTGACGCCTATCTAGGACAAAATATGGAGAAGAAAGAGAGAAAGGAAGGAGACATAAATAAGGAGGTAATCGTAAATGAAACCCATAACTTTCATTAACAAAAACAGAAACAGAAACACAGCCGCGCAAAATAGAAACAGAAAGCAGAACCTAGAAATCGAACCCCTATCGATTTAAACACCGTGCGTGGATGTAAAACACGAAACACGAAACACGAAACACGAAAGAGAGAGGATATGATGGATGGTGGTTGCGGTAGAGAGGCGAGATCGTCTTTCTATGTGGATAGTATAGTAGATCGATCTGGTGCGGTGGGCTTTTTTTTATTTTCTGGAAATCGTTTAGTTTCTGTGGCCAAACGCGGTTAGTGTCTTGAACCGCACTCATTCTTTTTTTGGGAAATACATGTAAAGGGAAGGCGGGGGGGGGGGGAATAGGAGGGAGAGAGAAGCTTACAGTAAACCCAGCGTCAAATCACCATGAATCTTAGCCTTCAGCTGCACTTCAATATCAAGGTTGAGGTCCAGCCGCAACCGCAGTTGTTCATCTTTCCCACCACCGCCGCCTTCTTCTTTCTCGCCCTGGTTGCCGCCCAGAATGCCGCCGACGGCCTTGCCCGCCGTGTTGGTCACGCCGTTGACGGCGTTACCGGCGGTGTTCTGCACGAGTTCGCCGGCCTGGTCGACGCCGCCGAGGCCGCCCAGCGGGCCGCCGTCTCCTTGGGGCTGGCGGCGCTGGCGGCGCTGGCGACGGGGCTTCTCGACGGCTTGGTCCATTTCGGGTTCCTCGCGTCGGGGGCGCTGGGGACGGGGGCGTCGGCGTCGGGGGGATTCTTCTTGGGGTTGGGGTTGGGGCGTGGCCTCGGATTGAGGTTCTTGTTTGGGGGGTTTAGGTGGGGATGAGTCTTCTTGTTGTCCTTGTTCTTCTTGCTTGGGTTGGGAAGGAGAGGACTCTTCTTCCTGTTTGGGTTCGGAAGACGATTCTTCCTCTTGCTTGGGTTCTTGGGAAGGGGACGACTCTTCTTCCTTTGGTGGAGGAGAGCTAGGACCGTTCTCGTTGCTGGGAGTCTGAGGATTGTTGTTTTCTTGATCGGCCATATTGAGAGAAGAAAGAAGCAAGGGAAAAGAATCAGAAGGATTTGGTGTGGTAGGGGAGATTGGATGGTCTTCTTAAAGTAATCGCATCCCGCGCCTAAAAACATCTTTTATAGTATCAAGTTTGGAAACCGGTCAGCGTCATCTGCGGCCGAGAGCCGGGCGTTGTCCGGATTGGACCAGAGGAACGCCGATCGGTTGTAGAACAGCGTCATCTGTGCCACGGTTGGGAAGCGACTGGCACGGGATATGGCGAGGTACATGGATGACTGGGGTTGGCAGTGTGAATTGTGCAGGAGGATTATGACGTCTTTTGGCGCAAGGACTGTCTGACTCGCCCCCCCTGGGCTAAGGGTCTGCGTGTCCGCAATTTCCTCGGCCGTCCAGAATACATCTACCACGCCTCTTGCACCGTGGCTGACTCCTGGGTGGGTCATACCAGTAAGTTGCGGACCACGCCGAAGTATCCACGGTATATTTGGCCGGAGTCCTGACCGAAGAATGGTACCGGTGGTGGTAGTGGCAGAATTTTTGGACCAGGCTCAACTCGTCGTCCGATATTGCCTGGATGTCTCATCGAGGCGTTGGCGATCGTCGGCTATACTATTCCAGGTAATTGTTTAATATACTTAGCGCCAGATTTCTGGCCCGATGGCTGGGGTTGAGGCCAATCGTGACGGGCGGAAATTTTGCGACCAGCCGTGTGTCTCCATTTCTGATCCACTCGAACGTTTAACAGATTGCCATGACGCCACGCGACGTCAGTGCGGTCGAAATGGGGGTCCAATGTCATTAATCTCGTCACACAGACCCATCTTTTGATCGAAAATCGAAAGATCGAAATGATCAACACCAGCCATCGATAGGCAGTATCATGACCGTGTGTTAGAACTGTAAAAAAAAAAAAAAAATATGAAATAAAATAAGCAGGAAAAACACACGGTCAATCTCGGGGATATAGTACCGCCTTGAGAATTGTAACCACGGGAATCTTGGGCGTGGCTATTGTTGAGCCATGTTGAGCCATGGACCCACGTACCAGTCAGATATCCTTGCATCCCCCGTATTCATAAAGTAAGCGCCACATGGGCCCGCATCGGTTCCATCATTTAATATCGACTGCCTGGTTGATGAACCTTAGTCCTGCCAAGTTTACCAGTCTTCTGACCAGTGTAATCATCGCAATCTCAAAATAACCATGGATACTGCGATCAGCGCGCCGCCGCGCCATCCTGCAGCGTCTCGGACCTGGAATGGTTGCACGGCCGATAAAACAACGTCATCCGAGGACAGTCCGTAATCGCCTGTGGGTGGCGGCCGAGGGTTGGGCGTGACTGAGAGAAGAAAAGGAACCAATGTCGTCGTTTTTTCCCTTCGGTCATTTTGTTTTCTTTCTTTCCCCATCGATATCATCTTCTGACAGACCCCGCATATATCTATTGACATATCTTCTTGGCTGTATCTTCTGTTCAGCTTGAATCACTTTCTTCCTTATATCTCCCATACTTCCTTACCTTCTGTGCGATCATCTCATATCTAGTTCCCCTCCATTTCGCACTGCATTAAAAAATGGCAACTGCCGAAAAGCAACAACAGAAGCCGGCCCTCCAGGCCGATGAGTATTCGGACGGCGATTATACCGACGACTACGACAGTGACGATCTGTCCGAGACCGAGGGCAAGCAGAAACCACAACAGTCGACTCAACGGCGCCAGCGACGCCGGCGCCGTGACGACGACTATGACGACGATGCCTATTATTCCGACGAATACTCCGACGAATACTCCGACGACGATGACTATGATCAAGCGGACAACAGCCAAGCCATGGTCAAGCCCGGGGGGCGATCAGTAGCCCAGCCCAGCAATAACAACAACACCACCACCATCTCCAGCGGAGACACTGGGGAAATGGCCGCCCCCAAGGGGAGTGCATTAGACGAGCAAGACGGGCTGAAGTTGAAACTGGAATTGAATCTTGAAATTGAAGTGGAGTTGAAGGCTCATATCCATGGTGATTTGACCTTGTCGCTGCTGTAAGTCTCCCCAAGGCCTCTAATTTCCTGAGGAATATATCTCTAAGATAAGCAGATCCTAACGAGAGCAGTGCATGAATGATGAGATGCCAATTTCGCTCTTGTCCTTGCAGTTTGACGTCGGTCTGGCACCCGCGGTCGGACTCGCCCTTCGAGACTATGCCTAGACCACTGGTGTGGTAGCATCGGGTTGTGCTAGCATCAAGGTTATGGCTCCGTTTTATTTATTTATTTTTTTTCTTTTCTGTTCTTTTAATTTGATTTCTGGGTTCTCATTGCTGGGTTGGAGTTAGTGCAATTGTTTTTCTGCTGATGTGATCTCTGGGTTATGCGTGGTGTTGATATTGGTCAATATTGAAAGATTATTATATACCACATTGCTTTGCTTCTGATGCTATTGTAAATGGTCAATTCGACGTCTGGATTTCCTAGTATCATCTGAGTATTCGGAATTGTAGGTTCCGCTGTAGTTTTGTGGATGTTTCTTGGAAGGTTCTGAACAAGCCGTAAGCCTAAAATGATAGACCACGTTCCAGTGTGTGCACATCGTGGTCGATAAACTTGGGATAGAATTCAAATAAGACAGGATAGATACGAGAGGGAGAAGATCACAATGTTGTTGGATCAGGAGTCCAGGGTAGTGTATAGTCAGGTGTCCCACCATACCTCCTAAGTGGCCAACTTGAAGCCAAATGATATAGTTACAATTCTAATATGACTCCTAGCAATATAAGGGATGGTGTTGCGAAAGGTAGTCGAGAAGCACGACCACATGCCGAGGTCAAGCTGGACACTTCTAGAATTCGTTAGCGGCACCGAAAGAGGAGATGACGAATTAGTCTCACACTTCACCATCCCCCGACCACTGCCTCTCACTACCCCATCCAACCTTGCGATCGCAATCCTAGACTCACCAGATTCAGTTGACCCTCCTTAATACGAAAATCAAAGCAAACCTACGCGGTAGACGAAATAATCTAGAACAATGGCGACCTCCAGCGACTCCAAGACTAATAAATCCTTCATCATCAACCACATGAATGGCGACCACCAAGACTCCCTGGCGCTCTACCTCCGCGTCTACTGCCACGTTTCATCAGGAACCGCCCGCTCCGCAAAGTTAGAAGACATCACGCTGAACGACCTCCTCATCAGCGCCAAGGGCACCCGCTACACCGTGCCCCTGGACCCACCGATGAAGAGCCTCTCGGAGACGCGAGCGCGCGTCGTGGCCATGCACAAGGAATGCCTCGCGACACTGGGCCTATCGGACATCGTGATCAAAGAGTACAAGCTGCCGCGCGGGGGCCAGATCTTGGCCTTTGGGATCTGCGCGGCCTTCTTCGCGCTGTTCAGCCGACGCAGTCACTTCCTGCCTGGGTCGGCGGTCTACGAGACGGTCGGGCTGGGCAAGTTCCCCAACGCTACGGAGTTCTGCCACCAGTACCAGCCGCATCTGTTCTTCGGTATCTTGGGTTGTCACGTCGTCGAGGCGAGTCTGCTGGCGTGGAAGCGGTTGCGGGTGCACGGCGTCCCGTTCCTGTCGGGGGTGTGGTGTGCTTGGTATGCGTCGACAGCCGTGGAGGGGATGTCGGCTTGGGTACGGTTCAACGGGATGGTCAAGAAGGAGCAGTCGAAGCGGGAGAAGCATCAGTAGAGGATAGCGGCCTGGACATTGTACATAATTCAATGCAGCCTGCATTTGAACAAATGGATGCCTGCATGAGCCTTATCAGCAATATATACACTAACCTATTTGGGAACATAAAAACTGCTTAGTCAGAGGGTCGTCAATTTGCTGACTAAGATGGTATCCGTAATATTAGTCATCCAATTAAACCCGATTGGAGTTAGGGCACTTAGGGCTCGGAGGGTCACGCACCCACAGACGAGAAATTCGTCCTCGAAACCATCACGAGAGTCTCCCGTCCAGCAACTCATCCGTCGACAACCCCCGCCCCTCGCGTTCCCGGTAAGAACTGAATCTCTAAAGGTATGTTTAATGTTGCGAATCCCTCCCCAATGTCTGTTCTAGATTTCCACGGTCCTTTTGCCTGGAGTTTCGACACGCGCTCAGCTCGGTCGATACGGCGATCCGGCTGAACAGCCGACCATCTGGAGTTGGAGATGATGGAGGATAGCCAGAGATCAAAATGGAGCATTGGTGCATCGATTAGGGCTTCGTCGCATTGGCATGTCACGATGTGTGCAATTTGTGGACAGCTACAAACTCGATTGACTCTGAACCTGCTATTCTCGAACCATCGGCAAAGGATCACACCGGATAACCTGGAGACAGCATTGGGAGGGACCACCCTCCCAGTCACATTAACTAACATGATGAATTACTTCTCCAGTTCCAACCGCAAAAATGGGTATTTCTCGTGACTCCCGCCACAAGCGCTCGGCCACCGGTGCCAAGCGCTCCCAGTACCGCAAGAAGAGGTATGCTTCGACACTACAACAGACCGAGGAACTACGGACCTGCAGGGTCTCCTTCGGGGGATGACTGCAGGGCGTTCCGTCTGCCGGGGGCTCACCCCCCCAGGCAATGACACATGAAGAAAGATTCTGATGGTCTCGTCAATCCAGAGCGTTCGAGAAGGGTCGCCAGACCGCCAACACCCGTATCGGCTCCAAGCGTATCCACCTTGTCCGCACCCGTGGTGGCAACCGCAAGTTCCGTGCTCTCCGTCTCGAGTCCGGTAACTTCTCGTGGGGCTCCGAGGGCATCTCCCGCAAGACCCGTGTCATCGTCGTCGCCTACCACCCGTCGAACAACGAGCTGGTCCGCACCAACACCCTGACCAAGTCCGCCGTCGTCCAGATCGATGCCGCTCCCTTCCGTCAGTGGTACGAGGCCCACTACGGCCAGCCCATCGGCCGCAGACGCCAGCAGAAGTCCGAGGTCCCCGAGGAGAAGAAGAGCAACAGCGTGCAGAAGAAGCAGGCTGCCCGCTTCGCCGAGTCCGGCAAGGTCGAGTCCGCCATCGAGCGCCAGTTCGAGTCCGGCCGTGTCTACGCCGTGATCGCCTCGCGTCCCGGCCAGAGCGGCCGTGTCGACGGTTACATCCTGGAGGGTGATGAGCTTGCTTTCTACCAGAAGGCTATCCGCAAGTAAGCTTGCAGATTCTTAAAAAAAAGGGAAGCACACGGGACATGTATGTTGGGGGTTTTACAACGGAGGGTTTATCTTTCGGGGTTGCAATATATCTCCCGCATCTTTGATAGGTGCATAGAACTCTGACAATAAACGATCCTGATGAATAATATGTAGATTACCACTTATCATTGGTAGCCGAGCAAGATTTATAATCCCCGTACATGGAAATTCACCTCCGTTGAGAAACGACGTCATATTAACGTCTGGACATCCGCCCCACTATCGCCTTCAACTCTCAAGTATCCAGTATTCAGTATCCACTACCCACATCAACACCTCCCCCTCAACACCTTCCCCTCAACCCTCTTCTTCAAACATAGACCCAAAAAGCACATATACATACACATACATATAATCATAAACATACATATCCCCAAGACCCCCAATCCCAAAGAACAAAAATGCCATCCACCAAAACCCGCCTCTGCCTCCTCTCCGACACACACACCACCCTCCCCGCCTCCCCAGCCCACACCACAAACCCCTACCGCCACCCCCTCCCGCAAGCCGACGTCCTCATCCACGCCGGCGACCTCACAAAAGTCGGCCGGCTAGAAGAACACACCCGCATGGTCGACCTCCTCGCCTCCGCCCCCGCAGAACTCAAACTCGTCATCCCGGGAAACCACGACATCACCCTCGACGAGGAATACTACCATCGCATCGGACACTACCGCCATCGCTATCGCTCAGGACACAAGGGCTCGTCTGCGACGTCTGGACGGGAGGCGTTTCTTGCTAGAAGCAGGGTTGATACCGATAACGATGGCGATAACGATACCGCAAGAGGCGATGGTCACACCGGCAACGGTAGTCTCCCCCAAGAAGGCCCGATCGAAGACCCAGCGGTAGTAAAAGCGCTCTACACGGATGAGTCGGCCCGCGCCGCTGGAATCGTCTACCTTGAAGAAGGCACGCACCGGCTGCGCGTGCCCAGCACAGGGGCAACGTTCACGGTGTACGCCTCGCCGTGGACGCCCGAGTTCTGCGAGTGGGCGTTTGCGTACAAGCGGGGCGCGGTCGACCGGTTCAACCCGCCGTCGCCGCGGCGGAAGCTCAGCGAGGCTCAGCCCGGTGCGAAGCGTGCGTTTTCGGCGCCGCATCCTGCGCCGGATTTCCCGGACGTGGATATCGTGATTACGCATGGGCCGCCGTATGGGGTGCTGGATAGGGTTGTGCCGGGGGGGTTTAGTGTGGGGTGTGAGGATCTGTTTAAAGCGGTTGAGAGGGCGAGGCCGCTGTTGCATGTGTTTGGGCATATTCATGAGGGGTATGGGGCGGTTAGGTACGAGTGGAGTTCGAGGAACGAGTCGATGGTTCAGTGTGATGGGGAGAAGACGGTTAAGGAGCGGGGGGCGTATATTGATGGGTCGGCGGGGTCGGGGACGCCGTTGAGGGTGGGGGATGAGACGCTGTTTATCAATGCTAGTGTTTGTACGGTTGACTATGAGGCGGTTAATGCGCCTTGGGTGGTGGATTTGGATTTGCCTATTCAGGTTGGGGGGTGATTTGTATATGATATATGGGTGTGTTTATATTTGACTTGTCTATATCATGTAAATGGATAGATACCTAATGCATCCTACTACATACTACGGAGTACAACATTCCTCAAATGTATTATGAATCAATAACTCCAACCGGGTATACAATCCATCCAGTCGGACAATCGCAGTAATGTACATGAGCGAATGAACAAATGAGAGTCTTTCCAGCTGAGTAGATAATAGAAGGTGAAGGAAAACATCAGTCAGAAGTATGGTATATCAAGGTAAATCAGGTAAGTCAAGGTATAAAAGGTTAAAAAGGTATCAAGGTATTAAAGCTCAACACGGCTTATATCCAACCAGTAAGAAGACAAGATGAAAAAGAGTAAAAGATCAAAGAAAAGAAAAGAAAAGAAAGAAAGACAGCACTCATTAATGTCCAGACATTACAAGATAGATAGGGTGTAGATGGAGATAGGAAAGTAGACGGGGAGGGAAATGTAAGTAAAGAAAGATCACTCCTCATGGACGGTCATAGCACGCGAGTCCCGAAACTCAAGTCGGCTGTTCTTTCGTCCAACGCCTTTGAAAACACTGAGCCTCTTCCGGACCGAATCCCGCACCCCAGTCGGACTCATAGGTCCCTGCGACAGGCTGCTGGGACTGCGTATCTCGGGGCTCTTGATGGAATGCATGCTGCTCTGCGTCACCGGCCGCGGAGGGTCCGTGATCGGGGGAATCGCCGACCACCCACCACCACTACCTCCTCCTGCTGTTGCCCCATTTCGAGGGCTAGTCACGGCCGGTTGGTCGCGATGGTTCGACACCCCGTTCACATGGCGCTGAGAGTTGCTCCGCCCGATGTTCTCGAGAGACTTGGCGGCCGCGCTTCGAGACGCGCTGCGGGACCGTCGCTTTTCCTGCGTCGTTGTCCCGTCCGCGACGGATTCACCTGCGCCCATCGATCGGTTCGATCGGTGGGATGTATGGCGGTGGAGTTTTTCTCCGAAATCCCCGAAGAGACTGCGCCGCTTGCCGTGAGTGTCCCGCGAGCGAGTGGTCGTTTGGCTGTGAACCGTAGCGGCATCGTCATCCCGGTCCTCGCCGTTAACCCGGCTGTTGGAACGTCGCCGCCGCGACTCGCCCTGGATCGTGGCTACCGAGTTGCTGGCCCCGTGGCGCTTGAATGGATTGATGATGCTGATCCGGTGGCTCACAGACTGCTTATCGGGATGTTTGCTCTTGACGGTTTTCTGGGTCCGGATCAACTCCTCCTCGGGGCTGGTAGCCCGCTGACGCGGCTTGCGGTCCGTCTTGGTGCTGAGGGACCGGCGTACGGGGAATTGCAGAGGCTCGAGCACCAGAGAGCTGAGCGAGGCTAGCTCCGAGGCAAACACTTCCTCGAAGCGGCGCTGCAGCTCCGCTTGCGTGGCCTGGTGTGCCGGACGGTTGTACAAGGCGAGAGACTGCTTGATCGCCAAAGCGTGGTCAATCAGTCCCACGGCAAGGGCGTTCTTCATGGGGTCCACGGGTGTGGGTGTCCCCTCACTGCCCTCGGGGTCCTCGTCTGCTAGGAATTCGCGGTAAAGAGCGACACAGCTTGGGGAGGAAGACTGGGTGTCGAGAAACTGCTCCAGCGCCTCCGTGAGGCCCACCAAGCTGGAGTCTTCCCCGTACACGGCCCGCCGTTGCAGCAAGCACAATTCCTGGGTCTTGCGCCAGGTCCGTTCGACCGCGGTTTGCAGGGGTGTTAAGGCGACGGTGTCAACCGTGACAATCTCACTCCGGCGCAGGATATTCGGGAAAGGCTCCGCTGTGGTGTAGATGACCTTCTCCACCCATTGCTCTTGCACGTTGGGGTTGCGAACATGTCTCTTCAGGGTCGACGTGAAGCGGCAAGGCTCGGAGATCAGGAGATGGTCCCGGACGCCCGATGGAACCTTGGACCGTTGATACACAGGATGGCTCATGTCTCGATAAGCGGAGACAGGAGTGATGGTCAGATACTGGCCCTCATAATCATGCACGTCCCCGGGAGACACAATCTGAGCCGCCGGATGGTCCCGTTGCATCCGGTCGACGAAAGTGGCCATCCGCTCGGTCGGGGAGCATTCCAGGATAAACTCCTTGTCGCGCAACGTCGGCGGGAAGCCTAGACCTTTGTAGATAACGCGGAAAAATCGTGCGAACTGTTTCTCCTCCTTGGCGATGCGTTCGTTGATCTTGGCCATTGAGCCCTGAGCCCGCGACAGCTTCATAAAGTCCATCACCGTCTCCTCATACTGTAGCGCCAGCTCTTTGTAGCAAGCAAGGGCATGCGTCCAGGCTTTGGCGTCCTCGAAATGCTGGATCACGGCGAAGTACAGGGTCTCTTTCCGCTCAAAGGCGGTCTGTTCGGGGAAACTAGGGCTGAGAAGCTGTGGGACCGAGGACTTCGGATCCCACTCATACAGGTCGGCATGGAATTGGAGGGCAAGACCGGCCTCGGTGGAGTTGCTCTGCGCTGCCTGCACCTCGGCCAGCTCATGGACGTAACGGATGAAGATATCTTCCCGGCCCATGTCCTTCATGTACTCCATCAGCCGGAGCGTGTGCATGTTCTCGGCCATGGAACCGCTCTGCGACGCCACAAACAGATCGAGAAGTTCGTCGACGGTGCCGATGAGGCCCTTGACGGCATTGGTGAGTTCCGGATCGAAGGCCTCGCAGGCTTCGAAGTATTCGAGCAGCTCCCCGATGAAGAGCTTCTGGACGCCGAACTCGCTCATATTTTTCGACTTGAAGAGGTTGTCGAGGCTGGAGATGATCTCGGTCTCGATGATGGACAGCTCCTGGTTGAGGGTCCACTCGCTCAGGATCATCGTCCGCAGGATCTCCACCGCCACATGGCGCAAGCCTTCGTGGACACTGAGGCAGAGCTCGATGATAGGAGCCACGAGACCGGGCACATACTGCACTTGGTAGCCGCCAAATCGTTCCAGCCCGAAGCGTTCCTGCTCCTCGTCCGTGGTCTCCCAGCCGATGGCCTCCCAGCTGGCGCGCAGCAGGGCCGCACCCTGTTCTCGGACGTCTCCGGCGATCTTCCAGATCGCACGGCGTCGTTGCTCGGGGAAGGTTTCGAGGGCGAGAACGTTGCTGGAGACAACCTTCAGCAGGGTCAGGAAGAGGTTCTCCCACATTCGGGTGTCAAACGACTCCGCATCATCGGGTCCCGGGAGGAACTTGTCCATCATAATGGTGGCCAGGAACTCCAGACTCTTGACGGTGGCCCGGTGATTGTATATGTGAGCACTGAGCCAGCTCTCGGGGTAAGGCTCGCAGTTGAGAATCGACGTGTGCACCTCAAATGCCTGGTTGAGGAAGGACGACAGGTCCAGGCCTTTCAGTCGCGGCCGTTTGGGATGAGGGACTGCCGCGACGGCAGCCAGGACGGCAGACAGTTCCACTAAAGCCTCGTCTACTTTCTGCGCGGTTTTCGAGGGCTTCATGTGGAAGGGGAACGTCTTGCTGAAGAGAAGCGAGAGATAATCGGTGTCGTCCACGCCCTCCGGGATGATCGAGTAGTAGGAAGACACAATGCTGGGCATGAACTCGTACAGCTGCGGGTCCGGCTCCTTCAGCAGCTCCGCAACGATGGCACAGTTCAGCCGGACCTGATCGCGGTACAGGTCGGACACCGAATTCATCCCACCCCAGTAGGGGGCCAGCCAGCCGACGCAGCTGGAGATCAAGCCCTGCCGCTCCGACCCCGAGTCGAAAATGTCCAGGCGGGTGTAGTGCTGGATCAGGACCAGCTTGTACAGGATGAGCATCCCCTTGACGTCCTTGCACGCGTCCATGAAGCTGAACGCGATCATGACCATCTCGTCCTTGGGGAGAACCTTGGTGAGTTCCGGGAGCCACGTGTGGAAGTGCTGGACCACCAAGGTCTTGCTGCCGACCATGGCGGGCGAGGGGTTCTTCATGAGCTCCTCCAGCGCCTTGAAGATCGAATGCAGGTCGCGGTTGAAGGTGGACTGGACGCGCGTGATCCCGATCCCTTCTTCCTTGGCTTGCTGCTGCTGTCGGGCATTGATGATGAACTTGAGGACGTGCCGGCCCACCTTGAAGGTGGCGCGGAGATTCCGCGACTGGTTGGGTTCGGAGCTCGACTGGAGCAGACGCAGGTAGCTGCGGACGAGGCAGGGCGTCGCGAAGGGGAAGTTGAATTGGTTGCCGGCGTAGTGGTCCACCAACGGGCCCAGATTGAACCGTCGATCGTGCACAATACCCAGAACCGTCACGAGATTGTGGAAGATCAGATCCTCGTACTCCTCGTTCCCGGCGTTCTCCACCAAGATGCCGAACAGCGCGTCGAACACGCCACTGAGCTGCTTGACGATCTCGATCTCCGGCACGAAGAGGACCCGCTTCAAGGTGTCGAGAACCTCGTCGACCGGCCGTTCCCGGAAGTTCAGCAGGCTCAGGATGACCTGGTCCTGCGAATACTCCGTGCTGCACAGGTGCGTGTCCAGGCGCAGCGTGGCCAATGGGCCCGTGACCGCCTCGTCCTTGGTCGACTCGTTCTTACCCAACGAACTCCACGGGAGGCCCAGGTAGGCCCCCTTGCCGTTCTCCACGTTCGAGGTGAGCTTGTCGTACGCGTGCAGCAGCAGCGAGTGCGGGCCATCCCGGATGAACGCTTGGTTATCCCACAGGGGCATCCACGCCAGCGCAAACGGGAACCCGGGGGAATCCGCCACGCTCATCACCAGGTGGGACCCGGGGATCTGCTCGGACGGCACGTTGAGACGGATGGTCTGGTTCCACGGCGTGCCCCGGTCGGCGATTGTGGTGCGCCACGCGGTCTGCGCCGGGGCGTTGGAGGACGGGCAGACGCATTTGTCGACCCGGGCCCCCGACGCCGCCCGGACCTCCAGGGTCAACTGCAGGTTGCGCATGCCCGTGTGCGCGGGGACGGGCACCTGGCCCGTCTGCGGGTGCGAGAGCAGGGCGTCCGGCGGGAAGCTGGCACTGGAGACGGTCAGGTAGATATCCGACCGCGGTTTCGTCGGCGCCTGGGCGAAGCCGATGCGCTTGGTCTGGACGATGTGATGCATGATGGTTGGGTTCTTCCGCACCAGGGCGTCGGCGTCGGCATGCACGAAGGGGGACAGGTGGAGATGGAGCCGCGCCGCCTGGTGGGAGCGCACATACTTCCCGCTGGCGCTGGGGAGCAATGCGCGGATCAACCCGTCGAACTCGATCCCGTCCCCATCGTCGCTGCTCTCCTCGGACGGGGACCAGATGCTCATCAACTGCTCCGCGTCCTTTTCGGTGCGCAGGATCTGGGACACCTCCAGGAGCCCGACCCCCACTGTGCGGACCTGACTGGTGTCCTTGGTCGCCGGGGCGTTGCTGCGCTCCTTGGCGCTGGATGTGCTGTCCGACGTCTGCGGCGGCGCCCGCGGGGTCTCCTTGACGGGCTCGGGGCTCTGGATCCCGCGGGGCTTCGACCACATCATGCTCCGGCGTGTCTTCAGATTGCCCTTGGTCGCATGGTTGGCACTGCCGTTAGGTTTGGCGGCTGCCGGGCCCTCCCGCGAGATGGACGGTCGCGACTGGAGCGCGGCGGTCGCGGTCGACTCGAGCGATCGGACGGCGACAACCAGGTACAACTTGGCGCCGCCGGGGGACCCGTCGCCCAGGTCGGTGCCACTCAGGTCGGTGAAGAGCGTCTTCAGCTTGCTGCTCGGTGCCTGGCTGACAAACTTCTCGGGCGACGGGATGTCCAGCGCGTAGGTCTCGGATAGGGACTTGAGGGCGCCGGTTTCCGACTGGGCGCACAGGTAGATCGCGAGCGACACGGGGCCGGGGAAGTTGCCGGACACCGCCGTGACCTCGAGCAGCAGGTGATGTAAAGCGGCAACGTCGGAGGGCTGGGTCGGACTGCTGTCGAGCATGCTCATCTCCGACTGGAGCTTCGTCATCTGGATGGCGGAATCCTCGCCGGTCAGCAACTGGCCCCGTTGCGCGGGGTCCCGAACGATGACATCGCCGCCGAGCATCTTGTTGGCACGGACCAGCTTCCAGACCACGTCGTGGCGGAGGCCCTCCTTCTCCTGCGCGGTGAGGACGTCGTACAGCAGCTGCCGGCGGGCGAAGTCGAGCTCCTGCACGATGGCGGACATCTCTTCGACGACGGCGTACTGGCGCCCCAGCAGCAGTTGGTGGAGATTGGTCGAATGCCACTCCCGCAGACACGAAGCGATCTCGTCGACCAACGGTTCGGCCAGCGCGGTGGCACTCTCGTCGCCGATCTTGAGCATGGGGACGGGGGCGGCCGGTTTCGGAGCGTCGGCGTCGCGGGGCGCCATCAGACTGAGGGGCGTATACGGGAGGGCGGGCGAGTTCACGGCGTGGTTGGTCAGCGACCCGGGGCTCGCCAGCGCGTCGTCCTCCTGCTTGTGGATGAAGATCTGGGCGGGCTTCCCCTTCTTGGCGACGACCACGTTGGAGGCCTCACCGACCACGTGCACGTCATCCTGCGAGAGAGCCAGGCTGCTTCGCAAATCGGCCCCCTCGGTGTCGGTGCGGTAACTCTGGCGGTCGCCGTTCTTCGCGGGGCGGTTGGGGTCGGCGTCGCCCAGAACCTCACGAATCTCGACGCAATTGCGGGGGAAGATGCCCGAAAAGACGCGCGCCTCGAGGGTCTGGCCCTTGTTGCTGGTCAGGCCCGCCAGCAGCGACGGCGGCGCGACCAAGTAGCCACGACACCATTCGCCATTGGCGCCCCCTTGTTCAATGATGTAGAGCTCATCGCCGAGCTCCAGCGGTAGGTCGGCCGGGGTGGAGGGTTGAAAGGGGTAGATAGCGACGGCGAAGGCGATGCGAGGTAGAGGCCTCCAGGGCATGTCTGCTCAAGAAGCGGCAATCCCGAAGGACACCCCGCAATGGTTGTCACAGTGGCCGGTCGAGGAATGAGGGGGTGGGTGGGCGCGGTCACCGAGGGAGCGGGGGCGCACGAGAGGAAGGCGGAAGGCGGGGAGAATTCTTTTCCAGATCGATCGATGGAATGGAGCGCCACATGCAGAGCGATCCTATTGTGAGCGCTGAGTGACGGAGAAAAGGGGGGGGGGAGAGGGAGGGCGAGGAATGTGGACGAATGCCGACAGGACGGGAATCAATTGCGGATGGACGAGGTCGGTATGTTGTCGCAGCCGCGGGAACCTGAAAGGGGGTGTGGGTAAAGAGCGAAAAACGAAGCTAGTCGAGAAGGGACACTACAGCTCCATGACAGAAATCCGCAGGATTGCAGAAAGGAATGACCAGGGCTGTAGAGTAGGAAGAAGGAAAATTGACAAGGGAAAACAGGTCGTCAATTGGGACCAGGAATAGAAAGGAGGGAGAGAGGGGAGTAGAGTAGCTCCGTAGGCGAGGAATCGCAATCACTAGCAATCGAGAAGTGTCCCCAGATGATCGGCTTTCCAATTTGGAAGGACCGCAAAGACCAAGACAATGGGCATTGATTGAATAAATTCTGCGGCCGCACTCTATTGGCGAATTTCCCCTGGTTTTTCCCTGTGTGTGTCCTTTTCCTTCCTTGTTCTATTTTGACTTATAATTCTTGTGGTTTCTCTTTCGATTTCTAAAATTCTGAATGTTGTGATTTGGGGAAGCCCTGGGTCAATCACATATCCATTAGTTTGGCCCCTAGCAGATTATTGCATGGAAGGCCAGGCCTGGTGGAGCCCTGACCCTCAGGTTGTTCACCTTGGCAGGAACCGTGTGGAGATGCACGAGTTGAGACTGGGTATATCTTATTGGTCTAAGGGGTGACGATGAGATATTTCAATGAAAGAATGTGGGAGACAGATGGAATGAGCTAAGGAATGACCAGTGGATGAGATGGAAGAAGAAGAGAAGAAAGAAGTGAAAGATGAAGTGAAAAAAAGTGAAGAAAAGGAGAAAAGAAGGGCTGCCTGAGGCGACTCTCCATCCTCCCCAATCCACATATGAAGTTGAAGCATCTTCAAGACATCAAGAAATGGTGGATCTTCATTCAATCATCTCTCTCCTTCCAGATGAGAGGAATCTCTGATCAGCAAGATGCTCTCCACCTATCCCTCCTACTACGTTACCCCAGAGTCTTCATACTCCATACTCATACATACACCCATAAGTCTATCAAATCAAACGGTGCACGTTCAATTCAATCCAATCCCCCCCCCTCAACTTCCCAATCTGACCTATCACCTGCATCCTCTTTTACCTTTTTTTTTTAAACCTTTCTCTCCCTTTATCTCGTCCCTTACATAACCAGTGTAAACTCACCCAGGTAACTAACTAACAAACTCCCCAGTACCAAGCAGTTGATCGGGAAACACGGATGAGATCGATAGGAACCAAGGTTTGACGCCGTGAAATGAACCCCCTGAACCAGACCTACCGACCTAGACGAACCAAACTTCCACTTTCCGATCTGGAAATCAAATCGGTCGGTCCGTCCTTAGTCCAAGTTACTCTTAGGGTGTCTCGGGAATGGCAAGCTTGGACCAGGGGATCGTTTGTTGCGATTGGTTTGGAGGATCGATTATACTAACTTTATAGGTGATTATGTAGTATACTCTTTCGATGGATGAACGGACCGGATTCAAACTCTGAACTGGATTAGTGGTGTAGTTTCTATCTTATTCAGGAGTCTTGTTGAATTCCTCGAGGATTATTAGGTAAACTAAGCAGGATTGAGGAGGATTTCAACCTGAGGTATTAGATAGGGGATGGAGCGATCGCCGAATGCTAGATTCATAGAAATCACCAGACAAGAACTCCTTGAAGAATACATATAAAATAAGAGATAAGTCAAAATAGAATAAATAATATAATATAATATAACAGGTACCCTGCAACTACAACGCATGTATTCAATCCCTGACGCCTCGGTTATATCATCCATGATATGAACAAATGCTCCCATCCTCGCCACCCAGATTACAGAAGAACAGCAATGGAGAGATAAAAGGAAGAAAGGAAGAAAAAAAAAAGGGAATCGGCCGACCGGAGAATAAGAAAGACGATCGGACAATATCCAGAAAGTGAAAAAAAAAAAAAAAAGAAAGAAAGAAAAGGCTATTTCTTGAACATGGCCGTGGCTTCCTCCTTGCGCCAGTCCGGCTCCAACTGCCCTTCGTACACGGCGTCGAGAACCTGTCGCGTGCGGTCGTACGTCGCCTCGTACCGCCCCTCGCACTCGTGCTGCACCTTCGCCACCAGGCTCCGGCTCAGTCCCGGATCGTCCGCGTCGCCAAAGTGCTTCTCGACGCGTTTCTTGAGCAGCTCGATTCCGCGTTTGATCTCCTTGCTGTCGTACGCCGACAGCAGCTTCTTCGCCACCGACCGCGAGTGGCCCGGCCGGTTGGCAATGTCTGGTGGGTGACTGGCCCCGGCCAGCAGCCCTTCCAGGGACTCCACGAACTCGAGCAGCTTCCCCAGGGGTCGCCGGATGACCAGGTCTACGTAGAGTCCCATGTGCTCCGCCATGTCCTGGCGCGCCCGGTCGTGCCAACGCTCCAGCACGGGCAGGCCGCGGACATCCACCTCCTCGATGTAGTGGTTCATGTTCTCAATCAGGAGGATGTGGTAGTTCAACACCTCCTTGTCTTCGGGATCGCCCCCCGAGGCAGCGGCCACCGCCGCCGAGTGGCCCGGCGCTTCCTTGGCAATGAATTTGAGGGACTCCCACATCGCCCGGTTGATCCGGTCGTAGGCGTCGTTGACACTGATCCGGATGTCGAAGAACTCCTGCTCCGGCTGCGAGAACATACTCTCCACCGCCGTGGAGAAGTGGGGGAACACGCGCATGAAGGAGATCACGCCCTTGCGCTTGTTCACCTTGACTTTAGTGTCTTCAATGCCCCGGATCTGCTCGTCCACGAATCGGTTGAAGAGTCCGATGAGCCGCGTGTGCAGCTTCTGCACCGAGTGAATGATGAAGTCCTGGTTGGTGTCGTCAAAGTCCGACAGGGCCTTCTCCAGGCTGAGAAGAATACCAATCCCTTGCCTATGGATTTTGTGTTAGCCGAATTCACACCGCAGACTAGAACGTCCACGCCAGTTAGCAACTTACAGAGGATCCGCCTTGATAGCCCAGTCCACCATGTTCTGCATATCCGTAGGCCAAAACCCGTAGAGCTCATCCATAAGCTGTTCGACCCGCTTCGCCATGGCCCGATCGGGGTCGTGCGACTTGTTGGCCGCAAAGTTGGGGCGCCGGCGTTCACCGGCGATGTCGGCAGAGACGAGATCGGGAAATTCGGCCGTAGAAAGAGAGTCGAGGTGGAAGAAGTGGACGACAAAGTTTTGCTCCACCGAGATCATGGTCAGTGTCTCTTGGAGTGCGCCGGCGAATACCTCGTACGAGTCGAGTTTTCCGTGTTGCTTCTCGCCAAACGAGTGCCGCAGACCGGCGGCGGCCCTGATGGTCTTGCCACGCTTGACTGTCAGTTTGCGTGCCGCCATGGTAATGCCCTCGCCGTCCTTGTCTTTTTCTTGGTGGGTGAAAAGGAGCTCCTGCTCCTCCCCAGTGGGCTTCCTTGCCGCTTTCTTCCAGGCCAGGCCATTCTCGCGGAATTCATTTTGGTAGGGCATCTTCGCTTGCTGCTCATAGAGATTCATCAGGCTGTGCCATTCGGACCCGCTAACTTCCCTGGCAAAGAGCATCAAGGCGTTGAACCTCCACAGCTCCTCGCGGGCGTGTTCGCGGGCCTCCCCGTCCAGCTTCATCTGATCCCGCGAGCGATTTGCAGCAGCGTCTACCCGCTTCTGTTCCGCCACCTTATAGGCAATCGACATGAACTGCCTGAGACGCTGCAAGAAGAGGCGCGACTCCGTGCGATACTCCTCCTTCTTTTCCTTGATTGCGCGCATCTGTCCGATCCCCGTATCAGCGTACACTCCCAGGCCACCATGGTCGCCCGGCGTATCGACCAGTCGCTTTTTGTTCTGGAAGATGTTGGAGTCGATCATCAACATGGCCTTGTATAATGTGGAAAGAGCAACTTCGGTGTCCCTTAGCCCGTCAGGGTTGCTCAGTGACGCCTCCTTCAGAGGCCGCAGGTCGGTCGACGAAATAGAAAGTGTCTTCAGCAAGTTCTGCAGCTCACTCTGGAGGAGCTTCTGGTTGGCCGTCTGCACTTGCAGACCTTGCGACTGTGTCTCGATGTATGCCACGTCGTCGTTCAGAGTGTTAAGTTCATGCGAGTACAGAGTCAGGAGGTTATCCAGCTCCTCACACTCCTCCACGGTCTTGTCAATCAACTTCGCAAGCTGGTCGATCTTGCCCTCCTGTTGTTCAAGATTACCAAGCCAGCTACTGGCTTCCACGCGTCCGATCTCTCGGCGGATGTCAGCCTCGAGGTCTTCGATCCTCTTCTCGTCACCCAGGCGGCCGTTCCAGCCAAGATCAGTTAGAATATCATCGAATTCGATCCCGCGCCCTTCCAAAATGCCCGGTTCAATCCCAATCGCTTGGCAGTACCGGATTGTATTATCGGCATGCCTCCTTCGGCGACGGCCATTGGGAGAAGGAGAAACGGACCGCATTCTCTCATCGTTCTCGGCCTTCATGCTGGCTCTGGAAGTCTCTCGCGGTTCCTCGTCATGAACCTCGACAGTGGGGATCGCCGACACATCAGGGGCGGCCTTTGTAACTTCCACAACAGGTGGTTCCTGCGCAGGGGAGGGTATATCTGGTGTCTCTACTTCTGCTGCCGGGGACGGCATAGAGGGTGCTTCGTTGACTGGGGTTTCAGGGGAACCGGGCCGTGTAGCCTCATGGCTTGTGCGCAGTGACGGCGCAGGCACGACGCCAGTGATCCCGTCTGGCTCCGTACCATCCTGTTGTCTCTTTGCGGCGGCAAGCAACCTCTCACCGGCGCCTCCGGGTCTCGGCTTAAAGGCCCCATAGGCCGTAGCAGCTTTCCGAAACGCCCCGGCCACGCCCATACCCATGTGTTGCTTCTTCTTGATCATGGGGCCAAGGCCAGGGCGATGTGAGCCGTCATCCTCCTCATCCACGGGGGATTGAGGAACCTCAGACGAGCTGACCGGAGACATGGAGGCAATCTCGGCGGCGGAACCGCTAGGTCCTGGTTCGTTGGCGGACTCCAATGCCGCTGTTTCGGCGGCCGCCGGTACACTCGTAGTAGTCGCGAGTGGGGTTGGCTTCAACGGGGCAGGTTGGTCGCTGAATGACTGCTTGCCCGACAAGTCTGCAGGAGCATCTACGGACGCCTTGTCGCTGCCTTCATTCAACGGTGATTTCACCCCCATGCTACCGCCTGGGCTTTGCAGGATGTTTCGGCTTTCGCTCGGAACTGACCCTGGAGTTGTGGGCCGGAGACCATCATTGTTGCGCAGTGAGCTTTGACTTGACTGTTGAGTGCGTAGCGGTGGCCTGCCGTCACGCGACGACGATGGCCGCATGTCCGGGTACGAGCTCGCCTCCGAGTCTACACTGGGCCTCGGCATTTGGTTCCCTGCCGATGCAGCGAGTAAACTGCCAGGGATTTCCTTATTCCGGAGTTCAGGCGGTGGCGCTATGGGTGCCTTGGGCATCCTGGCGTCCGCGCGTGGTGGCGGCTGATCGAGCGGGATAGAGGGCGGAGGTTGCTGCGGCGGCGCAAAAGGAGGAGTACCGCTTTTCCCGGATTGCCCAGTAGAGGGTCTGCCCACTGGATCACGGCTTCTCTGGGCTCGCAGAGCCTGCTCTTCGGGTGGTGGGCGTTTGGGCCCATCGCGACTGGGTGCCCGACTGGAGTATGGTGACTGAGATTGGCTCCCCTGAGGGGAGTTCGCGCCGGACGTCTTTGCTCCAGGGGCTCCAGGAGGCGCACCAACAAGCAATGCGCGCTCGCGTTCGTCGAAGCCGATGAGATTCGGCACTTTGCCGCCCGTATACTTCCTGTAGATTTTCACCAGACTGCCGATGAAGAACTCCTTCTCTTTAGAGGTCCTAGCATGCCAGTAATACGGCTTCCCAATAGTAACCACAAAGCCAACATTTGATGCCCACTGCTTGTGTTGTTGTTCCAATGGATTCGACGGCACAAATGCGTTGTACGAGACGATTGAAGACAAATCGTCGAGCATCCACGTCTTTCCGATTGAAAACGTGCCATCGTTGTTTTCCCTGGCCTTGTGCATGCGCACCCGACCCGAGCGTCTCACGGCCACGATAATCACTCGAGGCTTCTTATTCTCGGGGGGCGAGTTGGGCGGCGGCGGAGAGGATGGATACGCGGAGTCTTCGGTGATGCGCACATGAGTAATATAAGAATCGACCACTGCGAGGAATTGAGCGTTAGCTACCCTGAATCTGATCACTCAATTGCAACAAAGCCAAAAATAGACAGGCTCCACCAGTCGATATGGCGTAGACCTTGGGTACCGGGCTAATGTATGATTTAAGGAGTTCCCCGCTTTCGGTCCCAGCGAGCTCGATCGAAGCATGGCAATCGCATAACTGCAGATGAACATGACGCAAGAGATACAGATACATACATGTTCCATCACTGTCTTTCCTTGAGAAGCAACTTTGCATAATTCGTTTCTTTTCATCCTCGAACTTCTCGGCTCTCGACATTGACCCCTCTGGCGCGCGGCGAGGATCCCTTGGAGGGAACTCGCCAGGAGGCGGGCCCCGCGAACGATCAGAGCCACTCATTGTTGCTGTTCACTCCTCGGAAACCCGGATCACACAAGAAAGAGCCGAGATCAAGTGGGCATGATCGGGGGGATCGGGGGTCGGGGAGATCGGGACGGAAGGTGTCTACAACAGACAACACGGGTACAGGGTCCCTGGTATGAAACGGAGTGTCGCTCGACCGGCTCGATGGGCTCGAGAGATTCGACAGCTCGATCGGATTGATCGGGGTAGCTGAAATTGATAGAAAGGAGAGTCGAGTGGGTTCAAGAATGACCTATGCAGAAGCTGAGATAGCTCCGAGTGGAGGAGGAGAGCCAGTCAAGAGTGAATTAGCTCATCAACCACTGAATACTTCTGGGGATGGGATGGACGCTGCCGGAAGGCGGAAACCATGGAAGGGCAGGGGAATTTGTGCATTATTATGTAATGTGGATGTATAATATACTATCATTCTAGGCATCTATGGAGCATGTTATGCATGGCTGAGTCATTATTGAAGTACCTGCAATCTCCATCATGTCACGGGAACCCACGTGAAGTCCCAGGTCCAGGTGCGTCTGAGTAGCCAATCACACTGCTAGTTTTGCTCACCGCCTGTGTAGTGTTTTTCTGCCCTTTTTTTTTTTGTCGGGATGAAAGAAGATGATCAAGACCCAATCTCAGCCCAGTCCAGCGTCTCGTTTTGTTTCCCTCGTTTCTTAGATTCAACTACGGTGCAGCGATTAATCACCATGGCTGGACAAAAAGGAAAGAAGTCTTCTTCGACGAAGTCCTCTCAGGACAAGAAAGGGGTAAGATCAGCCTTACCTCAATGATTTACATATGGGGGCGTTCACTAACAAAGGCTCATTGCAAACCTCCAGGCTAAGCCTACACTCCCTCCCACGCAACTTGTCGCTGCGGTCGATGCCTTCCTGACGGAGTTTGGATTCTCCAAGGCTCGTGAGGCATTTGTCAAGGAACAGGCGAGCAAATCGATCAAGGGCGATTCCAAGAACGTGCCGTCTTTGGTGGAGGTTTTCAAGACCTGGGAGGGCCAGGCAGATGGGGCGAAGACGACCAGCAGCAGCGATGAGAGTTCTAGCGATTCGGATGTCGCCATGGACGATGCGCCCAAGTCTAAGAAACAGTCCAAGAGCTCCTCCTCTTCCTCTTCCTCCTCGAGCTCCGAAAGCGATGCCGACGATGAGGATGAGGACAAGGCAGCTGCCAAGTCCCCTGCGAAGCCGAACAAATTGAAGCGCAAGGCTGAATCCAGCAGCTCCTCGTCTTCCGAGTCGGATTCCGAGTCTGATGAAGCCCCCAAGAACAAGAAGACGAAGCTGTCGGGTAAGAAGGATGCTAGCTCGTCTTCGTCTGACTCGTCCTCGGACTCTTCCTCCGACTCGGAATCTTCGGACAGCTCTTCTAGCTCTTCTTCCTCTTCGTCTTCTTCGTCGTCTTCGTCGTCGTCGTCGTCGTCGTCGTCGTCTTCTTCGTCTTCTTCCTCCTCTTCCTCTTCCTCTTCTTCTTCCTCCTCTTCGTCTTCGTCTTCCGACTCTGATTCTTCCTCCGATTCCGACTCCGACGATGATAAGAAGACCCTGAAGAAGGCCGCGAAGACCCCGCTGCCTCCGTCCGACTCTAGCTCCAGCGGGTCCTCCTCCAGCTCGTCCGAGTCGGATAGCGACAGCGGCAAAAAGGACAAGAAAGCGTCGTCCTCGAGCGCCTCCAGCGATTCCACCACTACGCTCCAGGACTCTGACAACGCGGCCCCCAAATCCGCCGAGCAAACCACTTCTTCGAGCGCCAGCCCCGCCCCTGGCAACGGTCCCGGCAAGAAGAGACACACCGGCGCCCGCCCGACCCCCCTGGCTCTTCTCAGCGAGCAGGCCCACGACCACCCCTCCAACGATTACATCTCTTACGCCTACGCCGAAAAGGCCTACAACGACTTGTCGGTCACCCGCGGCAAGGGCTTCACGAAGGAGAAGAACAAGAAGAAGCGCGGTTCCTACCGCGGCGGTCCCATCGACATGAGCGGCGGCAAGTCCTTCAAGTTCGACGACTAAGTCTCAGCCGTCCTCCTACCGAACTTTTGTCGAAGCGGCAGATTGCATCTGATGAAGCGAAGCGTCCTTCCGTCCACGATCATCAATACAAGTTTCACCAAAAGTTATTTTCTCGATTAGACGAATAGATCTAGATCTACCTATTTAGATCGTCTATACTTTTCAAGCAAGGCGCTGATGGAGCTGGGATTAAAAAACCAAAGAAAAAAAGACAGACAGAATGAAGGAAAGAGAGAACGAACGAAAGAAAGAAACGTTTTTACCTTGTCATATATAGTTTTATTATGTCGTTTTACCTTTACGCGCACTGTGTTTCGTCAAATACCATTTTTTATCGTGCTTCCAGGCTTTCCACATTAAACTAATCGCATAAAAGAATAAACCCTCTGCCTGTGTGTCGTCTGCAACTAGTGAATTCTTCTCGCCAATATCTCTCAAAGCTAAGCTATTTCCCAAAGTCTAATCAAACAGATTCAAGGATATCGTAATCTACCGCCGTTATATCCAATCAAGCCCAACTCCACACGCAACGAAAAGATAAATCAATCGTCTAAACCATCCCACCAGTTTTTGTAACGAGAGAGAGAGAAATCAAGAAAGAACGAACAAAACCAAGTCATCTAATCGCTACGCCTCCACGCACCAGGTTGCTCCAGACGCTCCCACCTCCGATCCCAGCCCGTTTCCCGCTCATTGGCGACGTCGTCAGCCCCGATGGACGAAAACGGCTGCTGGGTCCGCAGCTTCAGGGAGCGGGAGTGGTGCTGGGGATCTGGGCGCTCGTATCCGGATAGCTCTAGGATGCGGTCGGGGCGTCGGGAAGAGCTGTGGTCGTTGTTATTGGTGCTGTTGCTGTTGTTGAGGTCCAGGCCGAGCTGGCTGTGGTACCATTGTCGGCAAGGGCCCGTCAGATCGTCCGTGGAGGCAAAGTCTAGCCGGAATACGCCGTCGGCAACGCCGGTGTAGATGGTTGGGGACAGGATGGAGGGCGAGGACATGGTGTAGATGGGTCCGCGGTAGCGATGTGTCGAACGGGCGCGAGGCGCATTCGTTCGAAGAGGCGGTGGGTGGGAGAGGAATAGGGAGAGACCTCCTCTGGGATGGTAGTGGTGGTGTCTTTGGGTGGTGGAATTGCGCCGGGTGGCGTGGTTGTTGTTCTGGGACACGCGGGAGGATGGTCTTGCTTCGAGGTAGTTGTAGTTCTTTGGCATGCGGAGGTCAAAGAGCTTGACTACGCCCTCGCCTCCCGCTCCGGCGGCGAAATTGTCGTACCCGAACGAATGGACGCAGTATATGGGGTTCTGGTCGCTGGAGTCTCGGTAGATGCTCTCGAAGGACTTGTGCGAGCGGAGATCATGGAGTCTGTATGTCTTGTTAGTTGGGCTTGCAAAACCGCGTAATGGGGGACAAAAGCATACCTGACCGCGCGGTCACCCCAGGCCGCGAGGAATACATCCCCCGAGGGTCTCCCGCAGGCTTGTATCTCCAGAGGCGCAATTCCACTAACAGTCGGCTTGGGAGCCGGTCCGAGCTGGTCTTCCAGCTCTAAGGATTCCACCCCAATCTCGCGCTCTAAAGACAACCGCTCCTGGGTGACCTTAGAGATAGCTAATGCATCGTCGGAGCGGCCAGTCTCGACTGCAAAGCGATTCGACGATAGAAATTTCGAGTACTTATTTCTCTGCGAGTTATAAGGGTCAACCCGAATGCGGGCAAACGCGTGAACCTCGCTTTCATCGGTGGTAGTGCTGTAGAACGAGATCGCTCCATGGCTCATGTGGGCAGCAAGAATCGGTTCGGAGCCAGTGCTCAGATCAATGCGCTCGAGTTCCGGACCGTGGGTCACAAACTTTTGCTTGTACTCCCAGGTTGCCTGGTCTGGCGTTATTGCAAGATGAAGGAGTTCGCCGCGCAGACGGCCCACAATCATCTGCTCCTTATCGTCCTGTTTGCTGTAGTGGTCGGGTCTCAGGAGGTGAAGCCCACAGATGTCATCTAAACTACTGATGTGGTCCAGATCATTGAACACGAACCACCTCTCTTTGGGCCGTTTGTCTTGTTCTCGGATCCGCAGGACCACCTCGTCCGCTGCGCCCCAGGCTAGCACCTCCTTGTGGTCTTTCCACCCAGCAACATTCCAGGTTTCGTACGAGTCAATGGCAGGACGGTATCCAATAGTAGGGTTGTCGCGTCTGCTTGCGCGGTGGGATCCAAGCTTGACGGCCTTTTTATGTGGCAACACAAATCGCCCGACTACCCCGTATCTGTCCAGCGCCCGCGATCTGGTTGTGAGGGCCTGGGCGGCATCCTTCCAAAAGGGTGAGTCCTGCACGTAGGGAAACCGACTCTTGACGAAGGCTCGAAAAATCCGCCAGTCCTCGGCTGCAACGACTGTGTGGAGGCGGTGACACGTCTGGGCAAGATTGACCAGGGCGCTAGCGGTCGAGAAATAAGATGCTATCAGATAAATAATTTCTGGAGGCAGGTCAGGCAGGATCATGGTCGATTCATGCAGCTGTGTGGTGAATTCAAAAAGTAAAAATGTTAATTGATATGACGTCGGTTCATATGCGACAAGGATCTATGCACGAATCTTAATCAGCATTGACTTCAATTGTTCTAGGGGAGAAAGATATATCACCCACATATCTAGGTTTTCTAAGTAATTTCAATTATCCTGGATGGCTCCGGATAATGCTCCTTATTATATGTGTGGGAAATTTGGAGCTCCTATACAAAAGCACAAGGCTATGCGGGCCCGTATCGTGCTCGGCGACGATGGGAGTCAGGATCAGGATTATGACTCATCTTTTGACGCTGCATATAAAGCCAGACCTAAAAAGGAAACACAATTCCACACATTCCCCGAATTATACGACAATGAGAATTAACAAGTCTGATCTGTTTGGAAGGGATATGGATTGAACGTGTTGTTTTGAAGATTGGTTGATTATGTCATCGGTGCTTATCGGCCATCCTTATCGGCCTCTCTTTCTCCATGCGGGGGAGTCGAATCGAGGATGTTGGAGTCATTTCATATCGAACTTCCACCGTTGGTCAATTATGGAGCTAATGACTAACAAGTTTTGCTTGGGGTTACATTCGTTGATTGATTGTAATTCCTTAGTCTACATAGGATTACAACTCATCCTCTATCCCGGTACTGGAAAGGCGTGGTTGGAGTAAGCTCTTTGAGGTAGGTCTATCCTGATTTCTGTGAGGGGTTGGTCTTGCATTAAGCTTTGTCTGGTTCGTTCCACCCGAAGAACATCCGGTCATTTTTATCTTTATAAGAGTTCGATGTTATGCTGGTGTGGAAATCCTTTGCTTCCTTATTCGCAATCCAGTTGTGGGAATTATAACTCCTGGGACGCCATCGACAAATCCAGCACACCCTCTCCAATATCTTGGATGAGATTGCACCATGATAGTCTCTAATATTACACTCACCGCAGTCATTGGACTCTGCGTACTGCTGCTCTATAAATGCGTGGTCTACCCAGCATTCCTGTCACCATTGTCCAAGATTCCAAATGCGCATTGGTCAGCGCCAGTATCTCCGGCTTGGATGCTCTGGAAGCGGTTTCGCAGTCAAAACAATCGGACGATCCACAAAGCCCATGCAAAGCTTGGGCCAATTGTGAGGCTTTCACCCTCGGAGATCTCCATCAACTGCGTCGACGGCGGCATCAAAACCGTCTACTCCGGCGGGTTTGAAAAGCATGAGTGGTACCCACGGGTTTTCGGGTCTCTTGGGTAAGTGGGTGGCCTTTTCAATCACGGTATAACATGGCAAATAAGCTGATACCACTGCATTCGTAAAGAACTGTCAGTATGTTCACCATGATCGGCAGCAAGACCCATTCGACCCGCAAGAGAATGATGTCCAGTATATACAGCAAGTCGCACTTGCAGTCGTCGCCGCACATGCGACTAATCTCCGAGGAGATTCTATACAGCCGCCTGCTACCTCTGATTCAAGCCGCAGCGTCTGGTAATCACCCGGTTGAAGTCCATGACTTGAACCAAGGAACAACCATGGACTTCATGTCTTCTTATCTCTTCGGTCTGGCAAACGGGACCAACTTCCTTCAGGATCCGACTAGCCGACAGAAGCTACTAGAGTTTTACCAGAGCAGGAAGCCGTACGAGTTCTACCACCAGGAAATTCCGGATCTTCTATCGTGGCTCAAGTCAGTAGGCATCCGTCTGATCCCCAAGTGGTGCGATGCAGCGAACGAAGTTCTCGACGCCTGGGGATTGGACCTCTGTGATAAAGCCGAGCAATCGCTCGAATCAAGCGACCCAAAGGTGGAACCCGCTGTCTACAAACAGCTCGCCCAAGCACTCTTGAAACAGGGTCCAGTCCAAGGAGAAAACCTCAAACAGCGACGCCTTGACATCGCCTGCGAGATGTACGACCAACTCACTGCTGGCTTCGAAACCAGCGCTGTCGCCCTGACCTACCTCTTCTGGGAGCTCTCTCGAAACCCAGAAGTGCAGGACAAACTCCGCGAAGAAGTTTTGACCCTCAATCCAACACTCACCTACCCACGGCCTCAGGGATCAACCGGACTACCAGCTCCAAAATCAATCGATGCACTGCCTCTACTAGACGCCATCGTCGCAGAGACCCTCCGTCTGCACGCCCCCATACCAGGAATTCAGCCTCGCGTAACGCCCTACCCGTCGTGCAGTCTCGCCGGGTATAACGACATTCCTCCCAACACTAGGGTCAACGCCCAGGCTTGGTCGCTGCATCGTAACCCAAAAGTGTTTCCCAGTCCGGAGACATGGCAACCTCGACGCTGGCTCAAGGACGCCAACCCGTCGTCGGACCTTGACGAAATGCGCCGGTGGTTCTGGGCTTTTGGCAGCGGTGGGAGGATGTGCGTCGGGAGCAATCTCGCTTTGCAGGGTAAGTGTACACAGCGGTCTATCACATTTTCAGCAATGCTCACAGTCCGCAGAAATAAAACTGGTGGTCGCGGCTATTTACACCAATTTCAAGACAGCTGTCATTGCCGACGACGACATGGAAGAAATCGATGCTTACACGGTGAAGCCGCGCGGAGATAAATTAATCCTGAAGTTTGAGCCTGTGTAGACAGTAACAGTTTGGAATGAGCGGTACAGCCACCAAGGCCATCATGTCTTCAGAAGATCCAATATTCAAAATTCAAGATCCATTCCCATTCCATTGTAGCACGTAATGTACAGTTTAGCATGTATACAAAATCCCACATCACCTTACACTGTATGTATCTCAACAACAGCATTTTGTCAAATCGCTTATCTTGAAAACGAGTAAAAGCCAGCCCGCAACTCCGATTACAAATTTGTTCATTCATAGGTTTCCACCCGAGTAGAGTCGGAGCAGAAACCCCGCCTCTCCAGTCCCATCCATCGCGTAGCAGTTGTGAGCAAACACGGACATCGGGTATCTCGTATGAAATGTTTCGCGGAGACCCCTCAACTGCGGTCTATCGAATGGCGTGTTCAACCTCGGGAGGCCTATTTCTTCTTCGGGCCAACCACCTTCGGGTACATTCTCGACAAGTGGTAGTTGATAGTGTTCTGCTTGTTGGACTTGGGTCTCTGTATTTGGAAAGGACATGGTCAGTGAAACTGTATCATCATGGGATAGGAGGGGGGTGCGCTTAGAGCGCTGCAGCTGCAACGCGCAAGGCTAATTACGTACCTTTTCGTCCATACATGACCGAAGTTGCTGTTCGAGAGCGCCACAGCCCTCGACGGTGTACCCGGAAGAGGCCCAGCAACCTGTAAAGACAATTGTAAGCCATCCATTCACACTAATTGATCCGCAGGCATCGGTCGAATGTCCCGCGTCGACCACCATCCGCAACCATTGCCAACTCTATTCTTCCCAACCACCGTCAAAGCAACAGGGAGAGCATACTCAGCATCGACGACATAATAGCCTGGCAGGGATTCAAATCTTGCCTATTCGGACGACGGACTCGCAGGTGATTGATGGTCTGCAGACGGATCGGGTTGAGCGTGGTCGTGGCGCCTTTCGGAGGCATGTTGGCGAATTAAACAAGATAGAACCTATCGCCTAGCTTCGAGAATAGATATAGTCAAAGCGATTGCGCTAGAGACTCGAGCAAGCAGCAATGCGGGACAAAGGGTCTAACAGAGTCGCCGAAACGGAATCCAAAAGTCCGCAAGAAACAACTTCGGAGATGCCAAGACCAGGAATTGAATTGCCCGCGGAAGCTGACGTAAATTCTGACTAACCGAATTAGGTGGGCCTTTGCAACCTCAGGCAGACCTGCAACCCCGTCAACTTTGTTATCGCCGATAAGCGGGTGAGTTGCTCTTCTGGAGTTGTTTCTATCGCCACCTTGGACGGACGTCTTGGATCGGTACACGCAAGTTGTTTATTCAGAGAGAAAGATATGAGTGGAAAACTGGTGGCGGCGCTTAAAGTCAATCATGTGCCCGCGCAATACACGAGGGCTTTCTCCGCAATAAGCCGGAGGCAAAACGAGGTCCCCAGGGCCAACGGAAACAATGACGCCCACGAAGCTACAAAGTCGGAGAATGGAGCAGAGGAACAAGGCGCGATGGCGCGGAGGCTATCTGAGATGGCCGAGCAGGCTGTCCTGGAAGGAGGGAAATCCGCGCGCCAAAACATAGAACAGGCGGGGTTCTCAGACGAGCTGAAGAAACAGCTGGAAGAAAGAGTCGCCGCCACTGCTTTCAAAAACGAGTATCCAGCGGCTCACTCGATTCTCGATATGCCCGAGAGCGCAGGGGAAGGCACTCGAGCGACAGCCCTCGGCGAGGCCTGGTCAGGAACGGAGAACATGCACGATTCCGCCCTCCGCATGCTAGACGACAGCGCAAGGAAGCCGATCCGCACGCCCTACAAAATCCCCAGTCCCGTCCAGACCAACCCCGTCGATATGCGCATTGCGCCCAAGCCGAAGCTGTCGCCCGGGCACCGTCTCGCCCACGCCAAGGACCAGATTGGCACATACAGTTTGAGCCAGAGCCCGGGGGTCTCGGAGCAGGAGCGCCAGGCTATGCGGAAGGAGATGCAAGAGCGGTTTACGCCCGGGGCTCGGCCGATGCCCATGTCCATCCAGGGGCTGGCGTCGCTTGCGAACGAGCAGATCGAGGATGCCATCAAGCGCGGCCAGTTCAGTTCGATCAAAAAGGGCCGCGGCGTCAACACCCAGACCGACCACAACGCTAACAGCGCGTACATCGACACCACCGAGTACTTTATGAACAAGATGATCCAAAAGCAGGAGCTTGTGCCGCCGTGGATCGAAAAGCAGCAGGAGCTGGCAAAGGAGGTGGACCGGTTCCGCCAGCGCATCAGGGTCGAGTGGCGGCGTCACGCCGCCCGATTAATTGCCAGCAAGGGAGGCACTCTAGATGCTCAGATGAGACGCGCCGATGCATACGCCGCCGCAGAAGCCCGAGTAGCAGAGCGAGCCGCCATCGCCAAGTCATTTCGTGACGATAACGACACCAAGACCCCGCCCACCACCGAAACCAAACAAGAAGATACCCCCCAATCAGAAACAGCATTTACATCAACCGAAGAAGAAAACGACAACCAACTTCCACACCTCGAACCCCTCCGCGACCCGAACTACCTCGCCATCGAGCGACCCTACCACGAACTCACAATCAAGACCCTCAACGACGCCACCCGCACATACAACCTTCAAGCGCCGCCCGTCTCGCGGAAACCGTATCTCAACCTCGAGAGAGAGCTCAACGCATGCTACGCTGAGGTCGCGCCCAGCCTAGCGGAAGAGATCAAGCGACGCGCGCTGGAGAAAGCCCACGGTCCGGTATCGTCGGGTCCTCGGGCTGCTGGGATTTTGGAATCGCTGGGCACGGCGCAGGCGGCTCAAGTTTATGATGAAGATTCTTCTAAAGGGTATGGGGTTAAAGATCTTTTGCGGGATTGGTTCTCGGGGAAGAAGGGTCGAAGTTGAGCATGTGTCGTGGAAAAATTGTATATATTTGTACATTACTGGGATCTATTGTTTAGTGTAGTGTTAGCCTGTTATTACTCACATCGTCCATGATCTTCTAACAAGTAGACTGCATTTCCGTGCTCAGTCTGGGGGTGATTTTCCGTATACTCCCTAGAAACCCGATCTCGTAGAGACAGTCGGTCGAAGACCTCATAATGATATAAATACACCACAGTGACACAAATAATTGAAACGAATGACAAGAGAGCCACACTATTCTTCTCCATACAAAAGAAACAAAAAAGAAAGTAGGCGAGAAAAGAAAAGACGAAGAACAAATGAAGAAAAGTACGAAACAAACAGAACCATCCCCAACATCAATCCGAATACACTCATTCTTCCGCCGCCTTTGTAGCCATTTTACGCCTCAAAAGGCGCAAATGCGTGGTAAGCACATAGATATCATACACTCCTTTGATAAACGACAACAGCATACGAAATTCCACGAAACTCTCGGCCCGGGACACCTCCTCGTCAGGATATTGGGTCTTAATCGTGCCCCAGAGAAGATAAGGTAGGATAGCATAGAGGAGTCCGAGGATTAAATCCGTCACAGACATAAAGATGGTACGTTCCTGAATCCGCCTTGTGCTATACAGCACGATTTAGGAAGGTACGTCCCAAGGAGTGGATACTATGAAAATGTATACAATCTTCTACCCTACCAGTATGCAATATTGAGGAAGCTTGGTAAGTCTCAGGTTAATCACACTACTAGAACAGAACATGGCACAACACGTCACACCCGACAGAGCTTGCTATCGTAACAAATACACACAACACCCCAGGGACTCTTGACACCGTCTGTCATGACTTGATTGGAGAGGAACAGGAATTTCTTATCTTAACTAGGCATGAGCAATCCACTCCACCGGGTCAAGCGCAGCTATGGCCTGGACGAAGGAATCGTTCAACTTATCACTGCACTCCTTGATGGCTTTGGCACTAGCCTCGTCGACCTTATCTTGCAGGGCTTTTCCGAGTCTATTGGTGTTCGCCTGGAAGAAGCGGATACTGGCGACGATGATCTCGTGATAGCTGAGGTGCTCGAGGACGGTTTTCTACTCCCGTTAGAGGGCGCTTCCTTTGCTTCTTTCGTCAGTGGGGAAATAGTGTCTTGCATACCTTGGCAATGGCAGTCTTGAGATAGACTTCGATGGCGGGTTTCATCTTCATGGCTGCCTCGGTGACGGCCTTGCTGTCTATTTCGTTGAAGAGAGGTGAGTCCCAGACGTGGAAGGTGGCCACTTGGATGTCAGTTTCCAGGACTCCTTCGTAGTGGATAACGGCCAGCAAGGTTCTGAGGCGGTCGTCGGTAGCCTTGATGGCTTGCTCCAGGGAGCCGAGGTCTCCTTCCACGGTTCTAAGACCGTTGAGGACGGCAGGGGCATCTGCATTGGCGAGGCCAATGAGGGCAGTGAGGAGGATGAAGATGGATGTGAGGTTCATTTTGGTGATGTTGGGACAGAAGTGGGTTGGTTGGAGTTGATCTGGTTTGGAATGTGAGTTGATAAACGAGAACGGGTAGATGTGATGTGAGTGAAGAGTTGGATGTTTGTAGATTGGGATGGAAGAGTGTAAAGAGGTTGGAGGGAAGGAAATTGTATGCCTCTTGCCCGTGTGATGCCTCAGTCCGTGCAGATTGTGCCTTAACGGACTGCATGATTGAGGTTGGCCACATTGACGAGATGACTGTATAATCAGCGTCATGGTTATACTCACATCTTCCTTTGTATGTGCTTTTTCATAGTGAGTCTCTTGGTCATTACCTGCATGTACACGAATAGACATATAGTCGTATAGATGGCTATATAGTGGTGTTTAGTAAATACATGACCATCATAAATCTAGCAGATAATACATCAAGTGTATTCCCAGGCTATGAAGACTGAGAACAGACTATCATGGCCATCTAATCAATCAAATTATCTGCCTCGATTTTTCTGATCCCACCGGGTATATATATTGTTGAATCAGCGTAGCCCATGACCTTACCAGATTCCATTTTAAAAAGAAAATTCTTTCAGTAGAATTTATCAAATATAGATCAACATAGATAGACTGGAAACAAACAGATAGAAGTGATTTCAATCCACAAAGTCCGGCGAATTTGCCCACGAAGTGATATCAAAGAATGCTTGGGATAAGTAGAAGTAAGTCAGGTATCATCGAAAGCAGTTGCTTATCAATCAAATGGGCTTGTGGTTTAGGGGTATGACGCTCCATTCGCATTGGAGAGGTCCCGGGTTCGATTCCCGGCGAGTCCATATTTTTTTCCTCCCCATTCCCATCGTGCATGGCCCGATTGTACATGGCGGAGTATTTTTGTTTATTTGATCTATTATTTATTTATTCTTGTTTACTCCGTACTTCTCAATCCTATTTTCAACCCCAACGACACTATATACGCATGTCCCAAGAGCCTTCCCTGCTAGAGAAGTCTTGTCCCCTCATTGGCTCAGGCTAATGTGACGGCCTGTCCAACCCTGCAGCCTCGGCGCCTAAAAACAACCAACGAACAAACAGAGCGACAACTCTCGATCGCGTTCCAACTCCTGGACCTCCACCCCGGCTTCTTCACACTATCACATCCAATCAGTCGCCATGCCTCCAGGGTATATCACCTCTGCCCACCCCTCCTCGCCGGGGATATGTGTGTGACGCTGCCTCGTTCTGCATGGGATGTGCAAATCTTGCTCCCAACTCTGGAGATGCCCTTTGTCCCTACTTAATCACTCTGGGTTGGCGGCTTCCATATCATGATGCCCATGTGTCTTCTGCCTTTGCTCATTCTCCTCTCTCCTGCTGTTACTGCTGGTTCAGTATTCCAGGAGTATTCGAGTGTCGTGTCCAAACTGAACCGCCGTGCGGAGGACCTCTCGACCGCAGTCCCGTTGGATGAATCTCTGTTGGCCATCCAAATTGGTGGTATCGTCGGGGCATACGTGATCTTTGTTGCGATCCTCCTGAGTCTGTTACTTTTTGTGGGACGACGTCTGCGACGGGCGGTGCAGGCCTCCAACTATAGCCTGCACGTGGAGATGATGAAGCCTGCTAAACCTCCCGTGAGCCTGGATCCGAGCCCGGTCACTCCGCTCTCTGCGACCCTCCCCAGTCCAAATAGGACGCACTCCTTCAATCAGTCCTGGAGTAGCCTGGGCAAAGGGCCTCACTCTCACATGGCGGGGAACGGAAGTGCAGCCACCATCGATGAGTCGGTGCTTGCCTCCGACCGCCGCAGGGCACAGGAGGAGATGGAGATGCTGTATGCCGCGGTCATGGAGCATGACGCCCGGAAGGAATTGGCGATGGAGACGGGTCGGGACGAGAAGGAGATCCAATCTCCCGATACAGTCTATACCAGCCCGTTCAGCGACCGGTCGTCCAGGGTCTCCGAGGGACCATCATTTGCGCCCATGAAATCTCCGACGAGTCCACGGTCCAACTCCCGCCTGTCTAGGATCTCGTCGCTCTCCTTGTTCAACTCCAACTCCAATTCCAGCTCTCAATCCCAACCCAATGCCACCTCGAAAACCCCCGCCAACACCGGCAAGATTCTCCGGTCGCCGCGATTCAACCTTCGAAAAATGTCCATCTCCTCCCCGCTGGCATCTCCCGATGTGACCGCGACCAATTCGTACGGCGAGGAACAGCCCCCGCTGACTCCGCGGATCTACCACCCGCCACCCCCTCCCGCTCCTCCCGCGCGGATCAATCGCACTGCTGTCGAGAAGGTCGTCGGGGTAAGTCGGGCGCCGGCGCCCGCACCGCTGAGCTTGTCGACTGCGGGGCATGGTAAGGGCGCGTCATCATTGCCCTTCCGGGATGCGTTCCCGCTGCAGAGCGCCCCCGCTACAAAGACGACGGTCCTGGAACGACCCGTGAAGCCGCTGAATGGACCGCGGACGGGCATGCCGACGCCCTACAGTCCTTACATGCCCTTCACGCCCGTGACGCCGCTCACTCCGAGTCGAATGGTGACCAAGCGACAACGCAAGCGTGAAGCCAAGGACAATGGGCTGCGGGCTTTGGATGAGAATGACGTTGTCAAGGATGACAGCGATGTGTGGGGGTGATTTTTATTTTCTTCTATTCTTATACTGGACTGTTTCATGATTTGTCTGCTTTCCGGGTGTGACTAGGTGTCTAGGGAGTCGTTTGAACTATGTGGACAGTGCTGGCACTCGGTGCTTTGACAGTACTTTGCATGTTATATCGTAAATAAATCCATACATCAAGAGCTTTAGGACACGCTATCCATTGACGCATCTGTCATTAATTCGGGTGGGGAAGTGTGGCAAGGTTGCAACCATGTTTACCAACCTCGGGCCACCCCACCCTCTGACGTCCTTTGTTCCCCTCATCCCTCTTCGTCTCATCCTCTCCCATCCATGTGCAATTGAGCACTCCAAACCCAATACATTCTTTCCTCTCATGCTGGCAATCATAAACTGACCCCCCTCGATCCCAATGCCACTGACCATCCTCTCGGAGACGCAGCTCCGATCCCTGCTGCTCTCACTCACCCGCGAAGAGGTCTTCACCTTACAACGAAACCTCGCCCTCGCCCTCCGAGACTACTCCATCGGCAACCAAGACTCCGGCTGTTCCGCTGTCTACCAACCGCGACGGACTGCAATCACCCGACAAAATGGCTGTACGACCCTGTTCATGCCGGCCAGCACGGGCCACTCGATGGGGATGAAGGTCATCTCCCTGCAGGATGCAGACACCGCGGGCTGTTCGACGGACGATGGGCCGGAGCCATTGAGGGAAGAGAAGGCGCCCTCAGAGACACCAGGGACCCGGGCGTCTGTGGCGTCCCTGGAGTCCGACCTTAGCGAGTTGTCCGTCTCCTCCTCGGGTGGCGGCAGGGCGAGTGATCCGGGCGGGTCAATGAGCCAGTCGAGCAGCAACTCGATCGATGCGGGGTGTGTCAATCAGCAGCCGGTGGATACGGGGATGTCCGGAACGCTGGGGGCCTGGCCGGGCGCCGGGAGTCGCGACACCTCGCCGCAGGGCTGCCAGATACTGCTGGATGATTCCAGCCTGCCGTTTGGGATGATCAACACGCACGAGCTGACCCCGTTCCGCACGGCGTTGACGGCCACGATGCTGCTCAACAAGCGCAAGAAGGTGCGCTCGGTGGTGGTGTTCGGCGCCGGCAAGCAGGCCTACTGGCACATCCGGCTGGCGTTGGTGCTGCGTGGGGCCGACATCAAGCGGGTGTTCATCATCAACCGGTCGTTTGATCGGGCGGCGGAGCTGCTCCGGGACATCTACGCGCCTGAGAACGCGGGGTGGCGCGGGGAGGTGAAGTTCTCGGCGATCAGCAGCGACTTCGGCGAGTACGCGCGGGTCCTGCACGACACGCTGCGCAAGGCCGACGTCATCTTCTGCTGCACGCCGTCGGTGCAGCCGCTGTTCCCGGCGGAGCTGCTGACGTCGCGCGAGGGCCGCCAGAGAGGCCGGCTGATCAGCGCGATCGGGTCCTACAAGCCGCACATGACGGAGCTGCACCCGGACATTCTGCGTGAGGAGGTGAAGGTCTCGACGAGCCACTGGCATTTCCACAAGCACGTCCGTCACAGCGGGGTGGTGGTGGTGGACAGTCTCACGGGGGCGATGAAAGAGGCGGGTGAGATCGTGCAGGCGGGGATCCAGCCCCATCAGGTGGTTGAGCTGGGCGAGCTCCTCATGGTGCGGTACCAGTCGCAGGGGTCGAGTGCGGACAACGACGACGATGCGAAGAACCTGCGCGAGTGGGTGGAATCGGGGAATGTCATCTTCAAGAGCGTGGGGATGGGATTGATGGATTTGGTGACGGGGGGAGATCTCATCCGGCTGGCTGGAGAGAGGGGAGTGGGGACGTTGGTTGATGATTTTTAACCTGTATTCTACTTCCTCCTGTCTTTTATTCTATTCCACATATCATTTCCACAGGTGTTATGATCTTGTCCGTGTCGTGTTTGACCGGACCTAATCAATCGTTATCAATCGGCCCACCTACGTAATCATCGGCCCACTGGCATGACATCAACCGATTCTCTCTCTGCCCTTTTCTCTCTCTTTTCCTCCCAACTACCTCTATTATCGGATTGAAAGATATGCAGACAACTGCAGACACCAACGGTTACTCCTCATGAGCTGTTCATGTCCACCCAATAAGTCCCAGTGACGGACAGTCGAAAACTTCTCGGGATCGTCGCCAACTGAGGGGCTGCGGAGCATCATCCCACTCGGGCGTTGATTAGATGGAAATTTCTCCCCCACCAACCTTTTATTCGTTCATAATCTGCAGAACGTGCTTTTTCCATTCTATTCCCATCCTTCTCTCCAAAACCCATCCTTCTGATCCAGTTCATCATGCGGAATCACATCTGCTACCTGCCTAATGGCCTCTCCTTCACCGTCAAATCGGTGTTTGGCGGCGTCACGTTCAGATCCAACGACATGAAATTGACCAATTCGATCGTTCCGCCAGGTTGGAACATCGTCCTATCGACCGATCGACGAGAGACAGCAAAAGAAGAACGCCCAAGCAGTCGCCACAGCGACAAGGATCAAGATCCGGGCTTCACGCGATTCACCACCCCCACCCTCCGCCACGACAGCCTGTACCTCTCGTCCATCGTCGACCCCCCCAGTACGGAATACAAACCGGTCAGCTCGCACGCGCGCCAGCTCGCCATGATGCTCTGGGTCACCCTGTGGTGGTACTTCCACGAGCCGCAGCCCGACGCGCACCTCCACAATGAGGCCTCCGCCGCGACGCCGGACCAAGGCAAGCCCAAGGGCGAATGGCGAGTGGCCATCAGGCGCGAGGGCATCTTCAAGGGCCGCAACGTCGTGCAGAAGCTCGAGCGCATGGGCCTCGTCGCCAGCGAGGACTCCTCCGCGGGCGATAACCCCCTCGACCTGTCCGCCTGGGACGACCTCTTCGTCAGCCGCCGCAGCTTCTGGCAGATCGACCCGCGCATCTTCATCTTCACCATGAGCCCACTGCACGTCCCGCGCGCGATCTCCCACCGTCCGCTCTCCCCCAACGTCGGGTCCCCCACGGCAGACGGCGTGTCCGTCACCACGAGCGACGTCGTCGCGCACCTGTCCTCCTCCGCAGAAGCGCACTACACCCCGTCCGAAGGACCCTACGCCTCCAGCAGCCACCACCCGACGTACTTCCCCCCGCCGCCAACGCAGTACACATTCACGAACAACGTCCGGCACCCGATCCGCCCCAAGCCCCCTCACAAAGGCGACGTCTTCTACATCCGCTACATCCCCAGCCTGCAGCAGTACATCTCCTTCCGGGTCGCCTACCTCCCCCCACCACCCTCCGCCACCACAGCTTCCACGCCTAACTCCCCCGGCGCCATCCACCACCACGCCTACAGCGCCTCCACCTCCAGCCTCGGCTCGCAGGCTCCCCCGGCGCGCGAAGGCCCCTCCGACCTCGACCTGCTGCACAAATGGATGAACGACCCCCGCGTCAACGCTTCCTGGGGCGAAGCAGGCCCCGTCTCCAAGCAGGAGGCGTTCCTGCGGCAGAACCTCAGCGCGCGCCACAGCTTCCCTGTCATCGGATGCTGGGACGACAAGCCGTTCGGCTACTTCGAGATCTACTGGGTGAAGGAGGACAGACTGGGTTCGCTCATCGGCGGCGCGGGCAACTACGACCGCGGTATTCATCTGCTTATCGGCGAGCAGGAGTTCAGAGGTCCCCACCGCGTGGCGGTCTGGTTGAGCTCGCTGGTGCATTATTGTTTCTTGGCGGATCCGAGGACGGAGACGGTTATGTTGGAGCCGAGGGCGGATAATCATAAGTATGTCCCTTTCCTCCCTTATCTTTCGTTGTCTTTTCTTTTCTTTTCTTTTTTTTTTTCCCTTCTTTCTTTTTTGTTTGGTTGATGATAACGATACTGATATAATAAAATAGGGTCATCCACTACCTCCAACAAGCAGGCTTCTACAAAGAAGGCGAGGTCACTTTCCCGCATAAACAGTCTGCTTTGATGAAGATCAAGCGTGACCAGTGGGAGTGTCCTGCTATTTAGTTTTCTAACTCTATATTTCGTCTCATATATGCTTTCATCCATATATACTCATGTGTGTGTATGTATGTGTGGATGAGTTGGGCGGAGGGGGAGGGGAGAGAGAGAGGTTAGCGAGGATAGGATATTTGGTGTATATACCTATGTCGTCTTGTCTTGTGTATGCAATACGGATTACTCTACTCTATTCTACTCTTTCTTTATTACTCTACTACCTACGTATTCCCAATCAACTAAGAGCTACCTATGACCTCAACACCCCAATCAAAGTTATCTACGGTTTCTACTCGTATACTAGGCCCCTACCATACCCCAGAGTATTCCACAAACAAGAGGATCAAAATCATATCATATCATATTAATAACTACCTAAATACTAGTGCTCGCGGTTCTGCAGGGTTCATCTAACGCATATGCATACATAAGGTACCTGCGTAGGAAGATCCAAGATAGGATATCGTATACCAAGAGACAAAGGGGGAGAGGGAGAAAGAGAGGGAGAGTGTGCAATTTAAGTCGTTGATATTGCGGGAATGGGGAATGGGTATAGTGGGTAGATAGGGTAGATGAATGGAAGAGGAGGGTAGGTGGGTAGGGTTCGAATGGGAATGGAAATCGAAGGGGAATAGGTTGCGTATGAGAAAAGAAGGGACCAAGACTAAACCTCTGGGGTATGGAGTGCCGTGCCGTGTGGTGTAATGTGTAAAACAAATAAAGGGTATTAGTAAATAGGCGAGACCCGCTCAACCGTGGTAAAAAGTGACAGTGTACTGGTAGACAGAACAGACAAGACATAGAGAAGTAAACAACAACAACAGTCTAAGTCTAGACTCTAAACAGGTCGTCGTCCCATATACGATCCCGCAGCCGAGGCCAAAATCCGCGCCATGAACCCGGAGCTGCCGTGCGTGGACACCCGCGATTTCTTAGACGGTTGCTGCGGCTGCTGGTGCAAGGGCAGATAGGCTCCGTCGTGCTTAGGCTCAGCAGAGAGATGGACGTAGCCGGTGTAGGACGGGCTGGCAGTCACATCGTCGAGGACAGCCATGCTGGCTGTGGAGCTGGAGGTGCGGAGGCTGGCGGGTGTGCCGCGGGAGCTGGTGGAAGCGACGCTGGAGGCGCGCGAGCTGAGCGAGGGAAGGGTCTCTGCGCGGGAAAGGCCCGGGACGTCTTGGATGGAGGGCGGGGAGACTGACACGCCGTGTCGGGAGGAGGGCCGGCGGCGGATGGAGTACGGTCTATAGCGGTCGGAGTCGGCTAGTGAAGCGGGAGACATGGACGCGGTGGACGAGGCCGGGCTAGGGGGTAGGTGGCGCCGAATGGAGGGGTGGTGGTGGTGGTGGTTGACAGAGCGGCGGGCTTCGAGACGGGCCTCGAGCTTCTGGCGGCGGAGACGGCAGGCGAGGAGCTCGGCGGAGGCGTGGAAGCGGCGCCACTCACGCGGGGGCGTCTGGTGCGCGGCTTGACGCTCCTGGAGCATGTAGCGGTGGCGGATGGGACCCAGGAAGGGCTCGAGGTGGTCGAAGAGGTCGGTTTCCGAGACGCGGGTCTCCCAGTCGAGGAGGAAGAGCAGCTGGCGCTCCATGAGGTTGACCTCGGGGAGGGAGAAGCAGAAGCCGTTGTAGCCCTTGACGGCTGTATAGCGGGCCCAGTGCTTGTTCTTGGGGCTGGAGTCGTTGAGGTTCTTGGCGGCGAGGATGAGGGCAGCGAGGAAGATGCGGTGGACGGTGCAGCGCATGCCCTTGGCGACTGGGGGGAGCCGGGCGCGCAGGCGGTCCAGGTAGACGAGGGAGGTCATGAGGGTGGGCACCTGGACTTGGGAGCGGGTGACGAGCGAGGTGATGAAGAGTTCGACCGAAGGTAGCGGGGGATTATTGTTGCCGGCCTCGTGGTCGTCGAGGGGAGGCGTGCTCGGGGGCGTGGGTTGACCGTGATGATTTCCATGCGGTGTCGCCGTCACATGGGACTCGCAGCGGATGACCCGCGAGGCTTGCAGGGCCAGGTGAGCCACCATCTCGCGCGTCACCGGTTGTCGCACGAATTCCTGCAGGGCGAGACGGTTGAGGGACTCGGGCCTTTGGTCCGTGTATGCAGTGGACCTTTGGTCCATGGTGTATGGGTAGTTGGCCATTGTATATGATCTAGTTGAGATGTGTCTAGAGGGTTGTAGATCGAGGGGAGGGGGAAAGAGGGAGAAGAGAAAGAGAGAGACAGCTCGTATTAAATAGAGACTTTGGAATGATAGACGGACGAAGAATGTCCAGGAAAGAGTGGAAATTGAAGAATCCTGCCAGCAGGAGAGGAATGTGTGTCTTGTTGTCGTGTCAACGTGATGGATCACGGAGTCAAGGAACGAGATAGAATGATTGACAGATGAGATGAGAGTGCAGATAGAGAGAGAGAGAGAGAGACAGATGAAGAAGAGAAAAAGAAAGAGAGAGAGAAAGAGAGGATATTAAAAGGATTATAAGAATTGAGAAAGGTAAAAAAGAAAAGTCAAGGCTGGTCATGCAAGGTGGACGCGCTGAGCCTGCATAGATGGTGGCATTCCATCCCTCTTCCTCCCCCAATAAAATCCTCGTCTATCCCTTCCTTCCTCCCCTCCTGTCAATCCGGGTCCTGACTGGCATGTGCTGGACGTGATCGAGGGGTTTCATCCTTTCCTTTTCCCGATTCTCTCAGCCAACGAGGGCTGGTGAGACACGAAAAAAGATCCTGGATACTGCGAGACCTGCGAGGTACAGTGCAGTTACTCCCCAGTCTACGCGCGGATGCAAGTCTCACGCATGTACCGTCCGTCTGGGGTGCAATATTAAGCGCCCGCTTCTATAATTATCGAATTTCGCGCAGGCGATCGCCCAGATCGACCTGGTTGGGTAGACAATTTCGATGGCGTCTATATTTAGAGAGAAGAGAAAACTACCGCTGGAGATCCACTCGTTCGGCGTCAACCGAATTTTCTATGAGCTGGTCGACGCGCTCCATGACATTCAAGGTACTATATACAAGGGTGTACCCCCCCCAGACCGGGGGTGAAACACGGCGCGTAATTCCCAGTTCAATTCTCATCCATCCATCGTGTCGCCCCCCTCGCCACTCTACCCCCAATGTTGGCGTCTAATACCGACGCCCGCGTCTCGTGTGGAATGTTGCCGCCTAGGCCACCGTCACCGAGTATGAGCTGACGGTCAACTGCGCGTCTTGACCACTGAAGGGCTCGGTTCCCGCCTGCACATCGGTCAGGTACTGACTCGCCGCCAGGTCCTGGTTCTCTTGCAGGTAGGTGAGGAATTGCGTCAGATCGGTCGAGAAGTTCTCGGTCGACGACGGCGCCACGAAGCTGAAGACCTGCATCTCGCCGTTGGGCCCCGAGAACAACTGCCACTGGTGGCCGGCAATCGTCGGGGTCGCGATGGGCGAGCCCGTCGACGAGATGGGACCAGCCCCGCCCAGGGCGCCCAGCCAGATCATGATCTCATACTCGGCATCTCCATCGGCGGTTGAGGAGAGGAACAGATCGTACGCGACGTTGCATACCAGGTCTGATCCTTTGTATCTTTTGGTCGTTAATACATATTTACTATACATATAAAAGACAATAGTGATGAGGAAAAAAAACTTACGACCACTTCCAGGTCGTCGGGATCTTGGTCACCTCGCTCAACTGCTTCGGCTCGAACTTGTAGGCCGCGTTGGCGAAGCTCTTGACCTGACCCTCGCCGCCGGTCCAGCTCCAACTGGTGTGCCAGGCCAAGGTGGTGCCATTCTGGCCATCGAGGCCCGTGCACTGCTCGCCGCTATCGGCGTTGTCCTGTCCCCAGAGGTTGTTGTACACGGTAAAGTCACCTTTCTCGATGGTGTCCCACTGACCGCAGGAATCCGCCCGACGGGTCAGGGTGGCTCCATTCAGGAGGCCGCGACGGGTCATGGCGGCACCGGAAGCCAGTCCGGTGAGGGCGAGAAAAAGCCACTTCATGTTTAAAAGAATGAATGTATATGGATAATGATAAAAGAATGACGGTTTGGTTTGTCTTTGATCTGAATGCCGTGGGGAAGACCCGAATTTATGCCTCCTTCAGGGTGCTTGACATGGTCGATCACGTCCTCCCCCACGGCATCTGTAGAGGCATGAGTGGTGGACAATTGGACATGGCTGTCAACTGGAAACACCAGGTCGGGATAATTTCACCAAGGTATTTAGCCGGAAGAATTTCACGATCGGGAGGGGTACGATGGATTGGTGGAAGTATATGAGTTACAGGGAGTAGACGAGGGGGTGTTCCGTGTGATTCTGGACGGAGATTTGATGTATAAGAAGAGCGATCTGCATGATTGAAGTATTCCAGGTTTTATATACAGCATGCGACCGTGGAATACACATCCTGTGTCAGATGAAGATAGTTGATCCATGAAGATGAAGATGTAGATGAAGATCAAGAGCCTTATCAGGCAACGATCGTCAGCCCGAGGAGTCCGCGGACACCGTGCTATTTCAGTGCCTGACTACTAAGGCACCACGATACTCGAGACTATTGAGATCTCCTTACTCGGATCTCCTTCATCCGCTTTCCCTGTCTTTCGTCCTTGTCAACCTTGTCTCCTTCTCTCCATACCATCCTTCTCCCTATTCACCCCCCCCATAATGCGTGGTCTCACTTTCCTGGTCACCCTGGTGGCCCTCCTCACCGGTTTCTACCGCTACTTTGACTCCCGTCTGGATCAATTCTACGTCTTCGACCCCTCGAACCTGCACGAGCTGTCCCAGCGCGCCATCGCCGCCCACGGGAACGACACGCGCGCCGTCGTCGATTTCATCGTCACCGAGCTGGACGAGAAGGTCCCCGGCTCGAACCTCAACCGCGACGAGGAATGGGTCTTTAACAACGCCGGCGGTGCCATGGGCGCTATGTACATTATCCACGCCAGTACGTTCCCCCCCAAACCACCCCCCCACAAAGGAATCAAAGACTAATTGGTTAAAGGCATCACCGAATACCTCATCGTCTTCGGCACATCCATCGGCACAGAAGGCCACACCGGCCGCCACACCGCCGACGACTACTTCAACATCCTGCAAGGCACCCAGCTGGCCTTCGTCCCGGGCTCCTACGAAGCAGAGGTCTACCCCCAGGGCAGCGTGCACCACCTCCAGCGCGGCCAGGTCAAGCAGTATAAGATGGACGAGTCGTGCTTCGCGCTCGAGTACGCCCGTGGCTGGATCCCCCCCATGCTGTTCTTCGGTTACGCCGATACTTTCTCCAGCACGCTGGATTTCCCGACGTTGTGGGCCACCACGCGCATTACGGCGCGTGAGATGATTGCCAATCTGCTTAAGGGGAAAATGTAATCGATGGATAGATGGGTAGATGTTGTATTATAAGATAGAAGATGCTACATATACATAATAGAGATGCTAATGCGAGATAAATCAATCAATCAATTGATCGATAAATAAAAAGTAATTAAAAAAGGATAAAAGTAAAAATCAAACAAACAAACCGACCAAACAGCTGACTCATCACTTATCTCTTTATCGCCGATCTCCCCTCATTTTCTACTCAACGATAACCAGACCAAAAAAAAAAGACTCTACGAAAACCACAGGACAAACAATCGAGAATGGCACCTCCCTGCGCCCACTGCCACTCCGCACGCGCGGTCATCATCCGGCCCAAAAACCGCCACCGCCTCTGCCGCGAGTGCTTCATCCGAGTCTTCGAGACAGAAGTGCACGAGACGATCACCACGACGCAACTCTTCCAGCGCGGCGAGCGCATCGCCATCGGCGCCAGCGGCGGCAAAGACAGCACCGTCCTCGCCGCGGTGCTGAAAACCCTCAACGAGCGGTACGACTACGGGCTATCGCTCTGCCTGCTGTCCATCGACGAGGGCATCCGCGGGTACCGCGACGACAGCCTGGAGACGGTCAAGCGCAATGCGCAACAGTACGCCATGCCGCTTGAGATCGTCGGCTACGGGGAACTATACGGGTGGACGATGGACCAGGTGGTGGCGCAGGTGGGCAAGAAGGGCAACTGTACCTACTGCGGGGTGTTCCGGCGGCAGGCGCTCGACCGCGGCGCGGCGCGTCTGGGCATCAGCCATGTGGTGACGGGGCATAATGCGGACGACGTGGCGGAGACGGTGATGATGAATTTGTTGCGGGGGGATCTGCCGCGGTTGTCGCGCGGGACGAGCATCGTGACGGATTCGGCGGCGAGTGAGGTGAAGCGGTCGAAGCCGTTGAAGTACGCTTATGAGAAGGAGATTGTGCTGTATGCGCATCATCGGCGGTTGGATTATTTTAGTACGGAGTGTATTTATTCGCCGGAGGCGTTTCGGGGCAGTGCGCGGTCGCTGATCAAGGATTTGGAGAAGATTCGGCCGAGCTCGATTCTGGATATTGTTCGCAGTGGGGAGGATCTTGCGGGGTTAGTCCCTGCTGAAGTGAAGGGGACGGGGCCGGTGGGTGGGGGAGGAGGCGGAGGTGGTTGTGGGAGTCAGAATGGGAGGACGAGTGGGGGGGAGATGGCGGAGATGGAGAGGCGGTTGGCCGGGGATGAGGCTGCTGCTGCTGCTGGGCAGGAGACGGAGATCCGCCTGCCTGTGAGGACGCCGGGGAGGAAGAATAAGCAGGCGAAGGATCAGCCCAAGGTGAAGACGCAGACGATGGGCAAGTGTGAGCGCTGCGGGTACATCTCTAGTCAGAAGGTGTGCAAGGCGTGCAGTTTACTGGAGGGGTTGAATAAGAACCGGCCGCGCATGGCGATCGACGTTGATATGGAGGATGAGGAGAGCAGTACGACGTTGATGCGACAGATGGAGAGGGTGGAGTTGGGTTGAGGATTCTGAACTCATCGAAACCATCATATCAATCGTCACCGTCATATCAATCCTCAGCGTCAGCCTGACCATCGTCCATCCGCGGGTCAGATGTAGGATGGCATCCTACACAAGTGATGCAGACAGCACCACTCCCTACTATATACGAGTATACGATCACTACCGGAGGGCAGCACAGAAAGCACCAGCTTCAAGTTAATATACAGAAATGTACAAGACAACCTAACACCAGACCAATATCATACAAATCATATCCCTCACTCAACTTTTGTCCTCCCAAAACTATCCACCAATTATCCCAAAAGTTTATCCCTCAAACATCCTTTTCTACCCCAAATATTCCCTCCCCCCCCCTCAAAAAACGACCCTTCAAGAACTGCTCCCACTCCCCTTCTCCCCCTCGACCCCCGAAAGATCAGGTAAATCCCACCCGACCCTCCTGGCAGTCAACCGAATCCTCTCCTCCTCCGTCAACGTCGCACCAGGGTTGTACCGCTCCACAAGAGACGCATACTTGCGCTGCGCGCGCGCATACATCGCCCACTGCTCTGCCTGTTGGAGTTTCATTTGCAGCTGTTCCTCCACCTCCACTCCCTCTGCGTTTGCTTGTGGTGTCTGCGAGGGCTGTTGTTGGTAGAGAGTGCGGAGGCGGGTTTGGAGGGGGCTTGGGGGCGTCCGTCGGGGGAGTTCGCGGAGGATGGCGCGGTAGGTTCTGAGGGCTTGGGTTTTGAGGTTGGTTGTCATTTTCACTTCTTTTTGTTTTTTTCCCTTTCTCTTTTTGGAAGTTCGTGTGGGGTTTGCTTGGTTGGTATTGTTTTGTTTGTGGATTTGTGGATTGTTGGTTGATTGGGTATGGTGGTGGTGGTTTGGTTGAGAGGTCGTTCGGGTTTGATGGTTCAGACTGGTTGTATGGCGGAGATAGGCAGGTCACGTGTTTGGACATTCTACATACACATATTTACATTTTTTTTCTTAGATACTCAGAATTATAGGATAGTCCAATATTAACTAGTAGATCTTATGCTAGTCCGCTAGCTCTAGTATATCATGAATATGTACATCGTCGTAACAACGGTCATCATTCATCACCATCATCACCTCAGCGTTATAATCTGATCTGGACCAGATCATAGTACACCGCATTGATGAGTGCACCTGATCATGTACTTAAGATCGGAGCCATCCAAACTTCTTCCGCCCGGCGTCGCCGCCAGCAGATGGCTCCAGCTGCATGCTGCGCGCGTACAAGTCCTACCAAAGTTAGTCCATCGCCGAGTCCAAAGAGTCAAAAAATCAACGTACCTCTTCAACCCCAGACAACTTAATATCGAAAATCAACCGCGCCACCTCCTGATACCGCGCCATATGCGCGTACGGCGTCTTCTGGCTGCGCTGGATCCCCAGCACCACTTCTCCCATGACTTCGAACTTGCGCCAGTTGATCCGCGACTTGTCCTCCTTGATGAACGTCCTGTTGCCTTCTTCCGCGGATACCAGGTCGCGTCGGTGCAGCGGTAGAAACGGGATCCGCTCGGAGAAGGAGTTGTCCCATGCGAGTCGGTACGCGAAGTGGCTCTTTTGCGTCCCCATGAGAATGACCAGCCTCATGAAGTCTTTCTGGATCTGGACCGGGACGAGTTCCCGTGTTTGTGTTAGTCGGTGGACGGGTGTGCCGTTGATTCCGGCAATTACGGCCCCGAGGGAGTTGTAGTTGTTTAGACGGCGGAGTTTCTATACTCGTTAGTGGTCTGATATGGGCTTCGATTTAAAGAAAAAAAAAAGAGAGGGGGGAAAAGGGGGTAAGTACCTGTGCTATATTCATGAACTTCTCCATAGCCTTAGCCCGATGCTTCGACTTATCGCGATACAAAATCACACTGGCCACAAATAAGGCCACATGGTTGAACTGCTTGATCATCCGGTTGACGTGCTTCAGACTCTGGATCTTGTCCTTGTCCGGCCCCGAGATGCTAACATGTCGCACGAGATCCCGCGGGCGGAACGAGTTGTACATGATCCAGTCCACCCGCGTCAACTCGCGCGCGAAATCCTCGTCGGGAATGTCCATAATCTGCCGCCAGTGTAGCTTCGTCAGGATGTTTCGCGGTGTCAGCTCCAGGTGCTCTGCCTCGCGCTGCGCCGCTTCGATGTTCAAGAACGTGAAGGACTGGTTAGGGATGGTCCCCGGGCGGTCCGTCGCGGAGTGAGTTGAGAGTGTTCCCGACAGCCGCAGCGATGAGTCGGCGGTGCCTTCGCTGAGATCTAGTGCGCTCATGTGGTAGATGGGGTCCTCTTCTTCCTCCTCGCCTTCTTCGATGATGTTGGCGCCGCCGAGGAACGCCGATGGGGAGTTGGGCCCCGAATGGTGGAGGAATGTCTCGGGTCCGTCGGACCCCGCCGCGTCGCCGTCCCCGTACGACCAGCCGACGTCGTCATCCTCCGCCGTCACCTCGAGATAGGAGCCCACTTCCTTGGCGGCGAACATGTAGAAGTGGCTCTTCTCCAGCGTGGCCACAAAGTCGATGATCCGCTTCCGGGTCTTCGGGTAGGCCAGATCGCCGGGATATTCCGAGACCCATTGGGACATGACATTGAGCAGTCGGAGCTGGTCGGCAATGCGCGTGAGCTGGTCCTCGATGTGCTTCTCATTCCACTCAAAGCGTTGGATCAAGGCGTGCAGCAACGTGGCGGGGGCGGCGAATTTGCGGTAGAGACACAGGAAGATGGAGGCGAATTTCGAGTCCTGCTTCGACATGGGTTGCGCGACCAGCCGGTCCACCAGCTCGTCGAAGGTGGACCCCGCGTCGAGCGACGACCCCTCGCTGGACGCCTTATCCTTGATCCCGGGGCTCGACGGGGCGCTGCGCGACCCGTCCACGCCGTCGTCCATGTCCAGAAAACTGTTAAAGACGTCTGAGTTGATGGGGGAGAGATCGCCCGTCACGCTCGGCAGGCACGGATTCAGTCGGCCCCCCGACGGGGGTGTGAGTGGTCGCACCGGATGCGAATTGCTCCGGGCATATCGCGACCCTTGCGCATGGGAAGCCAGAGTGGGTGTGTTGGACGAGTCGGCGGGAAGACGGTCGACACCGTACCCATCGACTCCCGCGTGAAAGGTAGAGGAGGAAGTGGTGGTGATGGGGCCGCCAGCGGCTCCTCCTGTGAACAGGGCGGTGGGGGTCTCCGAGCTAGCACGACTGTGCGAGGATGGAGGGAGGGTGGGGGTATCGTCGGCGATGACACGGTCTGTGAGATAAGCGGATGGTCAGGTCGGTCGCATATAATGGTGAATGATAGCAAGGCAATATTATAATAAGTATGATCGGGGGGGGGAAATAAGTAAACAGCGGGATAGGTGGTAGGTGAGGGTAGGTCGATTTGGGATCCAGCACAACGGAACGCAAGCCAGCGGGATTTATCTGTCCCTGGGCAAGTGTTTCGAGTTTCCACTTTCCATCCTGGGGATCGGCAAGGCGACGAGAGGGCACGCGAACGCTAACCTCAGACCGCGCCACCAACTAGCGTGAACGTGGTGGACCACCTAAGGGACGTTGTAGCCAAAGCCAGCTCTTTGCTCTTGGGAGCAGGATTGGCCTAATGGGGTCCTGAGTCCTCCAAGCCTGGAACCCTAGTACGGTCTCTGTATTGGTGGATACCATTTCGGCTTAGGAAGGTTGAATTCCTGCCGACTTGCAGTCTGTTTCTCGGGGATGGATTGGAGAAAGACACGGGGAAACAGCGGGGAATAAAAAGACAGCAACACATGTAAGAGAAAAAAAAAAAAAAAATTTAAGATCGAAAAGAAAGGAAAAAGGAAAAAAAAAACGAAACAGCATAAATAAAACTCACCTCCATATTTATGGCCGACCACCGACCGTAGTACCATCGCAATGCACACCTTCTGCGATCGCGGAGATACCGGCGACGTCCGTTGAATCTCGTAGTGGCCCAGAGCGGATTCGACGGGACCATCTGGGGTCTGTATATCGCATTTACTGGCCACCAACACAAACGGGAGTGGAGATGCGGCCAAAGTGTCTGCAGCAGTCAGCTTCACCCTCATGCCTGGAATAACTATTTATTTCCACTGGACAAGAGCTTCATACCGAGCAAATCTGTAATCCGGGACAGTCCTGCCGGCTGTGTGACGTCGTGAAGCACGAGGACGCCATCAATCGTAGGCGGATCGTCCTGATCCAGTCGCGGCCAAACAATCTCCCCTTGTGAGCCAATGTGGATTTCCTTCGTCCCAATCTCCAAAAGGCGGACCAGATAGACGGTCCCGTCCAATGACATCTTCTTGGTGGTGGATCGCGAGGACATGGGGAATCTCATATCGAGCGCGCTCTGGATAAATGTCGTTTTGCCGACGTGGTCCTGCCCGACAACGGCGATGGTAACATGGGGAAAACTCAGTTGCGGCGCCATCTATATTGGAGGAGCAATCCAAGTCAGCATGGCTGGTCTGGTGGGGGGAGGGGGGGAAGATGCTGCTCTGTAGAAGCATACCTCGTCCGCAGCAGGACCCGACAGGATCCCATTATCCCCCGCGGCCGGCGATGAAGCCTCCTCCTCGTGCACGGTCTGTCCAGCGATCTTCCCCATATCCGTCGTCATTTTCGACCCGGCAAGCGTGTACAGGCTACCCACCGGGGCGGAGGTAGTTCGGTTGAGGAAACCCGGCCGCGGCAAGGGAGCAGCATGGTCTGTGTCGCTGCTCCTGGGTCGATCCGGCTGAGGCGGCTGAAAAGTCATGTTGAAGTGATGATGTGTGGCGCGAACCAATGACCAGGGTCGCGGCGCAAGGAAAGGACCCGGTTGAGCAAACCAGGTGCGACAGCGCAATGTCCAACTGCTACGTCAGGAAGTGAGGCGGACACGACAGCTCATCCATTGTCGCTCGGAAGGTCAGTGGGAAATGAGATGATCGGGGCTCCGGTTTCCCGTCGCAATGGATTTGGTGACGCGGAGTCGAGACACGTGCGGCGGTCGAGTGCAGCGAACTGATTATAAGCCTATATTCTCTCTTCCTTGCTCATCCGGTCTCTTTCCCCCCTGGATATCACACAGCAGATGGTAAGTGATCGAACAGCTGGATAGAGGAGACGCAAATCAGCTCCAATAAAAAGCACGCCGAGACGGGGAAATAATTGAATGTCGGAGGTGAGTGGGGGAGAGGGGAATCTTACGAGAGCCTTGACCGTGCTGTCGATTAAAATTGCTTGGCTTTTTTTTTTTTTTCTATCTTTTGTTTCCTTCTCTTCCCTCTTTTTCTCCTCAAATCCGGAGTGGTGTGTGGACTAAGGAGGGGAGAGTTCACGCAAAAGTGGTTGTCGGCGTTCACTTGAACTTTAAGCGGGCAGAGAAGACGGAGACGGAGACGGAGCCGGGGGGAAAAAGAGACGGGGGCACAGACGGACAACCAAGCTACCTACAGATGGAGAATCAACATCAAGCTTGTCATGCAGATGAATTGCCAATCTTGCCCTTTCGTCCCATAGTTACCTGATCATTGATTTATCCTGTTTTTAATTCTAGTTATTTTAATTTTTTTTTATTTTCATCTGATATTATATTTAGAAACAGTCCGAAGATCCAAAATCCAATCGAGTTACAATGTCCGATTGAGCCGATACTAGTAGGTAGTCACCAGGAAGTAGTGTACGATGTCGTATGGCAGTCTGGGTACCTCTCAGATGCAGTTATGTCGTACCTCGTACCGTCACTAGTATCGAATCTCGACTAATAACAGCAGCTGGGGAGAAAGAATCCAAGAGAAAATAGAACAGCATCCTAGTCCTGTTCCATTCTTAGCGACCGAACGTGGTGGGCTGTTAATAACCAGGATGATCATTACTGGGGTCTTCAGTTGGCCAGTATCAAGTCCTTGTAATTCACTTAGCTTTTGCTTTCGAGGCTGGAACTATTGTCACAGGACGGAGCCAGAGTACAGAGTAATATCCATCAGACTCTGGCAGCCATGCACACCGTGTGTTGATCTATCAATCAATCCCTTACCGTGATCAAATAGAGGTGAGACCAGATGACGATCAGCCTTGACGAAATGTCAAAAAAAGAAATACCAGTAAACTTATGAAAGAAAGAAAAATAAATACAGAAAAGATGCATAATTGGCCCAACCTTTGAACGAGTCAGGAAGCCCAGCATTGGTTTGTCTGTGATGGGACTGGAACCCAGGAATGTGACTGATGTACGATAATGATCGCAGGCACGAGACGTCCTGATCTCATCGTGGCCTGAATCTGTACGCTGACGTCTGGATGGAGGGATACCTTGACATCTTGATAAGTCCATCGCATTTGGTAGATACCGACTGTACTCCGTATGTAGTAAACACGGTCAAGACCACCACGATCTGGGCTGTTGGTTGGCGCGTTTCGTCGATAATCTCATCAAATCGACTCGTAGTTCTTCAACTCGGTGGTCTTCCGTGTCTCCCCCGCCATTTCTGACTTCTGATTTGCTACTAAAGGTTGAGTTTGACCCTATCGCCAGATCCCTAGCCCTATTCCTTTGGCCTCCACCCTCCAGCTGGAAAGAGCTAGACAGGGACACTAGCTCTGACACTGGGTCAGCTTGTCAGCTGTGGGAAAAATTCCCATTGGAAAGATAGGCCCATAATAAATAACATTGATAATTGAAAAGATGAGATCGATGAAATAAATAAATAAAAGCTCGCTTAATTCGTATCTGTATGGACTATGGACTTAGTATCATATTGATCGTGTACTCCGTTTTTCCTTATACGGAGTAGTGAGTATAGAGTATCCGTAGATTCCGTACCGTCAATCGATTCTCCTGAGCTTTGAACACCGAGCCATATCTTGACCTAGGCTGGGCGTGAAGTCGTGGATAAGTCGACTTGGCCACACTAACATCCGCAGGCAACTCTACTCCGTTAGACTTACGGAGTAGTATGCACCTCAATTGCTGTGCCGTAATTGTTATTCGATCTGGCGACAAATGTCTGCAATTGTAATCCCAACTCAATAGTCAAGCCAACTGTAGTCAATTGAGATCAGCTTGACTCGTTCATGCAAAGGCTGTATATGTATAGATGAAGATAGTCATAAATAGCTACTCGCCAACATCTTGCGATCATTCCTTTGATCCAACTCCCCCAGTCAATCGGGCTAGTTGACAGCCATCAAACAACCCTCCAGTGAACTCGGCTTCATGTGTTCGAGGAAAAAGATGACCAGTCAATCATCCTCCAGGGGGGATTCTTCCCCTCCCCAGCCATGACAATCGGATGATCATCTATCGACTAACCCAGCTAATGCTGAGGACAGGCGACGATTAATGGGGCAAGAATCATACCCAGCCCGGTCGAGACTCACCGGCAGGTCCCCGACGCTTTTCTAGTTACTTGGTTCCCGTTTGTTAGCGCTCCTGGTGTATCGACCGTCTTTCTTGCAGCCCTTGAGTCCTTTGTCCATTGATAGGATGTTGGGTTTGGTTTTGATCTTTTTTGCTATGGATTTTTAAACAGTTTTTCTGGATCCCTTGGGCCAATCCGAGGCCGACTAAAGATGGTGCTATCGTTAGCCCCATGTCTTTCCTTTGTCTGAGACCGGCAACTGGAGCCCTAAAGGGCCCGTTCTCTACACCGAATATTCGTCCTAGCTTACTGTGGTCTTTCGCTATTCGATGCACGCCAAATCGTGCCCTGGTCTATTGGTGATCCATCGATTTTTGTGGCTCGCCAGCCTGCTTTTCCGAGACATTTTCTTCGTCGGACAGGGGTTGCTCGTCTACTGAGGAATCCAGTTGTCATCGTCCCGATTCTCATGCTGTCGTGGAGTTCTTCCTGGCCTATCTCATCCAAGCAATCGTTTCCACTAGAGGCCTTTCTCGGCGATATCAAGCCTGGGCCATATGGTCCCAAAAGTGTCGCTGTCACTCGCCTCCGTCCCCGCAAACATCCTTGGAAGGCTGAATGGGACGCCCCAAGGCCCCACCTCCCTTTCACACACCCTCCCCGGATGGAACCTGATCTTCTCCAATCACCAAAGTCATGAATCGAGCGAATCCTTCCGCGTTCTGTCCGATCTCCGATCCATCGTCACATCTTTCCCGGAGCTTTCTAACTTTGCCTAATCCGCGGTTGAATCCTTTTTCGCGAGTCCAGGGTCCTCGATTCCGGTGCGCTCCTCCTCCTCTGCCTCGCTGGCCAAATCCCCGCCCGCGACCTGCAAACTGCGGTGGCTCAATCCACTCTTCTTCAAGTGTTGTCTTGTAGATTTCTCGTAGCTCCTCGCGAAGCGAAGGATATCGGTCCAAGAGCTCTATGAGCTGGGCGGATGACCCTACTGCGGGCGGACAGACAGCATCAGCCTCGGCGCCGTGGCCGTTGACACTCTTCGACGGTTGTTGATCGTGGTTGGAGTCATCGGGCGAGTTCGGCGACGGGGCTTTCGGTGCACAGTAGATCTTATGCGATTGAGTGCAGGCCAGCGAACAACTAGACGAGAACCCGCAGTCAGTTACCTTGGTTCTTCTCCAACTCGACTGTGTTCCCCAACCAGTTTGGCTTGCACATACCTCATCAACCCACAGGTAGGACACCTGTATTTGGGAGATTCCAAACTGCAGACCTCGCATGTGCTAGACATCTTGCCGACCAGATCAGGAAAGATCTCGGATTGGATTGTGCCCACTGCGCGTCGAAGTACCTTAGAACTGCGCGGTCATCATGGTACAGCCAACCATTCCAGGTTTTCTTGCACTGGTGAAGGAAACTCTTGTAAAGCGGCGATCGGGCAGATCAAACAATTTTGTTCGAGGTACCTGGAGGATCGGAGGGAAAATAACGTTGCTACAGGTCTTGGCGAGAAGGGAAACCAAGTGCCGAGTCACGTGAGCTGTCAATCATTGCTGGCTGCCGTACCTTCTTTTCCTCAGAACTTCTACTTTGTATACTTTCACAATACTTTTCATGTATCAAGTCATGACACTAATAATTGGACAGGAAGCGATGGTTCTAATCCCAGCTAGATTCGCTATATATAAACAACGGTCCATCCAATAACCACAGGGATATACAGGCTCCGTGATTTGGCCCATATCGAGGCGGCAGTTCTACAATGGCGCATAGCTGGAAGGCATATGGTTCGTCAAAAGCACCATGCATGCAAAGTCTGTGAGAAAGCGAGGGAGCCCCATCCACAATTTTGTCAAGAATGTCTGGATCAGCGTCCGGCTCGCAGAAGCTCGTTCGTCAATCCGATCGATTCTAAAGAGCACAGCCGCGTCAGCAGCTTAGGATGGTGGCCTACCCCGCTTGAGCATCGACGCGGGGATTTGATCTCTGTCGTTCGGATGTGGGTATCTGTCTCATTTGCACCTGTGCACCTGTTGCTTAGTAGGACGAGCAACTCCTCTTTTCATACTTGGCAGGGTTTCTCTGGGGAAGGCCAACTTCTTAGCGGAAGGTCACTCCGCCTTGTTGGGCATTCTACTGGGGGGGGGGGGGGGGGGGGGGGGGGGATATCAAAGCGGCGGGCTGCTGAGAAAACACCGAATGCCGTGACAATGCCGTGACAATGCCGTGAAGATGTTTTATGGCCTAGTGCGACTCAGACGCAGTCTAGGAAGGGACATTCTATGTACCGAGGACTTCTAGGTATATGGTGCGACTAGCACTGCCAATACCCGCTATACTCTTCATATCGACCAATGTGCTCGTCGAATAACAAGGCCATCATCGTCAACTCTGTTCGCCACTGCACCTTGATCCTGACACGGCAGGTTGCTTTGTGACAGACTGTCGAACTCTGTTCAACCATGTGGGGCGAATAGGAATCAAGCGCCGAGTTGTTTAATGCATTAGCATAACAAGACTATATGTGTGTATACATATACAGCCATGGACTCTCATGCTAGCTCCATAGGGAACACCGAGTCTATTGCTTAGACAGCCGATGCGGAAGGACTGTGGCATCGAGGGGTATCCCTACTCTGCCTCAGACAGTGCTTGGATTATTCCCGACTGGAGAATCACTATACAATAGCCAATACTACCGTACATGGAATTGTTTGTCAGAACTAGATCGAGCCACTTGCGCTGTAAACATTGGTGATATGGGTGATATGGGTATGTACATGTATATATATCCCAACACGGTTCGATATACACTACATTTGGTCACTACATGCTGTCCATGTTAGCATAATCCACAGAAAATAATTCACCAGTTGAAGTTTCTCACTACACCATTCAATACACATATAATATCGACACTAACCGAAAAGAAGAACTAAGCATAAATGCAATGCCAAATCCAAATACACTGCCCCTTGACTGTATATCAAAACGCCTAATATGATTGGACTGGCAACTCTTGTATTTGTCAGCCGAGAATACCCGGAGATCACGTGGACCCATTGCGTCAGAGGTGCGCTAACCGGACAAAGTGCTTCTAGTCCCTTCTTGACATTTAACAATCTTTAAACACCAGAGATATACACACACCCATCTCTCGGACGACCATTTGAATATACACAATAATGTCTGTCAGCTCAACATCTGGAACCATGCTCAGGCGAACAGTCCTCGGCGCCAGACTGGGGATGCAGCCGCTGCGAGCTGGCGAAACTTCTTCCCGGGCAATCAGACCCGCGGTGTTCGGATCGTACAGGAGTGTCCATCGTTCGGCGCGGATGCCTGCCATCACGCCGTCAGAGGCTCGCCACCGGCCGACTCTCCGGCCTAACCACCAGTCTGTGTCGAGGGTCAACGGACCGTCGAACGCGAAGCGCACAATCTTCATCCAGACGGAGAACACCCCCAACCCGGATGTGAGTATCGGAACCCAAACCCTCTACGCTTTCATCTATGATATCGGATAAGCGCTGACATGTTGACAACAAACCACAGGCTTTGAAGTTCATTCCCAACCACCGCGTCCTGCCGGAAGGCTTTCCGACATCGTTCCTCGAGTATCTTTCTCCGCGGTCGACCCTCGCCCCGCCGCATCCCTCGCCGCTGGCGGCCAACCTGCTGAACGTCGACGGCGTCTCGTCGGTCTTTTACGGGGCAGACTTCATCACCGTGACCAAGTCCAGTGATGCGAACTGGGCGCACATCAAGCCGGATGTGTTCAGTCTGATCACGCAGACGGTGACGACCGGCGAGCCCATCGTCAACACGGTGGCCAAGACCGGCGAGCATGCGCAAGAGGGTGGCGAGGAGGAGTCGCTCAGCTTCAACGAGGAGGACGATGAGGTCATCGCCATGATTAAGGAGCTGCTGGAGACGCGGATCCGTCCTGCCATCCAGGAGGACGGTGGCGACATCGAGCTCCGCGGGTTCGAGAACGGGATCGTCATGCTGAAGCTGCGTGGTGCTTGCCGTACTTGCGATTCCAGCACTGTTACCTTGCGCAATGGTATTGAGTCCATGCTGATGCATTATGTAAGTCTTTCTCACCTTGCCTCCCTTGCTGAGGGGCATGATCAAGTAGCAACCGCGGCTGACAATGTTTTCCCACAGATCGAAGAAGTACGAGGCGTCGAGCAGGTAATGGACCAAGAAGAGGAGGTGTCCATGCACGAGTTCGCCAAGTTCGAGGAGAAGCTGCGCCAGCAGAAGGGACCCGAGGCGACAGCCAGCGGTGGTGCGATTGACGCGACATCTTGAAAAGCAATCTCTGTTCTTTCCTTATTGACTTCTTTCTTGTGTATTATTGAGTCTGGTGCGGACTTATCCTGACTGATGCAGTTCACCTTCTGCCAGCTGTATAGTGGATAAAAAATAATTTAGAACCGGTAGAGGAATACCTATGATATATCAAGTATATAAACACCGTCTTCTCCATCCATAGCAAGGTAAAACCAAAGATATGGCATGACATGACATGACATGACAGCCTTCGGGATCTCCCCGTCCACTACTCCATAGCACCTAGCCCAGTAGTAGTGGTAGTAGTACTTTGTTGCCTGGGGCAGGGCACGCACCGCTCCACTATAGCCCCTAGTAAAAACCACTCACTGCTAGACACTACGGAGCGCACCGGTGTAGACTGTAGGCTAACCGGGTATGACTGCTCCGGGTCAATCAGCTAGGAATGAATTGTACCTACCAATCCGATTCACTGTATATGTCACTAAGCAGGGGTAGGTAGGGAATGGTCTGGTCACTACCGGATGCTAACTATGCAGTGAGCTTCTCCACTCTATGGAGCTGTTTATTTCTTACTTGATGCTCCGTAGTAGCCTATAAAGTGCAGCACTGTGGACTCAGTATATTATTTGGGTACCTGGTAGCCAAGGTAAGGCAGTGTAGTGACAAGTATGATAGGTGTGTATGTATGGTATGGTATGGGGCGGCGTGGCGTGGCATGTTATGTCATGGCATGTCATGTCAGTCAAAGCGACCGGAGCTCATTCCCACAACGTCAACTGATTCTCCTTTCCTAGAATCTTTGGTTGAGAAGTCTGGTTGATTTACTTTCTTTCAGTCTGGGTGGCCCGGAGCTTTTCCCCGAGACGTCCTTTCCTTTGTTACTTCCTTTTCTTCCCTTGCCTTTCCTCTGTGGGAGGGAGAAAGAAAGAAAGAAAGAAAGTCAAAGTGAAAGTCATGGCGTAAGGAGGTTTTTTCCTTTCAACTTACTCTTGGCTTGAATGAAAAAGAACAATCTGGACCATTTATGTAATTAATTAATACCTGATGTATTCCGCCGGGACCTATAGTACATATAATACCGTACCTAGTATTTACTATCAAGCTAAGAGTTAGCTCGTCTCCGCACTATGAACCCGTTTGATGACGATGGGCCTGTTGCTTGCTCTCTCTGTCTTGTCTTTTCCCTTTTGATTGCTTCCCCGCAATGTTGTCTAGTTACTTACTCCATACATTGTAGCTACTAACTAATAGCTAGGGATTCATGTGCCTGTTAAGTAATGCTCTAGTACCTGGTGGGCTCCAGTCCATCAACTGATCCACTGTAACTGAACTTTTGTTCCTTTCCGAGGATTGACCCTCCGAGGGTAACATGGATCACGACACTATGACGTCTACACCTTGTATTCCGAGGAGAAATTAGGATGAATGAAAGGAAGAGAGTGAGTGCTGGTTTGTGGTTGCGCCACATTGTTTCCTCAACTTGTCCGTTCTGAGTGGATTATATTATATTATTCACTACTGATACCTACTTCCCTACTCTACTCCTCTGATTATATTATGAATTTATTATGCTAAATCACCAGTTAAATAGTCACCTCATGGGTCATTAGTTCTATTTTACTATACTATGAACTAGTGATAATACTATTATGCATGTACTTCCACCCGAGCAGCCGACCACGATCTTCCCCTCTCTCCGCATCTTGGAACGTCCGAGCTCCCTGCTAGTCTGAGGGGGAAAAAACCTCCAAGAGTGTACTACAAAGTAAGAGAGGAGAAAGAAAGAAAGGAGGGGTTGATGAGGGATTGGATCCCTGGTTTCCTCGATGCACGTCGGACGGATGAGGTTAATCCGGGGTAGGTGGGAAGTGGTCTCGTCCAATCGGCTCTATATCGACTTTGGTCTGTGCCGTCCGTGATTGATTCATTTTTTGAATTTGAATTTTTGGTCCTTGGGTATTTGTTGGGATAACATTATAGGAGAAGATTCATGATTATTATAATATTAGAAAAACAAGTATAATAATGATAATCATCATCATCATCATCATAATAATAACGGTACTACTCTACCAATTACCATAGGCCAGTCAGAACCCCGGACGATCGTCGACCTGGTGCCTCCACCGTGACCCACTGCGAAGCGTTCCATCGGCCGTTCCTATCCTTTTATTTCATAAAACCAAATCATCAAGTGGAAATATAGAATATCATAAGAATGATAATGAGATCAAATGAAGTAGAATAGAATCAAACCAAATCAATGATCAAAGATGGAATCAAAAAGGATACTTGCCAACATGTACATTACATGGCGCATGCACATGCACCACATCAGATCAATCAATCGAATGAATGGTCCTGATGCGATGGATGCTTCGGATCGAGGATTGTCCATTTGACTGAATGGAAGGGATCTTCTAGAGATTGCTTGAAAAAGAATTATGATTCTCTATTCTGATTGCCATTTTAGAATCCATCGATCATCCAGGGAGAAAGAATGTCCAGTAGATCTGATGAAGTATCTAGACTCCCGTCGATTTACCCCGCCCTTCGTTAGTCCTCCGTCTCGACTGTCAGTCATCCGTGGTGACGATGGATAACCCATTCCCCTCTCTTGGTTGATTTGATTGATTTATGAATTCCCATTCCCAATCCTAGATCCTTACCCAGCCAAAGAGAGCGACAGTAAGGAAGACAGAGGGAAACAGAAAAAAAAAAAAAGAGAGTGAAGATTTGCGCCACTGCTAGTCAACCCGTGGCTCGTTCCTTTCCGACTCCTCCTTTCCCACCAGTCACTGTCCACTGTCCACTCGGCGCCCCGTTCCACTTCCAGCCAGAGCTCTCCAGTCTTCCTCTAGCTCGACTAAGTAAGTTGCTCTCTCTCTACAGTCTCTTATTACTTTTAACATCCTCTGGTCTGATTTCCTTCCATTTCATTTCTTCCCCCCCCATCCTCTTCCATCCAATCTACCGACGTCCATCGTCGATTACTTCACTGTACAACAGCCTCTTCTTTCCTCTCACTTCCCCTTTCCCTCCTTCGTGCCATCCTAAAGATTAACCCCAGAAAAAAGGGAATCCTCTCTTCACTGACATCATTTTGTCTTTTCCCCCTTCTTCACCATCCTGCGTATTCTCGCTTCTGAATAATCCGTCCCTGACGGTTCTCTGTCTAAACCGTTCACGTGGTTGCGCCCTAGGGTCTCTTTCGCATTGACGGGCCCATCGAACAGCGTCGCAACCCGTCACATCAGCCAATACCGCATTGGCGAATTTCCAACGCACCTTGCTCTTCGCATCGACATCCCCTCCTTCTTCTCACATCGTTGGTGAAAAGAAGAGACAATAAAAATTACAAAATAAATAAATAAAAAAAAAAAAGATAAAAGAGGCAAGAAAAAGAAAAAGATCAAGAAATATTCGAAAAGGCAAGAAAAGATCCTACAAGAGAAAAAAGAAAGAAGAAGGCTGTACCACCATCCACTCGATTATCGTCCGATCGTTTCGCCGCGTCTTCCTGTCCTTCCAGCGAGCGACGCTTCGCTCTCCTTCAATTTGCGCTCGTTCGCCTCAAAATGCGCCGCTCTTGACGAGATCGACCGACCCATAAATACCGGTGACTGCTTGCTTCCCGAACGTCATTCGTCTTGTCACGCCACCTTACCCGCAACCCTCGCTCGTCCCCGATTACCATCGGATGCGACCATAGAGCTCCCCATCACCTTTTTTTTTTGTCGCCGTTTCCACGCAGAGAAATCGACGCGGCGTGGGGATATCATACCATTTGATCGGGGCTTCAAAGAACAAGGGACATCAGGCCGGAGACCTTTACCTAGACGGACATAGCGGGTCAGAGGGGCTCTTGGCTTGTTTGATGGAAGCCTGTTCACAACCATCTGTCTCGATTGCTTCGCCTGCGACCATTTCGCATTTCGCTCTCCTTCGCGTTTCTACCTCCGGAGTGTCTCGTCGCCAGACCCCCGAAGCCTGGTCGCTTCTCTCGGGCGCGAATCGACCTTCGCACCGGCCACATTCAATTTGACTGAAAGACTGGGGTTCTTGTTTGGGTTTGGATAGATTATAAAAGTTTCCCTTTGCTTTATCACTAGATTGGTAAGTTCTCTCGGGCGGTGGTGACGGGACCGACCACTGACTAAAGGGCTGCTGCAGACGCGATCACGACTTCGGCTGTTTTTATTTCGAGATCTGTTTCCAATATCTGCGCTATCACATCGGATCCTGGTTTGATCTGTGATTGTAATCTTCTACAGGGTATGTGAAGAGGTCTCGTTTACCCCGCGTGGTCTTACACTGTTCCTTGGTACCTGTTTGCCACTTTTCTTTGTCCTGGTGTTGCAGCATTGGTCGAAGAGTGTCTGGGTGGATTCATACTTCCCTTATTTCTTGATCGGAGTGGGAACCGGTGGGATCGGATCGTCATATCGACTGGGTTCGGCCCAGTCAGAGGCTCCTTATCACTTGGCTATATGTGTCGCTCGCCGTTTCCATATTTGTTACCGCTCAAGCCCGTGCCTCCTGCTTCTGCGATCTCAACTGATATCCAGGCGCAAGGAGTGTAATTCAGCTGCCCACCTGTTTACATCTTTTTCCCTTATTTGAATTTCTATCACTCCGTCTATGACGCTAACCACTCATTCCTACACCAGGTGACTGCGACGCAGACTGAGCTCGAAGCTGCTTTCATCCTTACCCCGTTCCAGTGAATATCGTGCTGGACGGGCTTAACCATCGACGTGGTGATCAAATAGAAACATTCCCTACTTTCACTCGTCCAGACTGACGTCATTTATTCCCACCCAACATCGGTAAGTGGACTGACTGCTCGACGTGATATGTGTCGCCCTTGCCTGGCCTAGCCCCTTTGGCTTGCGAGTGGGTCAGGAATTCAGTCACTGCATGCCTCAACAACGGCAACGTCACGCCTTTTATTGGATAGTCGACTGATAGCTGGATCTAGTCTCTCAATATATCTTCCTGTCACGCAATCTGCGAGGTACAGGCTAATCTGTCACTCAAAACAACCATGGCTGCGCCGCCCAGCAAGTCTACCCAGGCTCCCAAGCCTATCACCCCCTCGTCGACTGCGAGCAATGCATCCGCTAGGCTGGAGAAGTCCCACCCGGGTGTTCGTCGCTCCACTCCGGATTCCGACGCCCTGGCATCGTCTGACGATGATGGAGATCATTCGCAACTCGCGTCGTCCTCGATGAACGTGCCTCCACCGAAGCCTGCGCGTCGTACCTCGTGGCTGAATGAAATCCCGGCCAACCCCCCTCGCAAGGCCTCGCTGCCGGCCACGGGACCGCTGTCGTCCGGTGCTTCGAACCCGACGAGCCCAGCGACCGATCAGACCGGTTGGCCCACGAACACGACCCCCGCCATGGTCAGCTCGATCGGTTGGAACCATGTTGGAAGCGGCTCGTCGCCGTGGGGCACTGGCATCTGGAACACCGAGTCGCGCAAAGAACCCCCGCCCCGGCTGGCTGAGATCATTCCTTCGCCAACCATGACCAACCCCCCCGCGGCGGGCAACTACTTCAACGAGGAGCTGTTGAGCCCGACCGCCCGCACGGCGTCGGGCGATTCGGCTATTCCGTTTTCCATCCCCCTCCACCCGACACCCAAGACCTACCGTTCGCAGTCATATTCGGTCGGCCAGCTCGACCCGGAATTCCTCAACTTGGTGTCCACCAAATCAGCCACCCAGCCCCAGCCTCAGCCTCAACCCCAACCCCATAATCAGCCCCAACCCCAGCACCCCAGCGGTCGACCCCGGAATGGCCAGTTCTCCGCCCTCCAACATCGCTCGTCTCGACCGAGTCTGCTAGGGGAGCTCGGCCACGACCCCGCGACGCTGGGTCGCGTGCGCGAGGACGAGGACGATGGCGGAAGCCCCAGCGGATCGGACCGGAGCTCCAACCACTATACCATGAGCCAGGCCCGTACCATCGAGCAGCTATCCCGGGAGAACGCGCTCTTGCGACAGGCCGCGGGGCAGTTGGACAGCGGTGGTATGTCGTCTGCCGCAGCGACGAGTGGTTATGTCGCCGGCCCCAATGCCGGCATCCACAACATCCATCGCATCCGTGGGAGCGTCCCCGAAGAGACCGATCTGGCGGTGGAGGATTTGGACGAGTTGGGGGATATCCCTGGCTACAGCAATATCCACAGCAACACCCGGAGGCGCTTCTCGGAGCACTCTGCCAACCTGGAGAGGCAGCTCCCAGCATTCGCACCCCTCGGAAACCGCGCTCTGGAGAATATGCGCAAGGCCCACTGGCAGACGTCCTTGGACTTCGGAGGCGTGGCCGATATTCCCCAGAGTCGACGGCACTCGTTTGCCGACATCCCGATCCGCCACACCTCCGTCTCTGGCGAGTCCCAAGCGCCCCCGGGCCCGAGACCGGGGATGGGGGACCGGGACGATGGCTTTGCCGGCATGGGGGAGAATCCCCTGTCGAGCGCACAGGTCCAGAACCGTGAGTATCAACGCTTCCATGTGGCCCCTCTCCCGGAGGAGCATGAATTGGAGACGGAATATTTACGAGCTCGTCGGTTTGCAGAGTCTTATTTTGCTCGTGACCACGCTCTCCGCGCGGCCGACGGACCCGCCGCCGTACCCACCTCCCTCCACCAGGCCTATGCCATGCCCTACGGCCGGCACCAACCGGGGTTGGGCCACCCGCACCATAACCAACTCCTGTACATCGTGACCTTCAAATGCCACCGCGCGGACGTTTTCTACATCCAAGAAGATACGGGTCTCCAGGTGAAGCAGGGCGATCTGGTCATTGTCGAAGCCGATCGCGGGACGGACCTGGGGACCATCCAACATGCCAACATTTCGATGCAGAAGGCCCGTGAACTGAAGCAGCAGTACGCTGAAGAACATTATAAATGGTTGATGATGTTTTCTCGGCAGGGCCAGAGTAACGGAAGTCCTGGTGCCGCCAACGCTCCGGGCGCCGGCGCCGGCGGTAGTGTCCCCAGCTTGAGCGGCAGGAGTGCCATTGGCGGCATGGGACCCCATGGTCCCCATGCGGCGCAGGATACCGTGGCCGATATCAAGCCAAAGCTGATCAAGCGACTGGCGCAGAATCACGAGATCCTGACGTTGCGCGACAAAGAGGGCAACGAAGCCAAGGCGAAGCGCATCTGTCAGCAAAAGGTCGTGGAGCACCGACTCAACATGGAGATTCTCGATGCGGAGTTCCAGATGTAAGTTTGCAGCAATCTCCCAGCCTCTGACGCGATGTTTCTATGCTAATCCTCGATCGCTTGACAGGGACTGGAAGAAGCTTACTTTCTACTACTTTGCGGATTCCTACATCAATTTCAACGCGCTCGTGACCGATCTGTTCAAGATCTACAAGACCAGAATCTGGATGTCGGCCATCAATCCGGCGTCCTTTGTCACTCCACCCTCCGCAGGTCTGCAGCCGAACCCGTTATATACCCCGGAGGCGCAAACAGAGCGTCCCCACCCTCATGAGGGTCGCGCCTATGGTCACGCCAGAGACGGTGTCGATGCCGGACGAGAGGGCGGTGCCAGCCAGATGGGCATGATGCGGAACGCCTACGTGGATTCGTATCAGCCGTTTGGCCACAGCCCTCGGCAGCCGGAGCCCGGACTGGGAGGACTTGCGTCTGCAGACCCTTTCTCTCCACCCGCATACAACCCGAACGCCTACGGTGGCTTAGACTCGAGCTATGGCGATTATGCCGGTCCCAACGGCCCCAGCCCTGGCCCTTCACGTCTCCACCCCACGGCGGGGGATTGGACCAGTCGATTCCAAGGATTATCCCTGGGGTCTTGAGCTGATCCTATGACCTATGACACCTTGTGACACACGACGTTGTACCGTGTGCTACAACACGATCGCCAGTTTTCATTTCTTTCTGTTTCTTATTGTTCGGAAATAATACACTTTCGTTTTCAAAGACCGTCTCCCATCGTTCAGGATGCGGTTTGTACTCAGTTCTCTTCTCTTCTCTTCTTTGATGTGGTACTCGATTGCCCGGTGTTTTTGCTTGTTTTGTTTCCTTTCTGTGATGTGCTTTTTTTTACAAGAGACTAGAAATCATGTGCAACGGTTCTTAACACAGAGATTGACGATCCATCGCTAGCTGCTGATACCTAATAGACTTTCAGTTTTATGACATGATGGCTGGGTTGTGGAGAGATCTGCTTCATTTCCTCTTTCCTCATTTACCTTTTTATTATCTATTACGTTATTTTCTCCTTGGTCTGGGGGACTACTACACCAGTGGATCAATTGAAAGCAGGCCCATCTCTTCATCCAAGCCATTCTTTCCGCTCCTTCGATTCCTACAGTGTATTAATTTCTGTCTTTAACGGGTTTATCTGGCTGTTACCGTGATTGTTCTTCTTCCACCGTCGCTTTTGCTTGTTTGCTTTGCTTTGCTCTTTTGGCGGGGGTCGGGTTCAAGTACACGAGCAGTTTTATTTTATTTTATTTGTATTTTCTTTTGACTTTCTTCGATGATTCAAATTTGCTTTGCTTGTTTTTTTAAATTTTTTTTATAGTTTTTTTAGATCAGAAATGAAGACTGAGATTAGATTGATTTTGAGATGACCCTGGTTATTTTTTGAATGAGTGGAAATACTATCAAGTCTTTCTCCACTGGGAAGTACTGCATTAGAGGGCGATACTATCGGCTCTTATCATTGGGACGTGCTTGCCTTGTAGCCTGAGCAGATGTGCTGGTGTGCTTGCCTGAGCATATTTGCCTTGTGGCCTGAGCGGATTGCCAAGAAACAAACCAAGCAAATAAACAAACAGAACAAACCATTTTAGAAGAAAAAAAAATGAAGGGTTGACAGCCTGAGGCACCAGTAAGATTGACTGCGCTTGATTGGTCAAGAACGGCAGAAGCTCGCTAATTTGCTTAGTGTCCCACACACAACCTCCGTCGACCAGATCCGCTCATTCCTCCAAACTTTTACACCTGCGAGTATTCGACGACAAACCGACGACCAGCCACGCCGACAAGGTATGCTCCTACTCTGTGCTTTACCATCCTGAGAATATGCGAATGCAAATTCCTGGGATTGTGTGAAGATATTGCAAATTGGATCGTATCTGATAAACTAACGGTTGATCAAGATGGGTGCCCTCAAGTACGTCGAAGAGATCCAGAAGAAGAAGCAGTCCGATGTGATTCGCTTCCTGCTGCGTGTCCGTTGCTGGGAGGTGAGAACTCCCCTTTCCTACTCGATTGCCTAACGTCCCGCCGGGGTCGCTCGTGTGCTACGCCATTAGGAGAATATTTTGCGCCTGAGAATCGAGAGAAGATTTTTTTGACCGGGCGACAAAACAAACCTGTTTTGAAAATATTTTTTCTTTTGAAATACGCCGGCGGATGATAAATGGATGTGGCACACAAGAGGCTCTGGCCCGTACGGGGGGCTTTTCGTGTGTCTTGCTATACACTCGTTGAACTTTGCTGAGAGTGCATCAATATAGCTCCGTCAACTGAACGCTATCCACCGCGCTTCGCGTCCTTCGCGCCCTGACAAGGCTCGTCGTCTCGGTTACAAGGCCAAGCAGGGCTATGTCGTCTACCGTATCCGTGTCCGTCGCGGTGGCCGCAAGAAGCCCGTCGCCAAGGGTGCCACTTACGGTATATTTCTCTTTCCAGTTTTTTTTTTTTTTCTTTCAAAGACTAACTCCATACAGGCAAGCCCACCAACCAGGGTGTCAACCAGCTCAAGTACCAGCGTGCTCTGAGCGCCACCGCTGAGGAGCGTGTCGGCCGTCGCTGCGCCAACTTGCGTGTCCTGAACTCCTACTGGATCAACCAGGACTCGACCTACAAGTATTTCGAGGTCATCCTCGTCGACCCCCAGCACAAGGCCATCCGCCGGGATGCCCGCATCAACTGGATCTGCAACGCGGTCCACAAGGTTAGTTTTGATTCCACCTTGAGAAATGATAGGATGAAGGGTCTAACTCCTTCTAGCACCGCGAGGCCCGTGGTCTCACCTCCAGCGGCAAGAAGTCGCGTGGTATCAACAAGGGCCACCGCTACAACAACACCCGCGCCGGTCGTCGCCACACCTGGAAGCGCCAGAACACCCAGTCCTACTGGAGATACCGTTAGGTGTAGATGGGTGGAGTTGGGGGAAAAGTATGATCTCTTGGCGGATGTTTCTATATCCATCACGACTCGCTTCTTCTCTCTGCCGGGGGGCGAGCTTAATGCAACAGATCCCTTCGGATTGGATGCTAGCAAAAAACTTCCTCTTCTAATTTTTCTTCAATCGAGGAGCGGACCAGCTTTCTCGGGTTTCCTAACGAAGTATGACGACTTTATTTTCTTCCCTGCACCTTGTAGACACTAGACGTGTAGCTCGTCGATTTTGGTAGGAGATGGAACCCTACCGTTAGATATTTACAGGGTGTATCCGTATTGAGAAAGACAATGAAACCTCAATGAAGGGCCAGAGTTGGGTCTAGACTTGCCGTCTTGAACCACGTACCAACCACAAAGAATAGAATCAAGGGAAATAATCCATCGCCGGTTTAGGATGCAAAGGTGGTATCCACCTGGGTGTCATCCTGTCATGTCACATTGAGGGAATCTGCTGGTCTTCATTCTTTCGATTCTTTCGACTTCGGGTAGGGCGTGAAGGCGGTGAGAGGAATTTGCTTACTTTACCTTGACTGTATTGAGTGACGTATGTTGAGTATTACTCTGACTATTACTGCGATTCCTGTTGACTATTAATCTGTTCTATATATAGGTGGATCAGATGAGAGATATAGTTCAGCTTTGATTTGAGCATATCTTAACCTGAAATCAGTCGGTGGGTGTTCTCTGAGAACAGCTTGGATGTTACATTATATGATCCCACTCTGTGATCTATCTTCGACTAAAGCATCAACAACTGGAACTATTCACTAGTAGGTACAGTTACGATGTCAATCGGATGACTGATCGGGCTAAACTTCTCTCAACATCCCCACATCGTCCAACTTCCTCTTCTTGGCTGGAAACGAACGAACGAACTAAACGCTCTGGGTCTGGGTCCAGTTTCCCTTAATAATTCGGCAGGATCCGGTTGGACCTGAACCTGAACCTGAACCTAGGAACATCTCTACGGCGCCTACCATTGTTCTTCTTCCCTTGAACCTTACCATCCCCCATCCCCCATCCCCCATCCCCCCACCGCATCGATCCTCCAACCTTCAAAGAAACCAACCGCGGAGCATTCAGTCGGTGGGATCAAATGCGCCCCCTATGCCGTTGCGCGCCACGCCCAACCACCCCTCCCACCCTCCTCCACCTCCACCACCACCCGCCGTCCGCGCCGGTCCCTCCACCACCATCCCATCGCTCATGAACGGCACCCCCCCAATCACCTCCCCCCCACGCCACGGAGGCCACTCCCGTTCCATCAGCCACCCATTCCCAGCCATCGGCAACAAACGCCGTAACCGTTCGCAGAAGCAGGACTTCTTGGACTCCGACGACGACGACGATGATGACAGTGATCATGTGACGTATCTGCCGCTGCCGGACTCCCTCGCGTCGCTGTCGACGAGCCCGCACAAGGGCCTTCCGCGTCCCTCGCCGGCCGAGGACTTGACGTCGGGTAGGTGTATGACGTGTAATTCGACCGTGCGCTGGCCGAAGCATTTGAAGGTCTTTCGCTGTACGGAGTGCTTGACTGTTAATGATTTGGAGCCTTGGAGGGAGTCGGTGGAGGCAAATCATGGAGGTAGTAACACTAAGGATGGGAGGGGGACGGCTCCGTCGATTGCGCGGAAAGGTATGTACTCTCTCTACTGTTTGGATTGGCCGTACTATACTTCTGTCGTATCTGTTGTGTCCCGTCATACTGACTCCCGTATAGCTCTCCCGGTGTCGATCGAACGCACGCGAAGCTTACTAGACGGCTGTCTGTCGGCCTATCTTCGTCAACTGCTGGAACCCCCCGGTCCGCGACCCGGTCCACCAGCTCCACGCGCGGATAAACACCTTGCGATGGGCCAGGATGAGAATCTGTCGCGGTCCCCGAACCAGTCGTCCTACCTGTCTGAGCCCCGGCGGCCCGCAGACCCGAGAAGTCGCAGCGCGTCTGCGTCCAGCCGTCCGGGGAAGCCGGATGGGATGGGCGGGGCTGCCAACTATATGAAACCTCTACCTCCTCCGCCGATTCATCACGGGGAAGGGCGGGACTCGCAAATGAGGAGTCGGGACGCGCAGAACGCACCCAAGTCGGAACGCCCGCTCCGGGGGCCTAGTCGTCCTCCCGAGTCCGATCCCGCAGACCGCCAGATGAGACGTCCGTATATCTTTAGGGCCCTGGAGGAGTACATCATCTCCCATTTCAAGGGATCGGATTACTTGAACGCCTCGTTCACCACCGGCCAGCATGTGCCGCGGGCGGCCAGCGAGAGCGCCCCTCCCAGACCAAAAGGAGAGTCGGGTGGTGCGCCGGCCCACGCGCATCCCTCGGTCGAACCCGATCCAAAGACGCTTCTTGTTGGGAATCTTGCGGAGAACTCCACGTGGTGGACACCCGACGCCAACGGAGGCGCCGGCCACGGCCATCCCCCGGCGAAAGATAAGGGCCCCGCTACCCCCTCCCGGGCGGTCAACTCCCGCTCGCCTCGGATCAACTGGGGAGAACTCGCGCACTGGTACCACCTGACCGTGACGGCCGGATCGTCGTGGGTGGAGAAGTGGAGCGCGATGCAGCCCGACGAGGTGCGAAGCGAAGAGGATTACGCGAAGGCGCGGAGATGGGACGCGGTCGACCTGAGCGTGGTGGACCGGGAAGTCACCGAGTCGCGTCTGCACCTGCACCGGGCGCTTCTCAAGGCCACGGAGAACCTGCTCAAACGCCCGCGACGGCCGCTGCGCAAGCCAGAGGATACCAGGTTCCTCCTGATCTTACTGGCGAACCCGTTGATATACCCCTCCAACCCATCGCTGGCGTTACACACGACGCCTCGCGGGGACACCAGGCCCATCGATCCCCGCGATCCTAGCCAGCGAGTGACGCCGCGCGACATCAAGTCGCCGCCGACTAGACACCGCAGCGGCGGCCCGGGACATCACTCGGGAATCGTCAAGCGGATATTGGGTCTCCTAGCCAACCTGCCGAATGACTGCCACCTTTATCTCATCTCGTGGTTTTCGCGCCTCCCCGTCTCGCAATTCGAGAAGATCGTCGACCTGGTTGGTGGGTTCGTGACCTACCGCCTGACACGCCAACATGGACGGAAGCGGAGTCAGACCACGAACGAAGACAACAGTCTAGTCCCCAGCTTCTCAAGCGCCGCGGGGAACACCGCAGCCGAGTTGCACGCCGCGATCAACGGGTGGGGTCCCAGCAAGAAGAACAACGACAAGCGAGACCAGCCGGTAGTCTACAGCGACGACTGGCAGGTCCGGGCCGCGGCACGGGTAATGTCGCTGCTCTTCACGGCGAACAACTCGAGCGTGCATCGCAAAGCGGACGGGCCTCTAGGCGCGGCAGCAGGCTCGAGCAAAAACCAGCCCAGCCGGCGGGGCCACATGATCCCTATCAGCTCTTTCTACAACACGCTCCTGGACTACAGCGACCTCGTGGCGGATTTTGAAGCGTGGGAATCTAAGACGTCCAAGTTCTCCTTCTGCCAGTACCCGTTCTTCCTCAGCATCTGGGCCAAGATCCACATCATGGAGCACGACGCTCGTCGGCAGATGGAGGTCAAAGCGCGCGAGGCGTTTTTCAATAGTATCATGAGTCGTAAGGCGGTTAGTCAGTACCTCGTGCTGAAGGTGCGGCGTGACTGTCTGGTGGAGGACAGTCTGCGGGGGGTGAGCGAGGTGGTCGGCTCCAGTCAGGAGGAGACGAAGAAGGGGCTGCGGATTGAATTTGTGGGTGAAGAGGGAATTGACGCGGGGGGACTTCGCAAGGAGTGGTTCTTGCTGCTTGTGCGGGAGATATTCGATCCTTATCATGGTGGGTTTTTTTTTTATTTTTTACCTGCGTTCTTCATTCTTGTCCGGGGAATGACCTGATCAATGTACTAATCTATGAGCAGGACTCTTCCTCTACGACGAAGACTCGCGCTTCTGCTACTTCAACCCCTACTGCTTCGAATCCTCCGAGCAGTTCTTCTTGGTGGGCGTGCTGCTGGGGCTAGCGATCTACAACTCGACAATCCTAGACATCGCCCTCCCACCGTTCGCATTCAAGAAGTTGTTAGCCGCAGCGCCGCAGACCAGCGGACCGCATTCATCGACAACACGATCACCCTACAAATGCAGCCTAGACGACCTAGCCGAGTACCGCCCCGCCCTCGCTAAGGGCCTCCGCGGCCTCCTAGACTTCGAAGGCGACGTCCGCGAAACATTCTGCTACGACTTCGTCGCGCACGTCGACCGCTACGGCGAGGTCGTCCCCGTGCCCCTCTGCGCAGGGGGCGAAAACCGCCCCGTCACAAACGCCAACCGCCGCGAGTTCGTCGACCTCTACGTGCACCTCATGCTCGACACAGCCGTCACGCGCCAATTCGAGCCCTTCAAACGCGGCTTCTTCACCGTCTGCGGCGGCAACGCGCTCTCGCTCTTCCGCCCCGAGGAAATCGAACTCCTCGTCCGCGGCTCCGACGAACCCCTCGACGTAGCCTCGCTCAAAGCAGTCGCCACCTACGATAACTGGCCCGACCCACGCCCCGAGTCGACCCCGACTGTGCGCTGGTTCTGGGATATCTTCGAGACGTCGCGGCCCGCCGCGCAGCGTCAGATTCTGTCGTTCATCACGGGTAGTGATCGGATTCCGGCGATGGGGGCGACGAGTTTGACCATTAGGGTGTCGTGTTTGGGAGACGATACGGCGCGGTATCCGACTGCTAGGACGTGCTTTAATATGTTGGGACTGTATCGGTATCGCTCGAGGGGGGAGCTGGAGGGGAAGTTGTGGGAGGCGGTTGTTTGTAGTGAAGGCTTTGGGTTGAAGTAGTTTTCTTGCTTTATTGTTTGATGGATCTTCCTTTCTTGTTATTGAGTGAGTGAGTGAGTGGGTGAGTGAGCGATTGTTGAGAAACCACAGGCTGGTTGGCTGCCATGGTGTATACAGTCGGTCACTTTGCGTTGTCTTTGTCTTGTTTTGTCGGTTGGTATACGGTATAGAGGCATTCATAGAAGCGTTCACTATCTTTATTATATTGGATGAATGGGAATATCATTATATCTACCGTACTTACCGAAACTAGACAGAGAGATGGTAGCGACAGGATGTCAGAGTAGATATGCATCCATCCATCTACCGGCGATACTACAGTTGGTTGGTTAGTAGTAGTCGCGGGAATGATGGTGGTGGATGATGTAGCGATGAGGTAGGGAGTTTCGTTCATTCGTTTTCTTTTACTATGTACCCATTTACTCTGCGTATTTGGCTTGGTATTAGTACATTCGATTTTGTTGGGACCGAAAACGCGACACTGCTATGTGAGGCTGTTGTAGCGGTAGCGGTGGTGGTGATGATACAGTAGTGAGGGTGAGGGCTTTTTCCTTCCATTCTTCAGTTACTCTATCTATCTAGCTTCTCAATTTCAATCTGCTGTTTTATTTATTTGAGATCGTTGGGCTCAAAACCAAGGTACTACATACTATACTCATGTGAGGTTGTCGTAGCGGTGATGTTGGTGATGCTTGCTGGCGACGGGCGGAATCTTTGGGAGAGAAAATCCACGCAAAAAGGTCGATACAAGGTTTCAAACTCAACACCCATTTTTTATTGCTTAGTTGGATTCTTCCAGTTGCAACGTATCTTTTTTCATTTATTAGAGGAGGAGATCTTGTAAACTGGGTGTGTTATTCGTGTTTGTTTTCGGTGTCGTTGGGAGGGATTAGTACATTATCGAAGTACTAGTATGGGTTATGCTAGTGTGATGGATTAGTACGTTAATGTCTTTTGAGTGGACCGTGTGTTCTCTCTAGTCATTAGACAGGTATGTATAATTGAGTACTGGAACAACGCTGATTCAATGACTGATTTGCTGTTTTGGAGATCTGAAGTATCCACTGTAGACCAGTAACTACATTATCGGACTGGGGTGAAGGAATCTACAACGGTCTGCGCATTCACTGAACAACAGTGATGGTTTACTGGGGGAAAATAATCTTCTCCTTCTCCTCCATCTTCTTATTCTCTCATAGTCATATCATCTCAGCCACTGCGCCAATATACCGAACGACATTTGAGTTGGACTTGATCGCCGCAGGCCAATATTTGCTCTACTTAGCGTTATGAGTGCGCTGGCTCTGCGCGGAGCTTGATACAGAGAGAGAACAGACCAGAACATCACCGTCACAGAGGGGGGAGAGGGACGTCAAGATTCATGCAATATCATGGTTATTCTCTACACTATACATGCTACAGCTAACCTTGTTTGTTTCTATGGTCCTTTTCATGCTACCCTTCCGTACAGTAGTGTTGATACTGATAACAATGGAGGCCTCGAAACAGTGAGTGTTGGCTCTTGAAGGCCTCAAAATGGACATAGACAAGTCCTTGATGGCCCGAGAATCCGGCAGTGCTTGTCGATGAGGGTGGGCATGAAAGTTTCAGCGCCTGCCTACTTTAGTATCTATTCAATAGCGGTTGCAGTTGCCATATGATATCCGTAGGTTGGTCAAGTTTAGGTTCGCCCCTTGCCTAAGGAAGGAGCGGCAGCTAATTGCAAGTACTTGTTTTGCCGTCAAGTGAATCACGCCTGAAGGGAAATCGTCAACGGCGGCGATAGACACGTTTGAAGGTGCCTAGATAATCCGGCTTACCCGGTACTTGATCGGATATTACCTGAACCATCCTAGTCGAACAATATTCTCTGTTAATCAAAGATAAGCATTCCAAACTCGGTATCTAAGAAAGACCTCAATGTATGCCTCAGGTGACTTTCTTGGTATGTACATGATGCTAGAATCAAAGAACCCAGCGTCAACCGCAAAGCATTTTCGATATATATTGTAAATATGGGTGGACTTGGTATATCAATATCTAGTATCTACTACGCATATGCGGTTTTACTTCAAATGATCGATCAGAAGTAGTAATTTGTACGAACTACTCAATAGTATACTACTATTCTGTCTACTTCATATAATCAGGTTCCCTACATCTTTGATGTCGTCCCAGGGACTGGGGACGTCAAGACCCTGGAAAATGCCACCAGTTAAGTTCATCAAGCTTGACTAGTAGCCCAAACTGGGGACCATGCTATTGATACCATGCAGCTCAAACTACCTGATCTGCATGCCCTATGTTTTTGAACGCTATATGCTGCAGTTCGTCCTTAGCCCCGATATAACACTTAGGACAACAGAAACGGGATAATGGACAATAGACTATGAAGACAAGAAACACAGCGGAACCGAGAAGGACCTCGGGCAAGAATTCTACAGGCCAAGAATGGGGCTGCAGCATGGCATCGGCACTCTCATCTACTGGATATACTCGCTTCAGATCAGTACTCCGGCACATTTGCAGATGCTTTAGGTTATTCCTGGACATGACGGATATCCTGACATGCAATGCATCTCGAGCAGCTGTCCCTTCGTGCTGCAGTCCACGGAGAAGGGCTGCAAAGTGATCGTAGATAACGACTTAATACTCTATATAAATCATTTCTTTCAAAGAAAAAGTACATACGACCATAGGGTGTGGAGAACAGGGCTTCCCGTCCGCTCAGCCGTACTTAAGCCACACGCCGGCCGGTTAGTAGTATGGTGGGTGACCACATGCGAATCCCGGCTGTTGTATGTTTCCTTTCTTTTTGGTTTTTTTTTTTTTTTTTTGCTTTCCTATAGCTCTGTCTCTGTGTCTTCAGGCCCTTCACCCCTCTTCATCCGAAGTTCTTCACCTGAATGGCTTGTATAGCCTAAGCAGTCTGAACCTCCCTGGTACCGCTGGCGTGTAATTCCAGTAGTGCGGTTTTACGCTACATGTTGCCAATTTACATGCCATTATTGGCTAGGGAGCACTTAATTATCTTCTTAGCCGGCCCCTGGCAAGCAAATTCCAAATCCAATAATAACATTCCATCTTCTCTCATCACAGAGGCCTGTGCAGTAGTTGGATTGATTTATTGGCTTCAAAAGTACGGATGCGTCTGAATGTGCAGTGTGTCGCAGATGCAAAAGCGTGATGTACCCTGATTCGCCCCGAGGGCGGATTAGAGCAGATCTGGATCTGGATCAGAACAGATCCTTCTAAGGTCTAGACATATATAATACGATATTAGCTATTAGACTACTTATGAATAGTAAACAAAAATAGTCCCTATTCCGGAGTATCATTATTAACTACAAATTATTACGTCCTTAGAGCTATTAGGCTATACTGAAAAAACCCCCTCCCGCAGTAAGGAGGGGATCTATCATGGAACCAGAAGCTAAGCCAACTTGATCTTCCAGGGGCCACGCTGCTGCTCGGCGCAACGTCGTGTTTGAACTTGGCATTACAGTGTAGTGGCATAGTCTACTCATGGGCTACCACCGAGTCAGCTACCAGGAAAGCATAGCGAACATTCTTGTACGACAGCTCAAGTTTATTGAGAAAGTTATCGCCAGGGCCAACCAGAAAAGACGTTCAAAGATCGACTCTACCCCGAGTAATGACCTAAGATTTCTATCAGAGGAAGTCGTTCCGAACACGAGCACCCTGAATCACAGATAGGTCGAAATGACCGCCAAGGCTCACAGCCACGAACCACGTCGCGACGCCTATGTCCAGCTAGGGACCCCATATGGAAGCCTAACCGCGTTAGTGCTGATGCCATGCGGGAGCGTATTGCTCTCTTGCGGCTGAATTAATCTCTACCCCAAGAGGACGATCCCCCCACTTGTTTGAACCGCAGAAGTTCGAAGCCTAAAATGCGAGCGTTGAGCCCCTTTGACTAATACGCTCCACGTTTTTGACGACACACGTCGCACAACTTTGATTGTGCTGACATTTCCACCGGGCGAGATGCCTAGGAATACGACACCCGTTGAGCTTCAGCCGAGCGGGTACAGGCTGCGGAGGATACACGGGAAATCCAGGAATGGTTGCCTCCGATGCAAGCAACAGCGTAAGAAGGTATGCCACAATGCAATCCCAACAACTCGGCATACAGCCCCCTGATTATTATTGCGTGGGACCTAGTGTGATGAACTAAGACCGAGTTGCTCCAGATGCGTTTTGCGGGAGTATAGCTGTCGATATCCGAGTCATGACAACGTGTCGGGGGAACCATGGTCGGCAGATGGCCTTGTTCCTAACGCGCATGTCTCACCCACCAGCCCTATGACTATAGTTCCAGCCCCTGGGTCGCCAGGTGTACCTGCAAGTGATCACCTGTTGGCTCCCACTCCTCCATCTGTCCAACAACCTCTTCCTTCAACCTTAGGTCCCGAAGAACAGGGTCTTGTGTGGCGTACAACCCCCCCCGGTCCTCTTGACGCGACAGAGCTCGGGCTTTTGGCCCACTACCTCACGCACACCAGCCACACCATCCCATTTGACGAACTCGACCTTTACGCCCTGTCGGTCGGGGTGCCAAATCTGGCGTTCAAATGCGACGTTGTCATGTCATCCCTGCTAGCGTTAGCAGCAGCATGCAAAGCCCACGATATAGCAAAACAAAACCCAACCCCACTGGACCACCAAATTCTCGCGGACATCGGGGCGCTACTGGCGCTCGGGGATAGCCATCACATCGCTTCCCTGCGGCACATCTCAGCATCCATGCAGAAGGCAGACTCGTATGACCACCTCCTCGCTAATGCGGCCCTCATGGTCCTATATGCTTCTGCCAGCCACTCCGTACGAGTGTTTCTCGCAGCTACCGCAAAACAGCGCGGCCAGCGGCTGCCAGGCGACATTCTCCCGCAAAACTCGCAGTGGATCTCGTTTACCCGCGCAGCCCACACAGCGTCCACCGCCGTGCTAAACCACATCATTAACGGCCCCGATTGCCCAGGAGTAGATACACGACTCATGTCCCCCGGGACAGCGTCATGTAACAAAGATGTCTTAGCGCCGGAGGACGGTCCCACCAAAAAAACAAAGAGGCTTTTTCTCCCTCTGGTCGCATCGACGTATATTCGAGCTCTGGAGAGTCTACGGAGAAGAGCCGAGTCCACAGCGACTCTTTTAAAACAATTCGACCAACCACTCAGCGACACGCACCAACTCGAGGCATCTTTAGACACCATCTCCATACTCGAAAATTGCGCATCAAAGGCCCTACTCCCACGAGAGGACAACCCCAGCGTCGACGCCCCCCAAAACCCCTTAATGTCATTCGATGAACTCTCACGAGTCTCCTCATGGGTAGCACGATACATGATCAGTGTGACATCGATCCAATCCCCGCGCGTCCTCCGACGAATCATCATGTCTTTCCTCAACAAAGCACCAGCCGAGTTCCTCAGCCTCGTTCAATCAGTTCTCGACTCACCGTCCGTTGAGGCGCGAGCCGAGCGGTGGATGACGCAGGACTCACCCGGGTCGGAGGAACCGTCGCTCAGCGCGACGCACCTCCTAGCGCTGGATATCTTCGCTCATTGGCTGGTTCTTGTCATGCTGCTGGATGGGGTGTGGTGGATCGGCGACATTGGGCAGTGGGAGCTAGGGCAGATCGTGTCGTTGATGAAGACGCAGGATCTAATGAGTCAGTTGGCGGGTACTGGGGAGACGTGGTGGCCTGAGAGTATGTATTTGGTTAAGCGGGAGCTTGCGCCGAATATTATTTAGCTATTGATGGGTAAGGCCTTGATTAGGATTTTATCCCGGACTATGTATGTGCTGTAATTAGCCATTTAGTGAGGCTGGTCGTGTTGAGGAATCTTGTTAGCAAAGATCCAGTCTGAGCTACCTGGAAGGATGCAGTTGGTGACTAGATCATAGATTTCTGACGTGGATTTATCTTGTATGATTGCTCTAGTAAGCCTATACCAACAGTCCCGTAGAAATAACTGTTTGAAATTCACTGGGCCTTGATGATTCTATGTTATTTTTCGGAACGACACGTTGCAGGGACGGGTGAACTGGACATTCAAGCTATGAAGATCAAAAGGGCGAGTCAGATAAAGAAAGAAAGAAAAAAGAAAAAAAATCAAGAAAAGTAACCACATGTCTAGTAAAGCCAATGTATGCTTCGCTACACCCCCCCCGCAGTCCGCGCTCAAAACGCAGTCAGCACCTCATAATACCACTCTGGCTTCCCAGCCCACTGCGCAAAAGAGTTCGGAGCAACCTGATAATTTTCCTGAGGCAAAAAGCTGTCCAGCTGAGACTCAACGTAACCACTCTTAGTCACAGGTCTATTCTCAAAGCGGTCCTCGATCCACTGCAGCCAGGTTTGCTTCGCCGCGCTCATGGCAGCGAAATGGTTTGCCCCAGAGACAGCCAACAGCTCCAGGTCACCAGGGTACTTTTTCACCGTCTCTTTTGCGGTAGACTTTGTCGTGTTGTAGAGCACGGTTGGATCTTCAGTTCCCTGGACGACAAGGATCGGTCCTTTGAGTGGCCGGCTTCCGGGGTTGGATAATTGCTCATACGCTGGAACATACCAGGTGTCATTCCAACCTGGCTTGAGCATTGCTTTCTCATCGCCGAGCATGGCAAAACTCACCATCTGGGATCCTTCGATCTGGTTCAAAAGCTCAATCCTGCTGACACCAAGCGGAGTGAACCAGTCGCTGAGCTTGAAAGACCGGTAAATCCGAGCTAAGTCTTTGCCAATCCACGCTAGAAAGGCCGGAGAGTTGGCTGAGAAAGCGTCTGTTGGCGGGGCAGCGAGAACAGCACCACGGTAGCCCTTCGCAACATCTCTGAACTTGGGATCTTTGCGACCAAGAATTTCAGACAGGCCCCAAGCAACCGCACCGCCCTGGCTGTGGCCCATGACGACATATTCCTTCGACAGACGCTTCGGGAACGACTCCTGAGCCGCTCTTAGAGTGTTAAGAGCATCGTGAGCGCCGGCTTCGCGAGCAAAATACTGGTGTGGGATGTGGCTCCCGTCCCAAGACTTGTCTATGCCAAGCCCGGCATAGTCTGGCGCAATCACAGCGTATCCGGCTTCGGCCAACGCATATGGCACGATTTCGGAGTAGAACAGGCCGCGGTGTACGGAGGGAGCCCCATTGGCATAGAAGCCTGAAGTTCCATGTGTCCAGAGCACAACGGGGGCGGATGACTCAGAAGTTTTGTGTTTTTTGGCATGAAGGCCTTTCGGTTGATACGGCCATAGGATGTAGGCGGAAGCAGGGATCAAAGTCCCGTTGATGTTGGTCGTGCTATATACAATGCGGGACAAAGCTGTCTTTGCGGGGATGGTGAATGGTTTTGGGTCCGTGAGCTCTTGAAGTTTGACTGTCTTTCCAGGCTCGGTGGGCCATTTGTCCTTGGGGAGGTTCTGGACGTTGTAAAAGTCATCCTCGTGTGCCCCACCGTTTGCAAGCTGGGAGTGATCGAATTTGGTTATGGTGTTGATAACAGCTGCCAGATCGTCGGTCAGGCTGGCCAACGTGACTTGCTCGGGGCTAAGCTCGAAACTCGAATTCCATCCCGTTGAATGTGTTGCTGCTTGGCTTGCAACCAACGGGACTCCGAGGAGTAAAGCAAACATTTGAAGGTATGAGATCATCGTTATAGTGCTGACGATGGTCAAAGGATAAGGTCAGTCTTCTGTAGATTTTGAAGTCTGTGGTGATCTGGAAATTGGAATGACCCATCATTGCCCGTAGCTTTTATATTCGAGTGGTCTCCTGGTGCGTTGAACGTGCTCACGTCATGTCCTAGTTTGAATTTGTCATGCGAAGTCATACATCACAAAAGTGAGGATACTCGGGATCATTCCTACAGACCATAAAGCATGAATGTCGTACTCGGGGAATAGCCTAACAATGCATTGGCTACAGGTTAGGGTCTATTGTGGAGATACGATGTGGCAGGGTGGCTCATAGGGCTGAACTGGCCGCCAAGAGGCGCGTCGTATTACCAATACGCCAAAGTCCGCCACGCCAACCAATATGATATCCACTTTCTGATCTACGTACTCTGTGGTGTCATGCTCGGGCAGTTCATGCTCGCCGTCGTGTAAGCTGCTGGTCAGGCCCCATTGCGGCTGAGCAGAATGATAGGGATTAGAATTCGATTTGGAATACCTCATCCTATTCCTGCCAGGTAGCGTCGGATTGGGGTTGCCCAAACACAAAGATGAAAAAGCCAGAAGATATTTAAGGGCCTCGAAGGGCCGCCCTCTTCACTCATCAGTATCCAGCAACGTCAAAAGCAAAGCAACACATCAACATCACTGACTACTTTCAAAGTCTCGCACAAGAAACCTTTTGAAATTTATCTTCAATAGCCATCATGCTTCTCGAAACTTCCCTACACTCTCTGTTCGCGGTGATGGTCGCCGTCGCCTTGCCAGCAACGGCCGCACCTCAGCCGATCACCAAGAGCTCAACATCAGAACTCAGCTTGACGGCTAAACTCCGTCTCGCAGACAGGTAAGCTCCTAATTATGTCCGCCTCAGAGCAGGATATCTGACTGCTTAGTGCGACCGAACGTTACAATCTCTTGCCAAAAGACGAGGACTTCGTCTTCAAGTTCTCAGAGAAAGAGCCTGTTGCCTCCACCCAGAACTTTCCCGCTCTAGTCGGCGTCGGTGCCTCCTTCAGCGTCGGTGATCTTCCAGGTACGTTGAAAACAATATCGTCCTACATCTTGACAAGCACTCATGCATGTAAACAGGATGCAGCATGTCCTTCCTCCACCTGCACCCCCGTGCCACCGAGCTCCTGACCGTTACCAAGGGACGCGTCTTAACCGAAATGGTACCCGAGGCTGTCGTCGACTCCAAGGGAAATCAACGCGTTATCCGCGCCGAGCTGAAGCCCGGCATGGTGACCGTCTTCCCGGCCGGTTCATTCCACACGCAGGTGAATCCCGACTGTGACACTGCCAGTTTTGTTGCAGCGTTCAATAACGAAGAATTCTCGGTGGGTTTGGTTGCACAGCAGGCCTTTGCGCTCAGCGATGATGTTATTGCTGGCAATCTTGGGCAGAGCATTGCTGGGGAGGACATTGAGAAAGTGAGGAAGGCAATTCCTAAGAGTGCGGCTATCGAGGTTGAGAAATGTTTGGCGAAATGCGGTAAGAAGAAGAACTAGGCTTGATGCGTGTGATATGCTACGAGCGGATGTTTTGACCGGGTTGTTTGATAGATTGGGGTGTCAACATGTGGAAGGGTGAGTTCGGGGTCGGTTATATAGAAATCATGTTATTCTTAACATATCGGCTATTTGGATTAATTATCTTGAAGTTTCTAGGTGACATGATAGCATGATAAAGTTAATAAAAAAAAGCTCTTTACAGAGGGCCTAGTAAGAAAGAGCAAAGATAAAATAGAAATATAGCATGCTATTTATACAGTCAAATAATCAGAAAGTGTATATTATTTAGAATATGCTGTTTTATTCTTCAGATCAATATTATTTAGCTACTTAAAAAAGATTCTAAAGATCTTATGAGCTGATGAGGCTATAAGCCATCCCAACATGTACATTGTTTTCTTTTGGTTGGGTTAGACTTTTCTGTTTGCCTCAGGCCCCCCATAGAACCGCACCCAGGCGTTCTAGAGACCACCTAGTTAATTACCCCTGGACTTAAAATCTCCATAATCTCCACTCGGGTTTCCTGCACGAACCGGATCGGAAGTGCCCTGAAATAGTGGCGCCAAATGGGCACGGGATCGGACTATCTGATAGTCCGGCGCAGTTATCGCCCCTTAATACCTTCCCCTTTAACGGCGCACCATCCTTGTGGAATTTCACTATTATCGTCGCTCAATTGAATAGCAGCCCATCATTGCCAATGGATGTCGCTCTCGAATTCCTCGATCCCCTCGTCCTGGACAAGGCCTATGCCTGGTTGCTGCCCTCCGACCCCTCCCTCGCCGACGCGACGTCGCGATGGCCGCGCGACAATATTTATCGGCAGATAACCTCGCTGCTCGTCCTCACGCAGCTCGGCGCAACCTCCCTTTACTTCTTTTTCAGCGCCCTCTCCTACTACTGCATATTTGACCGACGCCTCGAGTACCATCCTCGCTTTTTGCCCAATCAAATCCGCCAAGAGATCGTATCGTCGATGTCCGCCGTCCCTGTTATCAACATTCTGACTCTGCCCTGGTTCCTGGCTGAGGTCCGAGGGAAGAGTTTGCTGTACGAGTCGGTGAGCGACTATGGGTGGCCCTGGCTGTTAGTATCGGCCGCGTTGTACATGGCTTTCAACGACATTGCCATCTACTGGATTCATCGCCTCGAGCATCACCCCAGCGTGTACAAGTACATTCACAAGCCGCACCACAAATGGATCGGTCCGTCTTTCACAAAATTCCTGTGTTCTGGCTGGTTCTCATGCTGACAATGTCATAGTTCCCACGCCGTGGGCTGCCTTAGCGTTCCATCCGTTGGATGGGTACGTGCAGTCTCTACCATACCAGTGAGTCCCCCAATCCCTCAAAGGTTCCGGCGATTCCATGTTTACTAACCCTTCATAGCGTCTTCGTCTTCATGTGCCCCATGCAGCGCCACCTGTACATGATCCTCTTCGGCGCAGTTCAGATCTGGACCATCCTGATCCACGACGGCGACATGATCTCAGGCCACTGGACGGAAAAATTCCTCAACAGCCCCGCGCATCACACCCTCCACCACATGTACTTCACCGTCAATTACGGACAATACTTCACCTGGGCCGACACTTATTTCGGCTCGCACCGCGCCCCGCAGCCGGAGCTGGATCCGCTACACGATGCCCTGAAGGTGATGCGCGCGAAAGGGCTCGTCGACGAGCAAGGCAACCCCATTCAGAAGCCAAAGGGGGAGTAGAGGATTCTCCACCCCGCCCATCGGGTACAAAGAGATGGATACCCGTGTAAAAAATCTGTTGATGGATCGGGCCATCACAGTACATGCATACTTTTCTGTATATATATTGAACATCCGGTTGGAACCCGGTCTAATAATTACTAGTTGTCATGATTGACATGTCGCATTTGGCGGGTGTCAGGGTATGTTATATAAATAATATGATCTTTATAGAGTTTAACCTCCGTTACATGAGCATTGTCGCTTAGCCCTTAGATCTAAATAGCCATCGCTGAGGTGAATAACGTCTTGCATGATAATTCTCTGAAAAAGATGTTTTCCGGGCCCTACGCTGATTTGGAAGCGCGAGTTGACATCTCTCGCTCAGTGCATATTTCTGCCCAATCTACATTACCAGAATAGTGGATAGATCCGACAGCTGTTCGATGGGCTACTAAAAAAAAAGAAGAAAACAACCCACTTAGGTGCGGTACGTCTCTATGTATCATAATGAGGTTGTTAGCTGTAGTGATCGTGTATAAAGATTTGTAAACTGGGTAGAAAGGTCGGACAGTAGTATAAGTGACCGCGATACAGACTGGGACATGGAGTCTGATGGTTTTCTGGTTGCAACGGGGCTCATTTTTACTTCCCCTGTTGTTGCGGGTCTACAGATGATAAGCCGTCGTACAGGCTGTGGCAAGTTGGCAACCAAATGATGGTCTGTAACTATTACACTTTCGTCTTAGCGTGCTAGTAATCCGTTGGTCGGAATGTGTACGGAGTAGTAGAGTACACTGTTTGACTAGATATCTCTTGTCAGACCGTACCAAAGACCGCATCAGATTGACCAGTGGCGGCAGGAACTACCCTGATTTTTTGGCTTCAGAAACCACCGGTCTGCCTCCAAGGCCACCAAACCGCAAATCTTGTTCATTCGCATCCTCATGGTTCCACCGAAAACCCAAGACTCCAAATCAGGGTATCTCATCTCTGGGGCCAGGCTATGGGTGACGTTTAAGCGCATTATGGAACCAGGGATGTTCACGAAAGAATTCAGTTACAACCAAGCTGGTCGCATATAAACTTCGAGGAAGGATGGCATCGTCTGATAGGAGTTTGTCATATAGATAGGTAGATCGACACTAGTAACTGATTCGAACTGTAGTTCGATGACTGCGCCACCCCCCTTAAGCCAGGTCGACTTCCACAAGGCTTGATCTACACAGTGGATCATCACCTCTACTCATAGCTTTTTTGCTAATCACTAAGTAAAGCTGGGGGCAGAAATATTTGGTACAGATTTCTAACTATTGTTCGAGTTCAGTGCCAAACACCTGGAGCAGAACAGATGTACCATCATGACATGCCGCATTACTCAGGGCATCGATCGCGATGCCTATGTGGCAGCTCCACTCCGAGACTTATACCTCTTCAACCGTTGAGCTGAATACATTTCTGGCTCAGCCTATGCAGTTTAGCTTCCATCAGCTTACTTCCCAGTTCCACCGTTCTGACTCAAGTAGGCAGCAGGAATCTAAGGCGTTGGCGGGGTCCCGAAATAGAAACACCAAGCGAACAAATAAAGATATTGCAGTCTATCTTAAATATGACTCTATGGCCATACGAATTGGGCGAGACCACTACATCTTTCGTTTACATCTGACATCGCGAGAATATCAGTGACAATGGATCTCTTCAATTCGGCAGGGTTCCCCTCCCACGTGGACGATTTGATGAAGGAGCACCATGTCCCTGGCTTGGCAATTGCAATTGTCCAAAACGACACAATCATGTCCGCTGGATACGGACAGGCTTCGCTCTCCCCGTCGACTCCCTGCACACCAGACACCCTATTTGACATCGCGTCCGCCTCCAAATCCATGACCGCTGCGTCCGTGGGACTGCTAGTAGACAACAATGATGAGTACCCCGAGGTGCAGTACGATGCGACCATGTCAAATCTACTTCCAGACGACTTCGTGATGTCTGAGGAGCAGCACACCAAAGGCATTACGGTCGAAGACATACTTAGCCACCGAACCGGCATGGCTCCGTAAGGACACTCCCGCCCACAATGGTACGAACCCCCGCTGACAGACTCAGACACGACCTTTCCTACCTGGGCCCGCGAGCGAGTGAGCCAGACAATGCACGATCCGTTACGAGAAACCTGCGCAATCTGGCTGTAGCCGCTTCCATTCGATCAAAATACATGTACTGCAACATGATGTATACCGTCGCGACGCACTTAGTCGAGAGCAAAACCGGTATCTCTTTCTCCGACTTCCTTGAGAAATATTTCTTCCGTCCTCTCAATATGCACTCGACATCGCTCCAGCCTGAGCGTGCCCGAGTCAAGGGCTTCAGCGACCGCATTGCAACCGGATATTCGTATAAAGAAGAACAAAACATCTACCACGGCTTCCAAACCCCCGACTGCCCCGAAGCCCAAGGCGCCGGCTCCATTATCACGAGCGTCAACGACTATATCAAATGGGTCAAAGCGGTCATGAACCAGGACAACCCCATCACTGACAGCGTCTACAAAGGCCTCATCAAGGCGCGGACCTTGCAAAACCCCGACTTTGAAGACTTGGCCCCGATGACTTCTCCTGTGTCATATGCTGCCGGCTGGGAAATCTTCTTCTACAGAGGTTACATGGTAGTTGGCCACGACGGTGCAGTGCCAGGATTTGGCAGTCGACATTTCTTCCTCCCTGACTTTAGATTCGGTGGTGTCATTCTTGGAAATTCCGAGGGGGCAGGGGTAGTTGCGGCCGTTGTGGCTCGAGAATTCATTGATGATGTCCTCAATGTACCGAAGCCGGAACGTCCCGACTGGAACGAAATTGAACGTGAGGATCATCCATCCAGCAGCGAGGAATATGAAAAGCTGCGACAAAGGATTTGTCCTGGTATCGAGGATTCAGAGCCTCAGGAACTACCGCTCAGTGCCTACGTAGGCGACTATTGGAACCCAGGATATCGCAAGATGACTCTCCAGACAGTGGATAAGTCTTTGTTCATCAACGCTCCTGACAGGTCTTTTAGCTCGACACTCACGCTGGACCACGTCTGCCGTCAAACCCATTATATTGCGCATCTCATCGATGATTTGGAAGGGAGCGATGAGCCTGTTAAGGTCGAATTCGTGCTCGAAAACGAAGTGGCCGTTAGAATGGGACTGCACCTAGAACCAGAGCTCAAACAGATGATATGGTTTGATAGAGTGACAGGGATCCCTAACTGAGCTATATGATCTTGAGATGGTGGTCAGTTTAATAAGGTGGAGAGGTGGTTTAGGGGTCGCGCAAATTATCAGATCATGTCCTATATATCATATTCAATCAAATACTTTAAGGGCACGTTGAATTTTGGCATGTTGCAGAGTTACAAAAGACAGTATCATGGCACCTGACAGTAAGAGCCACAGTTCAGTACATTTCTCAACCAGCCTTTTGAAGTCGTCCACACGTACCATCCCCCCCATCAAGATTACATTTCATACTCCTTTGCCACCGATTATAGACAGAAATAGGAAGCCACAGAGCTCGGAGTTAAAGAACTGGTAAGTCCGCTCTCATCCATCTTGACCATGCATTCTGTGCAGAGACCTGTGTTGCACTGACGGTGGACACTGCCTCTGTCCGATTTCCCCTTCTCATAATCAATCCTATCTGAATTTTTTACCCCTTGGATTCTCATGTCAATAGGCAAGAACGACCGGGAGCTTATAAGATACTTCACTTTTTTACTCCCTGTGTAAACTATAGGAGGAACTGAACCCTGGACGGATTATCCTGAAAAAGCTTTCGTGCGAGACGGGTCAAGTAGTGCTATCCCAAGCCACTTGGCCAGCAGAGCCATGCCTCAACTAATTCTTCCTGTTACATAGCACACTCGTATACCAAATATTAAACGTTTTGTATATCGAGCTCTACAGAGTGTTTTTTGTTGTCCTGTCAAGCCGCTAAGCATTTCGAGGGCGAATGTGATCTCATAATCGACCTACCCATGTATGACTGGTTGTTATCAACCCATGTGGTCATTTTAGGGTCTCATACTTTCTGTGGGGTGTTGAGGAGATGGCAGCGATCTCCAACCGGGCTAGATTTTAATCTGTGGTGTCCGAGGATACAGTCTTCGTGAGATAGAAGTCGCATGTATCTTCTTGTTTTTTATATAGCGCCGAGCAAGATTCTACATACCCAATACAGCAGTTGTCAAAATAGCAAGAAAACAGAACACTTGACTATGATTGTAAAATTGTAGAAAGACTCAAAGTATATGTGATAGCTATAAGTCCTCAAACTGATTGAACACCCCCCCCCATTAACGCGCTAAGAGCTCTTCGAATCCCTCTAAGTCCTCTTGCGAACGCTATACCACTCTAGAGGCGTCTGAAAAGAAAAATGTCAGCCCTTGATCCAAGCAAGCACATCAGAATCTAGATCAAACTCACATCCGAAGGGACAACAGTGCAACCATCTGTATAGATCTTATTGATCTGAGTGTCCTTCTCACAGCCCCCATGTCCGTAGATCTCCAGCTCCAAGTCATTCCCCTCAAACCCTCTCATCACGAGCAAGTGGTTGTCGTAATCCCAGTCAGCGGGGGGGAGCCACGCCTCACAGTTTAGGGACTTGTCCTTGTCGCCATAGTTGACAGCATTGTCACGATGATGATCGTAAAATTCCTTACTCTCGAGGTCTGTTGGGCATGTACGGTTGAAGCCGTAGATTTCCCTTAGTGAAGTGTTAGCGAGGATGATCGTGTGTGATGTCTTGGCGGCTTACCAGTCCCAGAGACTGCCGGGGAGCTCTTTGGCAATTGCCGTGGCGGCGAAGAGGAGTGCGATGCTGGTGAGACGCATGTCGGATTGCTGGGGTTGTGTGGTGATGGGAGTAATAGTGGTTGAAGTGGTTATCTGGATGGTGCAAGTGAGGATGTGCTGGATGAGAAGGGAAGACTGAAGGGGAGGGAGCTCCTATTTATCTTCCAGATTCTGTATACTGCCTTGGTCTCAAGATGCTTTTACTTGAAGTCCCACTGCTTTCAGAGGTGTTCGAATTAAACCATGCATCCAGGCTATACTTGGAGAAGTAACAAAATGACAATATTCCCGTGGAACGCCTTGAAGCGATCCTGCATGATATAAATAGCCTTATTGTACAGATCCTCCTTCCCGAGCTAGGAATAACTGACACTATTCACAGTCGATCATGAGATGATGATCTCATCTCACCTTCTTGGCTACTACCTTGGTTATTTGTAAGATAAGTCAACGCATAGGATTGACAGCTTATTCTATGTATAGATTTTTTTTATTGAAAGTTCCCTATCAGGTCTCTTTGTGGTAGATCAGCTTTCCTAATGCAGTCAAGCCTGACACTCTCCATAAGATCAAATCTGACAATAAACTCATCAGAGAATCTTCCTGTTTGCTAGATTATTTCCTACAGAGAAAGCCAAGGTAATCGCGGGTGCGAGCGCAGTCGCCCCACATATGTCGTCCTCAACCGTTATCACTCAAATTCCCCTGTTTAGCCTCTCTTCACAAAGCCTCGCCTTTCCCAACCTGGTAAGATCGGTGCTCCTCAAAGGATAAAATTAGAGCATGACATTATGTAGATCATCTCCCTGGCGACTAGTTAGTTGCTCTTTTGGGAAAATAGTTCGCTGGCTTAGCTGTAGTTTACCCCACACTTAAAGCTTGTCGATCAACTTCCCCAATTGAGTTTCATGGGGCCAAGATGTCCACCATGATGGCCAGTGCACTTTTCTCATTTAGTCTTGCTTGATACGATCAATCAGGTAAATGAGCCGTGCTTGATACAGAGACTGTGCTCTGTGTTGGATATTCTCGCTTCCTGCTTGGTCTTTCTGGAGCCAACAACAATTTAAACGGAGGTGCGGTAGTATCGACCAATTCCGCTATACGATGAAGAGCAAGCACTGGATATTGTTGAGTTATTAAATAAAAAAATACGAGCCGAAGGCTACTGCGTCCAGAAACCTTTCGAAAGTTCAAGATTCCTGTATCGAGATGTCGATCTCCACCATTTTCAGCCTTATATTGTGCTTCCGGTGGATTCTGTGCTTATTTTTTTTATACCATTGGTACTCACGTTCTTCTCCAGTCCAGGTTAGATCCACGTCGTAATTAGTCCCCTTTGGATACGAGACGGCTAAGCCTCCGGTGGTGCTATCCATGGGTTTTACTATCTCGTGGGAGGCCTAGAGCAGACTGCAACGAGCTATGGGTTCGCCACCCTGAAAGCATAGCATTGCATGAAGGGCATCAAATTGCATGTGTACCCTAACCAAAATATAAATACCGGCAACGAGACCCCCCAAGAAAAGCATCTCTCACAGTACACATTCAACAATCAGCCAAGCTTAGCTTTCTTTTATCCATATATCTCGTCCACACGTTTCTCTCCAACCGTCGACATGTTCAAAACTCTGCCAATCGCCGTTGCAACAGCCTTGTATTTCCAAGCTGTCCATGCATCGGAGAAACCCATAAGCTTCTGTACCAAAGGAGGCTGCGAGGAAGATAACTGTCCGGTGGCCCTCGCCACCGCGGGCACCGGTTATCCCAACTGCGTCATCTACGACAGTAAAGATCTCTTCTCCTCAGAGCTTGGATTCTCGACATCCGATCACGGGTATGTCACTCTGGTGGTTTCACCCATCACATCATCACTTGTTCCAGCTGACTTGGCAATACCTTAATAGCGCATACGCCCCGTTCATCAATGTCGAGGAGCCCAACGAGGGCTGTACCATGATGATCAAGTCTCCAGCCAACACAGACATAGAAGGCTGCGGCAAGCTTGTTGGCTCTTTCAAGCAGGGGACTTGCACCCGCCTCCCCATCCATAGCAGCGTCATGATCCAGTACTGCTGTGGATATCGCTGTGACGATGCCGGCGTGGAACTCACGCGCTCTGCCAAGTTTCGCCGAGCCCTCGAAAGCCGCGGCGGTGGCGGCGGTGCTGTTTACCTGAAGTATGCGAATGGAACGCTCATCCCGCCGTCCAAAGAGGGTGCGATAGAGGTGCCTGGCCCGGACACAGACAAAAGAAGTGTCTTTAAGTCCGTTGACTTGCTACCTCGCGGGGACGAGGACAAGGACAAGGGCAAGTGCAAAGACTGGAAGTCCGATCCCGACTTGAAGAGAGACCCGTACACCAAGCCTTCGGACAAGACGGACATCGTCTACGCAAGTGTTGCCGCTGGAACCACGATCACTATCACCAAGACCCGATCGCAGTCGTGGACTAACGGGGCGGATATGAGCATTAGCTTTGCGGATGTCATTGGATTCGGCACTAGCATTTCTGAGTCGTTCACCGAAGAGAAGTCGGATTCGACTTCTATTGCGTGGACCGCTCCGAAAGACCAGGGTGGTGATGTTGCTTTCACTGCTACGCTGAAGTGTACCCGGGGTGAGTATCCAAATATTTCCCTGCGTGGGTTGAGTCTCTCGCTAATCACTTTGGATTGACCAGGCACTGGGAAATGTGACGGAAAGGATTTTGAGGGCGAGATTTGTGAACCGTGGGTCGACGACGACGATCAACTGGTTGGCGAGTACTCGGTGGTTGTCCACGACTAAATGGGTGGAATGGGTTGTACGTCATTTGCGGGATATACAATTAGGGCTTGGTGACATGGAATTTTCAGCTTTTGGAGATCAAGGCGGTGGTGTAGCTGAGTTGATTATTGTTTTTACAGTGTTATTTGTCGGTATCAAGATGAGTGGAGCCGCCGCACAGATCGCTTTGAGCAGGCTGTTAGGCCGCCTTTATAACCAGAGGGCTCATCTGGATAATGTATTTTTGGAGATTAAAAGGTCGTGTAGAGACGGGATTAACCAACAGACGGAACCCCAACCTTCTCCTCCAAGAAATCCACCATATCATCAATTTCATCGGGTATCTTATACCAGTGTCCAAAATCCTCATACGCCTTCCACGTCACATCCATGCCAAACCCATTGGATAAGACAGACGTCATTCGCTCCCCGAGGTCAACCGACACCTTGGGATCTGCAGACCCATGGCCGAGAAATACTGGCGTTTGTAAATGGGGCTTTGGAGGTCCACAAGATTCTTGATCTCCCTTTTGGACTGCGCCTTCAAAGCCATTTTCTACTTCGTGTCGTAAGGATGGTAGGTCGAGGATATCCCGCACGTGATTCAGCGCCTGGACGGGAGCAGGGGTGTCCTCGTCTTTCTCATCATCGCGTGAGAAAGGGTCCTCATCTTCATTCTTGCCTTCATTCTCATTGTCCAGCCCCAAAAGCCCAGTAATATCCCTGTCCAAGGGCAACCACCCGCTCATCCCCACAAACCCGCCAAGTTGTTTGTGCTGCCCGCTGTCCTGCCCTGGAAACCCTCCCAGAAGGCAGATCACAGACGCCGCACAACCTTGGCTCAGTCCACCGATCACAATGCGGCTGTAGCCATTGCTAAGAGTGGGGTCATCTGACTCTCCAAGCAACTGTGCTTCGTCGTCAATCAATGTTCTCAGGAACCGGCTAGTCTCCTCTAGCCCGTCAACCTGTAGCTCGATTCGAACATTTGGGTCCTCAAGACTGTAGTTATCGAACCATTGATGTATCGGAGTCCGTTTAAGTACCGTCGCGCGCCGTTTCTTGGCGGTGGGGAAAATAAACTTGACTGTTGGGAGACGCCGCGCGATGTCTGTGGATTCAAGAAATACTGAACCGAAGTGTTCGCTATTACTGCCGCGGCCGTGGAGGAAAATTATAGTATGGGTGTGTTTGCCGTTTTGGAGAGGAGGGATAACCAGGCGCGTGAGGTAGGGCTTGAATCCCATGGATCAGTACTGGTGTATATATAGATTTATCTTCAACAGTAAGCGTTGAACTGCTTTGTCATAGTAGCAGAAATCTCTACAACCCCGAAAGGAATCATCATCATAGCAGCAGTGATACCACTTACCAATCACTACTTAGCGCATAGTTCACTGCAATCTGAACTACGCGCTCCACATTCTACACAGGATTCGATCTGTGTTGTTGACGCTGAAATTTCCAGAGTTAAGACTTGTAGACTCGGCGCTTAGGCTGCCCCACTACATGATATTGCCAACTTTAAGGTATAGCATGGATTGGATTGGAGAGTTGCAACGGAAAGATTTTAGAGGTAAAGATTAACTCATTGGCTAAGTACAGGCGACAAGACACTCAACCCAACGATTGAAAAGAAGCAGATACCACAAAAATGACTTTTGAAAATGAAAAAGAAAAGAGAAAAGAGAAAAACACACAATAGCGTAAATATGGCCGTGCTCACCAAACGCCCACGGGGCGGGGTGGCTTGCGGGGTGGCTTGCGGCCCTAATCTGGCCCCTCTTTCGGGTAACTCGTTTCAGCTGCTTTTTAGTCGCTTCAATATTCTACGCGAGCACGGATCAAAAAGGGACATTTGCGCAATTTGCAGAGACACTAACCTAAATACCGTTAGAGCCTGCAGCTAAGTCTTGAGGTCTTCAATACACCACGAATGCAGGAGATTCATCCATGGCAATTACTAGTAGCCGTGTCGTATAGTCAGTCATTCATGGCTCTGTGCTGAATACTAGCCGTGACAACTACCTAGTCATGGTTTTAAACCACTATCGAGACAGGTGCAGAGAAATTTGAACAACATGACGAGTCACTTCTCATTCTGAAAATACAAAATAGAATTATCACATCATTTGCCCTCCCACCAAACCAATCCAGCTCCCAGAGCCCCAGCCACCACCAGTCCACCAGAATAACCCCGTGTAGCTCCAGGTCTAGGAATGGGTCGTGTCACACTTGTCACTAGCTCGGAAAGTCTCCAAGCACGTATCCCTCGCCCAGCCTGGAAGCCCCAGATCACAACAGCTTTGCTCAGTAAGCTCCTTTATAGCCCGAATGATACTTACATCACCAGCGACTCCCACAACCATATTAGTGTCAAAGTATTTTTTACCATCCTTTTCAAGACACCGAAAGTTATTGGTGCTACCATAATTGGTTTTGAGTGCATTTTTGTAGTCATCACATTTGCCAGCGTATTGCCAACGCCAGCGATTCATGGCATCTTCTTTCCAGAGTTTGATAAAGTTGGCATGGGTACCACCAATGTGGTCCACCTTATCTAAATTCAGTCTTATCAGTATGACTAGTCTTTGGAATAGCGAAGGTTCCATCTTGACTTACCCCGGGTGGTGAGTGTTACTGCCTCATTAGCAGGAGCAGCAGTCACAGTGACGGCCAGGGTAGTGGCAAGAATAGTAGCCAGGTTGAGCTTCATGTTGGCGGTAATCTTTGGAAGACTTTGATTGAATCGCAAAAGTGTGGTAATAGAGGTCTTGGGTAGATATGAGGATAGAGAACTTGGAGGAAACTGTGGATGAGATGATAAAGTCTTGAATGTAGAGGATTTAGCCTCTCTTTTATACTTCTCGAGTCTTCAAAGAATCAGTCTGCTGAAGTCTGGGTAATAATTACAGCCTCGTACCCCTTGACTAGAGATGAAATCTTGAAGATCTCGATACTGCCTTGAGGCTTTTCGCCTCTACAGCTCCATATTCTCTATCTGTAACTACTCACTCTACCTAGCATTCTCAAGTGCTATTCCTGAAGGATTGTGAGGAACATGCCCAAAGCGCCGCAGTTCCGTTTTTGGACTTTCCTCAAAAATAGCGTCGTGATGGTTACCAGCCAATAGAGAGCGTCATTCACCGCGCACGGGATGGTGTAGAGTAATCTCACACTTGATATTCACCCTTGAGGTCTAGTTTGCCAAGTCTTTGCTCCTGACTTGTCTCAGGGCCCGACACTGCCATTTCGGTATGCCTGGGTACTTCTCAGCTTCTACGTTTATAGAGAATGGACAATGGTACAATCTGCCAAGTTTCAACAGGTACCAGTTGTTTCCCAACTGGAAGAAACCTGTCTCATCCTGCCCCCAAATTCCCTCCCTTGCTAGGCTATGCCACTTAAACCTCAGACTGCGGTTGCTCTTCCAATATCCAATGGTAAAATTTCCTCATCAACCATCGGTAGACAGCATTCTATGGAAATTCAAACGGGTAGGTCAAACATGACTGGAACTAGCAATCCTCAGCGTCAAAGATCCAGACACTGCGACGCTATATCAGTGATTCCAGAATCTCAAAAGCTCTGGGGTTAATGCACCGGAAGAAAAAGAAGAAGATAGATTAGTTGGTCGTGGGGAATGAGTTGTCGTTGAGTAATCTAGTCACCAGATGTCTACATGCAAGAGACTTTCGTACGAAGCTATCCAAGCTCGAGGCAGATACGAGCAGTGTACTCAATTGCTCCACACACACACAGCATCGTTTAGGCGCTTGTTTCCTGGATATGGTGAGTTCCTGAGCTTCATCTCTGTCTGCCTTGCGCGATCATTGCATCCTTCCCAAGACACCGTATTACCACCATTGCCCTTTTCCAGCATGGCGCCGACCATTCCCTTCCCCTCCCTCCGGTTAGCTACGGTGCTGGCGACAAATCGACTTGATGGTTGTAACCTCGAGATCTTGTTTGTGAGTATTAACTGGCTCGTGAGCTGCGTATCCACTTGTCTAGATAGCGTTCTCTAGCTTACGGTAGGATCCAGGCCATCTGGCGCATCCTGCGCCAACTAATCAGCAGTTTCCAAGATTTTGCATGGCACTTCGGTCCCCATCCCTCTTTGGCTTTTTCTGCCCTGGAAACCAGAGAAATGGCTTCTCTTTACCTGTTCTCTATGTCAGCTGGTTTTTGTGGTCCTTGTGCTGTCTTCCAGGCCCCTTAGTGCCCCAGGTCCAACTATAGTTAAGTCCTGAAGCATACTAGTAGGAATTATCGGTTGCCAGTTCAGAGATCATCATTCGTTCCAATAGTATAGATCATGTTGACTGATCTTCGATGCTGGGGTTGCGACTATCTCAAAGAAGAAAATGGTTCAAAACTGTCTGGAGATCTTCATGGAGCTAAGAGCCAAGAGGTTGGAGGTCGTTGGTTCTATCCAGGAAAAAAAAGAAAACAAAATATAGAATAATAGATGATCGAATCAACGAAAGACCTCAATCAGGCTGTGTAAAGATCTTCACGTAGCCAAGATGTTGGAGTACGTGATCATAAATATGGATGAATACTAAAGAAGCTGGTTCTCTTGAAATTTGGGACATATAAAAGGTAGGTAGAATCCTCTGAATTCAAAACTTCATTAGCTCATCAACATCACCTTTCAAGTCTTCAAAGCACTATTGTTTCTTTCTTCAAGAAGTCTACAGCTACCATCCCATCATTATTTGAAGTCTTCCCTTTCCGCAAAAAGCAAAACCGTGCAAGCAACACGCAAAGACCACCAATATGAAGTTCAATCTAGCTACTATTCTGGCTGCTACCATGACTGCCACCGTGGCTGCTGCTCCTACTGAGGGAATGGGAATCACTGCCCGTGGTAAGTATTCGACATCCCTTGAATCTAGTCGTACTAACAAATGTATTTAGCCCCCATAGACTGGGTTGATGGCTCCCATGCCAACTTCATCAAACTCTGGAAAGAAGACGGGATGAATCGCTGGCGTTGGGCATACGCAGGTGCCACGTGTGAAGAGTTTAAGCATGCGGTTAAGACTCGCTCTGGTGGTACTGTGAATAACTATCGGTGTCTTAAAAAGGATGGTAAACTACTTTTTGATACCAATATGGTTGTGGGATCAGCTGGTGATATCTCTATAATTTCTGCGATCAAGGCGATTACTAGGCAACCGTGCTGTGATCTTGGGCTTCCAGCCTGGGGGATGGATAGGTGTTTGCATGAAAACGGTGATGACGATTCTGAGAAAAATTGCTAGACCTCAGACTGGACCGGGGGCCGTATGGGACCTGCTGCTCAGCGCTAGATGCAGAGTTTTCCAGGCTGTCAGAGCATAGGCGTTGCTGGTGCATGAGTGGAACACGGCTCCCACGATGATGGTTTGAGCAAGGGAATTGATGCCGTCTTGATTGTTTGCAAGGAATTCAAAGGCCAACTTGGGAATTATATCGTGTATTTATTTGAAGGACTTCTTAGGCTTATACGATGTTTGGGGTTCCCCCTTTTCTCATAGACTGATCTACTAGTAAGGGATGTTTAGAGTCAACATCGAAGTCTTCTATATTATAGTATGTTAGATATATTAATTAGGTCAAGCCCTATACCAATCGTTGGTCAACGTTTTGGCGTAGTGGTCTTGAAACTAGCTCTTGGTACCTAGTATCTGACTGACAATGTCTTCTTTTGATACTGGCATTCGGAGTAATTTTCTCTAGCTAGGGTGAATGGTTTTTACAGGACTTCAATTTGCTCGGGGTGAGAATCAATCTTCTAATCTCTGACCGAAGAGCTTATAACCTCTTAGCTGCTACGCCAAAACACTGACCAGGGTTTGGTATAGGGCTTAACCTGACTTGTATTTCCAAGAACTGCTGAAGTGGTCAAGCAGGATGGCGTAGTCTAAAACCAGTGGTGGTGGTCACCATATCATAGATTCCCAAGGCGAATATAAAACCAGAGCAGCAAAACGATAACAGAACTCACGAAGCAATACTAGCAACAAAAAAGATACAACAAATAATTAAGCATGTCGGAATGACCAAGGCTTTGGTTCCTTTTCAACTTTTTTTCTTGGTCGCCTTCTTTGCCTTGCCTTTCGGCGGTGGTTTCTCTTTGTCGCCTTCCTCAGCTTTCTTGGCCGCCCGTTTGGCCTGCCTCTGCTTCCTTTTCGCCCTCACATCTTCATCCGTTGAGAAAGCATCTTCGGGAAGTCCTATGGGGTCATCCACAAGAACACTGCCTTTAAGGATAACTTTATCCTTGCCATCTCGGTTCCATCCTCCAACTTGCCAGAAAGCTGGTTCAGTCACGGCGAGCACTCGATGCCCATCAAGTCTCAACTCCCGTTCCATGAGCCCATGGATGTGGGCTGCCCCAACCTCCTTTGAATTACGATAAAATAGGGGCGGGAAATCTTCTAGAGTTCGCCATTCCAGGTCCGGTTGTGATGTGGCCATCGCCACTGCTAGCTCAGCCCCTTTCTTGTAAACACTGTTGAGAAGTGTCTCTCTATCTCGAATCCGAATCTCGTCCTCGGTGTCTTTGAGCAGGCACTGAAAGCTCTTGTCGGCTAGTCTAGCCGCAACGACTTGCTTGATCTTGGCCTCTCGGAGGGTCAGATTCTTGAGTCCAAAGGCGGGATTGGGGCTCAAGAAAATGTTGAATGCATTGGAAAGGCGTGTTGTTTGGGCTCGTCAGTGACGAGCAAGCTGTTCGTCCGCTAAGAAAGAAGATTCTGTAAGCTTTGTGGACTGGGCAAAAGACCACACACTTAGGTAGTAACTCACTGTTGAGGAAAGTTTGGTATAAGTGGTTAAGCTGAGCACCAAAAGGCGTCTCTACACCAGACCCTTCGCCATCGTTTGAGCTCTGACTATCGGGCCATTCCAGGTACCAGAACGGATTTGTGAAGAATAGACTGAGAATCTCCTTGACCACGATTATCCCGGCAAAGATTGCCAGGATATTGCAGCGTATATTAGGGGGCAGCCGCGGGACGATCTTGTCAAAGTCATCTTGGATGACATATCCCTCCATGTTAGCAATCACTTGCTTCTTTTGCTCTTTAGACAGGTGTTCGTATTTGCCCCTGGTGGAATAGAAGCCAAACTCGTATTTCCAATTCTTGCAAGTGGACATTAGCCCAATCAACCTATTTGGCCACTCCCCAATGTAGATTGGGGGCCAGTGTTCATAAGCCCCATGCATGAACGTTCTGTCCGATCTGAGTGTCCCGATGGTAGCTGCTTGGTCCTCAATTCTCTTCTCTAGCTCCTTGATGTGCTTCTCCCGATCCTCGGTTGTACTATTGACTGGTTTGGCAAAGGGGGCTTCCTCTTTGGAGTCCCGATTGCCTTCGTCTGGGTCGCCTTTCGTCTTCTTCGCCCTCACCTGACTGGGAGAGTGAGCCTCTGCCGGGGGTGTGCTTGAGGCTGGCCGTTTTCGACTAGCCTCCAATAGAGAGGTTTGCTGAGCTTCACGTCAGATATCACAAGTTTGAGAGCTGGAACTAAATGGCTCACCGTATTTTTGGTCTTCATCGCCTTTGCCTTTGCCTTTACCTTTGACTTAGCAGTGGCCATGGTGGGTAAGATTGAAAAAAGTGTCAAAGAATGGAAAGAAGGCACTTCGATAAAGTTTGGTGAAAACGTGTCTTCGCCCAGGATGAAGAGACTTCTATGGACTGATGATAGAAGTTGATATGTATTTGACTGAGACAGAAGTGGTGTTGCTACTAGAAGCCAGCGGGGGGGTTTTGCTGGCGCCCTGTCAGCTTGTTTTGTCTTGCTCTCTTCAAGTCAGATTCTTTGTCTTGGACTTTTACGTCGGATTTGACCTAGTGAGGTTGGAAGGCCTGGAGCAAGGGCTTGGCTACCTTGGTTTGCGATCCGCTTCTTTGTCCAAGGGGCGTTGCATTGCCACTCCGAAAATTCACTTGATATTTTTCTCTCTCGCCCATTTTCCCATGTCTCATGTCTTTACCAAATATGCCAGACAAAGAATGGTTTGAGTAGGAAGGCGGAGCGCTACATGTACATCCTAAGGACAATCTCGTGATACTCCCAGTTCAGCTTGAGAGGGGTCTTAGACTGATTACAGACACAGCTGATGCTAGTTTCTTATATCGAAACCCACATGAGACAGGTGGTTTACGCGGTATGATTTCTTATTGGCAACAATTCTAGGCAACGTCCATGTTTGCTCGAACAGCCTCAGACAAGATGGCTTGGCAAGTAAAAGTATGGAGGTGCATGCAGACATGCAAACTGTTCTTGACACTTTTTTTGTGACCTCTGCAATGCCCGTGAAGAAAAGAGCAAGAATCCTAGGATGTCCATAGCAGTCTCTAAGCAAAATGAAATGATGTTTAAGGACATCATTCTAACAGAAAGGTGAGTCATCTTGAAACACTTGTCTAGCAGTATACAATGAATGAAGTGGGCTTGAAATGGCCCATGTTTGACATATTGCTCTATACTTCAGTTGTAGACCATCATTTAAGAAGGGCTAATCCGTCGTACTGCTATGTGGGAGAACAATATCGTCAGATGTATGACGGCAACTGAAGAACTGAAGACAACATCGTCACCATGGACACCTCTGGAGGACCCTCTCGATCCTCCTCGATGCCTTGCAGCACGCAAGACAGAATCATCATCGGCGTGGACTATGGAACCACAGGCACTGGTAAAATTCTGAATAGACACGGTGTGGAATGATGACCGCTGCTAATGACCAGCTACTTAGGTATCAGCGTCATTATAGTTGAGGGCCAAACGGGTGCCACTCGCTATGAATTCATTACCCAGTGGCTATCCGGTGGAAATCAGCCAAAATTTCCCTCCCGAATCGCATATTCTCGTAACAACCCATCTTTCTCCATGCCTTCTTCGTGCTGGGGAGTTGAAATTCACCCTGACATGAACGCGTGCTCCTGGACTAAGCTTCTGCTGGATCAGAATGCAGAGCTGACTGAATTCGATGACGAGGTCCTGAGGACCGCGGTCTCCTCGGGTATTTTCGATCTGGCGAGTGGAAAAGCACCTGTGGAGATTATTACAGACTACCTGCAGCACGTGTTGAGCTTTGCATGGGGTATAATCAGGCAAAAGTTTGGTGTGTCACTTGATCACCTTCCTATCAACCTTCAGTTCACCGTTCCAGCTACATGGGCCCAGGAAAGTCGGGTATTGAGCAAGCAAGCAGTGACTCAGGCTTGGCGTGGCAAGAGATCACAGGATACAGTAACGCTCATGTCCGAGCCCGAAGCTGCTGCAGAGGCTGTCTACAAGCTACTCCGGTCTGAGCTCAAGGTTGGGGATGGGATTTTGATCTGTGACTGTGGCGGTGGAACTGTGGTATTTCCTCATTTGATATTTGTTGTTTCCACCACGACTGGGGTCAGGCTAAGGAGACTGTTACTTACTGTTTACTTCAAGGATATTGCAACCTATTTGGTCGCGGATTGTGATCAGTTCAGTCTCTCAAGAATAACTGCTGTGCAAGGCATGTGAGGAATTTCTAGATTTAATCTTGTCGCAATACAGTATGGTATAAAGATAACTTACAGAGCGCAAAATGTGTCTAGACATCTTTTTTAGCCGAGTGGTATTCTTTTCCACAGTGCTTTGGACCATTTCACTAATTTCTTGCAGGAGGCAAATGCGGCGGCACAGCGATTGACATTCGACTTTATGATCTTATCAGCAAGCGGCTTTCGGATGCATTTGCATTCTTGAACTATCTAATCGCACCTGGGAGCACATTCATGAATGCCTTTGAAGATATTAAAAGAGATTTTGGCAGGGATGAGGGACAAGACACTTTCAGGTTATCACTCAACGTAAGAAGGGGCCAGAGAACCTGCACTTTGCCATACTATAATTCGAAAGGAAAGGAGTTCATTCTTTCTAGAGAAGACATTCAAAATTTGTTTGACCCAGTTATCTCCAAGATTATTGGCCTGATTAACTCGCAGATCATTGCTGCAGATGAGGAATTTGGCTCCCCTGTGATCAATGTAGGTACGCATCTCAGAGCAAGCTTTGGAAATGGCTAACTTCAGCTGTCTAGAGAATTGTTCTTGTTGGTGGACTAGCTTGTTCACCTTATGTCCAGGCAGCACTTCGTCAATCTTTTGAAATACCAGGAAAGCTGTCAGTGACAGTCCCTATTGGCCAGGAACCGTGAGCTCCCCCCCTGTTGGATGGCGCAACAACGAAAGCACTAACAGCTTCCAAGTATAATGGCCGTCGCTGCTGGCTCGGCACTACGTGGTCTACGGGGAGACTGCCCAGTAGTGCTAAGAAGTCCTCAGCACTATGGATTCGGATCTCCCCAGTCATTGCGCCATAAATTTGATCCTCAGTGCAAGAACACTTGGGATGATTTTAGTGTGCAAATGCCTATCACGAGCATAGCATCATGGGTGATCACTAAGGTATGTTAATTCACTTTCAGCTAGCAGCCTGCCCTATGATCAAAAACACTGACGCTCAGTCGCACCAGGGTTGCCAATATAAGCAGGGATACACCCATCTTCAGGATTTGTCCTGGTTTTACCAAGATGACGGTCCCAAGATGATGACAATACCTGTCTATTCTTGCGGACTAGTGCGCCCACCAAACAATGCTTACCATGGCTGTAAGTAGCAATTTCACTGCGGTTCGCATTGATAGTCTTGCTAACTACTATCAGCTGCTACACTCGCGGGGCTTATTGTCGCTGACTTCTCGTCTCTTGATCTGCAAAAATTCAGTCACAATGTGAGTCACGGAAAGACAGTCTATCAGCTAGAGTATTGTATCAGGACTATCGTTGACGCCCAGAATAGGACTTTGCACTTTACCGCTGCGGCGCTTGAAGAAATAATCGGCACTTTGACTCTTCAAGTGCGCTTTTTGAAATCATCTTAAGCATGCATTTGCTTGAGAAGGTCCCAGGCAAGGTCTCAGGCAAGAGTAAATGATCACCAGGTAAGACTTGGTCAAATTGAAACTTACACCAATGAAGCAAGATCTATTCCACATGTTCAATCAAAATTTGCTAGATGACATGTTTTTCCTGTACCAAAAAGCGACCTCATGTACACCTCTCAATCATCATCATCGCTTTCCCAGTCGTACTCATCGTCGTAGTAATTCTGCTGGTAATTTCCAATAAAATCGACATCACTGCGTGACATTTCTGGTGTTGCGATATACAGTCCCGCTCAAGTCTGTGCCTGATCCTTGAGATCAGTATAATGATGCTGATGGCCAGGTGCCTCTGATACTTTGGCTGAATAGAAGGAAAAGTGTCTTGATCAGGTCATACAGTTGACTTTGGTTGCAATGGCATCTCTCGTACCATGAACTTGTAGTAGATCTTGGGACCCGTCTCGCTGGGCCAGCTCTGTGAGGCTATGATGCAGCGACGAAAATATCGACGCCTTGGCTGGTATAGACCCTTCTAGACTAAACACCTGGAAGATTTCTGGTTAACTCTAACTATTGAAGTGTACATGGCTTTTTTTCACGGGCGGTTGCTTTCTCCAAAGATCGTCGACGGGCAGCAAGCTTTTGTAGAACTAACGAGTTGACATCAATCATCATAAAGCGATACGCTCTCAAAAGCTTGGGGTCTATTATAACCTGCTTAATTATTGGTGACTTGTTAATTTGTACTTTATATATGTCAGTCAAGAAGTAAAAAAGAAAAAAGAAAAACATACAACAGCCGGGATTCGCATGTGGTCACCCACCATACTACTAACCGGCCGGCGTGTGGCTTAAGTACGGCTGAGCGGACGGGAAGCCCTGTTTTCCACACCCTATGGTCGTATGTACTGGGATAACCCCTTTACGAGATAATTCAGGCTACCTGGTGGAGGGGATCTCGGATATTGTTGCGCCACCATGGCTCAGCATGGCACCTTCCTCTAATTGGCAGATATGATTAGTTTGTATTAGCCAGCAGAGCTGGCTGAATAGAAGGACAAGCCTCTTTTCTTCTCTCCTCCCGCATTTTGCGAAGGAAAGTAAGCAGGCCAGCCCCTAGAGGGGCCTAACAGATATCATCAGCTGAACGCAGGGGACAAACTATTCGTAGTAGTCCGTCAACGACGTCGGATTAAGCTGGCGACCGGATCCGTTGAGGAATAGCTCCGTGGTGACCAGTCGGCTGCCTGAACGAAACACTCGGGCAATCTAGGTGAGGGCCGTGCGCTTGTCACTCATATGCAACAGGGACTCGATGGCGTAGGCCCTATCAAAGGAGGCGCCGTCAAATGGTAGGTGGATGGCATTGGCGACCTGGGAATTGATTGGACCACTTGCGTACTGAGCCTGGGCCAATTAAATCTAGTATTTACTGACGCTGATGCCTCGGATCTCAACATCATAGGCGGAGGCGAGGCGAGCAGTCGCTTTTCCAGTGCCATAGCCGACGTCAAGGATGTGATAACTTAGATGCCATGATGGACGTGTACGGATCTTATACATGTGTCGGTGCATCAGACAGCGTGACTGATGAACTCAAAGTCGAGCTTGGCCCAGACAAAGTGGGAAAACTGGGATTCAAGACGTTTAACATGAAAGTTCAACCACCCTCCTCGAGATCAATGCAGGATCGTACAATATTGTCATTTCAACCGAGCTTTTCCGTTGGGGGGCAAAATGTTGTAAAGACGGGTCAAACCTTGCGAAGCCTACTGCGTGTCGGGGGGGTTTTGATTTCAATAGAGTTCACAGGAACGTCACTTTGACCCAACTACTATTACTAGTTTGTAGGTGTCGAGAATGTTGACATTGAGGGCCCCTAGATTACCACTGGGAAATGGGGTATGCTAATCTACCAGAATGGCTTCTCGGGATCGATACCCGTGTACGGTAATCTGTTGATGGATGGCGCCCATCACAGTACATGCATACATTGTTTGTAAATATATTCCTGGTTGAGATCCGGTCTGATAATTGCTAGTGATTGACATGTCGAATTTGGCAGGTGTCATGCTATTTTTATAAATAATTTTTTTTGCTTTTTGAGAATTCAACCTCAGTTACATGAGCCTTGTTGTTTAACCTTGAGATTAAATCTCTCTCTTTTACTGTTTTTGATTTCTAGATCATAGCTATGATTCAACATCTACACCGACCAGAGGATTTGCGGGGTAATGTGTATATAACCAGGAGATAGGACTTGTGATATCTTTCCTTCTATCAAGAGCTATGAGTTTTTACTAAGATCTTGACTTCCTTGAGTAGGCTGGACTGGCAGTCTGGGCCAGAGATAATATCCAGTGGCTGGATACAAAGCTATCAGAAGTTCATTGCGGAGAACTGGTTGCGCTGAAAAGTCTGCAGTGACAGCGAACTACTTGTATTCCAGAAAAACGTGCATGAATTGTTTAGCATTAGACTACAGTATGTGGTCCGTTGACAGTGGGCGTTCTCGAGTACTGCAATTTATAATCTTATTAACTATTAAGGTAGTTTTGAGAACGCCTTTTGTAGTCTGAACTGAGCATTCGGACGATTTGCAGAGCTCATCCAGCTATCTGAGAAGAAAACAAGAAAACAAAGGAAAGAAAAACAAGTCGACTGCTCCTGGCACCTTCGAGCGAGAGTAGCTCACCGCGAATATGTAAATTGCATAATCATAGGACTGCCCTATCCGAGAGACTTACGGTAGTGTTGGCCTGGGGGCATGTTTTCGGAGCTTTTCGGCCCTGGTGGAGGACGTATCGGCAAACCTCTACCCTCTAAAACAGGCAAGATGTTGTTGGAAAAAAACATGGGCGACAAAAGGCTTCGTCGCGGGGATCTAGTATTGTCCAAATCTCTAAGGGAAGGGTGACCAAGACCAGGGTGCTTCCAGCCCGAAATACAGACTCCATCTTCACGTCAACGCCGAGAGCCCCTGGAGGGAGATTCGTTGCCAGCCATCGATTCCAGCTTTGAAGATCAGGAGTGTCTTCCTGCAAGTGGACACTCATCAGAACGCGGTGGTCGACATGTTCTCTTACCTGGGATCTCGTCATCCGAGGCTCCACGCTTTCCCCCCTTATCGAGGTCAAAGGGGCAAGGACGATGCTCGAATTGCCCCTGCGCGCGATGTGTAGCGGGCTGGCGCTTATTTGGCTCTGGTAGGCGTTTCAGTACATGATGACGAAGATCTCGGCTAACGTCTTAGTCTCGCCGGCAAGGTCCTCGAGTGTGTCGATAAGGGCCTAGGTAAAGGAAAACAACGGTTACGAGCCGGCCGTTTGGCCCCAACCGGACACACAAAGACCTTCAGGCCCATCATAAAGGGCGGTCGAGCCCGCAGAACAACAGTCGAAAATGTAGCAGGCGTCCCCTTCCGAATACTTAATCGGATGTTTTACCACGAACCAATCCACTCTTGGCCCGACTAGATCTCCGCGGGCATTTGCTCTGCCGCTATTTTTGCTTGTTTTAGTGTACAGTACTTACTTCCTGGTCAACGGAGAAGGAACATACCCTAGAAATGATTGATCACATTTGGGTTGTCTGTGGCTAGGTCTGTAGAGATATAGGTCCCGCTGAGAATCTTCCCAGTCTTCTGATATTTTGCCGCGTGGGAGGCGTGGCCTGAATAGACACAGATTCTAAGCGTTCTTTTTCCTCGACGACGTTTGCTCCACTCAACAAGCTTGTCGGCCAAGCATTGAGTGGACTGTGCCACTAGGATGGTAAAGGACTCGGTTTCATAACCGTACACTTTGGTGAAGATTTCCAGGAGCTGACTTTCCAAGATCTCCACCTGCATTTCATCGTTGGCCCAATGGAAAGCGAGAACGGAAACCTTGTTGTAGGGTCCATTGTTTGCGATGGCTCTTTCCAAGGCAACTTCAAGATTTCTGGCGAAGTCTTGGAGTCGCTTGGGAGTCTTCGCGATGCGAAAGGCGTGGAGGGGCTTAGAAGACCCCATAGGAAGGACGGTGGGGGATTAACAACTAGACAACAGAACTACTAGAAGAGGAAGAGGATATTAAGGAGAAAATGAGCGAGAAAGAGAGGTGAATTTGGCCGGGAATCGTTCGAGATAGATGCCTTAGTATCAGTTGAGAGATATTGTACTTGAGCATACCATCGACTAGGCAATAGGTTAGCTCACGATGAACAGAACAAGACAAAACCCCTCTGCCTTTTATGTTGGCAACAGAACTTACGGTGTATGATTGTCAGAAGGAAGGTGCGAACAGTGATTACTATAATGTTGGTGAATTTTCCTGTCTATAAGCCTGGTCCAGCACAGATCCAAAACCTTAAGGTAACTAGTGACTGTTCTATGACAGGCACATGAACTTTCTTGAAAAGGCTGCTACAAACAGAGAACAGTTGATTACACACACAGGGGTACTCTGAAGTGATCCACATAGTCTCTTGGTACTGAATATATATAATTAGGTCACTATGACAGAAAAATAAGGTAACTCATTAGTCTCATTCCCCTAGGGTCAAAGGCATCACCAGAAGCCTACCTAAAGACAGATTTATTATATGAGATAGTTTCCTATTAGTATTTGCATTATTTATAGTCTCATGAGATGGATTATAGAAATCTTATCCATGTACGGGGTTTAGGCTGTTTAGACTGTTCAGGTGAGCTTCGGGTGAAAGTTAATAAAGAGCCTGACAGAATACAGGGCGGCAAAACACTCTACCTAACAAATCAACAAAAAAGAAAAAGAAAGAAAACATACAACAGCCGGGATTCGCATGTGGTCACCCACCATACTACTAACCGGCCGGCGTGTGGCTTAAGTACGGCTGAGCGGACGGGAAGCCCTGTTCTCCACACCCTATGGTCGTATGTACCATTTCTTTAGAAGAAATTGTATATAGAGTAGTAATGTGGGCTGCAGAAGTTGAACTATGCATAAGGCCGGCCCTAAGAGCTGACTACCCGATCGGGTCAAGCCAGTTTGCTATCGATAAGACGTCGATCCGCCGACCTTCACTTCTTCCCTCCATCATCCTCTCCAAACATACACATACATCCAATAGCACAACAAACTCACACACGCCAAATTACACACCACCGAACAAGGGAGAAGAAGAAATGGTCAAACCATTGACCTTCAAAGGCGACAAGCCCAAGAAACGCAAACACCGTCCCGCAGACCCCTACACCACCACCCCCCCCACCAAAAGAACCTCCACAGCAACATCACCACCACCGCAATCACAAACCGAAGACGCCGAAAACTCCGCCGAAGACACCAGCTGGGTCTCCGCCGACACAGCCTCCGACCTTGCAGGCCCCGTTCTCCTCGTTCTCCCCTCCGACCCCCCGACTTGCATCGCCTGCGACGCCAACGGCAAGGTCTTTGCCAGCGCGCTCGAAAACCTCGTTGAAGGTGATCCTGCCACCGCGGAGCCGCACGATGTTCGCCAGGTGTGGGTCGCGACGAGGGTAGCTGGGACAGAAGCGATTAGTTTCAAGGGACACCATGGGAAGTATGTAGCCGTCTTTACGCCACTCTCTGCTTGCGCTCAATGCATGAGAAAACCAATCGCAGAATGTTAATCACAATTTGTATAGATACTTAAGCAGCGACTCCCACGGTATTCTCTCATCCACCGCATCTGCCATCGCCCTCCCGGAATCCTTCCTCGTCATCCCCTCGCCTGAAATCGGCGGCGCTTTCGCCTTGCAGACTTCTTCGGCGGGCGACGGCATCACCGACGATACTTTTGTCTGTGCGCGGGAGGCCCCCTCCGCGAAGACGGCGTCCGGGACGACCGTTGACATCCGCGGTGATGCGACGGCGCTGTCGTTTGAGACGACTATCCGGATCCGTATGCAGGCGCGCTTCAAGCCGCGCATTAAGCTGAGCAAGGAGGTGAAGGCGCGCGAGAAGGTCAGTCGGAAGGAGTTGGAGGAGGCCGTGGGGAGGCGGTTGGACGATGACGAGGTGAAGAGGTTGAGAAGGTCGCGGAGGGAAGGCAATTACCATGAAGAATTGCTGGATGTCAAGGTGAAGGGGAAGCATGATAAATTTGCCTGATGTTTTCCCTTTTGTTCTTTTGTTGATTTTTTATTTTTTATTTTATTTTGATTTTATTTTATTTTTTTTCCGGGGTCATTGGAAAGGGTCTTGATACTGGGATGATTAGAGTTTATTTTATTCTGGCTACAGCTGGTATGTCAAAATTTTTGCATATTCTTTGTATTATACATTGATCATTTACATAGGGGTATCACGCAATCCAACTCCTGTCAGGCCAAATGATGCTCTGGATCTTATGGAGCCGACCACCGAGATCGATGAAGCATGAAATCGCGGTGCACCGTCCTGTTGGTCACTGGTACCGGGTAGGTGTCGGTCGGGAGAACGCTCTTCTTGCACAGCGGACAGAGACAGCTACTCTGCGTCAGAGCGGTGTCGATGCACTGTGGGTGGAAGATATGCCCGCAAGGTAGCTCTCGAACCACCGACATGCCCGATTCGTACTCCTCAAGGCATATTGCACACATGGTTTGTGTGTAGCTGAGGCGACTGCGGTGACCCGCGTGCGGGCTGGCTGGGCAGCTGGAATGGGTCGCGCGGACAGTGGGGTTGTCGGCGTGGGATTCATCCTCCTCGTCTCCACTTGTTTTCTCGGTTCCTGTCTTGCTTTCCTTATTCGTCTCCCTTTCATCGTCTGTCCTTTCCAAGGTCGCCCTCTCCATCTTGATCTCGGCGCACTTCTCATCGAGCTCCATGCGCCGCTCACAAGTCTCGTCGGACCGGACGGACGAGCCGTCATTCGATCCAGAGTTCCTGGACTGTGGCTCTGTCTCGCTCAGCGTACCCTGGTCTGCATATATGTACACCGGAATAGTGTCGATTATCTCGCGCGGGACTTTGATCTGGTGGAGCCCCAGCTCCTCCAAGTCTGCTTCGCCTGCTTCAATCCGACGCCGTAGGTTTTCCCGCCGTCGGCTTTGTACAAGCTGGTAGCACATCAAAAGAATGATACTGAGCACTAGAATGGTACCGAGAATCGCAAGGATGAACCCCCAAAGACTGGGCATTTTACTCTCCCCGTGTTCTGCGTCGAGGGAAATTATGTTAGCCGTGATGTGGAACAATAGGGGTGGAACGTGCTCACCTAAATTGATTAGAGTGATTAGGCGGATGATCCCTGGCTCATCTGACATACTGTCATTTTGAAAATCGGGAGGGATCGTGTCCCCCGAATACATCGACAACTGGTTCATCAAGGTTGCACCCGCGAGCCCAGGGATCGCGTAGACGGGGTAATTGTTCTGGCTTTTCCATTCCTCATTCTCGTCTAGCATCCACGCCGAGTCCTTTGGCCCTGGCGGTTTGGTGTTGTCATGGGACGGGATGTAGAACACCAGCGCATCAACCTCCATGCGCTGTGAAGAATCGAGGAACGATTGTGTGCATTCGGTAGAGATCCATGGCGCCAAACCGATGGTGTTATATTCGAACGGCAGGACATCCTGGTGGCGGGTGACATTCGGGGGTATGAACGGGGTGGTAAGATTGTTGCACGGATCATTGTCATCGAGACCAGGAACAAACAGTAGTCCCTTGATCGGGTCTTTGGGTGGGGAGTTCGTCGTGGACAAAGTCTGTACGGTCCCATCTAGCACCACATGGAAGGTTCCACTGCCCTATCAGATCATGAGTCTTTCCCGGCTTCCAAGAAGTCAAATCCGACAGAAGACCTACATTGACGGCTGGTGTAGCGCTATTAGCTCCCCCCGGGCCCGTAAAGAGCGTGGCCGCGGTTGTGAGAGATCGGGCAGCTGGGGCAGAGTCCATTAGTCTATTGAATAAGAAGATTAATCACATTCAACTCAGCCCACGGAGAAGACGGTATCATAGTAGCACAAGATACCGGGGGTTTGCGAAAAAAAAAAAAAAAAAGTAGGAAAGAAAGGACAACTATACCCATAGTCAGAAGGTAGACTTCAACCGCTCATCGAGAACCAGAAAGCTGGTCGCTTAAGATTCAAATAGAGTGCCTGTACATGATGGCTTTTATCGGGGCGGTGTATATGCAAGATGTACGATAGCGACAGCCGGCTTGTGAGGAATGCAAGAGTAGAATTCAATAGTTCGATAAAAATGCCAACGGATCGCACAGAAGGACTTGACGAACTTGAAAAACGCTGCATTCAATGGATTCCATCATCCAAGGGTAAAGAAAAGGGTTGGGCGGCCGGTAGGATCCAGCCGGTCCTGGACCCCTTCGTTGATCCCATGAAGGGCGTTGCTGTTTGCGGAGGGACAGGAATGACGTTTGCGGATATGCCGGGAGGAACCATGGATGAGTTGGAATTTGTAGGAACTCCAAAGGACCCGAATGAGACGTTCCCAGTCCAGACCAGCATGGAATGAACCATTTATATAAAGAAACCGCAGTTACCCCAAATTCCAGCATTGGAAGAATTGGTGAGAACAGGGAGGATCATCAATCATTATGCAGGCGGCCGTCACTCCCGAGGGCTGGTTTGGTATAGTAGTACAATATGCATACTATATAGTAGCACAAGTGATGGAAGCATGGTTAGAAGAAAAAAGGGGTCCACCCCAAAGTCTGGAAAAAAAAATTTGATCTGTAACAGTGTCACCCAAAGGGATCAAGGAAGGATGATGATGATGAAAGGAGGTAAAGAAGTTGCCCTGCAGTGGTTCATGGTTACTCACCGCATCGGGTAAGGCCTCAAGGCCTCGATCGGGCGACCTAGCCACGTGATACATGTAGATCAGGTGAGATCAGGTGAGATCAGGTGATATAGATCGCATCACGTGCATAGTCCGGGGTAACGACGTCGGCCGTTCTTTATCATTGGAACGGGATGCGTTGCGCGACGTCAACAAACTCCCCGCGTCACCTCTCTTGCCCAGTCCAGTACCCTACGCAATCTGGCGACAAATTCTCGCCCAGTTTCACGATCTGAACTCCAATCCATCGTCTGGCCTCCGGTCCAGATCCGAACGTCCCAGACCCCTCAACATCATGGGCTGTTGAGCCCCGTCACTGCCCAGACAGATAATCGCATATCAAACAAACCTTTATCGCAACCTCCATATTCGGTCGCGACCCCGACAATATTGACCATGCCTTCTGCTCACAAAGGCAAAGGCAAGGGGCGCGACGTGCGACCGCCGCGCAGCCGCAACACCACCCCGAGCTCCAGCTTCAATACCGTCCCGACCAGCACTCCTCACCCCCCCTCGACCTACATCAATAATGATACATCGAAGTTCATCATCCCCACGACCGTACAATATTCAGAGATCCTCGAGCGAATGGGCGGGGTCGGGCCCATTCCCGATTCCAAGTCCCTCGAATCGCTGGTGGAACATTTAAAGGTCCTGGGTGATCTGGCAGAGGCCCGCGGTGATGCCTGCAACGCCGGCATTCGGGAGCTATCCCAAAAACGCAAGGAGGTGGTGGAAGACCCGGAACCTTTCGAAACCGACCGTCCAAAGATGAAACGGGAGGCCGACGAGGAAGAGGACAGCCCCAAGGCATTCAAAGGTGGCAAGTTGAAGAAGCGGAAAGAACGGGGCAGCAGTTCGAGGGAGGACCGTCCGTTGAACCATGGGGCGCACGAGCTTGCGCGACAAGACGGCGCGGGGGTGAAGCCAGAAGGTGGTAAGTTTGGCCGGATGATGATTTGCGATTTCTATCAGTATCACTGGGTTGCACGGCTAACTTGACGGGATCCAGTAACTTCCCCGGCATCCAAAAAGTCGAGGAAGGCCGCCTCCGAAGACACCTCCTCCTTGTCGCCTCCGTCGCCAGGATCCCCGAAACCCGAAGCAGACGCGGCCGACGGTGCAGCGGCGGCTGAATCGCCAGGGTCGGATGATAGCTCAGACTCGCATCAGCCGGAGCCTGCCCCCGCCGTGCCCCAGGTCCAGGTGTTCGGCCCGAACCCGCTCAAATTCGATGATCCGACCGTTTATGAGATCCGAGATGTCACGCCGGACATGACCGACGATCAGAAGAAGGAGATTTACTGCGTCAATCGTTTCCCCAAGACCGACCTCGTTCACCTCATGGCTGGGATTCCGCCGGATCGGGACTTCAGCAATGCCAAACCTACGAATCAGGTCTCTGCCAACACGTTTCTAGCCTATATCGAGCCATATGTCCGCCCTTTGATGGAGGAGGATATTGCATTTCTGAAAGAGAAGGTTCGACCCCCGGCTCTGAATCTACGCGTTAAGCTTCCGCAAGACTAACTCTATGTAGGGCGATCGATCAACCCCGTTCATTATGCCCAGACGCGGCAAAAAGCACTACACCGAGATCTGGGCCGAGGAGGACGGAATGATGAGCATTGACCAAACCAACGGCGACAAAGAACGCCTGCCACTAAACCAAGGCCGCGGCAACATCGACCAAGTGACCGACGACACCGTCGAAACCGACAAAGTGTCCGTGGGCCCGCTGGTCAGCCGGCTCTACTCGCTCCTCCGGTACGAGCACCGCCCGGCGTCGGACGAGAGCACCAACACCAACGGCACCGTCAACGGGGACCTCCCCAACGGAGCCCTCAACGGCGGCGACTCCATGGACCTCGACGCCCAAATCGGTGGAGGCAGCGGCGGCGGCGGCGGTGAGCCCTCCTCCGAGACCAAACCCCAACCATCAGCGACCTCCTTTCCCGACGCCTCCCCCAGCGGATTCAAAGTGCCCGCCGCCAAACTCGACCACTCGCAGCTCGACGAGCGCCTGAAGGCCGAACTCCGCCACGTGGGCTTTCTCAGCCAAGACGACAACCCGGACTACGACGCCCACTACGACGACGACATCGCGCAGCGACTCCGCCTCCTCCAAAGCGAGCTCAAAAAGCAGATGATCGCCAACAGCGCCCGCAAGGCCCGCCTCCTCGAAATCGCCCGCGAGCGCATGGCCTTCCAGGAGTACATGACCATCCACGACGACCTGGACTCGCAGGTCCAGCAGGCCTACCTGAAGCGCACCCGCACGCTGGGCAAGAGCAAGAAGGGCGCCCAGGCGAAGCATCGCCCCGGAGGCGCCGGTGGCGGCAGCCACGTCGTCAGCGCTGCGGGCGTCGGCCGCCCCGCTATCGGCGACGTGGCGCGTACTCTTCTCGATCGCCGCAAGCGCTGGCAAGAGTGTATCGGTCCGGTGTTCAAGGATTGTAAGACGTCTGTTCCTCGTCAGGATGAGACGATCTTTGACCCGGCGATTATGGCGGACTATGAGAAGGCGGAGGTGGAGGGGTGGGATGAGGAGCAGGAGTGATAATTTTTTTTTCTTTCTTGTCTCATCTTTTCTTTCCTTCTTTTCTTTCTTGGTTTCTTTTCTTTTTCATTTTCTTTTTATTGTTTTCCCTTTCAGGTGTACATCTTTCCAGCCTTTGTTTATTTTAGCTTGGCGCCTCGTCGAGTACGATTTCTTTAAAGAGTGGAAGAGGTCCGGCGTCGTATGGAATTGGGGTATGAGGTCTTTTTGATATTACACGGAGGCGTTGGTGATGCTCGCTTGCTCTCGGTTTTTCTTTAACAGCGGATACAGCGATGAGAATTGGAAAATCTAGATACAACAATTATGCCTATCGAACATGGCAGATTGTAGGTTTCGTCCATTTTGGGGTATCAAAATTGTAATGTGTGAGGTATATAGATCAAGAAAGATGCTGGGGTTAGATTGCTGTCACCGGTGGATGATCAGGACTTCGCCCGCATATCTCTTCAACCTGGTTGTCAGCTCTCGTTCGCTGATTTCGAGCTCCGTGCAGATCTGGTCGAAGCAGTGCATTCCGTCGAGGTATTTCGACAGGCTCTTGTCGTCTATGAAGTCGTCGTCATCGATGACGACTGTTCCTGGTCGGCTGCCGTTCGGCGTGGGCCCCAGAGACGCTATGGGGGCGGACTCTTCACCCACGCTCGAGGCATATGGGGTATTCGTGCCTGTTCCAGGTCCGCGCGAGGAGGCACCGCTGGGAGGCTGGGAAGAATGGGGGTGATGGTGGTTGTGGGGGGCGAAGGATTTCATCGGCGGGGCGGGGAATCCCGTCGCTACGGCGTACTTGTGAACGCGATACAGGAATCCCTTGATGATGCCGAAGGTGATGAACCGTCTGATGTCAATGTGGGCGAGTTGGCGGCTGTGCAGGATGTACCATTGCTTGACGCTCTGGCCTTGCTTGAGACTCGCGTAGAGCTCGATCAACCCGACGCCGTCGACCGTGTCTCTTTCTGCGGCTTGATTGTCTTCGGTACCGGTTGCTATGGTGCTTGGTAGTGTGGCATTGGCGGAGGCAGAATGAACCGAGGCTACCGCGTTTGTGAGACTGGGACTTCTTGGGCTGTGACTGCCGCTCGCGGTGCTTGCTATCTCGCTGGCACCACCGGCGGTGGACGCGTTTCCGCCCGTGGAGTCAAAGACGGTGGTGACGTAACGGGCGCATTCCTCTTGCATGTCTTGGTCGGACGCGAAGGTGGAGCTGAACTGCGCCGTGAGGGCGTAGATGGCCGAGAAGGAGAAGATATCAAGGAGGACGAGGCAGCCGTAATAGAGAAGGTGGCGGATTGCGCGACAGGTGAGGGAGAAATCCGTGTCCGAAAGGATGGAGATGATGCGAATGCTGTTGACACCGTTGATGTGAGGCACGACCTTTTCGTTCAATTAGCTCATATCTTACAGCATCGAGTGTGTAATAGTTGATCGCAAGGGCCGCATACGCGTTGCATGGTCAAGTCCCAATTCTCGTCCATGAAGGCTTGATATCGCACCGTAAACAGCGGAACTTGCCAGGCCTTGACCGGTGGAGGGGCCGGATACACGGGGAAAAGTTTTATATTCAGCGTGTTCAAATCATCTGTCCCATGTGTCAGTCGCCGGTTGGCCTCCCTGGAGAAACGCCCATACCGATAGGGATCATGCACTCGCAGTAATTATTGAGGTCCTCCATCAAGGTCTCGCACAAGCTGTACACTTTGCCCTCCCCAGACTTGGAATAGTCCCTGGACAGAAACTGATTCTGTTCCTCGAGCCCGTGCATTATATCCGCCAGCTTCTGGACCACACTTTTGTATATATTGAAATCCTCCTCCTCCGGCAGCACCACACAAAAGTTGAAGATGAACTCATTGCGGTCGTAGCGAGTGGACTTCATACAGATCGGGTATCCTAGGATCCGATATCCATTGATACAGACCTGAATCAGGTTCCCACAGAGCTCCTGGCGCGGAATCACGAAAAAAGAAATGTCGGGGAAAGGGAGGAAAAGAGGTTGCGCGGGGGCCGTGGGCGAAGGAACAATGGCGCCATTTGGGACTTGGTGCACCACCTTGGGGCCTGTTCCATTATCACAAGATTAGAGTCTTCCTAGGTCAATGGTCGGGAGAGGATCCATGGTCAGCTTACCTTCCTGGGTATCGAATTTGCTATAGAAGATAGCTTTGATCATGGTGAACGAGGGGCGCGCTATTTGAATGCGTGACCGATGGTGATCAAGAGAGAAAGCCCGGGAAGAAGCGAGAGAGTCATCTTTTCAAAAACGCGTTATGGAGTAGATGCGTCCATTGTATGCCGTGTATGCCGGACTCTCCCGTACATGGGATGGATGAAATGAGGTTAAGGTGGAGGAGAGTTCCAAAAATCGGAGAAGTCGCGGGGAAAGCAAAAGATGAACGTGGAGAACCCGGCGGTGACCAAACCTTGACTTCGGGCTAAACCAGACTAGTATTTTCTAGTTTCTTGCTTGTCGTCGATCCCCGTCGGTGGTTTCAAGTTTCCACGCGAGTTTATCAGTGAAGATTCCCGCCGTGTCTATCTCTATCATTCATATCATGAGGGACTCTGCCAAACGAACCGAATCCGGAATAAAGTCATGTTGAATCCTAAAATAGTATCTACCGGGTTGAGCCAACCAAAGTTTCCCCAACACCGAGTCAAATCTAAAAGCAAAAAAAAATAAAAAATAAAAACACCACATGTTATCAAGCAATTTTAGACAGCGCTGAGATAAAATGCAGTCGACCACGGGGTATTAGACGGACTGGTCTGAGCAGATTTGCACTGGAAAGTCAAGGACTGCCAGCTTCAATCTGCCACCTCAGACCACGTAGAAAGATCATTACGCTTGAGATAGAGTAGCAAGAAAGACCACCGTCGAAAGCGCCACCAATGCAGAAAAAAACCAAGCGGAGAAACCAGAGGATCAAAAATAAAGGAAAGATCGGAGGAAGAAAAAGAGAGAGGCACAGAACGGTTCGCTCAATCTGAATAATTGTCGACAACCATAGACCACAGGTCCAATCCATGTGACAAGTTACCGGGCTGCCCCCGACGAATGTGGAGGACGACGAATCGCACTGCGTGCGGAAAGGATCCCCGACGGTAGGAACGGTCGAGACAGGGATGAGAGAGAAGCAGATGGCCGAATGCTTGTCCTACCCAGATGGGGCATGGGGGTGGTGGACAAGTCCCACAGGAAATTCAGCGGCTGGCCCATCCGAATCGCATTGAGTACGTCTGGATAGCTTCCGCGTTCCCGGGCTTCCTTCAACCACTGTTCCCAGTCCTCGTCCAGCGGGACATGGACGCCGCGTTCCCGTGCGGCGCTTGCTGCAAGGAGCCGGTGGTTGAGTTCGACCCCACAGCTCTCCATTTCCTCGTCGCTGGAGTCTTCCTCCGACTTCTCTTGTGTTTCGCACTCGACCCCCCGGTCATCAACGGGTGCGCTCGAGGACGTGGCGAGGGCGTCTCCTTGCTCTTCAAGGACGGGGGTTGATTCTTGGTTGTGTTCCACACCCCCATCGAGGTGGACATGGATGGATGGAAGGGGCGAGGGCGAGGCCGGTCGGACACCATCCGCTGTAGTATCTCGTACTTTTACTCCCTCTTCCTTCTCGTATCGCTGGCGCGCCGACTTGGTCCCTTCCCAGCGACATAGCGACGAGATCTCAGCCTCGGTGAGCCCGAGATCGTCGAAAACGCGGAAGAGCCGTCGGTGCCATGGAAACCGACTGAGTCGCATACGGTGGGGCCGGTAAGAGTAGTCCAGACCGGGGTACTGGGCTTCGACGGAGTCTAGCGATCCATAGAAGGTTGAGGTCTCGATACGAACTTCGGGGACGAGATTACGTGTGATATGCGCGGAGAAAGTCGCCGGGTCTCCCGTGCGTGGGCGAGGGAACGTTGCGCTGTGCACAATTTGAGCCAGCGAGGGTTTGTGCATGGCGATGGCAGATCGAGGACTAGCTTGTGGGGTGGGTGGGAGGTAGAAGTATACCCGGAAGACAAATAACAATCAAAACAAGTGAGCAAGATATGAGGGTGAAGGGGAACAAAAGGGAAACCCCAAAGGGACAGAAATGTTTTGGGGGAAAATACAAATAAAAGAGAGGAAAATGAAACAACAAAAGTAGACCAAAAGCGCGCAGAGATTATATAACCTTTTTTTATTCCTGGCAGGAATTCTAATATCAGGGGAGATGCGCCAGAAACGAATTGGAAGGGGAAGGAATCCAATTAACTGTTTGCGGAAGGGCGGGAAAGGTCAAGGATCGTCCGTCAGTATTGATAGGGAAGAAAAATGAAAGACAAGCCAGAGTTGGGGCGGGCTAGATGGTAACGATGATGGATCTGGAATGCCCGATCTCACCAAAGTTTCAGCTCAAAGGGGAATCACGCAGTATGTGGCTGTTGTATAGGTGTTGTGTTGTTGGTGTCGGCGTGGGCGTAAGAATGACCCCACGGAGTTGAGGTGTACGAGGAACCGCAGAAGATGCAGTAGTTAGATGATGAGTGTGGCGGTGACGATGCTTATGATAATGCTTATGATGGTCGACGGTCGATAACAAACAACCCCACGATCCTTTCTTTCCTCGGAGAGGAGGGGGGTGGATTTCAAATGAAAGGATCTTTTAACCCCTGGAGGGTTGATGATGTGACACACCACCAGAAAGCCTTGGCCAACTAGATCGAACAAGAGAAGATCCTGTCCATTCTGGTCGGTAAAAAAACAGGAAAAAAGGGAACGGCCCTAGGTATGAAGGAGGGATGGATAGATAAAACGTGAAGAGGAGAAACAGACGACACCAAAAGGATTCCGTACTCTCGTCTGGTGGATCTTATATATATATCTCTCTCTGTATTGTCGACAAGTCGAAAAGAGTAGAAACCATCGGCTGACACGGCCAACGCATGCAAATGACCAGCGCATCGGAAAGAGCACGCTTTCCAGCCCATGGGCCCGTTTTCACCGGTATTTAGTTACCTAAATCCACGGGAAAAATGAACTGATACGTATGTAGGTGGGCTGGGTTCGGAGTTAGTCAACCCAAATCATCCCAAAAAGGTCCAGTAAACTAATCGGTCTTTTTTCTTTTCCTTTTCAATTCTTGTTCCAAATCGACAGCACTGCGTTGGCGGGCGGGTCTGCTTCCTATCCACTCTCCGCCTCACCCTGGCTAGACCCATCTGCAAGGCCACTTGGTCGCCGTCTCTGTCGTGGTTTCATGCCGGATCCTATGTAGGCGGTAGCCAAATTGTAAGGTACTTGAAAATGGGAAACATCCGACTAGCGAGAACACAGATGTTCTTGGGGAGTTTGCTCTGCAGTACAGGGGATGGTGGGGTCTCCTTCTTGTATAGTGATGGTAGGGATTATGTGTGGGCTATCATTTCTCTATGAACCGATAGACGATTGACCAGTAAAATGAGGAACTACATTACCTAGTAGTGGCATGGCCGATTCAGCTGTGATGAGTTGGTGAAGTGAGGTGGAATCAACCTTGAAGTCGTCCAACTCTCGATATCGGGACGGTCACGTGTGGCATCCGTAGTCATGAGCATCGCAGCCTGGACACCTCAGGAACCAGAACGAGAAGAAGACTTGAATCTTCCATACTGGCGATACAATCTCCATCTATCCAGTAACCACTTGGCCATGACCCCCCACGTCGCCCGTTCCTCCGTCATTGTGTCGAGAGATCAGACTACGTGATGTCGACCTTTGATGGGGTTGTAGAAGGTATGTCATCTGATGGCTGTCATCCACGAGCTAGCCAACGACAGCTAATGATATTTGATAGAATTCCCCGAAATCCAAAGTATGTCCAATCACTTTAATATCATCGGATTGGTTGCTGAGACATCCAGTCGATTACTTCCGAAAAAATCAAGATAGGCCGCCTCTGGCATGCTTTCTCAGCCATGTCCACAGTGACCACCTTCAAGGGCTGGAGTCTTTTCGCTCCCCTTTCATCTACTGTTCGGCGGCGACTAAAGAGGTATTCCCTCCGAGATGTTTTTCAGGGGCGACATGCTGACTATGCAGTTGCTTCTACGCATTGAAAAATATCCCCATCGGATGAATTTCAACAAAGGAATCCTGGAGGCACGACGACTACACTATAAACACCTATCCAAACTTCTGGTATTTCGCTTGGCCATTTCAACCGTCTAAGTTCTTGTTATACTTATAGTCTATAGAGACCGATCCCTTTGGACACTCCAACGGAAATCGAGCTGACTCCCCGGGTCTCAATCCGGGTCACGCTTCTAGATGCCAACCACTGTACCGGGGCAGTGATGTTTCTGATCGAAGGCGATGGAAAAGCAATCCTATACACAGGAGACATCCGCGGTATTTCTTCTGTCGCGCATGCTGTCACTTGCACTAACAACAGACAGCTGAAACCTGGTGGGTCAACAGCCTCGTCCGACACCCGGTTCTTATCCCGTACACGCTGGGGAGAAAGAGCCTCGACAACATATACATCGATAATACTTTTGCACGCCAGTCGCACATCTACCGGTCCTTTCCGTCTAAAGCGGAGGGGCTAGCGGAACTTTTGCAAAAGGTCACGTCTTACCCATCAAACACGGTCTTCTACTTTCGAGCGTGGACCTTCGGCTACGAAGAGGTGTGGACTGCGCTGTCAGCGGCTCTAAATTCTAAGGTAGGGAGTTGCACTGCAAGTGTATAAATGGATACATTCTAATGTGTTCAGATACACGTGGATCGGTACCAAATGGGCATATACAAGGCTCTAACATCCCCGGGGAAGGGCGATGGTATAGCAGCCTCGCTCTGCGGGTTTGCACTCGGGAATAGAGTAGTTACAGGCTGCCTTAGCGACGACGAAAACGCTCACGTCCATAGCTGTGAACCAGGCCTGAATTGTCCGGTGCTATCTTCCGAAAACACGGTCTTCATAACCCCAATTGTCAACCGAACCAGAGACGGGTCCCAACTCCCCGAGGTCGGCGCTGGCGGTGGAGGTGGAGACTTGTACCAGACCCACGACCTTGAGCTCCCAGACCAGTCAGCCCTAGACCAGCTGGACAAGCTGTGTCTTGAGCGCACCCACGACCCCCGTGCGTTGGAGCAAGTAAGGAAGACACTCGCGCAGGCATTTTGGTCAAAGAGCCGAACGCTCTCGCTCGACCGGTATGGAATCAAAGACGAACACGACATACCTCTTGAGAACCTCATCAACGTCCTCAGTCGGGGTTCTACGGGCGGGAGTCGGTGGGATTTCAGGGATACCAGGCCATCGGACCCGCTGCCCAAGGTTATTGTACGTATTACCAGCCAGCATTTGGATCGTGATCTAATCCAGGCAATCCAGCACTTTCCCTACTCCCGTCACTCCTCCTACGCCGAACTCTGCGGACTGGTCGCTGCATTCCATCCAAAGGAGGTGTTTCCATGCACAGTCGACGCGGGAACTTGGAATGAAGATATCTCAATGGAGAGACTGTTTGGACATTTGTGCACGGGGACAAGCTTTTCCCACGACAACTACATGCGAGACATAGCCAACAGTGGCCAACGGAAGCGGCGTCGATTATCGAGCAATGGGATGACAACGTTTGTGAGTTCGACAGAATTCCTCTATCGAGTTCAATAACTATGCCAGGTTCCAAATCATGCCCTGGACTTGAACCCTAATGCTTAATTTAAATCTTACATTCCCCTCGAATCTTCACACTTCACACTTTATCTCCATGTGGGATTTTAGCTGATATGCTCTATCCAGCACCAAGAACAAAACCCCACCTTCCAGCAGTATAACACCCCTCCAACCCCTCCAACCCCAACACCACCATCACCAGCGCACCCAAGCCCCCCACCAGCCGTGCCCAACACCCTCGCATTCCCCACCTCCAACAAGGAAACAAGACGCGCAAAACACGACGAAATCCGTCTCGCACGGCGTTTCCTCCAAAACAATAACAACAATAACGACAACAACTCACCCGAAGCACAAAAGACTCACATTGAACTCGAATCCCTCCCATCCTCTTGGACCAGCAACGACACCACAACGTCTCAGGGTCAGAACCAATCCCAAAATATAACCGCCCCAGCAAAAAGTCCCTCACCAGCACGCGACGACACCACCGATCTCAACCTCAACCCTATCCCTAGCATCGACGCCCCAAATCCTCACTCGCAAACCCCGTCCATCACCTCCTCCTCTTTACCTTCCCAAGACCAACAGCAGCAGCAGCAGCAGCATCCCCTCACCGAAACCAACACCGAATGGCCCATCGACGACCTCGAACCCAACCATAATAATCACCACGAAACGGAAACAAACCCCCACCGCCACGCAGCCTACCTCGCCGCACAAGCAGATAGTTACGATGCGTGGGCAGACGTGGGACTCGTTTCCGCGGGCGACAATCACTGTGTGGAGGAGGTTGAGTTGTAAATTATAGCTAGGAGGTCCTAACCCGAACGATAACCTGTATGTAAAACATGATATAGAATGTTGAAGAAACAATTGAATAGACGAAATATATAAACCCAGCAATGAATACCGAGAGAAGGGTATCAAAAGCGTAACTAACCGACTAATCCACACACACATACCCCTTCTCCTCCCCTTCATCCACTCAAACAACAACCCAACACCCTATACAACATGTACAAGTATCCATCTCTACCCCCAAGGCAACACAAAAACGTAATCAAAAGAAAGAGAAAGAGAAATTAATAGACAAAATAATCCTGCGTTAACGGCAACACCGTCGCCGGCTGCGCATCGCACAACATCCCATCCGCCTCCACGGTATAACTCTCCGGATCGACCTTCATCTTGGGCATCGCGTCGTTATGCTTCATGTCTGCTTTGCCGACCGAGCGGCAATTCTTGACTGCTTCGATGCGCTTCTTGATGTTGTATTTTTGCACCGTGCCGCTGTCGATGGAGGCTTGCGAGACCCACATTACTGAGGTTGAGGGGAGGAGGGTCTGGTTTTGTTTTGATTAGTTTGGGTGTGTCTTTTTTGGGGGTGGAGGGTTTGTTTGTTGGTTAGGTAGGTGTATGAGACTTACGGCGAATTGGGGACGCATGATTATTGGCTGAACGGTGGGGATGGAGCCGTTGGGGTCGCCCTTTGGTTCTTGTTAGCGAAGGTAGTCCTAGGGTGGAGGAGAGGAAAGGAAAGAAAAGAAAATACCATATGAGAAGCAGCGACCATCCCGCTCTTCAACACTTGGAACGGCTTGGTTCCAAAAGAACTAGGATACCAAAGCACCAAATCCGCCAGCTTGCCGACCTCAACACTCCCAATCAAATGGGACATGCCCTGCGCGATGGCCGGGTTGATCGTATACTTGCTGATATACCGCTTCACGCGGAAGTTGTCCGCGCCCGTGCCCTCGTCTTCCTTGAGCGGGCCGCGCTGATCCTTGTTCTTGTGTGCCGTGTTCCACGTGCGCAGGATGACCTCGCCGCAGCGGCCCATGGCCTGCGAGTCGGACGACATCATGCTGATTGCGCCTAGGTCGTGCAGCACGTCTTCGGCGGCGATGGTCTCCGCGCGGATGCGGCTCTCGGCGAAGGCGACGTCCTCGGCGATGTTTTTCGACAGGTGGTGGCAGACCATGAGCATGTCTAGGTGCTCGTCGAGGGTGTTCATCGTGAAGGGCCGGGTGGGGTTCGTGCTGCTGGGGAGTACGTTCGGGTGCTCCACGACGGAGATGATGTCTGGGGCGTGGCCGCCGCCGGCGCCCTCTGTGTGGTAGGTGTGGATGGTGCGGTTCTTGAAGGACTCGATGGTCTGCTCTACGAAACCGGACTCGTTGAGCGTGTCCGTGTGGATCATGCATTGCACGTCGAACCTGTCGCAGACTTCTAGGCAGGTGTCGATCGCGGCTGGCGTCGAGCCCCAATCCTCGTGCAGCTTCAGCCCCGCAGCGCCGGCGACGATCTGCTCCTCGATGCTCTGGCCACCGCAGTCGTTTCCTTTGCCGGTGATGCCGATGTTGAGCGGCAGGCTGTCGCAGGCCTGGATCATCTGGCGCATGTGGATGGGCCCCGGGGTGCAGGTGGTCGCGTTGGAGCCGGTCGACGGCCCTGTGCCGCCGCCGAGGAATGAGGTGACCCCCGAGGCGAGCGCCTCTTCGGCCTGCTGCGGGCAGATGAAGTGGATGTGGGTGTCGAAGCCGCCGTAGGTCACGATCTTGTTCTCGCCCGCGAGCACGTCCGTCGAGGAGCCAACCACCATGCCGGGGTCGACGCCGGACATCATGTCGGGGTTGCCCGCCTTGCCGATGCCGACGATGATACCGTCGCGAATGCCGATGTCCGCCTTGTAGATGCCGGACCAATCAATGATGAGCGCGTTCGTGATGACCGTGTCCAGACACTCCGCGTAGGACCGACCGGACGCCTGGCCCATCCCTTCGCGAAGGCTCTTACCGCCGCCAAAGCTACATTCGTCGCCGTAATTCGTATGGTCTTTCTCGACCCGGACCCAGAGGTTGGTCATGCCCAATCGCACCAGGTCACCGGTCGTGGGGCCGAACATGCGCGCGTAGGCTTCGCGCTCCATGCTGTACGCGGACACCAGGGCCGCATCCGCCGTCGGCTCGGGGACATGGGCGAATCCTTGGACCTGCAGGCGGGACATGATCTCTTCGGCGCGACTGATGTCGACCTTGCCGGAGGCGATGAGATTGCCACCGCGGATGATCTGGTGGCCGCCGATCTCGACGAGGGTGACGGTCTTGGTGTCACCCGGCTCGAACCGCACGGAGGTGCCCGCCGGAATATCCAAGCGGAAGCCATATGCGCGCAGACGATCGAAGTGCAGCTGGGGGTTCACCTCGATGAAGTGGTAGTGCGATCCGACCTTGCCAGCGTTGGCCGGTTAGTTTCTCTGGTTCCGTCCGTTCGCCGAGTGGGGGGAGGGAAACCCGCGATGACCCACCTGGATTGGCCGATCGCCCTTGCTCATGACCTTGAGCTTGATCCGCCGACGGCCCTCGTTCAGCGTGATGCGATCGTGTTTGCCGGGGAGAATGACCCCGGGTATATTCTCGGGGTGGTAGTCGTCGGGATCCGGGTCGGGGAAGGCATCTGCCGGGGGGATGGGGAGGAAGCTCCCGTACAGGGCCTTTTCAAGATCGCCTTCATTGCTACTGACCGGGTGCTGGACGGTGACGAGGTAGGTTCCGGTGGGAAAGGTTCCTTCGACCTGTATTTCGGAGAGGGTGGCCGTGACGGAGGGCAAGACATGGCGACGGCCGAGCATGGTTTTGCCGATGGACATGAGGTCGGCCACGGAATGGTTACCATCGCGGATAAGCTAGATGATCAGATTGATTCTTTCCAATTTTTTTATTTTTATTTTTGTTGTATCCTATTTTATCTGATCTTGGGGGACAGGATCTAATTACCTCTTGCAAGTTGGAGGCGATCAAAGCCTAAGACACGTCGTCAGCAATTGATTTGATCTCTGGTGGCAGTATGGACAATACATACCACAGTCTCTGCGTGATTGAGTCGCACACCACGAGCGAGACGACGTTGCGCCAGAAATCCCAGGTGGGAAATGGTGAGCTTGTCCAGCTGGAGAGCACGTCAGTTTGCGATTACGACACCGGAGTGGGAACGACCGTACCTCTTTAGGGATTAGATGCATCCTCCAACAACACCCCGCTATACAGGGATATAATCTCTATATTCAGAAATTAAAGAATCCAACAAAGGGACGCAAGATGCATTGAATGGGGGTAAATTGCGGGGAGAGAGACAGAAAAAGAGAAGAGGAAAAAGGCAGCGGATGGACGATGTATCATGAGTTTCCAATTGCCGAGAGAGATAAGGCTGATAAGATGATTGACTAACGGAATGAATCAACGCGACTAGTTCAATGGTCAGTAGTAGATCGGTTACCTCAGTGGTAGTTTAGTTTAGATTGCCTGGTTTGGACCAACCAAGGAGTAGTTCACTGATCCAACCAAATGGTGAGATCATTCATCGTTGGGTCCAGTTCTCCCCAAGGATCCGATTTGGTCGCTGCGTGTGCCAAGCGACCCGTTCTTCCGGACGCATCCTTCCATACTACGATTTACTCGATATTGTGTTTTTAGGATCAGGAATGGACAGGAAAAGTATAGAAGAAGACACATCCTAAGCCGTCCAACGAAAAAACAAATTCAGTGGCCACGGTTGCCCAAAAGATAACAGACAAAACACGAAGAGAGAAAAATGAAAATGGAAAAAGAATGAAAATAAATTCACAACCCTCGGAATCCCCAGACTATCCGACAAGAAATAAAGAAAGAAAAAAAAAAAAGGAACATTCTTAATTCTCACCCGCCTCGCTCTTGCGCTTCTTCTTAGTAGCCCGCTTGTTCTCGGTGGCCGGAGTCTTCCGCGTCGAAGCCGGTTCCTCATCCTTCTTGGCGGCGGGACCCCGTCTCTTCTTCTCGGGAGAGGCCCTCTTGTTGGCCGGGGTGGAGGCCTCCTTGGGGGTGGCGGCAGCGGGCTTGGCGGCCTCGCTGCGGCGACGCTTGCCGCTGCGCGGGGGAGTGGGCTCCTTGACCGGTTCGGGAGACTCCTCCTCCTCCTCCTCGGACGACGAGGAGTCGTCGGAGGGCGTGGCACCCTCGACATCCTGCTGCAGCTGGTTGGCGGCCTGCGTATTCTCGTCGGCAAACGACTTTCCGGCCTTGTAGGCCTTGACCTTCTCCTTGTAGGCCGCCAGATTGTCGGCGTAGATGTTCTTGTACACCTGCATTGAATGTTAGTGGTTCGATCACACGTGGAACCGATCGAGAAAAAGAGGACGTACCACTTTCTCCGACGCGGGCATGGTCGCCCAGCGGCGAGCTCCCTCATCCGACACCTCCTTGGGTCTGGCAGACGGGCCCAGCTCCTGGGCGATCTTGGCGCGGTTGTTGTGCATGTACAGGAAGAACGGGGTCAGAGTGCGCTTGGGGGCGTTCGGGTCGGGGGGCGCGCGCTTGCGCTTCTTCTTGTCACCGGGACCCTCGGACGAGGCACGCGGAAGACCCAGGGCGCCCAGCAGACCGGAGTCGTGGAGACTGAGGTTGAAGGTGCCCAGATCGAACTGGGGCGCGTCCCGGTTCAGGACGGAATTGGTGTGGTTGATGTATGCCGCCTGGAGCTCTGTGACGGCCCGCGACAGGTTCACGAGGCTGGTGATCACCTAAGGAGGGTCAGTTAAATGCTGGCACGGTTGCGCAAGGGCGGGTAGAGACATGGTAGCATGGAGGGAGGTGGTGATATCGGCGGCACACGCGACTCACCCCCCACCATGCTGCGGGTTATTGCGCCGATGGCGACCCAGTCATGGTAGAGGGCGCGAGGGCGCGAGGGCGCGGGTATGCGACGGAACGACAGACACCAGGGAAATCAATCCGTCACGCGAATTTAAGGAAGGTCATAATCCAGGCAGTATCCTTGGGAATGCAGAGACGCGGTCATGCATTGACAAGGACTAAGGATTCTATTGTTTATGCCCCCGTACAGGAATTCGGAGGGAAGGTTTGGGGGAGGTGGTGTCGCGGTGGCGCGACCAGCACCCTCGGGCGCGGGCGGCAAACGGAAGGTAAACAAGAACTCCCCTCCCCAAAAACACAAACGAAATGAACCGTACTTACATTGTCGCGAGTTTTGGTAAAGTCGTTGACATTGACCGAGATGACGGCATCGTTCGCCTTGCTATCCTCTTGATGCGACATGACGCGAGGATGTATGAAGTGTGAGTTGATCGATCGAATGGTAATATTGATGGGAGAAAGGTAGTAAAATACAGCGGGTTGTGGGGAGGGGGGAAGAGGGAGAGAGAGGGAAAGAGGAAAAGAATTTTCGTCCGGCGGGGAGGGGGGAGTCGCGGGTGTTAGGGCGGTGGCCCCTACTAAATAGCGGCGGTGTCGGGGTGCGTCAACCGCTGCGGGTACTGTTTTGGGCTAGGGGGGGATGCGTCCTTAACGTTTCCTTAGGTTCTCCCCTAATCAAACCCCTACAAGGTTGGTCCCCCCGGCGCTAAACTGGCACTGCAGCGACGGCCACGATGTGACACCTCCCGGGGAAAACGCACAGCAACGGTTGTTGGGTTGAAAATGATCTATCAATTTATTATTATTGAGTACTTGTTTTTCCTTTCTTTTCTTTCCTTTTTTTCTGAACTCTATCAACCTACCTTCAATACGAGTAAATATAGAAAAAAAAAATTTCTTCGATTGTAGAAATACAATAGTTGAGTTGGATCAGACTACAGACACGGTGACAATTCTGCAGCCGCCCATAACCCCACCACCCGGGAGGCGAGAAAGCTCCATGGCGGTTGCACGGTCGCATTGACAAGCCTGTTGATCCATTCATTAACCCACAGCCAGGAAACAATCCAAGACCTTTCGATAGTCAGATCTACCCTATAAGTTCAGCGGAATACTCAAATAGAACAATAGACTCGAATACAACATATTACACAGATGAATGATCCTCCCGGTTCCCTGGTTCCATCACGGCCAAGGCCATCTAGTGAGGCGCAAGCAAGTCGCTCCGACGGGGAGAAAGCGGGGGGACCTAAATTATGATTCTGCACAGCACACCTTCTTCCACTTTACATCCTCGCGTCTTCCTCTAGTCTGTGGGTCTCAAACGTCTACTACAATCTTTAAGCAATATATGGAAAGAATCAACACTATTCTCCCACGATTCACACAGACACAGCGAGGCAGAAGACAACCTGCCATGGCAGAGTCGTGGTCGATCTTAACAGCCACCGCACCGCACCGTTGACATCATCCTATCCTCCTACTATCGACCTATCGACCTGTCGAGAATCGATCCCTTAGGTCGATCGCGCACCCAGTCTATATAGGTATAGGTAGGATTGAGTCGACTATCTTAATCTTATTACTACGAGAGACCTATCTATATCCTTTATTTCTTTTCTTCTCTCTTCTCTCCTCGAACGGTGACAAACCAAGCAATCACTCAACCAAAGTAAAGAAGAAGGAATCAAGAAAAGAAAATGTCCACAAAAGCCTACATCCTCGTCTACGAAGGCACCCCTCTCGATTACACCGAATACCGCCACACAGCCCTGCACTTCGTCTTCGCGCAGGGCTCCTCCCGCACGATGCACGTCGTCGGCACCCAAGGCCTCTTCGAGTTCGAAGAAGGCGTCGACCAGGACCCCCGCGAAGGCGGCGAGCTCGTCCGCATGATCCCCGTCGCCGACATCCCTCGCTCTGTCGCCGGGCCCGCCATCAAGAAGGCTGTCTCCGCCACGCCGGTCAAGAACGGTCGTGCGGATCTGGAGTGGAATTGTCAGAATTGGGTCGGCGATGCGCTGGCGCAGATGGTTGAGGGGGGCTTTTTGACGGCTGCGGAGAGGGCTGCGGCGATTGATTCGATGGTGGATGTTTGTTTGGAGGCGAAGGATGATTGATCCTGATCTTTTTTTTTTCTACCTTTCGATCTTTCTCTTTGGGATTTCTATTTGGGTTCATTTTATTCTGTTCTTTTGATTTGTATCTTCTGTGGTTGATTGATTGATTAGATGGATGATTGGATGATTGGATACCCCGCGTTGTGTCTACGATGGAATTGTCGGTGCGGCAAGGCGTCTGGCCTGTATATTCGGTCCATGTCGATAGATTTGTTCTTTTTTTGTTTTGTGCAGGTTGCAATTTAGGTTGGATGGTATGGCATTAGATAGACGGTTCATTACATGGGATGATTATATGTTTGCTTCATTACAGCATTATGGATAAGGATATGAATCCATGGAAAATCCACCACTACTAAGTGATTATATAAATCAAATCTATCTCAGTATTACTCTAATCACACTAGTAGGTACCTAGAATTTGTACACCTGGTCCTTGTTGTAGCCCAGCTCCTGCAAGATACCGCTCAGCTCGCCCTGGTCCTTGGGGCTGACCTTGGGCCCGCTGATGGCCTTGTACATGCCCGGAGGACCGCACACAAACAGCTTGATGTTCTCCTCCTTGGGCTCCGGCAGCACCGTCTTCAGCAGCTCCTTGCTGATGTAGCCCTTGCCGCCGGTCCACTCCTTGGGCGGGTTGTCCAGCACGTAGAAGGCCCGGAAACGGCGCGGGTAGGTGTTCTCGAGCTCTTCGAACTCCTTCTTCAGCAGGATATCCTCCTCCTTGACGTTGCCGAACACCAGCGTGACCTTGGTCTTGTCCTCGGGGTTCTTGAAGATCTCGCGCGCCAGCTGGTACATGGGCGTGATGCCCGTGCCGCCCGCGATCAGGCAGATGTGGTCGTGCTTGTTCGCCTCCCAGGGGTACTTGGGGAGGGGACCCTTGAACGCCAGGCGCTGTTCGGTGTTCATGCTGTGGATGTGCTGGGACATGGGTCCGTTGGGGTAGGCCTTGACGACCAGCTCGAGGTAGCCGGGTTGCGCTGGTGTGGCAGTTAGTTCATGTCAACGTCGCGCTGTTGTTGTTGGCTAGACTTACCCTCATCGCTCACAGGAGTGTACGGACGGATAACGGCCTTGCCGCCCTCGGGGTTGAACTTGGTCAGGAGAGCCGCTGTATTCATTAGCCCAATCAACTCTCTACCGGTTCGTAGAACAACTGGGTCTCTACTCACACGCGACGTGAAGGCCAGAGACGGCCTCCTTGTCCTCGAACTCGAAGCGCAGACGCTTCGTGTTGTGGCTCAGAACCTCAACGTTCGCCAGCTTCAGGTCGACCCATCCCTGGTCGCCGCCGACGAAGACCTTGGGGCGCTCGGCGGGGGTGCTCCCCGAGCTGTAGCGGTACAGACCGATACCGGCACCAGTCAGACCGACAGCGACGTAGATGGGCGTCAACGAGGACTTGCCCTTGGGGGGCTCGGGGGCCTTGGGGGCAGCCTCCGCGGAGTATTTGCGGAAGGCCTATGTCTGTCGTCAGTCCCACGTACACGGCGAGGGAAAATTAAAATTGTAAACGAGCTTACCTGTCTCAGAGGCTGAGCAGTGCGGAAAGCTTGACGCGCAAACATAATGGCTACAATTGATGAGGAAGGGGGTAGTTCAATTGGTGAGAGAATGGAAAGAATGAAGAGAGAAGTGGAGAGAAGTTCTGGAGTAACAGGAAATCAGCTCTTTCGCTTTTCGGGGAACCGAATTGCCGGAATGACGCAATAGGTTAAGGTACGATAATAACACTACACTGTGCGCCGGGGCATTACTAAGCTCTTATGTATGCGTTAGCCTACGCCCACTTGTAATCGGGAGTACGGAGCAGACACGATAATGCCACTGCAGTCCCGTTTCTTTGCGAGTGGATATTTATTATCGATCAACACTTGTGTAGGTTTTTATTGGCTTTGTACTTCTGATTGTACCTGGATTGGCTCGTGAGGTAGAAAGAATCAAGCCGTGGCATCATCTGTCACAAATTTTCTTACACACTGTAAATCTGTAGGCTCTCTATTTGACAGAAGACCTGACAGACCCTAGAAATGTACTTTACATGTGAACTCACACATTGTTTCAATGCTGGTAACTGCATATACATCCTGGCGGGGCTAGTGATGAATGGGCGGCATAAATATAGGTCCAAGTCTCCCAGCATAATTAGGTAGTGTTCTACGGACCCACACAATCTACACTACATGGATACATTGAAAAAAATTGAAGAACCCCGTGATATTTTTTGGAATATAATTTCAGTTCGCTGCAGAGGACGCAAAAGACATCATAACCATCCGGCCCAGGACGTGGACGGTAGATACACGTCGGTATCCCGCGTGATCTGTGTCCTGCATGCATGCTATGGCCATAACAGTCGTTCACCGCACACTCCGTTGGACACTCCTTTCCCCAAACTCCACGTTCACATTTATGCGAAGGTAGAAGGACGAGAGTAAGAGAAGATCTGCTTGCTGCCGGTCTTGGCGGAACGGTGGGGCAGGGGGAACTTGAGGTCCTTGCCGAGCAGCTGCTTGAGGTAGGGGCGGCGGATGCTGTCGGCGTTCTCGATCTCAACGACCTTGAGGATCTGTGGATTGCAGTTAGAACCGGCCCAGCGGTTCGATCTCGGGGGAAACGGGAACATACGGCAATGGAGCCGAAACGGGCACGGTGGCGGGCAGCCATGTCCTGGTAGAGGGCCTCGACGGCGTCGGTACGGCTCATCTCACGGAACTCCTTGTACATGTTGTGGGTGCCGGAGCGAGAGTCGTAACGGAGCCAGATACCGAAGTTCTTGACCTTGAGGGGGTGCTTCTCGTTGATCTAAACGTAGAGTCAGTCGACATCGCCCTGGTACCATGCTGTTGGGGGGTCCTTCTGCTCGGTCACATACAACGTTGACAGCAACAACCTCACCGGTCGCCTTCTTGACCTTACGGAGCTGGGTCAGGAAGTACCAGAAACGCGACTTGGCCACAACAGGGTTGGGCGCAAAGATGCGCATGCGGTACAGCTTGGGCGTGGGGTTTGCCTCGGTGGGCAGATGACGCCCGATGACCTGGTACTCGGTGAGACGCCCTGGAAAGACGAGTCAGTGACTGTCAGGGGGAATGCGATGCCTCCATCCAAATGGTCTGATCCAGTGCGTTGAAATTCGTGCGAAACGTGGGCCGTCCACCGTGAAAAAATTCCGAGACTCCTGTTCATGTCTTGGCCATATGCGACTGTCGTTCAATTTTTTCCCTTCACTTTCGATCCTTCCAGCATCTTCCCATCGAAAAACATAGTCATTCCGTCTGTTTCATATGTTCGCATCCGAGGATACCCAGGTTCTCTTTGATTTTCGATCGGAGGTCGTTCAACGTTCGCAGGAATAGCACCGCACCAGATCCACCACGGAAAGCGAAATTTTCGGAAAAGAGATAAAACTCACCCATCTGGAAAAGGAATTCAAGTCAGTATATGCTTCTTTAAGACAATGAGGCTGTCGCGGTTCAAGAAGGGACCTACTTTTGTTGACGCTGTTGTGGTTAGTGTCTCGAAAGGTGTGCCGGCTGATCTTGTCGCGGAATTGTGGATTTTTTGTGAGTTGAACTGAGTTGCCGAGTGCTCAACCCTAACTAGGGCTTGACTGGGGACTGCGGCTGGTCTTGGCACCTATTCCCCTTTGGGATGGTCAGCCACACCCGCCACGATTGGGCGGTCAAGCCACGGATCCGCGGAGTTAACTTGGTGGGGAAAGAGACCGATGGCTCACGGTGCCTTATAGATACTGCTTGACTAGGGAGCTCAATCGACCCGTTTCATTATCTCACAGACACTCTCCAGTAACCGCCATGGAGTCGGTCTTTGACGACTTTAAGGAAGGCCAACGACTCGGGTCCGGTCCCTATCTCGCCGCTGCCCTCACACCGGTCGCGTCACCGCGTTGTCCCTCTCGATTGCAATCGTTCTACTACTTCTCCAATGCCGCTCATGTCTCCCAAGACCTCCGCCACTCTCTCTTTCACATCGGCGGCGTGAAGATCCCCAAACAGGAGCAGACTTGGTGGACGGACGTTTTTACCGCCTACTGGAAAGCGGTCGGGGAGATCGTTCGGATCGAAGAGCGCTCCTCTCGCGCGAGCTGGGCGAAGGTGTTCGACGCATGGAAAGAGGTGGCCAATATCCTGATTAGGGCATACTCGAGCTCGATATTTCAGGCGTGGACCATCCCGTGTCTATATGTGGTGGGAAAATACTTGAGGGTCTTTGCGATCAAGGCCGACGCGGAGCTCTCGTCACAAGACGACGTGGGATTCGATCGCTTTCAGGAGGACGTCACGGCGGAGTTTGAGAAGAGCGCCAAATTGGAGGAGGCTGCTCGTGTGATCAATCGGATGTTCACACTGTGTCTCAGTGACAGGTGCGTGGTCTATAATGGTTGTCCGCTGGCCCATCGCTCACCCGGTTTAGGGCGCCGATTGACGAATCGCGGAAATGGGGGATATATAATACAATCAATCTTTTATTCAAAACATACTTCAAGGTAAAGCGCTTGTCTTCTGGGCCAGTGGTCTGGCTAACATCGTTTTAGCTCAACTCCGTGGGACTGTCCAAGAGTCTCCTCCGCGCCCTTGACGCCTCGTCCGCAGATCTCCCCGACCTGGAATCCTATCCTAAATCGCACATCGTGACCTTCAAATACTACGTTGGGGTCATCCACTTCCTCGATGAGAACTACACAGAGGTATGTTCCTCTGGAATCTTATCACGTATGGGGAAATAACCACTGGCTCGGTAGGCAGAGGAACATCTGACTTACGCGTGGAAACTATGCCACCGAAATGCGACGAGAAACAAAGAGTGAGCAACCCTACTCAACTTATGTACACCCACTAACCCCCGCCCTCCAGACTGATCCTCATGTATCTCGTCCCCTGTCACATCGTCACAACACATACCCTGCCCAGCAAACATCTTCTAGCCCAATTCCCCCGACTCGAGAAACTCTTCCGCCCGCTCTGCAACTGCATCCGAAAAGGCGACCTCGTCGGCTTCGACGCCGCAATGTCAGCCGGCGAAGAAGAGTTCGTCAAGCGCCGCATCTACCTGCCTCTCGAGCGCGGCCGCGACATCGCCCTGCGCAATCTGTTCCGCAAGGTTTTCATCGCGGGCGGATTCGAGGAGCCCAAAGAGGGCCAGCCCCCGATCCGGAGGACTCGTCTCCCAGTTGGGGAGTTCGCGGCCGCTCTGCGCATCGGCACCCATGCGGATGCGAAATCGCGGGTCGACATCGACGAGGTCGAGTGCTTGCTGTCGAATCTCATCTACAAGGTGTGTCCCCGGCCCATCCATGATATTTTATCTCGTCCCGCTGACAGAGTGTAGGGTCTGATGAAGGGCTATATCGCCCGTGAACGGGGAATGGTGGTTCTCAGCAAAGGCGGCGCTTTCCCGGGCACGGGGGTTTAATCGGTATCACTACACAACTTCGGGTCGAAGTACCATTTTAGTCTACTAGACGCGACCGATCTTCGGCATTCTCATCCGCATGCGACCTTGCAAAGTCTACGACAAACCTGCCAAGTTTAAACGTGAGGTCTCGCTAAGATGACTGGTTCGGCTATGTGGTGGCGTGCAGAAGTGTCACCGGCGGGTCATCAGCGCTCTCTCCCTCCTATGTGGGGTTATGCACGACATATGCCAGATGCATACTGTACCCATACTTATTACCTAGTATAGCTTGACCGTAAGGTTTGGTCCCACTGTATACTGTCTACATGATGGACTAGCCTTTTCGACATAGGAATACATTTATGATTTATGACTGACTCGCTTGATGTCTACGATGCGATTCTGCATTGAATAATATTGGTCAACGTGATATAAACATTGAGTAAATAGTAGCAGTGTGTCAATTTGGGTATTGCAAATTTTAGCCCAGATGAGAGATGAGTGATAGATATAGATATAGTACAAGCAGTGCGAGGGGGAGAAAACACAGTACACACACCGAAAGTCAGAATCAACAGCCCCGAAGTTATTATAGGTAGGTGAGTAGGAAAGATACGGCCCGCATAAGATTCCAGCTCTTTCGTCCATCGTCGTAGTCACAATGTATGGGTTGACTCGTCAACAACCGACCCTTGACCTCCTACTCCCTTCCGTATCGTCCTATACAAAACCACCGTTAGCATTCGTGTAGTATATAACAAAGCCCTAGCATAGGCCAGTATTCAGTATGACTCACCATATGGTTACACATAGCCACAAATAGATCAAAGAACAGCTTCCCCCCTCGCTCCATCTCCATCTGCATCGTCCCGCTTCGTTTGAAAGTCGACCGGCTGCCAATGATCAGCGCCAGGTACTGCGCCCGCAGGTTGGAGTCGTCGTCGGGTGTGTGCGCGTAGGCGTACCGCGCGCTGTTGAGAATGGTGTCGCATGAGATGCCGGAGTGGAGGCCTTGTTTACGGAGGGCGAGGCGTTTTAGGTTTTCGAGGCCGTATTTTTGCGCGGAGCAACTGTTCGTGGGTTAGTCAATGCTTTCTCCCTCTTTTTGTTGGACGAGCTGGCCATGTCTTGGACGGGGTAGACAGCTTGAAAGGGGTCATACTAAATAGCCGTGTCACGGAGGATCTCCGCCCCCGCTGCATGATGGAAGACCGTCGCGCCGGAGCTCTGGCCTTCGCTGTCTGTTCTTGATCCCTCCAGCTCCCAGGTGTTGTAGCGTCTGTTACGGAGGAGGCGCGGGGAGTAGTCCCCCTTGTATAGGAATTCGAGGATGCAGGAGAGAACCTCGGGCTGTTCGTTGGGGAGGTTGATGCGAGTGCCGCCGGGAGAATCTGAAGATTGGGCGCAGACGGTGGCGAAGTAGGGCGAGAGACACAGGATGTCTCTGTGAGCTGCGAAGAGGCGGCCGCCGGGACCGACGGAGATGGTGACGACTGCGGGGGTGAGGGATCTGTTATCGCATCTGGTTAGTATTGTTCCTTCGATGGATTTTCCAGACTATAGGATCAACAGATGTTCTCACGTTTCGTCTGGGGGAGTCTGGAGTGTCTGGGATGTCTGGGAAGCCTGAGGCGTCTGTCGTCGCTCCAGACGTCGGGATCCACTGGGGTCTCGGAGTAGGATACGCCTGGGTCGAGTTGCTTTTCCAGCACCGTATTTGGAGGAGAAGCTGTCTGGGGAGGATTGAAGCTGCCGTCGAGTTGAAAGCAGCCTGGAGCTACTGTTCTGCGGTTGTGGTGGCATGATGGTTAGATGGTTGTTAAAGGAAGAAAGAATGCGTGCGACAGATTTCAGGGGGGTCTCAGCTGATAAGAACTTGCCCAGCAATCCCTTGTTCACTTACTTCACTATTCACCAATGGTATATACTTTACTCAGACCTTCTCATGGATTAAGTTCTAGTAGATTTCCTCTTTATTTCTTTATAGCTTGATTTCTTTATTTGTTTTACTATTCATGATGCTGTTAATGACATTGAAAGGTTACCGGATGTGGAAATATATTTTGGACGATCTAGATTGCGGGGAACAGATAGCACAACACCCACCACATTGGAGTATAAGATATGGCATATCAAGATTCTATGTATTGATCATGATGAAATACTTTCAATCATTATAAAATCAGTGACACTCGACTACTACAGTCATGTAGAGATCACTGAGAGGGTGTGAAGCATGCCCACCTGAGGCCGAAATCGGCCAATCTTATCGGTTATCGCTTATCGGTTATCAGTTCCGATCAAACTTCAACATCAAAATCAACATCGATCAACTGGTCCTTTTCCCATGATTGATATTCTGATATTTTCGGCTAGATCACTATATATACTCTCTTTAGCATTGGCATTAACTTGCTGGAAGCTATCACAAATGACTCAATCTCCACTAGAGTCACAATCCAGCCCCCCCAACCATGCCATAACCATCACAATCTGGCTAGCTACCCTGCCAGCTCTATACATCTTGCTACGCCATCTATACAAACTAAACCAATCCATCCAACTAAAAGGATGTCGTCGACTCGGTCTCTCCCCATACCAATCTAACCTCCACGACGAATACGACCCAAAGTACACACATGGACTCCCCGAGGACAGCACAGACGACACAGGCCGTCCAGCATGGCGCGTGAAAGCCCTCTTCACCTATCCCATTAAAAGCTGTGCTGGCATCGAGTTCGAAACTGCCGATGCTGTGTCGACGGGGTTTGTCTATGATCGCCACTTTTGCTTCGCGGAGAATATACCACCCCGGCAGCAGCCTGACTGCGCGGGGAATGTGCCCGTCGACAGTGAGAACACCACGTCGTCAACTCCAGCAGAAACGTACTGGACAGCCCGCACCATGCGAGACGGCCACTTCAGCCGTTTGGCACTGATCCGTCCTGAGATCTGGGTCCCGGACCCGCAGTCCGCAGACTATTGCCCGGACTTAGACGAGGTCAAGTCGCAGGGCGTGATGATCATCTATTATCCGCGTGTTCTGCCACACGGCCATGAAACACACACTACGCTGTATACCAGAATGCGTACTACGATCCTGTCTCTAGCAATAACCATCGGCCTCCTCCCCACCCACCACACCATCTCCATCCCCCTCGCCCCACCAAAGAGCACCCCCACCGCCCCCGTCAAGATCTGGAAAGACAGCCCCTTGGCATACGACTACAGGGAGTACATCCCCCAATCCCTCCGCAACTTCCTCCAACCCACCAAACCCAACAGAGATACTAAGCCTCTAACCCTCTTCGCAACAATCCCCTCCCACACCCGCCCCATCTTCCGCAACGCGCCCCGCAAAGAATCCCTCGGCTTTCAGCCCGTCACGGCTTTCGCGGACGCTTATCCCCTCCACCTCATTAACCTGGCTAGCGTGCATGATGTTGCATCGCGCTGTTCTATAGACAATCTCTCTGTGCGTCGCTTTCGCGCGAATATCATTGTTACCGGGCCGGGCTGTTTTGAGGAGGATTCGTGGAAGAGGATTCGAGTTTATCATTCCTCTCGCTTGTTGAATTGTGATCGTAATGGGGACCATGATCATATCAATGACCATGATGTTGATAACGACCATGATGATAATAATAATAATGATAAATATACAGAAATCCACACAGTCTGCCGCACAATGCGCTGCAAACTCCCCAACGTGGATCCCGCGACAGGCCTGCGCCACCGTGCCGAACCGGATCGTTCACTTAGAAAATACAGGTGTATTGATCCTGGGGACCGGACGAATGCTGCGTTGGGGATGCAGCTTGTTCCGGGTGTTAGGGGTATGTTGTCTTCTTTCCTGATGTTTATTTGGTGTACTTTCTGGGTTATTGCTGACGATGGTAGAATTTACCCTCCGCGTTGATGATACAATCAAGGTTCTGGAGAGAGGCGAACATTGTTATATTAAGATGTTGAAGCCGGGGGAGGTGTGGGAGGGGGTTTGATTGATTTGGGAGTGTATACGTACCTAAGTGCCTGTATACCTAATCTTATGGATGGTGTCATTCAGAAGGGGAAATATCTGTTCTGAACTGTTAGGGAGATTGTATGTAAATGTTACTGTAATATTATAAGATATTCCAATACTACTAATACTAATACTAACACTAACTAGGGTATATATATGTAATTATACGAACTTGATTTTCTCAAGCCGCTGGAAATTTCCCTTTCAGGATGCGGCCGCTTTCATGAGGGCGCTCAGGGGCTTGCTCACTAAGTATTTTCTGTCACAGGCCAGTGCTCAGTGAGCTCTCAGTGCCTACGCAGGGCGTGCTCAGTGATTAGTTACATGTACCCTGAGTTTACCCGCCTCTCTCTATTTTACGCAAGTAGTTTGATCCTAGCGCTATATTAACCATCCATTATATAGGGCTGTATATTTGATACTAAAAAATATAGTATAAAAACTAATTAATTATGTATATCACAGAATCCCTGGGGTTTGTCTTGTTTGTTAATCCAGCGGATTAATCCACCCCGCGGGTCCAACTATTCAACCCTGATCCGCCCCGCAGGCAGATCAGGGCGGATCCAGATCCAGATCCAGATCAGATCAGATCCATTTTGAGGTCTGCTAATTACTTTATACAACTACTCTGTATATACACTAACTATTATATATAGTAACCTATCCATCCACATATCAATCTAGAATCTAACCTAGAATAAATCTCTATCCTCTGCTTTCAAGCTAAGAAAGCCTTATCTTAACGCCCCTCTCCCAAACCAACTAAAACATCACAGAACCTGGCCACAATCCCGCGCCACACCATAACATGACCATATTCTTCATGCCCCTCCTTCTGTATACATTTACACAATTAGTAAGCTCGGCCCAAGATCCAGAGAAGCAGAGTTTATATACAGGATAATCGCAGTCTCATGTTCTACAGTTCCTCCTCGAGGTCATTGATCATATACGACATATTCTGTAGTGGGGTTGGCTTGGGTACAAAGGAGTTAATTATTAACCAGTTTAGCAATTCTTGGGATAATTAAGAGAGAAACTAAGTAGTTACAAGATTGCGAAGAACATCCAGACTCAAAATATTAAATACTGTGTAAGACACGGTAAGTCTGCGTATATGTCGTCATTTCATGGTCATGGCACTATTACCTGTGCGAAGGGAAAAAGGACCTTGCCGCCTTCCTGATTCTATCAGTCGTGCCTTCCTTACCCTGTCTCTTACACATCTCTCACTTCCCTTCCTCTCACACCCATCATCGACCCTAGGCTTTCACGCGATCATGGATTCTCTCTATCATACCGCAGAAATATCTCGGGGTTCGTCATCTGAACCTCTATCCTCTGAACCCTTGTCACTTGAAGTTGATTCCCAAGACTTCTTTATGCGTTCAGCAAAAGAGGGGGAGCAGCACCTGTTTACAACTCGACAACTTCTACAGAGAATCGTTGAACACAGGCTGACTGCACTGCAACGCAATCAGACCCTCGACCAGTACATAGTTTTTTTATCTGTGCCGCCAGCAGAGTTTTCAATACTGGATAATGATCACCAACGGACAGGGAAATATTATCGACTCTTCTATCACGAGCTTACCGGAACATTGCTTATTAAAGTGATGCCGAATCCTGCTCACGAGCTTGCGGCAGAAAGTTTTAAGTCCCTTGTTTCTGTCAAACTCCACGCCCTGAACATAGACGACGAAGTCTGGCCATATGGATCGACAACGGTGACAGGGGGTGGTTGGAAAAAACAAGCAGATTGTTGCTGGGCGCCCGCCTTGACGAATGCAAGCCTGAGTCTCGTTGTAGAGGTTGGTCTGTCTGAGTCGGCAAGACGACTTGCACTCGATGCCCACGGTTGGCTTGAACTTCAGGCTTCAGTGAAACTTGTGATCACAATAAGCATTAAAAGCAAAAGACCTGAAATTGTTTTCACCCGATGGGAGTTGCTTCCCCTTCCCCGAATTGATGGTGCTATCACCAGAGCCCCCCCCGCTTCAGCACGTCAAGTTGTATCTTTGAAGGTACATCGAATCAATAATACTACATCTGTAACCGGAGAGTCTACGATGAACGGCATAAGTACAACCTCGCAACTAGTAATCCCTTTCGACAAGCTTGTTAACCGCCCTCCCCACCATCCCACAGAGGAAGACTTGGTGATAACTGAAGAGGAGTTGAGAAGGTTGGCAGAGCGTATTTGGAAGCAGCAAGGTTTCTTCTAAGCCATCCGATTCTGATAGTTATACTCGACCATGACATCCATGTACCCAAACTAACCAGTCTTGTAATCAATTGAAATGGATGCTCCTAATCAGATCTTCTAATTAACAAAATTCCAAGGCTAGAACCAGCCCCACCACCTCAACGCCCCATTACACTAATCTCACGGAACCTGCAACATTCGCCACGCCCCTCCTACTGTATATATACAATTACTCTAAGCTCGGCCGGAGATCCGGAGAAGTAGAGTACCCTTTTGTTAGGGTTGAGCTCTTCCATTCATGAGTAGTGGTACGTTATAGCTCGGTATTGCCGAATATAGAGGTCGACATCCTCGCCGGCCGCACCGGCAAAAGTGAACTGCTGATTGAATGCCATGTCCTCCCTTCAGACTCCTTAGGGCCTTCTGGAAAAGGGTTTCCCGATGGACAGTATGACATATGTTCTATGGTTATAACATAGCGGGCCCATGGTAAAAGTTGTAGGGTGGTTGCTGACGGTTAGATTTATTTTCTAATAGATATGCTAGGTAAGAGTAGACTACATATAGAGAGATAGTTATCAAGTTCCTGCTAGTAAGGGTGCGTTTTATTAAGGCTGGCTTACTTATTGCACTTACCCCTTGCCTAATGATCACCTCAGGCTGCTCAGGGCGCTCCGATCTACTCAGTGAGCTAAAAGTGGCAAGGGGTGAGCACTAAAATGGAAAGAGAAAGTCTTCGCGCTGTCAAGAAAATCAAGTACATATGCATAGCTAGCCATCCATCTACAGATGGACCTCCCATAAAAAAAAACCCGAAACCAAACCAGAAGAAAAAGTGAACTACCGCACAGGCTCACCCCCCTCACCCTTAACCGGCTGAACAATTTCACTCTCCGTCGCAACAGACGACCCCTCCCTCCCACCCTCACCCTCCCCCCGATTCTCCCTCCCATCCATAACTTGCGCCTCCTCCTCCGGATCCTCCAGCAGTAGCAAATTCAGCACCAACCCAAACACAGCCGCCACAGCGAAGCCATTCGTCATGACGAGCACAACCGCGTCAAGCAGACCCTGCAGCGCGTGGTTGTCGCCGCTGTACGTGAAGAAAAACTGGAACCACTCCGGTACCAGCGTGGCGGCCATGCCGAGCGCGAACGACGCCGTCAGGATGAACCGGTTGCGTCGCGTGAAGGGGATCTTGGAGATGATGCGCACGCCGGAGATGGCGACGGAGGAGAAGAGGAAGGTGGTCATGCCGCCGAGGACGGAGCTCGGGATGGCCACTAGGGCGGCGGCGAATTTGGCGAAGATCCCCATGATTACGAGGAAGAAGCAGCAGCAGTAGCCGGCTTTGCGGTTGGCGCATTTGGTGAGGGCGATGACGCCGTTGTTCTGGGTTTGTTAGAAGATGGTAGATGGAATGGGGAGTAGATGTGTAGAGGAACGGATAGATGAAGGAAGGAAGGAAGATAACTGAGAATAAGGGGACAAACCTGTGCGAAGACAGACATGGGCGTGATGGTGCAGAGTCCGGCCAGCAGACACGTAATACCATTGCCCAAGACACCTCCTTGGATGCGCGAATCGAACGTGGGCCCTTGCACCTGCACCTGGGACACATCGCAGGTAGCGGTGATGTCGCCGATCGACTCCATCATCACCACGATGTAGACGGCGAGTAAGGGCAGGATGAGCGGCGCGTAGATCTTGAGCGGGAACGTCCGCACCCAGATGAAGGACGCCACGGGGGCCGCGTCGATACCCGAGCGGTCAAAGTAGCCGCAGGCGGCGGCGACGATGCACCCGACCAGCAGGCCCACGACGACGGCGCAGGACTTCATGATCGGCGACCCGAACCGTTCGCAGAGGATGATGGTCACGAAGACGAGGAAGCCTAGCCCGATGAACTCGGGGCTGCCCCACGGCAGCGCATGCGGCGCGTCGGGGGTAGGGCACAGGGCGCGAGCGGATGGGTTCATGCCGCAGCTGCCGGAGCCGCCGGCCCAGTCCTTCATGCCGCTCTCGATGAGGCTGGCGCCGATCAGCAGGACCGTGGGTCCGGTCACCAGCGGCGGGAAGATGCGCTTTAGGATGCGGGGACTCAGGAAGGAGAGGCCGATCTCCAGCAGGGAGCACAGGCACGAGGTGCCCAACAGGGCGCCGTATCCCTGCGGACAGGCGAGACGGTTCCCGTCGGCATCTGTTGGACAGTACCCGCTGGTGTACATCTGGTTGAATGTGCCCGTGGCGACGGTGATGGTGGCGAACGAGGTGCCCACGACGGAGATGAGACCGGTGCCGACGTAGTAGCGCGTCTTGTAGACGTGGAGCCGGGCCATCTGCAGGGCCGACAGAAAGCCGGAGACGATGAGCGAGGTGGAAACGAGGTATTGGTAGTCTGCGGAATCGAAATGGGCACCGGCGGATCCACCTAGTAGAATGGGAGGGGCGATGACTGGACACTGTGAGTGATAGTGCACGACAATAGGATTATGGAAAGACGGACCTCCGGCCAACATCGCGAGGGAATGTTGTAGGCCCAGAATCAAGGCCAGCAAGACTGGCATCTTATCTTCCAGGCCGAAAAAGGGCGACGATCTCCGCGTCTTGTTCATGAAGGGAATCTGGGGCGTGAAGAGGAACGCATAATCATAATCTCCAATTAAGCCTTCGCTATGGGATTGTCAGCTGTCATTCCACATGCAATATTGAATACCCAGTGAGGACTCACCGAGTGGTAAAGGTCCTGACGATTCGGCGAAACTGGTCGGCCAGGGTCCGCCTAGGACGATAGTCCGGGCCGATCTGGTCGGGGCCATCCATTTTGCAATTCAGACACAAGCCGATGTAATACTATTGATCAAAGTTCCAGCAAACGAAATCGCTGGTACGACTGTCACGTCACCGCAAGACGATGAGGGCGAGATCCGACGCGACAAGACGTCCGAAGTTGCGGTGGCACGAGCTGCGGGGAAGACAGCAGCTACACAATTAAGCTCTGGCTCATTCGTATGGACTGATTGGACAGGGGACCTCTGCCACCAAGCTTGAGTCCGCCAGATATTTGATCGTTATGTACAAGATGCGGGGAGAGGACTGCACGGGGAGGGTTTATTATACACGTGAACGCGACGGAGCAAAAATCAAAAATCCCATCTAGCGCATTTTCGCGATACGAACGGCTTATCCTTATCAGACCGACTGTACTGCATGAAAGAAGCAATCGAATAATCAGTCATTTCTGTTATCTCTTGAGTGTCTCCACGGCCGATGGTTATCCATAACGAGTTAGCCGTGGATGGGAATATTTGACGGTGGTTGGCCATGGGAGCGACAGCGCCGTGTTCCAGAGGATCAGCATCCAAGCTAGTGTCGCGTGTCGACCCTGTCAGAGAGCTTGCGGTAGTTTATCACCGATCCACTTTGATAAGTCTGTCGGGTCTTTCCACTACAGTGTTTCTTATCAGGGAGCCAAACGGGCTCCTCCGAATTCCCTAGGCATGGAGAGGTTTCTGATAGCAAAGAGCCGATGTCCATTGTCCTGCAGATCAAGACCATGCAGGGGATTGATGACCGAGGGGTTGATCTATGAACTATGAGTATGGTGAGTGGATGGAATTCTTAATCGGTCGGGTGGAGAGTGGAAGTGGAAGGATTCCACAGAGTTAACCCTGTTCCATGCCCTGTCACGGGACCATCCATCCACCTCTTCTCGGGTTCCACTCGGCGTAGGGAGTTTGGGGAGGAAAACTCTGTCCATCACGTGTTATATGTCATTGTTTACTCGATACAAGTAGACTGTGAGATAATAGGTGTCATCGTCAAAAATAGGATAATAAGATGATCTTGATAGCTTTGAAGGCGTGGGCATAGTTGTGACAACATTGCAAGCCAGCTGATGTTGGCGGATTTCTCACAACATCAATCCACGAATATATTCTCAGGTACATTCAACATGACCAGATCAATGTCTATACATGTCTATGAACTCCCAGTAAAGTTATGAGCACTCCGACCAACGCCGACCTCGGCCGAGCTGTCAGCGTCGAATTCGAGATTGACACCTGAGGATCAAGGTAGCTCAGGCTATCTGATCAACGTCTCTTGATGTACTCCGCAATATGTACTCGACTGATGGATTCCTCCATGACCAGTATAACTATGGAACTCATATCAAAATATTCATGCTTTTTTTCAATATGATGTACCTGTAAATGCTTCAGGTGTTATTTCAGGTGACCACCACTCGATCATCTGCTTCCTTCCCTCTCTTCTATCTTCTCTTTCTATTTCTACATTGAAGAGACTGAGCAGGGTTTATCTGACGGAGACCCACCTCGAATGCATCACAATGCCCCTAGATGCAGTCCGCCAATGAGATCTATTGAAATTATCCAAAGACTGGACTGGGTTTCAGGAAGTGGTGACTACCTACCTAGTACCTAGTACCTAGTACCTAGTACCTGGTCTATTGAACATAGGACAAAGTCTCGTCGGGTCCATGCCCGTGATCCACCGATAGGGCTGATTGTGTCTTTATCTATATATTTGTCTCCGTATGTCTCCGTCGTCTGTGTACTTTAAAATTCTATACGTTGTGCATATCGTCTGTTGAGGGTGGATGTCCCCATACTCCCGTCTGTTCCCTATGAAGACGGTTGGTTTGCTGAGTCGTGTTGGACCGGGAGGATCCACGTGACCGTCTAAGCGGACGGGATCTTGAAGTACAAGATGGGAGAAATTGACATTCGAGAATCGTCTATCAGACTAAGCAACACGTGCATATGTTCTAAATAAAACGATCCTCGGACTATGAGTCCATCACCTCCATAGTTACGTTACCGAAGTAGATCTTACCCAGAGACAGGCGAGGTCAAGTTCATGCGGAGGAGAAAGAGCCGTTCAAGACGCCACACGCCACACACCACACCGCCCTGCAGGGGCAACGGAGGTCGGAAAACCCAGTGAACCTCAGAGCTGGGGACTTTTATAGGTTGGAGACCCACCTTTTGTACCCCGTTTGGAAAACGTTGGGGATTCAGCATCGGTTGAATGCTTCCCCATTGGTGGATCCAGCAGATGGGTGCCCCCCTGCCTGATGCGGCAGAATCAGGCCGCCATTCCGGTCTGATTGGACCCTGGATGGTCGGATTTGTTCCCCAACAACTTCATATCAACCACTTGGGATTTCCATCCGATGGTGTGGATGGGTTGGAATCATAAGATCCCGAGGTTGGAAGAGTGATCAGATGGAACGATGGAATTATGTAGAAAAAAGAAAAAGAGGAAAAGTAAGGAGCAGGTCACGAATCAGACGCTGATATCCCTACCATCCCGATGTGGTGCCTTGTTTTGTAGGGAGTAGTCAGACCATCCGATAGAATCATCACTTTTCTCCCCAACCGTCAATCCTTGGTGGACCCCAGGCACATCCCGGCCCTTTTCTTTGCCTCCATAGTATCTCTTTTTGCGGTGCCTTTTTTCCATTCTTCCTGTTTGAGATCGTTTGCCTTCGCCGTCCTTCTCCACCTTTTTCCTCAATTGTCCATTGAGTTTTTTTTGTTCTTTTTCTTTTTCTTTTTTTTTTTTTAATTCCTCGGATCAGATTGGTTTTCATCCTTCCATTGCTTTCTCATATAAATCCTTCTTCCTCTTCCTCTCCCCCACACTCCCGACCACTTTTGCCATCTGGTTCATCCTCCATACTTCCCCTCTGAGAGTGTGACAGTAACATCAACCTCCATCGATCGAGGACGACAAACGAGAACACTCCCCCTCTTTCCCTTTTGCTCGAGAGCACACTGGCAGGCATCATGTCTGCAAAGCCGGTCGACGCGACCCTTCCCAAGAAGGTCCACATCGCCGATACTGCCATCAACCGTAACAACTGGCATAAGCATGTCAACTGGCTCAATGTCTTCCTCATCATCGGAATCCCCGTCTATGGCTGCATCCAGGCCTTTTGGGTCCCCATCCAGTTGAAGACCGTCGCCTGGGCTGTCATCTATTATTTCTTCACCGGTCTGGGCATCACCGCAGGTAAGTTTTGGTCGCTGGGAGAGAATCTTCCGAGAGAATCCCGAGAAAGAAATCCCGGATGAGTGGCAAGAAAAGGATGAACTGACTCGTCGATCGATAGGATACCACCGTTTGTGGGCTCACTGCTCTTACTCTGCTCGTCTGCCCCTTCGCATCTGGCTCGCCGCCGTCGGTGGTGGTGCCGTCGAGGGTTCCGTCCGTTGGTGGGCTCGCGATCACCGTGCTCACCACCGCTACACCGACACCGACAAGGACCCTTACTCCGTCCGCAAGGGTCTGCTCTACTCCCACCTCGGCTGGATGGTCATGAAGCAGAACCCCAAGCGGATCGGCCGCACCGACATCTCCGATCTGAACGAGGACCCCGTCGTCGTGTGGCAGCACCGCAACTACCTCAAGGTCGTCTTCATGATGGGCCTTGGAGTGCCCATGCTCGTGGCGGGCCTCGGCTGGGGTGATTGGTGGGGTGGCTTTGTCTATGCCGGCATCCTGCGGATCTTCTTCGTCCAGCAAGCCACCTTCTGTGTCAACTCCCTGGCTCACTGGCTCGGTGACCAGCCCTTCGATGACCGCAACTCGCCCCGTGATCACGTCATCACCGCCTTCGTCACCCTGGGTGAGGGATACCACAACTTCCACCACGAGTTCCCCTCCGACTACCGCAACGCCATCGAGTGGCACCAGTACGACCCCACCAAGTGGTCCATCTGGGCGTGGAAGCAGCTGGGTCTGGCCTACGACCTGAAGCAGTTCCGCTCCAACGAGATCGAGAAGGGCCGCGTCCAGCAGCTGCAGAAGAAGATCGACCAGAAGCGTGCCAAGCTGGACTGGGGCGTGCCGCTGGATCAGCTGCCCGTCATGGAATGGGACGACTATGTCGAGCAGGCCAAGAACGGCCGTGGTTTGGTCGCCATCGCCGGTGTCGTGCACGACGTTACCGACTTCATCAAGGACCACCCCGGTGGCAAGGCCATGATCAACTCCGGCCTCGGCAAGGATGCCACCGCTATGTTCAACGGCGGTGTCTACTACCACTCCAACGCCGCCCACAATCTGCTGTCGACCATGCGGGTGGGTGTCATCCGCGGTGGCTGCGAGGTGGAGATCTGGAAGCGCGCCCAGAAGGAGAGCACCGACTACGTTCGGGACGGGTCCGGCCAGCGGGTGATCCGGGCTGGTGAACAGGTCACCAAGATCCCGGAGTCCATCCCCACGGCGGATGCCGCTTGAACGATTTTCCTTCTTTTTACCACCTTGACCACCTTTTGTCGATGACCCAAACCGTCGTTGATGTTCCTTGTATTATCTTCTCCGGCATCCGTGCTCTGGCGGTTTGCTTTGTGTCTTTAGTTTTCTTGAGTTAGCAGCACTTCGGGCGTTTGATCTCCAATGGGGTTGTTATTGTTCTTTTCCTGTGATTCTTCTGTTTTGAAATGTGGAGTTTCGGTGTCGAGGCGGGTCCCCGATGAATTGAGTCCAGCAGTCTGGCGAGGAAGACTCCGCATTCCGGAGGAGGAAAAAGAGTGATCTGGTTGACCTCGGTCTTATTAATGCAAAATGACGATGACATGTCACTTAAGATTGACCGTATTTTCCAGTATGCTGTAGACCGTATCAGAGCAACATGTAGAGTGTCTATCTCTGCTATACGAACTCTCCCTGGGATATCGATCTGGTGCGAATTTTCCAGTGGGGACCGGTCAGCTGAGTGAACTGGCTTGGCATCTCCAACCGGTTTACTAGGCTGCTCTGAGTCTAGTCTCACAAATACCTCATCCATCCTCCACTCTTCTTCCTCACTTGCATCACCGATTGCCTCTACTGCATTCCCTCCCAACTGCAGAGACACGTATCATCATTCCCTCATACCTTACTCTCCCACCCCCCCCCCTCTACCCCACTATTCTGGGTACCCCTCGTCATCATTCGTTTCTCTACCCGATCCCTTTATTTACACCTCCTCGCCCTGCTCCTGGGCGTTCTGCTCGTAATCGTGGCTCCTCCTCTCCGTCTTTCCTCCTCCACCTTTAGACTCTCCTCAGTCCTGGGTCATCTCCGTGGCTCACGATTTTCGGCCACGACCAACCCCGTCTTGACGGATATCCGCAGAACCCTCACCACCGCCAGTATGGCCCCCGAACACCTGCGTCGGCCGCCTCAGGCCCCGCCCGTCTTCACCGCAACCGCCCAATCGATCATCGAGGACGCCAAGCGTCTCGTCGCAACCTCCCGCAAGGTCCAAGACGACGTCGTGAACAATGTCACCTCCGATTCGGCCTCGTTCGCCTCCGTGCTGAAGCCTCTCGCGCAGGATGAGAACGTCATGGCCCTCGAGTCCCACATTCTCGGCTTCTACCAGGCCGTCTCGACCGAACAGCAGTTGCGCGATGCCTCATCCAAGGCGGAGGAGCTGATGGATGAGTTCTTCATCGAGGCCGCCATGCGCGAGGATGTCTTCAAGCTGGTGGATGCCGTGCTCCAGAAGAACGAATCCATTGACCCCGAGTCCCGCCGTCTGTTGGAGAAGGAACACAAGGACTACATCCGGAACGGGCTGGGATTGCCCGCCGGTCCCAAACGGGACCGCTTCAAGGAGATCAAGAAGCGCCTGAGTCAGATCAGCATTGAGTTCCAGAAGAACCTGAACGAGGAGAACGAGGGCATCTGGTTTACGCGGGAGGAGCTGGACGGCGTGCCGGAGGATGTGCTCTCCGGTCTGAAGAAGGGAGAGGGCGAGAACGACGGCAAGCTGTGGCTGACCTTCAAGTATCCCGACCTCTTCCCGACGATGAAGTACGCCAAGAACCCGGAGACCCGGAAGAAGGTGATGATCCAGAACGAGAACAAGTGTAACCAGAATGCGCCCCTCTTCCGCGAGTCGATCATCCTGCGCGACGAGGCCGCCCGTTTGCTGGGCTACCCCAACCATGCCGCATTCCGCATCGAGGACAAGATGGCCAAGACCCCCGACACGGTCAACACCTTCCTGGGCGACCTGCGCAGCCGCCTGACGGCCGGCGGCCAGAAGGAGATCAAGGAACTGCTGGAGTTCAAGAAAAATGACTTTGAGGCCCGGGGGGAGTCCTTCGACGGCCGGTACTATCTCTGGGACCACCGGTTCTACGATCGCTTGATGCTGGAGAAGAACTTTTCTCTGGACCAGCAGCTCATCGCCGAGTACTTCCCTCTGCAGACCACTATCGCCGGCATGTTGAAGATCTTTGAAGAGCTCTTCGGTCTGGTGTTTGTGGAGATCACCGGGGAGGACCGGCAGCAAGTGGCGCCCACGGGCAAGGGCAGCGACATTGTGTGGCACGAGGACGTGCAGATCTTTGGTGTCTGGAACGACGAGGGTGAGGGCAGTGGATTCGTGGGCTACCTGTACCTGGACCTTTTCCCGCGCCCTGGCAAGTACGGCCACGCCGCCAACTTCAACCTGCAGCCGGTACGTCCTCGACCTAGCCCCCCGCCCTAGCTTGACGAAGCGTGATTGGGACTAACCAACCATGTAGGGCTTCATTGACGCCAACGGCAACCGCCACTACCCCGCCACCGCCCTGGTGTGCAACTTCACCAAGCCGACGCCGAAGAAGCCGAGTCTGCTCAAGCACGAGGAAGTGGTAACCCTGTTCCACGAGCTGGGCCACGGCATCCACGATCTCGTAGCGCAGACGACCTACTCGCGCTTCCACGGCACGAACACCGTGCGCGACTTCGTCGAAGCGCCCAGCCAGATGCTCGAGAACTGGTGTTGGACGCCGTCGCAGCTGAAGTCCCTCAGCAAGCACTACTCGACGCTGTCGCCGGAGTACCTCTCCGGCTGGCAAGAGCAAGCCGAGGGCAAGACCCCACCGGCAGAGCAGATCCCCGACGAGGTGATCGAGAACCTGATCCGCACCAAGCACGTCAACGACGCACTGTTCAACCTGCGCCAGCTGCACTTTGGCATCTTCGACATGACAGTGCACCAGCCGGCGGACCACGAGGCGATCCAGAAGCTGCCCATCTCCGCGACGTACAACAAGCTCCGTCACGAAATCACGCAGATGGATGGCCCTGAGACTCTGAATATGGGCGAGGAATGGGGCCACGGCGAGGCTACCTTTGGTCATCTGATCGGTGGGTATGATGCCGGCTACTACGGGTATCTGAGCTCCCAGGTTTACTCGACGGATATGTTCTACACTGTCTTTGAGGCGGACCCCATGAACCCTACCGAGGGCCGGCGGTACCGTCACCAGGTGTTGGAGAAGGGCGGTAGCCAGGATGAGATGACCACGCTGACGGCGTTCTTGGGACGGCCTCCTAAGACGGATGCGTTTTATAAGGATTTGGGGTTGGCCTAGTCTCCTCTCAAGGGATGCATTCACGATCTGGATTGCTTAGATAGAGTTATCGTCCATAAAGATGCACTAGATGCAACCAGCGACAACATCCTCATACTATCTATATTATCCGTAGGCAGAAGTTGTAGTAGTAGGAGTAGTAGTAGTAATATCAGTAGTACGCCAAGTCCTCACTAACCCCATCCTACCAAGTCCTCCAAAATCAACACCATATCTTATAGCTCTTATCTCCCGTGACCATGATACCCTTATAAATCCATCATTTCTCCCATCGCATCCCGCCTCAACTCAGTCTGGACCCCAGGGAAGCGACTGAACTTCATCAACCCCACGAAACAAACGGTCAACCCCGACCCCAACTTCTAACCCAATCCCCAGGTCCACCACGCCACTCTTGACGGACTTTTTACATAATAGGTATTGCCTCCGGTTTCGATCCCTGATGTCCCCACAAATTTACCCCGGAAGTAGCCGATGGGAAGCGTGCATGAACTAATTGACTGACTTTCTCTCACAGCCATGAATGGTACATAAATCATACATGAATTATGAGGCAGAGAATATGGACGGAATTCGGCTAGGAACGGAAGGACTCTATTGACTATGTCTGATTGAGTCGGTTGCTTTGTCTGTTCAGTCCTCACTCTCAGTCTACCCCTGGAAAAATCAATACTCGTCGACCCCTCCATTAAGGCAAGACAATTGAATTCGGGAACTCAAGGCACTGCACGACGAGTACCAGACTACCAGTCTACGGGTGATAACTTGATTGATTGATTGTTGGAATCATTGACCCACTCTTTGGTCCACACCGGGTTTGATACCCCGGATCGATTTTGACTTTTTTACTTGACTGACCGACTGGGTTGGATTGATTCTGTTGGTATATCGCGGGGGGTTTTGCGCCCGTATCTGTGGATTATGCAAAGCTTGTTGGATTGAGACTGGGGAGAAGGAAACCCTCGGAGTCATCCATACGGTTCCTGTTGAATCGACGGGATGTGAATTTCCAGTCTTGTCCTGACTGTTTGACTCCGGACAGTGTTCACTATTTCTTCAAATCCGGCAACGTCATGACTTCCCTGGGATGATCAGGTTCTCATGCATATTTCGTCTGTGAATACATAAATGACCGCACTCATTGACGACGATTCCAACCCGATAACCAGATCCGCTCCACTGGACCGGACCCGGGCCGGTCGCCGGCTACGCTCAGGTGGGCCATAGCTCGGGCACGTGGTCACGGGTTGTTCGCTCTGCTCTATTCTACTATGATCTTGCCAATACGGGAGGTTTTTATCCCGCTAGATCGGCCCGATAGTTCAATATTCATGGATCGGATTTATGCACTCTGACGTTGACAGCAAGAAAGTTGACGAACTTGACAAGTTGACACTTAAGGCAACGGCCCGGTGTTTGGCTGTTCGCCTCATACCAGTGAAACGAAGTTACTTCCCCAGAGGTTCCACCGAGCCATGCGGGGATTCAACTCCCCTATACACAGTACGTTATGAAAATTGCTCACTGGCCCGGTTCGGGCGGGTCCCGACTGTGGGAGGCGATCTATTCTCGGGCCCAACCAGTGACTAGAGTTCTCACCGAAACACGCACACATACTCCCAGAGAAGAATGCCAAAATGAGCGGACCCATATGGGGTAGGACGTACCTGAGATAACCCAGGCCATTCTGGTTGGTTGTTCCAGGTTTTTACCTCCATTAAGCATGGATTACTCATCTCCGTGTTGAGTCTGGTGCCCTAGAAGGCGGAAGGGCGAAAAAAAATTTGGGCCGTTGATGGGTCTGCCTGTATTTAGTCTTTTCTACGTCGCGTGGGCCTCGTCGTTACTTAACTAGACGGTTCTCCCTGTCTCTCTCCCTCTCCCTCTCTCTCTCCTTTGGAGGTTCCCCTGTTCACTTTCTCAGTCCATCTTCATCATGGCTGTTCCTGACCCCCTTCCTATCCAACATGATACCCCTGTCGACCTGGACCACGCGGACATGGAGAAGTCCTCTCTGAATGAAAAGGAACAGGCCCCCGTGGATGATCCATTCGGAAATGAAGAATGCGGTGAGGTCAAGTACCGTGTCATGAAGTGGTGGTGAGTATCCGTCTCTCAATTGCATGGACACGGCATGATCTGACTGTTCTGCAGGCACGCGGGAATGCGTGAGTCTCCACACCAGCCGACCAACCATCGTGTAGCCTACTAAACCGTTTATCCAGTGATGGTCGCTGAGAATATCTCCCTCGGTATCCTGTCTCTCCCGTCCGCTGTGGCCACCCTAGGAATCGTCCCGTAAGGAACCCTCTCGTATCGTGCCACGAGCACCGCTGACCAGCTGCAGCGCGTTTCTCATCATCCTCGGCCTGTCCGGCATCTCATGGTACACCGGATACGTCATGGGGCAGTTCAAGCTCCGGTATCCTCAAGTGCACAGCATGGGTGACGCAGGCGAGTTGCTCTTCGGCCCAATCGGCCGGGAGATCTTCTACGTCGGCCAGCTACTGTTCATCATCTTCCTGATGGCAAGCCACATCCTCACCTTCTCCGTGCTGTTCAACACCATCACCAACCACGGCACCTGCACCATCGTCTTCGGAGTCGTGGGCCTGATCGTCAGCTTTCTCTGTGCCCTGCCGCGCACGGCAGGAAAGGTCTTCTGGATGTCCATCATCTCCGCAGCCAGCATCCTCATCGCGACCATCATCACCATGGTCTCCATCGCTGTCCAGATGCCCGAGAAGGTCCAGAACGACATCACCACGTCACCCAGCTTCGCGGAGGGCTTCCTCGCCGTGACCAACATCGTCTTCGCCTTCATCGCCCACGTCTCCTTCTTCGGCATCATCTCCGAGATGCAGGACCCCCGCGAATTCCCCAAGTCCCTCGCCATGCTGCAGATCGTTGACACCATCATGTACATCGTCACCGCCATGGTCATCTACTGCTACGCCGGACCGGACGTGGCCTCTCCTGCGCTATCCTCCGCAGGACCCATGATGAAGAAGGTCGCATACGGCATTGCCATTCCCACGGTACACTTCCCTTTCCCCTCATTATATCCATCCATCCGTGCCCGTCTAATCCACCTCTAGGTCGTCGTTGCAGGCGTAGTCTTCGGCCACGTCGCCTGCAAATACATCTACGTGCGCATCTTCCGCGGCGCGCGCTCGCACCACATGCACCAGCAGAATTTCATAGCCACCGGCACGTGGGTGGCCATCGGGCTGAGCATGTGGACCGTGGCGTGGGTGATTGCCGAGTCGATCCCGGTGTTCAACGAGCTGTTGAGTTTGATCAGCGCGTTGTTCGGAAGTTGGTTCAGTTACGGCCTCCCCGCTATCTTCTGGTTCGTCCTCAACAAAGGCCAGTACTTTGCCAACTGGAAGAAGATCACCCTGACGGTGATCAATCTGATTATCTTGGGGATTGCCTGCGCGATCGTAAGTTTACACCCGATAACCCTTTACACCCAGGTGGGCAGACTGCTAACGAGATTCAAGTGCGGACTGGGTCTGTACGTGTCGGGCAAGGCGATCAACGAGAGCTCGGCTAAGGCTAGCTGGACGTGCGCGAACAATGCTGATTAACGGGCGGTAGCGGTACGCAGGGAGTGCCGTTTGAACTACCTTAGTATTGTATGTAGGTTATTGTGTATATAGTATAGACATGATTATTTTATATTATATTATATTATATTATTGTATTTACTCTGGTTTATAATCATAGTTATATCTATAGTGTATGCGTTGACTGTGCATAGAGAGGACGGAGCTACTGGCTACAAGGTAGACAGCTACCTAGTAGATAGGGAGATCTTATCGATAAGCAAGCCAAGAAGATTTCCAACTCAACTTCAACCACCACCACCATCATCATCATCATCATCAATCCACACCAATTTACCCCAACAGCCACCAGAACAGACCGGACCAGAACAATCCCAGCAAGCACACTCAAACCAAACCACCCAATTGACCCAACAAAAGAAGAGAAAAAAGAAAAGAAAAAGAGAAGGGAGAAAGAAGCAAGAACAAAATGTCCACCTCCAACAATCACAACCCAAACCAACAACCTCCCTCCCACCCAGACCAAAACGAAGCTCCATCCCACACCCAAGATGACGCACAATCCCAATCGAACCCTCAAAGAGGAGGCAAGAAAGCAAAACTCCCCATCCACACCCACCACTGCCGCTTCTGCAACCACCTCCTCCTAGCAACAACCCTCCAGTCCCTGGCCTCTCTCCCGACGCGCAAACCGCCCGCGAAAGATGGCGCTGTCATCGTGCCTCTTTCTTTACCTGCCTCGTCTTCATCCGCTACCTCGTCAACATCATCTTCGACGACCAGGGGGGATACGGATACCGAATTGAAAGACAGAGAAGAAGGGAAAAAAGACCTCCACACGACTATCCTCCTCTCGACAACACAGCCGGACCGGGGCTTCACTGTTATCCGCCGAGAAGACGGGTTCGAGAAGAGACGGTTGATACGGTGTGGGCGGTGTAGGGTTGTTGTGGGGTATTTCTTGGATGCGGTTCATTTTCCTTCTTCCGGAGGAGGAGTGAAGGGAGAGGGAGATACAGAGGGAGATGTTGGGGAGGAAGATGAAGAGAAGAAAGATGAGATCAAGGTGGTGTATTTACTTCCTGCGGCGTTGATGGAGACGGGGACTATGGTCACAGGGGACGAGGAGGAGCTGAGGAGGTTGGATCGGGGGTGGAGTTCTTGGGTTTGATCTTTTCTTTGTATTGTATAATATCATATATTCTAGTTGTATGTATTGAGGTTGTTGATCGGGGTGGACAGATGTAAATGATATGCTTAATAAGATTGCATGCTAACTATACAGCTACACCCCCACCAGATTGATATCCATCAAAACAAGCAAAGCATCGTAAGAACGTGGAACGTGATCGGGTATCGTGTAATCATCAGTTGGCCAGGATGGTCCGGACGAGATCTGATACATTAAGTTAGTAACACTCCCAGACAACAAACAGACTGAAGACGAACCCGTGTAGTTGATCTCCCCCGAGCTGGTATCCACTGCCTTGAGCAGCTCATCGACCTCGTCATCGGACATTTTCTCGCCGAGGTTGGTCAAAACTGTTAACCCATTAGTACCTCCATCATATACCTCCGGAAACGAAAGAGCATACTGTAACGAAGCTGTCCCACCCCAATAAACCCCGTCATATCCTTATCGAACACCTGGAATCCACGACAGTATTCCTCGGGGTCACCGGGCTCGCGGAATCCACCGGGGCGATTGAGCACCTTGATGAAAGACTCGAAGTCGACTGTACACGATTAGCCTTTTTCCTTCCATCTTTTATTCCGCCTGTCCCCTCCAGCCGTCAGGAGTGATACGTACAGTCACCACCCAAGTTCTTCTCCAACCCCGCAATCTCCTCCTGGGTCGGGTTCTGTCCGCAAGCGCGCAGGAGATCGCCCAGCAACTCAAGCGATACGGTACCGCTGCCGCGTCGGTCGAACAGCGAGAAAGCTTCCTTGTAGTTGGTCGAGGCCTGATCGTCGGGTTGTGGTGAGCGAGACATTTTTGCCAAACGTGGGAGGATGGAATGGGAATGAATATGGGGATGGAAGTGAAGAGAGAGAGAGAGAGAGAGAGATCAGGACGAAGGAGAAGGAATAGCCAGCCAGGAGGTCGCAAGCTGGACGAAGCAGACAGAAGGCTGGATCATTCACTCATTGGATGGCAAACCGTGGTCGGAACCAGCCCCAGCCCAACTCAATTCCGCTTCGTCTTCCGACTTCTTCCCCCCTTGCATTCCTGGACCGGGACAGGGACAGGGACTCGTGGTTGGGGCATTCTTGCATTCATGCGTTCAAAGCATGGGCTTCCCCGTTTTCTTTCTCTCTCTCTCTCTGTCTTTGGGATCTGAGGATCATCGTGCGCGATTGACGTACCATTGTGGTGATTGTTGTTGTTTTTGTTGTTGCTTGATTTCGAATTCGAGAATCGGTCACGATGAAAAGCGATCGATGCGGTCGTCTATTGAATCGAGGAGTCTAACGAGTTGATAACAAGAATGCGTGTAGATCAATTGAAGTGAGGGGGAAGTCAGAAGGAGAAAGGGGAGAGGAAAGCGGGAGAGATGGAGAAAGGGTGGGCGGCAGACCCGCCCGCCCGTTGTTGTGGTAACCATCGATCGATCAATAGATCCTATAGTACATTTCGAAATCTCCCACCAAACAAACGTATCACACAAGTATCAAACAAATAAAGTAATAAATAGAAAATACATGAAAAGAAGAGATCAACTCCCAAGCTTCGTGATGCAACTGCCCAGCAGATTCGCCGCCTCCGTCAACAACTCCCACCGTGCGTGTAGAAACCCATCGCGTAGCACCATCAACAATCCCATACACTGGTTTCGCCCCGTCATCGTCTCCAGGTCGTTGGGCGAGGCCGCTCCCCCCATGCGTCGTAGGTATGCCCGCATATCACGCCGCTGGTCGGCCGCTGTCCTCAGCACCACCACCGACCGGATCGGCCCCTCCAGCGCGTAGCCGTAGCACCACACCACCAGCGCCGCCACGTAGACCACCCACGGCCGGTTCAGCAGGGAGTCGTCACGTCCCCGATATGACTCCGAGTCGTCATCGCCGTCATCGCCCAGCATGCACTCCGACAGGACCTTCAGCGCGTGAAAGGTGGCGTCCCGCGCCGATGCCTTGGTCGCCCACCGCTCCGTCATCTTCTCCCGGGCGGCGCTGTAATCGCGCCCCGTGATGGACCGCCCCATCAGACGTCCAGCGCCGGCAAAGATCTGACAGTCGACAATGTCGACATGGGACGCCATGTGGGCGAGCCCGTACAGCACGTTCCGCGATTCGAATAGGTGGTCTTCGCCCAACGGGCGTCGCGCCCACTGCAGTCCCGCCGGGAAGGGCGGGGACCCGGCCGGGCCCAATGCCGCGTCGAAGTCCCGACGCCAATGGTCAAAGGCGCGCAGCAGCGCCGACCGCCACTTGTCCCGCCCGCCTAGGGTCTGGGGTACCCCCAGCGAGCTGACCTGCAGGTCCCGCTGGTTCATGTGCCAACTGACGCTCAGAAGGCCCGCCATGAGGATGGTGCGTCCAAAGGCGTTCGTCTGCACGCGCTGCCCGTTGAGCGTCTGCTTGAGTCCGTCGAGGAATGTGACGGGCTGCACCCCGTTGGCGTGCAGGCTCGACTGCACCCGGGCCACCTCCGCTGCGCTGGTCGCCGACCACAGGGCCTCGTCGCACGGGAGCGGCAGCCGCAGCTCGTGCGCCACCATTTTGGCCGAGTGTCCGAACATGGTGGCATGCGTTGAGTCCAGCACGAAGGCTGCAAACGCGACGCGCCGCATGGACTCGGTCTTGATCCAGTGCGTCCAGGATTCGTCGGCGGAGCCGGGCGTCACCAATTCCAACCCCGAGGCCGACCGGGTCGGCCGGTCGTCCCGCAGGCTCCCCGGCGAGTCGAATGCCGAGCGATCGATCAACGAACTGCCGCGTCGCATCAAGGTCAAGGTGGTGTCGTGGTGGATATGTGCTCTCTCATGCAGCGCCCGCGTGGAAAATAGCTTCTCGTACACCTCCATCAATAGCAGCGCCTGAAAGACCCAGAGTTTGGCCGGCGGGCGAAAGTCGGCGTCCATGAAGAGCTCCCAGCGAAGATGCCAGGCAATAAAGTTGGCCAGCTCTGACGCCGCCCCCGTGACCTCGGGCCCGTGAATCGGGTCCAGGGTGGCGGCGCCGATGGCGATGACCGCCAGGAGCAGCAGGTTGGGCGCCCGGTCGGCCACGAAGGTCGGACGGTGCAATATGGGCAGTTGCCCTTGGAAGTGGAACCAGTACGACCCGACGTAGGTCTGCATCATGTGCAGACTCAGCACGTGGCTGTCGTCATCCAGGTCTCCGTCCATCAAGGCATCCTTCCGCTTGGATACTACCGAATACGCCGCCTCGTTGAACCGGGTGGACATGAGGTCAAGGAGTTCCTGCCGCTTCTCTTCGGACATGATGGCCCGCGGCGATCCGGGGTCCAGGACACTGGTGACGCTCATAGGACGCTGTGGCATGGCCCCGTTCAGAAAATCCCCGTAGGCCGCATCGCTCGTGCGAAAGGGGTTCTGTAATCCAGTGGCGTCGAAGACACTTGGAAACGTGCCGGTGCGCGCTGGATCTGATACCGACGACGTCGTCCCCGGAGAGGGCTCGTTAAACAACCAGGCTGCGAAATCGTCGGCCATGGCGAAGGGCGACCGGTTGGATGGATCCCCCCCAAAGATCGGGTAGGCGCACGAGCCGAACGGCTTGAACCCTGCTTCATCCACCGTGGCTCCAGGTCCCATCATCTCCGCCATGGAATCCAGGGGACCCATATCCGAGGTCCGCTCCAGGGGTGCCGGGGCAGATGAGGCGGCCAGCGGACTGGCTTCGTACCCACTGACCGGTATCTGCAGAGCAGCCTGAGGGCCGTATGGCGTGGAAGAGACCAGGGAGGGTGCGTGACCGATATCCGTCGAGAGGGCGTAAGGGACACCGGCATCCTGCGATCGGACCAGGGCATGGCTGACGGCTGACAGTGAGTGACGCGACCGCACCCCCTGTCCTAGATCGTTGGGTCCGATCGGTGGATTGGCGGACTGGGGGCCGTCGAACGGCACAAATGAGACTCTGTTGAGACCCGGAGGGCAGAACGTCGCGGCGGATGGTCCCGTGGGTGGGCTGATGGCCGGGTTGCCGGCGCTTGCGGACCGCGGTATTGACGTCTCGGAAGCCAGCCCGTGTTGGGTAGCCAGTGCGGGCGGATAACTGAAGGCTTGGTTGAGTCCGACGGAGTCAGGCGAGGATGAGACAGACATGCGGTGATGGAGGCCGGTGATCGGGGCGGTGGTCGCATCAATCCGTCCCGCGGTTGAGACTGGGGGGAAATGGGCAGGCGGAGACATGGCTGTCGGCTGACCCTGGCTGTCCACCACATAGTTGCCCGTCGCGGCGTGCGCGAAATGGTCCCGTTTCTGAAGCTGCGACCCGTGAGTTGTATGGCGTTCCCGGTGCCGGATACAAAGATCTTGTCGCACAAAGGAGCGATAGCAACCGGGGAAGTCACATCGGTAGATCTGTTTGGGGGTGTCTTGATCGATGTCAGCTCACCCGGGCCTCGTTCTCTTTGATGGATGGATAATTTGGGAGATCATCTATCCTTCCTCAAGTTGGATGCACGTACGGTTCAGCTGATGCCGGTACAGGTGTTCTGCCCGCGAATACCTCTTGCCACAATTCTCAAAGGTGCAGTCGAATTTGCGATCGGTCTGGACCTTGCGAGTCCGCCTTCTTTTCCGGCCACTGCCATCGTTCTCCGTCGGGTCCATCTCGGGTATTCTGCGGGGCCCTTCCAAAGCATTTAACTGTGGCATTGCATTGAGAGCCAAGGTCATTTTGACTGGAGGGGAAAAGGTAGACGAGGGGGATTCATTGAGATGGTGGACCAATAGGGAAGATGGCCCGGAGGGGAAAGAGTCGTGGATGAGCATGGAGTTCAACCCAGCGATGCCGATTTTGTGGGGTAAGAAAAGGACGACGGATAGATATCGGGCGAATCCACGCCGATTTCCTTGCGCTGGACGGGGAGAAGCCGAGCCCGACACGCCCAGGAAGGAAGGATGTGGGGCCAACTTGCGGGAGGGGGACCAAATGAAGAGATTGAACAACAGATAGAAAAATGTATAAAAGAAACAGGGAAGGAAGCAAGGAAGGAAGGAAAGACGAAATAAAAAAGGGAAAATGTCCGTTTCTCAGTTGGATAATCCCCCGCGACAGGATGACTCGAAGGCTTCAGACTCGAGAGTGCAGAACCGATAGCAACAAGAAATGCAGAGGGTCCGTCAGATGAAGCAATTGGTATCCGGGTATCGATATCGAGTGTATACTATCGTGTTTAGGATAGTGATATGGTGTGAAGAAAGGAAGAAGGTGAGCGGAGAATGGAACCCGATGCAGGGGACTCGAATTTAAAGAGTCAACAAATCTGACAGAAGGAGAAGGACTGTGGACGATCTGGTCTGATGCACTCAGCTCAGCATCATGAGAGAGGAGAAAGAAGAACTCATTGGACCAGGAAGGAGAGAGACGAGAAGAGAAGAGAAGAGAAGAAGAGCCTTGAGATGACAAGATGAAGATCTCAATGAGTTTCGCATCCGATATCGCCATACAAACCACCATGACAGTCGCCGTACATGCTGTCCAGGTACCTTCCTCTACAAATGATACAGAGAGAGACCTTTGGTCATGTAACTTTACCGTACGTGACGTCTATCTCTCCTTCGACTACAGCTCTTCAACTTCTTCATTTCGTCATACAACTCTCAGGATCCTGGTCCCCTCTATCCAAAATACTTACCCAGGTACCCGACGTGATTTGAGGATCACTGGGGATTATCTTCCCCATCGCTGGACTGATTGGCCACGACCCAACTAAAACCTCCAAACCACCCCTGAACAACCCGTGGACCCTCACCCCGATGTCTCACCGCAATCTCACTCCGAATCGCTTCACCCGAGAAAACACCAATCAATCTGGGAAGAGAAGAAGCGCCCACAACGTTCGGGTGTGTTTGGGCTCGGTGGAGCTTGAGCCTCAGTCTCATTTGTCCATTTCCGGTCCAGCGGGCACTCTGCATCCCGACCCGAAAATGGAGAGACACAGCAAGACTGATGGAAGGAGGGGTGAGCGAAAAGGCGCGGGGTGAAAGATATCCGGTTGCGTTACGATTGTGGCGGTTAGAGCCTGGATATCGCATAGACAGGTAGGCTGCACTGGATCGACACAAGCTTTGCGTCCATCAGACCGTCAAAAGGCAATCCATATGATCTCAAGTCGCTGCTCCGAGGGAGACTATCTTCCAATGAACATGAAACGAATGATCCGCTCTCTGATCTTGACGTCCTGGGACATGGCAAAAACCTGCAGTGTTCATGTGTTCCTGTCGGTCACCAGTGCGGAGAATGATCGGCATGGTCCTACAGCACACCAGGTGGGCCTCTCGCCTGCACAATCGAATTCAACTGTTTGCGATGGACAGCATCAACCGCAGCCGGTTGATGACTATTATCTAGGAGATACTATGTGCGCTGTCGATACCGTTGGCTCTCGCCGTCATTGTTGTTGATCAAGCAGAGGCCAGACCCACGGGATTTTCACAATTTGATCAACCTGCCTGCTGGTCGATCCCAGTGGCTGGAGATGTTTCTTCTTCGGTAGCTACGCCCCGCTTTTACTATTGTGATGATCACAAAAGGCAGCCTGTCCCAGTGCCATTCCCCACCCACGTTATTGTCCCTCCTCGTATTATCAGAGTGGACAAAGAAAAGAGGCAGATAACACTGATGCAACTAAGAGTCATCCTCACTTAAGCTAGCACCCGCAGGCTATGCATATCATCCTTGACCGAATGACGTCTTGCATTGATATATGTCCCTCCTTGAGTGCCTGGAAAATGCAAGACATCGGCGAATGAGCGCGGCGCCGAGGTGACCAGGGATCAGGATTATGGATATTGTGCATGATGACAGGCACAGGTGATTTTGGTTGGTCTGTTCCCCGGAAGTCCCCGGCCTATTCCTTGTATTTCGGCGAGAGCCACAATCGCGGGCAGCGCATGACAGTCGATAACTCGAAGGGGGCGGTGCAGCGATTTGCAGAAACTCCCGTCCACTTCCTTAAGCGATGGATCTTCCATTGGACTCGAGATTATACGGGGTTCTACCTCAAAACATCCTATAATTCCGGTTTCAAGTTTTGAAACCGCACTACTATACTAATGTGTAGAGACCTTTCACGGGCAACGCCGAAGAGCAAGACCGCTGAACACAGGGTCAAAAATAAGAGAAAGCACCAAAAAAGCAAATCGAAAAAGACAAAAGAAAAGCGCATCGACGCGAGTTCTACCGAAATGAGGCCGCAAGGGCAGATCATCCCCAACAGTAGCTCACGAGACCCAACCCTACTAATTGCCGATCCAATCTTAACCGTGCACTGTCTCAGTCTGTTCCACCCGCTCAACCTTATCCACACGCTAGGCTAGCCAAGTGGGCGAGGTTCCTGGATGCTAAACTAGTAGACTTCTCTCACGCATCACGAGAGCAACGGACCCATCTATAATCAAGCGTCGCGACTGCCAGTGGACCCGCTCTCTCTCGCTCTCTTCACTGGCCAGACGAAAGCGGCTGGATTCTGCAACCAAGCAGTACACTGCACATATAGCAGGATTTTTTTTTTTGCCGACGCTGCCTCGATGGACATGATCCGCAGTCTGATACATTGAGCAGATCCTACATTTGGTCCCTCCAGACACAGCCTAGTTTATGCACGAGAATACCTAAAGGGCTATTCCACCGACCTCATCCTCTCTCTTCGGCTTTGTCTCTCTAACCGGTTAGACTATCAAACTATATTCTGTATGATGAGGATCTCTGTACCGCATGGCCGGCTCCAGTGATATGGATGAGGTCAAGTCCAACAGCAACCTCACCCAATTCTTCCTTCCCTTCTTTTTTTTATCATTTACTTTTTTTCTTACTTGACTGCTACAACACTGGACATCCCAAGCGAGCCAGTTGATCAACCGCACTCCCATCAGAAACAGAAGTCAAGCAACTCTACTCACTTCACGCACCCAATATTAGCATCTACATCAACAACTAAACTGGCGAAACAGGGATCCCTTCGGCAATAAGGACCTTAGTCATCCGACGTTCGATCTATTTAGTTGTTTCGGGTTAAACCTGCCTTCGCATCGTTGTTTCGACAGGCTTTCGGACCGCACACAAAATGCCTACCTACGCGATCCTCTAATGTATAGGGTACCTGGCGATCCTCTAAAGACAGGGTACCTGACCACATGCAGATGTTATAGTATCATGGAATCAGCCGACTATGTCTGACGTACTAGTGTATAGCACAGAGTATACGGAGTACTATGTATAGATGCACCCCGTCAGTCGTCCTGTCGATCTTGATCGATGCTTGATCGAAAACCTAGGCACCTCGCTTTGCTTGTGAAGGTAGCTCATAGACGTCTAACCTGATACAACATGTCTCAGTGTAGGTGGCAGATAATTCGTCATCGATTCAGCCATCCGCTGATACTTGTGTACCTGTACTTGGTATACCAAGTATCTAACATGGCGCGTGATGTCGTCGTATCGACCATGGTCTACTGCAGATGCTCTAGTCACCACCACCAGGGTCAGGATGGATCGAATTTGGTTTCTACGCCTTACTTCTTCTTTCATTCCTTCCTTCTTTCCTTTTTGGTCGATTTTATTTCCCTTTCCCTCCTTTGCCCCTTCCTTCTTTCAATCTTTTCTTGTTTCCTTCTTCTATCTGTTCCAACCCAATTGTAGAAGGTACGATCAAGGCCTAGCCTATAACTAAATATAAAAAAAACGACATAAGATAAGAACACAATAGCAACAGTACAAATAACAGACAAAACTATGAATAAACATTATACAAACACGTCTCACTATACGGAATACGCAGGAAAAGGAAAAAAGAGAAAAGAAAGAGAATACAAGTGAAGATCTCCCCTAAAACTACAACTATTCTTGAGCCTCACACAGGAACAGCAGTTAATTATTACAAGGGGCTTTTGGCCATTTTGTTGTGTTGAGAGAAAAATGATAATAGTGATTGATAAGCGGGTGCATCTTCCGTTTCTATTTCCATTTTCACTATCATTATCATGATAATCATGCATGATCTGAAACACTAGCATGTGTCTATCATACATACATGTCGGGAGTCAAACCAATGGGTTTGGATTACAAGGAAGAGAAAAGGGATGACTACTCCATAGGATAAACACAACATAGTGATATTTCGTGGCAATTAATCTAAGATGTTATAAAAATAGTATCCGCAGAGCGCAAACGTGTCTAGATATCTTTTGTAGCCGAGTGGTTATCTTTGCACCTTATTTGGTCTCCTGAGAATTTCATGGCAAGGGCAATAAAGTCAGGCAATACCAGTAACAAACTCACTATTCATCCGTAATCCGCTTCAGTTTCTTTTCGCATGGGAGGAGCATTTTCTGTGAGTCTTCGGATATCATGCCTCTCTCACTAAGTTTGCAGTATTTAAAAATTATAATAATAATAATAGTGATTACGTCTAAGCGGCACCGCATCGCTGGCTCATTATTAAATAATGCCTCAAATGCCTGATTGTATTGCTCAAGTGTCTTGACTAGTATATTATCAGTTGAACTCCGCTGTTTGATTTTCATGGATCCGTACGTAAGCTGTTTGGAGCGAGGTCGATAACCTCATCTTTGAGATGTCAGTTCTCAGGCTAACAGATTCCAAGGACGCCTGAGGCCGCTTTCGACTTGTAGGTCCTTGATCTTATCGTGAATACAATTAATCTTGTGCAAATTAAAGTCCGACAGCTTTCAGAATCCTCAATCAGGCATCTAACATCTTGAATGTGCCGCGGAGAATGCCATGTGACATTGTAGATGCTGTGTTGAGATATCAGTCAGATCAAGCTCTATACCAAACGTTGGTTAACATATTAATGTAGCAGTCATTGAGATGTTGTGTCTCCTGGAGATTCCAGGAGGACGATGTTTGGTGTTAGGAACTTCAATAATGAAGAAGAAGGAGAAAAGAAGAGGTAGGAGAGAATAATAAGGAAGATAGGACAGGTGAGAATCAGAGTAGAAGAATAATAAAGATTGACAGTGGTTGCACTCCAAGTGAACTCAACAACTTATGTAAAACCAGTACCTTTGTTCAAGCATAAGAAACACTTTTTGACTTCACCATTCTATATACTTATATATCTGAAGTCAGAGATTTTTTATGTTGGCGCGCATACTTACAATATAGTATGACCGGTGTCGGTCTCGAGATCACATCACTGGGTTTGATCACATAGATAACGTATTTCACAGCAAGGTAACAGTATCTCAGTTATAGCTGATAGAAATATAAGGCAAGGTACATTGGGTAGAAATTCATCTAACCGCATGAGACAGTAATGCGTACCACAATTGCTCCATAGATAGTTTCCTCTTTGCTCTCTTGTATCTCTCCTTTTTTCCTGTTTGGGGTTTAAGTTTGTAACTTATTGTTTATTGTTTAATTTGTATTTATTATTCATTTTTTCTTTTCTGCTTTCACATTTTTGAAACGTAAATTGGCTTTCTTCTGATAATGCAGTACTGTTCTTTTTGCAGATCGGATCGGGCTCGGCTTCCCTTATTGGATACCATTAGAGCGCTCGAATCCAAGGCCTCTGATCATAAAAAAAACATAAAGGGTACCTTAGGTTTATCTCGTAATTCTAAAAAAAGACAGATTAAGCCCCCTGGCCAGGCACAGGTACTGCGAGACGGGCGAGTGGATATGATGAGTGATGATCGGGATAGCTTTGTTTTGCTCTCCTGGCTGACATGACATGGTCAATCCTGCCGCTGAACCGAGACCCTCCGCAAGTGACTGTCGAACGGGTGCCGTTCATGAGTGAAATTTACTGCTCAGTCCCTGTTTCTCCTCTTCTTCCCTTCGTCATTCTCCTATCCGCTGAACCGGAATCGAGTCGCTTCCAGTCGGCCTAGGCCTTCGCGCGGCGCCACATTTCGACGACGGTACGAATTGGTAAAGTCTAAGGTATACAATTAGCATGATATCATTCTCGCTGGTGCGGCGCCAGTCGCAACTCACCTTGCAGGAGAATCCGGATCTTTCGGATCTCGCCCGACTGCACTTGCTGGGAAAGCCCAGTCAGCAGGCGCTCAGCCTCCCCGGGCTTCATCGAGCCTGCCGGGAGCATTTGCAGAGTAGATTGAAGCCATGCTCCGGCATCTTGGGGCATCAATTCGAACATCGCCATCATCACACTGGACGCATCCGGGAAACACTCCCCAGGGAAGGAAAACATCATCCCGGTCAGGATTCGCTGCGTGAGAACCTGGCCCTGCGATGCGACCAGCTGCTTGACAGCTTCACGAATCTCAGCCGGGTTCGAGTACGCATCACCTTCGGGGCTGGTGAAATCCGATACGGCAGGCTTATCAAACGCAAAGCTCAACAGGTCCTGGTAATAGTGGAGCGTGGCCATGAGGGGCTCAATCTTCTGCAGGGAAAGGGCGCTGAGGGCGGCGGAGAAGATGTGCACAATTAGAGAGGAGGTAATGCATTCCTTGGGATAATATCGCACGGCATCCGAAGAAAGGCGGTAGAAGTCCTCGATGACTGTGCTTTGTTAGTACACATACAATGACGGAACAAAAAGAGGCGGACGGGCAAAATGAGAAAGATGGAGAAGGTCTGCAGCAACACACACAGGGTTGGGGAGAGAAGGGAAGAAAATAGACATACCATCAGGCAAGTTCTCTGGCGGCAAGTCGTTCAATGTACGCAAAAACGCAACCGCCTGCTGTTCGTAGAACTGGAAAACAGCGTTGCTGGTAGCCGGATCGACAGCATCACTGCCTTCCGAGAACTCGCGTACAACCGCATCGGTAGCCCACAGGAAACAACCTTCGCGCGAGGCTTCAAACCCACTTGCGAGACTTTGCGCCAGTGTGGGAAGCAGCGGAGCCATGGCCGTGCGGTACGAAATAATCATGTTTCGCCAGCAGCGACATACCCGCTCCAGGATGGGCGTGGACGAGGTGAAGTTCATCGTAAGTGTGGTCATAATGGGAAGGATCTCACCGCAGTACCGCACTGCGGGATTCTCCTCGCCAGGGTTCACGTACGGGTTCACCACCAGAACGAAGATCGTAATCAGCTGGAGATGATCTGTTTGAGATTAGTACCTTGTTCAACGCGCGGATAAGATCGAAATACGATGAGTACATACCAGCCACGGCGCGCTGGCCCTGTTCGTCCTTGGCATTGTTCGCCAGGTTCATGATCCGATTCATGATTGGGTCGCAAAACATCTTCATCGTCTCGTAGATCTTCTCCTTGGGCTGCACCGCAACCACCGCCGCCACGCCTTCGGTCACCTCCTCCTGACTGGCCGGTTTCAGCTTGTCCAAAACAGACTCGTAGAAAGTATGTAGCTGTGCGATGTGGCCTCCGAGCAGTTTTTGGCAGTCTGTGCCAAGGAACTTGAAGGCCAAGGCCGAAGCCTGGATGACTTCGGGCGAGGTATGCTGGAAGCCCGAGATGACGTAGTTTAATTGAGCCTCCAATGTCTCTGGATGCTGCGCAGTCCATTCCGTGTAGCGTGCCAAAGCCATGATGGCCTGGAAGCGAACCTTCTCTTGGTTCGGAATCTGCGTGATCAGAGGAATGACCTGGGTCAGGACGAGATTCTCTTCCGGATCCACCATGCGGCCCATGGCTCTCAAACTGAACAGCGGTGCCTCCAGCTCTTGCCAGTTCGGCACGTGGTCATCGCTCGCCTGGGCGGCGTACTTGGAGACCCATTGCTGAAGCAACTGGTACGCCTTTGTCAAGCATTCCGAGACCCCGATGACGGAGCAACAATCTTTGAGGACATCTCCCATCGAGTGGCGGAAGTGGCGGAACTTCTCCTCTTGCTCCCGATCGCCCCCAAACAGATCGGTCTCTCCCTCCTCGGGGCGGGGGTATTCCAGGTGTTTCACCATGATGTCCACCAGCCGGGAAAAGATGTCGGACAAAGCGGCGCGCGCATCCGCGTATCGATCTAAAGTCAAATATTGCTTCAACTCATACCAGAAGACAAAGGTGAGTGACACCACATCACGCTCCCAGTCACGAGCGCAACACTCCAGGACGGCCTCCACCAGGCCACGGAAATCGGTTGGTAAGCGGGCGATCAGCACCACCCATGCTTCACCAGCTTCCGCAAAGAGTCGGGTAATCCCCTTGAATGCATCTGTATCCTCGGTATCGGCAGCCTCGGCAATTTTCGGGCGCAGGGACATAATGCGGGGGTACAATGCCTGGATGACGGGCAGCGAAGCATCGACTTCGCGTGTGTCCCTATACAGGGTGCACATGCTATCCACACCAGCCTCAAAAGATCCTTCATCATCCAATGCCTTCAGGATGACGTCCATCAGAGGCGAGTCGACGATCTTGGAAGCGGGAATCTCACGCATCCATGAGGTGATACAATCCAGAAGACGAGGGTTCGTTGAGGCCGTGGCTAGCGGGGAGATACCGATTAGCAGAAAGTTCCAACTCGCTGAGACAAGGGGAAACATACGGGAAGATTGAGAATACTGGATCAAGAGCTGCATCACCTGATCCGCATTGTCTTCCAAGAGCTCCTTTGTTCTGGTGATAAGATCGTCTTCCTGAAAGCAAACACAGCGTTAGGGTCTGGAAAACTGGCCGAGCATGACATCGCCGTTGTCGAGCGCGCTTATCGCAGGGGCGAGATGGGATCCGGGGTCTGCCGAACATACACTCAGATTGATTTTGCGGCCTTCCGTGACTTCTTCCGGAAGGATCTTTAAAAAGTCCAACACGCAATCTCCCGCACTACCACCCAGCGCCGATCCGACAGTGGCTAGGACATCTTTCCATTCAGTCATCTGAATCGCGAGACTCGCCAGACACACGCACAGCTGAGTCTGAATCGGTCGAGGTCCGGATGCGAAGGCCACCAACAAATTCAACACCGAATCTCTCAACGCGACAACCGAGTCTGCCGGGAGCTGATCCAGATCGAACATGATCTACTACAAGTTAGCAATGCAACGATGACCACACCACACGTGCATGCGACAGGATTGCTCAGTTCACCTTTCCCTTCAGCGTAGTCGCAGCGAATAATTTGGCCTCCACCGGAACATCGGGGGACTGGAGGAGTTCGTGCGTAATCGTCCACGCCTCGACCTAGAGTAGAAGGGTCACACCAATCAGTATCAAGCACCGTTTGTAGACAGCGAGTCTTATCGACCGAAGGAGACAGGATCGGGGACACCAACGGATTTCTGGAATTTCTCAAGGAATTCATGAGCCTGCGTTTTCTCCGTTCGTGAAACATTTCCCTGCATCGTCGAGACAGCTGCCAGGACAGGCGCAAAGGCCTGTCCAGCCGTCCCCTCCTTGGAAGCCATTGGAAAGGTTCGACTGGTGGGTGATGAAATTCGAGAGTTGGATCGGGAGGGGAGAAGAATGAGGGGTTCGAGGGGTTCAGCCAGGCCGGACGGCTCAACAGCTATAGAAGATGGTCATGAACATTAATTCAACGATGAAAAAGGAAGGTAAGCGACGGCGCGGGATACAATATGGTGGTAAAATTCAGAGGTACCCCAGGATCAGAAAGAAGGTGGTTTGGAGGAAGATCGGAGGGGAAGTTTAGTCTGTCGTAGTAGTGGAGGTGGGATGTGGTGACGGCTTAACCCAAAGAGAGAAAAAGTGGCTGCTGAGCCGCAAATCCCTCCGAGCGGCAGAAACTCCCCCAAAGCTCGCGCTCTCTTTCTTTGCCGTTTCAACTCACGATCATCCCATCTTCCCTTTTCAAACAGCAGCAATCGTTTGATTGAATACCCTTATCGGCTCACAACATCGACGACTGTCTCTCGACTACGTGTGATCCGCCCGTGTGTCCCGGTTTTATCTTCCTTGAATCCCGTCGCGTTATCCCGTTGATCCATCATGACCGGCCGAGGCGGTGGAGCTGCTCGCAAGACCTTGCTTGCCCCCATTCACTTCATCTTCAAGCTCCTCCAGCAAAGATCGACGGTGTCTGTGTGGCTTTATGAACAGTTGGCGTTCCGGATAGAGGGCAAGATTCGGGTACGGAGATATGCCTTGTGTCGTTTGCGCGGACCTATCGGTGTGGCTAACAGGGTATATAGGGATTTGATGAGTTCATGAATTTGGTGATTGACGATGCGGTCGAGGTCCGACTAGCTACGAAGACGGAGGAGGAGAAGCGCCGACCGCTCGGTATGTTGTCATACAATTATTGTCGTCGCATGTTCCCTCCGGTTCCCCCAAGCTGACTCTTTTCTCCTCTCACAGGCCAGATTTTGCTCAAGGGTGACAACGTGTCGCTGATCCAGGCGGTTTGATATCGATATACGAAAAGAACGACAGACCAACACGGGCGGAAAGGAAAATTGCTACCAATGGGCGGGAAATGAATGGAAATGGTCATCGTGTTCATGCGATCGCTTGTTAATCATCACTATTTACGAATTGCCGCTGGAGGGCGTTTAATTGCACTGTTCACATATATTTCAGATCCTTGACGCGAAAGAGACGGTTTTTAGGGCAGCGGATTTTCTTCTTGTTGGTTTTCAGTGTTGTTGGCGCACCAGGCAGCGATCGTCGCCCACGAGGATGATGTCTACCGGCCAGTCATGCTGTGCCACGGGGATTTCTTCAGACGGGGAAAGCAGCTGCTCCCTGAGAGCGAGGGCGACTATGTGATTGTGTCAGCACATCATGGTGTATTGGTTGCGTGTATCCAGGCGATCCTTTCTTACCCAATGAAGGCATTTCTGGCGTCGGCATATCCGTCTCCGCGCATTTCAGGTATCTCTTTAAAAAACGATCATAGTACCCTTTCCCATGGCCGAGTCGTCTGAATCCGTCGTCGAAGGCCATTCCAGGCATCACAATCAAGTCCAACCCCCAGTCCCCCTTCGTAGCCGTTTCCTCCGTCGCGTCTGCCGCGACCCCAATGCCCCCAAAACAGTTCCTCTTGCTGCTGACCTGGTCTTTCGTGAGCGAGGGGATTCCCCACCGATCTCGCGCAAGCGATTGGAACTCGTCCATCGAATCCAGGGCCAGCATGTCCATGACGGAGGTCTTGGGTTGAGACGGTACCTGCGCACTGTGGATGTACGGCACGAACACCTCCTTACCGCTGGTCAGGGCATCTTGCACGATTGCGGTGGTCGATAGCTCGCCTGTTGGCATGGATAGATAGACGCCTATCCTCTTTGCATTCTGATACTCGGCGAGAGAAAACAACCGGTTGGTAACAGTTCTGGCTGCAGACGATTAGCCCGTGTTGCTATATAGCCCGTTACGTTCTGCGATCAGGCTTCTGACATTGATTGGTAATTGATTCTGCTGGGACTTGCTGCAGAACATTGCGGATCTTTCCACGGAGTTCCTTTTTGGCGGTTTGGAGACCGGTCATCATATTGGTGGTGGGGTGACCGCACTGAGATGAAATATGTATCCAGTGCTCACTCTAGTATAAGGATCGGAAGTAACTGGCAACATGGTTAGACATTGTAACTACAGCTCGGTGACAAGGGAGAAGGATACAATATACCTACTCAAGTCAACCACGATGCTCCCAATTGTCGTATTGATTTAACAGCAGCTAGGACCTCGATATTCAATCGAATCTGGCGGGGAACGTGACGCCCGAATGGTTCCCCGACCGCGTCTTGGCGTCGCAGATGATTATTCATGGTTTTCTTTGGTGTTTTGAAACTGATTGGCGTGTTTGGATCGACGCATTGCTCCACTATTTACTGTTTACTAGGCAGGTGTAGTTGCATACCTGCCAGGGACACACAGGCCCTGTTGCATATCTGGTAATTGCTCCCAAGGTTACTATCCATAGGATCTCGGTATGCGTGGGAGTACGTGGTGGGTTGCCCCTTGGGAGAGGGATTGAGTCCCTTTCATTCCATTCCTCTCCTTCCTGGTTGTGCTCCCTCGTCCTTCTCCCCACTGCATCGCTCTCTACGATCTGTCGCGTCTCGTCCCCTCTCATCAGAACATCGTCAATGATGTTGCTGGGATATCTCTCCGTTGGGCTGTTCCTGACGACGGTCGGCGCAAACAATATCGCTCATCTGGTGGGGACTTGGACCACCAAGTCGCGCAAAGTCATCACCGGTCCGGTATGTGAGATGGATAAACAGCTGTTGCAGACTACCGGCGTTCTAATGCATACCTTGTTCGTGATAGGGATTCTATGACCCGATTAATGACGAACTCTTGGAACCTGACCTGCCCGGGATCTCATACTCGTTTACCGATGATGGTCACTATGAAACGGCCTACTATCGCGCCATTGCCAATCGTCAGTCCCCGGAAGACCTGCATTATGTGACCTGTCTAATATTCGAGTAGCCCAGAAACCCTCGTGCCCCAAAGGCATCATGCAATGGCAGCACGGGACCTTTACCATGGATAAGAACGGCGCCCTTCATTTGACGCCATTTGCGGTGGATGGACGCCAGCTCTTGTCCGATCCCTGCTTTTCGGAAAATGCCGAATATACGCGATACAACCAGACGGAGAAATTCAATGTACGTTCCTCACTTGTTCAAACACCCATTGTTTCGGCGCTAATGGCGAAATCCAGTCATTCAAAGTAGCGGTTGATCCCTATCACAAGATCCAGCGTCTTGACCTCAAATCTTTCGATGATTCCCCGATGCATCCAATGTATCTGGTCTACCGCCCGCCGGAGATGCTCCCCCCAATGACCTTGAAATCCGTGAGAAAGAGAAATCGTGATGTTTCGAGAGATGGTGTCTCGTCCCCCAGCTTACTTACCCGAGGGGGCTTCATCGACCCTAACCGGTGGTTGTGGTTTGGTGTGTTTACTAGCGCATTGGGCGGTATTGCGTTTATCTATTCGTGATTGGAATCCAGTTGAGACATTGATCTTGAAGGCGTTCTGATTTCGGAGGTTGGAATGTTTTAAGACGATTCGAGGTCATCACCGGCGAGATTGCATATGGACCGGTGTTAGGACGCTTTGCGGGTTTCTCAGTTGCGAATAAATTTGCTTCCCCCTTTATGGCGTCTCCCACATCTTTGCAATACTGGTACTGCCAACCTGACGCACCCCAGCGTACGGACACTATACTTCTACCACCTCGTATTGTCCCACTGGATAGTGGAGCCCAAATATGCGCGACGATGATTCAATAGCGGCCGTTGCCAATTCCATGTGCATTGTACAATATAATACAGTTAGCGCTTCTCTGACGATGTTCCTTGCAGTCTATTGGAGGAACTTGGAGGCGATCTTGGCCACCTCAGCCCTCTCCACGGGCTTCCCATCAAAGGCACCGCCGGGAGCGAAGAGCGTCTTAAAGAGCACACCCTTGTCCACCTTTTGACCAGCCCCCTTCAGCTTCGTAACCTCCTGTTCCACAATCTGCTCGATCTCCTCCGCACCCATTGTCGTCACCTGACCTGCATATCCCTGCAAGACCTCGGCCTGCTGGTCCTCCTTTTCCTTGAGATCCGGTCGGTCCGCCTCTGCGAACTGTTGCGCTGCCTCCTTCACGCTGGCAAGTCGCTTCCGGATCAAGGCGAGAAGTTGCAGGTCGGTACTGATCGGGTTGGGCGTCTTTGCAGCGTTATTGAATTCCGAGATGATTCCGCGCAGAACGTTCAACCTAGCGCAACCATGGCGGAGTTAGCATCGTAGGTCGCGGTCCTCTTCACACCTGATCCTGGACGGAACAATAGCAATTGTAGATCCCCGTACCTAGCAGTATCTTTGGCCCGCATTGCGACCTTCAGATCATTTCGCATGTGGGCCATCAGAGGAGGCGAGCCCGAGCTGGCCGTGGAGTTCCAGCGCACGGCACGGAGGCCGAGTCGGGAGGTGAATCGCAAGGAATTGAACATGGTGGGAGGAAAGAGTATGTAGATTATCTGCGAACAAAGAACCCGAAGAGAATTATAGAATATTAAATATGGGGAATATATAAAGAAATACACCGTCTTTGGTCGAGTGGTTGAAGATCGAAGGTAAATAAATGACGGTTCGCGCCCCAGGCAAAAGGCGGAGAGACCGTGCACAATTTTGCTGCTCTGTCTTCCATCTCGATTCTGATTGACCGCGATTATTTTTATTGCTCTGCTTTCTTTGCATTTCAACCAACTCCCTTCGCTCCTCCCACCCCCCTTAAACAGCTCATATCTTTGCATCCTGGTTGATCTCCCGTACGCTTTGGGAGCTGGAGCTGGGGAAGTTAGTGTTTCCTATATCCCTGTCCTCACCGGGCATTCTCTTCCTTTTCTCCTCCCCGACTCTTTCATCCTAATACATCCAGTCCTTTCCTGTCAACAACGACCTCCACGGTGACCTCAACCCTGCTTCTGTGACGTGCTAGCTGTCAATCCGATCGTCTTCGCTGGGGAGTGCGACCCTCAGTTCTCCCGCACCCTTCCTGAAGGCGTCGACCAGTTGGGACCACCGGCGCCATGTCTTATCCGAACCTTCCTCCGACTTTCACGCCCCAGAGACCATTGCCTGGTGCATACTTTCAGACTCCAGCCCCCAACAATGCCTCGAGTGCGCAACCGCTTTTTGCGGCCAAGGCAGCGGCTCCTCCAGCAGAACAAGCTGCGTCCCCTGCAGCTCTCCCGAAGCTCCCCCCGGCCGCGTCCAAGTCGAAGAACCAGATATTGAGTACGGAGGAGCGCGCGGCGCGAACGGTCGATGATACCCTTGCTCAGGAAGCGCGGTATCCGGACCTGGATAGCTATTTGTCTCGTATGTGGTCCTGTGGTGTAAAGTCTTTGACTGGACCTCGACTAACGGAATAATGCTTTTATAGAAGGGTTCTCTTCCGACTACGATGTCCCCGCCTCAGCCTCGTGGGCTCCTTTTCAAAAAGTCAAAATGTATAATATCCCCGATCAGATCTTCGACCAGTATAATCGCGCGCAGGTTTCGACGAGCATGGGTCTCTTTGCCGAGCTGAACCACGCGTGGGTGGCTATCGACAATGCCCTCTATATTTGGGACTACACGCATCCGAATCCGCAATTGGTCGGATTTGAGGACCAACCGAACAGTATCAATGCGGTCAAATTGGCGACGCCTCGCCCAGGTGTATTCTTACCGTCGATCACCCACTTGTTGGTTATCTCGACGACGGCGGACGTGATCCTGTTGGGGATGGGCTGCGAAACCAGTGCGGGAGGTGCGCGGCAAGTGACCCTGTACCAGACGGGCATGTCGGTCTCGATTCGTGGCCTGGATATCGACATCATCGCGTCATCCGATGCGACAGGGCGAATTTTCTTTGGCGGTTCCTCCGACAACGACGTGCACGAGATTACCTACCAGCAAGAGGAGAGATGGTTCCAAGGCAGGTGTAGTAAGGTCAACCACACCAGCTCCCGTCTGTCCGCCTTCACGCCGAGCTTCAGCTTTTCGCAATTCACACAGCACACCCTGGAATACGTGGCTCAGATGGAGATTGACGACACCCGCGGACTGCTGTATACATTGTCATCCTCTTCGACGATTCGGGTATTCCACATGAAGGCCGATGGGACGCTGGCGTTGGCCATCACCAAACCGGCCATGGATATCTACGCGAACATTGGACACATCATCGTCTCCCACGCGGCCCTCAATCCCAAAGTGAGGATCGTTTCCATCAGTCCGATCCCCGCCGCGGAGGCGTCGAGATACCATCTGATGGCGACCACGGCCACGGGATATCGGATCTACTTGAGCGCGACGTCGTCATACAGCTGGACTCCTACGCCGAATGGCAACAATCCGCCTACGAGCATGCAGGCGCATCATGTCAAGACCCCGCCGTTTGACATGACGTCCAGTTCTCACCTCCCACCGCAGGCGCGGTACCAGTCTCCGATGGCATCCAGAATCCCCATTCACTCGTTGGAACCGACCCGATTCAGCTCTCGCTACCCCCCGGGATATTTCTTCTGCTTCGTCTGCAAAGATACCACGCAAAAAACCGACACCCTCTTCATCTCCTCCCCGGATTCAGGCCGGGTGGCCCGTTCCCAAGAGAATGTGATACCTGAAAAGGCAGGTGAGACGGCCCTTTGGCTCTCACTGGGCAGCAGAGCGGAGGACATTGGTATTTGCTCCCCGTATTCAGCGGCTCCCACGACTCCCGGAGGGTTCAGCAATGAGCTTGCGATCCAATTTGATCAACCCGCGGCCGAGTTCGCGATCTTGACCAACACGGGCATTCACGTCATTCGCCGACGCAGACTGGTAGACATGTTTGCTGCCCTGGTCCGCGGCGGTAGCGCCGGTGACGAAGGGCTGGACGGTGAAGTGAAGAACTTCATCCGGACCTATGGTCGCAGCGAAACGCTTGCCACGGCGCTCGCTGTCGCATGTGGTCAGGGAGTGGATGTTTCAAACGATTCGCGGCTTACCCAGATCAATGACCCGGATGTTTTGGAGTTTGCGCGCAAGGTCTTTGTTGATTACGGTGGCCGGCCCACAACGAATGAGAATGCAGTGGCGGATAGCTCCACCCCGGCAATTGATGCCGTGGTCCCCTCGCCTCGTCACACTGGAATTGCTCTTTACATCTCGCGACTATTGCGCTCGATCTGGAAGAAAGAAATCGCCACAGTCAGCGCGGGACCCAGTGGCACCCAATTGGTTTCGGCATCCGTGTCTCCGGCGAAATTACAGACCGTCCAGCGAGATCTGGCCACCTTGCAAGACTTCTTCAAATCGAACCAGAGCTTCATCGAGGGGCTCAGCGGACCGGAAGCGTTGGCGCGCGTGTCGACGAAGCAGGAAGAGATCGCCTTGCAGGCTGAACATCGGGCGCTGCACTCGCTTGTGCAACTGGTGTCTCACACAATCGAGGGCATTTCGTTCGTCTTGGTGCTCTTTGACGAGCGGGTCGATGAAATTGTCGCTCTCCTGCCGGACGAGTCGAAGCAGCGTTTCCTGAGGTTGACTTATGAGGAGCTGTTCAGTACCACCAAGGGTCATGACATCGCCAAGGAGCTGGTGAAGGGTATCGTGAATCGGAATATCGCCAAGGGCTCCAACGTGGAGACGGTGGCTGATGCCCTGAGGCGGCGGTGTGGCAGCTTCTGCAGTGCAGAGGACGTGGTCATCTTCAAGGCCCAGGAGCTGCTGAAGCGTGCCACTGAAGCCGGTGCTAACTCGGAGCTTGGTCGCAATCTGCTGAACGAGAGTCTTCATCTGTTTCAACAGGTGTCGGAAAGTTTGCCGATGGATTACCTCGTGCCCACGGTCGAGAATTACATCGCCAACCAATTCTTCGCCGGTGCCATTCAGTTGGCTTTGAACGTGGCCGCTCGCTCGGACAAAGCCAACATGGCCCTTTCCTGGATCGTAGACGGCCGTCCTGCAGAGGTAAGAATCTCCAATTCGGTATCCACACCGAAGTGTAATACTGACAGGCCCGCGCACAGGATACCCGACGGGACTACTTCTATTTCCGCAAGCAGTGCTATGACCTTATCTTCAAGGTCATCATAGCAGTCGATAATCTGGCCGCCAACGACCCAGGGGTGATCGATGGACAGCTGACCATCGTCGCCAAGCGAAAGAACGAGGCCTACGGGGTGATCTCCGACTCGACTGACGAGGTGTTCCTGACCAGTTTGTACGACTGGTATCTGCAGCAGGGCTGGAGCGACCGGTTGCTGCAAACCGACACTGCGTTCGTGGTCACCTACCTGAAGCGCAAGGCGGCCGACGACATTGCGCACGCCGATCTGCTCTGGCGCTACTACGCCCAGTCGGAGCGATTCTACGAAGCCGCCGACGTCCAATACAATCTTGCCCGTAGCGCCTTCAAGCTGCCGCTCAGTCGTCGGATTGAGTATCTTGGCCGCGCCCGGGCCAATGCTTCGGCCTTCACGCCCGACGTGGACCGTCAGTCCCGGCAGCGCCTGTTGCAGGATGTCTCCAACATGATCGACGTGGCGAATATCCAAGACGACCTTCTGCAGCGTCTCAAGGATGACAAGCGGATCGCCCCCGAGCGCCGGGCAGATGTTCTGGACGATGTCGATGGAACCATCATGGACATCACCACGGTATGCATCACCTTCCCCTACCAAAACCGTCTATAGGCCATCACTAACACGACCCTAGCTCTTCAACGGCTACGCCGACCCAGCAAGCTACTACGATATCTGCCTCCAGATCTTCTTCCTCGCCGACCACCGCAACGCCACAGACATCCGCTCCACATGGCAACACCTGCTGCAAGACCTGCACGACGAGACCGTCGAACGAGGCGAACCCCAGCCCTACGAAGCAGTCGTCGAAAAGGTCCGCAGCCTCGGCGGCCGCCTCCGCATGTCAGAGACCGTCTTCCCGATCCCGATCCTTGTCCCCATGCTCGAGCGCTACGCCTTCGAAAACCAGCGAGGCGTCGGCCCCCCCACCTGGGTCGTCGACCTGTTCCTGGACCTCGGCATCCCCCACGAGTCCCTCTTCACCGTCCTCGAGTCCATGTTCTACACCGACGAGGCCCCCTTCCACGGCTCAAACCGCAAGTACATCGCCAAGGACCTCCTCTACCTCATCGACTACTGGTTCCACGCTACCGTCCGCCTCGGCGGTGTCGTCTTCGGCAGTGACGTCGTCGCTGAGCGTATCTCCGAGACGCTGCTCCTCCTCCAGCAGAGCGCTATCACGCCGGAGCTGATGGAGGTTGCGCAGGAGCTGCGCACCCGGATAGATGATGTTGTGCGGTAAACTTATTCTAACGGATGTTTTATTATTGATGTGGGAAGCGAAGATGTATTTCTTTTTCTATCCCTTTTCTTTTTTATTTTCCTTTTCTATCTCATGATTTCCATTCCATTCCATTACATTCTCAATTCTTGCAAAGTTGGGTAGGGAGTTCAAGTTCAATTCATAGTCTAGTTCTTCATCAAACGAAAAGAAAAGAAAAAAACCACCGATCTCGAAACAATCCTTAATATTATTATACTTATCCTTGTTCTTGTCTCTGTTTGCTTATTGCTGCAAGGAGTGAGAAATGAGGGAGTCAAACCGTTGGGGCGTTTCACTGCTGACCTTTTTGATTGGTATCTGACTGTTCCTCATATTTCTTACTTTGTTGAATCTTCTTTTGTTTCTCTTTGGCATAGACTTGCTTCCCTCTTTACTTTTCTTAGTTGGTTTGATCGGTTTAGTTTGCTACAAGGCCGTTTCACATATGGTAGATAGGTTTTAGGTAGGTAGTGCCAGAGCATATTATCCATGATCACCTTTGTCTCATGTTAAAATATACCCACAACATATCATACCAAAGTCTGTACAAACACGCTGCTGCACTCTCTATACTGACCCACCGAGTGAATGCTTACTACAGTAGTAATAAAACCCACCCACCAAGTTCCCACAGCACTTGCGAATACAAGGGAAATAACTAGAGGAGAGTGTAATAAGTGTAGTCATCATGATCTCGTATTATAATTATGATTAGCTATCATCATGAGCGCAACATGAATCCCAATCCAATCCGATCCAATCGCATCAAACAAGTGAGTAAGGCTGCCTGGTTGCACCTCAGAACAGACCAGTAAGCAGGTAAAAAAGAAAAGAAAAGAAAATGTCTATCTGGTAACGGAACGAGCAAAATAAGACAAAAAGAGAATCAAAAGCTGCGTGCGAACGATATGCCAAATCTAGAAAAAAAGAAAAAAGAATAGCAAAAACCCCAGTGTCCGCATGAAAAGGGTATGCAGACTGTCTATTTTTTGTGGCCGATCTAATCAGACCACACCAGACTGGTTCTGGTAGATGGGGCGGTGGTCTGGTGGGTAAAGGTATCAATCAATCAATCAATCATGGGTCGAAATTATGACGAGAGTATATCGCTCATTCGATCAATCGGGTCATCATCGGTGTTGTTTTTGTGGTGGAATGAGTAGGAGACGCCGGTGGGGAATATCATGAATCATGCAGTTTTTTTTTTCTGTTCTTGTTTGAGAGTGTCGGGTCGAGAGTCAGATCAGCAGAGACTAGGTCGAAAAGGTGACTGCGATCTATTCGAACTGGTCGTAAACAGGGATGGGCTTCTCGCCTAGCGCAATCAGGCGGAAGATGTGTCGCAGCTTCGCTCCGTAGTCGTCGTCCAGGTAGTCCACAATCGCCGAGTCTGGTCATCGTTAGTTTATTGTTTCAGAAGACAGTGATATGGATATCCAGGGAACAACATACGGGTAGTGGCTCGATTGTCGAAAATGACGATACTCTTCGGCTGCCAGCGCACGCGAGCTTGGAAATCATGACCGGTGATGATGTGCTGCATCAGGAAGTCGATCAGCCAGCGCTGCTCGGGCTCCTTTAGGCCTTGGATCTTGGTGACGAATTCGGCGTTGATGAAGAGGCACTTCTCGCCGGTGACGGGATGCACGCGTACCAGCGGGTGCGTGGTATCGACGGGATCCTTACGGACCAGGCCTCCGGTCATACGGGTGTGTTGAATCATCTTTGATGAGCTGTGCGTGACCATGAGCGTATCGAGCCACGCGCGAAGTGTGGGCGAGAGACGTCTAAATGCTGTCAACTTCCGCTCTCGTTCCCGATAGTACCGGGAGACTTACTTGTATGCCGTGTCAGTCGCGGCAAATACCGTATCACCGCCAACTTCCGGCCCCTCCAAAAGTCCCAGCATGACGTAGCCTGGCGGCTGGATCTCGTAGCTCACATCCTGGTGCCACAGGGTAGTCGTGGTGCGCTGCTCGAGAAAGCGGGCGATTTCCTCCCGATTGCCGTCGCGGTGGATGATGTGGAAACCGGGATGGTTGCGTACCGTGCCCGAGACCGGCTGGTAGTTCGGCTTGCCAAAGTGACGCATAAACTTCTCCTGCGCGTCGGGCCCGGCGTCGATCAGGTCCTGTGCCGGGAAGACTAAGACTTTGCGCTCGGCGACCATCAAAGCAAGCTCGTCTTTGCCCATGTCGGTCAGTTCACTAAGCTGCACACCCTCGATGATGCTGCCGATCTGCGGTTGGATTTCGGTGACCTTGACGCCCGCGCCAGAAAGGAGGTTGCGCTTGGACGTGTCTTTGACGCGCAGCGCGGGATCCTCATACTCGAAGGGAGGCAGCGGCTCAAACCACATTTTGTCCCAGGTAGGCAGATACTCCGGGTAGCGCGTGCGGAGCTGCGAGTTGCCATTCACATCCACATAGGGAATGTTGATATCATAACTGATGGGGCTGTCAGGCTCGTGGGCATTGACAGGCTGGCCTTTCTTGGGCCGAAGCACAGGTGCGGTAGAGGGCATTGTGAGAGAGACCAAAGGAATGTCAAGAGCGATAAAGGAGAAATTCAGCTAACTAGTCACCGGGATAAAGTAGTTTTAAGTCAAGCAAGAAAAAGAAAAATATATAATAAATAGAAATAGAGTAAAATAGTTGTGCACGATAATGGTGGAGACAGATGACCAAGGAATAGTGGAGGAAGGAAGGTATACAGAATGGATCCCAAGCGAAGATAAATTCCTAGTCTGGAGAGATCGATGGAGTCGAGAATGAAAAAAAGAAAAGAAAGGGCAGACGGAATTGGAGGAGGACGAGGAGATAAATATACTCGATCCAACGGGCCTCCACCTCGCCTTGGTATGGTGATAAAGGGCTGAATACATCGGGAGTGGATGATATGGTCGCTGCGGCGCCAATGATCTTGCATGCGACGGGGGGCCCCTTCGCTTAACCGGTGATTATTGATTGATTAGGTAGACTAGTAGGAAGATACCATCATCCCTTCATCTCCGGGGGGCGGCCATCATGCGTTGGAGATGCACCAGGCCACAGACAATTATTCATGGCGGACACAAGAGATGCCATGACGACAGGGGTACATACATCGGCCGTGGACGGGTCTCGACAGACTTAGGGCCTGCAGTCGTCATAGGGGGGTAGTGGTGGTGTGGGAGAGAAGGGGGGGGCGGCAGATCCACGGGCCAGTTAGAGCAAAGTAAAGCCACAGAACCGGCCCAAAAGGGCGAGAGAAGTGAGAGGAAAGGGAAAGGAAGAGAGATAGAAGATGCAAGAGTGAACAGAGGAGCGGTCAAGGGGGGTTGCCAATGGGTCATTGAATCGGGAGGTGTCCACTTGATACTAGAAAGGTACGTAGTTCTATACACGGGAGTTCTGGGGCTCGTGATTACCGCATTGGACGATGCCGAACATAAGAAGGATAGACAGGATCAGTCTCCTCCTCAGCTGCAAAGTAAAGCATACTAGCTAGTAAGTCCGTGGTGGATCGATTGGCCGCGGGCAATGATAAGCCGTCGAAAAAGCCGAGGAGTGTTCCCAGGCCCGGTTAGTATAAAGCCATGATGTTTGATTCTCTCTCTGTCTCTCTACGAGCAACGAGAGACCGACCGCTAGTTCGTTCGTATGATTGGGCCCGACGTGTTCCGGTGGAATGGCTCTCTTCGACTCTGCGAGTGTGAAGACAGTATGTAGGTCGAATGGGGACTCGAAGTTAGTGCGTTTCCGTGGTCAAAATGAATAAAAAAAGAGATTAAAAACTAAGACAAGAAGGGAAATAATTTAAATCCAAGACAGGAAAACAAAAAAACAATAAAAATCAATTGAATTCAGACCTAAGCCCATAAATTTCCTTTCCAATAATCTAGGATACGTTTCGGTGGTTTCACCGCTCCGTGCTGGCGCAGATCCGACCGAACGATAAGCCCACGGCTGGACGGAACCACACTCGTTTTTCTATTTCTTTTCCTTTTGTCTGAGAGTGGATCCCATGCAGTCTGCACGTTGGACCCAATGTTGTTAACTTTGAGCCTGTTTTGGCCACCGCTACAGGTCAAGATTGGCCCGTTGAATATGTCTGCTGCAGTAGTTGCCCGAGACACAGTTGCAGTTTGCGGGAGGTCTGCTATCTTGCGTCGTCCTTGCATTGTTCGACGAAAAGGCAAAAGCCCCAAAAAAGAAGATTGATAATTCCCGGCTTCGAGACAGGCTAGCGCCGGTCCCACTGTGGCTATAAGCCTGATATGACGGTTGGGAGGGTAAATGTACAATGGTCGAGGGACGTTGCAGATGGCGACGGGTCCTGGAATGTCGATAGGCTTGGGTGTTCGGCCCCGGGTCCCGAACATGGCTGTTCTGATTCAGCTGCAATCCTTCGATCAAGTTTGCTGACAGGCTTCCCTACATGGGAACGGGTCTGTTTTGGAACTTGGGGGCCGAACAAGGGGTTGGGAAGCCACTGCCTCTTCCCCGACAAACCGTTCGTTTTCCCTTAAGACGGCGGACGCTACCCTCGGTGCTTAATCTTCCTCGGGGTTCGGTGTAATCCATAAGAGTCCCCCAGGGTCGCACATGGGAGACGGCGCATCCTATCGCCTTTTGGACAAGGAGCTGTGAAAGCCAAGAAGTTGGCGGCCGTTCCAGTTGTTTCGGGACGACGGCCCAATAACGCCCCTCGGTCATCGAGGTACCCCACAAACGTACGTTAGCTAGTCGCTAGGACTGCCGGTCACTCGACCCCACCGGACCATCTACCTAACTTGACCCGTCTGTCGTGGAATGTTCCCAAGACCGTTTCGAACGTCCATCGAAGCCTCGAACGAACAGTCCAGGCAAATAGGGTGGCCTGAGAATGCATCTCTCGCAGTCATCTGCGTATCCTTGAGAGTCTGGCCGAAAGGGGGCGGGGAGTCGAGAGATTGCTCTTGCGACCCAGGATGTATCCACCCGCTTGCCCTGACCTATGGTTTGAGGGCGTCAGATCGAAGGACATGGTGGTTTCTGCCTCGGATGCTGATCTCGGTTCCTTTGTCCCAGTAGTGGAGCCACTGCTGTCACTGATTTGACGGATTTGCGTTTCCAGAATGTGGGCTTGCTTCTTTTCCTTCCTTCCTTTTTCCCTTCCTTTGTTCCGTCTGTCTTCTTCCTTCTTTTCCCTTGATTTTAATATGCGAAGTCTAACCCCCCCCTGCTTTTCTCTTACGAAATCGGCTCTTGGCGAGCCAAAAGGACATCTATCGCCTTCGGAACGGACCAAGCACATCGAGACCTCAGGACCTAGGGATAGAAGACGGTGGACATGGTTGGATCACCGCTTGGCAATTGGGTAGAGACAACGGTGTACCCCCAGAGCATTGGCAGTCAGACCTCATTGGCCCGAAGATCCGCGTCCCGTCTCAGATACTCAAGGAGGTGTAGGGGCCTGTTGTGTCTTTGCTGGTCCCCAAGGTTGCTTGGAGGTCATCCTCTGTATGTATGTATGTAAAATGTACTTATGTACTATGTTCTATGTGGTGGGAACCCGATGGGGCCTCGTCCGATGTGATAGATGAATAGGCGGTTGGTTTCGATAGTTTGGCGCTAAGATGCAATCTTCCCGTGGCCCGTCCCAATGATTTCAAAGTGGGCCAATTTGAATCATAAGATAGGGAAACGTCGTAAAAAATTACGAAATCCAAAGAGAATACCAACGGGCCAAAAAATTAAAGGGTGGGGAGCCAAAGACAGAAAAAAAAACCAAAAAAAAAGATAATGATATTAAGAAAAAAGAAAGCTTCCCCAAAAGTAGTTTAGGCCCACAGATCGTCATCACCGAATTCGAGGAAAATTCCTAGATCGGGCCCGCTTGCATTCTTGGGGAGAAGGGGGTGGGAAAGGACTAGGCCTTGGGAGGAAAGGAAAGTCAACATCCATGATCCTGCAGGACTCGACCCACCCTTGCAGGAGTCGTCGGAATGAGTCAAGCCGGTTTCCTGATTCCGTGAATAACGAACGACCAGCCGGGCAAGACTGACATTGGCATGGCTTATCGTCATCCGAGGGCTCTGTTGGGCTCCTCCGCACCACATGGTCGCTTTTCCAGAGGGGAAAGAGTTGCGGTGAGAGTAGCTCGAAGCATGGATACTTCCTGCCTGGGCTCCAGACAAGACCAGCGAGGGGGGAACGTGTTATGATTCTTGGAGGGGGGGATGCCAAGGTTTTCGTTCAGACCACGAAGAGGTGTGGTTACCCGATGGTTAGCTGAAATCCTTGAGTGGGAATCAGTGTGCGACGAGACATCACGACAACGAGGACAACTATGACGAGGAGAGGGAGATCGATAGACGATAGACCAGTGCAATCTGAACGATCATCTATATCTCCAATAGATCCTAGACCATGCAAGGTCCGAGGCTGAAGGGAAAAAGCAATCATGGTGCACTGGATTGACTAGCATCCATCAGTCGGGGGCTAAGCTCAAGAGAGTCAGCCAGTCAATCTAACGAGACCTGGGCGGGAGACTCGGGAGCTCCTCCGTACTTTGGCCCTTGATCCACGCAGCTAAGGTTAAGCTATGTTTAGAGAAGTCGTGCAGATGGAGAGGAAAAAGCAAAGAGTTGCGCTGTCGGCTGTTTAACCAGCGCTTCGGGTCCATCGCGGTGGTTGCTTTTTCTTTTTGCCTTTTCTATGGGAGTTTGGGTATGGATTGTTTTCAAGTGATTTATCCACACTTATACCAAGGAGCACCATGTTTTTTCAGTATGTGTCCGAGTAGGATCCAAGAGAGTACAATATCCTCTATGTCTCAGACTCTCAGTTTCCATCGGAAGGAAAGTCTGGATGTGGTTGAGATGGAGGAGAGGAGGAGGACTGGTTTGGGTTGTTTGTTTACCTACTCGGCTGTTTGTTCTGTTTGTTCCATCTGTCATATCACCTGACCGGATCCACATTGTTGACTTATCAATCAGTCCAACGCGTGCTAACCGGACATCATCCATCCACTCTCATCAAATTAACTAAAGACTGGTCGTCGATTTGACTAACGTTGGTGACCTGGTACTTGGTAAAGCTTCCTCCTGAACCCCCTGGCGGCTTGATTGCTCATCGCTTCTAGCTTTCCGTTCCATCGACCATTCCCGAGCCTCTATCTATACACCAATTGCAATGGCCCAAACAACAATGGCACCAGCCTCTTCCATATGGTCCCGCAAACGGGATTTGGTCTACTTCCTCTTCTTTGTGATCCACGTCCCTGTCATCTTCCGTGAGTGTGCCTCGTCTCCTACTCTCAGTCCCCTTGGCCTGGCCTGGTCATGGGGATCATGATCCCGGTCTAGATCGGGTCCTATCTCCACTCTCCCCACCCTCACCTACTTGCTCCAAAGGCTATATCACATACTACGGCCCTAGCTGCCCAACCGACGGCAGCTGTCCCGAGCTAACTAGCTACCTGACTAGCTGGGTAGCTAGGTAGTACTGTATGAAGTAGTGCATCCGATATTATTCCAGAAATCCCGAAACACCTTCAACGTCATGAGAGCTAACAAGCAGACCAATGAAAAAATTATGAATCTGCAGTCGTCGATGCCGCGCCTCTACTTCCTTCTTTTCTCCAGACCGACTTATCCCACCAGTTGCGTGCTTTCTACATTGACACCTACCATGACAAATTTTTTGAGGACCCAGCCCCGGCCTGGTTTTCGGCTTTCATCTTCATGGAGATGGTCTACCACACGCCACTGAGTCTGTGGGCGATCCCTGCCTTACTGCGAGGTACGATTTGGACATTCTATCATTTTTATTTTCTTTCCTCTTGTTTTCCTTCTTTTCCCTTCCGGTTGTTTCCTTTCGTTTCTTTCTTTCCTCCTTATTCCTACAGCCATCCAACTTGACCACCCAACTGCATATTCCCGCCCTTTGCTCCCCCCCTCCTACCGGGCACCTACCGACACCTCTCTCACCAACCGGAACAAGAGGCGCCCCTCTCCGCCATGTGCCCCACCAGCTAACAACCATCAAACAAAACTCAGACAATCCCCTTGTTCCCGTCCACCTGCTAGTCTTCGGCGTCCAGTCCTTCGTGACGTCAGTGGCATGTCTCGTGGAGGTCTGGGGCTGGACTGACCGGTCCACCGACCAAAAGACCAATATCACGTTTTTGTATGCTCCGTATGTCGCTTTGGGTAAGTTGATTGTCTATCCTACCGATCCTCCTCGGGCCCCCACTCCGAGCCCTGAGGAATTCCCGCATCTGGAAATGATGTGATGTGATATGGTATGGTATGATGTCTGTTGGACTAACATATAGCTTCAGGTGGGTTTATGGCCCTCGATATGGTCGGTCGCTTGCAGGGTCGTCTGCTGGCAAAATCCAAGAAAGAGTAGATAGAGCTTGGATTTGACAAGGTCTGTCTGTCCCATCTACCGGACTCTAGACAACCCGTGGCGTGACTTAGGGCCAGGGCGAAGGACAGGGGCGAAGCTGGGAAAATCAAGGTGAAGCCTACGGACGAATCTTGCGAAGCTTCCCGGAAGTTGACTAATGTAGATAGATAGATGTATAGTAGAGTTGAGATAAATTCGTCATCTGTGATTCATCCATTCAAGGTAGGTAAATTAGCTATCTACCTAGATCCGTAGCTACAGCTGATTCAATCCCTGGAGCCCAACACAAACGGCAGCAACTCTGGCACCATAAATAAAGAGGGGGGAACACAGACCCGGGTGAGAGTAGCACCCGTGTATGAAATGCTGCAATCACCGCACAGACGGCTAACCTCGTCGTCTGAATTGCATGCTTGTCGCTGTTTACATATCGATAGAGTTCTCTAATTCGTGTCAACGGTCGCCATAATGGACTTTTTTTTGAATGGACGTTCCGAACAATAATCGATAAATACAATGGAGAATGAGAAAGAAGGAGAGATGGAAGCGGGAAGAAATCGGAGGCTCCCACAAAGGTACCAGGGGGTCTCGAACTCGACTGAGTTTGAGATGTCGCGATGATGCATGAGGACCAGGGATGTCTATTGCCGGGGAAGTACAGATCAGTGGAGACGTCCTTTTGGTTTGTCTTGTTTTGTAGGTGGGTGGACGTGTGTTTGTTTGTTTGCCTTTTTGTTCATAGGACACATAGGTGCAGTGTACAACAGGGGGGGGGGGGGGGGGGGGGGGGGGGCAGAGGAGGGTGGCATTTTCCTGTCTGAGGAAGAGGGGGCAAAGGAGCATGGATTCGCTAGACGGCGGTGAGGAAGCTCCGGAACACGTCAAATCTGTCCATCCACACTATCACACTCCCCCCTGCACGTCTCAGGAGATATGCTGCATGTCCCGTCCCACTGATCAGATCAAGAATCCAATAGCCCCATCCAGGTCGCCATTGGCGGCGTCCAATGCCCGCATGGCTTCTTCCCGGCTGAACCCAAGCTCAATGATCTTGGCAATCGAGTCCTGCGGCCACCGGGATGACGAAGCCGGTGCGGGACGGGTGCTGGCGCCGGGATTCGACGCCGACGCTGCACTGGAAGATGCGGTGGCGCCGCTGGGCCCCTGCTGGTTTCCCGCCTGATGGGTCACAGCTCCCGTCCGAGCGCCGACTTCGGCCCCGTCGGCGCCCTTGACCATCGGCTCGTCCTCGAACTCGTCCTGGAGATGTTTCGGGATGTCCGCCTCGCCCAAGAAGGGTACGGCCTGATCCTGGATCACGAGGGCTCCTTTCTGGAGGTCGATACACGCTTGATGTCGTTTCAACATGTCCAACCCCAGTAGGAGATCAATGTGTTTCCCCTCCATGACGGTGAAGGAGCACGGCAGAAACAGGCTTCCGATCCGAATCTGCGCCGAATGGACTCGACCCAGGATGGTCGCCGTGCCCACTCCCTTGGCGATGCCTCCGTAACGTTGGTCGACGAGACGCATGATGTTGCACGCGGTCGCGCACTCGGGGGACATGATGGTGACCTGAGCCCCCGAGTCGACAAACGCGTTGAGCTTGTGACCGTTGACCTCGACGGGGATGTAGAGCATCGTGACGCGACCGAACGCTACGACCCTCGATTAGCATCCCTTGTGCGTGGACCAGAGAGGGTGATACCCGAGGGGTCGGAACCTACACTCCGGATGATGCTCCATCGCGTTGTGGAGATTTTCCGTCACCGCATTCTGGCGGATCATCTCCTCAATCTGCTTCTGATTATCTGGGTTGAATGGGTCCGCATTCAACATGGCGATCCGAGCCTCCTTCTCCGCCTCGACCTGGGCCTCGCGCCGCTGCTGCGAGAGCAGGACATCACGGAACCGATTTGGATCGCTCGCGGCGTCCGCGAGTTCGGGGTTTTGTCGTCGGACCGCATCGCGAACCCGGGGGTCGCCTAGAATATGTAACCGGATGGTTTCCGGGTCGGGGGCCATGGGCGGCCTCCGTTGCAAGTTTTGCTGGGCGGCTGGCATGCTAGGACCGGGCGCAGTCCGCGCGGGAGCCTGCGGACCCCGGAATGTGATGTGAACGCCCAACATGTCTCCCTCGCCGATGCCAACCTGTTCCAGAGTCTGGGCATCATTCCCAAGCAGCTGGTTGTTGTAGACGAGCTGTTGTGCGGATGGGGGGATGGACGTCTCGCTTTCGACGATGGCTTTGAGGAGTTCGATCGTCATGTCCCCGCCGACTTCGAGGGAGATAATATCGGAATCGGCCTGATCCGGCCGGATCACGCTCACCGTAATACGCCTATATTATCGGTCTTCACGTTAGTCGATACGTTCTGTCATGGGTATATGCAATCTGACGGACAGCGCTTCCAACTTACATGGCGGTTGGTAGGAGGATGCGGGGAAGCTCCCAGGATCGGCGGAACTGCGGGTTCGGAAGAGCCAGAGGTAAAAAAAAGAAAGAGGCCGGCCGATTAGAAAAAGATCAAGATCTAGAGGATGAGAAGCTCGCCAGAATGCGCAGAAGACGACGGAGGTTGCAGGAGATGATTTCGAGTTGCGTAGCGGGGCAACGGGGGTACGTCACTAGCGACAAAGGAACAAAGGGAGGGAAGTGGTTGGCAATGAAAGAAGGGAGCGGGGAGGGAATAATAGAGGGGAAAAGAAAGAGAGAGAAGGGAGGAAGGAGATGGGAAAAGGTTTGATTCTTATGAGGATGGATGAAGCGGTTAGTTGTATGAGAAAGAGAAGAAGGAAGAGAGAGGGAGAAAGAGGAAGAAGATGCAACTAGTGGTGTTGAGCGGGTACCTTATTACTACTATCCACCTGCCTACCATAAAAATAATAATATTCTGCCTATGAATGAGATTATTCTAGATCAATATCGCCTTTCAGGCTATATAGGATTTGATTAAAATCGTCATCCTGAGTTGATAATTCGCTGGTGATTGGAAAGATGCCTGCGGATGCCTGATCTATATATAACTTCATACTCAGCAGATGTTTTTTAAGCAACTTCTTCTTCACTTTGAGTTGAGATAAGTTACGCTGATACCTCGTAAAATCCAGAATCATTGAGTCTATCAAAATAATTACGATCCATCGAAAGAGTGTTCGATATCGATTCCATAGTAAGGTCCGGTCACGTTCCAGACTCCTTCACTTTCTCTTCCTCTTCCGTCTGATCGTTCCTCGTCACGACATAATCTCCCACAATATATTCCTACGAATGAAAAGACGAGAACAAGAAAAAAAAGTCGATCGTCAGTCGAGTTTTCTACTTATCTCTCATTGTCTCCCTGCTCACACCATCTCAGTAGTTTTGCGACCGGACGGATTGGGTCAGCTACAGCTGATGATTCCCGACGATCTCACTTCAAGGTCACCGTCAAGGAACAATCATAGATTAGTTCCTTTCACATATGTATGGTTTTGAGACCGGAGTACAAACCTCCGTCTCCTGGAGGTCCCCGAGCGGCCGGGAATCGTCTACGTTGGATTTTAAACACAGACCATGGTGAAAAAAAGGGTAGTCTGACGGGAACGCCATCGTTTCCAGCTCTGGGCCGAGCCTCGTTGCTCTTTCATCGAGAGGCAAGTATCTACCGCGCTCATCACAAAGATAGAACGGATTACACTGGCCCCTCCAGGACAAGAAAGTACTAAGCGCATCTAAGATAGCCTCATGGGGATCCATGCATCGGGCTTTGCGCTGCTTCCACACAGAACTTCCGTTCTTAGTCACGTACAGCAGGCTAGTTTTGGGCCCGAGAATAGTCCCAACGGCCCCTCCAGCACTAACGCCTCAAGCTACCACCGGCTCCATATTACTATACTTAGCTCGCCTCGAGAGCGCACACGCCAAGGAGAACATAAGACCTCGTGCAAGTATAATGAGGAATCTCGGCTCCTTTACGAATGATAATAGCATTGTTGTGGTCGATCGAGCGCACAGATCGCGCATGAGCCTATCGACCATAGAGTTGCAATCTGCTAACTCTACCCCTCCTGCTCCAACGGGGATGGCGTTGATAGACATCGTTAGATAATCCCTAGTCCCACCATCGCCCAAGCAGCAACGGCGCCCCCACTATTCGCCCCCTTGAACAGCAACTACGGTGGTAGTGCCCCGGTCGCTGCAGGCGGTTCGAAACGGTTGACCTGCATCCTTTGGTGATCACATGGGGCCGGTGCTCTGCTTTGCTGCTAAGCATTGTCATAGGCTGTTTTTGCTGGAAATTGAATCCTAGCGATGATGGACTGTACTTTTGTGCGTCGAGAACCACTCGGACGACGGCGGCACGGTCCGAGATGTTGAGCCCCGGTTGGTGCGTGGATTTGAGTGGCCCCGAATGTTCTTGTTATGAGATGGTCCTTCTACCTGGGACTATACAGCCGATCAATGCGCTTGGATTTTCCTATTTGGAGTGGGTACGGCGTCGGGGTAAACCTTCCATGCTGGCGGGAGAGCTCTCAATTGATAACCCACTGAATAGTGATTTTCTCCAACGGGTTTGCAATACGATGGTGCCTGTGTGCGCCCGCACCTCTGAATTGATTATCTACTAAGCGGCCTTTATCCTTCGCTGTGCCGCGTTGAATGGGGCTCATGGAAGCAAACAGGATGTGACACGTGCCAGACATGATACCCAATAACCATTCAGCAGCCTCGGCGATGGACTCGTTGCCCAGTAGTGAGAGGAAGCGGTACTGGCCGAGCCACATATTATGTGAGACCCTACGATAATGATGCAAGAATGTTTACAAGAGCACAAAGAAACACTCACAACGACGAGCTACCAATGTACATCGGCAATGTAGACGCCACATCGTGCGGTTTTTTATTGCTTTGTCCAAAACCACCGAATCTAGTTGACCTCAGCCAGGCACTAAAGTCTGGCACAGAGTGCGATTGGTCTCGAAATCAGAGTTGGCATCGTCGCTCAGATCTTATCATTAAACCTGGACGGAATAATAGATGGCTCGTGCGCATATGACATGACAGTTCGGGGCTCAGCTTTGCTTGTTCCCCAGAGATTGGTGTCTCTGTACGCCACAATTTCACTCACATCCCGGAGTCCCGGCGCACCCTAGAGAATGAGGTCTCTGTGCAGTTTGGTAGTAATGTGGGTGATGGCTTTGGTAATCATTAACCTTTTGGAACCCACCCCCATGACGGAAGGAGTCTAGTCCTTATAGGCTCTGTCCGAGCCAAACAAGATTCTGGCTCGAGGTTTTCGAAATCGGTCTTTAGAAAACCAGAGGACATGAGATCTGAAGCCCTGAGTACAACGTTTGTGGTTGACTCTTCATTATCAGTCATACTCTGATGGATTGTCGACGCAGTGCACCGACAAGTGCGATCAAAATCAATCACTTTATTATGCACACAGTGATGAAGGTTTACTTGATGATCAAGCTAATCAAAGATTTTTAATCCCGGATCCAGCCATATGCTTCAGAATGTTTCACATCGCCCTTATGGCAAGAAGTGATCTACAATCGTGGCTATGCACCATCCCTTCCCTTAAGAGACACGTGGAACATCTCACAACCGTTGGAGAAATGCTACTCCAGATATAGTACAATTGATTTTAGATGCAAATCTAGCCACCGTCTCGTCATGTGAAGCAAAAATAATAACCTAAATTAAAAAATATGATGAAAACGACGTTCAGTGGTCTAAAGAGATGGATGACGGTTACGAACAGCAGAAAAATGTCCTTGGTAATATCCCACAAGCTTATAGAGCCGACTCTTTTGAGTTAGAGCCCGATAGGTCTGGTGCTCAGTACAGGAGTGGTGGATGTGGGAGTTGTCCAGGTATGTGATATCCGTGATGTAATCAGATAACACAGCCCCTGAGCATATTGCCCGGCAACATGCAAGGCGGTTTAACCATAATTGTGATATTGGAGTTTCGATAGACTGCACTACCAAAAGCTGTTCAGAACGTGTAAACGCAGAATGATCAAATTCATGCCGGCGCCGTTCTCCAATAGTTTTGCTCTCAAGATGCGGAGATATTGTGTTATTTGCTGAGACACTTGACGACAACTTATCCCTTGCGTTGGAAGTACCACACTCTTAAGAGCGACCTTCGTATTGTGCAACAAGCTGGAAGTTAGAAGATGAAAGGGTTGGAATGAAGCCTGACGACCTTCGACGAGTGATTTTTTGGCGGATGTCAACTATGAATGCGTACCCGGAACAAGTGAGCCACCGCGTGGACACGACAGATACATACTAGCCAAGCAAGGACGCATGCTACATTCCCAACTACAGGCCGAAGATCAGCTATGGTTGGCAAATCCCTAATTTGAGTATAGTAGGCTGGCCGGACATCCCTGAGTTAAGACGACAAGCGCATGGACCCACGGAGATCGCAATGCTCGATTGAACAGATCAGCAAGGCGAACCATGCAGACCATGCGAGCCATGACAACCTTAAAAAGGGACAGTGACGAGTCATCTCTGATGTGGATCTAATTCGTTTCATCCCGCTACGAACATGAAAGTGAGTATTCCCAGGGTCGCAGACAGACTTTCCTTGGTCGTCGTGTCTATTAACTTAATTCCCTGCCACGCCAGCTCGAAGTAAGGGGACAGTCAACACCGGTATAGACAGCAGTGACGATAGTGTCTCAAGCTGATACCAGCCATGAAGTGACAAGGCTGTGCAGACGAAGACGAGGGGAAGGGGCGTCTTTCGAAGACTATTTAAACCAGCGTCCTCGACGCCATTGCTGATACAGAATCTCCAATCAATCATTCAAGAATCAAGACTCGATAAAAAACTAGATCTCACGCTTTACGCATCAATCGAGACCTTTGAGGCAAAAATACCATGAAGATCGCAAGCTTCCTCGCGTTGAGCGCCTGTGCTCTGGCCCTTCCCACGGGCGACGAGGTGAGTTCAAGCATCCCCCCGCCAAGGGAAAAATTGGTTGATGGGACTGAATTGGATGCAGCCGCGCAGCAAGAGCGCCCAAGACGTCGGCCAGGCTGCCGACGCAGCCGCTTATCCTCCCTCCTATGGGCCTCCCTATGGCGAATCTCCTTATGGAGCGTGGAAGCGCGAAGTTTCCGAGGAGGAACATGGCCCTGGCGGTCATGGCGGCCACGGTGGTCATGGAGACCATGGAGGTCACAAAGGCCATGAAGGTCATGAAGGTCATGGCTATGGAGACCGCGACGGCTATGGTGGCTACCGCGGGGGCTGGAAGAGAGGCGAGGGAGATGGCGAAGGCGAGGAGAACGGTGAGGGTTATAACGGCTCTCACCATGAAGGCCACCAGAGCCGTGATGACCCCCATATCTACGGCGGCCATGGTGATCCCCACATTCTTCCCGGCTACGGACGTCCTGGTCCTTATGGTGGGCCTGGAGGAGCCTGGAGAAGACAAAATGATGACGGTGAGGGCGAGAAGGGGCGTGAAGGCGAGGAGGGCGAGGAAGGTAAGAACGGTGAGAAAGATGGTAAGGGTCGCCTTGAAGACCATCAGAGCCGCGATGATCCCCATCATGGTCATGGTGGTGGCCATGGTGGACACTGGAAGAAAGACCAGAACCAGGAGAGCCACGGACCTGGCCACAACGGCAGCAACGGAAGCAATGGCCACAACAGCCACAACGGCAACCACGGTTACTAAAGTGAGGCCACATTGGACAAATGAGGGACTTCACCGGACCACTCAGGATCCATGAAACCGACGCTGATAGGGACAGGGGATGGCGTGTTTTGAGGAATCCGGCATGTATCTAAACATGCTCTGTTGTCATAAGTGATCTGATTGGGTAGAATAGGTATACAGTGAAGGATTATAGTTCGAATAGAACAGAGGCATTGTTGCTTGATGCACTGTCTTATATTGCTTGAGATGAATCTATCAAGCGAATGGGTTTTGTGGTTTTACACCTAGATTAAGTGTGTGGAGAAAGAACATTGAAAAAATTAGACGAATAGTCGATAGAATCAACAACACGTCTCTACAGTCTTTTGAACAATTCCACTGCTGATCAAAGACATCAAAGTTTTGTCCGTATACTTTTCATATCATCCCGTCCCTTGACAATCTCATCCTCCCAATAATTAGGATTGACTGTCATCCGGTTGAGTGGATTCTGGCGATGGGCTCGATTGAAGAGATCCTCGTATACGCGTCCGTCATAGCGTCCCAGAGCACTGAGATGTCAGTGATGTCATCCTTTCCTTGTCCATCTGACAATAGGGTGACTACTTACCTATCAAGAAGAAAGTCCGGGATCATCCACGCGTCAACCAGACTGACTGCGTGTGGCCGAACGCGTCCCATGAGCTCCTGAATACGCGCGGGAAGAATATCGAGTTGTGCGCCAGAGGCGGCCTGGGAGGCGAGAACTATGTCGTGTCAGTTTCGAGTATTATAGGAACTCATATAAGGGCAAGGGCGTACAGTCATAGCTGTCGGTTTCCATAGTGGTCAGCGCAAACAAACGGAACAGATCCCATAGGACACGCCGCAACGGCTCGGAGAGACGGAGATTGTTCTCAGAGTTGAGCGCATCGAAGAAGGTGGAAACTAGAATTGATTGCGACTGGGCACGACTGAGCTTGTGGAGCTGGATCATAAGACTGCTCCACGATCGCTTCTTGATGACTCGTTCGACATACGCATTATGTGCCTATTCCGTCAGTACGTCTCAATGGGGTATGGACATTGTGAAGACACACCAACACAGTTGCCCTCCGCTGAAAGCTCCGCACGAGATCATAATCCTCATGGAAGATACGATATGACCCGCCGCTCGCGCGGCCCTGCAGAAACAGCTTATACTGGCAATCCAGCGCGTCCGCGGGGGAGTCGTCCACCGCCGCCACCGCAGCAGACATCTTTTTGATGAGATACGACGCTGTCTGCTGCGTGATCATCCAATTGTCTCCCTCAACCGTCGGCTTAGACAGGTAATCATTGTTGAGCTGGATGAGTCCGCTCCCGCCACCATATCCATGGCCGCCCATCGCGCGACGACAAACTTCGATGCCGTCGGCGACCAGCATTGTGCACAGGCTCTTCAACCCAGACGACATGCTATGCATGTTAGCCAAGCTGGCGAAACTCCCAGATTCAATCTCGCTCCGCGTGCGCTCGTACGTCGCCTGCATGGCCTGCCCCACATAGTGCAGCGCGTATGTCGTTGCTAGCAGGGGCAGGATCCGGATCTGAACGGTGGGATAGTCCAGCACGCTCAGCTCGGGCGCTGTATCGGGGGCGTCACGGTCTCGGAATTGTCGTCTAATCGCCGTGTATCGGACGGCGACGGTGACAGCCCGTGCTAGGACTAACCGCGCGTGCTGCACGATGCGTGAGCGCACGGCTGTGAGCGAGCCGTATACCACGGCTGGCACGGCGTGTCTGGAGAAGTGGCCCGTTTCTGGATCAACCTTCGCGTAGCGACTGAGAAGGGCAGAATGGGGAATTCTGGACATTTGGTTAGTCGGTTCAGCATTTGTAAGGTCCGTTTGATTTTGAAACCCACCGGAAGTTGTCGAACAGCATATAGGCGTTATCCATAGTGGCATAGCCGTACTTGGGCCCAATGTCGCCGATAACAATCCCGTCGAGGGGTTGGTGAGTAGTCATATCGCGCACTTGGACGATGAAAGGCTGCGGGCTATGCGAGACGAACTGACCGGGGAAGTTTGGATGCGGTAGCAAGAGTTGCGCTACGACGATGGCATGGTTGGCCGTGCGGCCCAGCGTTCCATTCCACCACTTGCTCGACGTGAGGGTTGGGCTATGTAAGACAAAGCACTTATTCTCTGTATCCCAGCGAGCCTCCAGCTCGAGGCCACGGACGTTGCTTCCATGACCTAGTTCCGTCTGCGCGTAGGCGCCGACGACCTGCCACGACTCGACGAGAGGCATCCAGTGGGCACGTTGCGCATCAGTGCCTTGTTCTTCAATGGTTGTCGCAAACATTTCCATCTGCAACATGTATGGCGAGACGTCGTCTACAAGATACTCCGCCAGCTTGTACTCCTGGAGAGTCCAGCCATATTGATCCGACAGCCGACGTAGCTGTTTAGCCCGCGCCAGAGCAAGCTTGAACCGCTCGGGGCGTGACAGATTCTGCTGCCGTGTCTTGTCAAATAACGGCTCTTTCTGGACGATGGGGAGGATACGTGTCTGGCGCTCGAGGAAGCCGTCCTGGCCCAGCAGATGGTGTGCCAATTCCCTTACGGCTATGTCGGAGCCCACTCGCTCGAGGGTTAGGATCTCCGGGCCGTCAGGCTGCTTTGGACGTAGTTTATCTGTGAAGTCTGACATATTTGCTTCAAACAAAGCTGTGTGTCTGATCAAGATCCAACGCCCTCGGTTTAAATGCGCCCCGCATCGTCGAACCCGAGTTTGAAGACGATCCCCCGCACGGTATCACCGGTTAGTCGGCAGTCGGCTTGAGTTGAGTTACCACGACAAGCTTCGAGATGATTTGAATAGTCGGTCTCGTGCTATTGACAATATTCACATAGGCAAGTACTAAAATGAGCAACGGAGATCGTACTCTGCTGGTACCTCCCCACACCGGTGACCACGTCCTCCCCAACCTGCCTTTTCTCGGAAAGCTATTACAATATGCCAACAGAAGCACATCCCGCATTGCCATCCGAGATGTACACGCCGGCGTGGAAAAAACCTACGCACAGTTGCTGGTAGATGGACTGGCCTTGCGGAAGAAACTGCAAGAGACGCTGTCTCCAGATATCCAAGAGGATCTGCTCCATGACCGCGAAGTACCCATTGCGCTACTGGCGCCAGGAGGCTACCAGTACGCAGTGGGGTTCATAGCCATTTTGGCACTGGGGGCGGCTGTCGTTCCACTGAGTACGTGCTCCCAATTCTACCAACGATGTTTGTCTGACGTTACTACAGCTGTCGTTCTTCCGACAGAGGAAGCCAGCGCACTCGTACATCGCGCCCGCTGCGCAGCGATTGTCTGCTCTCGAGGATCTATAAATCTAGCACAGTCCGTGACCTCTATCCACGGCAACATCTTCTACCAATCCATACAGCCGTACACCAACAGCAACCCGACTGCCCTCATGATAGACAAAATCACAATCTCCTCCAACCGCGAGCTCGACCCCAACTTAGCCAGTCTCATAATCTTCACATCTGGCACAACCGGTCCTCCAAAAGGCGCCGTGCAACGCCGGAGCTACCTGACCAGAGCCGCAGAAGCCATCGCAGACCACTACGGCATCACCGAAACAGATACAATCCTGCATATGCTTCCCGTGCACCACATCACCGGCGTGGCAATCAACTTCCTTCCCTACCTGACCATAGGCGCATGTGTCGAGTTCCGCAGCGGCGGTTTCGACGCCGCCTGGACGTGGGAGCGCTGGAGCCGTGGCGGCCTGACGGTCTTCTCCGGCGTGCCGACTATCTATATCCGCATGATGCGGTACTTTGAGTCAAACCAGCTCCCGGAGGAGAAGCGCCAGGCGTACGTACACGGGGCACAAAGTTTGCGTGTGCTACTATGCGGCACTTCGGCGCTGCCGGCTCCCGTGCAAGACTTCTGGACGCGTATCCTAGACGGAAAGCGCATTCTAACGCGGTACGGTGCAACGGAGATAGGGGTCTGCTTCATGATGGGCGTAGACGACGCCCGTACTCCGCCGAATAGCGTTGGGCGGGCGGTGCCGGGGCTTGAGGTGAAGTTGGATGAGAATGGGATGGTGCTGGTTAAGGGGCCGCATATATTTTCAAAGTACTTTTCCTTCCCACCCTCCTTTCATAAGCGTGGAATTTCTTCTGATGGAAAACGAGATATCTATACGACAAGAAAGCGACGGCAGATGCCCACGACGCAGAGGGGTACTTCAAAACCGGAGACATCGCGCGGAAAGAAGGCCCATATTACTTTATCTTGGGTCGAGCATCCCTTGATATTATCAAATCCGGGGGCTACAAGATCTCCGCGCTGGACATCGAGCGCGAGGTTCTCGGGTTGGACTACGTTGCCGAGGTTATGGTGGTGGGTGTACCTGATGATGAGTTTGGACAGCGAGTGGGAGCCGCTGTGTGTTTGAAGGATAGTAGTCGTGGCAGGAAGGGTCTGCTGGAGAGACTACGACACGATCTGCGGAGCAAGCTGGCGGGATATAAGCTGCCGACTGTGCTGCGGGTCGTTCAGGGCGAGCTGCCCAAGTCGGCGACTGGGAAGGTGCAGAAGAGGATTCTTGGGCCGGAGTATTTCCCTGTGGGATATGCGGCTAGTGGGGAGGTGGAGGTGTGGGAGGGGAGGAAACTGAAGTTGTAATTACTTACTGTTCCTTTTGCTGGTCATATATCTGCTTGCTTATAGTATGTTTAAGAGTGCAAGGAGTAACGTGTATATGTACTGATCCAATGTATTGATCCACAGTACGTACAAAGTCAGACCCACACCGACCATCCCATTGTATAGAGAACTCAGCTAGTCAAGCTCTAGTTTATTCTGGCCAACAATCGCTGGCAGCTGGTCTGTGTGCTTGCCGGCAGTTCTGTCGGCAGCGTTACTACCGTTTGGTGGGAGTGTGTCTTGGTCGATATCGCGCCCCTTTTCAGTAGTAAACCCTGTTTCTACATATTCTACTAAGAGTTTTGGCATGCTCAAAGACGTTTGGGCCGCACCTCCTTATACTACTGTTATCAACTTATCAATCACCTCCAAGAAGACAGCCAAGAAAGGGTTTCCCCAACCCCCCAAGTGGAAGTGGAGGAAGAAGAAGAAGAAGATAATACCATACATGCCAGGGGTAATATATTAGCTATATTGATAAAAACTTAACAACTCTCAATTCTTACATGATTAGCTCTTTCCTTTTAACTAGGCAAAGACAAAAGCACGTAAGCTATCAGACACTACGTGAGGGGCATACGAAATACCTCGCATCAACCGCACATCAAATCCGCACATCTCCAGAAGACTAAGCGTGCTGATCGCAGTGCTTTCAACTGCCGTAGCTCTATCCACACAGACAAGATTGGTTAGACCAGCACCCAATCCCGATCTAGCAGCTCGTCTAAGCACGGCGATAATGCCCAGTCTGAGTCCTGCGCCCCCAGCTGGAAGAAACCCACGACCCCGCCGTCTTGCCCATCATCGACCACAATTGGGGCTCCGCAAACACCATCTCGAACGCGGCCTCCGGCAGGCCCAATAAATTCCATTATGTTCTCGACTAAGAACTCAGCAAAAGGGATGACAACACCGGGAGGACGCTGGGCTCTGCGCATCCGAACACCAACCAGCCGCAGAAAAACCAGGCCCGTAGCCATTCCGTCTAGACTGCACCAAACATTCTCTAACACCTGATTTGATCGTAGGAGCCTTGTTGGTGTCTGAGCTTGAAAGTACTCGCTATTGGTAAACGAGGACGAGGGGGACAATCGAACAAGGGCGATGTCTAGATGTTCAAATCGTTCTGTGATTTGCCCAATACACAGTCCTGCAGCTTGTGAGGAAGGATGGTAGACTTCATCGGTGCCTAAAAAACCATGATTGGAGACGGTCAAACGTGGACCTTCATGCACTGACCGGAGCAAAACTCCGGCCGACGAGGCCATGGTTGCAGTCCAGAATTCCCCGTGCCTTGATACTGGGCCACTTTCAACACGTACACCCGGGCACATGGTTTTCGCATCTGATTCAAGATAATTCGTCGTGTCTTGGACCGCATCCAAAGGATCAATTAAGCGCTCCCTTGCCTGCTCAGCCATTTCCCAGAATGGCATAGCACTGTGGTGATATATTGTTGCTCGACCGCCCACAATTCCTGGTAGAGATCTCCGTTCGTACTTCTTCCCATCTTGATGGCAAAGCTCGACAATGATTATCGGAGATATAAAACTTATGGCTTTGATATTCATGGTCTGGGCTAGTTTCTCCGTCACAACCTGGCACTGCTCGCTCTTGGGACGTCCCCACTTTGGTAAGTGCATATGTGGTGGTATGGGATCAGGTAGCCTCGGATTGCTATAACCTGTCGGGGTGGTGAGGTGACGGGGCCGTGAACCAACAGGAACGAAAACGGCCGCCACACACGCCACAGTCAATGGCACTGGTGAGGGTGGGGAAGGTGTTTCAATGATGATCCGTGGCCAAGTGTACGTGACAGATACAGCATTAAATTGTTCCAAAATCCACTGGTTTTGCTGAGGCGTAGGATGTCGAAAGTCGTCTGACTCGGTGTCCCACAGAGTAAACGGTGCGATGTCAGCGAAATGTCTGGATCCGTATCCTGAATTTGAAGGCCTAAACGTCTGCCTCTGCTGCTCAGCACAAGATTCCGGATGGGCGTGAGAAGTGCTGTGTGGCTGTCTCTGGGTGTGGGTGCGATCCCTCAGCGCGACGAGGCGGGGTGGAAAGGCTATGTACGGCGTTTGGAGCCGGAGGGACGTGACGGTCGAAGATCTTGAATAGAGTGACATACTTAGGAAATTATCAAAATTCTTGCGAGGATCTGCGAGTAATTCTAGCGTACTAGATGGATGTTGTAAGAGATTGAATCCCAGTGGTTGAAGCAAGGGGGAATATATGCCGGTAGTCAAAAGGCCTATGTGACTATAACGGGTATATCATGGCTCTACTGCACTATGACTCTATGGGTCAATACTCAATAATAAATTTGTCTGACCTTCAATTTAGTCTATCATACTCTCACTCTGATCTCATTCTGACCTCACTCTAATCTCACTCTAACCCTACAGTGACATGGAGATAAAGAATCCGGGCTTATAACCTTATTTATACAAATCCCTAGCTTCTTGCAATCTGCTTGGAAAGTACAAAAGAATGATGAATATATGTGTAGCCAGAAATAATAATGCTACGACGCTAAATTATTTCTTTAAAAACTGCGAGGCCCATTCCATAGTCTGGGTGATGAATAGTTAATGCTAGGATAAGGTACATGAAGTCTAAATATAACACCAAATTCCATTCAACATTAAGCTCAACCGACTGCTACAGGTCTGGCGGGTTGAGAATTGAGCTCGCCAGGGTCCTGTAATTAGACTAGTTTGCCCATGGTTCGATGTAGTAGTAGTAGTAGTAGTAGTAGTAGTAGTAGTAGTCAGACGCCTAGCGAGCACAATCCCTTAATATAGTGATTTTACGTTCCATACATGTATTTAAAATACTTTAAACCCACTAGTTTTGACTATCTTGACAAATATAATAAGATATATAACTAGTATCGATATATGTTTTGATCCAATATATTGATCCAGTCCCACACCAGCAATCCCATTGCCGCATTGCGTACGGTGTATGGAACTCAACCAACTCAAAATTTAGCTTTCGCAGACAAGGAGGTCATCCTGCCATGCACGTAACTGATTTTCTGAAACTGTTGCATTGCATCCCCGTATAACTCGGCGCGCAACAGCGCATAGACGCTAGAAGAATTAGCCTTTCATTCAACTCAAGATAATGGAACAAAATCGCATCAAAAGACGGAAGATCCAAGGAGAAAGAGAGAAATACCCCATCTTCGCCTTCGGCGCCCACTTCTCCCCCATCTGGATCGCAACGTCCAACATGCGCTCCGGCTCAGCAATGGCATCGACGACCCCATCCGCCAGCGCCTCCTTGCCCGTCCAGCGGTGTGCCTCGAGGAGCATCTTGCGAGCGATCTGCGGCCGCAGCTTCAGACGCGGAAGTAGGCCGATCCCGTCGAAGTGCAGGCCGAGGTTGACGGGCGGCATGCAGAGGAAGCCCCGGTTGGCGTTCATGATGCGGTAATCGTGGGCGAGAGCGAAGGGACAGCCGCCGCCGAAGGTGTGGCCTGTTATTAGGGCGATGGTGGGGTAGGGGAAGTCGAGGATTGTGTGGAGCATCTTATTCATAAGTTTCTCTCTTTCTTTCGTTCTTTTTTTTCTCTGACGGGTATACATAGGGAAAAGCAATGGGCAGATGGGTGTATATAGAGCATACCGGGTAAAACCCATTAGTGTTTGCAAAAGGGTTTGTGTCTGGCTCGTCGAGGTCAAGGCCCTAGCAGATGTCATTCCTGATCGCCAGCAAAGGTACGATCCCAGCTAGATATGGGTTTGGAATACCCACCGTACACCAAAATTTGTCGTCATTCCCGCGCGTGATGACCGCCCCTTCGGAATCAGGGCCTAGTATCTGCTGAACTGTTCTAAAAGCTCTGATGATCTCCTGACAGTACCAGGAGGTCAGTCGGTTCTCGGGGGCCTTTTGCATGGTGATGATGAAGACATTGCCGCGGCGGTCGAGAGACAAACTGTCGAATGTGGGGAGGGACATGTTTTCTTTCTGTGAGATAATTGTGGGAAGTAGTATGGATTGTAAGCATCACGATGTGAAATATGGTCAATAGTACTCCCCAGGTAATAAGGAGATAAATTGACCCCGCATAAGCTTATGCCGATTGCCGAGAGGGATCGGCAGCCGAGTGTCGTGCCGATCCCCGTGGGGTATCTACATCGGAGACTGGGATGCACGTCATGCTGTTATTGTCATGATCAAAAGCTAGGAGCCTATGCGACACATAACCGTTGGAACTGGGTATGTCTGACATAGTCACGACCCATAGAGTGTAAACAATGGTTGTTCGTGTCGAATTCCAAGTCATCAAGAGAGGTTTATTTGTCTAAAAAAACTGACCGGAATCCAGCAGTTGACCTACGTTATCGAAGAAATGGCCATTGAGAGGCTGTCATATGGCCCTGGGGTGCGAGTCTAAGCTATCGCCCTTCCTTCCGTTTGCTCATTGGAAGAATGTATGACCAGGAGTGTAATCTAGATGAGTATATAGATGAGTGGAAGACTGAAGATAGAGGAAAGAGAAGAAAAAAGAGAAGATAAATTAAAAGACTTTTTCTTTGACTGCTTGATCATATTCCAGTTCTACTGGTATAGATGGTACGTGATTATATCAGATTTTGTGAATATTTGTAGGGTCTTAAATACTTATTATATCAGAATCAAGGGAAATGACGTGGAATGCAGAAGGTCAATGACAATGACGAGATCACAGCATGATAGTCAAAGGTCCAAAATTACTCTTCTAGGGGGAGAAGACTGTCATATCGCAGGCTAGTAACAGTTTCTTGTTTCTGTGCCAGTTCCTAAAGTTAATACTCCTGGTTATTTTGATAAAGAAAAAGAGTCTTTCTCCTTTCCCCCCTTTGCTGATTTCCTGCTTTCTTCCTTTTTGTAATCTACAATTCCAACATCCTAAGCACCAATACTCCCACTTCTCTTTCCTAAAATTTGCAATAACTTCACAATTCTACAATTTATCCTCTTGCTGCCAACGAATTTGAGATTGCATGAGTTGAGATGTGGAATGAGGCTCTACCTCCAGCCGGTAAGTGATAGATTTGGGTTCGAGGAAGAAGAGACTTATGTAGAATAAGGTCCGTCGGACAGGACATCGCATAGTCATCTAGCCACAGCAGCATTGGAACCTGGAAACACACGAGCAACAACGCGTCCTTGAAATCGTCTCGCAATTGCGCAAATTGGGCTGGAAAGCGTGCTCTCCCTGCCACAGCTCGTGGTCTGTGGCGATCAGTCGGCAGGCAAAAGCTCAGTGCTCGTGGCCCTGACCAAAATCCCCTTTCCTCGCAAACATAACAGACCTAATACATACCAACGTGAAAGATTCAGCTGGTATGGAATCCACGTTTGGATGTCTCATATCAACCGAGCGTCTAGTTCTACTAGATGGGCTGTGTCCCTACATTAGCTTCACTCATGTCAGTATCCTCTACATGATAATTTACTGATGTGGACAAATTGAGCTAGTCGAATTCCTCATGACAGGAATAGGATAGTGTTGCTCCGATGTTTGAATAGCTATCTACCAGTAGTGCAATCACAAGTACAGATACACGAGAAAGGTCCGTTGCAGTCGACCAAAAGCTCATAGGCGAAAAGCATCTCGACTCCTATTCTCTACTCGGGCCATTGATAGGACATATCACGGCAGCAGGTCCAGCAGCCCTAGAATATAATCAGACAACCAATTTTCAAATAATTACAGCACAAGTTAGTATGGAGTATAAGAGGGACATACGTCAGAAAGCTGCTTTGGGGGAGACTCGGGAGGGCAAATAGAACGCTGCTTTTTGCACCACTTGAAACATTCGCCTTCACCAAGGTGGTCAGGCCCTTTTGCGAAGGCAGTAGACACATTTAAGGCAAAAGCGGCAATTATGATAGAGTAGAAACGCATCTTGATTGTTCAATGGGAGGAAAGTATTTTGCAATGTGTTGATTATTCGAAAAGGAAAATTGGAATGCCGCCTACGAAGATGTTCGCATCTTTATATTGGTGCTTCAGTAGGAATTCTGAGCTCAGATAAAGGACATCCTGCAAGGGATGCTCTGCAAGGGCTTAGCATAAGGTTTGAGAGAGCTCAGCTGGTATAGACCCACTTTTCGGACGTCCCATGCCAGCTGAGCTGTGTCTCTATCCGATTCTGTGGTCAGTCTCAATCTTCAGCACAATTATGTAGTGAATAGACCCTGTTCTTCCAGGTCTGTCAGCTGAGGGTCTAATGCTGCAAGGGGATAGTCTAGATGCCTCATACCCAATATACCGTTCAGTATAGGGGTATGAGTCGTATCAAGCCCGACCTAAACATGACACTCAGTCAAAACGTGTATGCGAAAGGAGCGCTCATATGAAAGAAAATACTTGACTATACATATAGACAAAGTGGGTCTATCAGTGCCGATCTCATATATCTACATAAGATTCTCTTTGCTAGTGGAGCGGCCTTTTGAAAAGCGACTCCAGCACGTCAAGGCAGTCTAATACTCTCTAGTACCGAGTCCCAGCCCACTACTTTAACTAAACCAACAATTCACAGAATAACACTTATAGCCACGCCACTCCTTACACATCTATGGGAGAACGCCCAGGCCCACCCCTCCGACCAAAGCGTTATGATCCTACCTAGGGAACAAGCACATCTTCAAAATCAAAGAATGGGTCATTTGTCCTGGGCCTCCGGCGTCTAGAGAGACCGAGGGTCGCAGTGTGGACATCGCGACTGAGAATTTTGAAAAGCGGCGCGCAATGGCCCTGGCATGCACTCAGCTGCCGAAGAGTATGATGGGTGGCTGCCGAACGCTAAAGAGGTGGAGGAGCGTTTGCTTCATGCTTGCCGGGTGTATCTGGAACGTCACTCTAAAATTGATTATGTGTTTGGGTTTACTTCGGTTGGTACGAAGGGGGGGTTGGACGTGTCATCGGCATTCTTCTCCTTGTTTGGCCCTGATGGATAGGTATAGGGTTCATGGACATGCTGAGGTGCATTCTGATCAGGCTTGGATTATTGAACGGACTGTTTGTGATATTGTGAGTACTCATCAGTGAATAGGCTAGTGATCACCCTCTTGGTGTTTGGTAGTTATTTCTTGGCCGGATGCAGAATAAATGAATGCCATATCCTTCCTCTATCTAGTCTATTATGACTCGATCCCCGAGCTCACTAGACCACCACCTGATTGTGCCGCTTCCGGGCAGACTTTGCCATGTACTCTCGTCCCGCGTGAGCTCCGATTCGTATACGCAGTTGATAACATCCTTGATATAGTTCCGTCCGTCGATGATGGCGTTCACAATGTACCTAGGCCGATCGATCTCCTCACTGACATCGCGGTCCCATCGAATCTGTCCGATCGCCTCCATGTGCCCATCGTGGTAGTACAACAGGAGACCTAGGCATGGACAATGTGACTGGTCGGTATCGCGGCAGATCTGCGCCTTCGCGATGTTACCGAGGGACGCCGTTGTCATGTACCAGGTGCCGGCGAGTCTGTCTCCGTTCGGGGGGAATGCAGGGGGGTCCATGTGGATATTTGCGGGCAGGGACTTTCGAGCTTCGACGCTCGACTCATTGTCACAGGTCACTCCCATGTCTCTGATATAATTTGCGCCATGGTTATAGTAGTAGCCGATGGATTCGTCGAACTCGAGATTTAGCGCGAGGTTTAGTCCGTCGTGGAAGATACCCGAGATTGGCCCGTCGCGAGGCCCGCCCAACAGCTCGTATCGGTATGAACCGTATACCTCGCTGGGAAGTTGAGGACCGAACGTGATAGTTCTCCCGCGGGATGTGAGGAGCTTGGTTGGTGAGTCACGGATCGGCTGCATCAGGGTTGGGTTTCCAACTCACCACCAAGGGAGGACAGTTCTCATGATAATTAAAAACGAGTCTCCGCACCCAAGCTGAATCTATGGTTTCCTGGGAATTAAACGGGAAGTACATCCAGTGCTTCTGACTTTCCGGCTTGCGTTGATACATCAAGTCAACGAACATTCTTAATGTCGTTGACGTATCGGTGAGACCGTGAATCCCGACAAGCCCATACTCTGTACAGCAGGCCAAAAGTCCCCGTACGTGAGAATCGAATTTGATATAATGTACGCGGACGTTCCCGAGCGACTTTTTTGAGGCACGATAAAAGTTCGTTAGTGAAATTTTAGGCGGGCAAGGAGAGCTCCAGATATAGGGCACTCCACGAAACTCGCGTTCGAGTTGGATCCTTTTAATAAACAGGCCATTGCTATTCACGAAGAGCTTCTGGTCTGTGTCGCACACGGGCAGAACTTCGTACCATGGAGATTCATCGAGTGGAGGAGCGTCAGATGTGTGTTCTAGAAAATGTATCCCCCGGACGCCAATGCCGTCGACGGACGCGACGATCTTGCCAATTCGTCTGGGTATCCGGAGTTGAATTTGATCGGACAGTTCGGTAAATCTCAGCGGTTTGTCGCGCAGACGTGACACGTACGAAACTCCACGGTACATGATGCGGGATATCCACACATTTCGGGTCTGGTCTAAATTCAGCGAGTTCTGCTGGGGTTCCCGTTTCCCCTTCAACTCTCCCATCAGTCGCTGAGTCTCCCCGACAACAGTCAGGTACCAACATGGGCCCATCAATTCGCAGATCTGCAGCAGGATCTCCGCCGGCAGTTGCTCGAGCAGGTCTTTTCTAAAGATTTTACGAAGGATCTTCCCTGCGTGCTTGCTGATGAGCCCTTCCATCATTGATGTGGCCACATTGCGCTTGTCATCGTGCGGACATATATAGCGGGGTATGGTGGCCTCCGCCAAACGCTGCCAATCCGCGGGGGTGGGAAGCTTCGTGGAGGCTTCGTAGGTAGCGACAAACAGTCTATAACAAGTTGGATGGAACCTGACCTGTTGGAACGGCAAGAGTGTATATTTCTGACATGACTGTTTACCCCTAAATACCGTGGGAATCTCTTTATCAGGATCTGTCCAGCAGGTTAGACAGCCCCAGGGTTGACGAGAAGGGTGTCACACCAAGGATTAGTGGCCCGGCCGTTGCAGGGTGTCTGCAGATCACACATAGGGACCGTTCATTTCGAGCATAACCAGCTTTCATGTCGAATTAAACTATACTGGGTGTATTATAACAATTGTTGGGCCGATAAGACGGAGAAAGTCAACGATGGGAGATGTAGAACAGAAGACGGCAGCCCCTGTGGAAACGAACATAAAGGCCACTACGCCTAGTAGTCAGGTGACTAGGCTCTTCTAAGCTTAAGGCCTCCATTCAGCTGTAAAGCGTTAGTCTCTTGTGCCTATGATAGTAGAATAGAATCAAAACCATACTATTTGAGCTTTGCTCGTACAAGACAGGGTGTCGAAGATGTTTGACTGAAGTATGATATCCTAGCCAACATCTTGGGGAAGGGTCGAAGTGCAACAGTCAGATGTGTGAGAATATTGCGGAGTTGAAGTCAGGAAAAGGTTGCAAGTTGTAAGAAGAGCCAAAATTCCAAAGACGAGAGAAAAGCTCTGTAAACACTGCAAGTCAGCTCAAATGTTGTCTAGTTGCAATCACTCCACAATAGCACTCATACAGGTCACGGAGTGATATACTTTCATTCAGAAAGGAAAAGTCAATAATAGATACATTTGACCCGTATAAAACAGACTGTCTGAAGGGTATATTGCATATTGGTCAGAGCTTTTTCAACTTATACATAGAGCTATAGTCTTCATGACCATACAAGTTAGAGTCGAGGGACACATGACTCCTCCAATAATTTAGGAGTCTAATTTAATTTCTATTCTCCTCCAAAATCATCGCTGCTGCCTTCTCAGCAATCGCATACACTGTCGCCTGGATATGCGCCCCAATCTGCAACGGCATGATACTGGCATCGACCACCCTCAGCCCACGAACCCCATACACGCGTAAATGTGCGTCTACTACTCCGGCTCGTGCGCCGTCTTTCCCGCCCATAGCGCAGGTTCCAACAGCTTCTTATGTCAGTATATATGTCACAAGTCAAGGAAGAGGAAAACTCACGATGCCAATCAGTCATGGTGCAGTCGTGCACAAACTGGTCAATATCGTCATCATCCGGTGCGGGAAACGCCCGTCGCGCAATGATGTCAGCTAGTGGTGGTGTCTGGCACACTCTGTCTCCAAAGCGCAGACCCAGCTTCATGACTTCGGTGTCGAGGTGTCCGCCTGCGCCCTGGTAATAGCGTGGGTCAATGACCGGCGGTTCGTCGACGGTTGTTGCCGGCTCGTTGGAGCCTCGTCGTGGACGGATGTGGATAGACCCTCGAGAAAAGGGATACTGCAGCATTTGGAGCATTGTGCCGTATTTCTTGTTGTTTCCTGGCTCGGGGGTGAAGAAGGGGCTCCAGTTGCCTAGGTCAAAGAGATACTCCACCTGTCCGCGGTGGCTGTCGAGGTGGAATGGTCGGGCGAGGAGGGCGTCGTGGGGGTGTTGTGCCTCCTGGGCTAGGGTCTCGGCGTGTCGATGCAGGGTTTGGGCATGATCCGGCGGCGCGAGGGTAGACAGAGCACAGTAAGCGATGGAGCAGGGGAGGATGGTCCAGGGTCCGGTCCGCGAGGCAGCGTACTCCTCGTCGGCAGCGGTACGCTGGGCCGGCGTGTTCAGGAGATCGTCCCGCGTGGTCAAGTCGGCATTTAACTCGAAGACCGTGGCTGTCATCATATGCTCCTGCAGGTTCTCGCCTACGTTCGGGTTGTCGACTTTGACGGGAATCCCGGCCGCCTCGAGGACGCCTCGATCCCCGATTCCCGAGAGCTCCAGCAGCTGGGGCGATTGCACGCTCCCCGCCGACAGGATCACCTCCTTTGTTGCAGAGACGGTGAACTCCTCCCCGTTGCAGCGCAGCTTGACGCCTTTCGCGGTCCACCCATCGTCCTCTTCCAGGAGCATCTCCAGCACCGTCGCCTCGCACAGTACGGCCAGGTTCTCCCGGTCTCGAATTGGTCGGTAATACGCCGACGCGGCGTAGCTGCGCTCCTGTCGGTGCGGATCCACTGTGCATACCATATTCCATGCGCCGGAATTGCACCCGCCCAGACTGTCCGGACTGGACTCGACGCCCATCGCATTCAATGTGGCGTGCCAGAAGCGATGGGATGGTCCATACTCGCGAGGATGCATTGTCTGCACCGGACCGTCTATCCCGTGGTGTTCCGCCTGGTAGTTGGATCGATGCGATTTCCGGTGCGCTTCGTCGGGGGGGTGGAATGTCTCGCTGCGGAGGAAGAACTGTCTACTCTCGATATCAGCATCTTCCATGACAGAGTACTACAAGAGAAAGAAAACATACTGCAACCCATCCCACCCCCACCCCTCATTCCCCAACTCCTCCCACGTATCATAATCCTCGCGATGTCCGCGATTCCACGCCATCAGGTTCAGGGCACTCGTCCCTCCCAACACCTTGCCCCGCGGCCAGGCCAGCGCCCGCCCATTCAGACCCGGTTGCGCGACTGTCTCAAACTGCCAGTCGTATGGTCCGCCCAGGGACTCGCCGTACCGACCCGGGACATTGATGACGGGATCGTCGAGCGCTGCGGGGCCGGCTTCAATGACGCCGATGCGCCACTGCGATTGTTCACTGAGTCGGGCAGCTAGGGCTAACCCTGCAGTGCCGCCGCCAACGATGAGGTAGTCGAAGGAGGTTTGGGAGAAGGATTGCGCAGGAGTCATGTTGATTAATTTGATATTTCTATAAAGTTTATCAACAAACAAAGGGATATTCAGTATTCCATCGTGGGACGCGTACGAAGACGATCCGGATGAATGGTCCGTGCTGCGGGGTCAGCATTGGGCCTGGGAGTCACGGACTCAACTTAGAGTCTGGCTATTACTAGACCAAGACAAGACATCATACTACTCAGTTACCCACTATCCTCCTGGCGCAATGCAACACGGCTTGCGGGATTAATTCCAAATTAACCCGGTGTTAACATGCGACCACCAGGGTACGCCAACTCTTTTAAGCGCCCTGCCGATCACCTTGCCGATGGCCGGGATCCCTGGTGGGAGCTGAATCCTTGGTTGGGGGCTGAGACTATCGACGGGGGGACATCTTAGGGTTTGGCCCGTCGGATCCACCCAGTCCATAAGCGTCGTCCGTGGCTGTGAGATGAGACCATGTCGTGGGTGGAGATCAAGCATGCCCAGGAGTAAAGATCGTCGGTGGAGCACGACTAAGGCCTAAAGGCCGAGGACGAACTCTGATCAGGGCTCGTCGTGACAACTTATTGGGCTGGCTTGGTTACATTGGTTGACGATGAGCTGAGCTGGGGGTTTTTCAGCGCCACTGGCGGAGGGAGAATGCATCGTCTGGTCTGAGAGAAAGACAGACATATTGTTCCCTTTATTCATTGTTCTCGTCAATCTCTTGTCAATGCATCCAACCAGCCTCGAGAATCGAATGGATGTGCATGTCAACCTTCTTCCATTATGGATGGCTTCGCTCAGGAACTGCTCATCGAGTCCTGGATCCTCTACGTAATCGGTATTGAACTGCACTATCAACTGCTGGATGGACGCGACTGACGGGATAGGGATCTTCTGCATCGGTTGCCGACTGGCCTCCCGACGCATCGCGAAACAATCATGGGGTAAACTCGAAGTTGACGACTATCTGATGTGTCTCGTGGTGATCACCTTTACCGGAGTCATGGTCTGCGTCAACCAAGTCTCCATCAACGGCAGCAGTTACATGTCCCCCGAGGTTGCCGCCACCCTGACGCCAAAATCGCGTCGGTCGGCGGTCTGGGGAAGCAAGATGACATTTGCCCTCGAGCACTTTACGTTGAGCTCATTGTGGCTGGTCAAGGGGTGTTTGTTACTGGTGTATAATCGGTTGACGTGGGTGGATTTACCAGCTGGTCATGTTAGGACAGGAATCGCTGACATGCGATCTCTAGGTTAGGGCTACGCGAGCATATCGTCGTCAAAGCCGTAGCGGTTTATGTCACGGTCTCGTTTGTCGTGATTGAGATTCTGTTCTGTGCGGTTTGGTGTGGCCCTCCCATCACGATGTACTGGGATGTGCCTGCCAAGGAAGGTATGTTTTTTCATGAAGCTATCCTACTAGGTAGTGGGGATACTGAGAGGTCAATAGAGCAATGCGCCAGTTACTATAACCACCTCATTACCAGCACCGTGTTCAACATCTCCTCTGATCTGATGATGCTGTGTATACCTTTGCCACTGCTTGTGCGCTCGCGACTACCTTGGAAGCGGTATGTCTTCTCTCCTATCGGTTGGAAAACACGAAATTAACTGTATGCAGAAAAATCCTCCTCTGTCTGGTCTTCAGCTTAGGAGTCTTTGTGGTATGAATCCCTCCCAGCCCTATTCTAGCCTTCTCATCTAACTCTCCAGGTCCTTATGGCCATTCTCAATCGCTACTACAACTTCTCCGAGCAGCACACCCTAACCTTCCTAGTGGGTCATATCTCTTCCCTATCCTCACGGACCAATCTCCAGTCATTCAAAACTAACATCCCCAGAAATGGTACGTCGCCGAAGTCTCCACTGCAGTATACGTCGGCAACCTACCCCTCCTATGGCCTCTCCTTAAACGTGTCTTCCACCTGCACACGTTTGCCCAGTCCCGTCCCACCAAGAGCATCTCACGTCCCAGCGCCTACCCAGCTTCTCGATCTCGCGGTTTCACCTCCCGCGGGGCCCCAGCCAGCTCAACCGAATCCATCCTCCACGAGACGGACCCACCCGGCATCGACAAGGCCGGCGTCAGCGGACTTGAACACGGGCTGGAGCTGACGCCGATCCAAGAGCGAGCCTACCGGGCAATGATAACAGCCGAGCGGGGCCAGTCGTCTCTCAAAGACGGAGGGACGGCTCGGGAGGGTAATGACTCGGGCGAAATGGGAATCGTGCGGACGGTGGAGGTGCTTCAATATAGGGAATGATATCCTTGCTAGTTGGGTCCACTTAATTTAGTTTTGTCTCTTCCTTCCCATTCTGGTGTAGGTTTCTTTTGCTAGGCATGTATTTTGAGTTTCCTTTTGATATACCCGTCTATGGATTCGCTCGGCGATTCCATACGCATAGTTAATATTCTTCCCAGACTGTAAAATCAGTGCAATAATGCATACCCCTTTCCGCGATGAGCTCAGCACACAATATATTGTTTAGTGGAGCTCATCCCAGACCGATTGGGTATAGCGATCGTCGGGTTGGTGTTCAGACCTACAGCTTAGTTGCATTAGCCTCGATGATCGATTCCTATCAGAAACCGCGCGAGGTAGACAAACGTATCGGGAGTCAACCACGAGAAACCCGCCACGATTCAGCGTGGTGTTCGGGCGAGGGTTTCCTCGGAGGTCCATCTCGATCTTGTTTCAGATCTTCTATTGCTTGAGTTAATTACGGGATGAGCTGAACCTGATATCGTTGCATTTTGGTGTTTTCTTTTTAACCTTGCTTCCAGCGAGGCTGATTACATTACATTGCATCCTTGGCTGTTTCATTCCTTTTGTTTCGTTCTATTTTTATTATTTGTTCTTTTCTTCTTTTTTCCATCCCTACCACATGCAATCCCCTCCTGCATATCATGTCCGATAACTTCATCCCGGGGACGGTCCTGCTCGTCGACGACGCGCACGAGCAGTCTACCAAGCATGCGACGGGCAAGCATACCGAAATCGTGCTAATCCCGCCACCCAGTGACGACCCTAATGATCCCCTGGTAGGTCTTTTCTTCGTGATTTCGCGCACGTCCTCTAAAAAGACAGTAGAATTGGTCTCCCGGCCGCAAGAAGCTGCATTTGGTGCTGCTGTGCGTCTACACCTTTTTCCAAAATGGCCTGATCAACTTCTACGGCGTGGCCTACGACGGTCTGGCGCCGGATTTGAACACTACCTTTGATGGCTTGAACACAGGGTATGTCTGTCTTTCATGACTGTATATTTCTAGGTGTTTATATGTGATAGGAGCGCCATCCTCTTCCTCTTCAGCGGTGTTGGTTCCACTTTCTGGCAACCGGTTGCCATGAAAATTGGTCGGCGCCCTGTCTATATCATGGGTCTGCTCCTGGCCCTGGTGGGGAGTATCATGGGCGCCGTGCAGACCCAATGGGGCGTGTGGGTTGCTTTTAACGTGTTTTGGGTATGTCCTCTTACCTTTGGTGTGAATTATGTTAATGATAGTCTAGGGCATCGGCTGTGGTCCCAAAGAAGGACTGCCCCAGATCTCGCTGCAGGATACGTATTTTGCGCATCAAATTGGATCGAAAGTGGGATATTGGGCGCTATCGTATAGTGCCGGGGCGTTTGTTATTGTATGTATTTCTTACTTTTCTGCTTTTGATTTAAGGTGCTGTTGCTGATACTGTAAAGCCCCTCGTCGCCGGATACGTCTACGTTGAGCTGTCCTGGCGCTGGTGCTTTTGGATGACGGCTATTGGATTCGTATGCTTCTCTCTCCCCCAACCAAGCACTGGGTGCTAATTGGATAGGCTATCATGGCATTGGTCTTGTTCGTCGGTCTGGAAGAGACGCTCTACCCCCGAACATACGACACCCCGTCTCGAGATGGGACCTCTATAGATGAAGACGCCAAAACTCCACAAACCACCACGTCCTCGCCCATAGCAATGAAGTCCTATCGACAGACTCACCCCCTCCACTCATGGGGTGTCAATCCGCATGAATCCTGGCGAGACCTCTTCCTGCGTCCGTTTCAGCTCGCTCTGTTCCCGCCTGTTCTCTGGGCGGGCGTCTTCACGGGTGTCTCTATTTGCTGGTGGGCTGCTATCTTCACGACTGAGTCTGGTGAGTCTTATTTTTTTTCTCCTTTCCTCACATCCATGCATCCAAACAAGTATACTGATACACATTAGAATTCTTTACCTCCTCCCCCTACAACTGGTCCGGCCAACAAGTCGGCCTCACAAACGCCTCCGCCCTAATCGGCAGCCTTCTGGGCACCCTCTACGCCGGCAACCTCAGCGACTGGTTCGTCGTCTTCGTCGCACGACGCAACCGCGGCATCCGCGAGCCCGAACACCGTCTGTCCCTGCTATTAGCCACCGCCATCTTGACTTCTGCCGGTCTCGTCTTGTACGGGGTGGGCGTCGATGTTGGTTTGCCCTGGCCGGTTCCAGTCGTCGGCATGGGCATGATGGGGTTTGGGTTTACCGCGTCGTCGATTATTGGCGAGGTTAGTATTTTACCTTTCTCCTCGTCCTCTCTTCTCAGTGATGGAAAATGGTATTGATGATAATAATAGACATACGTCCTCGACTCCTACCGCGCCGTCGCAGCCGAATCGCTCGTCCTCATCAACATCTTCCGCAACCTGATCGGCATGGCGTTTGTTTTTGCTGGTCAGCCGTGGCTGATCCACTCGGGTATTGGGCCTGCTTATCTCCAGATGATGGCTATGGGGCTGATTGCGCATTTGTCGGTCGTGCCGATGATGATTTGGGGGAAGGCGCTGAGGGCTATGACTGCTGGACGGTATTTGCGGATGGTGGAGGAGAGGGGGATGCCGAGGGAGTTTGCATAATGCTTTTCTTCTCTTCGTCTGGTTTCTTTTTCAGATTATTTATTGTTGGAGTGTTGTCTGTTTTGGGGTGGTAATTTTTGTTTTTGATGAAAAGTTATTATCTGGTGAAGGTGAAGCACAAAATGATCGATCAATACTATACTATCCTAAACATCAACTGGTATACCCAACAACAGAAACTAATATAACAAACAATCAAAGTCAAGATCTAATTAGTACAATTACCACTCCCACCCCACAAACATAAACATCTATCGCATCCAACTCTTCCTATCAACCACCTCCCTCTCCTCCTCCCCCCACACCGCCGCATAAGCAGGCAGCGCCATCTCCCTCGCCGGATCATAATCCATAAAACTCATAATATGCTGCTGGTTTCCGTCGCCGACGCCATCACACCCGGGCACGACGTCGTCTTCGTCCAGACGCTCCATGTTGGCTGTCAGAACGACCCCGTCGTCCGTGATGATTGGCATGGATGGTCCTGCGGCTTGCATATCGGAACACATGGATGAACCTCGTGTGGGACCCCGCCTTGCGAGGTTGATCAGCTCGCGGCTGCTTTCTGCGGCTAGCTCGGCGCGTTGTCGGTAGAAGCCTGTGTCGGAAAGTTCGGGCGTTATGTGGGTGTGTCGGTTTGATGGGGCTGGTTGGGTTTGTCGGTGTGGTCTCGGGACTGGTGCTGGGACTGGGTTCGGGGGTGGGGTTGGGGCTGGGGCGAGGCGGGCTCGGGCGAGGTGAGCTGGGGGGGCGTGTGTTTGAATGAGTCTGGGTAGAGCGAGTTGTGTTCGAGCGAGATGTGTTGGGGCATGTTGTGCTGGAGCGAACTGGGCCGGTATGCCTCGTGGGAGTGGTCTGAGTGTCGGAGCTGGTACCGGTGCCGGTGCTAGTACTTCTCGTGGAGAGGATTGCGCAGAGAGTTGGATTGAGATAGATGGTGGCGGGGGGGCAGTGGTGTCGGTGCGGGAGGAATTATGAGAATATATTGGGTTGGCTGTTGGCGACGACGAGGATCCGATGGTGGATTCTTGGGTGTATAAAGAAAGCGATGGAGTCCTGTTTCTCTTGACTGTAAAGGTTGTTCAGTTAGTTATAGCCTGAAGTATGTCTCTCAACCAGGGTATCGCGTACGGTGTAAGAATCCAGTGGTGGATCGGCCAAACCGTCGGGTTAGTTTTTCGGTGATAGTGTCGGGTTTCTGCCCTGCATAGTGGGGTTTCCGCCAGTTTCGACGATCGTATGTTCGATGGCGCTTCTTGCGTGCCCTGTAGAGCAGACAGCAACCTAAAGCCAAAAGCATCAGTGCAGCGATTCCTCCCGCGACACCCCCTATCAGAGCTCCATTGTTTTTGGGCGCGCTAGAAGATACGGGGCCGGGGGTAGCGGTCTGCGTGGATGTGGGGTTCGTGGCAGTTATATCACCGGTCGTCACAGAGACCAATGAAGAAGTGACTGTAAACCTTGGCTGTTCGGAGAGTTCTGTGGTGGTTTCTAATCCGGTCTCAGTCTCGGTCTCAGTCTCGGTCTCAGTCTCACTTGTTGGAGTCGGAGCAGGTGGCGCTCGAGTCGTCTCGGGTGGAGTGGGATTTGTCGTTAACGAAGCTTTTGGAGTCTCTACCTGAACCACGACCGTGTGGGTAGTCGGATCCGGTGCCTTCGTCGTCTTGTGAGTTGCAGGTTCTTCTTTCTTGGGAGCGGGGTCCCGACATATCCCGTCCGTACATGGATCGTGCGAGCAGCACCCCGAATACCCTCTTGCGCTGCAGACATACCACGCCCCGCCGTTGGAACACGTCCCCGACATGATATGATGCCGATAGATCCCCGATGCGCAAGCAAGATAGATTCGCCGGGGTAATCAGAGAGAGGTTAGGGAGATCGTCTCCAGTACGGAAGATCGGACGACAAACGACTTTCGACCAGTGTCAAGGAGGGCGAAAAAGGGGCGTTCTTTGTCTTGCTATGGTGACGCTGGTTCCGTGGTCTGGCCCATCTAGCAAAGGTTTTGTCTAGCTCTGTATTCCTGGCTCGCTACAATATTCTGTATTGGGGAAGTCGGGAATCACGAACTCTTGCTGGTGATCTATATCCGACGGCCATGTTCACTCTACTTACTCGGAGTCATCCTGCTCCCAGCCTCTCTATCCATCCGAACGGTAATAGTATGGCACTCGTCACCATGGTTGCATCTATTACATCTATTCCGTCGAAGCCCAACCATCTTCATTGCCAATGTGGGCCGTTCTTTGTGGACTCGTGGCTCTGTCGCCGAACAAAGAAGTGGATGACCGAATCGAATCTGTGCCTGATTCATTTTGAGACATGCCATCCCCATTTCACCGTAACCTGACGAAACCTGGTGTAACTGGTGGGGGCTGAAGGTGTATTCCACATTCATCTGAAACATCGCCCAGGAGCCCAGGAAGCCAGGTTTCGCACTCCCTCGTTCTGACTCCGTTCAGGGTACATGTAGGTCACATGATATCGAGTCCTTGACAGGGTATAAGCACGTGATGAATATTAAGGTGCTGACTCATCTGTGTTCCTGCACACACCATGATCACGCCATTTCGCTTTAACCGCTTTGGGGAATTTGTAGAAAAGCCCCAGGCAGGAACTTCTATAGAAACATCTTCTCTGCCTCTCTTTGCCTCTCTCTGCCTCTCTTTATCTGCATTCCTTATAAATAAACCTAGGGAATCACGTTCATAATCTCGTCCGTATCTTTTTTCATATTGGTCATTGCACTGAAACCTTATCGCAACAACGTCCATCCTTATCGCGGCCTCATCCAATCAGGCGTGGCCGATTGAAGCATCTCCGCGGAGGTTTGGATCATCTCGAACTGATAACGATCTGATCATCAACCGCCCCTCGAAATTCTTCTGCCTCTTCTACCTCTTCTTGCATTATTTAAACCTGCATAGCCCTGGATCGGTCTTGAATACGGTTGGATTCAAAGTCGTATCAAACTTCCAGACTGGAAAGGTCCAGACTGGCAACACCATGAAAGACTCAAGTGATACCACACCAGCACCGCTCTTGACGGCCACCAATGTCGTCTCCCAAACCCATCTGATCATCGGAGCAACCCCCTTGGCTGCTGTGCGCGTAGCTAAGAGTCTCGAGGCTGGCGCACATCCTATTCTGATCGCCCCGGCCACCGATCGGTTACAGCCCACCCTTGCAGAACGGATCGACAATGGCTCCGTGCGGTGGTTCCAGAGAGACTTCGATGACAGCGACCTGACCACCCTGGGTCGGGAAGAGGTCGACCATGTCGTCGATATGGTCTTTGTCACCCTTGATGGCAACAATTCCTTGCGCCCACACATCTCCAAGCTCTGTCGACGGTTGCGCATCCCCGTCAACGTCACCGATGCCCCTGATCTCTGCACCTTCAGCCTGCTCGCTACTCACACGGACGGGCCCCTTCACGTCGGCATCACGACATCCGGGAGAGGCTGCAAGCTGGCATCCCGTTTACGGCGAGTAGTCGCCTCGTCACTCCCCCCAAATCTGGGGGCAGCCATCGACCGGCTGGGCGCCGCGAGACGCCGTCTGTGGGCGGAGGACTACGCCGCCGGGTTGTGCGACGATCCTCTGGAGGATGACGATGATGATGCAACGGGCCAGAAACATACCTTCAACACGCTTGTCACCCCAGACGACGTGACGGCCGCCAAGACCCGGCGCATGCGCTGGTTGTCCCAAATCTGCGAGTATTGGCCGCTTGGGAAACTAGCCAACATCACCGACGCGGACATCGATGCGATCTTGGATGCATACTCGTCGGGGAAATCGAGTACCGACTTGGCCAGTGACAATGCAGTCCTCCAACGCCAGGGCAAGATTATCCTGGCCGGCTCGGGTCCAGGAGACCCCGATCTGCTGACCCGCGCCACCCACAACGCCATCCAAGGGGCAGACCTCATCCTGGCGGATAAGCTGGTACCTGCGCCGGTTCTAGAACTGATCCCGCGCCGCACCGAGGTGCGCATCGCACGGAAGTTTCCCGGGAACGCGGACCAGGCCCAGGAGGAATTCCTGCAGATGGGCCTGGAAGCCCTGCGACAGGGACGTCAGGTGCTACGGCTCAAGCAGGGCGACCCGTATCTTTACGGACGTGGTGGGGAGGAGTTTGATTTCTTCCGCGCCCAGGGCTACCCACCCGTGGTGCTTCCGGGCATCACCAGCGCGCTGAGCGCGTCGCTCTTCGCGGACATCCCGGCCACGCACCGCGGGGTCGCGGACCAGGTGTTGATCTGCACCGGTACCGGGCGTAAGGGCGCAGCGCCAGAACCCCCCACCTACGTTTCCACCCAGACGGTGGTGTTCCTCATGGCGCTGCACCGGCTGTCGGCCCTCATCGAGTCTCTGGTCACCGTGCCTGAGGGAGCGCGTCCCCGGATGCCCTGGCCCAAGGACACCCCATGCGCCATCATTGAACGTGCCTCGTGCAGCGACCAGCGCGTGATCCGGTCTACTTTGGAAGACGTCTGTCTGGCTTTCGAAGCAGAGGGATCCCGCCCGCCGGGCTTGTTGGTTGTCGGGGCCAGTTGCCACGTGCTGCACCACCCGGGCGATCAGAAATGGACGGTCGAGGAGGGGTTCCGGGGACTCGACGAGCTGCGGGTTTTGGACACGGCGGTAACGACACAGGACAGGGAGTAAAGGGCGGTTTTGCTTATGATATAGGTGTTTACGATTGACGATCTGCATGGGTGCATATACTGGCCGGGCGTCGGGAGATTGGATGGATGGACTTGATAGGAGGAGAATAGCGCTTGTATTTTGATGTATATATTTTGGAAAACTAATACCACACTCATAGCGCAGCTTGTATATACATATCTTTTTTTTTTTTTTCCCTCTCATCCGTAACAACTCTATTTAACCTCGTGTACCACCATCCCAGAGGAGGATTGAAATATATATATTGCTCCGTTGACTAGTCTAGCCAATTTGCACCGATTGTGAAGATAAACTAGCACGATAGTTCAAAAGCTGCCAAGTAGTATATTCAGACAGACAATAGATAGGATAGAAGATGTTTAACGCCAAGAATTTATGTGAATAGACAAGTCCATAGTGACAGTAGAAATTGGACGCCCAAGCAGTGAGGTCCAGTAGAGACCGACTGGGTTTGACCAGGACAGGCTAGACCGGGATGGGTCTCGGGCGCTAGATCACCCGTCACGTGCCATCTCCACATCGACATCATTCTCCCCGTCAGCTCACCCTGTGCTCTGTAGTCTGCATCGAGAACGATCCTCAGCTTTTGATTTCCACACTATCAGACTGTCTATTGGCATTATGGCGTCGAAACCAAACAACCTCTACATGTCCAACGGGCAGGTTCTGGACAAGTACGCCTCCGTCCTTCAATCTCTGGACTGAACGCGAACCCATACTAACTGTCTCCCCAGACCCCCACTGACCGTCCGTCTCTCCCGCTTCGTCGAGAGCATCTATGTCTTCTTTGGCCTCTACTTCGTGAGCCTATTTTCTGTATGTTCTCATCACCTACTCAAGCCTGACCATCGTCTCACGTCGAGTCAACCGCGCTGTTTTGTTTTCGACCTCCTGAGCACCTGCTAACCCCACCGCAGTTCGACCCCTACAGCGCCGCCCAAAACTCCAAGTTCAACGTCGTCAGCTCGCCGAATCGATCGAATACGCGATCTCGCTGGGGTGGAAGTAGCGGTGGTGGTGGTAGCGGCGGCGGCGGCGGCGGTCCAGGCGGACCGGGGGGGTTTGGACCGCGACGAATTGGCCGAGTAGACGATGTTCGAGGGCCGGAGTGTAAGAGTTGTGGCTAAGAAGAAGAACCGGTATAGAGAATCATGGGCATGGTGGCCTTGCGTGGATCGGGTCGGTGTGGTATGCTGTGTTGTCCTGTGCTGACAGGGCTGATGTACAGATTACAGAAATGAATGAGACCTATTCTTCCTCTGGGCTTGTTTTCTGTACTGTGGAATGGTCTGGTCGGCCTCTGTTCTGCGTCCCATCATGACTTGGGCAGCACGGGCCTCACTGAGCGAAACCTACTGCCTCGGCACAAAAGTATACTGCACCCCATGCCTCAGGCAATAACCGGGAATGACTGCCTCAGGCAGCGAAGCACACCATCGAGGGCCGCTGAGTCATCTCGCCCGAGAGCGGAGGCGGTGGGGATTCTGCCGTGAAATCTTGCACGATCAAGAATTGCGTGATCCACACTAGTCCGCATCGGGACGGGGTGCCTGGGGTTTTTCTATACTTCCCCCGGCAGTCCCCTCGATTTGATGACCATTCCCCTCTCTCTCTGTCTTCTTTCTTATCTTCATTGCTTCTTGTCTTCTCTCTGGTGATATCGGTTCTTTTCCCCCCGGTATCAGGACAAGAATTCACAATGGGCTCCTCCTCTCAAGCCCTGTCTGCCCTGGGCGGGCCCACCTATACAACCGCCCAGAACCTCGTCCAGCAAGTCGCGTACGTCCTGAGTGACAAGATCTTTTCTTACTCCCCCGAGTCCTTCGATTTGGATGTCGCTCTCCGTGAGTGGGCCACCAACAAGGACCTGAACGCCAACGGCGAGGCGCCTGCGTTGAGCGCCATGGAAACCCGCCATGGCGCCGGCAACATCGCCCTCGGCTACCTCTTTTCCCAAGATTTCGACCTGAAGAAACGCCATGTGCCGCAGGGCATCGTCGCGTCATCTGCCACGCTCCCCTTCATGCGCTCCGCCCTGGAGCAGCTGTCCCTCCTGTACTCCGTCGCCAGCCCCGTCGCCGCGCACGTCGCCGCCGTCGACTATGCCGGTGAGGAGGGCCTGGTCTCCGATTATGCCTCCGCCCTGTCTCTGGCTGAAGAGTTGGGCCTCGGTCTGGTGTCCAGTGCCTCCGTCCACGAGACCCAGCACATGGCGCTGTTGACGACGCTGCTGGCCTCCGTGCTGCCTTCCCTGCACATCTATGATGGTGTTCGGGTGGGTCGGGAGAATACTCGGGTCATCGACGTCTTGGATCAGGCGGGTCTGTCGCGCACCTATGAGACCGTCCGCAAAACCCTGGAGGACTCCCGCAGCCGTCACCTGGACGCCCAGGGCAAGCTGTTGGAGTTGCTGCAGTCGCTGAATGGCGAACTGGGCACCGACTATGGCCTCTTCGAGTACCACGGCCATGCCGAGCCCGTGGCTGTCCTGGTGGCCTTCGGCACCGTCGAAGCGTCGATGACCGCTCAGGTCGCCCGCTCTCTGGCCAAGGACGGCGTGCATGTGGGTGTGATCAACGTCCGTGTGTACCGCCCCTTCGTGGAGGAGGAATTCCTCCGTGTGCTGCCCCAGTCCGTCAAGACCGTTGGTGTGCTCGGTCAGGTGGACACCGCACAGGCGGTGCAGGAGTCCGGTGTCCGCTCGGCGCTGTATGAGGATGTCCTCGCGGCCCTTACCTTTGCCACTGGTCGCGAACACACGCCGGCGTGTGTCGACATCAAGTACCCTCGTGCCCAGCGCTGGGATCTGATCAGCACCGCGGCCGCCTTCCAGCTCTTCGTCGAGAAGCCCATTGTGCAGGTTGATAGCCAGACCACGCCCCTGCAGCTCCTCGACCCCGCCAGCGTGCAGGAGTATTCGTTCTGGGACGTCGACTCTTCCCGCTCCGCCGATGCCGCCGCCACGCTCGCCCAGGCCCTGGCAACGGATTCCGCCAGCAATGTCACCACGAGCCAGGCCCATGACAACTTGGTCCAGGGCGGCGCCATCCGCGTGGACATCCGCAAGAGCGCCAAAACTCTGGATGCCCCCTACGCCGTCACGGCGGCCGACACCGCCTACGTGGGCGACATCAGTCTGCTGCGCGATGTGGATGTCCTGGCGTCCGTCAAGGAGAACGGGAAGGTCATCGTCAATGCCCCGGGCGTCAAGGACGATGAGCTGGAGAAGAAGCTCCCCGCCGCTTTCCGCCTGGCGGTTGCCGAGCGCGGCATCTCGCTGTACATCGTCGACCCGTCGGCCATCGAGGCTTCTGCCGAGTCCCCGGTTGTCCAGACCGCGTTCCTCCGGGTGGCCCTGCCTGCTCAGGAGAGCGCCGTCCTGCAGAAGCTGGGCTCGATCGTTGGCAACGCCGAGAGCCTTCAGACCGCCAGCAATGACCTGGAGAAGACGCTGCGCAAGTTCGACACCCCCGAGGCGTGGAAGACCCCCGAGGAGGGCTTCCAGGCGCCCCAGCTGCCCAAGGACCTCTCGGCCAACAGCTTCGTGTCTTTCGACAAGTCCGAGACCGAGCCGCCCACCCTGCTCAAGGACTGGCAGACCGCCGCCAAGGGTCTGGCCTTCAAGGAGGCCTTCGGCACGCAGACGGTGCTCCGGCCGGACCAGGCCATCCAGACCTTCACCGTCCACGTCAAGGAGAACCGCCGGCTGACGCCCGAGACCTACGACCGCAACATCTTCCACATCGAGTTCGACCTCGGCGACTCGGGGCTCAAGTACGATATCGGCGAGGCCCTGGGTGTGCACTCCGAGAACAATCCCAAGGATGTCGAGGAGTTCATCCAGTTCTACGGGCTCAACGCCGACGACGTGGTCGAGGTGCCGAGCCGCGAGGACGCGGACGTCCTGGAGAACCGCACGGTCTACCAGGCGCTCGTCCAGAACCTCGACATCTTCGGTCGCCCGCCCAAGCGCTTCTACGAGACCCTGGCCGAGTTCGCCGCGGACCCCAAGGAGCAGCAGGACCTGCTCACGCTGGGCGGCCCTGCCGGCGCCGAGGAGTTCAAGCGCCGCGCTGAGGTGGACACCATCACCTACGCGGACGTCTTGCTGCAGTACCCCTCAGCCAAGCCGGATTTCCACAACCTGGTCCGCATCGTCAGCCCGCTGAAGCGTCGCGAGTACTCGATCGCCTCGTGCCAGAAGGTGACACCCAACTCGGTGGCCCTGATGATCGTCGCCGTCACCTGGACCGACCCCCAGGGTCGCGACCGCTTCGGCCAGGCCACCCGCTACCTCAGCGGCCTGCGTCCCGGCAGCCCGATCACCGTCAGCGTCAAGCCCAGCGTGATGAAGCTGCCGCCGCGGTCGACCCAGCCGCTCATCATGGCGGGCCTGGGTACCGGTCTGGCGCCCTTCCGGGCGTTCGTGCAGCACCGCGCCCTCGAAAAGGCGCAGGGCAAGGAGATCGGTGCCGTCCTGCTGTACATGGGCTCGCGTCACCAACGCGAGGAGTACTGCTACGGCGAGGAGTGGGAGGCCTACCAGGAGGCGGGTGTCATCACCCTGCTGGGCCGGGCCTTCTCGCGTGACCAGCCGGAGAAGATCTACATCCAGGACCGCATGCGCCAGAGCTTGCCGGAGATCGTCGACGCGTACATCCGCGAGGAGGGTGCCTTCTACCTGTGTGGCCCGACCTGGCCCGTTCCCGACGTCACGGAGGTGCTGGAGGAGGCGATTGCCACCGAGGCCAAGGGCCGGGGCAAGAAGGTGGAGACGCGCAAGGAGATCGAGAAGCTGAAGGATGAGGAGCGTTACGTGCTGGAGGTGTACTAGTTTAATGTCCCTGCATGATGATGATAGACGTGACGATATAGTCCTAGAATAATGTGATACGCATGCACCATGGCCACTTTTTTTTTTTTTTTCGCGTATATACCAAATGAATGGGACAACATAAATGGCTGACTCACAATGCAAGAAATGTTCTGCCGGCAGAAGAGGCGGTGAGATGTCTCGGATGATCGTCCGCCGCCCGCACTCGATTGGGAATAGCTTCAAGTTTCTTCTCCCCTTTAGGGTCCTGTGCGCCGGTCTTTTTTCTCGTCTTTTCATCTTGTTTTGCTTAGGCCCGTTGCTGCGACTTATTCTCGTTGTGCATGTCGATCCGTCATTTCTTCGAATCAAATCCGTCCCAACAGCTTTCTCCACCGGGTATGATGTCCCGGCACTGATTCCTGGTCTTTTCCTTCCCTCCCCTCCCTTCCCCTCCCCCGATCATGTCCGCGTGCCTCTCCGCCCGTTCGCTACTTCTTCGACGCTACCCTCCTGCTGTCGTCCCATCCGGGGTGCGATCCGGTTCAGTGAAGATGGTATCTTCCTACACCAGCTCCGCCTCCGGGGAACGCAAAGCGACCACCGTGAGGCACTTCTCGACGTCCTGGAAATCCGACCATCAACAACAACAACACAACCGCCAACACCAGCAATATCAGCAGCAGCAGCAATACTACCAGAACTACAAGTCACGCGGGAACTTTGGCTCCCGCCTCCGCTTTGCCCTCCGCACCACCAAGGTCGAATGGTACCCGATCCCCATCGGCCTGGGTATTGGTCTGCTCGGCATCCTCCAATTTTACAAATCACAACGGGCTGAGCGGGAACGGCGCATCCGCGAGGAGGAGGGCGAGGGCTATGAGTTCTCCAAGCCGCCGCCGCGGCAGCGCATCCGGCCCAGCGGACCATGGCAGGTACAGATCATGTCGACGCTGCCGCTCAAGGCCATCTCGCGACTCTGGGGCCGCTTCAACGAGCTGCCGCTCCCATATTATTTGCGCGTGCCGGGCTTCAAGCTGTACTCGTGGGCGTTTGGCGTCAACCTGGATGAAGTTGCCGAGCCCGACCTGCACACCTACCCCAACCTGGCCGCCTTCTTCTACCGCAAGCTCAAGCCCGGCGTGCGTCCGCTCGACCCGGACCCGCGCGCCATCCTGTCTCCGTCAGACGGACGCATCCTGCAGTTCGGGTTGATCGAGCGCGGGGAAGTCGAGCAGGTCAAGGGCGTGACGTACAGCTTGGACGCGCTTCTGGGCGCCGCCACGCCGTCCCGCGCCGACCACACCAAGAAGTTCTCGGACCACCAGGCGGAGCCGCCCCAGAAGGACGCGGCCGACATGCTGGCCGACGAGGAATTCGCCCAGATGAACGGCATCTCGTACACCCTCCCGGCCCTCCTGGCTGGTGATTCCCACGGCGCCCGCAAACGCTCCGCCTCGATGGACGCGTCGACCGAGCCCCGCGCGGCCGCCGAAGCGGAAGTCCGCGAGGATCTCGCCCGCGGCGACGGCACGCCGTGGTACGCCCCGCAGCCGGCCACCAACAACGCTCTCTACTACGTGGTCATCTACCTCGCACCCGGCGACTACCACCGGTTCCACTCGCCCGTGTCGTGGGTGGTCGAGAGCCGGCGCCACTTCGCCGGCGAGCTCTACTCGGTGTCGCCCTACCTGCAGAAACATCTTCCGGGGCTGTTCACGCTCAACGAGCGCGTCGTCCTGCTCGGCCGCTGGCGCTGGGGTTTCTTCAGCTACACGCCCGTCGGCGCCACCAACGTCGGATCCATCAAGGTCAACTTCGACTCCGAGCTGCGTACTAACAGCCTGACGACCGACACCGCCGCCGACATGGCCGCCCTCCTGGCCGCCAAGCGCGGCGAGCAGTACCCTGGCTTCGTGGAGGCCACTTACCTGCACGCGAGCCGCACCCTCGGCGGCCACCCGCTGCAGCGGGGTGAGGAAATGGGCGGGTTCCAGCTGGGTAGCTCCATCGTGCTCGTCTTTGAGGCCCCTATGGGCCATCGCCGCTCCTTCGAACAGGGCTGGGACGGCGGTGAGCGCGAGGGCGGCTGGAACTGGGCTATTGAGAAGGGACAGACGGTTCGGGTTGGAGAGAAGCTGGGGTATGTTGATATCAAGCAGTGATCTTCATCCCACTATCTCCCCAGGTTGCCTCCAAATCATGACGACGGATGTAATGGAACAACAACAACAACAAAAAAAAAAGCAGAACGATGATATGCACTTTTCATTCTTCTTGATCGGTCGATATCCATGTTTTTCTTATCATTTTCCTTCTCCCACTGGACAGCATGGAAAGAATAAGGATGAATGGATAGTCGATCGATCAAGTTCAACAAACAAGGATACGGAACCTACCTATTCAACATAATACTTAGTATTGCATAGGGCGTTCATGGGAGCGGTTTTTTTCTTCTTTCGTTTCTCTATTCGTCTTTTTCTCTCCTGTTTCTTATTATTTATTATGATATTTTTATAAATATACCATTGATCGTGTATTAGTTACTATTTATTTACTGGGTTATTCTTTTGTTTCTAAAACTTTAAGCTTTGAGGGAGTGTTTGAGTCAACAAAAAAGAGAGAGATTACAAGGATGACATAGAAGATAGCAGTAGACAGATGATAGACTAAGAAGTTGGAGTCGACTTCAGAAGGAAATAAGATGGAGATAAATGGAAATAAAATGGAAATGAAATGATCAATCAATCAATCACTTTTATCTATCTATACAACTCATCTTCCTCGCTATTTACCCCATCTACAGTACAGCAAAGAGAGGGCAATTACAACCGCTTCAGCACATCATCCAGCACCTGCTGAGTGGTAGCCTTACCGCCCATATCAGGCGAGAGGAACTTGGCCTCGTCAAGGTTGCCATCGACAGCGGCGTAGATCTTCGCAGCGGCGGTCTCCTCACCCAGGAACTCCAGCATGAGAGCCACACTGCGCAGGGTGGCAATGGGGTTAGCGATGCCCTTGCCCTCGATGTCCGGGGCGCTGCCGTGGCAGGGCTCGCCGATGGCGAAGCCATCGCCGACGTTAGCGGACGGCACCAGACCCAGACTGCCGACCAGCGCGGCGGCGCCGTCGGACAGGATGTCGCCGTACAGGTTGGGCGCGACGATCACGTCGTAGTACTCGGGCTGGCGGAACAGCTTGTACACCATGGAGTCGACGATCTGCTCCTCGACGGAGACGGAGCTGAAGCGCTCGGCGGCCAGAGCCCGTCGCGAGACCTCGCGGAAGAGCCCGTCCGTCTGGGACAGCACGTTGGACTTGTGCGTGATGGTCACCATGGGGTTGGGGCGGAGAGGGGGGGCGGGGCCGACATCGCGGATCTTCTGGCGGCGGAGGGCGATCTCGCCGGCGATGGTGGCGATGCGGGAGGAGGCGCCCTCGGAGATGCGCTTGATGGCCTCGGCGACTTTGCCGTTGGGGGTCTCGTAGGTCTTTTCCTCCTTGACGTAGAGGTCTTCGGTGTTTTCGCGCACGATGACCAGGTCGATGGGCGTGGTGCCGCTGCTGCCGGTGGTGGTCTTCACGGGGCGCACGTTGGCGTACAGGTCGAGCTTCTTGCGCAGGGCGACGATGGGGGAGGAGTACCCGGCGACTTTGGTGCTGGGGGAGCTGATCTTTGTCAGTATGAGATGTTGATATATATGTACACGGGGAAAGGACGTACCTGACAGCTCCGAAGAGAGCACCATCGCACTCCTTCTTGAGCGTGTCGACCGTCTTGTCGGGGAGGGCCGTGCCGGTGCGGTTGAAGGTGTCGAAGCCGGCGTCCAGGTCGACGAAGCTGAACTTGAGGTTCAGCGAGGCGGGCAGCGACTCGAGGACGCGACGACCGGCCTGCAGATATTAGCGGGTCAAATTCCTTATATGCGGTGGGATGTCGGTCTGGGTCGTACCGGGATGACCTCACGGCCAATGCCGTCACCGGGGATGAGACCTGCACTGCATTAACGATTGAACATATCTATATCAAGGAGATTAGGAGAAATACCAATACGGAGGGTACGAGCAGCAGCCATGATGTCCTGAGCGTTAAGAGTCACAGACTGAAGGTAGGAGGAGGAAAGAGAAGAAAAACATCCGGCATCGGAGATCGATTAGATCCTGGCGGGTGATTATTGTGCCGTTCCGCTACTAGGACCGAGGTCCGCTGTCTATACTGTTACAGACTCGCAACCCTCCCCAGCATCACATCCCGCAACAGCGTCAACCCCACTCTCACAAAAGCAACCATATTCGCCTCGCGATCCGCACTTCCCGTGTTCTCCTCCCGCGTATACGTCCCTTGCGCCGTCGCGACCGCCACAGCCACGTACCCGCTAGACCCCACATCTATCCGTCAGCTTCCCGTTTATCCGTCTATCAGTATAGCGCATGGAGCGCGAAAGGGCAAGGAGATGAACATACGGCGTGCGATTCCGAGTCGTCCCTCCCGTAGGACCCGCAGTGCCGCTCTCGCTCACGGTATAGGTCGAGCCGAGCACGCCGCGGACATGCTCCGCTAGTCCGGCGACGATTTCCGGCGTTGGGCCTTGGTAGCGCTCGATGTGGGCGGGGGTCCAGCCGGCGAAGGCGAGGCGGGATTCGAGGGTGTAGACCTGGCTGTGCTTAGTGTGTGCGGATGGTAGGGAGGGTGTATATTGGAGGCGTACGGTTAGACCGCCTTTGTAGATGGATGAGGCGCCTGGGCTGGAGAGGAGACAGGCGGAGGTGAGTCCTCCTGCGGCCTACATAAGTATACAGATTGATGGTCAGTTGGTGATGGAAGTTATCGCGGGGCAGAGGAGGGGGAGGGGAAGTACCGTTTCTGCGACGGAGACGGTTTCTTTCCGTTCGCGAAGGAGCTCGAAGACTTCTTGGATGAGGGGGCGGAGGGAGGCTGGAGGGAATTCACTCATGATGATGTTGTTATCTTTTGATACTAATACTAGATTGACGAGAGTGATGGATGTCAGAGGAAAGATGAGGGGTTGTTGATTGCTAATCGACGAGTACTGCATGTCTTGGCATGTTCATTCTATGTATGTGCTTCAAAAGACCACTGCTACAGATATATCCCCACACTTGAGCTATAAGTAGTCCGATTCAGTCCATCTACGCTGTGACAGGCTGCCCCATCCCAGGCCAATCTTGTAGCATGTCAGTCCCCATCATACCAGCCGTATAGATCATAGAGAACTCACCGCAAATCTCCCGCTCCGCCGCCCTCCGCAACACCGTCACTGCGTCTCCCCGGCGTATCCGCATGTTCTCCGACCCCCGGTCCAAAAAGGTATACCGTCCAAACACCGGGTTCCACTTCGCGCCCCGGTCCACCCGGCGGTCTCTCATGAGCTTCTTCAGGGCCGTCCCCGTCTCCCCCGTGCCCATCTTCCCCGTGTCGTAGTCGACATTGATGCTCGAGCACCGGATGCAGTTCGCCGTCAGCAGCAGCCGGGCCGGCCCGTCCCCCACCGACAGCTCCGCCCAGTAGTCCTCCTCGAACGGCTTCTCCACCCCGGACACTACGATATTAGGCCGGAACTTGGTCACGTCCATCTGGACATCGCCCTGAAAGCGCCCGGACAGATCATCGACCGATGCCTCCGACACGAGCAGATACGGCGCGACGTCGGCGAAGGTGATCTTCTCCTCCTTGCGCTTGCCCCCGTGCGATGAGACATAGCGACCCAGCAAGCTCGACAGCAGCACGGCGCCCGCCGTCGCCGCCAGTTTGGGCCACGCCGACGCGTCCGCCCACGAAGACCCCGATGGGCCGACTAGGTTCAGCGCGAGAGTCACGCCCGCCAGGACAGCTAGCGACCACGTCGACACCGGCGGCGGCGCCGACTCGCGGTGCGCGGCGCTCTTGCCGGGAGGAAAGCTCCCCAGTACGCGCCGCGAGTGCGGGCCCAGGTACGCTAGCACCACGCGATATCCGAAACACGCGCTGAACCAGTCATTGTACGCGCTACCCATGTTGTATCCTTTGGTTGGACTCGAGTGCATCAAGATGTCCAGCGGCTCCAGCCCTTTGACTTCCGGGGTGAGTGGGATCTCGAGGGTGCTGACGCGCGAGTCGTCATCGTCATCGACGCCGGGTGGGTGATGTCGCACGATGACCTTGCCGTCGCGTTTCCCGTCGGCTGAGGGAAAGACGATGTCGGTGGTGAAGAGGCCCATCTCGGGGAAATGAGGCACGTGCATGTTCTTCAGGGTTTCGACGCCATCGTCTCCCTCGATGACTTTGAGTAGCATAAATCGACGGTCATATTCAAAGCCCGTGGATGTCAGACGCGCATCGGGGACTTCGATCCCGCGAAGGGATTTGATGGGATAGGTGTAGAGCTGGCCAGACGTACCATGGTTAGTAGGATGACTGATTAGTACAATGCGGGGAAGACCGACCTGGTGGATCTGCATCGTGGGGGTTCGGATAGCGATAGGCCTGGTCATAGACCGTAGTCAGTCGAACGACTCACGTACGGGGTGGATATTATATAGAAGGAATGAAGTATGAGGAAGATGCAAAAAAGGAGGTGGAGGAAGAGTCAGATTTCTGAGTCATGAGGATCGTGACATTCCAGATCCAGTGACTTGTCGATCAACACAACATCACTCCACTTCCACAATATCACACTACTAAATTGTCTGTATTTGGAGCTCTTTGCCTATACTTTTTGATATTATTTTGTATTGAATTAATCTCTATTGGAAGGATTGGAATAAATTCATTTCAACAGTTAAGGTCAAGAAACCACGCATGTACATCTACAGGTATAGTAGCGTCTATAAGACACACACACACACACACACACACACACACACACAGAGAGAGAGAGAGAGAGAGAGAAAAACAAATAGAAAGGATTTGAGCACAATCATAATCTAATAAATGAACAAAATAATCAACAATCAGAATTCACCATCTCCCTCGCAGCAGCCATCTCCTCCCCAGAAGGCATATTCACAACCATTAAATACAAAACTCCCTACACCATCTGTCAGCAAACTCACAATCCAGTCACAATCTAGGCTTCTAGCCCGAAAACATAACATACAGTTTGAAGCACCTTCCTCACCCCTGACAGGATCCCTCCCACAGGAACGACGTTCCCTCGATCCTCCCGCCGCGGCAAAAGCCCTAGCGCGCCCGTCTGCCGGTGTCGTCGCTCCTCCAACAGCCGTCGACCACGGCCTCCGCGCCGGATATCATCGTCTGTGATGTGTCCCCCTGTCACGAGGGAGATCAGCGATCCACTGCTGGCGGGGTGACTTGGGTCGGCGTATCGGGATGTGAATGTCGGTGGGGGGGCCTGGGAGAGGGCGTTGTCGGGGTTGTCCATTGCCTGCTCGTAGTTAGAGAATTGGCTATACTTACTGGAGCAGAAGGGGAAGAAACAAAAACGTACAAACGACACCTGTGCCCTCTTGTCGAGATAGTTCGCGATGAAATCCTTGCGTCCTTGCGGTTGGGCATGCGCGAAGTTACCGTCTTCTCTATGGAGCTCGTCCAGCCTCGGAAAGGTCAACGGGGCGCATTCGGGAATTTCGCACGTCTTGCCGTCAGACGGCTTGAACCGCTGCTTGCCTTTCTGCAGGATACCGGCTGCTTCATGACTAGTCACTGCCGTGGACACCGTTGCAGCCATGTCAAGGTGGACCGTGACGGAGGCAGAAGTTGAGTCGGGGTTGTACGTCATGACGAGACAGTATAAGCCTCGAGGGCGAAATACCTGCTCATTGATTTTATCAAAGAACGTATTCGATCTGGATAGACAGTCAACTATACCGTACCGCCACTGCCGCTGCCAGAAAAGAGACGGCCTACTTTCTCCTTCCCTCCACCTCAATCAGCGCCTTGGTAGCCTTCTGAATCGCAACCGCAACCGCCATGCCAATCCCCATCGGAAACGCCATCCCCGCAAAAGCCGCAAAGTTGATCGCGTTCAGCCACGGGCTCGCCGTGCTGGCACGGTTCGCCGTCTCCAGGAAGTCGAGGAACATGGCCTGGCTGATCCCGACGTCTTCCAAGACAGGGGCGTACGCTTTGACGAACCCGCGCTGACGGTTTCCTGGCCGTCTCTGGGGGAGGACCACCGGGCAGGGGAGTTTCACGGTCGATGGGGATGTATGAAAAGGGTAGGCGTGGGTGAACCAGGTGGCTAGCTGGTCGATGTTGGTGGTTGTTGGTGCTGGGTGGGGTTGTGTTGTCGGTAGCAACTCATCCTGCGCTTCGTCGAGCTCCCATTCTTCGTCGGAATGGGGGTCGCCGGTCTGAGTCTGAACATAATTGTCTTCCGATCTCTCAGGCAAGGTCCCCTCTGATCGATCTTTGGCTCTGTACGCTGTTATGCTCTCCGAGGCAAGACCGACACCCGCGGCGAGGCCCTTCACGATCCTCAGACGGGGCATGAGAATACAATTATGAATACCTGTCTGAGTTGCTGTAAGTGCTTGCAGATTGGGCATCTTTAAATGAATCCATGATCGCCGCTTCAGATGAATGGGCCAGTTCATCGGTGGGTCGCGTCAGACGAAGATCATGACGGCTCAGCCACAGCTAAAACGAACGTCATTGACGAAGTGTCCAATAACGAATCTTATAAGTAAAATCTTAGAACTCTCCTAAAAGCAGGGTGCATCAGCTCGGAGCAAGGCATAGTAAGCTTTGAAATTAAGGCTCGCCAGTGGCCTTGCGACACAGATCGACATGCGAGCCTGATTCATGGGAGAAGATATTCTCGATGTAGATCACCAGATCAGAAACAGAAACACAAAGCATTTGCTAGGATACCCGAGAGAAGGAATCCGGGGTGGAGTTGGGAAGATGAAGAAGGGGAAGAGAAAAAGAAGTAGTACATAATGTACTAATCCCAACCCACCCAACCGTCTACGGATTTGAGCATGGAACAGTACTTACTATGCGGAAATAAACAGGATCAAATCTCTAGTCAGACTTTTAATCTATCTATATATACATGAATCATCTAAAGCCGTAGTCTACAAGATGAACAGCCGAATCCCAATCCAGTCAACAATCAATCAACCCCAGCTCGAAATGACAAAGAAACAGTGCAGACAACGGCACGGCGTGGGTATAATCAGGTTTGCGGAGCCCAGCACTGTTCAACATTGACGAGGGGACTCAGTGCGGCTAAGCATTGACAAGGGGACCTCGGTGCGGGATATGAAGCAATGGGCTGAGTACGTATCAGGCAAAGCAGAGCCAAGCAAGCTAAGCACTAAGCATCAATCGCATTCTTCACCCACTTCTCCAACCCGCCCTTGGCAATAATCTCCTGCACATTAGGCGGCAGCTCGCCAACCTTATGCGACCACTTGGGTCCGTTCGGGCCCTCCTGGATCTCGATACGGCTGCGTCGCACGTCCCAGGTGAGAATCCATCCCGTGCGTCGCGTAGCCTGCTGGTCCGCACCGAAGCTCTCGCGCAGCCGGCTGATCAGCCGCGGCACTTCCAGACCCATCAGGGCGTTGTTGATGCTGTTGCGCGAGAAGATGTTGCCGAAGCTGCCGGCCACGACGAGCGGGATGCGCTTCGCCAGGATGGCCGTCGCGGCCTGCTCGCGCGAGCTGCCGCAGCCGAAGTTGAATCCGGTCACCAGGATGTCGCCCTCCTTGGCGATCGAGGAGAATGTCGCGTCGTAGTTGGACATGCATACCTCGGCCATGGTTTCCTCCGGCACGTTGTCCTGGTAGGTGTACTTGCCGGGGTAGATACCGTCGGTGTTGATGTTGTCGGCGTCGCAGAAGACGATCTCGCCTGACACGGACTCAGGGAAGCCCGGGTACACTTGTGTTAAGCCCTCGTCGTTGGCGGCGGCGTCCTCCGCGGCCTCCTCTGCAGGAGCGAACTTCTTCTCCCCGTCGGCGACCAGGTCGTCCATCTGGCCGAGGACCTTCTCCAGGGCTTCTTCCATCGTGAGCATGCGGTCCTCCTCGCGGATGCCGTCACCCTCGCCGCGGACCACACCCGTCCACCCCTCGGGGGTCTGGTACCAGCCCGGACCGCTCAACGTGCCACTCAGCGCGCTGGCGGCGACCACCTCGGGGCTACCCAGGTAGGCCTTGGCGTCGGTGCTGCCCATGCGGCCCTTAAAGTTGCGGTTCGACGCGCTGATGCCGACCTCGCCAGGCTCCAGCAGGCCCGTGCCCAGTCCGATGCAGGGCCCGCAGCCCGCGGGAAGGGGAGTGGCGCCCGCCTCAAGCAGGGTCTGCCAGTCGCCGGCGCCCTCAGCGGCCAGCTGCTCCGGGATGGAGGCGGCCGCGATGTAGAACTGCACGCCGTCCGCGATCTTGGGCACCGTGCCGCCGTTCTTCTCCGCGGCTTCCTTGAACACCTTCGCGGCGGCCGCGATGTCGGACGCGCGCGAGTTGGTGCACGACACCAGGTAGGCCTTGTTGACCTTGATGTTCTGGGCCTCCAGCTCCTTCAGCGGCGTGGCCACCTTCACCGAGTTGGGCCCCGACACGTACGGCGACAGCGTCGAGAGGTCCAGGAAGAGCTCCTTGGCGTACTTGGCACCCTTGTCGGCCGTCAGCGGGTTGCTGAACAGCTGGTCGAGAATCGGGTGGGTGAACCGCTCGGCCGCCAGCGTTTTGAAGGGCCCGTCGGCCAGACCCATGGCGGCTGTGGTGGCCTTGCCCTTCAGCCAGCCCTGGAGGATGCCGTCGATGGGGAACAGGCCGGACAGCGCGCCCCACTCGGTGGTCATGTTGGCGATCGTCAGCCGGTCGTCCACGGGCAGACTGGCCATGGTCTCCTCCGAACCGGTGAACTCAATCGCGTGGTTCAGCACGTCGTCCTTGTCGAACAGGCCGCAGAGCGCCACGATCACGTCCTTGCCCGTGACGCCCGGGGGCAAGAGCCCCGTCAGGGTAACCTTGGCCACCGGCGGGATCTGCCACCACGTCTTACCCGTGGCCCAGATACTGGCGCCGTCGGTCCGCACGATCGGGGTACCCAAGCAGCCGACGCCGCCGTACATGTTGCTGTGGCTGTCCGACGCGACCACCAGGGTGCCCGGCCACGCGAATCCCTCCTCCACCATGATCTGATGTCCGATGCCTCGCCCCGCGGGATAGAACTCCACCCCGTGCTGCTTGGCGAACTCCTCGATCTGACGGTACTTCTGCAGGTTCTTGTCCGATTTGTTCTGGACGTCGTGGTCGAGCGTCATGACGATCTGGTCCGGGTTGTGCAGCTTGGAGGCGCCGATGGACATGAACTTCAGCGCGACGGGCCACGAATTATCGTGCGTCATAACCCGGTGCGGCGAGATGGTGACATAGTCGCCCGACTTAACGAACTTGTCCTGGGCCAGGCCCACGGAGTACCGCTGGACGATCTTTTCGGTCAGGGTCTGCGGGACGGCGCGGGAGGTCTGCAGCGACGAGTACAGGGCGGCGGATGCCGGATCATCCAGCTGCGAGTGGAAGACATCGGAGAAGTACAGGCGCGTCGAGGCAAAGGCACGGCGTTGGAAGTTGCTAGGGACGGGGCCGTGGCGCAAGAACGTCCGGCCACCGGATGGCAATAATCGTGACTAGAGCGGGTTAAAATATGATTGACGGATCCAAGAGAGAATTGAACATACTGTCATTGTGACCAGCCAGCCGGATAGATGGTTGGATAATATGAGGAACTGATGCCAGAGAAGAAAAGAAAGGCGGAGGAGAAAAAACGCGAAGGCGAATAAACGCCCGTCGATTGGCAATCCTGGGGCAGAAATGCCAAGCCCGACGGGCCGTTATCGGAGGTTTCCCATCTGGGTTGATCCTGACTCAGGCACTACTGATGGAAAGTCCCAGTTTGATATAGGTATAGGACATGTTGAAGTCCAATGGATTGTCCTCTACGGTACATGCATACATACATAGTGATTCAAATAAATGAAAAAAAAAAAAAAAAACTTGAAAGGGTCATCAAACAGATATCGTGAACAAAACACCGCCCGAAACATCAAAATCTAAGTAGTGCCGGTCTTTTTACTCGTCCTTCCACGGCAGGCTGAAGGTGCCAACCCAGTCCTCCACCTCCTGTCGCAGGAGCACAATGTCCGAAATTTCCTCACCCTCGCCCAGGTAGTTCAGGAACGCCTTGACGGTGCCCGGGTTCTTCACGCCCTGGGAGGCGGCACTCTCGCGCGCGGCCTTGTCCAGCTTCTGCGTGATGATGACGGCCCGGTCGACAATGTCCGCCACGCGGCGGAAGTCCTCGGGCTGGAAGCCGCGGGTGGTCATGGCCGGGGTGCCCAGACGCAGACCGCCGGGCTTGAGGGCCGACTTGTCTCCGGGCACGGTGTTCTTGTTGCTGGCCACACCGCACAGCTCCAGAACGCGCTCCACGCGGGCGCCGTCAACGCCGCGGTTCTTGAGGTCGACCAGCACCAGGTGGTTGTCGGTGCCGCCGGACACGACGTTGTAGCCGAGGCCGCCGTTGTTGAGCGGGTTGCCGAGGCGGTCAGCCAGGGCCTTGGCGTTGGACAGGACGGTCTCCTGGTAGGCCTTGAACTCGGTCGACTGCGCCTGCTTCAGGGCCACGGCCAGCGCCGTGATGGTGTGGTTGTGGGGCCCGCCCTGGTGGCCGGGGAAGACGGAGGCGTTGATGGGGTTCTCCAGGTCGTACATCTCCGGGTTACCCTTCTTGTCCGTCCGGCGGACACCCTTGCGGAAGAAGATCATGGCACCGCGGGGACCGCGCAGCGACTTGTGGGTCGTGGTGGTCACGACGTCGGAGGAGTTGAAGGGGGAGGGGACCACGCCGGCGGCGACCAGGCCCGAGATGTGCGCCATGTCGCTCATGAGATAGGCGCCGGAGGCGTCGGCGATCTCGCGGAAGCGGGGGTAGTCAATCAGACGGCTGTAGGCCGAGGTACCGGCGATGATGAGCTTGGGGCGGTAGAGCATGGCGTTCTTCTGGAGGGCGTCGTAGTCAATGAGCCCCGTCGACTCATCGAGACGGTAGGGGAAGGTCTCGAAGTACTTGGAGATGAAGGAGATCTTCTTGGTCGGGGTCTGGTAGCCGTGCGACAGATGACCGCCGTGGGGCAGGTCGAGGCCCATGAGACGGTCGTGGGTGTTGAGCAGGGCGGAGATGGCATACAAGTTGGCGGGCGAGCCCGACAGCGCTGGATTTACATTAGTTTGATCCTCCTCCAATCTCATCACCCTCGGTTTTCTCCGATGGACTTACGCTGCACGTTCACGCCCCATTCCTCCGGGGAGAGACGGAAAGTCTCCAAGGCACGCTGTTGGCAGAGACGCTCCGACTCGTCAATGTGCTCGTTTCCACCGTAGTACCGGGCGCCGGGATACCCCTCGGAGTACTTGTCTACAACAATTAGCACTGTTCTAGCGAGACAGACCACAGAGTGGGAAAGGAAGAAGCTCACTCTGCATCACACTCCCCAAGGCATCGAGAACGGCTTGCGATGTGAAGTTCTCCGACGGGATCAGGTTAATGAAGTGCTTCTGACGTTTTTTCTCCTGTCGAGCATCGCAACGTCAGCACACACAAGATCCCACCATTTCCAACTACCGCCGGAGCCATTGAGGGTACATGGGAAGGATATGACCTACCTTCTGGAGAATCTGGTAGATGGTGGGGTCCTCTTCCTGGAGGTGTGCGGAGAGCAGCTACAACGACGTCAGTCAGCCGGGATTCCGATACCATTCCCACCGGGCTTGCCAGGGACGATGCGCACATGTTGTTGTCCATCACTGTTGGAGGATACACTCCGCAATTGCGAAGCAGGTCTGGCGATGGCGGCGGAGACGGGGCGGAGATGCGAGGGGAGAGAGCTTGCGGCCCGCGGGATCAACCGCGCCGCATGTCGACTACAACGACCGAGCATGGTGACTGAATAGACACCTAATAACAATGAAATCGAAGGGGGGGGGGGGGGAGAAGTAGGGGAGAGGAGGAAGTAGAAGTGAGAGGGGTAGAGAAGAAGGAAAGAATCCGGAGACAAGAAGCTAGATAGATAGCAGCACCCACAGGTTCCTTGCTGGATCGGAATCACGGGCTTCTGTGATGTCGGGGAATCAGTTGCCCGCGGAAAGCCACCACGCTAGCCTCAATCGGGTATGGCGTCTCCGACCCTCGGAACTCCGGTTTTTCCACTCCTGGACTTAAAACGCGCGTCATCACGGGATTCCCACCGTCTCTTCTTCTTCTCTTTTTCTTCTCACACAACTAAATCCAAGATGAAGAGATGGCGTTCGTCTGTGTCAGTTCTCGTGGATGGATCGGCTTCGGCTGGTCTACCCCGGGCGATGCTGCAATGTCCCCGCCTATCACCATCCAATTTGGGGCAATTTGATTCTATCGGATTGGAATGGGTTGTGTATGCTTGCCATGACGTGGTTCTGGCCTGAGGCATCGAGAGTGGGCATGTATATGGAGGTTGAGGTTCTTCCATACCTACAGCTATAATATACTGCTCAGGGGACGTGAAGGACTACATGGTTACTCTGGTTTAAATCAACGAGTTCAATCCAATATATCACAACAATCTCCCGACAAATAGAAAAAAAATAATCATCAATCAACAAGAGATGGAAGAAGAAAAGAAGAAAAGAAAAAAAAAATCCAATCCCGTCGTAACTCCCAGTAGATCACCAAAAAATCAACATATATACAACACTATCTGTGTCTGTTCCACGACAGATACTGGTCATCACCCACCTTCCGCGGGCGCAGAACTGCCGTCAGGGTGAACACGACGCCCACCAAGCAACACAGCGCCCCGACCGCCACGTAGGCAATCCCCGCGAATGAGTTCTTGCCGCCCACCACCGTCCGCGTCGTAAGGAGGATCGACTTGGTCCCTTCGTAAGGAATGACGGGAAATCCTACTCATCGTTAGCATAACCTGTCTTGTCTAGCAAACACTGGAAGGGATCAGATCAAACGTACGGTATCCAATCTCCAGCTCATAGGTACCCGGCGTCAGGGCGACGTCGTCATTCCGCAGCGCCAGCTTACTGAAGTTCGGCAGCGCGGCCGTTCGCATCCACACGTGGAACTCCTCCCACTCCTGGAGGTTCGGGATGGGGTGCTCGTCGGTATACACGCCGCCTGGATAGCGCTCGACCCAGTTCCGGGGCGGCACCACCTCCCAGTTCTTGTACTTGGTGGGTTTGAACTGCTCCCGGTCGCTCTTCCAGGCGATGCCCTTGTTCGTCATGGGATACTCGCCCGTGATGTGGCCGGTGCGGTCCACCCGCTGCGGGCTGTCGAAGGTGTCGTTGAACATGGAGTTGGCAATCGCCCCCGCCGGGTAGTACGCCTTGCCCGTCTCGCAGTCCAGGTCCACCGACTTGGCGGGATCGCACTTCAGCGTTCCGCCGTTGATGGTCTTGTTGCTCACCCAATCGCCATTCAACTGCTCGATGTTGAGGGACTTGGTGTATTTGCGGTGGTTCTGGTAGAAGTTGGTCAACTGATAATAGAGGAACACCGGCGGTCCCATGGTATCCGGGATGTCGAATCGCAAGGTGCACTTCTTCGGCGTGGTCGTATTGTCGTGTTGCCAAATGGGCGCGAACGATTGTTTGGCTCCGAAGGACAGGGCGAAATTGTCCTTGGGCATCGGCGAGAAGTCGGGCGCGGCGGGCGCCTGGTGCAGGCAGTCCGTGTAGTTGATCTGAATCTCTTGGACCTGGAGCACAAAGATATAGAGCGTTAGACCGTCATAACATAGACTCATTGACGTCGGTGGACCGCAAGAGGGGATAGCATACCGTATTGCTGCCCCACAACAGAACTCCCCCCAGGGGCGAAAAGAAGATGGCGAGAGAGAAGAAGACGGGGAGCACCGTCTTCGGGGTCAGCATGGGCCTGGACATCGCGATTAGAAGAGATTCCCCCGCAGAGATCCGGCTGTGAGGCTCGGGCTTACTGGAAGGCCTTGAGCCGCTGTTGCGCAAAGTCATTGTCTACCGGTGGCGGGACCTGGTCAGCTTCATGATCACAATCTTTGGGGGGATCGCAGTCGGTCCAAACCGAGCACGCGACCGAAACAATTGCTCAAGAGCATGCGTACACTTTGGCTTCTTGTTTTCGGACTTCTCGTTGCTGTCCTCGGCTCGGTAGCCCGGTTCCTCATACGGGTCGACCTGCGCCATCTTGTGCTGATACCGTGCAGCTGGTCAAGGACGGCTATCTCGGAATCAAGACCAGACGGGGGATAGTGGAATTAATAGCTGTCGAACATAAACCGCCCACGAGCCATAGGACAGATCAGACTGGGCTAGGCGATCAAGAGTAAAAACGAACAGACACGAAAGAAAAAGGCAGAAAGTTCAAGATGACGTGGGGACGCGGCAAGTGAATTAATTGTTCCCAGCCTTAGGCGACCAGTATCGAGCCCGAAACCGCCAAGAAACTATCAGGGGGGGATCAACTGGAGCGGAAAGGATAGACCTTGACTGGTGGATTCGAGATAAAGAATAGATTTCAAAAACACAGTCAGTCAATCAATCAATACAAGGGTGGACGTTGAGAACAGAGAGAAGAGTCAGGACAAAGGGAACAATGATCAATCTGAGACGAGCGTCAGATCCGACCGTTCCATTCATTAATCCATCCCATGCATTCTTATTCATCGCCACCACTCACAATTCAGACAAACTGTGCAAACCAGATAAAGACGGCAAACACGGCACTCCGATTAGATAAGACCGGAAAACGACGTCATCCTCCTGTCTCCTGTATACCAAACCAACAACCACACCACTTTCAAACACCTCATGTCCATCCATTCATCTTGAAGCCATTGAATCAATATGCTTGCTCTTCGATCCCCACAAGTTCTTACGCGTCCCTCCTTGCGGCTCCTCCATTCTGTTCCGCGCATCGCCCTCTCCCCCAAGCCACTCCGCAGTCTGAGCCACGCCGTCTCCCTCTCCCGGACAAACCCTCCACGCACCCACTACCTAGGCTCTCGATCCCGACAAGCTCCCACAGCCCACACTACTAGAACCCTTGCAACAACCGCAAGCGGAAAAAGCCAAGGTGACCTTATCATTGAAGAAATCCAAGAACTGTCCGTCTCCCTCCTCCTGTCCCCTATATGCTCTCAACCACCACCCAAGCAAAATATATATAACCCCAACCAAGAGAGACACATGCAAGAAACTAACCTCAAATCTGGAACAGCTACGAAACCGCCAAAGACGAATTCGAAATCGCAACAGACAGCACCGACAGCGCAACCATCTACGCCGCCTCGGACCGCGAATCTGCCCGCGATGCCCTCAACGACCTCCTGAGTGTCTACGCGCTGTACACGACGCCTACCTCGGAAAGACAGCAGTCGCCGCCTGGAAATACCTCTGAGCAACAGCAGAAGGGAGAGGATGCGGACGAGTCTGGTCGGCTGGTGAGCACGCAGTTTGATCCGGCAGAAGTGGAGCCGGAGGTGCAGCAGGAGGTGAAGAGGCGGGTGGGTCAGCGCATCAGGGAGTTGAAAAATGCGGTGCAGTTGTTGGAGGAGAGGGCTATGAGTGATTGATCGATCATTCCTATTTTCTTTTGTTATTTAATGGAAAATGTCTATTATGGTTGGAAAGAATTGTGGATGAGTAGTATTTGGGGGCGGTCGAACTGTATTAATAAATAGATAAAGTGGAATCTAGTTGATGATATTGAAATTATTCCTTCAATGCTGTGTTCTCTCCCCCTCCCCCTTCATGTAATTGCAAACCATTGCCAATTCATGTTCAATCTTCTACGAGTAGTTAAATCCCTAGATCACAGTCTATCCCGGATATGCAGATCAAAATGGGTTCTGGTCTAGTCTATTATACAATATGATACATATGCATACCCTCGGATACTCGCGATCTATGGGTATTTGTCGTTTTATGCTATCCTCAACGCCACCCACGGTATACAGTCCATTCATTGATTGCCGTTGCCACCCCTCAGATCAGCGCCTGTCCGCGGAACATGCCCTCGCGCACCTCCCGCACCACGTCCTTCCGGTCCTTCTTGCCCACCAGCACGACCGCACGGCCACGCTTGCCCATGCGGCCCAGACGGCCCAAGCGGTGGATGAAATCGATCGTGTTGTGAGGGACGTCGTACAGGATCACCGTCTTGACGGGGAGCGTGTCGATGCCGCGGGAGGCGATGTCGGTCGTCACCAGCACGCGGGTGTTGGGCAGGGTGCGCGATCGGGACGCAGAGTTATCGGATTGCGGGTCTTCGAACGGAATGGCGTCTTCCATGCGCCGCTTCTTCTGGGCCTGCATGATCTCCTTAGCGGTGGGCTGGACGGCCTGTTCGGTGAACTCCGCGAGGATTTCGTCCTGCGACCGGGTGCTGGAATCCCGCGAGAGAGAGCTGGCCTCAATGCCCTTCTGTCGCAAAAATGAAGCGATCTCATCCGCCTCGTCACGTTCGTTGACGAATACCATGATCTTCTTGACCTTGGGGTCCATGTACGAGTCGAAGGGTCCCTTCGGCTCCGTGTCGCCGGCCCGGCCAATCGACCAGATCACGTCCGCACACGCCAACTGGCGGTTTCCGCGGTAGGGGTCCTTCTGAATGTCGACCACACCAAGTTGTACACGGCGGGGAATCGCGTGCAGGTTGGGCGTAGTCAGCCGCTGGATGTCCGGGTACCGTTTGCGCAGCAGGGTATCAAGACTGCGGGGGATGGTCGCCGAGCAAAGAATAAGCTTGCGGAGCGAGGGCGTGACCTTGTCGATGACCTCCGTCGTCGTTGGAAGGAAGGACCGGTCCAAAAGCGAGTCAGCTTCATCGAGCACCAGGTGGCTCACGCGGCTCAGCACGTAAGGCTCCTTTTTGGCGATCGAGGCGAGCAGATGTGGCGTGGTGACCAGGATATCGATGCCGTCCGGATGGAATAGCGTGTTCTTAATCCGACGCGGGGTCAGGTTGGAGGAAATCGCCCCCGAACGATATTTGACGGCGTGACCCAATGCTTTCACTTTGGTCGCGACCTGCGCCACCAATTCCGACGTGGGCACCACGATGACCGCTCGTGGTCTACCGGCATTCGACAGCGCCGGGGGTTCCGGTTCGATATCGAAGATGTTGTTCTTTAATTTCTCTTCCTGTTCCTTCGCCTTTTGTTCCGCCTCACGTTGCTCGGTCTCCTTGTCGGCGGCCTCCTGTCGCTTGACAGCATCGACCAACGGAAGCAGGTAAGCCAGAGTTTTCCCCGACCCCGTCTCCGCCGCCAGAAGATACTGGTCGTAAGAATACTCGCCACTCTCCGCCTTAGGAGTTTTCCTCCATCCCTTGGGCGCATCCATCAAACTCGGAATAGCTAGCCGTTGAATCGGAGTTGGCGTCACGTCCGTCATCCCAGGGAGGGCCTGGGCAAAGATCGAGTGGCGCACGACGGGCAAGAGCGGGAACTGGTCGAAACTCGTGATATCGGCGATTTTGGACTTGACCGCCGCGCGACGGCCGTACGGCATCGGGGCTAAAGTCGTCTGCATCTTCAACGCCTTGTACAACGGACTGTCACTTTTCTCCTTGGGGTCCTCCTTTTCCCCCGAGCGCTTCAAAGCAGCGGATGATCTGGGACGCGGCGGCCCACGTATCCGGGCGTCTGTCTGATTCATGCCCTGGAACGGGCCAGCTCCGCGCCTATCAGACCGCTTTTCTTTCAAGGAGGTTTTCGCGACATTCGAGGATAGGGCCATTCGAGCGGCGGGTTTGCGGCGACCTGTCGCCATGGTGCGGATGGCCTGCCCTGTCGGCGAAGAGGGAAGGATTGTCGTCCGAGTTTGACAGAACAGACATACCGGCGGTCGCAATGGCAGGGACAGCCTACCTATCCGATTCATGATGGAGGTGATGAAGAATTTCTTTAGAAAAAAGAGGATAAACAGAGAGGAAAGATGGAACAAAACCTGCTTGAGAGCGCAAAGAAAACCAGAGCAGAGACGCTCGGACCCGCCACCCACGCTAGCCGGATCGGGCAGCCTATCTAAGGCAGTAAGGCAGCAACATCTTTCGTATTGACTTGACATACTCTAGAATTACCAGATTTACTCGAATCTATCATAGATGGAGGTGGTCGGGGCCTAAGTTACATTGATGTCAAATGCGTGCCCTCAAAATCTATATAGCATGCAACTGATCATGGAGACGGTGGCGAATGTCGAAACATGCCTCAGCGCCCATTGAAACAAGCATAGAATGGGCCTCGAATGGAGTAAAACGTAGAGTATGGGATGTATTTGTTATGTATAAGTCTGTTCCTGGCACTTGAACCATCCGATAAGAAGGTTGCCAGGGTGTCGAGGCTTTCCCAGGCCAAAGCTCTCCTTGAAGTCCTCCCTGGCACACGCCTCGTAGGGTTTCCAGTGATGGATCGAGCGGCTTGCTTAAAGAGGAATCTTTCGTCCAAAGCATGGGCTAGTTTGCACTGTCAAGATAAATACTAGGTGAAGGCGTATCTGGAAAACATAGATGCAAGGGAAGGTCAAGACATCTGTTGTTTGCAACTTAGTGATTGCGAGTTTCCGTATGAAACCTAACGTAAGTGGCGTGGGTATGTCTGTCTCGAACAGAGCTCCATTACCGACCCTGTCTGTTCTATCATAAGCAGAATCGAAGTAGTTGCTGGCTTTGCTGTCGTTCCAAGACACAGGATGTGTTGCCTTGAGCAACCACAGTGAGAACTCGAAAGGTTTCTTTGTCTCAGAGGCCTCAGGAGCCATGATGCACCGGTGATTAGCGCTTGAGTGTAGATAAATACACTATCAAAGCATTAAACTCCGAGCCTGTCCGCTCTTGCGATCACTACCGTTAGTAGAGAACGATAAGTGTATCGGGCGCAACACCATTAGACTAACGCCATGAGCCCGGAAACTTTCAAGGTCCGGCATGCTGTTGCTCTGAGGTGCGCATTGATCAATTAACCAAAGATCCATCTACCCCGTCATATCGCAAGTTAAATGGCTAGATCCTCAACTCTTACCAACCCGCATCCCAGCGCAGCGCTAGCCCATCCCGCGCATGTCTGGTTCGGGTTCCACGACACAGCAGTGACATGGGTTTCCTCGTCGAAGATAGTAATGACCATGACGCCGTTGACCATCTTCCGATCGCCAATCATGTTGCGCAGAAGGCTGACGCTCTCGGCGCGGTATCCGTCATAGAACCGGCTGACGCCTGAGCTGTCTGCCTCTGTCGCGTTGGCCCACTCGTGCGTGAACCACGTCTGCTGCCATTGCTTTTCCTTGCTGTGCAGTAGACGGCGCAGGGGGTTGGTGGCGACGACGGACCCAGACGTGCAGCCGAATAGCAGACTCGGGTGCCAGGTGCTGCTGGGTGCTAGGGCCGATACGGTGCTCGGCAGCCGGGCGACGGCTGAGGTCGTGTAGAAGCGGCGGATGGCGAGGAGGCGAGCGAAATCGTTCTCATCGCTGGAGATGAAAGAGTGCAGGAGTGGGGAGTAGGTGAGGTGGGATGATCCAGCGCGCATGCGGTGCGTTGCTACCATGTCTGTTTGGTAGTCAATGATTGAGGACAGGCGAGTCTCGCCATCCATGGACGTTGTAGATAGTAGATGGGGGCTTGTTGGGTAGGCCGAGGCAACATTGAGGACGTATGTCGAGTGGATAGGCTGGTAGAAGTAGGGTAGAGGGTTTTGTGGGGAGTTTGCTGTTGGGGCAATGCTCCATATGGCGACGAAACCGTTGGCACAGCCGACAGCGATGTCGCTCGGAGATAGCCAAGTCACGCATGTGCAGACGGTCGAAGGTGGTTTCGCTTCGAACACAGGGGCGCGGGCTTTGTCTGTATCGGTGTTAGTGGTGTGATAGGACTGCCGGGAATACAGCGGTCTTACAGAATTCTGTCTTACTAGGGTCACGGCCCAGTTTAACATCAATCACTCGCACAGAGCCATCGCTCCAGACACCAGCCAGAAGCCCAACGTTCTTAAGTGGCTCCTCGTCATCCTCATCTCTTACCTCGCGAGCCATTGGACACCAGGCTATCCGTCGGAGATCCCCCCAGTCTGTGCAGAGGGCCAACCGCAGCCGGGGCTTAAACTTCATATCCAGAGTTTTAGTGAGAGATTCTGACCGTTCAGCCTTAAAAGCCCATAGTTGTAGGGCACATGGGTAGGGAGGTGAGGGGCGGAACGAGGCAGCAGCTTGATCCTTCATAGGATCAGGGTAGCGATCTTTTTGCTCTTTCGAGATTGGAACCACCACAGCGAGATACTGTGTGAGGCCGGCCTGGTTAGGAGCCCACGCCATACATTGCACTTTCTGCCCGAAATTGATCATCCAACCCTGTCGCTTCTTCCGCCGCGGTTGCTTTGGTTCTGCTGCAGAAGAGGATTTGCTACCCTGTTTCTTTTCGCGAGTAGAGGAGTCTTTCAGGCCTATCTCCTCTTCCCAGGCTTCACCAAAGTCGACCACGTCGTGTTGAGCAAGCTCGAAAACCGTCTGCTCATCCGCTGGTCCCATGAGCACAGTATGCTTCTTGTCTTTCACCTGCGGTATATACCCCTGACGAGCTTCGTCCTCCGTGACGCTCTCCAGTCGCTGTCGCTTGCGAAACCGCGCGCCCACATCCGCGCTGTAGTACCAGTCCCAGCCCCTGGTCTTTTCTTTCCGTACAGCATCCGGCTCCGCCCCGCAGGTCGACCCATACGCGTAATCTGGCTGAGACGCTGCACCGTTGAGTGTGGCCCGCGAAGGAAGCGTCGAATCGATACCGCCCGCCCATCGGTCTCTCACGTACACAATCGACAGCAGGTCCTTGCGATCGCTGCCGAATGTCACACGCAAATGGACCGCCTTCCCCACATGCTCCAGCGGATTCCAAGTACCTCGGGTGTGAAGATCGTCCGGTTTTTGCACGAGGGTACCGTCCGGACGGCGTTGCTTGAGAAGTCGTGGCTGCGACTTCAGAGTCCCTTTCTGGACCTTGACGGCCGGCTCGCCCTCTTCGGAGAATGCTACATCTTCATCGTCATGATCTTCGTTGGCGGACCCCGTATCTTCATCGACATAGTCGCCTTCTTCTTCTTCGTCGTCCTCCGCATCGACGTCGTTCTCCGCTTCGAATTCTTCGCCCGATGAATGCTCGGGGACGACCGCCGCCGCTTTCCCCTTGCCCTTCTGTCGCGTAGAATCTGGTTTCTTTCCCTTTCCCCCTTGTTCTTCGTCCGATACAGTGATCCCGGCTAGTTCGAAGGGGTCGTCGGTGTATTTGGCTGTCGCGCCTGAACGGCGGGTGGACCTGCGCGCACGCGACATGACGATTACCGGAGGTTTGCGTTCGGTATGTGTAGATTCCACTGAGCTTAATGCATTTCTGTACACCTTTGAATCAAGGCACGTAGTATGAGAGTCCCATCAGATTCGTATGGTAGAGATGAAATCGCAGCAGATGGTGTGGGGATCGAGAGCTCCATGTATTTCCGCTCGCTGTTTGCCGTGTTTGTCTTGCCCTAGGCCGTTCTGGGATGCTAGCGCGCGGTGGGTTTCCGCTCCGCGTGCGTCAGGAAGCCCTACGCCAGTTGTCTGATCTACTTCATGCTGGTGATGGAAAGGGTGACATGATGGAAAGAATGGCTCGTTGATTATGTCTATGATCTTGGTGGAGAAGACTCTCAATCAGAAAACCCTTCGAATGAATCGCTATCTCCTTCCTCGTCTACGCCATCCGATTCATGACCCGTAACAGGCCAGTCGTCCACACTCCCATCCCGGACGAATCCTGCGACGAAGAACCCGCCCAATCCCTCGTCGTCCCCGGGCCAACAACGTAAGCAGCCCTCTAGGTCCTGATCGGAAAGGTCGATGCTGGGACTCGGCTGGCTGGAGCCGTTGTCCTTTTCAACCGGCTCTGTTCTGATCCCCCGATGCCGCCACTCTCTCAGTCCAGCAGGCTGCTCATCTCGTCTCATAACCCTCCACCCGCGTCGCTTCGCTACGTCAGACGCGAGCACACGAGACACGACGCTCTCGTTCTCGGTCATGTGGATGGAGCACGTGCTGTACGTGATGTGGGTGGCTGCTGGGAATTCGAGCGCATGCTCCACGATCCGAGTCTGCAGATTGGACAGTTTGCTGAGACGCTCGGGGTCAAGATGCGAACTTGCGAGCTCATTCTCGTCGCTGGTGGATAGGGTGATTGTCGAATCTGCGGGGGCGTTGCTCGTATTGTCCGCCTCGTCATCGTGACGGCGCTTGCGCTTTTTGCCCTGATTCCGTGATTTAGATTTGTCGGACGATGTGGTAGTCCCGGGAAGGACGAGCTTCGGAACGTCGTCGCGACCAATGATCCCACTGCCTGAACAACTCGGATCGAGCAGTAACCGCGTGACATCAGCAAATCGGGAGTCATCAGGATCCAGTGCGAGGAAATCCTGGCCTGCGAGAACCGTCACTGTGGAATTGGCATGAGCCGCGGAGACCATTTTCTGCAGGGTCTTCGCCCGAGCTGGTGAAGCGTCGATGGAAAAGATGCGATTTGCGGCAGACTGCCTGGCTAACAACGACGCCATGTGAGTTGTCTTGTTGCCCGGCGCTGCGCACCCATCGATCATGTTTCCCTGCCAAGATCCGTCATCGCCTAGCAATAGATAGGCCGGAAAGCAAGACGCCTTGTCTTGAAGGATGATCTCGCCGTTCTTGTACGCCTGGGAGGAGGTGAAGTCCATCCCGGGTGCAATGGCGAGAAGATCAGGGATGTGTGGATCCAAGCGAAGTCTCCGCCGCCGTTTGTCACCTATCCCTGGGCCTCTTCCTTGATCCTGTGCGCTATCATTGTCGTCTTCTACGAGCTGCGACAGTGCCTCGACCCGCTGATACCCCGCAAACGTCGTCGCCAACTGTTGTTCCACGGTGGACTGAATGTTGTTGACCCGTACCCAGCGCGGATAGATCGCTGCAGCTGCAGCCGCAGCCTGCGGGCCAAGAGAGGCGATCTTCTCTTTCCGGACCGTATCCTTCAGGGTCTCGACCGAGGCGCATCCACGCCTCACGCGGGCCTTGGTGAACTCCGCCCTCAGCCTTGCCTTGTGTCTCTCCACGGCCTGTCGAAGGGCATGGTTCGCTGGGGCCGCGATTCCCTTCTTCGCTATTAGGTGATCGTGAACCAGGAGTAGTGCAAGCAACGGAGTTAACTAATTGTCCACTTGGTCAGTCAGCGATAACCACCTCGAGGGCCGGCCCGACAGTGCTCCGGCTGGGTCTCCGCGAGACCAACGTGGAGAATATCTACCTTTGGTTCTAATTTCAGAATCCCGGCATTCTCGATAACCTCCTTGAGGAGAATATCCCACTTTGACGCCTCAATGACCAGCGCATAGATCTGCGCTGGGGATGCCTTTATATTGCGCGCGTTGTAGATGCGCGATTTGAAAGAACCGCCGGTGGAGGCAGACGCGGTCAAGACCGAGACAGCATCGTAGTAGAGAGACATACTAATCGGGCTATAAGGACATGGTAAACCAAGATTGCAATGTATCTGGGATGAATCGCAAGGTTGTCTGTAAGGACAAAAAAAGTGAAAAAAAAAAAAAAAAACGAACATTCAAAGGCGGTGAGAAGTGCGGTCAGCCTGTAAACAAACCACACAAACAAACCCCCGCAATCCAGGCCGCAATCTTATCTGCCCCCGCACTCCGCTTTTGGTCGAGTTTGTATGAGTTGTTTGACCGCTTCATCTTCTTCTTCTACAGATCCATCCAGATTCCTGTCTTGAGTGATTCCTTCAATTCCAATTCAGCAAACAGAAAGAGTACACAAGGCCTAAACAGAGCCGACCACCAAAATGACCTCCATCACCTACCCCGTCCTCCCCAAAAACCTCTTGATCATCTCTCTCAAGATGTACTTCAACCCCACCCGCACCATCGAATACCTACAGGGGCTGCTCGCCCCACAAAACGACATCGTGCGGCCCGCAAACCGCACCAAGCTCCTCCTAGCTCTCATCCCCGACTTCCTAACCATCTACCCCTGCAACGAGATCATCCAGAAATACAACGCCTCCCAGCCCCAAGACCCCTCCCAGCCCCCGCCCTTCCTGCTCGGCGCCCAGGACTGCTTCTGGGAACCCCAGGGCGCCTACACGGGCGAGGTCTCCCCGCAGGCTCTCCGCGCCATGGGCGTCTCCATCGTCGAGTTGGGCCATGCTGAGCGTCGTGCTATCTTCGGCGAGACGGACGAGCAGGCGGCGAAGAAGGCTGCCGCGGCGTGCGCACAGGGCATGGTGCCGCTTGTATGCATTGGGGAGGTGACGGCTCCTGGGGCGGTCGCATCTGCGGCTGTGGGGTTGGCGGTGGAGGAGTGTGCGGTGCAGGTGAGGGCTGTGCTGCGTGCGATCCCGGATGACGCTCCTGTCATTTTTGCCTACGAACCTGTTTGGGCTATCGGTCAGCCGAAGCCGGCTGGTGTGGATCATATTGCTGCTGTTGTGGAGGGGATTCAGGCAGTGGTGGGGCAGCGTAAAGGGGATGTGCGGATCTTGTACGGTGGTAGTGCGGGCCCTGGGTTGTGGGGTCCGGGCGGCTTGGGTAAGGCTGTTGATGGGATGTTCTTGGGTCGGTTTGCTCATGAGGTGGAGGGCGTGCGGAAGGTGGTGCGGGAGGTTGAAGAGACGCTTTAAGCTTGGGAGACTTCGTATATAGATAGTGGTTTGCATAGTATTTGAGAGCGATAAAAGGACGCGAGTTTTATTGATTGACTGGAATATGACAGTTTATGATTGTCTTAAAAGCATTACATCGACAAAGCAATCGATCGATCTGGGATCTGACAGTAGTCTATGCCGTATCTATCTGCGGACGGGCATGTCGTCCTACACAAAAAAGCAGTATACCGATCTATCAATATGCTCAAAACAGTATAATGCCGTCTAGACTAGAAAACCCAGTCGCAACGCCCCCCTCATTGACATCCTTAGCTTTGGTCCGCAGCAGCCACCCGCCCTCCTCGTTGTGCAGAATCCGACCTCGAGTCTTCTGGTCCCACAGGATCGTCCCGTAGATGCCCAGCTCGGAGATCACGTTGCCGCTCAAGACTTCGCCGTCGCTGCGGAGCGCCACGTTCTTGGCGTCCGGGGGCGTGATCAGCTCCATCAGAATCCACCGTTTCCACTCGCTCTCGGGAATGGATCGCAGGAAGTCGGGAATATCGGTCTTGTAGATGTTGTTTCCGCCACCTTCCCGCTGGGGCTTGAGGACGTGGTTTGCGGCGGTGGCCGGGTTCAGGGCGAGCTCTCGGCCCCGTCCGTTCAGGTCGTACTGCGGTGCGAATGTATCTCGGAGGCTTTCAATCACTGCGGCATCGGTCTCGGAGAGGAACGATTTGAGATGGTCGGGCTCGGTGCTTGCCAGAACCTGTTGGACGATCTTGCAGCCAGCGAGCTGGTTCAGCACAGTGGGGCATTTGATCGCTGCGGAGCGCTCCAGGTGGGTTCGGGCTTCCCAATCGCGTTCGGAGACGTAGTCTGTGGGAGCGTAGAAACACCGCAGATACACCGTGGACACCTCATACGGTGCATCCTTTGCATATGGCGGCGTGTAAACAAGAGGGCGGGCGGGGTTAGAAGCGGGGATTGACGTGTGTTCCAAGATCTCAGACCGCAGCAGACGGAATACGGGGATCTCGTGGACCCGTTCAAGTTGCTCGGATACGGCCAGCTGGTCGAAGATATTCCGTTCGCCGTCTTGAATGACAAATAAGATACATTTTGGCAGAGCCGGTGTTGACTTGGACGGCCCGTAAGCAGTGTGTCCCGCCGCTAGCCCAGCAGCCAGGGTTTGCACCGCCGTATTGGCGGGAGGTTTATTCGAATCCAGAAGAGGGTGAGATGGATAGCCCGGAGAGTTCAGGAGTTCAGTATGGAGCGCTGCCACGCGAGTTGACAAGCCCCCAAATGACGAGGAGATGGTGTTGAATTCAATCTGTTTCAAGGATAGGCCGGACGGGCCCGTGTGAGGCATATAGTCGGACCGATAGAGGCCCAGCGAGAGGGTCTGCGCATATCCTTCCTTGTCTACCGCCTGGTGTACCTTCCACAGGCGGGAGACAAAGTCGTCCACCTCTATCAAGCTGTCGATCACAGATATCTCAGTCCGCCGTTTCTCGGGGGGAAAGGGACATCCTGTTTACTTACTCTGCCATGATCTTGCTCAACCATTCCACGTCGCAAGTGATTTCCGCATACAGTTTGTTGTAAAGGGTCTGGAGTCCCTGCGCCTGCTCAAAACACGACCGGGGAAAGGGACTGGGGAACACCGTAACAGGGGCATTGGTCGCCAGGACTCCATTCGGATCCACGTCCTTGGGGATATGACCCGGGCGAATCATCAACCCATTCTGGGCGGACCAATCCTTGATCTTTTGCACGAGGAAGTCCTGTTGCGCAGAGTCCAGTGAAGGAGGATAATCTGTATAAGCCGACCCCATGATTTGTAGCGAATATTATATAATTATTAAGTAGCAGTGACGAGAAAGAATGCGCGATCTCGAAAAGCGGAAATAACGCGAGGATGGCGGGGCTGCTTTATCAGCACGATAAGCTAGCCTGTTTGTTTCCTTTGTGCTGTTTGCATCGATCGTAGCCTCAGGCCGCATCCCAGCGCGACGACATCGATGCGATGGATGTCTTGGGATCTTCTGGGATTGTTTGATGATTGATTCTGTTTCTGGATAAGATGCGAAATAAGGTGTTCAACCATTGGGTATCTGCATATACATTGTCGCGCGACTCAGTTAGTACCTCAATTGTGTGACCCCACCAAGCCAACCCCTCTATAGACAACAACCATACTCGCAAAGATATCGAGATAAAGAAAGGTGAAGATAGTGAAAATAACACAAATATGATCGAAAGGGAAGCAAGAAAAATCATCCCAATAGATCCACCTCCACCATCCGCTTCTTCGGATTCCTCGGCACCCGCCGCTGTCTCTCCCGCTCGTCCTCACTAACATCATCCAGCCTCGTCTCGACCTTATCCAACGCAGCCCGGACTTCCTCCTCGCTATGCTCGTGCCCCGCCGTCGCAACAGACAAAATATCTTTCTCGAGACCCTGCACCACCCGCCACTGGATCCCCGCATCCGTCAACCGCCGACAAGACTCGGACGCCCCCACAAACGTCTCCGGCTCCTTCACCCCAAAATATACCTTTTCGATCCCCCGGCGATCCCCCCGTCGCGTGTCGACGATACGCTGCACGCAGGGCTGGTTTCCGGATAGTCGCTTCCCACACGGCTCCATCGTCACGTACATCACGAGCTGCCGGCTAGCCTCAGAGGGTAGGACCTCCGCGACGCGCTCGTCGGGTACGCCCTGCGCCGCGGCGTACTTGGAGAGACAGCATTGCTCGGCGTGGGTGTTGCCTTCCAGCTCCATAGTGTAGCCTGTTGAAAGGACGCGGTCATCTTCGTAGTATAGGTCGTCTTGGGCTTTGCGCGATACGAGGATGGCACCGACGCGGAAGTTGGTGGGGCGTGGAGGGGATTGCTCGGCTAGGGCGAGGCACGATTGGAGGTATTTGTGGTGGGGGGAGGCCATTTCGAAGAAAAAGGAGGTTGAGTAGTCGAATATTTTGTCTTGCAAGTTGTAGAGTTGTGGAGGTAAGTAGGTGTTTATTTCGTGGACGGCGGGAAGGGAAATGGGGTAGTCCGACCGATGACGTATGGGGAATTATCTAGTATAGAGTTATACGGTTCGACCCGGGAGTTCCTGGGATTTGATATAATAGAATGTACGATAAAATCCCAACAGGCTTAGATTCGTAACTTCACACTTCCAAACAACCCTCCGGCGCCATTCTCTCCAGTCCCAGCTTTAATCTTATGTATACATATTCAGGGGTTAATGGCGCCAAGACATGCTCTATCTATGTTTGAATTTATCAGTGACATGTTGAAAAGCAATGGATTAAACTAGCATAGATGTGCCAGACTACAATAGCAGTAGGGGTCTTGCCAGATACGCTTGTTAATACTGAGTTTGTCTAGTTTTGACTTTGTATGCGGAGGAAACTACCTTTTTCTAGTCTAGAGAGAAGACCAACAGCGGGGAGAGACTTAAGGAATCCAGTGGTATTAGCACAAATCTGTCTAATCGAAAGGTATCCCGCCTTCGTTTCCCAGTGCGGTCAGTTAACTGATATATCTGCTAGGCCAGCAAGAAAGTGGCTGACAGGGACGCCCTTTATATTGATTAGGTGAAGAACTCTCACCAGCAAAGGAATATTGAAGATTACCCTGTCGATCCATGAATAAGGCTATCTAAGTCAAGACCTTCAATGATATCGTTCGACTTGCCAAAGAGCGATTTGAAGGATGAGTCAACGCACGAGTGCGGGTAGCTGCTAAAATAGGGCGATCCACCGTACCATCCTGGCGATTTGAACGATGACACTCGTTGCACGAGAGACATGTAGTTCAAATTGAGGAAAGGAACCTCAGGCCTCGGCCAAAGCAGAGCATTCGACTGCATTTGCTTTGTAAGAGCTCCATACACGATTGAGCTACATTCATAGCCACAGCCTCGGCTGCCGCTCAGAAGCTCCTCACGGGTCTCATGGAGTTGGGAAATTAAGTCAGCGATAGCTCCCTGTCTGCGGTCATCCATCGATACTGTTTCCCATTATTAATCAAGCATTGTTGAAGGTTCTTTTGCCCTTACTGATGACATTATCGGGGATTGGAAGCCCCAGGTTATCAATCCAGCTATTACACCATGACATGACAGTTGAGGTAGCTTTTTTGAACTGGGAAGGGAGCTGGAAAAACCAGGAAACCCATAGCCACAGGATCAAATCTCGGCAATATGTAGAGGGAATGGCCTCCTCCAGAGCATTGATCCATATTTGCCCCAAAAAGCGAACAGTTTCCCCGCAGTCGTAATATTCGGCTAGAACAGCTACCTTCGCGAGCACCTCAAGGGCAAGCTTTCGCGGTATATGGTGATATTGGCAGTGGATGATGCGAAGTAGAATCAAGAGTGCTTCGATGTCCCAGCCCTCTGCAGTGATTTCGACTGAGCCTTTCTGCAGATAGGTAGCACTTTCCTTCCAGCCACCAGTGAGTATCTTTTTGAAAACCGGGGAGGCAAGAATTAAATGCTTTGCTGAGACTTGAATGCGGAAGCAGGCATCCTCTTGCTGTTCATCAACCTCTGTTCCAGTAGGCTCTTCAGTCACGGCAGACTCTTTCATTGGCACTGATTTTGGTTTCAGAGGATCTCGCACTTGTACTTTCTTTTTTTTCCCCTTCTTGCCCTTCTTTTGTGTCGGCTTTGGCAACTCTTCGGGGTGGTTTAACTCTGTGGCTGTATCCTGGACAGTATCATCCGGTTCTGCAAAGGGAGAATCTGCATTCCGTAGTACTATGATCACTTCGCCGTCCGGATCAATAACGTGAGTTGGCTGGTCCATGGTGGTTGCTCGGTGCCGTTTCCCTACAACAGATGCTATCTTGGTTGGTGAGAGAAGGGAAAGAAAGTAGAAGCGGGGGTAAACGAAAAAGAATGTCAAAGTGGCTTATGTTTTTAAGCTTCAATCCTCCTTGTTTCCTGCGATTGAGGTGTGGCGGTCTTTGATTGGCGCTAGTGTAGACAGTCTCTCGCATCATCTACGTGGTCATCGATGCATCCCTCCATATCCAATGCGGTCCGTGTTCGGCGGTAAGTGGTTCGCTAACGGGTGTTGTTACCAGTACTTCTTGACAGTCATGCTGGATCAATGTAAGAGCACCGATGGCTTAACTGAATGAAATGGGAATGCTGATGAGAAATACATACCTGCTCTATGTAAAGATGCCAGGATCTCTCGTAGATCATTTGTTGACGCGACATCACATATCTGCGTGTCCACTTGTGATAGTCGCCAGTCGCTATTTTCTGCCACTGCTTTTCCCAGCAGAAGATCTGTGATTATGATTACGCCAACGAAGAAGGTGCTTAACACGGCAAACGAGGAGAACCAGCTGGTAAAATTATCAACAATAGCTGTGGAGCCGGAGGAGATGATGCTAGCGGAAAGTTGATATTGATCAGTAGACAAATCAATTGGCTTGCAGGATAATTAGAATTGTTTGCTGCCTCTCGGCGAATCGTTTTGTACTCAATACGGATGTGCCAGTATGAGAAAATTATCTTGAAATTGCCCAGCAAGTGCAGTATGGTATAACAAGATGTAGATCTGCCATTGCAATGTCTAACTAGATAGCTTCTACCACTTGATCTCCTTTCCATTCAGTCCCTCTGCTGCCGGAATCAGCGGCCGCAACGCACTCCCATAGTCGCCAGCGTTGGGCGTGCGCAGAAGCGTGTGTATGTGGAACTTCTTCGGCTCCTCGTTGTTGAGAAACACTCCCGAGTGGTGGTCAAACTCGGCTAGGATCACAGGACTCTGAACACGGTAGTAAAAAGGATCATTGTCGCCAAATCTACCAATCCAGCAGAAGTGCGTCTCGGCCTCGTACTGCCGGATGTGGTCGATCTTCATCTGGCGCGCCCGTGCTGGCAAGTACAGCAAGTACTGCTCAAGGATGCCATAGAGGAGGATCTTTTGATGTTCAGAGAATGCTGATACCGTGATTCCCTCGTATGGGACGACCCGATTGTCGCGGTAGGCCCCGCAGAGGTGGCGCTGGTCGTCGCGGTTCCAGCGGCCCGGTGGCATCGCGGGGTCGTGCATCTGCTTGTACACCCGGGCATCTTCCTGGAGTGGTGGACTCAGAGATTGCATCAGCTGGAGTCCCAGAGACTCTTCAACCTGCAGGATCCGCGTGCCGGCGTGCGGTCCGCTGTCGATTTCGTTGGGCTCGGCGCCTGTAAACCAGGGCGAGGCGACCAATTGCCCGCGGTACAGAAATACATTCAAGCAGAGGTGGTGACCGTAGAAGGACCAGCCCCATGGTCGCGCTGTCGATGGTCGGCCGAAGATGACAAAGTTGTAGCTGAATTCGTTCATCACCCGCGGCGACTCTACCAGCTCGCCGAGAAAGTGGTTGATGCGCATCGCCTTGACCGCCTTATCGTAACCCTCTGGTGAAAGTGTCGCCTGTAACACCTTCATCACGGCGTCGCGGGTCCCCGTCGACACCTCGTCTAGCCGGAGACCTTTGTCGCTCAGGAGGAATTCAGGGTTCGACCAGGTGCGCCACTCGGGAGAGTCAATGTGATAGTGCAGGAGTTGCTGTTGCTTGTCGTCCAGGGTCGCCTCCACAGCATGTACCGCGTCGACGATCTTCTGCATCGGGATGCCCTCGTCTTGGAGGGTGAACAAGCCTGGTCGGACGTTCCCTGCAGCGACGTCAGCGTTGAATGCTGTGGTGAGAGGAATACATACCGTCGACGGTGATGCCCTTGAACGGCTCTTGTAGCAGCTCCAGCCAGTGCATGTACAGCGCATGCAACCAGGGTGGAGCAGCGAGGGTCTTGAAGTCATGCGCGTATTCGTGGGCATCCTGGGTGCGCATCACCTGGAACCGTTTCAGGCCCAAGTCCGGCAGGTATTGGCGATATTCGCCTGTGGGTGGAGTGTGTGTCATTTGGCGTATAACTCGAATAGGGTCGAGGACAATAGATTGTTTGAATTCCGGCCCAGACGAGGAGCCATTCTTATCTGGCCTCTGCAAATCATGCCGATGCATATGCATGGACAGCCTCTCCACAACGTCTCCACAGATTGGGGTTGGCTGTGGGGAGCGGCAGACGGGTTATCCGGTGGGAAACATGGGACGGTCGACCGACTGACAAGGAACGGTTACTGAGATGGGATTAGTCTCTCGCCCAGGCAAAGGGATCTCGATCAGAGTATGTTTCCTTTCTGATCTTCTTTTCTTTTCGTCTGGATCTTCGAGTGAATTCAAGAGGCGCCTGAGGCTACCAAGCAAGTCACATGATTATACACGTGTGTATCCTTAGTCATCCATGTACAATTATCTATGCACATCATGCCTACCAGTGTCGATACAAACGACAGGGCGAAGGACAACCTTCCATGATTGAAACGAATCCTCTCGACTGAATCCATTGAATTATTACAGAAACAGCCAAAATGACAAATCAACCCGGTGTATGCGCCGTGCAGTGCACGAGCTGCTAAACTCTTCCCAAAGCAGTGGTGATTTGCGAAGGATTGGAGATGTCAGAGCCAACGAAGTATCGACCTCGCTATAGAAAGACCTGACATCATTCTTGGTCCTTTGGAATGTACTGATTATGACAGGAAGGCTATCACTGTTTGACATCCACCAGGAATGTCAGGATTAAAATATCCCGTCAACCAACCCGCAAACGGAAACCCCCGGATGCGGCGAAACAAGACAGTCCCAATGTCACCAAACAAGGCATATAGACCTGTGGATCCTCGAAACAAAAAGTATAGACAGATTGCAACGCTGGGAATGGGAAGACGGACATGTCCAACAATCCGCATCACTTAACAATACAATAGAAGCATCAACCAGGGATGCGTCATTTCCCCAACAATAGAACAACATGATTGTCATGCGCCAGACCTACCAACGACGGCCTCTATTCGTGATCCTCCTCTGTTCATTTCTGATATGCACCCTGTGGGTATTTACCGGACAAGAACGGCCAGCATGGCGCCCTGTGGCAGACCCTGAGAGATATCACTCGCGGCGCGTCGCTAAAGCGACCATGCTGTATGGAAAGCCAAATCCCCTCTACGAACGAGCGATCGACTCCCATGGCCGCCATGCTAGACGCTGGGGATATCCCATGCATGTCCTGCGCCAGGATATATCCGTCGGGTTCTGGAATAAACCGATTTATCTGGCGTCGCTGATGATTCAGGAGATGGCGAAACCGCCGGCTGAGCGGGTGGAATGGTTGATGTAGGTCTTCTCTTCTTATAAATTTGATCATTGTCAAATCGAAGACGATCAGATAAAAAACTGACCAAATAGGTGGGTCGACGCCGACACAATCCTCATCAACGCCGCCGTCCCCCTCGAAGCCTTCCTCCCGCCCTACGACATCAGCGAAGACGTACACCTCGTCGCAACACGCGACCACAACGGCCTCAACACAGGTATCATGTTCCTGCACGTCCACCCCTGGACCATCAAATTTCTCATCGAGGCGCTCGGCCACCCGCTCTACAAACCCGACGTCGACCTCGACCACTCCGTCGACCTCGACCACTCCATCGACCAAGAAGCCATGGCGCGCGTGCTGAGTAATTCCAACGGCGGGTTCAACGGCACGAGCTACGCCGAGGGCGCTATGTTCCTGCCCCGGACCTGGATCAACGCCTACGAGTGGCGGCACGCCTACGAGGGCACGCGCGGGAACATTCTCGTGCACTTCCCTGGCTTGGGGGACCAGCGCTGGGTTCACATGTCGAACTGGTTGGATGTTGTTGAGCTCTCGCCGCATAGCTGGGAGATGCCGTTTGAGGAGACGGAGTACTATAATGGGACGGTGGCGTTTTGGGACCGCATCCGCGAGGCGAAAGAGACGATCAGGATTGCTGAGCACAGGTTTAATCGGCTGTCGACGGTCAAGGGCAAGGCGCCGATGGAGGCTGCTGTGCGTGAACTGAAGAAGGTGTTGCAGCAGGAGGCGGATGATACGGAGTTGTTGATTCAGCGGTTGCAGGATTTGAAATCTGTTATGGATCTGAGTTGATTTTATTTCTCTGGTGTTGATCTTTTGTGGGCGAATGCCCTTACCTTCATGTATAAATAGAATACTGAGTTTTGTGTCTTGTCACGTATATCTTTGATTGTTTCCCCCCCTTTGGATCTTTATTGCCTTACTGAGATTCAACAATCTCGCCTATATAAACCACTTATCTATACAGGGAATAATACAATAGACGCCTTTTTAGATTCCGGATGCAGACGCAACAAATGCAGTGCTATCAGCCATACAAGCTAAATCATCGCTAAAAAAGAAAAGTGAACAGCAAAACCACCTCACCGTGGTGAGCTCAACAGTACTAACCACCATGACGAATCATCCTACTCTTCCCCCGTATCCAGGGCCCATAAACCGTAAGCAAAACAGGAATCGGCACCATAGCGGCCGCCAAGCACCCCAGCAACGTCCCCGCCCACTGCACACCCAGATTGGCGAACATTTGCTTTGAGAAGAGCGGGAAGCCTGCTGCTATGGCGGACCGGAGCATCATGTTTGCGGCGATTGTGGAGGCGACTCTTTTGTTTGATTAGTTGATGTAATACAGAAGGGGGGGAGGGGAGCGTACAGCGTCAAGTATGTGTCTACTAGATAGTTGAAACACGGCTGGAAGATGCAAAGCAGTCCAAAGCCAATCAACACCCCCGATGCTGTGGGTGACATCCAGTGGATCGACGGGGTGAAGCCTGTCCAGCCGTACCTGTTCTCGTCAGATTGATGATATAGTTGATGTCGGTTTAGAGAGAGAAAACACACCAGAACAAACCCACGGTGAACACCGGCGCCCCGACGACAGTAGGCGGCAGACGCCATTCTGGGACCCCACGGTGGTTGTTCGCCACCAACTTCCGGACATAGAAGCGGTGCTGCCAGACCATAAACGACACAGAGCAGATAAGGCCAATGATCAGGCCGAAGAAGGTCAGTCCCGCCTGGCCCTGGTTCATACCGTAGACGTGCTGGAAGACGTAGGGGTAGGCTTCCAGCAAGGCGTAGACAATCCCGTAGATGAACGACATGTACAGCGAGACAAAGAGCAGGATGGGCTCCTGGACGAGCATGCGCAGCGGCCGCGTAAAGTTGTTGTGGATGAGCTCGCGCACGTCGATCTCCACCTCGTCCTGTTTCGCGTGGATCGCCCAGATGTGCGTCTGTCGGCGCAGCGTCGCTCCCTTTTGGCTGAGGATGGCTGGTGGATAGGTCTCGGACACGAAAAGCAGGTATAGTGCCGTGCTGGCGAACCCCATGAAGGATGCGATGTACAATATCCATCGCCAGGAGAGGCTGCTGTCCACGATGAATCCGCCGATGAAGGGCGCTGCGAACGGCCCCACGAACACCGTCAGCGAGTACACCATCAGGGCGACCCCGCGGTGCGTGTCGTCGAACATGTCGGAGAAGACTGCCGGCACGACCGTCACCTGGCTGGCGCCGAAGACCCCCGCGAAGAACCGGCAGATGGTCAGCGTCTGGATGTCCTTGGAGACGGCCGCCGCGATGGTGAAGATGCTCTCGCCGAAGATGCCGATCGTGAGGGGCCAGCGTCGTCCGACTAGCTCTGACGCCGGTGCCCATAGGAGCGGACCCGATGCGAATCCTAAGACGAAAAGTGTTGTCCCCAGCACGCCTACTTCCCTGCCGACGCCGAATTCGCGACTCGCGTCGTCGATCCCGGGGGCGAAGATGCCGCTGGTGAATGCGGCTGTGAAGGTGGCGATGGAGATGTTGACTCCGGTGGACAGTCTGTGAACGGTCAACTCGTTCCTCTTCTTTTCTTTCTTTTCCCATCCGATCAAGCCCGCGGTGGTGGTGTCTTACTTCTTCCTCAGCTTCCAATTAAACGGATGAATCGGATCATGCGATCCATCAAACTCAACAATATAATCGTCAGGGTTGTCCATCCCCGCAGGAATGGGCTTCCCCCCACCCATGACAAGCCATTTCTCACGGGGACACGGTTTGCCCGTCGTCGAGCCGACAGTCGCGCGCTGTTGGGATTTGTGGGTTTCGATGCGGATCAACTCTGTATCGGACAGTTCGCGATTGGTGTTCGTTCGGCCCACGGACGAAGGGGCCGGAGACGAGGCCTTTTCCGACTGTTGTTCCACATCAGGCATTTGGGGTTCGTCGGTTGTTTAGGGGAGCATTCCATTTCTGGCACTGGATGCTTTGGTGATGGGGGGAGTAGTTTAGACGCTGGAGGGGTGTCATGATGTCAGAGGTGTCGGATCGGAGGGGTCGTACCACTAACTATGTCACCACGGGTTGACGATCTGGAGTGTATGTTAGTAGATAGATTAGGAAATGCGGTGTCCTGGTCCATTTCAAAAGATGGAGGACAGTGGCCTGGGTTAGTGATTGCGTTGGGTTCAGCCCTACGTATTGTATTGTGCGATAGAGCCCACTTCGGTATAGATGAAACCAGGAAGTCAATTCTTCATGATTGAATAGCTTCAAGCACTATTTCATATAAATCTCTTATTGTGCTTGCAATAAACCTAGTGGAATATACGTGTATGGCTTTGTCAGACTACAGGCCACACGATAACCCATGCATGTCTGGTATACAATCAACGCTCTTCACCAAATGGATGGTTGAACTTGAGGAGTCCGTTGAGTCCACCAACCCAACCGTCGTGCGCCTCGCCCCCGGTGATCCTACGCATCACACATGGCACGCCCCCTTGCCATTCGTTCTTCCCGTGGCGCATCTCCTCATTCCACACCCGGGCCTCCATGCCGACGGCCATCCCACGGCCGATGTTGACCCCGTCGATGCTGACCTCCAGTTCCCGGCCGCGGTTCTTCTCGCTCAGTCGCAGCGTGATGGGCGTGCTGGCGGGAAGCACCAGCGGTCGGAAGCTGAGGCTCCGGGCGCAGATGGGCGTGAGGAGGACGGAGGGCACCAGAGGATGCACGATGCTGCCTCCGCTGCTCAGACTGTAGGCTGTACTACCCGTCGGGGTGGATATAATGATCCCGTCGGCCACCGCCTCGGTGAGGAACCGGCCACCTACGTAGACGTCCACCACGGCCAGATGGGGCTCCTTGCCGCGATGCAGGAGCAGCTCGTTCATCACGTAGACCCCCTCCGGGCCCAAGGTCCCGCGCATGGGGACCGAGTGCTCGTCCTGCTGCACGGGCTGGCCATCCGGGGTGAACAGCCCGACCTTTAACCGGTTGCGCATGAGGATCCGTGCCCCCCGGCTGACCCCCATAGACTTACCCCGGATCGACGACCATCCCGTGGTATCGGACCCGAGCTCCAGCGGATCCCCCGCTGCCGCCGGTTGCGGGTCTAGCACTGGCGCGCGATCGCCGACCCCGGCCCCAGACATGTACACCTCGCGCAGGGCGCGTTTGTATTCGGCGAACTTCCACTCGCTCAAGAATCCGAGCGTGCCCATGCTGAACGACAAGACGGGGGGTACGTTGAAACAGGTCGCAAACAGGGACGATGCATGCAGGATCGTTCCGTCCCCTCCGAGCGTCACGGTGAGGTCGGCCTTGTTGTGCAAGGCGGGGGGTAATTGGTCTGGGGGCGCCGAGTAGACCGGTGCTTGCAGGTCGGCGTGGACCTCGTCAGCGGTATGGGGTTCTAGAATGATGGAGATCGAGGGATAGGTGGAAGTCGCATAGCTGGCGGATCGGTTAGTACATCTCGTCTGCGGCGTGGGAAAGATCAACCGACTTTGCCAACTCCACCAACGACGTGGTCACCTCGGGGGCGCAATCCTTCTTCACGACGAAGATATTCCGTGGTGGTGCCGGCCACCGTAAAGAGAGCAGATCGCCCGATTGCATTTCTGCACCCACCCTGGTTAGCTAACCATGCGATCATTTCACGTCCATATCGAATCCTCCGCACCTTCATATTTGGGGATAAGTCGGTCAGGAAGCGTTTCCACACTGCGAATCTCATAGCGACAAGGCGATAAGGAAAAGTTCCGCGACCACGGCCGAGACCGGGGGAGCCGGGGGAGCCGGGCGCATCGCGGTCGCAAGATCGCCGACAACATCTGGGTAGATTTTGGATCGATCACTGTACATATATAGATAGATATCTCCTCATTAGCTTCGAGGGTGTCTCGGACGAGCGCATGGCGATCGGCGATAAGCTCACCTTGGACGATCTACGTCATTGTTGGGTCAGGTTGAGATGACAGCTTGAGTCCGACCTTTCAACATCTGTTGATCAGTGATATGCTTTCAATAGAGAATCCCCGACAGGAAGAATACAATGATCAGAAGAAATCGGCTGGAGGAAAAGTTGACGAAGGAATGAAGACGTGAAGATGTGATGAAAGATCCAAAATGATCGGCTGTTTGTCTGGTTTGCCGTCGGAGTCCAACAGGCTCTCCCCGTGACTTCAACATGCCAGTTGACAGGATACTTAAAATATGAGAGTTAAGTGGATTATATGATCTAATAATCTGTTGGATACAGTATCGCTAGTTCCAGTGATGTGTGAATCCAGAGGCTACATTGTCCGGGATTCTAGTATAGCAGCCGTATGACATTCACATACAGAGTATAGACTTATAGAGTGAGCTATGGAATTGGACAGGAATCTGGTCTCCTCCGACTGTCTGTTGGCTCGTATTGGTTTGGCTCCAAGACGTGGGCTAATATAATCATAATTGTATCAAACACTACTCCAAACTCCATACTCGAATAGGGCGTATCCCAAATATATATAGTGGGTCATGTCCAACACTGTCCAACACAGTCACGTCAATCCGGTCTTTCCTCATCAGGATGAGTTTCACATCTCAATAATCATTCCCCTCTGAACTCTACGATCTCCAAACCCTCTCCATGTAGGGTTGTTGTGTAAACAGAAGTTATGGAGACTGACGATGACTCATGACGAGATGCCCAAACCGGTTAGCGGGACGGACGGACCAAATTTGACGACATGAACGGACAGCTTCAACGGACAGCTTCTTCTCCCTCTTCACTGTATCTGCTCAATCCATTGTACCTCATTCCCGCTAATTCAAACCCTCTCCCTCACAATGAGCGCTCCCAAGGTTGCTGAGAACATGCTCTGGGGTGGCCGTTTCACCCGTGAGTGCCCGACTGCCCCGCCGAATCCTACCCCTCCTACGATAGAACTGATATGAGTGTAGAGGGCCTCGACCCCCTGATGGTCCAGTATAACATGTCCCTGCCCTACGATCGCATTCTGTGGCGTCAGGATATCGCCGGCTCCATCGCCTTTGCCCGCGCCAACACCAAGTCCGGCATCCTCTCCGAGCACGAGTTCGCCGAGATCGAGCGCGGCTTCAAGCAGATCGCCGAGGAATGGAGCACCGACTCCTTCGTCGCCAAGGAGAACGACGAGGACATCCACACCGCCAACGAGCGTCGCCTGTCCGAGATCATCGGCAAGGACATCGGCGGCAAGCTGCACACCGGCCGCTCGCGCAACGAGCAGATCGCGACGGACATGCGCCTGTGGCTGCGTGACGAGCTGCGCAAACTCGACGCCTTCCTCTGCGACCTGATCAAGGTCTCCGTCGCCCGCGCCGAGTCCGAGATCGACTACCTCATGCCCGGCTACACCCACCTGCAGAAGGCCCAGCCCGTCCGCTGGAGCCACTGGATGCTCTCCCACGCCACCGCCTTCGCCAGCGAGCTGCAGCGCCTGCGCGAGGTCACCAAGCGCGTCAACCGCAGCCCGCTCGGCACCGGCGCCCTCGCCGGCAACCCCTTCAACATCGACCGCGAGGCCATGGCCACCGAGCTGGGCTTCGAGGGCCTGCTCTACAACTCCATGAACACCGTCGGCGACCGCGACTTCGCCATGGAGACCATGCAGTGGGGCAGCTCCTTCATGCTCAAGATCTCTCGCTGGGCCGAGGATCTCATTATCTACAGCAGCCTGGAGTTCGGCTTCGTCCGCCTCTCCGACGCCTACTCCACCGGCTCCTCCCTCATGCCCCAGAAGAAGAACGCCGACAGCCTGGAGCTGCTCCGCGGCAAGGCCGGCCGCGCCTTCGGCCAGATGGCCGGCCTGATGTGCACCATCAAGGGCCTCCCCACCACCTACAACAAGGACCTGCAGGAGAGCGTCGAGCCCCTCCTCGACCACATCAAGACCGTCGGCGACAGCATCCAGATCGCCACCGGCGTCCTCTCCACCCTCACCGCCCACCCGGAGAAGATGGTCGCCGCTCTCGCCCCCGAGATGCTGGCCACCGAGTTCGCCGACTACCTCGTCCGCAAGGGCGTGCCCTTCCGCGAGGGCCACCACATCTCCGGTCGTGTCGTCGCCCTGGCTGAGGACTTGAACGTGCCGATGGACAAGCTGTCCTTCGAGCAGTTGAAGGGCATCGACGCCCGCTTCGACGAAGACGTCCAGGCTTGTCTGGACTACGAGCGTGCCGTCGAGCTCAAGGACGCCATCGGTGGCACCAGCCGTCGGGCGGTTCTGGAGCAGACTTCCGTCCTCAGGTCGCTGCTGTAGATTCCGTACCCGTGGTCCACAAAAGGAACTTTTCACTTTGGGTTTTCGGGTGTTTATGTCATGAGATATGCAGTAAAATATAGATCAAGAAGTAAATTTATCGTTGAGTCTCTCCTACACTATTTATGGCGTAGAGTTGAATGTGTACTTTTCTGTACGGCGTGGCTACCAGAAATCAATCACCATGGGCGAATCCGACACCAATGGTTTTATGACATTGACTGCTCCAACTATAAAGCCTGGCTAGACTAACATAACATCATGATTCCCAATGGGATCTAAAAAGCGTCTTTCATTCCTCGGGTTTTTTTTTTCACTCTTCCCTTCATCATGTGACATCACATCGTAAATGAGTTACTGCTCCAGTCCCCGCGCAGCCATGGCAAACGCTCCCTCCTTGGTCTGGTGACCGCCGATGAATCCACTAGCGTGGACGAACACGGCTCCCTCAGGGATACGGGGCTTGCCGGTCTTCTCCGCCTCGGCAGCGAGGACGCCGTCGAGGTCAGCGTCGCGCACACCGCGCCAGCTCTCAGGCAACGGCTTGCGCGACACGAAGCTGCTCTCGCTCTCGGACACACACTGCACGCGCCACTTGGCGTCCGGGGCGGCGCTCTCCGGGTATAGCACATAGTACACCTGGTTCTCGGGCTTGCCGGCGCCCTCCTCCTTCTCGAAGTTGTAGAGGTGCTCCTTCCAGGGTACGCCGCCCTTGGGGAGCACGATCATCCCGCCGGAGGGGTGCACCGTGTGCCGCGAGCGGTAGGCCTCCCCGACGGTGGTGCGCGCCGGCAGCCACGACGAGCACGCGTGGTGCAGCTTGCGCGTGAACACGTTGCCGATGAAGGTGCTGGCCCGGCCGAACAGGCTGTCCTCGTCTTGGGGCTCGTTCGGCCCGATCGTCGGGTCCGGGTTGTTCATGTCGCCGACCACGGACGTGATCGTGATGCCGCCATCCTTGAAGCGCTTCTCGAGGCCGGCGGCCGAGACCGCTGCCGGGTCGAAGACTGACACGCCGTTGTCGTTGGCGTCGATCGCTTCGATGAAGTCCGTGTACAGCTTCTCGTAGAGCAGCGCCACGTCGGGGTGATCCTGCGGCTGCGACAGGTGCTGCGCGATGATCGCCTTGCCGAAGTGCATGTAGACCAGGCCGGCGGACGACAGCCGCGTGTTGTGCGCGGGGAAGGTCGTCGTGAAGGTGCGCTGGTGGTGGTCGAAGCGGTTCTTGGCCGCGTCGTATTCACCGCCGACGTCAACGACCGTATGACATGTTTCGAGCTGGGCCGGGTCGCGCGAGCGCAGAAGAGGAGAGGAGGAGTAGGTCGGGAGGAGACGCAGGAGGTAGACGGCGAGGGCCTCGTCGGCGTGGAAGTGCCCGCTGTAGGAGGGGTTAGCGAATGGGCACTGGTGCTGCGGGGTGGCAGGCGTACTTATGGGTCCCGATCAACGGGGAGGAAGTCTTGAGCTTCTTGTTGAGAGTCTCGTCAGCCATTTTGAGCAGATTTCGGAATCTCAGCATTCAAACGATTGGGGTCCGGCGACATCTTGAAGGCATTCAGAGTCTGAACCTGGTGGAGGGGAAGCTGCGGTCCCAAAGCGGTTAGATCGATCTGCCTTAGTCATGGGGAATCCCTGGCGGCCTGATTGGCCTGAGGACACGGCCAGATGCAAACCCGACAAACAGCGAGCCAAACAGAGCATCATCGCAGAATCCATCGAGACAAAACGGAGATCTCACTTTCATTCCTCCTCTCGTGGTCGAAATCTCTTCTGTCTCCGTGGGATTTCTCTTCACCTCCATGTCGTCGTCCATAATCGCTCTCCCTGAACCATGAACTCTCGTCGAGAGGGGACTGCGACCCTCAACCAGAGTCCCTCGAGTACCTCTTATTATGATCGCATCGTGCAGCATCTGCAGAGCAACCCAAGCCTCGCCTATCTGGTTGCGATCCTTATCGCGATCTATTTCCTGTTGAACTCTCTTCATTCGCCCTCGCTGTCTTGGCTTCGTCCGCTGTGGGACATCGTGGTCTACCTGACCCCGTCTCGCATTGTCGCGGCCCTGGACAACAAGACCAACCAGCCCGGTTCGACCGACCAGAAACCCGTCTTCAACAACTTCCAGGCGAAAAGTGAAGCGATGGAGCGGATCCTCGGGATCAACAATACATCTTTCGGTTCCTTGCTACCTTCGTCCCGGTCTCTGTCGGGAATCGGAGCCGCCCTGCTGGGGGGCAAGGATAACGTTCCTCCCGGACTCGGGAACTGGGATAACTCGTGCTATCAGAATAGCATCATTCAGAGCCTGGCCTCGCTACAGTCGCTCGCCGAGTTTCTGCAACGGAACGTGGATCTCCTCGGGGCGAAGAGCCCGTTTTCCACCCACCAGGCGCTCATCGACATCATCCAGCAGCTGAATGGTGTGGCGAGCTCCGACCAACGCCTCTGGACCCCACCGGACCTCAAGTCGATGAGCAGCTGGCAGCAGCAGGATGCGCAGGAATACTTCGCGAAGGTGGTGGATCAGATCGACTACGAGATTCAGCGCGCCGCCCGACGGAAGACTCGTAACCTTGGCTTGAAGATGGCCGGACCCCAAGAGCATGTCATCGGGACTGCGGAGCTTCCATGCGGGAAACCGGACGCATCGGACCCGCCGGCGGGGAAGGTAGTTTTTCGGAACCCGCTGGAAGGGCTCCTTGCACAACGAGTTGGCTGTATGCAGTGCGGGTTCACCGAGGGTCTCTCGCTGATCCCGTTCAACTGTCTGACCGTGCCGTTGGGGGCAAGTTTCGAGTACGATGTGCAGGACTGTCTCCATGACTACATGAACCTAGAACCGATCGAAGGGGTTGAATGCGTCAAATGCACTCTGTTGCGGGCTCGCGACCAACTCCAGAACCTCCTGGACCAGATCGAGGACGATGCCAAACTGCCGGACACGTCGGACTCGCCCCAGATCGCCAACCCTATCAAAACATCCGCCCAGGAGCGATTACAGGCCGTCGAGAAAGCCCTCCAAGAGAATGACTTCGCGGAAAAAACCCTCTCGCAAAAGTGCCACATCCCGCCCAGGAACCGGGTGTCCGCGACCAAGTCCAGACAAGCGGTCATCGCACGCCCTCCCAAATGCCTCGCCATCCACGTCAACCGGAGCGTCTTCGACGAGAACACCGGAGCGCTGCGGAAGAACTACGCCGCGCTTCGCTTCCCCCAGCTACTCAACCTCGGCGAATGGTGTCTCGGCGCACGAGGAACAGACGACGCCGACCAGCTTGCCGAGAAATGGGACACCGACCCGCGGGAGTCGATGCTCCCGCGTGCCCACCGCGTCGGCGACAGCCCCGGACAGTATTACCAGCTGCGCGCCGTCATCACCCACTACGGCCGCCACGAAAACGGCCACTACATCTGCTACCGCAAGTACCCGACGGACGTCTTCCCGGCGCACGTCCCCGACGCGGTCCGCGAAGCCGACGGCGACAAGGACAAGCCCGAACGCTGGTACCGCCTCAGCGACGAGGACGTGCAGATGGTCAGCGAAGCCAGCGTCATGTCGCAGGGCGGTGTCTTCATGCTCTTCTATGAAGCCGTCGACCGGCCCGCGCTTCTGTCAGCCCTTGACGCCGACGCCAGGGCTGACGCTGACGTTGAACCAAACCTCACCGAAGCGGAGTCCTCCTCCGCGTCGGCCTCTACTTGTCCAACACCAGAAGACACATCCGCCTTGTCTACTGCTACTGGGGGCTCTATGTCGGGTATTTCTCCGGCGACGAGCGTATCTGGCCCGGAGAAGACCGCGGACAAGGCTGCTCTTTTAGACATCGACTGACCTGACCGTTTTTATGACATCGGTTTCCTCACACTACCTACCACTCTTTTTTTTTGCTCTGTCTTCTTTTCTTCCGTTGGCTTTGTTGCCTTCTTCATGATACCCCACTTTCTATCTGCTGCGCTGCTGCGGCTGCCACCACAGCTCTGCGTCCCTTACTGGCTTTCTCCAAAGGGGAACTTTTCTAGGAATTGTATTTTATTGTATTGTTATCTTCTGTGTGGACTACCGAGTTGCTCTTATTCTCAATGGCGCCAACAGCACCTTAGAATCATTATCTTATGGAATGAGCTGGATGTATTATCACCCAATGGGATGACCTCAGTGTTTGTTCCATCGTGGTTGCCATTGACTAGTAGTAATATTATATAGAAAGCCCGAACATTGCTAAACAGAGTATTCCTACCTAGTATATATGCAATTCAATTTTAGCTATCGTTCATCGTATAAGTTTGCAGAATGCGTTTGGATAGTCATTATCCACGTAAATTAATGATTTAGTCAATCTCGAGCAACGCATACTTATGGCCCTGCTGCTCCAGCGCCTTCTCCACAGCCTCCATATACCCCAACACCTTCTCTTCCTGCCACCGCCGACCAACGACTTGCACTGCGGTGGGCAGACCCGCCATCTTGGCCGCGTCGTAGTGCTTCCAGGCGCCCTGGGCGATAGCGTGGTTAGCGCCTAGCTGCTTCAGCGCCGTTTTGTAAGGCGTCGACAGTGCGTCTTCTTTGGCGTCGACGTGCGAGATGGGAAGCACGCCTGCGCTGTAGTCGAGAAGGTTCCAGAGGAAGGTGTAGCCACAGGAGGAGACGGCGTCGCGCATGGCGCGGTGGGGTAGGGCGGGGGTTGCGTTCGCGGGGCACAGGATGAAGTCGTATTGCTGGGGCTCGGCGTCCCACCAGGAGTGCCAGGTTGAGCGGAAGGCCTCGCGCTGCGCGACCAGCTTCCATTGGTCGGCGGCTGATTTCAGCCCGAAGCCGCGGATGAGGGTCGCCCACTTGGTGTCGCGGCGGATGTAGCGGACCCAGAGGTAGTATAGGTAGCGTAGAGGGCGCGGGAGGTTGGCGATCCGGGTGAGCTGGTCGGCGCCGGGGTCTGATGGCTCGAAGTTGTGGCGGTGTGAGTTGAAGGTGGTGCAGCCGTCGGAGTTGAGGAGCTGCGAGGCGAGGTCGAGGCCTTTGAATGGGTCCGCATTGGTTGGGGGCGTGATCTCCGTTACGGTGTGGCCGGCTGCGGTCAGCGCGTCGACTGTCGTGGTGAGGGCCCGGGTAATTGCGGGGGTCGGGGGAACAACGCCTGTGATGTGTTAGAAAGTTCGGATATATTGAGGGAGAGGAGCTTACCATCGCTAACCATCAGTCCAATGCGCAGGTTCTTGTTCTTGGCTTCCTTCTCTTCCTCGCCCCGCCAGACAATGGGGTGGACGGTGTAATCGTACAACCAGGGCTTCATGGAGATGATCGCCTCGGTGAAGTAGGTCAGATCGTTCAAAGTCCGCGCCATCGGGCTGAAGACACTCGGGATGCCTTCCTGGCCCGCCATACTGGTGTTGACACCGTTCTTGGGCCAACGTCCCGTACTACAGCGGAGGGAGTAGATTCCACTCCAAGCTGCCGGCACCCGCACCGAGCCAGCCACATCCGATCCAATGCCGATGCGACCGCCCAGAGCCAGCAGAGCGCCCTCTCCGCCTGTGGATCCACCAGGGGAGTATTCCGGAACGTGCGGGTTGCGACAGTGGCCCCAGAGGGCATTTGCGGATTCAAAGGATAGAAGCGTCACCGGCAATGCTGTCTTGGCATAGGGGACGGCGCCTGTAGTCCAATTAGCCGGGGAGGGACCTTTGGATAGTATGGTCGGGGGATGAAGTCCAGCAACATACCGGCATCTTTCAGAAGCTTGACCATTGGCCCATCCTCCTGATACGGCTTGCATGCCAATCGGGTGTACCCCAGGGTGATATCGAACCCCTTGACCTGCACCGAATCCTTCAAAGAGATGGGCACACCGGCCAGGGGGCCTTTGAGGTTAACCTCCGACTGAGCCCACAGCTCCGCCTCGGGTAGAAGAAGCTCAGTCACACAGTTCGTCTTCTCCTGGGCCTTGACGGCCACCTTGCCGTAAGTGCGCAGAACATCGGTGGCGGCCAGGGACGAGTTCTGGACCTCTTGCACCAGCTGCCCAATGGGCTTGTTGATCACGGATTTGTCAAAGGCGGTAAATGCCGTGTGGTATGATGCCGGAAGAGAGGCAAATCGTGCTGCCCGCTCCCTCTGCTTGAGGTTACTGGGGTTGTCAGAACGTTTCTAGTACTACTTGTGGGTCCTTTAGGTTTGGAGAGAGATCAAAGAAGCTTACCGGACGCGACGATACGTAAAGTAATCAAAGGGAGGGAGTACCATGATTATAGCCGGCAGGACACACCCAGATCAGATATCCTCACGAGGGAAGGGGATAAAGATGAAGCAAAAGCGTGAGGGGGCGCAGGGCGGCTTTTATTGCGGGGGAAGAGTGGACCACGTGCGGAGACGGACGATAAGACCCGCTGATAAGCGACGATACCCCAGTCGGGCAAGTCCATGCGGTGTAGTGGACAAAAGTCCGCTCTTATACCAATCTACATGTTGGATTTGAAAGATAGACAGATAGATAGATAGAGAGATAGATGGCTGGTTTATTTTATAACTTGGATGCAACGGCACTCCCCCCATCCACCGCAATCGTCGACCCATTCACATAAGCCCCAGCCCGACTGCTCAGGAACAGACAGGCACCGGCCACATCCTCCGGGGTACCAATCCGGTGGAGAGGAACACCCGACTCAATGACTTCTTGGAAGCTTTCCAAAGTGGCAGCCATCATCTTGCTTTGGAACGGGCCACAGGCGAGAGTATTCGATCTGAAAAGGTCGGTGAGTCTATATGAACCATGCAAAGGGGGAAAGGATGAAGGGGAGATGGATCTTGCACATACGTGATATTTCGTTTACCCAGATGACTCGCCAGGACCCGGCTGAGGTGGTGTAGTCCCGCCTTGCTGGCGCTGTAGGCAAAGGTCTCGAGGGCCGGGACCCGCAGAGCATCGATACTTCCGATGTTGATAATGCGCGCCGGGTCGTTCGGGGCGGCCGCTTTCTCCATCAAAGGCGTGACGAGCTTGGTCAGATCGAAGACCCGGTGGAGATTAAGGGTGAGAACTCGTGTCCAGGCAGAGGATGGGTATTCATCGTACGGGGCGCCCCAGTTTGACCCGGAGTTGTTGACCAAAACGTGCAATTCTAGGGATGTCCCGTGAGAAAGGCTCCCACGTCGTGGAGGACAGATACATACTGCTCTCGCGCTTGCCCAGCTCCTCTGCCAGCCGCTTGATCTCGTCCTCCTCGTAGAAGTTGGCGGGGATGGCGTGCGCCCTTCCCTTGCCCAGTGCGTTGAGCTCCTCGACAGCCTGGTTGCAGGCATCCACGTCGCGAGACGAAATATAGACCGTCGCACCATTCGTGACATACCCTTCAGAGATCATGCGGCCAATACCTTTGGCTCCCCCGGTGACCAACACCACTTTCCCCTACACGTCAATCCGTTAGCGACTGGCCCGTGTACAGAGATGGAGGATCCGTAGGGATCGTAGTCACTGCAACTAAGCACTAGTGCCGACCCACCTTAACATTGAAGAGATTCTGAACATCCATGACGAGCGATACTGAGATAGACAACCTCGATGACTTGAGGAAATGAGAAAAAAGTCGATCGTGGAGTGGCAGGGTATAAGTACCAGGTAGCGATAAGCGAAAGGCTAGAACCTCGCGGTATCCGACAGCCGAGCGATGTATTATTGAACAGCCTGAGGCATGCCGAGGTAATCGGCCGGACAAACCGAACAAACAGATCAAACTCGATCCTGGGGAAGATCTCCCGGATTAACTATCCTAATGGAGACTTGAGTAATCCCGGCGGTCGGGATACTCCCGGCAGAATGACATCGTCGGTCTCGACGGCTTCAACTTCTTCTCCATCATCCTCTTCAAAATGCAGCCGGCAATGGGATGGAGAAGATGCTTCTCCACTTTTCGGGCTCTTCAACATGAGAATCCACTGGTTAGTCTTGACTCTCTGAGATACATACTACCCCGATCTAACGAAGCAGGGTCTGCCGCGCTCCGGTACTCCGCCGCCATTTCCGCGCCGTCGGGGTCTGCCCGAGAAGCGCAAGATTCGTGATGTGAAGAAGGTCATTGCGGTGTCCTCAGCCAAAGGTGGTGTGGGGAAGTCGACCATTGCGGGTATGCCTCCGTCCGATGACGGACCAAGAATGCAACCCGTTAACCTAACCTGTCCTCGCAGTGAACTTAGCCTTGTCCTTCGCCCGGCGAGGAATCCGTACCGGCATCCTGGACACCGATATCTTCGGCCCGTCCATTCCCACTCTCCTCAACCTCTCGGGGGAACCACGTCTCGATGATAGTTCGTCGCCCATGGCTCCAATCCGACCCGGTCAAGAGTGGCAAGCTGACGGTAGTGCTTAGATAACTGCCTCCTCCCGTTGACAAACTACGGCCTCAAGTCCATGTCAATGGGCTACCTCCTCCCCCAACTCCAACCGCAACCAACCGACCCCTCGGGTAACATCCCAATGGACCCCACCCCAATCTCCTGGCGTGGTTTGATGGTCACAAAGGCGATGCACCAGCTGCTCCATTCCGTGTCCTGGGGACCGTTGGATGTGCTATTTCTCGACCTCCCACCCGGCACCGGCGACGTGCAGTTAACGATCAACCAGGAGGTTATCGTGGACGGATCAGTGATTGTGACAACTCCCCAGGACATTGCGCTGCGGGATGCCGTGCGTGGCTTTGGCATGTTCCAGCGCATGGATGTGCCGGTCCTGGGAATGGTGCGGAACATGGCGTACTTCGCCTGCCCCCAGTGCGGCCATCAAACCAAGATCTTCTCTCACGGAGATTCGTCCGACGGCCACTCGCATGGAGATCAGAATTGGGGCGTGGTTGCCGAATGCAAGCGGTTGGGAGTGGACTTTTTAGGTGACATCCCCCTCGACGCACAAGTATGCGAGGACGCAGATCGGGGGGTGCCAACTGTCGTCTCGGAAGAGAGAGACGACCGGAGTGCACGGCGAGAAGCCTTTCTTCACGTTGCTCAGAGAGTAGCGGAGAAGATTGGTGTGCCATGGTAATTTATCCGTGCCATGTATTACTGTAACAAAATTTATACCCATACATGTACATTTTGGATCTTCAAGATGCTGTATATTGTAAATATTATGTATTCATTATTGAATATATCATTTGTTCTTTTTAATTTGCTATACAACGCCGCTCAGCAATCTTGGAGACTGTATACCGAGTAAAACGCTGTGCCAAATCAGGCAATCCTGCAAACAATGCAAACCCACCATCCTGACCCTCAGGCTTTCAATCCACTCCGTCACGTCGACTCCTCGACTCCACCAACCTCCTTCACCACGAATCCTACTCCCTTCCAGCAAAGAAGGTTTGCGCATTCAAGATGTTGTCCTCGCGGACAGCCCTGCGCCGGGTACGGGTCCCCAGGCCCGCGCGCCCACTACCGACACCTCCGCATCGTCAGGACGGCACCCTCCCATCTCGTCCATTCACCCACCAGTCTTGTCGACAGCTCCTATCCTCACCACTAAATCGACCACAGCTCCCCTTCCTCTCCCCTCTGTCGGGAAATCGTCCTCTACCGCCATGGCCTATCCACCTCCGACAACACTTTGCGCGGTTGATGTCGACCGAGAGCCGGAATTACTACAGGCGGCGCATCTCACGCGGCCTCAACATCGGCCTCTCCTTCTACGCCATCCTGGTCCTGTTCCAGCTGATCAAGTTGGGGGTATACCAGGAGGAGATTGAACACCAGTGGCCGACTCCGCCGGAATGGTCGTGGAAGAGTCGCTGGTGTCTGCGATCGGCGCAGGCGCTGCAGAACCCCGAACAGATCGGCAAGCTCATGACCAACTGGCCCATGGTTGCGGGGTATCTGCGTGACCTGTTGGAGCGGCTGGAAAACCTTGAGGGAGAAGGAAAAGGCATCCACAAGCAGGGAGACGGCGGGTTTTTGGTCGAAGGCGTCGGAGAGACCGGGTATGATGTCTCGGAGAAGAGCGAGCCGTGGCGGAGGGGATACTTCCAAGCCCTCATGGGCGCTGCCAAGTCCGCAGAGTCTCTCGAGGGCTGGTTGACCGACCGCAAACACCGCATCTCCGCCCCGGCCGAGTATGTCGTCGGGCCATCGAATCCCCGACCGAAGCCGATGCCCGCGGGACAGAAGCAGGCGCCGGAAGAGCAGTACTGCGAGCCGGCGTCTCCCGCGCCGGAGGTCTTCTACATGAAGATCCTGACCACAAAGGGCTTCGACACCCGCCAGAAGCTCGACGCGGCGCTGGCATACGCCGACTGGCTCGACTACAAGGGTCTGGCGGGCACAGCGGACGACATGTACCGCTGGGCCATGGACATCGCCGCGGCGGGATCCCCGGTGGACGCGACGCAAGTAGTGGACCTGAAAACCGGCACACTCAAACCCACCAGCAAGGTCCTACCGACTGAAAACATCCTCCGGGTATCCACCGCGCGCGCCGTCCACGAAGCCCGCCAGGGCAACCTCCCCACCGCACTCTCCATCTTCACCTCCGTCCTGCAAGCCCGGCGATCTCTCCCGGAGGCTCCCTCAGACACCACCTTCCCATCCTTCCCCCATCCCCCCAAATCCAGCCGTGACCCCTTCCGCCGTCTCTTCAACACCATCAAGACGGTCCTCGTCCCCGTCGAATACCCCGCGCCCCTCCCATCCGGCAACGAGCCGCCCCTGCGCAGCGTAACTGCCCCCTGCGACGAAGCCAGCCTCATGGTCTACATCGGCGAGATCCTCTACGCCAGCTCCTCCAAAGAGAAGGGCCTCGCCTGGACCCGCGACGCCGTCGAAGTCGCCGAGTCCGCCATCCTCCGTCTCAGCCGCTCGGAAGACTACACCCCGCGCCACCGCTGCGCCGACTGTCTCCGCGTGGGGCTGGAGAACTGGAAGACCATGGTGGCGGGCTTGGTCGCCCGCGCCAAGAAAGACGAGCTCGACAGCGTGACGAACGCCCAGAAGGCGTGGTTCGGCGGCCAGAAGAAGGCCGACGCCCGTACCCTGGAGCGCAAACGCTGGGAAGCAGAGAGCATGATGCTTGATGATCGTGTCCATGATCTGGCGCCGGTTATTGAGGGCGAGTCTGGGTTGACGGGCATCGCTCCTAATAGTTCGTTGTTTGTTTGATTGATTGATTGATTGGTTGGATGGGTGTTGGGTTTTCATTAAAAGTGTTAGCATGTACTATAACATATTCATATACTATACCACATCAATTGACGATGATTCAATGCCAGCAGATTATAAACTTGAAACCTCTTAAGCTAGACCGCGCTCCTCATCTTGCAAGAGCAATAAGAGCATGGCGTTACTGACTGGGTATCATCCCACTCAGATGTGACACCTGTTCACCTCTAATATTCCTTATTTTGACAAAATAAGGATAGGAGTATCTCCATATCGCAGAAGGAAATACGATGGTAGGTGGGCATATAGCACTAACCAAAACTATCTTTTTTCCCATCTTGTATACTACGTTAGGCATCATACATGGAACTACACCCACCCATCCAGCTCAAAAGAGCTCAACTACGAAATTGCCAAAGACAAATGGTAAAAAATCGGTACGTATAATGTAGTATATTCATCTACAAAAATACTACCCACTATCAACTTTTATGCGGCCATATGATTTCTACTATATGCATATGCCACGAGTGTAAACGCCGAACCCACAGAACCGGTCATCATTGATGCATGGTAAACAAAGGAAGAAGGAAACAAGACGTGAGAGAAACAGCTGCACAGCAATGGGATTGAATGAATCATTGCAGGAGGGGATCCTGGTATATTCGTTAGTTGCTTTTCTTGGTTTAAATGTAGGGGTTGAGGGGATAGGAACGGCAGCTGTGCTATAAGATAGACATACCCGATAATGCTTCTGGTTGTTGGCAGCACGCTGCACCCGCGCCGTGATCCTCTGTTCCTGGCGAAGCGCACGCGTGCGCTCCTTCTTCTCCGACTCGGTCGCCAGACGGCGCTGGGAGTCCGTCACGCCGATCATGCCCGTGCCGCCGTTGGCGCGGCTGACGACAGCGCGGTTCTGGTTGCGCGCCATAGACGGCTTCTCTTCCTCGACGAGCTCGCCGTTCTCGATCATCAGCTGGCGCTCGGCGCGCTCCTCGGCCGTCGGGTAATGACGCAGGTTCTGGCGGTAGTAGCGCTGCAGCGAGCGGTGGCCGACGCTCTTGCCGGACGGTAGGTGCAGCTCGTATTCGGTGGCGTAGACGGGGTTCTTGCTGGCGGGAAGGTCTCCGTCGTCGTCTTCGTCTTCGTCCATGGAGGAGGCTTCCGTCTCGGTCTCCCAGCCTTCGTCGCCCTCGTCGCCTTCGCTGTTGACCTTGACGCCGCCGTCTTCCAGCGCTTCGTCTTCTTCGTCGTCGTCCTCGCCGTCCGAGTATGTGCTGCGGAAGTCGTAGTACTGGCCGATCTCGACCTGCTCGGCCTCGGTCTCGAAGGCGATCATGCAGTGGCCCTTGTCGCGCATGTGCGTGCGGGCGCCCTCGGCGTTGTTCCGCACGCTGTGGCAGTAGATACACTCGGAGTTTTCGCTGATCTTGCGGTAGAGATAGTTCAGGAGACCCTCGAGGTCAACGAGGTAGTCGCGCTCGGGGATGAACATGCCGTGGCTCTTGAGCATGTGAGTCGTGTTGTCATCGACGGAGGCGCTCTTGACGTTGCAGAAGAGGCAGCGCGCGGGCGAGAACACACCCTCGTCTTCCATCTCCGCGTCGCCCTCGGCGTCCTCGTTGTCCTCTTCCTGCAGCGTCGTCTTCTGCAGCCCGTTGGTGACCTTCGACACCTCCGTCTGCGGCTTGTTGATCGGTTCGCCCAGCGAGAACGTCGAGCTCATCACCGACGAGCGGTCGTCTGCGTCGTCGCGATCCAGGCGGGCCTCCCGCGCACGGTGCTTGGAGCTCTTGATGTGGTTCTGGTACGAGTTCTCGCTGTAGAAGGTCTTCTGGCAGGCGGCGCAGGACTTTTCGAACGAGGCCCGCGCTGCCGCTGCCGTCGTGCTCGCCTTGGCGGCGAGGACTTTTTCGTTAAAAGTGTCCTGGGACACGGGAGGGAGGGTCGCGATGCGGCGTTTCATGTTATACAGACTGTTCTTGGTTAGCATGATATTCTTCTTTCCTTTTTTTTTTGATCTGCAAGAACTTACTGCCAATCCTTGCGCATGTGGTCCCGCTGCGCATCGCTGCTGCGGAAGGCCACCAGGCAGGTGTTGCACGTATAGGGCAAGGAAGTCATCGGAACGTTAGGATCTATGGACGCCATTGTAGGGGGTGATTGTGGAGGAATTCCTAGAAAATGATGCTGATCGTAGGAGAGGGGAAGGAATATGGTGAACCTCAGGCGGGGTATCGAAAATTTACAGCCGTGCCGATAAGAGCAGATATGAGTCACTCAAGAATAGTAACTACCAACAGGTAAACAACGGTTTAATACACCCTAGATGGATGAAGAGGATAGAATTCAATCCAATCAACAGATTAATAATTCCAAGATTGTTGAAAGCATGAATAATTATTTACTAAATCGGTCGCCACTCGAAAATGTGATGCCATTGTGACTAAGCGCTTGTCGATCTAGGCCGCATTCAGGCAGTAATTTAGTCATAGGTCGGTCGCCGGTCATGGTAATATTGTACAGTTGTAAACAGGGGAAATATTGTACATTGTACAGCTATAGTATAGTGATTTTGTAGATCAGGGTATCATAAGGAAGTCAACTTGCCACGCAAGTCCTCAAAATCGTCGAAGTTCGCCCGCAGCGTCCCGGCGAGGATGCTGCTGTCTGGACCACGATCGCCGTCCTCCCAGGCACGCAGGGACACGCGGAGGTCGTTCTCCGCCCGTGCGAACGTCTGTTGCATCTGACGAGGCCGGTGGAATTGACGACCCAGGTCGTTCATGTAGTTGGTGGGGTCTTGGAGACACAGGCGAGCAGCCGCCGGCTGGTTGTGGCGTGCGGCGGCCCGTTTCTTCTTGTTGATCAGGGCGCGCTGGCCGCGGAGGTAGGCCGGTAGATCGTCCGAGCCAGCCGCCTGGATGGATTGCTTGACGCTCTCTGCGCTGAAGAAAGATGGCGGGTCAAGCGAGACCCCGGTGGTTGTCAGATCGACATCCCTGCCGTATAGCTTGAGAGTGGTGAGGAGTTGCTCTCCGAGACTGTCACGCTCGTGGAATCGCCCGTGGCTCATTTTGAGCGACGCCACCAGAAGCATCAGCAGGCAGTCTGACTGCAGGGACGATTCGTAGCTCCCGAACAGACCACGGGTCTCTAAAATCAGGCGAACCGCCATATACAGTGGACGGGCCGATGGGTATTCGGCTAGGTAGTCCTGGATGTACTCGATGGACGACGGCAGGCCCTCCCCACAGGAAAACCGAACCGGGATGCCCGTGGGGACATGCACACCTGTGACGATAGATCTGTGCTTGTCGCCCAGATACACATGGTCATCGAACCACGGGCTGCCCCGCAGGGTGCCCTGCACCGTACGCAGGATATCCGTATATGCATCCAGCACTTGCGGCCGGGTCGCACTCGGCTTCCGGATGCTGTCGATCGAGCGCGCGGGATCCGGGACCGGGATGATAAAGTCCAGCCCGGAGTGAGTCATAGCGAGTCCCGTCCGTCGCGATCCGACGACCTCGGGGGGTTGCGGTACAGTCTCCCGCAGAAGGCTGGTCACGTCTTTCGCGATTCGATTCACCGTCTCCTGTTCCAGCGGGGTGGGCGTCAAGTAGCTCTCGAGCGCACGGATCTCAGCATGCAGTCGCGCCGTGCCATTCGACCATTTGCGCCCAGCTTCCATATAGTCCAGCCACGGAGTCTGTGCCGGCCGGCCATTCTCCTCATCCGCCCTCCATTGTACTTGCGGGCGGGGCGCAAACCGGGCAGGAAGCGCTTTGTCTTTTCGCACGGGTCGGAAAGAGGGTGTAGAAGGAGCGGATTGTGCGGAAGAGTCGATTTTTGGTGCAAATTTCACCTTCGAGGGTGGTACTGCCCGGGGTTCTGGGTCGACATCATCCCGCGAGACAACCTTGCGGATGACGCTTGCTCGGTTGGACGATCGGTGCGCTTCGAGGGTCTTCTCGAGACTGTTTTTGTATATGGTAGGGCCTTTGCCTCTGGCTTGCAGGGATTCGGTCACATGGAGTTGGCGACACAACGGAGGCGTTCGAAGACGATAGAGCGGAGAGGACGCACGAAACGCAGAGTGGAGTGGGATGGTCGAAAGCGAAGGGCACATGGCCGCACGATTAACAAGCGATGAGGCTCATGGGGTATTGCAATGACGGCACAATACAATATAGTACTGTGCAATACGTTCCTCAACGGGAATGAAATTTCTGGCAATCGGTGGATGAAGCCCGAGGACAGTGAAGATGAAGTCGAGATCTCAACGGCGTCAGAATAGACGGGACGATCACATGATCTATAGGGGCCTGAGGCAGCACTCACGCACTGTCTCATGTCATGGACTGTCATGATTTTATGCCATGAAACCTATTTTAGCATGACTAGATTACATTCACAGATGCATACGAAAATACCTTAGTTATCTATGGCGATAGGGGTGGCCAACTATCAGAGAAACGAAGGTGGTGTATGTTATATTCCATGTCTACTCAAGATATATACAGTACATTTTCTAGTACAGTACATCAACGACGTCTCACCGCAGCGTGACCAGCTCCTCCGCGCTGGTAGGGTGGATAGCCACGCAGCTGTCAAAGTCGCGCTTCGTGGCGCCCATCTTGACAGCCACGCCGAAGCCCTGCAGCATCTCGCCGACGCCCAGACCCAGGATGTGGAGGCCGACAACCTTCTCCTCGGGACCGGCGCAGATGAGCTTGAACTCGGTGGGGTTCTTCTTCTTCTCCTCGGCCGGGATGACGTCGTAGTACATGGCCGTGAACTTGGTGTAGTACACCTTGATCTTGTCGTCGCCGTAGCGCGCGCGGGCCTCGGGCTCGGTGAGACCGATGGTGCCCACCTCCGGGTGGGCGAAGACCACAGTGGGGATGTTGTCGTAGGACAGCTTGGAGTCCTTCAACTCGGGCGGGCCGAAGAGACGGTTGCCCAGCTGGCGGCCTGCGGCGATCGCGACCGGGGTCAGCTCCGCGCGGCCGGTGACATCGCCCAGCGCGTAGATGCCGTCCACGCTGGTGTTCTGGAAGTCGTCCGCCGGGATGAACCCGTGCTCGTTCAGCGACACACCCGGGACGTGCAGGTCGAGGTCCTCGACCTCGGGGGCACGGCCGATGGCCCACAGCAGCTCGTTGACCTCGGTGGAGGATCCGTCGGGGTTGACCAGCTTCAGCAGCTTGTCCTTGCCCTTGCCGTCCTGCAGGAGCTGCACCTCCTCGAACCCGGTGTGGTGGCGGTGGATGTGGACACCCACGGCCTCGTACCGCTCCGTCATGGTCTTCTGGATCATGGGGTCGAACTTGCGTAGAAACTGGTCGCCGCGGATGTACATGTGCACCTCGACGCCGGCGGCGGCCATGACGCCGGCCAACTCGACGGCGATGTAGCCCGCACCGACGACGGCCATCTTGGGCGGGAGGTCCTCGATCTCGAAGAACCCGTCGCTGGAGATGCCGTGCTCGGCGCCCTTGATCGGGGGGATGATGGGCCGGCCGCCGGTGGCGATCAGGATGTGCTTGCCGGCGTAGCGGGCCTTGGTGCCGTCCTCGAGCTGGACCTCGATGGTCTTGGGCCCGACGAAGCGGGCGCGGCCGTGGACCAGATCGATCCCCTCGCGACCCCAGTTCCTCTCATACACACCGTTGAGGCGCTTGATGGTGGCGTCGCGAAGCTCCTTGAAGTGGCGGTAGTTGATGTTGACATCCTTGGGGACGTCGTATCCGTAGTGCGGGGCCAGGTGCAGGGTTTCATTGACCGACGCGAAATTCCAGGTCATCTTCTTGGGGACGCACCTATCGATATGTCAGTCAATATACGACTCCTTCCAGAAAGGGAAGAGTAAAGGGGCGAGTGTCAGCCACCTACCCAACGTTCACGCAAGTTCCACCGGAGCGACCGCTCTCCACGATCATGGTCTTTGCGCCATACCAGCCAGCGGCGCGTCGGGCGCTGCCGCTGCCACCACTCCCACCGCCAAGGACGATGTAGTCATACTGAGGGGTGTCCACCGGAGCCATTGTGTTCGAGGTCGAAGCGAAGTGTCGGGACAGGGTAGCCAGGCGAGACCCGGTCTGTAGTGCCGCCACTGGTGAATCCAGGGTTATGCGATGGGGAGATTGGGACAGCGAGCTAACGCTTCTTCTCGAGGAGATGGACGAGACGGAACGGGCCAGATGTGACGAAGACGCAAGAGAGCGTATCTGGGAGAGACGGAAGGAGGAGCGGGGAAGCATGGAGTGGGGAGGGGCAGGAAGAATTCTAAGTCGTAATCCAGGGAGTCTGGAGGTCGATGACGACTGGGGAGCGGCAATTCGCGTATTTCGAGAGACCAGGTTTAACAACGTAATTGGTGTATTACAATCGAAAGTGGTCCCGATTCAAGCACGACCGTTGAGATTCTCTTTTTCGTCTTTCCGACTCCTTTCTTGGCTCTTTTTTTCTCTCTCTGTTTTCGATGTTTTATGCGCTCGTCGATCGGGTTATGACAGGGTTGATTGATAAGCATAGACGCTGACTCAGCGAGTTTCTGGGGTCTGGGCCAATCACAGCCGGCGATTCATACCCCATGGCCCGAGATCGGCATGCTTGAGATTGATTATGTGAGATCCGATGCATGGACAGGGGAGTCTTATGGCCAAGATCATTTACTACTGGGGTCTCTGAGCCAATGGGTTTATCTATTCATCTACTGTAATGTATACCTGTATAGCCTACGACCGAATCTCGGCCTTCATCGCCACCTGATCCCCCGGGGCAATGATCTGGACGTTCGCCACCCCGTCGCCTGCGGTCTCATCCATCACGATCCGGTACTCTTCCTCCGCGTACAGGGGGCTCGTGGCCCGGTAGGAGATACTCGCGGGAAGCATCTGGGCCGGATCACCGCCGACGGAAGGGCGGGTATCCCTCCACAGATCCAGGATGGAGATCAAGTTCAGCGGTCCGTGGACCACGATGTCGCGGTGCCCTTCCACGTCGCGGGCCCAAGGCGTGGAATAGTGGATCTTATGCGGATTGAACGTCAGTGCAGAAAAGCGAAAGAGCGTCACGGCGGTCTGGCGCAGCGTGCGCGTGTGGGTGGTGCCGGCCGTGGTCGTGGTCGACGACGCGGGGGTGGAAGCCACGGGGATCGCATTCGACGACGGGGTCGCCGGCGGTGCTGGCATCGTCAAGGCTTTGCGAAAGACCCAGTTTCTGTTCGATGCAGTTTAGTCTTCCGGTGCAACGCGGTCTTGAAGGGGCGTCTGTCTACCTCCGATCTAGAAGAGCGACCCCTTGCTCGTTGCTGAACTCCTTCTCCACCCCCACCACAATCATCTCCTCCCCCGTCTTCCGCACCACTTTGGGCTCTGCGCTGAGGACGGTAGTAGTCTCGCGCACTTGCTGGCCCACGCGCAAGGGGTTCGGTTGGCCATCCGCCTTCCGCGGCCACGCTACCTCGCCGCCGGCCCACATCCGCCGCGTGAAAGGTGGCCTAGGATTATACGATGCATCGGTGCCATCCGGACCCAGTTCATCTTCCAGAAAGGCCGGGGTAAAGTAGACAAGATGATACCCTGGAGGTAGTGGGGTGCCCCCGGCCAGCGATGCGGGGCTGTTTGACAGAGCGGGGGATCCCGGGAATAGCGACGGACGGTTGAGGGTGAGCGAGAGTAGTTGCAGCTGATTCGCATCGAGCACCTGGGAGCGGGACTGGGGTCCGATCGATCGAAAACGGGAGAGAAAGGCCGTGGCGACCGACGAGGCTGATGGCTCGTCAGATTGGAGCCACGATCGTGCGGAGAAGCAGCGGCTGGCGGCGGGCGACTGGTCAGGTTTGGGCATCAAGGAGCGGTGTGTGCGTCTAGCGGTCCTCGCCGCCAACATGGTGGGCAGGGAAAGTCTAAAAAAACAATCTTGACAAAGGGATTGAGTATTGACGAGATGTTTCCTTCTCCCCCACGCGAGCGTGTCATGGTGGAGGGGCGGCTGGAAGAAATAGTGCCATCAGACCTCGGGATCAGCGGAGGATCGAATGGAAGATGGCGATATCACGCAGCCAAGAAGGCTTTATGAGGGATAAGGCTGGGGTAGCCGGGGAGCCTGGGAGCCTGGGAGCCTGGGAGCCTGGTAGCCTGTGAGCCTGGGGCCTCGAGGCTAGTGGCTTGGTCCGGTGGCCTGGGGGCCTGATGGCCTGATGGCCTGATGGCCTTGACAGCCTGAGGCGCCAGGCCGCCAAGGCCGGCATGACCTCATCGCATCCTGTGACTCCATCGTCGGTCTATACTCTTATCCTCGTCGATACTCTAGTCCACACGATAGATCATGATGCATCTAACTAGTCCATGTACTTGATACTACGGATACTACTCGGATATCCCTACCTCTCTAGTCTCTACATACTGGCTCCACGCTAATGTACTAGGATTCAAAGTACTGAAGTCTCGTCGGCACGAAATCCCGACACAGACACCGCAACCGTCAGGCATGTGTAGAGCCTGAGTCAAGCACGCATTCAGCCATGACGTTCTGATTGCTTTCTGGTTTTCTGATCGTCCAAGACAATCAAAGAGGAAAAGAAAAAAAAACCCGCAAGAAAGTCATCAACATCCCTGAAAATATCCTGAATCATCCCTGAAAATGGACCCAGTGAGCCAATCATGGCGGATGATCTTCCCACGCGGGGTTTCCACCGCCCATCAAGCAGCTGATCCTGGACTTCACTCTCCTCCTACCAGGTCAACCTCCTCGACTGACCGAACCGAGAAACTTACCTCTGTCCGACTTCTCCTCTGGATGGAACTAAATTCCCCACTAGTCTCTGCAATCCAGACTTTGTCGTTTGTCCCACCGTGGTGACCCTCCCTTACATCCACCCTCATTTGGTGGAGGACTGCTGGACGACACGCTAGAATTAATTTACTAGACTCCGAGAAAACCCCCCATCAGCCAACATGGTCACATCACCAGGCACACGTGCGTCGCTGGACAGGTCCCGACCGGGGACCTATCAGCCCCTCTCCTCGGAGGAGGGGAGGGAGGGGATGGAGGTGAGAGAGGCAGACAGGCAGCCGGTTGACCACATGGGTCCGTTACTGGACAAGGACGACAGAGAGGAGGAGGACGAGGGCCTGGTGGAAGAGGGTCTGGTGAAGCCGCTGCTGGTCCTGCAGGACGAACATTCCACGGCTTTAAAGAGGGCCGCTGCATCCCCTTCCTGGCTGCGGTCTGCCATCATCACCCTCCTCCTCACCATCATGTCGCTCCTCTCCCTCCTCACCTTCTTTCTCTTCTCCTCCTCGCTGCGGTCGGGCGTCCTGGGACGCCCGTCCCATCCAGCCACCAAGGGTCCCATCAAGAATGTCGTGGTCCTGGTGGAGGAGAACCTGTCCTTTGACGTGTTCGCCGGCGGGCTGACCTACAACAAGAAGATCGATGGTCTCGTCGATCGGGAGTACTGTAACCCGGCCAACGTCACGGACGCGTATTCCAAGCGGGTGTGTGCGAAGCCCATCGCGAAGAACGTCGCGCCCGATGATCCGGATCACAGTATCACCGGCGGCAACCAGCAGGTGTACAGCACGTACCACCCCAACGCCAAGAACGACATGCCGGACATGCAAGGCTTCGTGTCCGAGCAGATCGCCGCCTACGGTCTGGACGCGGACCTGACGCGGGCGGCCGAGGTCATCAACTACTACACGCCCGACATGGTCCCCGTCTTCAACGCCATGGCCGAGAACTTTGTGCTCTTCGACCGCTGGTTCGCCGCCGTCCCGGGCCCGACCAATCCCAACCGGGCCTACCTGACCTCGGGCACGTCGCACGGTCACGGCAAGAATGACCGCGACTTCGACACCTCATCCCTGCCGCAGGAGTCCATCTTCGAGCAGCTCGACAAGGCCGACATCAGCTGGATGAACTACTCCAACACCACCAACTTCAACCCGGACTCCATGTTCTACAACTGGACCGCCTCCTCCGGCAAGGGCGACACCAACGTCAAGCGCATCGACCAGTTCTACAAGGACGCCAAGGACGGTAACCTGCCGCAGTTCACCTGGATCAACCCGGAGTGCTGCTCCTACACCTCCTTCCACCCGCCCTCGCCCATCAACATGGGCGAGAACTTCATCAAGAGCGTCTACGAGGCCCTGCGCGGCTCCCCGCAGTGGAAGGACACGCTCTTCATCCTGACCTTTGACGAGCACGGCGGTTTCGCCGACCACGTCGCCCCGCCCGAGAACGTCCCCGCCGGCGACGACCTGACCTACACCGAGAAGGCCCGCGACGGCAAGGAGTCCACTTTCCATTTCGACCGCCTGGGCATCCGGGTGCCCACGGTGCTGATGTCGCCCTGGGTCGGCAAGGGCGTGATCCAGAACAGCCCCAAAGACCAGCCCAACGAGTTCACCCACACCTCCATCCTCAAGTACGTGTCGGAGCTGTGGGGGCTCGACCCGCTGACCCCGCGGGTGGAGTGGTCGCCCAGCTTCAAGAGCCTGATCACGGATACCTACCGGGATGATACCCCGAAGAAGCTGCCTTCTGCGGCGGGTTATTAAGTAGGTTCGATGCCTGGAGCATCTTGGGACGGAGTATAGTTGGACTGGCCATAGTGTTTCTTTTTTTGTTTTTTTTTCTGGATGTATGTGATGAGCAAGCCCAGCTGGTTGCTGGCTTGAATAGTATATGAAATATATGAAATGAATGAATTAAATCTGTATTCTGTTAGTAGTACTCTGTATTTCTTCGAAGTTTAGAATTCTACGTGTCTACAATATCCCCTGGTGTAGGAACCACCAGCCGGACAACCGGCAGAACAAGCCCAGACCCACCACCCACCTAGCCACCAACGCCTCGTACACACGGAGTAAAGAAACCGACCGAGAAGCAGGACAGTACGAAAGAGCAAAAAAAAAAAAAACCGCATCTGTACAACCTCACCCTGCACCTCCCCGAGTACCTTGCACTAGCCCCCCTCCATGGATCCCCCATGGATGACTATGATGTGATGTACCTGTCTATCTGTACCTGACAGTCGGCAGATCGGCAATTCAAGCAACATCAGCGTTGCAGGACGCGCAAGCCGTTTGTTTGCTCTGCGGCAGATCGCGAAGAGGAGGGTGTTCGTGTATCGTGAATGGTCCGGTTTCGCATCTGCCTTGGCTGACTGGTTCGTGCCTGAGCCAGACAGAGTTTGGGCTAATGGGGCTGTGTTGGGCCAATCGGGTGGATATTGTGATGTATCGGAGGGTGTCAGATTGACGGTTGATATTTATATTGGTGTTGAGGGTATTAGAGGTGTAGGTTTGGAGGGTGTCGTGGTGGTCTGTCTTGTTGTTGTTGGGTTCCACACGCATGATGTGGCTGCGCTTGGGTTTGCTGTCTTTTCTGTATGCAGTGGCATGTCACACTTGAGCGAGTCTGTCATTGTGTAAATTGTTTTCGGCCAAAACGGCGATCGTCAATAGGCAATCATGAGCGGTTCTCATATCATCTAGATGCTGGGTGGACCCCGATCTAGGCCTGGTATACCATGTATGCGTTCTTCATCCATAGTGATTATCATCAGTCTGCCACATTGACAAAAAACACACACTCCATAATAGTTCGCTATGTGTCGGAATGTATCCTCTGGGATCTGTTCAACCTGATCAGCGCATCAACACAATCCACCAGAGGAGAAGAAGACGCGGAGAAGACAACATGATGGGCGGTGAGGCGCAGCAGAAAAAACGAGGAAGAAAAGCTTCCGGACGCGGAGATCTGCGCACCTCCGAGGTCCAACTTCTCATCATCCACTCACTATCGAAACCCGCAATTCGAAACTTTGATTGATACCATGATGTCCCCTTCGGTATGGAGGGGCTTGCGCCACGCCGCTCGTCGAGGAGGCAGCATCTCCACCCCCTACCGCTGCTTTTCCTGCACTCGAGCTGCCCGGGTGGAGAACAACAAGACGAACGATGGGGGAATGACCCATTTTGGGTTTACCAATGTTCGGGAATCGGAGAAGGAGTCGATGGGTATATATATATCTTCTTTTTCTATATTATATTTGGAGACTACATGGTGGATGCATGCTAATAATACGGTCAATAGTCGGCGCCGTGTTCAGCTCCGTCGCCTCATCGTATGACAACATGAACGACTTCATGTCCCTCGGGATCCACCGACTCTGGAAAGACCACTTCGTGCGCTCGTTGAACCCCGGATCCGCGCTCCCCTCTCGCGATGGCACCGACCCCGCCAACCGCGGCTGGAACATCCTCGACATCGCCGGCGGGACTGGCGACATCGCCTTTCGCATGCTGGACCACGCGACCAACATCAACCACGACCGCGACACCCGCGTCACCATCTCCGACATCAACCCGGACATGCTCGCCGAGGGCAAGAAGCGCAGCATCCAGACCCCCTACTACAACACCTCCCGTCTGTCCTTCCTCGAGGCCAACGCCCAGGAGATGCCCTCCGTCCCGGATAACTCGGTCGATCTCTACACGGTGGTGTTTGGCATCCGCAACTTCACGGATAAGCAGGCTGCGCTGAATGAGGCATTCCGTGTGCTGAAGCCTGGTGGTGTCTTTGCTTGTATGGAGTTCAGCAAGGTCGACAATGCTATCCTCAATGCCCTGTACAAGCAGTGGAGCTTCAGCGCTATCCCGTTGATCGGGCAGCTGGTTGCTGGTGATCGCGGCAGCTACCAGTACCTCGTGGAGAGTATCGAGCAGTTCCCCAGCCAGGAGGAGTTCCGGGCGATGATCCACAAGGCTGGGTTTATGATTCCGGGACGGGGGTTCGAGAATTTGACGGGGGGAATTGCTGCTATCCATAAGGGTGTTAAGCCGTTGTCATGAGAAGTGTGTCATTGATGTATAATAATTGTGTATAATATACCACGTACCGTTATGTTGGATGTCAACATCTGCCACTCGCCAGATGTGTTCTGGTCAAGTGGTCCAGATATATTGCTAACGACTGTCGTTGCAACGCTGTGTGTATGGTTATAGAGTATCAAGTTATTGCGAGCGTACTTACCCACTCTCCAGTACTGTAGAGCATGTCTGGCCTACTACATTCGTCCATTAACTGACCAAGAAATATACGTATATCAAGTACTGATACTCCTTTCCCCTCGGTTCATGCGACTTGCCATAGCTTATCTTCTTGTCCTCGGGGTCAACAGCTTCTCTTCTCCAACGGTGTACATATCCAAATGTGTCACTGAAGGTGATCAAGTCAGACATTCGTGAATACATATTCAGTACCTAGCACTATGATGATCATGGATATATACCCCCTGAGATAGACCATTCCTAGTTCAACACCAAACAACCACAAGTGTACACAGTCTACGGCACCTAGTACCTAGTAGTCGATACTTGCCTCTAGATAGGTAAATGAATGAATTCAACCCAACGCATCAACAGCCCTCTCCCAATACCCCCTCCTCTCCCGATTCGCCTCCGTCCCCACACAATCCCGTATATAAGCCTTCCAGCCCTTCTCACTCCCAGACTGCAACTGCTTTCGCACATCATCCCCACACTGTGTCGTCAGGAACCACGCCCCGGATCCGAAATCGTACTCTGTTTTGTCGACTAGCAGGTCGAGCACCTTGTCTGCGTCTGAGGAGGCTTGTTCTGCTGCGTCTGCGATGTCGGGGAGGGACGATGCGTATTTTTGGTTGTAGGTTGGGGATTGCATGTTTCGGGCTATATTCATATCGGGGTTGTGGTTAGTTTGATGCTAGTATAGAAGAGGGCAGATAGGGTTAGGGGAAAGAATAGAACGCACTCCCCTTACCCGGCACCCCGGGCGAATGATTCCGGTTATATTGAAACTCTTCACTTTCAAAAGCCATCAGCCCGATAACAGCGGCTTGTTCGGCCCGCGAATGCACCTTGTACTTGTCGAAGGACGCGCTGATGGCCGGCGCGGCTTGCGCTGCCGTCGCGCATTCGTCTTTTGATGAAGCCGATTCGCAGGATTTGGATTTGGGGGCGATGGTTTCGATTTGTTTGGGGGTGAGTTGGGTTTCTTTTTGGGCCCGGGTTTGGAGGTTAGGGTTGGGGGAGGAGTTTTGGGCTGGGAGGGCATTGGAGAGGAGAGGGAGCAGGAAGAGGAGCGCTGTGAGGTGGGTTTGCATCTTGGTGGTTTCTTGGTTTGAGCCTGTCAATGGAATGAAGTAGGATTTGCTCGCTGGGTATATTTGGAGGATGTATGCTGAGTCCAGGAGAGATCTATACGGAGACGAGGAAGGATTAATGTAGTGAGCCGCCAGCAGATCGCCATTTCACCCCCCTGGATAATCCATCCTTCGTTTCTCACATTCCTGAAGTGGATCATCATCCCGTAAGCACCATCATCGGTTTGGTTTGGAGGAACTCAAGTCTGCGCCCCACTGATCACCATAGATCACCATAGCTAAGGGCACAGTCATCTTCCTACCGTGGAACTGGCCATAGTTGGAACTTGGAGGTTTGTTCAGTCAAGGATTGTTTCCTCTGCTAAGTATATCACATACACCGGCCAGTTCTAGATGTCCATAACGCCAATTTGAGAAATCTCCCATTATGCAAGTCGTAGTTTATAGTCATACTTCTTCTTCCTACGAACCTTATCGACGCCGATCTTTCTTCAGGGGCGAAAATGTCGAAAACGCACCGAATGCTGTGATAGTGATGGTTAGCCCAAGGCTGAGACAGACACGTTGCTGCTATTGACTGCTTACCGGCGGGTTTTTTGAGGTCCTTTGAGGGCTCCTCCTCGAAGTCATCGTCAAGCAGGGTCTTGTCACGCTGCCCACCCAGCTTGCGCTTCTTGGTTTTCGCCATTCCTAGACCTGGGGCACGGTTGAATAAGGATGCAGAGGTCCCTGCCATATCGCTGGCGTCAACCAGGTTGCTCGGTTTCTTCTGTGTTTTCTTCGTGACTTTGGCCTTGGGCTTGGCCTGGGCCGGTTGCTCCTCTGAAACTGCCTCATTGGCCGACACTGACGGCTCCCGGTTGCTGGAAGCGATGCTTCGACCTTCACTAGGGGCTTCCGAGCGCTGTTCCCTCGCGCGATCAACCGCGCGCGCCACAGGGGTGTCGTTCTCTGATTCGTCCGAGGACATAGTCGAATCTCGCCCTTTCGTGCGTTCCAGGAACGGGGTGATGGAGAATGCAGACTTTTCACCCGGTCGTGTGATGGGTTGCTTCTTTTTCTCCGCGCCGCGGACGGCACCAGGCGTGCTGATGGTCATGCCGGGATCAAATCGGGAGCTGCGGGACTGATCCTTGAGTGGGACGGTCTGCGGAGGCGGATCGGCCAGTCTTGTAGCTTCCGGCGCAACCGGCCGTCGTTGATTGTTAGCCTGTGCCATAGCGAGACTCTCCTGATCAAGAGACTGCTTCCGACTCAGACTTTCGATCTTCGCTTCCAGTGTGGTGCGTTCCGAGGCCCATTTACGGCTTTGTTGGTGAGCACTGCTCTCCACCTCGGCAAGCTTCTTCCGCGTCTCGTCCAGCTTGGTTGTGAGGGTGACGATCTCGTCTGACAGTTTGGACGCCTGAGCGCGGGTATGATTATGCGCTCGTTTCTCATCCTCCAGCTCTACATCCAAGGCGTTGAATTGACGTTCGAGGGCCTGCTTTTCGGCGATGGCGGCAGACGTGGAAGCTGCTTGAGATCGGAGTCGCTCCGCCTCGGATTGCAGCGATGCCAGGTCTCTCGACAGTCGCGTTTTCTCGGCGACAAGCTTTTGAGAGTCCGCGGAAACGGTATTTACGGAGGCAAGCTCTTCCTGGGTCCAAGGTCAGAATGCGTCGTAGATCCCGGGGTGCATACATACGCGAAGTTCCTCGGTTTCCCGCGAGCAAATCACAGCCGTCTGATGAGACCGGTTCAGATCCTCGTAGACCTTTCGGAGTTCCTGTCGCGCATCGGTCTCCCTTCTCATCGACCTGGCCAAGTCTTGGTTCAATCGGTCCAACTGGAGTTGAAGGCTGTCATTCTCAAACTCGACAAACAACTGCTCCACCTGCTGATTCCTCCCTTTCTCGGCGTCTAAGATGCGCGATGCGTGTCCGATTGCCTCGAGGTAGTCTCTTTCTAGATAAGCCGTTTTCAATGCCATTCGACACTTGTATTGTTAGTCCCCGCGGATGATAAAGGGATGGGTGGGGGTGTACGTCTTCGATGGTGGACTCATCCTGCGCAAGGACCTCCATCATTATGAACCAAATATCTCTACCAATATGACGCAGAATAAATAGGCGGGAGTTTCAATCTAGTATACAGCGTGACTTGGGATAGTTGACCATTCCACAACTAACGCGATGGGAGGTCGACGCGTTGGCGGTAAATCGAGGCAGTATCCCGAATCTGATAAGGAAGTATAACAAACAGGGCAAACACCGTCCCGCCCGCTGACTGACGATCCGACTGCCTGGGGCATCACGATCCAGCCCCCTCACGATCAAGTCGAAAGGCATCGCAGAACCAGTTCTCTCAATGGAGCTTCAGAACTCCCCTTCCAGGCCGTCCAATGCATCCCCGCCCAATCCCTCGGTGCCGCGCGAACCAAAGCTTCAACTCCCCTTGACCACCGACCCGCCCGGACCGCAGAACCCCCCGAAACCGTTGGTATGGCTGGTGAGTTACCGCGTACCTCGATCGTCCTCATTCCCAATGACTGACGCACCAATGGCTCGCAGATATTCGGTGCTGTCGGTCACATGGGTCGCTCGCTAGTCAAGACCGCTTTAGCCCAGGATGACCTCGTCGCCGCAGTAGGACGGACATTCGAAACCAGCCCCGAGAGCATGAAGAAGCTAGAGGAAGAGCACGAGAACTGCCTAGGCCTCCTATGCGACGTGCGAGCCCGCGAAACCGTCCAACGTGTCATTGACCGCACCATCGAACGATTCGGCCGCATCGACATCGTCGCCAATTGCTCCGGCTACGGCGTGATCGGCGCCTGCGAAGACCAAGACGAGTACAATATTCGCGACCAGTTCGAGACGAACTTCACCGGCACGTTGAACATGATTCAGCTGTCATTGCCGCACTTTCGCGAGCGGGGGTCTGGCCGATACGTTATCTTCAGTTCGACGTCCGGCGCCCTCGGCGTGCCGGGGCTGGGGCCCTACTGCGCGTCGAAGTACGCCGTTGAGGGCTTGATGGAGAGCATGCTCTACGAGGTGGACAGCTTCAATATCAAGACTACGCTCGTCGAGCCGGGCCATATGCGCCGCGACGACGTGGGCGATCTCGTCTCCGACCCGGCTGCCTTCCCTGCTGCTGCTACTGCTGCTGCTGCTGCCGCCGCCGCGCAGGACCACGCGCAGGCTAACCTGGCGACACCGCTGCCCCTCTACGGCCACTTCCTGGTCAAGCCGCCCAGCGAGCCCTACAACACGCACACGTCGCCCGCGGCGCACGCTAAACGCATGCTCATGTGGCTGGGGGACAAACAGCCCGCCAGCGCCGTCAAAGCGACCAATTTGATCTGGCAGCTGGGGCACTGCTCTTACCCGCCGCTGCGCCTTATTCTTGGGACTTACGCGGTGGAAAGTATCCGCGACCGACTCAAGTGTATTATCGAGGAGATCGAAGACTGGAAGTATCTGAGCTTTCCGACAGAAGGTCAACAGGGACCGTCCCCACCAGACCAGCCGGCTGCATCTGGAGACTAGTGGCTGTTTAGGGCAGAAGTGGCAGTTTAGCCTTTTCGCCCGTCATGCGCTGAGCATGCTCTTCTCGGACTGCAGATGTAAACGACAGTTTTACCTCGAGGGCAGATCATATGACATGGTCGCCTGTCCAAGTATATTGCGCAAGCGAGACCAGACCGTCCCCTCGAGTCTAGACCATTCATCACTCCCAGCTTGATGTCTTCCATCCGTCCGGATGCTAGACCGCTAGGTCTTTGAAGACAGCCACCTGGCCATGATGCGGGGGGAGTTGGAAGGCTTGGAAGAAGAGGAAGAGGAATCATCCTATCACAATCGTTCCGGCCAGCACCGCAGCAGAGTCAACCCTCTAAACGAGATGACCATCCCGCGTGGGGAGCATCCTATAGTACAGTCTACTACGGGGTAGTGGGGTGCACGCTATACGAGTCGGAAAGATCCGTCGATCGGGGATTCTCGGTGGTAGATGGGTACATGGGTATAATCCTGATCCTGAATCAATATGTAAATGATAACTCAATCAATATAAAATAAAATAGAATAGAATAATGTACACAAGTACGGCTTTCTATTCTACTCAATCCTACTGTGACACTCAATGCACTCTACCAATACTACTCCATATACAGGTACTATATGGACAGTACCTTCCTATAGTAGGTAGTAGGTAGGTGTTGAAACCCCACCTCCACCGTATACTCGATTTGTAGAGTAATTGATTCCCCGCGTTGAACTAGACTCTCATCAGCCACTTTGATCCATATGATTCAAGTCTTGTGCATTATTAATAACGGTAATACTTGTATTACGTAAGATACGATCATTGCTGGTATTCTCTTACGCCCCATCTGGACTTGCACTTCTCTCTCTCCCTACAACCGTCCGTTGGTATCCATCTTTATCACCATATTATCATCTGGAATACAATAAAGATGATGATGTTTTATCATATCATCACATCATCAGCAATACAATAGGTGCTGAAAGGTGGATCGGGTTCTCTTCTAGTGTTATCAACTACCTTATTTCCACTACTATATTGATTACTACTGCTATACTACGGAGTACTACTATACTGAATACAACCCAGTTACCCACAAGTTGACTTCTTTATTATATAATGAACGATAATACTCTCTAACTATGCTAATACGAAAATGCAAATCTAATGCTGTAGCGTTAATGCACTGGGTTAGAGGCAGGTGCATACCCAAGATCAAGAAACCAAGTGGGCTCAAATGAAGTCGTCGGTAGATCATCAATCGTCATATCCGATTAAACGGTGTTTTTGCGTTTTTTTCTTTTCTGTCGGTGGATCATGACTGTCCATCGTCAATAGCCTCGATCGGTGGATCGAGAGGAAGACAGAAAGAGGAAAAGAGAAAGGGAGAGAGAGGGAGAGAGAAAATTAACTGCGTTTCTCCAGGAGCAAATGGCCCGTCGGCGTCTTACGGCTGAACCCGCCCTCGCGGCTGAAGATCTTCTCTCCCCGCAGCCACGTCTCGCGCACCATGCCCCGGAGTCGGCGGCCTTGATAGGGGGAGCACTTGTTGCGGAAGAGCATCGTGTTCGGCTCGACGATCCACTCAGCACTGTCGTCGAAGACGCAGATGTCGGCGTCGAAGCCCGGCACCAGGTCGCCCTTTTGGCGATCGAGGCCGACCTGCGCCGCCGTGTTGGCGCAGCAGAGGCGCACCACGTCCTGGAGGGCCTTCTTGGTCTGGATGTCGTCCGCGGCGGCGGTCAGGCCCTTGCGCTGGCTGAGTTCGGTCCACATGATGGGGAGGCCCAGGCCCACCGAGGAGATGCCGCCCCAGGCGGCGGCGAAGCTGCCCATATCCTTCTCCTCGACGACGTGGCCGGGGATGTGGGCCGGCAGGCGTTTGAGGTCCGGGGTGCAGGGAGAGTGATCCGAGACGACGGTCTTGATGACGCCGGTGTCGGCGTGACGTTCCAGTTCGGCCCAGAGGGCGTCCTGGTTGGACTGGGTGCGGATGGGCGGGCAGCACTTGTGGCGAGTGTCACCGTCGCGGATCTCCTCGGCGGCCAGGGACAGGTAATGGAAGCAGGTTTCGGCAGTGATGGCGACGCCGTCGGCGCGGGCCCGGCGCAGGAGCGGGATGGCCTCCATGGCGGACAGGTGGACGATGTGCAGGGGGAGCTTGGGAGCGAGGGGAGCCAGGGCGAGGATCTCCTCAACGGCGGCGGTCTCATAGGAGGAGGGGCGGGAGGCCAGGAAGGTGGAGTAGGCCTCGGGGGGGCCGTCCAGGGCGGGGGTGGGGTCGGCCCCGGAAGCGGGGGCGTTGGGGGGTTCCATCTCGGCGTGGAACATCAGCGTGGTGGGTTCGTCGGCGAGGGCGGTCATGGCTTTGCGGATATCCTCCGACGAGACGGCGGGGAATTCGTCAACCTGAGGGGTCAGTATGAGAGACTACATTCACCAACAACAAAAAAAAAAGGGGGGGAAGAAAACTCACCCCACTGTCGATCAAGAAACCCTTGAAACCTCGGACCCCCTCGTTGACGAGGGGTTGGAGATCCCCGGCGTTACCGGGGATGATGCCGCCATAGAAGCCGACGTCGACCCAGCACTGGCCGTCCGCGGCACGCAACTTCTCCTTGAAGTTGGCGACGGTGGTGGTGGGGGGGATGGCATTCAAGGGCATATCGATGACGGTGGTGACACCGCCAAAGGCCGCGGCCTGGGTGCCGGTATAGAAGCCCTCCCACTCGGTGCGGCCGGGCTCATTGAGGTGAACATGAGCGTCGACGAGGCCGGGGAGCAGGACGTGAGGGGAATAGTCGGTGTAGGGAGTACCGGGAGGGAACTCCTCGGCGGGGATGACCGAGTCGAGGACGGCGGTGATCTTCCCGGTGGTGCGCGAGAGGACGACGGTAGCCGAGGTCAGACGACCGGCGACGACGGCGCGGGACGAGGCGACGACCGCGATGGAGGGGGGAGAGGATTGCATGGGGAGGAGGGTAGGGGGGAGACAGGAGGAGGAAGAAGAAGAAGGAGAAGAAGGGGTGAAGGATGCTAATGCTGAGACACGAGAAAAGAGAGAGAGAGAGAGAGAGAGAAAGACAGAAGCGAAGGTATGGGGAAGGAAGAGAGAGAAGAAAGAGCAGAAGAAGGAGAGAAAGTCGAAAGAAAAGATAAGAGATAAGAGGCTTCTTATATCAGAGAAAGAAGATCGAGTAAGCCATTATTGGAATTCCCTTCGGAAAAGGCACGATCGAGTAATGGAAACGGTGGATAAGACCCGATTAGGGCTGGAGGCGAAATACTCCGATCCATCGCGGTCCGATAAGACAAAGAATGAAGAGGGAAAAGAAGGGAAAGACCCACCAGAACCGTGCTTCCTCTTCTTGTTTGCCTCCACTCTACTCTACTGCTCTTCTCTATTCTCTTCTTTCCTCTTCTCTATTCTCGTTTTGACTTCTCAAGACTGTTCTCTGTGGTGTTCTCTATCCACTTCATGCAGTGACTAGGGCTATAGAAATCGAATCCCCTCACTTTGACCGGATTGGGCGAGGAAAACCCTGAAAATGCCGTCCTTCTTATGCATGCTTAGTCATGTCAGTTATCCATGGTCCAGTCCCCAATGGCCCACTTTCCTCAGGCTGCCATCGGGCGCCTCCGCCATCCGTCGGAATTCTCCTACTCTGGTGTATTCACCTTATTCTCCCTTCTATATATCTATCTACCGATCATTATTTATAGATATATTCATGCCATCTTGGTTCATTGATATATATTCACTTATATACCGCCACTGTCAAATGCATTCCCCGTCAAAGTAATCCCGTGGACCCACTTTCTGCAGTCGGTTGATCGGCGTGCCAGCCACTGATCAGACTGTAGTCTGTACACAGTACGGAGTCCTCCGTAGAGCAGTAGATCTGTACTCAGTATCAATCCTACGTCGACCTCTGCAGTTCGATGTAGACAAGATAAGAGATACTGTTTGTGCTGTTTGTCCTGTTTGTATCGCGCCATCTACTCTCCGAAAGGTTTCGGAACACTGTCCCTCTATCAACACCTTTTCTACCGGTTCGTTCGAACTATATGCATAGATCTGTGGTGATTCCACGGGCAACAGGACTATTATCCTCAATTTATATACCTAAGATACCAGTATACAGGATCAAGCAACGGACCCATCTCGTAGCGCCCGTCGTTCCACCACGCTAGACCGGATCGGGCAAAATCAAAACAAACAGCGGTTCGTCCGTCTCATGAATACCATCAAAAAGATAAGTTATAAAGGACAGCCGGTCCGGTGTCCACAGACCATCAATGCCATGGTCACTCTACCTGGGTAATTCGTTCAATTATATCTCTCTTATTGAAAAAAATAAAATAAAAAGAAAAACATATTCAGCAGAACCACTTGAGATAAAACTGGTGTTATGATGGATCGTAGAATCATCACATCGCCAAAACAAACCAACCACAGAATCATTCTCCCAAGTAACACTATTGTTGGTTGAATAATCAATTGCCATTGATCGAAATAGTGATTCGATTCTCTTCTATTGGTTTTAGGTTGGTTTTCTGTACGCAACCTGCACACTTACCGAACCCGGTTGGCGCGGCTCTGTTGGTCGGCCTCGTTGCCTCGCTGCCTCGTTGCCGCCGCTTCTCTCTCTTCCTCTCACTTTCTTCATCTTGACTCCTTCATCCTCACTTCCATTTCAGATTCATCGCACGCCATACTCCATCCACCTGTCGCGGTTCTTCGCGATCATCATCGTTGGTCTTTTCCTCTCGACCAATCTCCACAATATATCCAGTTGCCTTTGGGTCCATCCTACCAAGACTCCACTGCACAATCGAGATTCCCCGGGTGGGATCCATCGACCAGAATAGTGACTGCGCTGCCTCGGCGCCTGCCATGCGGCGTTGAACATGCCGATTCTTCTGCTCGCATCTGCGCCGGACATCCCGTCGCGTTTGAAATAGTCGACCACCAAGACCCCACTCGCCATTGAGATTCCCACCGAGATCGTCTACTCCACCACCCGCCTCCGCGTCCGGCCCGGACTTCCTATATAGTATACAGTATACACCTCATATAATATAATCCAACGCGACAATGGATGGCCCCCCACCGCCCCCCCCGCCCCACGGCGAGAAACCCAACACCACCCACGGCGAGTACCGCAAAGCCTCCGATCTGCCCAAGGGGAATTACGACATCTTCATCATCCCCCCTCACTCATCGGGCTCCGGCTTCCTCTACCTCCCTTCCCTACAATGTCAGCGGAATAGTTTCATCGCCGGCTCCCTCTCCACCCTGTTTGTCGTCCTCCTGTGGGTCAACCTGGCCCCCCTCCTCCGAACTTGGTATACGGCCACGGTGACCAGCGGCGGGGGGATCGGATTCGCGCTCATCCTGGCGATGTGCGTGGGGATCGCCGGCTGGGCGTTTGGTGCGTCCCAGACCGCCAGTCCGCGCAGCAGCCGGTTTGGCTTTGGCCCGGGATCCGGGGGTGCAGGCGCGGGCGCAGGTCCCGCGCCGAACCCCTCGGGGGCCAGCTCGGGGGCGAACGATGGAGGTAGCCACGGGGGACCGCACGGAAACTATGGGAGCAATCATGGGAACTTTGGTGGTCCCCCGCCCGGGAATCAGTATGCAGGGAACCAACACAGTGCCGGGGCCCCTCCCCCGCAACCGCCCCCGCCCAATTTCGATTCCAAGCCAAACAGCAGCGGTCCGCCCCCGGACAAGGAATCCAGACCCCAAAGCGGGGACGACTGGGAACGGGCACGGGAGGAGACCCGACGGAAGGAGGAGCTCCGTCGCAAGATGGAGGAGTTCAAGCGGAAGCGCGAGGCCGAGGCCCGCGAGAAACAGAAGCAGCGCGAGCGCGAGGCCATGGAACGGGAGATGCGGGAGCGCCGCGAGCAGTTCGAGAAAGAGATGGCGGCCGCCAAAGAGGCCGCCACCCGCGAGGCTCAGCGCGAGGCGGCCGAAGCCCGCGCGCGCATCGAACGAGAGGCCGCTGAGGCCCGGGCTAAGGCCCAACGGGAGGCCGCCGAAGCGCGGGCCAAAGCCGAGAGAGACGCCGCCGAGGCGAGGGCCAAAGCGGAGCGCGAAGTCGCCGAGACCCGGAAACGTGACGAGCGCGCCGCGGCGGAGCTCAAGGCCAAGCGGGAGCAAGAAGCGGCCGAGGCGAAGGCGCGAGCCGAGAAACAGGCGGCGGAAAAGGAGGCCGCCGCCAAAGCGGCCGCCAAGAAGGAAGCCGATGCCAAATTTGCTGCCCTCAAAGAGGCCGCCGCAAAGAAATACGCCGAGAAGAAGGCCCGGGACGCGCAGGAAGCTGCCGCCAAAGAGGCCGCCGCCAAACCCCCCAGCCAGGCATCCACGCCCACCCCGACGCCTCGAACGCCATCCCCAAAGAAGTCGGCCCCCACCACCGCTCGCCCCGACGATGCGAGTTCCTTTCGACCCTACGATCGCCCCCGACGGCCCTACGGGGGCACCTCGGCATCCTCCGCTTACTCCGAATCATCCTACGCTGCCTCCCAGTCCACCGCACGCACGTCCCCGGCGCCCTCGGTGCGGCGCGCCTACGAGACCAAGGACCCGGACAAGATCGTCATCAAAGGGGTCTATGTCTTCAATAACGCATTTCTACGCACCCCCGTGGCGCAGCTGGTGTCCGGGGAAGGCATGGTGACGGACGGCCTAGTCCTCCGGATTACCACGGAGGGGCTCTTCATCGACGACGACATTCGGGGGGTACCGCAGCGCGAATGGGACGTCAAGGCCTGGACGATGAAGCTCGTCGAGGTATGGTGTCCGCAGTTTGCGAAGACGAAACCGGCAGGGCCCAAGCCCAGCAACTCGTTCTTCCGCCGCGCCCCCGGCGAGCCGACGGCCGAGGAGTCGGACGCCTTCCTGGTCAGCCTGCTCAAGGTCTGCAAGAACACGTGCCGCCTCGCGTCGCCCGGCTGCTTCAGCCGGACCAGCGGGCTCAGCGCCGCGGAGCTGGCGAGTCTGCACGTGCTGCGGGCGACGATCCGCGACCAGGAAGGCCGACGGTACCTGTTCGTGCTGCAGGAGACCGAAGGCTGGAAGGTGGGCATTGGCCTGCAGCGACTGCGCAAGAGCTCGCAGGTGCGCGCCCTCGGGGTGACGGGCATGCCAGCCAGCGACAGTCGCACGGCCCTGGGGCAACTGGGATACGCTTAGTTTGCTGGGTGGTATGGTATGGTAGAGTATGCGGTCGTTCTTCGTCCTGACCGATCACGTTCGTTTCGAGATTCCCCCTGATGTATGCATTTACGTTTCACGTTGGTATGATTGTTTTGTGTCTTTGTTTTGGATCTCTGTATATATCTTGGTCACCTCGTGATCATAATTGAATAGTCTCCCTGTGTTTCTTAGCCATGAGGACCGATTTTTTTCACTTGACTAGACATTATACATCATATTTCTGCCCGCTTCGTACGTAACCCATAGTCAGTAACTCATAGTCAGTAACCCATAGCCAGGAACCCATAGTCAGGAACCTATATTCACGTCCCTATCTCATTGCGACAATAGTACGCTCGGGTACACGACCCTTGGCGCGTCGACCCACGCCGAGCTCGGCTAGTCGCATGGTTTTTGACCTCACCAGGACGACTTCACTTCACACCGTTGGACCAGACGACGAGGAGCAGTGAAGAGGTCAATTAATCCCCTGGGCCTTTCCTCATCGCATCGCATCGTCTACTCATGACCCATTGGGCTTTTTCTGTCCGTCTCCGTCCAGTTCCGGCAGGCGGTCAGCAGCTCCCCGGCCCATTGAAATTCTCGGTGCAAAAACACTTTTTTTTCCTTCCGTCCCAAACACGCCGATCTCAACCACAGAGACTGGCTGTTCGACCGCGTTCGCTCTTCACGAAGTCGTCCTCCGATCGTCAGGCGTTCCTTCTTTCCAAGTCGACCATGGACTCTGCCGCCGATTTCCCGCCCTTTCAGGAGCGGTTGACCTCGTCGCTCGTGCAGGTCACCCGCTCCGTGGGTCAGCTCTCCGCCGAAGACCTCAACTTCCATCGCTCCGGGAACCGCGAGGTCTCCGACTCGCTGGATGAGCAGAGTGTGAGGCTGCTGTCGCTGACGTCGTCGATCGTCAAGGCCGCCACCGCCGGCACCGAGGTCCCCGCCCCGTCGCTGAAGAACGAGGACTCGATCGAGGATAACTGGCGCGGGGTCGTGGATGTCATTGATGCGCTGCTGGAGCGTGCGGATGCCTCTTTGGATGAGTTCACCGGTGTTATCAAGCGGCTGAGCCCTTCGCAGCAGGAGCAGGGTGCCGTCGCTGCGGCCAAATACGCTAAGAAGGCTCCGTCCAACGCGTTCCCGACGATCTATGACTACGGCCCGTCGAAGATCCCCAAGCCGCAGGTGGAGTTTGTGCGTCCCGTCGATAATACCGATGAGTCGCCCTTCCGCCCGCTGCTGCGCACGAAGCCCCACGCCAAGGCGTCGTTGGAGCGCGTGCTCGATGTGGAGGATCCGGCCGCCGGCTATCCCAACCCGTATGAGGCGGAGATTCGCGCCGCGCAGTATCCTGAGAGGGTCTATAAGGTGGCGCCGCCGGTGGACTACATGCCGTGGGAGTCGACCACGGCGACGTTCGTGGACACGGTGGATGGGGTGAAGGAAATGCTGGCGGAGCTGAAGTCGGCGAACGAGATCGCCATCGATCTGGAACACCACGACGTGCACTCGTACCACGGGTTGGTATCGCTGATGCAGATCAGCACGCGCGACAAGGACTGGGTGGTGGACACGCTGAAGCCGTGGCGGGAGGAGCTGCAGATGCTGAACGAGGTGTTTGCTGACCCTAACATCCTCAAGGTGCTGCATGGCTCGTCCATGGATATCATCTGGCTGCAGCGCGATCTCGGCCTGTACATGGTGGGAATGTTCGATACCTACCATGCTGCCTGTGCGCTGCTGTACCCCAAGCGGAGCTTGAAGTTCCTGCTGCAAAAGTTCGTCAACTTCGAGGCCGACAAGCGCTACCAGATGGCCGACTGGAGAATCCGCCCCCTCCCCCAGGGCATGTTCGACTACGCCCGCTCAGATACCCACTACCTTCTGCACATCTACGACCACCTGCGCAACGAGCTCGTCGAGAACTCGACTCCGGACCATCGTCTCGTCGACGACGTCTTGCAGAACTCGAAAAACGAGGCCCTCCAGCGGTACGAGCGGCCCGTGTACGACGCGGCCACCGGCCAAGGTGCCGGCGGCTGGTACGACCACCTGTCGCGCAACCCGGCCGTGCTCAGCAAGGAGCAGTTCGCGGTCTTCAAGGCGGTGCACCAGTGGCGGGACGAAGTCGCCCGCGCCGAAGACGAAGGCGTGCAGTGCGTCTTCCCCAAACATGTCCTCTTCAAGGTCGCCCAGGCCATGCCGACCGATCTGGGCACGCTCTTCCGCACCTTGTCCCCCGTGACGCCCATCACGAAGGACCGCGCCCCGGAGCTGCTGGAGATCATCAAGCAAGCCAAGATCGACGGCGCCGATGGCCCCGAGTGGCGCGACGTCTACGTCAAGCCCAAGTGGGGCCAGTCCGCGGCTCGTACTGCGGAAGCCGCCAAGGGTCTGCTCACGCCGCCGGCGGGCGCAGACTCCGCCCCTGCCGCCGGCCGCTGCGAGGTCTCCCAATTCTGGGGAGGGGTGCTGCACCCGGAGGAACCTCTGACGCCGCCCCAGTACGCCGCTGCCGCATCCGCTGAAGCCCTCCGACTCTCCCTTCCTTTGCCCCCAGTGCCAACTGTCTCCGCCAAGCCTGCCCCGAAACCCGAGCCGACCCCCACAGCCGAGCCCACCCCAGCAGAACCCATCAAAGAAGAAGAAACCAACCAAGTCTTCACCGTCAAGGAGAGAGGCGGACCCCGCAAGAAGCGCAAAGCCCGCGCCGAATCCACCGACTCCGCCGAGCAAGCAACACCCGTATCAGAGGCGGCCTCCGCCGACGCCTCCGCCGACGCAGAAGCAACCACCACCTCCGAACAACCCTCCTCGCAAGACAAGCGCTCCAAGAAGAAGAAGCAGCGCAAGAATAAGAACGCCGCTGCGGCGAGCGAAACCCCAGAAGCGGAACAGGGAGGGAAAGAAGAGGAGTCAGCATTCGACTACACCGCTGCAGACACCGTCCTCCACGCGAAACCCACCCAGTCTGGTCTGCCGCAGAAAATGCGCTTCGACCCCTACAAGAAGGCCCTGGAGGCGCCTTCTGGTGTGAGGAAGCAGAAGAGGGAGATCCCGGGGAAGTCGTTTACTTATCGGTAGAATCTTTACTTGTTATAGTGTTGATAGTTGCTGGGATATGGATTATGGGTATGGATATGGTATGGCGTTGGGGTGGGTTTACTTATCCTGTAGATGATAGATATTATGTTCTATCTTGTTGATATCTATTTGTTATGAATAGTGATGTGCATGGTGTGAATATTATTGCATTCAGTTTTTGGTTTACTTACTTGGTGATATACCGGTATATCTATCTATCTATCTATCTACCTGCAGCCTCTCGCGACACATTGGGTATTAGTATTATTGGGCGGGTGTCTATGTTGGCCGCTGTCTATGTCATAATCATTTTTTAAATAGAGAATGAACTCAATTATACTATTCTATTGAAACACATAATACTGAAATATTTATTGAAAGGTCTTGCTGCATGCCAAAGCGTAAATCGAATACCTTCTAGTGGACACTATACGTTGGCCTCCAGAGTCCCCGGCTGCTCTGTAGCCTGTGCAGGCTTGACGTCGTCCGCTCGTCGGTTTTGGATGAGGCGCTTTAGTATCATTAGCAGGGTTGGCAGATACTAGGTCATGATATGGTATGGTACTCACCAACAGGTTGCGCAGCAAGACGACGATGGTCACCTTGCCGATGGAAGGCACGAAGATGGATGCCTTTTCGCGGACTTCGTGGGGGAAGTTCTGCATTTGGTTAGCAAGCTGTTTTATTTGGGTGGGTTGATAGATAGTTGACTGACCTTCTCGCTGGAAAAGTTCACACACACAGCGCCCTCACGAAGCAGGCTGGTATCGAACTTGTACTTCTCCCCCGGAACACCGCTGATCACGACGTCGCACAGCGGCGCCACGTCATTGATGGTCTTGCCCTCCAGCTCATGAACCTCGTGTCTCCCCTTGCGGAGACCCTCCCCGCGGGTGAACTTCTGCACCCCGGTGATATCCACGCTGTACACGCAAGCGCCGTCGTTGGCGAGCAGGGCAGCCAGGGGTCGGCCGACGACCTCGGAGCGGTTGACCACGCAGATGGTGTGGCCGAACAGGCGGTTTCCGTAGGGCAGGATGCGGTTGTAGATGTTGAGGTATTCGAGGATCTTGACGATGGCGAGCGGGGTGCACGGGATGATGGACTTCTGGCGCTTGGTTGCCGGGTCGAGGAAGCGGATGTTCTGGTACATGTTGAAGATGTAGCGGTGGGTGAGACCCTCCACGTCTTTGGAGACGTCGACGATCTGCTGCAGGTACTGGTCTTGGCGGTTGTTGAAGATCGGGTAGTATACGATGATTCCGTCGACCTCTGGGTCGACGTTGGCGGCGAGGAGAGCCTCCTCCAGATCATCTCGGTGCAATTGACGCAGCGAGTACCGGAAGCCACTGGCGAGTCCAATTGTTAGATACAATGCACGAGAGGGGCAGTGATCCGAGATCGGCCATCCCGAGAACAGATCCATGAAGAGCCATTGACTCCAATAAGAGAAGCTCACTTTTCCTCACAGGTCTTCTCCGTCCACTGGGCGTACATGAGCGCCGCGGGGTCATCGTTGGCCAGGAATCCCACCAGGTGGGGGGGCTTCTCCAGCGTCTTCAGACCCTCCTGGACCTCGGCGAGAAGGCCATTGGCGACATGCTTGGAGAGCATGACCTTGCAGGAGGCGGGGGCAGCATCTGTGGAAGCCATTGTGATCTGTGATCTGAGTGTCTGGACTGATCCAAGGTGATCTGGAGACCTAGGGATCTAGAGGAATGAAGAGATGGGACTGTGAGTCAGTCAATGATCGACATCGGAGAGAAAATTTGGTCCGTGATGCTTATCGCCCCGATAAGGTCACGTGTTGCGGGGCATCGCCGATTGGTGTGCCTGATCTTCCCGATGCGGGACTGGTTTCAATTATTTGAATAGATGCGACTATAGTAGACAGACTTGAAGTCGATCGTCTATTGAGCCATATGGAGCCATCACAATTTACAGCAACCCGAGGGGGGAATCGCAGCCTCGTCTCCCACCTGAACACTACGGTTCGTTTCTTGCGTCGACAATGCGACATCCAACCCAGGGTTCCCCGTGAAAAAATTCAGCGGCTTCAGGCCGACAGACATCTTTTCACACGGCATAACAGGCCAGTCTTCGATCCGCGGGTTGTGCGTGGAGCCAAATGTGTGCCAGACCACGATGTCTTCGTTGCGGACGGATGATTGCGCGGGAGGCCCCTTCTGGCGCTGTTCGATAGCCGACGCGATGCCCTCGCCCCCAGCGGACTGCATGGTGTGTCGACCAGATGGGAACAGTTCGTCGTCCTGGTAGCGCGTGACCCAGACCGCGTGCTTCGCAAACTCGGAGCGTTTGGCGTGGTTGGACTGCGGGTGCGCCAGCAGCATCTGACTGTAATAGGGTAACAGCTTAAACCCCACCGGGGTTCCGGTGACGGGATTGATCCGCTCTTCGTTGATGATCTTGAAGGTGCGATTTTTGGCGAAGTCGAGATCGAGTCCCTGCTCCTGTGGAATGATGTTCCGCGTGGTGGTGTATCCCACGCCGAACGGATTGTGAACCGCCGGGTCGCCCACCGGCATGGGGACGGACTCCTCGACCTGGAGGGAATTTTTCGGTCCGTCTAACGCTGGGTCCATGCGGAGGCAGAACAGGTGCTGGTGGTAAGGCGCGAGCACCCCAGGCCCTACGACAGTACCGTACGGGACTTGATCGCCGACGTTGATGGGGCAGGTGGACAGGATCCCCGTCGCGCGGACTTCATAGTGGATGGAAGCGTCTTGACCGAAGTAGAAGGCGAAGATATACTCATAGTTGCTGACCGTGATGATCGTCTGCAAGACTAGGACCCGCGCGCGCGTGACGGCCGCATTTTGCGTGCGGAAGTTTGTGTGTTTCCAGAGGATCCCGTCGTCCTGCTCGTGGCAGCAGATGACGTTCGGGAGCTTGAGGGGCTCGCCGGCGCCTGTGTTGTGCCAGCCGTCGAAATACCTGATTACTCCGAGGCAGTCACATCCCAGACGCAGGTTGTTGGCGTTGATCCCGGCACCGTCGTTGCCAAGGTCAAAGGCGGCCTTGCGTGGGTACGGCGAGCGGGGATCTCCATACGGCACAAACATCTCCGCCAGTGACAGGCGGTAGAAGAGGCTCCGGCCGTCATAGCGGATATCGTGCAGGGTCAGCCCCTCGCGATAGTTGAACCCCACCCGCATGCTCCACTTCTCCCAGGACAGGCGATTTCCGTGAGTCTCAAACGAGGGGCCCTCGGGCTGCACCACTTGATAGGGTTTGGTGGTGGTGCGCGGCGATGGTCGTAGACTGGGGTGGTACTCACTGGCCGCAGGCGACTGGATTTTGCGGTGGTCGTATGGTTGTGGTGTGTCGTGGGTGCGGTCATTCACCGAGGAGGGTAGTTGGTAGACTTTCGTCACTTGAAGCTGCTCCGACACTTCAGCACAGAGATCCAGCGGATAGGCATAGTAGTTGGCGTCGGGATTGTCGACGAGCCGCATATAGAACCAGCACTGTTTTGATTAGCTTGTGTATTGTTCTCATGTTCCCCTCGGAGAAGAGCAACAGAGTATATGGAAGTGCCCACCATTGTCACCCGCTCCGACATATCATTCATCCCATCCGGCGCATACGCCCACGCTTCCACAATGACAGACGCCCCAGTCGGCAGCGCAAGCTTTTTGATTTCGTCCTGGACTCGCGCATCCGCCAGACAGGCCTTCTCCACGGACTGCATGTGGCTCGAATCAATGTACGAGTGCTTTCCCGCAAGATGCTCCTGCTTCACCACGACTGCGCGGTCGAGATCGACCAGGAGTTCCATGAGTTTATTCTTTCCTAATGCATCGCGCGTAATGATTTGCACGCGAGCCATTCGCGCTGGCCGATCGTTGACCGATTGCAGGGCGTGCTCCCGCTCCAGGAACTGGAGCATCTCCTCTTTTGGGGGCTCTTGCAGCGTGATGACGCGGAAGATAAGACTTTGTCCGGGGAGTGCAGAGCGTGTGATGTCTGCAACCTGGTTTTGTCAGCGCCGCACTTGAATATACTTATTGGTCATATAATGCATACCTTGGAGATTTCCCTTGGCTCTAGGGGGTCAAAAGGGTGCGTAGAGACCGTCATTGTGGCTAATGGTGTTGTACAAGAGAGCACAAAACCATGGGATTTCGGCGTAAGTGAGACAAAGTTGGGCTTGTTTGACTTTCAGGACTCGAGACAAGAACAGTTCATGTCAAAACGAGAATCCATGTGCCGAACGAGGAGTTTGAATAGATGTGAATCTCTCCGATGAAGGCAACATGCGGAGATCATTTGGAGATCCACCCCACCGCCAAGAGGGTGATGCCGCTAAGGTTAAGAATAGCCGGGGTCGGGCGGGTCTTTCAACCCTAAAGGTTAGGCTTCGTTCAGCACTCGCCTCGAATCTCCTTTAGCAGATAGACACGCTTTGCTTTACGTGTCAGGTTCACTCGATAGGCCAAGGGGTTGACTAATTGCACCGTTGTGAGAATTTCCATCAGCCTGACCTTGAAATATGGACTTGGGAAATAAGCAAATGGTCAAAGGGTAGAATCATTCATGGTATAGTGTTCTTGGGATTATCTTCCTGTTCGTAAAGTATAGAGTGAGAAGTGGTATAGTATATGCTGTGGTATCTCAGGGTAAACTCTATACCAAACAATGGTCAATTTTTTGCCTATACAGTCTAGACAATGAATGAACTAAAACTATGTTATGAGACGGAAAGGAACGATATCGCTTCTTTTGATCACAATGAGTATAGGAAAAGGTAACCGTGGAGTGCTACGTCCACATCTACATCGATATCACACCCTACATTCTGCTTATTGCCCTAGATTTGACAACCTATGACTACCTTCAAAGTAAGACTTAACGAAATCCCAATGATACCTCCATCACCGGAGATCTTACCGTAGTCAAAGTGGTGGTAACTTATGCGATACCCTACTATACCGCCGCTTAGTAATTATGCCCAAGACATGCCGTTATGCGATGCGATCGGCCGGTTGTCGCCGAATCCATCCCACCACAAACAGAAACACGAGAAGAGAGCGATCCCCACACAATGACGATGGATCTCTCACTGTACCTGGTCACGGACTCCACTCCGGCGATCTTGAAGGGCCGTGACATCTGCCAGGTGGTGGAGGAAGCCCTCAAAGGAGGTTGGTCTCTTTCCAGACATCATCCATGGACTCATCCATCGACCATCGGCTGATGCTTGGCATGTAGGTGTGACCTTTGTGCAGTATCGAGAGAAGAAGAGCGACACGGGGGACCAGATCCGAACGGCCAAAAAGCTGCATCAGATCACCCGGCGGTACAATGTTCCCTTGGTGATTAACGACCGCGTGGACGTTGCCCTCGCGGCTGGTGTGGAGGGCGTCCATCTGGGTCAAGATGATATGGGTATTGTTGCTTCTTCTATATGATTTTTTTTTCCCGAGCGCTACTGATGGGTGGTTAGCTATTGAGGAGGCGAAGAAGCTGCTGCCAAAGGACGCCATCATTGGCATTAGCGCGGCGACGGTGGATGAGGCGCAGAAGGCCATCGACGCGGGGGCGGATTACCTGGGGATAGGCACCATGTTTGCCACTCCAACGTAGGTTGTATCTGGCGAGTTCGGGTGAAATTCCGTGCTAATTCGTCCCAGCAAGACCAATACGAAAAACATCCTCGGCACCGCTGGCACACAGGCCCTCCTGCACGCCATCGCCAACCACTCCATCGAGACGGTCTCCATCGGAGGCATCAACCTGTCCAATGTCCAGCGCGTTCTCTACCAATCCAAAGCCCCGGAGAAGGGTCTCAACGGCGTAGCGATTGTCAGTGCGATCATGGCCGCAGACGACCCCAAGGCCGCGGCTGCCGAGTTCGTCAAGCGCATCGATTGCCCGCCTCCTTTCGTCCAGACGCAAGTCGCTCCCAAGGGGTACGGGGTGTCCGCGATGCTGGAGGAGGTGCCCCATGTGGTCCAGAGCGTTGTCCAGGCTCACCCGCTTGTCCACAACATGATCAACTTTGTGGTGGCTAACTTCGCTGCCAATGTCGCTCTGTCGGTGTGCGTATTGCAAGAACCCTGTAATTGCATCATCTCTAACACTCTCACAGCGGAGCATCTCCAATCATGTCTCCCTACGGCGACGAAGCAGGCGACCTTTCCCAGTGCGACGGTGCCTTGCTGATCAACATGGGCACGCTCACGCGCGAGAGCGTCCCCAACTACCTCCAAGCTCTCCAGGCCTACAACGCGCGGGGAAACCCCGTGGTCTACGACCCGGTCGGGGCGGCCGCCACCGGCATCCGCCGTGCAGCCGTCACCCAGCTGATGACCGGCGGTTATTTCGATCTGATCAAGGGCAACGAGGGCGAGATCCGCCAGGTGTCGGGGAGCAGTGGTGTCACGCAGCGCGGTGTCGACAGTGGACCCAGTAGCCTCGACGGTTGTGGAAAAGCCACATTGGCCCGCGACCTTGCCCGACGAGAGCGTACGCTGCCTTTCCTTTCCTTCTCGACATGTTCGCTGACCATTGAAACTCGATAGGGAATATTGTCTTGCTGACCGGTGCAATCGACTACCTGAGTGACGGCGAGCGAGTGTATGCTGTCGAAAACGGCCATGAGCTTCTCGGAGAGGTCACCGGGGTATGAATCCATCTCTCTCTCTCTCTCTCTCTATGTGTATATGTAATGGATTTACTGACATTATACAGACCGGCTGTGCCGTAGGCACGATCTCCGGCTGCTTCTTAACCGCTCACCGATCCAACAAGATCCTGGCGGTGCTATCAGGTCTTCTAATGTACGAGATCGCGGCCGAAAACGCCGCTTCTAAAGAACACGTTCGAGGACCCGGGAGCTTTGTCCCCGCCTTTCTGGACGAGCTGTACGCCATCCGACAGGCAGCGTTGAAGGGGGATCACAGCTGGTTTGTGGGGCGAGGACGGGTGTATGAGGTTGAACCGCAGTAAGAATTAGACCTGCAGACGGGGAATGTCTATACAAGAACATTGTGTGCATAGGTGGATGAGGTATCTGCTGATCTATAGAAATGATACACCTTTTATTATCAAGGCATAGCTGCTCAATTATATTCTGTACTTCATTTTGCGATATTTTTCAAAAGAATTAAAAGCAAATGTTGCGACAGCTTCATCTAATCCACCCATCTAGTTCAGTAGTAGTAACGGAGATTGAAGAGTAACGGACCGTCCCGCCGCCCAACCTCCTCATCTCTTCTCCCGAACACAAACCAGACCGCGACTTATACAACACCCAGTACCTGAAAGTTAAACCCCACAACACAACCTAGCAACCCGATAAAGCCACCCAAAATGTCATTCTTCGCGACAAGTACAACCCTCCGCCAATCTATCCTGTCCACCACACGGTGCAGCCGCGCCCTGTCACTCGCAGGATCGTCTTCCCTCCGAGTACCACCACCAACAACAACAACTTATAGAACTGCCTTGGCAGGAACCAGACTCATCCGGTTCTCCTCTACCCAGGCCAACAAGGAGTTCCTGTGTATTCTCCCGGATAAGCCTGGTGCGCTGGAATTGAGGAAGCAGGTTCGACCGTGAGTGATACCTCTCATTATTATATTTAACCTACGAAGGTACCTGTAGTACCTACATTACTACATGTAATGTATACGTATCCTACGCTGTGAAGAGTCATTTATACTAACGACTAACTATCTGTTTGTCTGGTAGGACTCACTTCGACGGAATCAAACCCCTCGTGGAATCAGGGAGGATGGTCGTGGGTGGTGTGTTTTCTTCTCCGATCTCTTCCCATCCCGCTCCTATATCTGTCTTCTCTACCCCAGTCTACATCAACAAAGTGATCTAATATAAAAACAGGCGCAATGCTAAACAGCCACCCCACCGACAGCCAAGGCCCATCCTTCAAGGGCAGCATGATCATCTACACGGGCGAGAGTGTAGAGGACGTGCGCAAGATCATCAAGGATGACGTCTACGCGACGAGTGGTGTTTGGGATCTGGAGAATGTGCAGATTATTCCGGTAAGTTTTAGTCTTATTCCTGTAGACGGCCTTGGCACTTTTTGTGGTATTTGGGCTAACTAAGGCGTGAAGTTTGTTTCTGCTGTTCGGGTTGCGAAGCCTTGAGATTGTTCATTTACTCCCTGTCGGACTGCATAGCCAATGGTCTACATGTTATTGATTATAAGAATGAGATATACATTGCCATGTTCGAATGTTGATTCAATATATGAAATCTAGTATTGCCTCTATAAACACCCAAAATAATCTATCTAAGATTGCTCAATCTGGTTCACCTCCTTTCTCAACGACGCGATGTTGCCTCCCGTGAACAAACCCTCCAGCACAACCCGCAGCTCCTCCAAAAACTTGCTGACTTCCTTCTCCGTACCGACCGTCACCCGGATACACCCCTCACAGCCGTGTTCCTTCCCGCGGAATCGGACCACGACACCGCGCTTCTCCGCCATGGCGTCGTACGCCCCCTGCGCGATGACATTGCTCGGCTTTCCGCCGCTCGGCTGGTCGAGCAGCTGCACCAGCAGGAAGTTCGCGGCGAAGCCGCCGAGGAAGCGGCCCACGCCGGGGATCTTGGGGAGTTCCTGGACGAGTCGCTCGCGCTGCCGGACGATCTGGTCCCGGTAGCTCTTCATGACGGCTATGTTGCGCGGGGACAGGGCCGCGTTGGCCAGCGCACTGGTCGGGCTGGAGATGTTGTACGGCGCTTTGAGGCTGTTCAGCAGGAGGGCGATCTCCGGGCTGGTGAACGCCACCCCGAGGCGGATCCCCGCTAGCCCGAAGGCCTTGCTGAGGGTCTGCATCACCACCAGGTTGGGCCACTCGGCTACCCACTCGGCCAGACTGGAGCCCTCCGGCGCAAAGTCAATGTACGCCTCGTCCACGACCACCACCCCGTTCCACGTGGGGTGCTCCAGCACCTTCTGGATGTCGGACTTGCGGATCAGGTTCGCCGTCGGGTTTCCAGGCGAGCAGATGTAGGCCATCTTGATAGAGGGGTCCGCGGCGAGGGTCTCGTTGATCTTGTCGGTCTGGAGCTGGAAATCCTGGGTGTCCAGCGGCACCTTCACAATCTCTACATCGTTGATCTGGGCGCTCACGCCGTACATCCCGTATGTCGGAGGGCAGGTCAAGATCTTATCCTTCCCGGGGACGCAGAAACACCGCAGCAGCGCATCGATCGCCTCATCTGAGCCTACTCCGACAAAGACGTTCTCCGCGGTGATGTTCTTCTGGGTGTGGGTGTGGGTGTTGCGGAGCTGGCAGAACTTTTCTTTCAATTCGACCTGGTGGCTGTTTACAATCCAATGAGCATGGGGTTTTTTGTTGGCAACCGGTATAGGACGGTGACTCACGGATCCGGGTACCGGTTCAACCCGAGCAGATCGATCTCCGGCTTGGACGCGCCAGTAGAAGCGCCATTGGGCAAGCCCGCCACGGTGGACTCTTGCAGGGCACCTTCGGCGTTCAATGCCAGTCCGGGACCATACGCGTTCTCGTTGGCGTCGAGCAGGACGTTCGTCCCATCATCTTTGTAGTCACTGACTCATTAGCGGCTCGTTTAGCAACTGCGGGGAAGATCCGGGGACACACTCTCTGGCACAACGATAGGGTTGTAATTGCAGAATATTCGGGCGAGCACACTTGGACAGATCAAAGGCGGAGGGTGTGGAAGACATTGTGGTGGGAGGAGAGGGCTGAGATGACTCCAGAGAAGTACGATGTATGGCGATTGATGGGGGGAAATGTCGGGATGCGAAAGTGGCGGGGCGAACACCGGCGGTGTTTGCAGTGTTTACACCCGGCACGTGCTGATAACCACATTGCGTCTATCTTATCAGTGCCGTGCCTGAGTCATGATCCAATAGATTCTCTTGCCTAAATCAATGTTTACATTGTATGGGATACGGCAGGGTATATACAACTATTCAATAGCCGAGTCCAATTATAGCTTCGAGGCTAGACCGGGAGCAAAGTTGGATCCCGTGCCCTGGCTGATCGCCTCCACAATCTCGTCCACGCTGGTCAAAATCCACTCGTTGCCCGCGTCACTGGCCAGCCATTTCACGGCACCTTCGCACTCCACGTCGCTGGCCCAGCTGCCGTCCTCCAGGGACTTGCGCAGGCCAAACACGTGAGAGAGGACCTGCGGACCGACGCCGGTCTGGGCCCGCAGACACGCCACGGCGACGATGGACGTTAGCACGCGGCCGGCATTGGCACCCGTGGTCCGTCCCGCCGGATCCGAGAGCAGCGCTCCGTAGTTGCTGTGCAGGATCTGAACGGGCAGGTCGGGATGCGACTCGGCCAGTTTGTTGTACAGCTTGGTCTCGAAGGGGCGGTAGATCGAGTCCCACAACGCGTGCCCACGACCGCTGATGGCGGTGATGTTTTCCGGGTTTGGCGCCCGCGTGGGAGTTCGCGACAACTGGGCGCCCACCGACTCCGGCAAACTGGCCCGGAACGCGTTCAGGCAGTTGATGGTACGTGGGATCCCGTTGAAGCTGATGCACTTCAGGCCCACCTCCCGCATCAGCTCCGCCGTAGCGACGCTCTCGGCGGGGGACTGTGCCGAGGTCGCCAGTTGGAATAGCGCGGCCAGGGATTCGGGCGAATTCATGGTCATGGTTGCGGCCGTCTGTCCGACAAAATGCATGAGCTAGGAGCTAAATTTCTCAGTGGTCCAGGAACAAACGAACCGATAACGCCAACCACGATCGCTGTGACACCTCATTTGTTTGAGCGCCCTCTTGAACCTTCTGGTAGACCGACCGTATATTGCGGGGCGCGGGCACGGTGTGCGGACGGGCAGCCGGCGCGTTCACCAAGGCTTTGAGACGGCTGGACAACTTTGCCATTGTGTCAAGTACACCCTTCTGGTAATGTCTTCTCGCAATTGGCTGTTGGGAAAAGAAGAGAAGTCGACCACAATATGTACAAAAAGAACAGAAGGAAAGAGGAGTGACAGAGTCGGAGCATCTCCATCGATGATCGCCGATCCTCGGTAACTTCTCCGCGGGGATGCCGCGATGACTCAGCTGTGTGCATAAAACCGGGTATTCGGGGGAAGTAATGATCCGCTGTCCGTTATCTGAAGATCCGCAAGAAAATCATCCAAGTCGCGTTTTCGTTCATCATCCCGGAATGCGAGCTGCATCATGTTTTTAAAGGCACGACCCCATTTGACCCAATTAAAACGCCATTCGCTTGCCCCGTTTCTCTACCAGACGGACACGCTTGCCGCCCCCCGAATCCGCGTCGCCAGCAGAGCTTTACTACACACCTCACCCGCCTCGCGATCTTCTGGTTCCGAACATGAAGTCCAACCCGAAGTCGACGATTCGCGGGTGACTCTCGAGTCGGAGAAGACCCGCAATTCGGACGAGGCACGACAAGATGAGAGCGGACGATTCACCCCCCGGAGCATTCATGTAGCACCCCGGAGCAGTAACTTTCACGGTCGGAAGAGTTTCTTGCGGAAACGCGCCGCCAAGGTGTCGCAACCACCACCCCAGGTCGCTCCGCGGGAACCGGTGGGCCTAAGCACCATGACGCCAAAGGAAAAGCAAACGTTCCAGAATCTGCTGGAAAGCATAGGGGTTGGTCAACAGCAGGAGTCAGGCCCGGAGACTCCAGCGGCTCGCCCGACCCTCAGGCCGGCCGAAGAGATGGCCCAGATCACTGAAATCTTTGACTCGGTCCTCCAGGACATGGCGAACAAGAAGAAGGGACAAGAGGAAACCGACAGTCAACGACCGGGAATGGACCCCACGATGGACCCTCGCGCAAAACTGCGCCGGGATCGGGAGATGTGGCAACAGCTGAAGCGGGACGACTGTACAAACACGGAGATCTCGGAGCTACTCAGCGCGGAGAAGATCACGATGGACCAAGCCGTCACGCTCGTGGTCAATCGAGAGAAGGTTCGAATCAAGTCCGCTCTCGGGGAGGTCATGGATAGAGGCGAAGACGATATCGCGTTGTGGGAGGTCTGCGAGGACAAGATCTTTTCCTTATTGAAACACTTGAAAGACGCGGGCGTTCCACTGCGAGGCGTGAAGGATGCCGGTGCCAACACCGAACCCGTGTCGTCCATGGACCCCGGCCCCTCCCCCGGCGGTCTGACGGTCCCCCCAGGCGTCCCCATCGAATCCGTCGTGACCACTCTTTACCCGGAGATGCTTCTCGTTGCCTATCGACTTCTGACCCTCCACTGCCCGAACTCGCCCCTGATCGGCCAGTTCCGATCGAGCATCCGGCTGCACGGTCGTGCGTCCGCGGTGCTGGGCGGCTCGATCGGTCTCTACAACGAGCTGATCTACTTTTACTGGCGCGGATGCCAGGACATCCCGGGTGTCATCACACTTCTCCAGGAGATGGAAGTCACGGGCGTCGAGCCCGACCCGAAAACATGCAAGATCCTTCACTCGATCCTCGCCGAAAGCGAACTGGCGATGAAAAAGCATTGGGATGAGGTCCGAGAGAACCCGGGTCAGTCGATCACGCCGCCGTTCTGGGATCTGGAGCCCAACCGAAAGGCCGTCAAGGAATTGCGTGGCTACCACGGCTGGAAGCGGCGCTTGGAGAGGCGAGTGTCCGCGCTCGAGCGGGATGGCGGTGCGTATAAACAACACTAATCTTCTCTCTTTCTCCCTGTGTACTTTACCATGCTCTTCCGTGTCGGGTCGATCTGTCCCATTTTGTTTTATTATATGTCTTGTACGATAGATTACGGGTTTAGAGTAGATCGGATACCTCTCTGTATATAACTTCTTATTGCATCTTTGGTCGCAGGGCGGAAGACCCGAAAGGGTAGGCGGCCCGATTACCATATTAGGAAACCCTACCGCTCCCCCACAGTTCTCCACGACCCTATATATATGGGGCCAGGTCGCTGCAGGTCGATGAAAGCAAGGAAAAGAACAATCCGTGTTCAGAGATCATTCTTCTTTCTGCTATCATGGCTACGTCAAGATTGCTGGCTAAATCAGCCGTCCGTGCGGCCTCGACGTCGACCTCGCCGGCCACCACCAAGGCCGCGGGGGATATCTCTAGTGTCTTCCCTAGCTTAAGGCCCGACTATCAGCCAGAACCCCTGCCTCCGCGCTTCAAGGACTTGAAAGTGCAGTATTTCGACAAGAACAAGGATGCGCTCACCCAAAGCTGGAGGCGTCTGCTTCCGAGCATGGAGGAAGAAGTGGACAAGATCAAGTCCAAAGGAAGTGATGTATGCCGTCTTTTTCTCGCCTCGATGGAAGAATTGCCCTCTAATCGGAGAGTAGATCATCCCCTCGGTCAGGTACGAGGATATCGTCAATGAGAGGGTACCCGAGTCCACCCTCAAAGAGATTCGCCACCGCGGAACCGTCGTCGTGCGTGGTGTGATCCCGCGTGGCGTCGCTCGCGACTACAAAGAGAGAGTCGAAGACTACGTCGCCGCCAACAAGGAGAGGGTCAAGGCCTTCCCACCGGACTCGCCGGCCGTGTACGAGCTTTACTGGACCAAGTCGCAAGCTGAGGCGCGTTCCCACCCGGGCATGCTCGAGACCCAACGCTTCATGCAACGCCTGTGGCACTCGTCGGACCCGCACACCAGGATCTCAACCCGGAATCCCCTCACGTACGCGGACCGGCTGCGCATCCGCCAGCCCGGCGACGGAAAGTTCACGCTGGGCCCGCACATCGACGGCGGGTCCCTCGAGCGCTGGGAGGACCCCGAGTACGCCCGCGTCTACAGCAAGATCCTCGAGGGCCACTGGGAGCAGTACGACCCGTGGGACGCCAAGCACCGCGTCGCGGCCAACATGGACCTGTACAACGGCGCCGGCGCGTGCTCCATGCTGCGCTTCTTCCAGGGCTGGCTCTCCATGTCTAACACTGCCCCCGGCGAGGGCACCCTGCACGTGTGCCCCATGCTCATCCACAGCTCCGCCTACACCATCCTGCGACCCTTCTTCGACCCCCAGACCCAGCAGCCTCTGCTGGACAACGCGTTCCCCGGTGCCGTCCCGGGAACCTGCCAGGAGTACAACCCGGTCACGCATCCGCACATGGCCCTCGAGGACACTATGGTCTCCGTGCCCGAGGTGGAGCCCGGCGACTACGTCGCCTGGCACTGCGACTCGCTGCACTCCGTCGACAAGGAGCACCGCGGCCAGGGCGATTCCAGCGTCATGTACATCCCGGCCACTCCGATGTGCGAGATGAACGTCGATTATCTGCTGAAGCAGCGTCAGGCGGCCCAGCAGTACTCCCCGCCCTGGGATTTCCCTGGCGCCGGTGGGTCCGGCGAGGCCGGCTTCCAGGGCGCTTTAGACTGGAATTCGATCGATCCCAATGGACTGCGTGCCATGGGTATGGGCGACAAGCGGTGGGAGATCACTAGCGATATGAGTGCGGGTGAGAAGGCTGCTGTCGAGTATGCCAACCAGGCTTGCTTTGATTGATTTTGTTCATTGCTTTTGGACGCACATTTTCTTTGTTGATATCCTTGCATGTACATAGTGAAAGGCATTGTGCTAGATGATGGAATAGGGAATGCTTCACGGTACATATGATGTCTAACAAGGACTGGATTCAAGCTCGTATTACACACCATGTGTCTGATGGTTCACCGTTCTTTTCCTGGAAGTGCTACCAGGCTTATTTTCGTTGAATGTTTTTGCTATCTCACCGAGAACACCGTGGAATATATTATTGATCGAATGCAGATGTGATATCGCATTGAACTAGATCAGCCATACAATCAAGCATTGCACTATATACATCAGGCTCTAGTTGTCCACCTAGAGCATCAATCTTCCTCTGGTTGATCCTTCTCAAAACACGGCAACCACTGCTTCAGCGCACTCTTGAACACTTCCATCGAAGCCTTACCCTCTTCCGATATAAGCTTGAAATCATAACAATGTTCCGAATTAGGAACCACGTATCCAAACACCGTATCACGGACCTCCCCACACCGTGGCACATCACTCGACCAGACAACATCTTGCGGCGCAAACTCCTCCGTCGACAGCACCGACAGCGTCCGCCACGGGTCGAACTCCCCCACGCTGAACATCGTATTCGACGGCCGCACCGTCCACCCTCCAAACTCGCTATTCACGCGATCTACCTCCGGCGTCGCGGGCAACACCCCCGCCGCAACGGCCTCCGGTAGCTGTCGATTGCATATCTCCTGCTGGTACTGAAGTGTCTGGAACCGCGACAGCAGCGCGTGCTCGCCTGCGTTGTTGCTCTGGTAGAACCCCCACTCCGTGCAGTACTGCCAGCTCCAGCTGATCGTGTCTGCGTCGGTGCTGGGCTTTCCGAGCTCGCAGTCAACCGGGAGCGTGTCGTTTTCCGGTCCACAGTTAAGCCCAAGGTTCAAATTCGTCACGCGGACCAGTAACGGCCACGCCGCCATGCGCTCTGCAGCGTACCTCCCGCCGTACATGGCGGCCACGCCGTCCGGCCCGGCCGTCTGGTTTGTGTTCGGGTCGTGCTCGATGTGGTCGCAGAGTTGCGCGATGTTGCCATTCACGCCGCCGAGGCCGTATCCCTGGAAGAAATCGTACAGGTGGGTCAGCGCCCCCGTGAAATCCTCGTTGGAGTTCTGCACGCCTTCCTCGCCGAAGAAGAGTCTCTTGATCGCCGCTGCGCTGCTCGCGTCCTCCGCCAGCTGCCCGTCGATGTACTGGTACGCGGCGTGGATGTCTCTCGTGCAGTTCGAGTACCCGTTGGCGACCATCGCGCGATACACCTGGTCGAAGTAGCTGGCCATGTCGACCTGCGCTTGGATGGGCGCCGACGAGGAGAGCGCCGCGAAGATCGTCTCGGGGTGTTCGTTGCGCATGAACGCCGCTCGTATACCGGCGTACGACCCGCCTACCATCACCCACGGCGTGCCTTTCGGGGTGAGGTCGACATCGCTGTAATTGGTGCGGGTGAAGTTCTGCGCGAAGTACGGGATGTCTTCAATGGCTTGTCGCGTCGTCAGGTATTTGAAATGCTCCGGGGGCGTGTCCACGCTGATGGGGAAAGGCGCAGATTCTCCGTAGTAGCTACATCTCCTGTTAGCCGGATGCTCACTCCCTCGTTGGATGCACGCCAACAGACCGATGTTCCCATACAATGCCCATGGCATTGAACTCCTTCAACAATCTTGTGAAAAAAGACGTGTCCGACCCCAGGTGCAACGCGGCTAGGTTCTGCGCATTGAGCTCGCCCGCATCGTACATGATGACGGGGCTCCCGGGCTCGAAGAACTTCTCCGACACCCAGTATCGATTCTGGTACGTGCCTACAGACGAATTTTCATGGTCGATAGGGATCTAACGACACTCGGCAATCAGACGCACATTAGTGGGGGAAATAGCGGCAGCAGCAGCAGCTAGCATACCGTCACAAACTCCGCCTCAGGAGGAGGCTCTTGATGCGGTGGATGGGAAATCAGAGAATGAAAGTCCATCTTATCATCGAGAACGAGGCTTGGATCGAGCCCTGCCTGCGCTGCTAGCAGAACGCGTCTCATGTACGCTGTGTTTCCCGAGCCTATCGCTGCCACGGGGCGCCAGAGCACCGCGAGGCAGAGGACCCCAATACTATTCAACAACGAGCGATACATTGGTGTTGTTTTCTGCTTGTTTTCTTTTTCTTTTCTTACCCAAGGGGCCAACAGAAACTGGAAAAAGACAAGCAATGTAAGAAATACTATAGGAAGTAAGAACATTCCATACTTATGTAAAGACCCCCATTAGTGGACTCCCACGAGACCATCGCTGCTCACGGAATAGGCGCCACGACGTCACCCCAGAAAAGCCTCGTGGAGGTCGCAAGGATCATCGCGTGCGGTCAACAGTGTGGAATGCAACAGCCCTATCTGGTATGTGCTGTGGACGGCTGCGGCGAACCACCCCGCAAATGGACAGATCGATCGATCGACAGATAGATAGAGAGATAAACACTCAAATCGTATCAGCATAATTGAGTCAGACATTCTTGTCATTGCTGAGGTTTATTCGATCGATCTGCTGTTGATCAGGGGGATGCGCTGGAATGCTCCAGCTTGGAGGGCGCTGTCACTATGGAGGTGTGCTATCCCTGACTCATCCTCCTTGAGACTCAATTCATTATTGACATCTGACTGACAGACTCAAACGATTCCATACGTATGTTGGAACTATGCAGAAGAAGAGGATGAATTTGGCTGTTTGTTGATGTACCTGTCGATGTATGTAACTAACTACTTCTGGCTTTGGCTTCAACAGCAGCTAGTACCGAGACCGACGGTGAAAGAACTGAACCCTCAATAGGGCCATATGTGGCCCCTCCAGTTCACAAACAGACCGGTATCATCGATGGTAGCCTCCTCAATCTGTGCACACATGCCGCGCACCGAATCACTCAGATCGATATCTCCTGCCCGTCGGCCGAGTTTGGTCGGGACGTCGCCAGGGTCGACGCAAAGCACCGCAATATTCTGCATGGTCCTGCGTGGTCGCCCTGAGCTCGATTGCAATTGAGACGCTGGGGGCATTGAGTGCTGATTTGGGGACGCGGTAGCTGAGATGTGTCCCGCAATCGTTGGCTTTATTTGGATCAGCCTCCTGAGATCGAATCTGGGGATTAGAGAGACCCGTCCTTGCCTGCGACGGATGCCCACTCGGAAGTAATGTTGACAATTTTGCCAAACTCGCTCTTTGTCAGACTCGGAGGGAAGTATTTGCTGGCGAGGAATGGTCCCTATTGCCGGGTTTGTCTTGATAATTGTGAGAGCTTGGGCTGATGGGCAGAAGGAACATATTACGGTCATGACACGATGACGAAGGAGGTCTCCGGGGGTAATCAAGCGGTATCACCTCGATGCTGTGGTTCTACCGTCTCCTTTCGCGTGGGATCGAGCTGCGGTTGTCGGCTCCCCTATTGTATCGGTTCCAATCGGAGCCATGCCATCTGGTCAGCCTATTGTATCCGATGTCGATGGATGAGTATCGGCCGCTCCTGATACCCCGTAAGTCACTTGGCCCAGGGGGGGAGGGGCGGTTGGCCGTGTGCTAACTGCAGATCTAGATTCGGCTTAAGCTTCTTGGGAGCAAGATTCACTGACGCGAGGCTCATTGGCTTGGCCTATGCTTTTGAGCATCTATGTTTTTGAACAGCGGACGATGATCTGAGAAACGGTACACCCATACATTGCGCCACGAACAGATCGTCGGGGTGTGGTTGGGAAGGAAGCCGAGTAGTTCGAGGGTACCTGTTGTGTCGTACTGGTTGTGTGAGGGCTAACCAACCAAAGGATTGACGATCTCTACTCCGAAGAGGAAAGGAAACCGACAACCCTCTTAGGATGGATGAATCTGGCTGGTTGCATCCAAGGGCACCTTGCATGTGAGACATATTACGAACTAGTTGTCTACCCCTCAGCGATGATCATGATCATGATAATGTATTAGAAACATGGCGAGGATCATGCCACTGCTAGGTGCAGGTTGGTGACGTGGTTGATTTATACTTGTCGTTTACTGCATTCCTGCATTACTACCTAGAGCATGTCGTATGGTCCTTGCGTGTAGGTGTCAGCGTGTGTCGAGGAATTGATCAGGCAATGCTTCGATAGACTTATGGGGGTTGATATTGTCCTATTCGATATGATTTTGTGATCGTTCAGGTTGTTCATGTTGAAGACTGGTTGAATCATTCGTATTGTACACTGGGCGCTCCATATCGAAGTGGAGTCGCCGGAGGGGTCATTCTTTTCTAATATACAGCCGACAATTTCTGTTCGTGACAAAGTCCTCGTCAAATCCATAAACAGGGGGAGATATGTGACGGTGGTGTGATGCCCACGTGCCTGTGACGTGTGGGAGAAATAGTGGGAGAGGGTCCGTAAAAAACAAGCAAATCAAAAGTAAAGAAAATAATTGGAAAAGAGACAGATCGGTACTCCATAACTCCACGCTTGAAAATTGACAGATTTTGTGGGATCCCGACTCAATGGCGATCGTCGTCCCCACTCCCGAGGTCGTTGTTGTTACCTCGGAGCCACACGCGCTTCCAGGGCCCGTCCACAGCCTCCCGATCCTGGCGCATGCCTTCGAGCACCTCGACAATCCCACCATTGCGGAGTCGCTCCAGGACCACGTTCATCCCCTGCTTGCTCTTCAGGATCGCATCCCGGGTGCGACTCACGCCAATGAGCTCAATGGTCCGCTGGAGGCCCGCCGTAGACAGGGAGGAGAAGAATCCCTTCGGCGGGGCTTCCTCTTCGTCCGCCGCGTGATCCACCCGGTCGGTCTTCCTCAGGCTGGGCAGTAGTTTCCCCTGTCCCAGCCGGGAGCGAAAGGTGACGGTCGTCTGGACCGTCGTCTGCTCGCTCTTCTTGCTGTCGAGGGCCAGGCCCTCGAGGCGGTCGAGGGCGCCCTCAACGGGTAGTCGCTGGTAAACCTGTCGTTCCACCACGCTGAGAATGCCGGTCCACTCCATATTGCGCGATTCGGTGCGCATCCAGCCCTCCTTGGCGTCCACCACGGTGGTCTCGAGGATGTAGCTCTGGCCGGACTTATCCGCGCCACCGATGCCCTTGGGCAGCAATTTCAAGATTCCCGACGGCACCTTGGATTTCTTCAGATGCAGACGAATAGTATGAAGGCGTTGGGTACCGGGGTCGACATAGCGATCGATAACATCGGTGGTTAAGACGTGGCGAGAGTAGGGGTTCGGATAGCGCAAGAAGTAGGCCAACGAGACGGCCGGGAAGGAATAGTCGTAGGTGAACACATTCTCGAAGAACTTCATACTTTCAGAATGGATGCATAGGGGGGGGAGTAATAATTGGAGATAGACAGAATGGGGTGGGAATGGGTGTGAATTGAGGGAGAAATAGGAAAGGAAAAGTGACGGAAAAGAGCAAGGAAGAAGAAGATGGATTTATTTCTGCCAGCTTCGGCCGAGCTTGCCTTAGGCCGCTAAACCCGTTGCAGAATGCGGGGATCCGGAGTCACGTGTCACGCGTCACTCACGGCGCCGTCCAGGAATCCAGCTGTATTACAGAATGACTCTTTCTGATGAAACAGGTCGCGAAGGCGCAACCGTCAGAGTCGCCCAAGCACAGCATGAGTGTCGATCTACGCGTATGGATTGGTTGATGCTACCGGGAGTCCGGGGATCCACGGTGCTCCGTGCGACCCTCCCGTAGCACAAGTTGGCCCTTGAGGAATCCCCGGACCCCATTACTGAGCCAGCACTCCTCGCCATCGATCAAGTCGGTCGCAACGACCGTCTGTTCGGTACAGAAAGCTTGATCCAATGCGTACCGTCGGGTGGTGCCCGCGTTGCCGCCGCAGGCGAGAGGCGGGGTGATCCAAGCGGGACCATCGCACGGCTGCCGTCGTCGAAAATAGACTGTCGTGATGCTCCCTTCCATCACCTCGCCCTTGGGGTTGACGAGAAGGACTTCTGCTGTCTCCTGGGGCGACATGATGCCGGCTCGAAGTCGCGCCGCGGAGTAGACCTCTCGCGCCGTGGTTTTATGGGTCGTGAACAGGGATGGGTCCGTGGGCTCTCGGTCTACATAGACGTGCCACACGGTGGACGGAGAGGTGGAGGGCAACGGAATCAGAAGACTGAGAGGGTCAATGGCAGCCGTGGGGTTGACGTCCACCGTACAGGCTCCACTGCGGTCGACCACGATCCGGAGACGCCATGGTTTGCTTTTATCGGCAATAAAGCGATCGAGAAACTGCACAAAGGAGCCCAAGTTCTGTTGTAGGAACTCCTCGGCCTTGGTCCATTGGAAGCATTGAGCTGCGTGGAGGAGTCGATCGCGATGGTATGGGAGGAGATAGTAAGGCGTCTGGAACAGGTCGAACGACGACTTGGTACCTTCCCGGGCCACATATGGCAATGCCGGATCGTAGCGGAGGGACGAAATGATCTGGAACGACGGTTGGGAGGTCATTGCTCTGATTGAGTGACCGACATCTGCCGTGGTGTCAATAGTAGAGAAGGGAAGAGGTTGGCTATGGCGGAGCTACGGCGGAGATAAGTGTGCAAACATCCCAAACACCGCGATACCCCGAGACGATAATGATGGATACTGTAGATTGAACCTCCCTCGGCGACTGGACTATGTCTTGGATCAAAGACAGAGTGAGGAGATAGTATTCATGCGATCGTCTATATACAGGTCTTAAAGCACAAGTGTAAAGTATGATACAGGTATATAATGTTGTTACAACCCCCGACATAACACCGATGCGATCATTTACGAGGATGCAGCTGCGTCACCCATCTCGCCCTCCCCAGGGTTCATGGACAGCTTGCGCATGTCCCACTCACCCGACTCAATCCAATCCTTCTTCTCGCCCAGAAGACAGACGGACCGCGCAGGTCCATCGACCAGGAAGTTCTGCGCCGCCGCGTTCACATCCTTGGCCGTCACGTCGAGCACCTGTTCCCTCCAGCGCTGGTCCATCTCGTGGGTCACACCGCTCATGAAGTACCGCGCCCCCTCCTCATCCACACTCATCGGAGCGTCCAGACCCTGGAAGATACCCAGCTTGGCCTCGCTGAGTTCGCGATCGGTCCAGACACGGTCGCGCGCGAACACACCGCTGTTCTGGAACACCTTGAGCGAGTTGAGCGGGTTGGGGTCCCGGTAGCTGGTGAAGGCGAAGATGCCCTTGACGGGCCCGTTGCTGGCTCCGGCACCGTACGCACCGCCCTTCTCCCGAATCTCCGGGTGGAGGTAGTTGTGCGTGAGCAGCTGCGACAGGACGCTGAGATGCGCGTTCGACGGGTGCGTGAACGGGACGGTGTGCATGGCCAACCCGGAGTAGTAGACCTTGTACGGCATGTCGTAGAACGCCCTCTTGGTGGTCGAGTCGACAAACGAGCTTGACGTCGCCGTGGGGGAGCGGACCTGAGGCAGCCCGGTCAACCACTTCTGCAGAGCCGATTCGTTCTGAGTCGCGCTGCTCGGCTCGCACACCAAGCGGACACGCATGTTGGACGACCGCGAAATCGCGAACGACTGGATGAGACGGAGTTTTTCAACAAGCTCCGCAAGACGTTCCGGCGACGTCTCGGCATCACGCAGGAGGTCGGCCGTGGCCTGCAGCTGTGCGAGACCCGACTGCTGCTCTTGGACCCACAGGCTGCGGGAGAGACCGGCGGCAGCGGCGTTGAGGGCAAACCGATGGCCGGTACCCGCGATGGCGTCCAGGGCGCCGTTTGTGGTCAGCCGTAGGAGCTCCTGGATCATGCCAGGGGCGTAGGGGCTGGTGAAATCGGTCTCGGTCACGAGCGTCGTGAGAATCTGGAGCATTTCGGGGATGTTCTGGTCCAGGGAGAAACCAGAAAACTGCAGGCCTTCGCTAAAGCGTCCAACCTCCAGCGGAGACGAGGTATGGAAGGACGACGTGGAGATACCGCCAGTCTTCAGCTTGATGAGGTCTTCCCACTGCTCCATAGTTCGGTTTGCAGTACCCAGTCGCATAATGCAGTCGTTGAACAGGGGCATCAGCAGGCGGAGATCGTCGGGAAGATCGTCAAAGGCGTTCAAGGCTTGGAAGTAGGTCAGCCCATTGGTAGGGGCCTCGCGCCAAACGACGTCGACCTCGTCGACCTTCGACTCCCTGAGCGGTTTGCGTTCTTTCTCGCGGGAAATGTCTTCGACGCGAAGAGAGGGCAAACAACTCAGGTCGGCATGTTGAGCGTCCTCTTGAATCTTGAGCAGCTGGAGTTCCTCTGCACCAAGCGTGGCAACGGCCTTCTCCACGGACCCGTGCTGCTCGATGAGCTGTGAGAGCTTCTGCTCCCTCCGGGCCATCTCCTCGGCGTCAAGGTCCTTGCCGAAGGATGGTGAGCCAATCATGGTGAACGTCAGGCAGTTGTCGTTCATGAGATACTTCTGCACCAAAGACTCAAGGTAGCCGCCTTGGCTATACCTCCGCTTGAACTCCTCAATCACCTCGTTCCAGGCGAGCTCTTCCATGGGGTTCGACCCATTGAACCAGGAGCTAAGCGTCTTGTCCATCACACCGAGACCGAAGTTGGCGGTCTTGTGCCTCAGCGCCAGCTCCAGCTGGTGCAGAAGTCCCTGCACCTTCTCATCGCTGAAACCGTTGGCCACCGTGTCCTGATAGACGGTCTGAACCGCCTCCTTGACTTTGGAGGCCTCTGCTTCGCTGACCCCGGTGACACCGACGGAGAAGACCGGGGTCTTGCCAGACGAATCCAGACCCGTGTTGGGGCTGAATGACGACCCCAGGCCACTTTCGATCAACGCCCGATACATGGGGGATCCATAGCCATCAAGCAGCAGGGAAGAGACGATTCCGGCGGAGAAAGTCTCGACGATGTTGGTGACATCGCCCATGTACCACGAAGTGGAGGTTTTGTGCTGCTTGTCCTCGCCGGTAAAGGGGTCGATCGGACCCGGGACGGTGATGTTCTTTGGCCCGTTGCTAAGATCAATGGGTGCCTTGACGGACCCCTCGGTCTGTCCCTTGCTGAACCCATCCAGAACACTGCCGATCTGCTTGAGGTGGCTACTCAAGGGCATGTCACCGTACGTCAGGATCTTTGCGTTGCTCGGATGATAGTTGCGCTTGGAAAAGTCCACCAGCTGCTGATGCGTCAAGTCGGTGATGTACTGCGGGTCGCCCCCCGAATTGTTCAGCGCGGGAATGATGTTCTCCTTGTACTTGATGTAGTACAGATAGTTCGCATCCGAAATCTGACCCTTCATCTCATTGTACACGACTCCCTTGAACACGATATCATCCAGTTTTTGCCCTTCGCCCTGGAAGGCCTTGGGGTCCTCCGGGCCCAACCGCCATCCCTCTTGTCTAAAATCCTCTTCTTTCAACAGCGGGTGGAGGGTAGCGTCGAGGTACACGGAAAGGAGGTTCTGGAAATCCTGCTGGTTCGTCGTCGCGAAGGGGTAGGTCGTGTGATCGGAAGCGGTAAAGGCATTCATAAAGTTGGACAGAGATCGCGGCAGCATCTTGAAGAAAGGGTCTCGGATCGGGTACTTCTCGCTCCCGCATAACGTGGTGTGTTCCAAAATATGGGGCACACCCGTCGCATCTGGCGGGTTGGTCTTGAACCCGATTCCGAACACATTGTTCTTGTCTTCTCGGGCCACATGGAGGTAGTCCGCCTCCGTCTTGTCATGCCTCAGCCGTACTGCCGTCAAGTGCAGCTCAGGCACATGCTTCTTCTCTTGCACGGTGAACCCATGGAGGGATTGTCCTGCTTCCGGGAAATTCTCCAACGAGGTCACTGTCGATGCCGCTCGTTGAAACTGCGTATACCGAGGGAGGGCTCTCCCCACTTTCAGGTTGTGGCTGGGGGAGGCATGGCGCAAAGGAGCGACTCGGCCTTTGCCCACAGCCGATGACAAACGCAGCATCACGCTGCACCGGGGGGGGAATGAATGGCGCAAAGACAGGAGTCGTCGACACGGACGCGGTTCGAAGGTCGTTATCGGAGGTCAATTCAACGCAAATATCCAAGCAACGACAACGCTATGAATGGAGGATGCAGATGGAGGGTCAACGGAGAGTGGATGGAGACACGGTGAGCGACGGAGACGTCGAGATTGCATCGCGCCGTGCACAATTACTCATCCAGTGCATTACGGCTGATGTCCCGGAGGGTCATCACGTGCCCCGAAGTCGGCGGCGCCGTCGCTGAGTCAGCCGCGCCATCGCATTTTTCGAGTTAGTCTGAAGAGAACGATTTATTGTTATTAACGCTGCGACCCCACTGTCGATAAGCAAGAGTCATCGTCACTTCAATCTTTTCTTTTCCTCTTCAATACTTTGATTTTTTTCTCTATCCCTCTACCCTCATCCAAACAGGACGTGCCATGTCCACCGACAGCCCCATCGTCAATGGGTATACAACTCCCCCTGCGGCGGGGTTGAGCAATCTCGCCCTGACGGAGTACACCGCCGCTCCGACGCCTCAGCCCGAGACCGAGAACCGGATCCTCGGACTCCCCAACAACTGGGGGATTCCCGACAGTTTTATTCTTCCCAATGGGTATCCGGATGTAAGCGGAGTTCATGTACAGCAGTTCTAGGGAGGAGGTCGCTGATTGCGCATCCCGCGCCTTTTATAGTACCTCCGTCTGATCCTGACGTCCCGGGTCTACGAAGTGATCAACGAGTCTCCCCTGACCCACGCGGTCAATCTCAGCAATCGCTTAGAATGTCGGGTGCTTCTGAAGCGGGAGGACCTGCTCCCCGTGTTCAGTTTCAAGCTGCGCGGGGCCTACAATAAGATGGCGCACCTGACCAACGAACAGTGCTGGAAGGGCGTCATCGCATGTTCTGCAGGTAAGGATGGTGGGGATGAGAGAATGATTGGGGACAGATGCTGATAGATGGTCCAGGAAATCATGCGCAGGGAGTTGCATACTCTGCGCGCAAGTTGAAGATCCCCGCCACCATCGTCATGCCGTCGGGCACCCCCGCCATCAAGCACCTGAACGTCGCTCGTCTGGGGGGCAGCGTCGTACTCCACGGCGACGATTTTGACGCCGCGAAAGAGGAAGCGCACCGTCGGGAGAAACAGCACGGTTTAACAAGCATCCCCCCCTTCGATGACCCCTATGTGATCGCGGGACAGGGCACGATCGGCATGGAGGTTCTGCGACAGGCAAATCTCCAGAAGCTGGAGGCGATCTTCTGCGCCGTGGGCGGTGGCGGCCTGATTGCCGGCTTGGGTGTCTACGTGAAGCGGATTGCCCCTCATGTGAAGGTCATCGGTGTGGAAGCGCACGATGCCAACGCCATGGCGCAGTCGCTGACCGCTGGGGAGCGCGTGTTCTTGAAGGATGTGGGACTCTTCGCCGATGGCGCCGCGGTCAAATCGGTGGGAGAAGAGCCGTATCGGCTGTGCCGCGAGGTCATCGACGAGATCGTCCAGGTGTCGACCGATGAGACCTGCGCTGCGATCAAGGATGCGTTCGAGGACACGCGCTCGGTCATCGAGCCGGCCGGTGCTCTCGCCCTGGCGGGTCTGAAGAAATACGTGTCCCTGAACCCCAGCCCGGACACCAACCGGGAGCTGGTGGCCATCGCCTCCGGGGCCAACATCGACTTTGACCGACTGCGGTTCGTGGCCGAGCGGGCAGCGCTGGGTGAGCGCAAGGAGGCCCTGCTGAGCGTCAGCATCCCCGAGAGGCCAGGTGCGTTCGCCAAACTGGTCGAAGTGGTCCTCCCGCATGCGGTCACGGCCTTCAGCTACCGTTACGCCGGTGCCGAATCGGCCGACGTCCTGATGGGTATCTCGCTGTCGGCCTTGACCGGTCGGGACGACCTAGCCAAGATCATCAAAGAGCTGGCCCGGTGCGGGATGGAAGCGAAGGACCTGAGCGACGACGAGCTGGCCAAGAGACACTTGCGCTTCCTGGTCGGCGGCCGCGCCGACGTGCCCGATGAACGACTGTTCATGTTCGAGTTCCCCGAGCGTCCCGGGGCGCTGGCCAAGTTCCTGACCACCCTCCGACCCCACCAGAACATCTCGCTGTTCCACTACCGCAACTACGGCGGCGATGTCGGCAAGGTGCTGGCGGGCATCCAGTGTCCGAGCGTCGAGAAGACGGATCTCGAGTCTTTCCTCAACGACCTTGGCTATCCGTTTAGCGAGCACACGGACTCACCCACGTACCGCACGTTCCTCCGTTCTTGAGAACACCCGGGCGTTCGTTTCCCCTAGGCAAGAGTTGGGCGGTTAATGCTTCGGCAAATTTAAAATTATCGGCGTTTGGGTTATAGCGTCCTACACCGGGTGATAGATAGACTTTTGGCGCGAGATGTCCGTATATGTATTAGTTAATTCCTGTGATCATTCAGCTAGTATTCAATGTTTATCAAGGCCTGTCATAATGTGACTGGCTTGCATAGCTTCTTCTCCCCTATATCACGTAGCGCATTTTACCGTCTATATGGCCAGGTTTTGTTGACAGGCGAACCCCACCCACAACCACCAAAATAACCCGACCCCAAAAATTCCACCAAGACAGCAGCATCACAAACAGAAACCAAACAAAAAACCATGGAGTCACGGGGAATCGAACCCCGGACCTCTCCCATGCTAAGGGAATATTATACCACTAAACCATGACCCCATTGGATGGAAGTCACGGGACCTGTTCTACTCATCTGCGCCGATCATCGTTAGGGCTATGGAATCCACCTCTCCTGTGAAGATATCTCTACGGAGGGCAATATCAGTTGGGGATGTCTCTTGATATGGGGTAAACTAGTTTCTATGGCTACTCTACTAGACTGGTTCTTGACAAAACTTTACTTAACACGAGGGAGCATGCTTATGCGGGAGTATATATTACCCCTTGGATATATATATGTACTGGTGAAATGGATGGAAAGATGGAAATGTTTTCATTCACAACTATCCCAAAACGCATCTAAGCAAATAGATATCTAGCAAAACAAACAGGTACTTTTGAATAAAACACAAGAGCCATGCCGGGGAATCAAAACTGCGGAACCAAAACGGTGTATAGAAACTTCTCTCTCCGGCCTCCTTGCCCGCGCGGGCTCCAACATCTCTTGTTGTATAAGGGTGGTATACTCGATGATGAACCAAAGGAGATGGTCTTGAACAAGAATCAAATAAATAAAACAGAAACGAAAAACGAAACATGAAAGAAATATATATATATATATATATATATTAATTTTTTTTGGAAGAAAAGAAGGACTGAAAAAACACCCCGTTCAATCCGAATCCGCGTCGTGGACGGCCCAGCGTCGGTTGTTCCGCGCCCGGGCTGTTCGCTTGGCAGACCCCCGATCGCTCGGGGTGTCCTGCCGCACAATCACCGGCAGGCTGTCCAGCACCGCCCGGTTCCCTTCGTAGTAATGGACGGTAAAACCGCCCTGCAGCACCCGGCGCAGGGAGTGCAGGCGGATCCACTTCCACCAGCGATCGATGTTCATCACGCCCTGCCGGCCGATCTTGACGGTCATCTTGCTGCCGTAGTGGCGGTTGGTGTCCTGGTTGATGGCGGTGTTGTAGGTCGGCCCGTGCCGGGGGTTCTCAATGGTGTTCAGGATGGAGGCGAAGTTGCTGTGTAGGCTCTTCTTGTCCTTCTTGCTGATGTGCTTACTGTGTACGGTGGCCAGGGTCTGCAGCTGGCTGGCGAGCTCGTGGGTGTTGTGGTAGGCGTTGTAGCGCTTGATTAGCTTAGGCCCCGCTCGTGCGCTGGGGGCCGCCATGAAGGACTCGTCTTCGTCTTCCGGCTCGGATTCCTCGTCCTCGTCGTCTTCCTCCTCCGGCGAGTAGCTCTTTTCGTACAGGAGCGCGATGTCTTCGCCGGCTGCAATCTGCACACTCGACTCGCCGCTGTCTAGCTGGTCCATGAAGATCTGGACGGCGTCCTCGCTCTCGCCTTCAAGGTCATCGATCTCGACCGCCAGCGAGCCCCACTCCTGCAAGGCGGCGGTGACGGCGCCTGGGTCATCATCGGCGCCGATGGACTGTCCGTCCGAGGCGACAATATCCAAGAAGAACGTCATCTGGTCGAGGAAACCGTCCTCGCCCGCCCCTCCGAAGATCGCACACGTGCCGAGACAGTGGATCGCGGCGGTCTTGGCGGCCACGGACGTCGAGTCACGAATCGTCCGGGTCAGCAGCGGTTCGACATTCTCATAGATCTTATCGTCTTGCGTTGTTACAGTGAGTAGCTCGAGCGCACGGAGGCCTAATATCGTCTCCCGAACACTCGTCTCGAACTTAACGCTCTTGCAGAAGGCAGCGAGGAGATCGTTCACGCGGTTCCGAAGATGGTCGTCAATGAAATGACATTTTGCCAGACGGCAAAAGGCGGCGTATGACTCCTCGCGACTCAAGATACTACTCCGTTTCCGCTCGAGGATATCTTGGATGACATCTGCCAACTCTTCGGTCCAATTCGTATTATCAGGTTCGGGGAGGTCGGCCAAGTCATCGAGAGAGCCAATACTAAACGGGGCATATCATTAGTCAATTGTTCGTTCCCGGATAGATGGATCGTCGACGGTGACATCATTGATCACCGCCTAGAAAAAAAAAAAAAAAGTTCATGATGAAAATGACATCATCCCGTAGAATGATCCAGCCCTTTCGTTCATGTCGCATGCAAGCCAAAGGAGAAAACAACAAAGTCACTCACCTCAAAGCCGTATCATCGCTGAGATAGCCACCGTCTTCATCGTCTGACGGCTGTCTGCTAGTGTTACGTGATGACTGTTGGGAAGCCTGAGCGGAGGGGTTGCGCGACGGCCGTCGGGATCCTTCGCGGGACGCCGCCTTGCGCGAGATGGTCTTGCCGCTCTCAAACACTTGCCGACGAAGATCTGGCATGATGTACTGAGTCGCCTGACAGTATATATGATGTTGATGGAAGTTTGATGCAAGTTGAAGATACCAAGTGATGGTGAGGATGGGGATGAACAGTGGGAGAATGAAGGGAGATGAGAAGAAGTCGAGGGAAGAAAAGAGACCGAGTTATGTACATAAGAATACCCGAGATAAGACGATAACGATAAGATAGTGCCTGATGCAGGTCACAAGGATGTACGTTATGCCAAGAATGAGTCATCCGATGGCGATGGTCCGTATGAGTCACAATACACGCCAATACACACGATACCCGTGAGCAGTGGCAAATAAAACACCGTCCTTACCGGCAGTCGGATTATTACTGTTCCTGATCCACGGTTCATGTTTGCCTGGTTTGTTCTCGCCTGCTTTTCCATCTTGTCGATCCATCTCCCATCCAGATATCCAGACTGAAACAATGCCCAACAAATGGCATTGCGATCATCAGCTTTCCGATTAACCGTATCGCGCGGTGCCTGTGCACCGAGACTCTCGTCCAGGGTCGGTGGCAGAACCGTTTGGGCGCGACTGTACAGCACCACGGCCCCAGGCCAGTCGAGTCCGCCGCAAGAATCGGAGCGTCCGACGCCATCCCGGGTCGACGACCAGTTGCCTGATGGGTCCCATCTCAACCCCTTACCGGACGATTACTCGCGCTTCATATTCCAAGATAAATGCCGCTCGGTGATGCATGCGGGGTCCGGTGGGAGTGGTTGTGTGTCGTTCCTGCGCGAGAAGTACGTTGAAGAAGGGCCTCCCAATGGCGGTGACGGGGGCAGCGGTGGGTGTCTCTACGTCCAGGCCGTGGAGGGAATGACGAGTCTGCATAAGTTGGCCCGTCGGGGAGTGATCCGCGCCGGTCGCGGCAAAAACGGCCAGGGGAAGAGCAAAGGAGGCCGACGGGGCGAGGATGTTCTGATCCAGGTGCCCGTGGGGACGGTGATCCGCGAGGTCGACCGGTACGACCCCGTGACGGAGGAACTGGTTCGGTTAGAGGAAATCGAGGCCCAGCCGCCGGATGAGCTGGATGAAATGGGGGTAACGTCCATCCGCCACGACCGCTGGGTGCTGTATCCCGGCGCCAAGCCCTCGGATTTCCTGACTACGGTCTTCCCCCGGAACACGCCTCGACGGCAGGACATTGCCTCGCTGGAGCCGCCATCACCGATTCACCTCGACCTCTCGTATCACATGGAGAAGCCGATCCTACTCGCAGCCGGCGGGGCGGGTGGGATGGGCAACCCCCACTGGTCGTCGCGCGCCAACACCCGCCCCAATTTTGCCTCCCGAGGCGAGGGTGGCATGCGCCTGGAGCTGGAGTTTGAGTTGAAGCTCCTGGCAGATGTCGGGCTGGTGGGGAAGCCCAATGTCGGGAAAAGCACCCTCCTCCGCTCCCTGACCAACAGCCGCACCCGCATCGGGAACTGGGAGTTCACCACGCTGTCGCCCAACATCGGCACCGTGGTCGTCGACAATCACAAGGGTCGCCCGCTGGTGGAGACCGCCGACAAGAACCCCCGCACCCACTTCACCATCGCCGACATTCCCGGTTTGATCCAGGGGGCGCACCTCGACCGGGGGCTGGGCCTCGGGTTCCTGCGGCACGTCGAGCGCGCGGGCATCCTAGCCTTTGTGGTGGACCTTAGCGCCGAGGACCCCGTGCAGGGGCTGAAGAACCTTTGGCATGAAGTGGGCGAGTACGGCAAGATGCGCGAGGAAGAGGCCGCCCTGGAGTGGATGTCCGACAGCTCGGACCTGCCGTCGTCATGGTCGTCACCGCAAGACGACGGGGAAGCCGCGCCGAAAGAGCTCCCGTCCCTCAGCCTGCCGCCTATGCACACCAAGCCCTGGTTCGTGGTGGCCACCAAGGCCGATTTGCCCGAGACGCAGGAACGATTCCGCGCTCTGCGGGACTTCCTGGCGGCGGTGGAACGGGGCGAGGCAGAGCATCCGGGGGGCCACGTGAACGGGTGGAGGAAGAAGCTGCACGCGGTTCCGGTGTGCGCTATGAAAGGCCAGGGCGTTGAGCGAATCCCCAAGCTGGTGATGGAATATCTGGATTGAAGGAGTGTCTCTTGATTGGATGAACGGCATATGTGGCGTTTTCTCTTGTACTATCTTTTTATCTTATTCCTGTATAATATCGACATGGATTTGCACAGCAAAGATCATTCAACCCGTTTTAATAGCCTTTGGTCGAAACATTCATCTTTTCTCCGGCACTGACACCGAGGATGGTAGTTGAAAATGGAACAAACTTTGAATTTACATAGGTATCAGGGTATATGCATCGGGGTATATAAAGAAAATATCAACATGAAGCCACATCCTGCTCAGCCTCACCGATCAAGATGGACCAGGAGCCGAGGCGGCCGGTTTCGCGCCTGGTCTCCTGAATGATTTCGCACCTGGTTTCGCACCTGGTTTCGCACCTGGCTTCGCACCTAGTTTCGTGCCTGGTTTCGCCTTCGGTTTCGTGCCTGGTTTCGCCTTCGGTTTCGCACTCGGTTTCGCGCCTTTTTTCACGCCTGGTTTCTTGGCCGGTTTCTTGGCCAGTTTCGCGGCTAGTTTCGCGGCTGGTTTTATGGCCGGTTTCATGGCCGATTTCGCGCCCGTCTTCACCTCGATGCTTCCCTCGTACCCAGCCGCCGCGAGGATCGCCCAGCGAAGCTCGCTGATCCCCAGGTCCAGGTGTTTGTCCGCACAGCAGGTCAGGATCTCCCCAAGGGCACCTGGCCCTTCTCCATATCCAGTGGGCTGAACAATCGACTTCAGGTACTGCAGCATCTCCTGCAGCAGAGAGAGACCGGCAGTGGGCAAACCATGTCGCAGGTGGCTTGGTTTCCGGGACAGAAACCGGTCGACCTTGGAAAGTACCACCTGATGTGGAATGGCGTGTTCTCGAAACATGTGGAGCAGATCGATGTCGGTGGGCTTCAACCCATGTGTGCTGTCAACGAGGACGAACACGCGACGGAGCCTAAACCATCCGATTGCCACGGTTAGTTTTGCCAATATGGATCCTTCCCCCTCAGCTAGGAGCCATGGGGAAATTGAGGAGAATGGTGATTACTTACTGCTTCCGCCCACGGAGGTACTTTATAATCTCCACCCCCCACTCCGCGCGACCTCCCCGACCGTAACCCGGCATGTCCAGCACCACTACCTTGGATTCCTCCCCCTTGGTGCCTCCGATCCCATAGGCATTCATCTCTCGCGTACGCCCCGGCTTCGACGACGTCCAGCACATCTCCTGACCCATGACGCGATTGAGGAGCGAGCTCTTGCCGACGTTCGACCGTCCCAGGAATGCGACCTCTGGCTCGAAGGAATCGGGCGCGGTGCGGAATTTCGACGCGGACCATTTCTTGATGGGCGAGTGGCGCGTCACGGCAAAGATCTTGTCCGCATAGTTGAGCTGGGCGCGATTGGGCGCTTGGGTGTCCCAATAAGAGGAGATATGCGTCGGGGTGATGTCCTGGAGAGGGATTCTGTTGGGGTGCTTCGCGGGAGGCCCTACCATGTACGGTCGAATCGCAGTGGTTGTAATCGTCCGGACGGAGAAGACCATCCGAGGGCTAGAGTAATGAAGACATGGCGTACAGATGTGGAGAGGGCGTCTCATCTTGGGGGACGTTTCGTTTCTGGGGGAGGTTGGGGAAGATGAGGATGAATTGAATGATCGAGTTGACAGTGGTCGAAAACCCCGATGTTTGTCGTGTTTGTCAACACCGCCCATTTCGGACTAGTCTGTCTTCTGTACTTCGACCTCATCGATGTTGTGATATCTCCCCAACCATCACTGCGCAATATGCTCTCGTATACACAAGACTCTGGACTGCGCCAGTCCACCTGTGCTGCAGCTGGTGATCTGTTCAAGGTTGTTTCGTACCCGCTGCAAAGACACCTGACGCGAACCATACCGAGCGACGACCGACCGCAATGCATACAGACTGCCGGACAACCCAATCTATGTGCAGCAGGTATCTGTCGTGCTCGTCTAGCCCGTGCTGAGCTGGACGTAGCGAGTCGGGACTCAGAGGCCTGATTGGGGGGAAGAAGATGACTGACAGATCTGATCTGACCTGGAGGATTGAACGACAACCTGATGCAGACCCAGGGGGATGGTGGTACGGCCTGCAACAGATGGTCGTGGGTCGAGCCAATTGGTACTACAACCACTGTGCGGTGTACGGACTACAGCATAACAGGATACTCTTTGTGATGAATCGAAAGCATGCGCTGATGAGACACGTCGGGTGAAGTGGATGCCCTCATCCATCGGTGGTTGATTGGCTCCGCTTCTAGATCCAGATCACTATCCTGAAAATCTTGTCCAACCTAAAAATATCTAGTCCGGAGAACCTACGGAGCACACCGGTGTCCATCATGGATCCAGTGGAGCCGGTCTCAAGGCTCTCACGGTCCCGGGCAGCAATAGGAAACGGCCGAATGCAGATCGGGCTGACTGCCAAGACCTCGGCCCGGAGGAGATTCGCCAGTCGGGACAATTCGCGCAAAAAAAGTCGAAGTCGGGTCTGGAAACGAATGCCAAGCTTGCCCCAGACGGCCGGTTAGTCTTCTTGCAGACTTGGAATTTCCAGGACTGGTGCCTGGTGCAATTCCCATACCGTTTGTTCAACGACGACTGAAGTAACGATCACTATTAATAAGAGTTGGTGATCACGTCACGACGACTATTACCAACGCCTTCCAGCGCTCCAATCCTGTCCTCCGCATTCCTTCTACCCATTTCCGAATCGAAATCCATCACCCATCATGAACTGCCCCTCCCGAACCGATGATACGCTGCTGCATTGCGAGTGGAACCAGAACCCGCCATCGCTGGCCCCCGACCTGACCACGCGCCAAGACCTCAATGGCATCTCCAATGCGCGCGTGCTGAAGACCAACGATGGACTGGTCGGGTTGCCGTGGTCGTCGTTAGAGGTCACCGGCATGACGCCCACGCAGCCGTTCGACCCGGAAAAGCGGCGCCCACCCACCCCGGGGGCGTCCTTGACACCGTCAGGTATGTACATATATTTGGAAATTGAGAGCCCTCGTGTGCGATCGATAAGGAGAATTGGCCGGGCTGACGATGTTTGGCTTTCTAGGACCCCCTTACCCACCGGCCGGCTCGCATGCTGGTCTCCAGGGCACCAATGCCCGCCCCGCTTGTCCGTCATGGCTCCAGAAACTCTGGAGTTGGGCGACATGGCTTCTCTCGGTGCTGTGCACCTCGGCTCTGATCTCCCATCAGAGTCTGGCACAGTATCTGGGAATGAATCGATCCCCCGTTCTAGTCGAAGACGTTCAGCCGACCAAGATCGCCACGCAATTACAGCCAGGCCGTCTTCTAGCGGCGCGTGACACCTGCGCCCAGGGAGGTGTCGACGGCGCTGCATACGATCTACCCCTACATGTGGCTGCCCTCTTCATTATTCTGGCGGTGTCGGGCTTGGCGTGCGCGTTCCCCATCCTCGCTGTTCGCTTCCCTCGTCTGCGTATCCCGGGCCCGTTCCTCTTCTTCGTTAGCCACTTCGGCACGGGCGTGCTGATCGCGACGGCCTTTGTTCACCTGCTTCCCACCGCCTTCGAGTCCCTCAACAACCCATGTCTGTCCAGCTTCTGGACGCAGGACTACCCGGCCATGCCCGGGGCCATCGCGCTGGCCGGCATCTTCCTCGTGACCGTGATCGAGATGGTCTTCAGCCCGGCCCGCCACGTCTGCCGCGGGGGCGCGCGATTTGGCGACTTCCCGCCACCGCCGACGGACAAGGACAACGAAAAGGCCTCGATCCCGCGAATCAACATCTCGGATCACTCGCATTGCACCGACCACTCCGTCGTTCCCTCCCTTGTGGAACCGCTGCCTCAGCCTCATCTGCGCGACCTGGGGCCCTTGATCGGCCGTTCGTCCAGCATCAGCCGCTCCATCAATCGCATGGGCGACGACCCCGACCGTATCTGTCGCATCGCGTCCGCGCCTGAGGGGCCCGTCAACCACCTCGACTTCCAGCCGGAGCGTTTCCCCGACGTGGAGCGCATCACCGACGAGCCGTCCCGGGACCACAAATACCGCAAGGAGATGATGCAGGTGTTTCTGTTGGAAATGGGCATCCTGTTCCATAGTGTCTTCATCGGCATGTCTCTCAGCGTGTCGATCGGGAGTGAATTCGTCATCCTCCTGATTGCCATTGTTTTTCACCGTAAGGCTCCTCCGCCCCCAAACAACTAACCGGCCGTGAACTGACGCAGTGGTTGTAGAAACTTTCGAAGGGCTCGCGCTGGGAGCCCGGATTTCCGCTCTCGACTGGCCCGAGGATGCGCTCCAGCCATGGCTGATGAGTCTCGCGTACGGGTGCACGTACGTATCTATCTTTTCTTCCTTTATTCCACTCTTTCTGTTCCTGCAGTATACTGACCTTCTATCCAGGACCCCCATCGGCCAGGCGATCGGTCTCGCCACCCACACCCTGTACAGTCCGGATTCGGAGGTGGGCCTGCTGGTGGTGGGCGTCATGAACGCCATCTCGGCGGGCCTTCTGATCTTTGCTTCGCTGGTCGAGCTCATGTCGGAGGATTTTCTCAGCGATGAAAGCTGGCGCGTTCTGCGCGGAAAGAAGCGAGTGTTTGCCTGTATTTTGGTTTTTCTAGGAGCGTTCTGTATGAGTATCGTTGGTGCCTGGGCTTAGACCGGACTGGCGGGGTCTACGACTCCAATAGCCAGCCCATCGATCCCTGCGATATCATCACACTTCAGTGGACCGCCAGTACGATAGAAGTAACTCGACCTTGACGCCTTCATCTCGTTGAGGATACTACTGCCATAACAAATACCCCCTAGAAAGGGGTCCAATCAATATACCTTTCGACAAAGTCAATGACCCGAATTCCATTGGCGAGTTCTCTGTGAAGGCAAGCTCTTGTTTAACAAAGGCAAGATGACACGGACAACCCTGTGTGGACGTCTCATGTAAGAAACCCGAGGATGAGTATCAGCGTTGATCCGCTTCCCCAAACCCGGTGCCACCATGTTCCCGGTGGAAAAGGTGACGAACGAAGTGGCAGTGACTTGGTATATCCAAGAGCCCACCTCGATTTTCGTGCTGTTCATTTCGCATTGAAGGTCCAAGAACGAGAGTCCGTTTCGTCTCGGCTCGTTTATCCTGATGGAATACATCGACCACGACACGGACCTGGGCACCACATTACACACGCCAACACCGAGCCCTGAGGACCGTCCGATCTTCCATTTATTGAGCAATGTGGATAAGCTGGAACTGCTATACGGACAACTTCGTATGTCTTAGTCAACAAACACCTCAGGCTGTCGGGTTGATTTACTGGGAGCTCAGCCACGCCGCATCCGTTGAGTTCTCACATGCCCCTCCATGGTGGTTGCGTCTCGAACAGCCCGAATACTGGCCCGATGGGATCGAGGCCTGGGAGAAAACGTTCGCAAGCCGTCTGCCGACGTTCCTGAAAGTGCTGACCGACCGCGAGGAAACTGCCATCCAGCGAGGCAGGCTCCGGCCGGAACAGAGACTGTCTGGGCGCATGGAGCAGAGCTGGATTGATGGCGACTTCGGGATCACCTACGCGGTGAGAAAGAATTTCGCCTTTGATGCGATCTTCTGGAAGAAACTCGACGGTCGATTCTTCGGGCCGTGCGCAGTCCCCGAGGACGACCGATGGGAGAAGAGGATGGAGTTGTTGAGTTAAGAAGAGCGACAGTCGATGGAGCAGATGGTGAGCCACAAGCTCGAGCAGATGAAAAGCAGGGCTCTGGAATGGGAGCCAGAGGAGTATACGACTCTATCGAATCAGGCAGTCCCAGTGAGGACCATATACTACGGAGTCGGACATTTCCCAGCAATACTCTCTGGCCACGTATTAGATAGAATGGAAAATAATGAAACCATGCTATCCAACACCTTCCAGATGATGAGTGTAGTTTATTACTCTGCCCTACTTGGGGATGGGCTGTATGGGCTGTCCTCGAAGGCGATCTGCTCTGTGATGCATCGTGGATTGAAGCCGATACTGAGCGAACTTTCCCAGGAGATCGATTATTTGGTCTTATTCAAATTCCAAAAAAATGACAAACTTTAGTACCACGACTTGTTGTAATATAAAAGTCGGAGTACATCGTGGAATATCGCGCCAGTCCACAACATACTAATCCTGATAATCCGTATTAGTAGAATCTACCCCGCCTCTCCAACAACTCATTGCCTCGGTATCCTCTCTCCTTCTTCTTCCTCTCTCTTACCTCCCCCCCCCCCTCTTCTTCTCGGATTCTCGTATTCATTTGATTGTTAATTTATTTATTGACTAAATCAATCACACCATGTCTTACTCCCTCAAGAACCGTAACGCCCTGATCACCGGCGGATCCCGGTAGGTTTTCCCCCTCCTTTCTCCTCCGTGAATACGCTGCCCCGCATCACGACTAATCAAGTCTATCGCAGAGGACTGGGAGCCGTCGTGGCGCGCAAGTACGCCGCCGAAGGCTGCAATGTCGCGATCAATTATGTCTCGAGCAAGGATGCCGCCGAGGAGCTTGTGGCGGACGTTCGCGAGCAGTATGGGGTGAAGGCGATTGCTATTCAGGGGGTACTGTTTCCCCTCGAACTTTCGATTTTGGTTTCTGTGTGAAAGTGCACGGCCAGCTGACGCGCATGGTTCGTTGTAGGACGCGAGCCGTCAAGCAGACTGCGCCAATGCGGTCAAAACTACGATTGAACAGTTGGGAGGAATCGATATCATTGTCTCGAATGCCGTGAGTGGATGCCTTCCACCAAAGCAAGTCGGGCTATTGCGATTGACGGCTGACACCTGAGGCAAGGGTTGGACGAAAATCACCAAATTCGGAGACCTGGACGCGACGGACGATGAGGATTGGGATAGGGTATATACGGCTCTTATCCGAAGGTCTCTTAGGGATGACTGCTAACGGTGGCGCTTGCAGTGCTGGTCGACGAATGTCAAGGGAAATATGTACCTCTTCAAGGCCGCCTTGCCGACATTCAACGCGAACCCCGACGGCGGTGTTTTCCTCATGACGTCGTCCATTGCGGTAGGTGACATGTGTTTACTCTGTGAGAGTATGTCTGGGCCCACGCTCATGATGAGATAGGCAGTTTCGTCGACCGGGAGTAGTATGCCGTACGCGGTGACCAAGGCTGCCGGTAGGAGCCCTCCATGATCGATCATCAATCAGCTGGATAAATGATGCTAACCATACTGAAGGTCTACATCTGATGAAGTGTCTGGCGCAGACGCAGGGCAGTAAGGTCCGGATCAACGCAGTCCTCCCTGGTCTTTTGCTCACCGAATGGGTAAGTCGAGATTCAATTACCGCGCACAGGACAGCGTTGCTAATGGGTCCCAGGGCCAACGGTTTCCCCCGGAGATCACGCAGGCCTATAAAGACAGGGCCGCCCTCCAGTCGGTGGTATGTACACTCATCTCATGCAGCGGCCGCAATGCGCTAACCCATCCCGCCAGCCGGAATTGGAGGACACGGCCAACGCATATGTCATGCTGGCGCAGAACCAGTCCATGACGGGACAGGCGTTGCAAGTCGGTAAGTGCCCTGACCGAGTCCCATTGCCAAGCTAATCCGAGGTAGATTCTGGGTTTTGCATCAGGTTCTGAGCAACTGAGTTCGGTGCGAAATGACGCCATATTGATTGCAGACCACGCCCCCACTCGCCCACTGATCAAGACATTTTGTAACTGGTATTGTGGTAGAGTACAAGAAATGAAAGAGTTCGAAGCTACCCGGGGTATCATTGCAGCGGATTGTAGAACGGGGTGTAGCCGGAACGGAGGGTCCGCGGGCCCACCATTTTCGCCTTGAGTGCGGCCCGCACCGCATCCGCGTTCTGTTCCCCTTCCACTTTCATCTGTCGGATGCGGATGAGTTTCCCGTCGCGCGTAAAGACATAGAGCCCTCGATCCGTCGGCTTCGGCTGGGTATTATCGACAAAAGGCACGCCGGGAATCACCACCAGCATCTCGCAACCCTTCGGGGGTTCGACCTCCTCGATCTCGGTGAAGATGACCCGTCGCGGCCGGAACGTAGGCGTCTTCCCCGACGTGTCGGCGGCGAGTGCGTTGCTCCAGAGTGGACCGAGCACCCGCGTTCGCCGGCTGATCTCCAACGCGGTCCAGTTCGCCCAGTCGACATGGCGGTCTTCCGGCGTGATCTTGGCGGCGTGGATGAGCGACGCATCGTCGCGCGTCGGGCCTACATCCTCGAGCGGCGGAACAAAGAGGCCTTTCTGGATCCCCTCCACCAGCAGGTTGGCACCCGTGGGGGTCACCAGATCCAACAGTTCGGGGACCGTGCACGAATCGGGATTCGGAATCGGCAAAGGAGGGGTCTGCGACAGAATGACGCCGTGGTCAAAGTGCTTGACGTCTAAGGTCTGCAGAGTCACGCCCGTGGTCCGTCGACCGGCGAGGAGGGTATGGTGCAGCGGCGCGGGGCCCCGGAAGCTAATGATTCTATCGGTTAGCCTCGTTGCGGTTGCGCTTTGCAGGTCACACTCGCGGGACGCACTCGGGGAGAAGTGAAGGGTGAATATTGAGCCCCCCATACGTGGAACTGTTCAGGATCCGCGATGGCACGAATAAGCCAAAGGACACGGCGACGATGAGGTTCACCGGGGTGGGCGGCTACACACATCAGCAGGCATTGGATACAGCCGACGCGGTGCTTACCGTCCAGCCACGAAACGTATCAATCTCATGAATCGGTAGAGACAATTTCGAGGCCACCGCTTTGATAGGGACCTCACGGATCTTCTTCAACCCTCGGCCGACCCGCTTGCCCGGCCTGCAGACCACATCGATAGAGGAGATGCGCCTGGGCTCTCGGACATGCTCCCGATGGAGCGCCTCCAACGACGCGATGCTGAACTCATCAGACCCACAGAACAAGATCCGTAGCGGCTCATGCGGTTTCGACGTCGAATACCATCGTCGCGCCAGGGAGGGAAGCGCAATCAATGGACGCGTCCGGGTGGATGCGCACAGGATCCCCGAGCTGCGCAGGAGAAACATGGTGGATATCGCTCGTACCACTGATCGGCAGTTAGCCCACGGACAGCATGACGCTTTGAGAAACAGTTCCAACCCACCGAACGAGAGCGATGCCGGTGTAAGAATCAAGCAAGATGGTGATGATATCAGGTGACCGGAATTGCCCAAAGAGGCAAGAGCCGTGACCGCGGAGGAACGTAGATCCGGGATAATGCAAACCAGACAAATCAGGCAAAAAAGCTTCGCCTGTTTGCCCTGATTGTCCAATCTTGCGCGCCTCAGGAAGGCATCGTGCTTCGGCCCATCATTTTCATTGCTTGTCGATGTCGCCTCAATTTGCTTCCTCAACTCCAATCTTACGTCTTCGTCTCCCCTTTCCCCAATAACATCCCTACATGGTCCTACCATCACCATGGCTTCGGCCGCGGATCGTGCGACTGCCCTTTCGATCGCTCCGCGCCCGATCAACTCGTCTCGTCTCGTCCGTCGCGCCGCCGTTGATTCGCATTGACAAGGGAACGTTTTATGATCGATACCCCACGCCCGACGATGCGGAGAAGGAAGTGAACCCACCGCTGTTTCCCGACTTCAGCTTTACACTACCCTCCGGACCCACGCCAGAAACAGGGACACCGCAACACTGGGCGGTGATCGGATCGGCCGCACGAACGCCACTGTTGAATATCCTCCGCGGCCAATACGTCTGTCTACCGCCCACCGCCCGGACCTACCCCTACCTCCAAACCGACGAGATCGCCAAAAAGGATCCCCGGCTGCAGTTTGTGGGGAACGCCGTCCGATACGTGGGCTTCAGTGGCGAAGGATCACAGGCCTCGGGGGGCACCCGCGGGGCATACCTGAGTGCGCGCTATGAGAGTCTGCGCGAGGAGACAGATTGGACCGTGCGCCAGTACCTCCGGGGTCAAATGTCGCTGAACCCGCTGGAAGGGGAGGAGGAAGGCACCGTCCACGACGACGGCCTCCTTCGCCGCGTGGTCGGGGACCTGCGTCTGGACCCGTTGATGGACATGCCCGTCGCCAACCTGAGCAACGGCCAGACCCGGCGAGCCCGCATCGCCAAGGCCCTCCTGAGCAGACCTGAGCTGCTCCTGCTCGACGATCCCTTCATGGGTCTCGACCCGGCCACCGTCCGGAGTATCTCGGGCCTGCTGCAACATCTCGCCGACAAGGCCGATCCCCGGATGATCCTGGCGCTCCGGCCCCAGGATCCCGTGCCCGACTGGATCACCCACCTGATGGTGGTGGGCCATGCGGACCGGGTCCTGCTCCAGGCTCCCCGATCCGACGCGGCACGGATGTTCCAGGTGTGGCGGCAAGAATTGACGCCCGGGCGGAAGAACGCGCCGTCCGCGGCGGAAGACGACGATCCGATAGCCGTGGAGGCGCGGAAGGCACTGGAGGCCGGTCTCATAGATCGGCAGACGCTGTGGGACCTGGACTTGGTCTCCGAGGAACCCATCCACGTGCCACTAGTGGCCTCGCGCGGCGGAGAGCCGTTGATCGAGATGGACGGGGTGCGAGTACAGTACGGGGACAAGGCGGTGTTGGGGGATTGGAAACAGCCGGTGCAGGGGGAAGAGAAGGATGGTCTTCACTGGACCGTCCGCCGAGGCCAGCGCTGGGCGATTCTGGGCGCGAACGGGTCGGGCAAGACGACCCTGCTCTCGCTGATCACCTCGGACCACCCCCAGGCCTACGCGCTACCCATCAAGGTCTTCGGCCGATCGCGGCTGCCCGAACCGGGCCAGCCGGGCCTGTCACTGTTCGAGCTGCAGTCGCGGCTCGGCCACTCATCGCCCGAGATCCACGCTACCTTCCCGCGCCACCTCTCGATCCGCGCGGCGATCGAGTCGGCCTTTGCCGAGACGATCCTCTCCAAGCCGCGACTAGACCACGAGCGGGACCTGGACGTGAGCGCCGTGCTGCGCTACTTCAAGGGGGAGCTCGATCCGCACGCCGCCGTCACCCTGGGCCGTAAGCCGCCCATCATCCCGCCGGACTACCAGCATTTCCCGCGGATCGGAAACGTTCGCACGACCCACTACTCCCCCGTGGACTACGACGTCGAGTACGCCGACGAGGTCACGTTCGGAGAACTCAGCACGGCGCAGCAGCGCGTGGTGCTGTTCCTCCGCGCCCTGATCCACAAGCCCGACATCATCATCCTCGACGAGGCCTTCTCGGGCATGCCATCGTCGCTCCGGGACAAGTGCATCCACTTTCTCGAGGTGGGCGAGCTGGGGCGCCGCCGCCACTCCACCGTGACCCGCCGCACCAGCCGCAGCGAGGCCTGGCTGCATGGGGTCAGCCTGCCCGAGCCCGCCATCCGCCACCACGGGCTGTCGGACCAGCAGGCTCTGGTCCTGATCAGCCACACGCGCGAGGAGGTCCCGGACTGCGTGCGACACTTCATGCGACTCCCGTCCACGCCCGCGGACGGGACTGAGGTCGACTTCCGGGTCGGCATCTTGAAGTCGGGCAGCAGCCTGAACCAGGCGCACTTCTGGGACGTGGCGTGGTCTCCGGCCGAGGAGTTTGAGCAACGGACGCGACGCGCGCATCGACGCATGGACGAGACGGCCTATCCGGACGAGGACGAACGGATCTACCAGTGGTCTATCTTTTAGACGGCCGTGTTTTGCTTCTAGGATTTTGCATCTACGAGGGGTTCTCAGCGTTGTACATGAGACATGATATTCGATACTTAGAGATTTCTATACATCTGCTTGCTCTTGGTCCCTGTATATAACGTTCAAGATGTATCGTGATAGTCCACTGTAGAAAACATCAACCGGCCAACCTCGGCATTCAGGCCGCACATGGGGCAGCGGCAACGCTAAACCCGATCGGGCCAAAGCCGGGCGGGGAATCCTGGAATTCTTCGGATGTTTCTCTTTGGCTTCATCTTTCTTGACTCCACCCTCTCGGTCTGTCTCTCCCCGTACGTTGCTCCCGTTCTCTTCGTATTCCGACCTCCAGGTCTGTCTGACCCAGCTTGTCACAGCACTGTCTCTCCCGCGCTTGGTCGCATGCTCTCGCGCGTGGCTCCCACTCAATGCATCATCTACTTGCTCCCTCGTGAATAAATGCCTGCCCTTGGCCGTGAACCGTATCGTCTTCTCTAGTGCCTCTCCCTAGACTTTGCCACTTTCGACTCGTCACCGCGCGACTACCCGATATGTCTGAGGAATCCGCCGCGCAATCCGGGACCGGCCCGGATCGCCCGTCCAGCCACAATGGAACCTTCGTGGAGGACGTCTCCCCCGGTGGGGTGGACGCGGAGTCGAAGAATGCTGGTGCCAGAGATCAGGCGCCGTCGCAGTCGCAATCGGGCTCCAGTGTATCTGCGGTCGCCCACAGTAGCCCGAAGAAACGTCGCAAGGTGAATCATGGTAAGTCCGCCACCCCGGGGAAACGGGCCCGCGGGCCCTTGCAGCACCGTCGCGGTCCCGTCGCGTCCATGTTGTCTGACCTCTTGTCGTGTCCTCCTTGCAGCATGTGTCTATTGTCGGCGCTCGGTAAGCCTATCGTCCTCCCCGCGCTCCTCGGGAAAAATACTCCTTGATGGCCTGATTTGCTGACGTTCCACCCTGTCAACGTGGCACAGCATATGACTTGCGACTCGGTACGACTCTCCTGGAACAATTTCCCCTTTCCCTTTGCTCTATTGTTCCCCCTCTCTCACCCCGCATCCCGTGTGGGTGACACCAGTGGCCCAATGGGCGGGGGTGGGGATTGGCAGTGGTGAACAGATCGCTAACGTTGGGCCGGGACGCACTGCAGGAACGTCCCTGTACGAGATGTATAAAGCGCAATATCGGTCACCTCTGCCATGACGAACAGCGCGAACCGTCGAAGCCCGCCCGCAGTGAACCAGACCATTCCGCCACCGAGGACGACACCGCTGCGTCTACCCGGTTCGGCAACGGCCTCCCCACCATGTCTCGCAACGTGGACGTCTCCGATGCTGCTGGTCAGCAGATGCTCCCCGAGGGCATACCTCCGGCGTCGGTCAACTCGGTGCAGCCGGGCGAAATTCTCCCGTCGGGCAACCAAGGCCTTGTGCCCAACAACCAGTCGGGTAAGGCCTTCCTCCGTTCCGTGCCGTGTTGGCAGACGTGTTTCAGTCATCGCGGGGACGGATGGACTGACAGATTGATCCTCTCTAGTGCTTGGTTACAACGAATGGGTTGGGAACCAGAGTCAATTCCAGGACATGCACTCCTTCCATCCGTCCTACCTCTTCAACGCCCCCGAGGTCACCAACGAATACAACCTGCTGGGGGACTTCCTGAGCAACAGCCTGCTTGACGACGGGGCCATGTTCCCCAACGACGATCTCCACGGCGTCTACTCCGACCCCTCGCTTATCAACTCCGTGAACAACCTCCGCGGCGGCCAGAACGCCGCCCTCCTCCACCACGCCCAGCCGCCGCAGGTCGCCCTGAACCCGCAGTCCGCGGGCGACGGCATCCCGGGCCCCAGCGCCACCGTCGGCAACGACAAGGCGCGCGAGACTTACTACCTGACGGCCGCGGACCCCTCGGGCTCCGACCCGCCCGAGGAGCGCATGAACAAGCTCCTCAAAGCCAAGTACGACGCCGGCCTCTTGCGGCCCTTCAACTACGTCAAGGGGTACGCGCGCCTGAACCAGTACATGGAGAAGCACATGCAGCCGTCGTCGCGCCAGAAGATCTTGCGCCAGCTCGACAAGTTCCGCCCCAAGTTTCGCGAGCGCATGCACAGTCTCACCGATATTGAGCTCATCCTCGTGGAGATGTGGTTCGAGCGCAGTCTGATGGAGTACGATCGCGTCTTCGCTAGTATGGCCATCCCCGCCTGCTGCTGGCGCCGTACCGGCGAGATCTTCCGTGCCAACAAGGAGATGGCCGAATTGATCGGCGTCCCCATTGGCAATTTACGAGACGTACAATCCCCTTTTGTCTTGATCCCTCCCTGTCTCAAGGTACAATGCTAATCGATAACAGGGCAATCTCGCCATCCACGAAATTATCGTCGAAGATCAACTCGTCAGCTACTGGGAGAAATTCGGCGCCATTGCCTTCGACAATACTCAAAAGGCCATGCTCACCAGCTGTACCCTCAAGAATCCCTCCTCCACGACGAATTCTGCCGACGGCATTCCCTGCTGTTTTTCTTTTACCATCCGCAGAGACACCCACAATATGTAAGGTCTTCTCTTTCTCTCCCCTGATCCCTTCCTTTCAATACCACCACCCAGTAGAAGATCAATCCATTCTAACAAACATGTCCACACAGCCCCTCCCTCATCATCGGGAATTTCCTCCCCACGCAACGCAAAAACAACTGATTCACCCTTCCCCTTTAAACCCGCGTGATTGATTCTAGTTCTGTGCCCGGCGCACGGGGCTCTCTTGTGTTTTGTCATATCTTACTATATTCTATTCTGTACTGCTGTGTTTACCATCGTCATTCATCTCCTTTTGTATGTCTGGTTTGGCAGAGGCCGCTTTGCTGTAGCCCGTCATTGAATAGTACACTGTACATGTTTACTACCCGGGTACCTTACCCAGGTACCAGGTAGTTGGCTTAATCTATCTAGACCCACAATATACCCGTACTACGCGATGGTATATACCCCGACAAGGCCCTGTAATGTAATATCTTATCTACCTTACGAGATTGGATGAATAGTCATAGATGAGATATTGTCTCCGAGACTGTCCCACGGACATCATGTAGAATTTGAATGGAAATGGATTTATGTATATACCAAGAAAAGAACCCTAGTCCTCCCACACTCCAGATGACCCTGCGGAGTCTTCTGCACTCCAGAGGCGCATCATGCAATAATCCCCCCGACGGTCGTAGCTTCGCGAGCGTGTTGAAAATGTATCGCCCCCCACAACAAAATAAGTACCATGCTCTTCCGGTTGCCGCGCGCCGCCCATGTATATGTTGAAATTACCTACCTGTCCGAGGACATAACCCTGAACCACCAATGAAGAAACCGATAACCCCACGAAGATCAAAGAAAATACGAGATAAAACGGGGAGGAAAAGGAAAAAAAAAGGGGGAGAGGGAAGGATGATGCGCATCGACAGAAGATAGGTGTCTGGAGCAGGGAGGGGTATCAGCGAGGTCGGTCTAGAACAGACCGTCGATCTCGCCGGTCTCGGGGTCAATGTCGACGTTCAGATACCCCGGCGCTGTGGGCAGACCCGGGATGGTCTGGATGTCGGCCGCGAGCGCGTAGAGATAGCCACCGCCGACGGCCAGGCGCACGTCGCGGATGGGCACGGTGAACCCGGTCGGGGCGCCCTTGAGAGCCGCATCGTGGCTGAGCGAGTACTGCGTCTTGGCGATGCAGATGGGCAGGTTGGCAAAGCCCTGGGCGGTGTAGGCGTCGACCTTCTGCTGGGCCAGCTCGCTGAACTCGACAGCGGCGGCGCCGTACATTTCCTTGCCGATGCGCTCGATGCGCTCCTGGATCGAGCCGTTGAGGTCGTACAGCAGGCGGAAGTTTTTGGGCTTGGAGCTGGCCGCCAGGACGCCCTTGGCCAGGTCGACGGCGCCAGCGCCGCCGTCGGCCCAGTGGTTGGCAGCGATGGCGTCCTCGGCGCCCGCGGCGATAGCCTCCTCGCGGATGACCGCGATCTCGGCCTCGGTGTCGCTGGCCATGCGGTTGATGGCGACGACGACGGGGATGCCGTACTGGCGGGCGTTGGAGATGTGCTTGCGCAGGTTGACGCAGCCGGCGCGCAGCACGTCGACGTTCTCGGTGCGGTAGACCTCCGGCAGCGGGGCACCGGGGCTGATCTCGGGCCCGCCGCCGTGCACCTTGAGGGCGCGCACGGTGGCGACGATGACGACGGTGTCGGGTTCCAGGCCGGAGGCGCGGCACTTGATGTTGAAGAACCGCTCACCGCCCATGGTGAAGTCGAAGCCGGCCTCGGTGACGACGAAGCCGGTCTTGGCGTCGTGGTCCTCGTCGGGCTCGGTACCGGCCAGCTTGAGGGCCAGCTTGTCGGCGATGACGGAGCTGGCGCCGATGCTGATGTTGGCGAAGGGGCCCGCGTGGACGAGGACGGGCGTACCCTCAAGACTCTGCATCAGGTTGGGCTTGATCGAATCCCGCATCAGCGCGGCCAGGGCGCCGCCGGCGCCGATGTCGTCGCAGGTGACGGGCTCGCCGCGGCGCGAGGTGGCGACGACCATGCGGCCGAGGCGCTCGCGCATGTCCGCCAGGCTAGTGCTGAGGGCCAAGATGGCCATGCACTCACTGGCGACGGAGATGTCGAAGCCGGTCTCGCGGGACAGGCCGCGCTCGGTGGGGGCCTGGCCGACGGTGACGCCGCGCAGATGGCGGTCGTTCACGTCGAGGACGCGGCGCCAGGTGATGGTGTCGGGGTCGATGTCGAGGCGGGCGAAGTGGTTGATCTCCTCCGGGGTCAGCTCGTCCGGGTTCGTCTTGGTGATGCCCAGCTTGTTCAGGCGGCGGAACATGATGGGCTTGAACTGGCGGACGCCGTCCTTGGCGGGAACCAGGCGGCGGTAGAGCGGGCCGTCCTTCTGGGTGGCCTCGTGGAACATGCGGGTCTCGATGGCAGCGGCCAGCAGGTTGTTGGCGGCGGTGATGGCGTGGATGTCACCCGTCAGATGCAGGTTGAACTCGTCCATGGGGATGACCTGGGAGTAGCCGCCACCGGCGGCGCCGCCCTTGATGCCGAAGGTGGGGCCCTGGCTGGGCTGGCGCACATTGGCGAAGACGATACGGTTGAGGTGGGCACCGATAGCCTGGGTCAGGCCCAGAGTGGTAGTGGACTTGCCCTCGCCGAGCGGGGTCGGGGTGATGCCGCAGACGAGGACATAGCGGCCGTTGCGGCGGTGGGCCAGGCGGTCAAGCACGCCGAGGCTGATCTTGGCCTTGGTGTGGCCGTAGGGCTCAAGCTCGTGCGGAGCGATACCGACCTCGGCGGCCAGGTCGGTAATCTCCTTGGGGTACTGGGCGCGGGAGATGGCGATGTCGGAGGGGACGGGCCGCTGCAGGCGGATGGGCAGCGGGGTGATCTGGCGGTCGCGCTGACGCTCAAAGTAGGCCTTGGCGGCGTTAACGACGTTCTGCATCAGCATGGCGACGGTCATGGGGCCGACACCGCCGGGGACGGGGGTGATCTGCGAGGCGACCTGGACGGCGGAGTCGAACTCAACGTCGCCGACGAGGCGCTGGCCGGACTTCTTGGAGGCGTCGGGCTTGTAGTTGATGCCGACGTCGATGACGACGGCGCCGGGCTTGAGCCACTCGCCCTTGACGAACTCGGTCTTGCCGATGGCGGCGACGACGATGTCGGCGGAGCGGACGATGCGGTCAACGTTGGGGGTCTTGGAGTGGCAGAGGGTGACGGTGGCATCGGCGTTCTTCAGAAGGTAGCTGACGGGGCTGCCGACGATATCACTGCGGCCCAGGACGACGGCCTCCTTGCCGGAGGGATCGACGCCGCTGACGCGCAGAAGCTCCATGACAGCCTGGGGCGTGCAGGGGACGAAGAGCGGCCGCCCGCCGCGCTTGGACAGCTCCCCGATGTTGACGGCGCCGAAGCCATCGACGTCCTTCTCGTCCGCGACGGCGGAGGTGACGGTGTGCTCGGAGAGGTGCTGGGGGAGCGGCAACTGAACGAGGATGCCGTGCACGGAGGGGTCATTGTTGGCCTTGGTGATCTCCTGGAGCAGCTCAGGCTGGGCAACGGTGTCGGGGAAGCCGACGATCTTGCAGTGGATATTGGCCTGACATCCGACCTGGTCAACACAAAGTCCATTATCACGCGGGAAGGGTTCGATCACCACCTACCTCCTCAGCGGCCTTCAACTTCATGCGGACATAGGTGCCTACAGGGATTTCGGATCAGTCACTCGTCCGAGATCGGTTCACGCGACCATTTGGCGGTACCCACTGGAGTCTGAACGGCTCCCCACTATAGACGGGTTAGTGCGATTCCTCTCTGGTTCATTTTTTTCCCCTTCATTTTATTCCCTGGGAGTTTCCCGCGGGAAACGTGGGGAAGAGACACACACCTTGGAAGATGACCAAACTGGGCTGGAAACGAGGATTGGCATTCTGCAGCTGCTCAATCTCAGTCTTGAGATTCTCCCGAATGCCCTTGGCGATCTGCGTGCCGTCGATCTTGGCGCCGACCATGGCTGCAGCGGCGTGAAAGACAGGGGGACGGAGGGATGGAGCGGAGGAAGCGGCGGAGGGGGAGGAAGCCGAAAAGAATGAAGCGGAAAACCCAACGGGGGAGGCGGAATACGACTTGACAGCAGTGGAAGAAAAAGGAGGAAGAAAGGAAGAGGAGGAAAGAGAAAGAGGAGAGAGAAGAGGGGGAGGGGTGGAATTGGAGAGCGTGAGGGGATAGCGGGGTCGTCGGGGAATGCAGGATAGAACGTGATACGAGGCGCGTCGGAGAGATGGAGGGCGCATCAAGAAGGGAAACCGAACCACACCAACGGATCCTCGGTTGCAACAGTGCTGATCTGCAACAGACAGGATAAGGGACCGACAAGGGACGACAGAAAGAGTTTAAGAGAGCGAGAGAAGTGGAGATGATGGAAGAAGAAGAGAAATTGACGCGGTTTGAGTGGAGGAAAACGCAGGTCACGGGTGGGTCACATGGGGCCACGTGTAGCTGAGTCAGCGTGCATATCTTGATGTGCATAAGTCAGCTGACACACCGCTCGGCAGTATTTTCCATCTCATGATCGGCTTCAGCTTCATCTTCTCCGCTCAGGAACTCATTGCGTGTCGCCTGTGGTGCTCCCTCTCTGATCCCACATCATGTTCAAGCTGCCCGGGATCTGCGCGCGTGGTCTGATTCGAGCGACCCGGATCCCCCGTCGGAGTCCTTGGGTTCGGAGTGTCACCACCGGTAGGGAATCCACGCGATCGCGATCAAAGAAGAAAGACACGAGGAGAAAAGCTGATGGATGATCTGCAGAGGCTGCACTCTCTCCAGCCCTCTTGACCCGAGCACGGGTCTTGAACGCCGAACACATCTCCCTCTCCGCCCAATTGACCGATGCCTTCGATACCAAGATAGCCAAGCGAGTCGGGGAATTGACCCCGATCGCACAGGCCGTGAAGGAATGGGATGAAATCCAGAATGTGTGTGGTTGTCATATGGAAGGAGTGGTTCCAAAGAAGGGACCCAAAAGGAGGGAGAATTGGAGAAATGAGGGCTAATCATATGTGGCCAGTCCATGGTCGAACTCCGATCCCTACTCGATGACCCCGAGACCGACGTCGAATTACGACCACTAGCCCTCGAGGACCTCGAGAGTAGCCAGGCCTCCCTCCCGTCCATCGTCGACAAGCTCAAGCAAGCCCTCATCCCCCGACACCCCTTCGCCACCTTCCCGTGTCTCATCGAGATCCGCCCCGGCGCGGGCGGCGACGAAGCCGGTCTATTCGCCGTCGAAGTCCTCCGCATGTATGTGGCCTACTGCACGCGGCGAGGCCTCCGTGCCACCATCATCAAGCAGGACGTGGAGGACGGCACAGCCGAGGATCGCATGAGCGAGGGTGTGATCGAGGTCGAGGCCGACGGGGCCTACGACATACTGCGGACCGAGTCGGGCGTGCACCGCGTGCAGCGCGTGCCCGCCACCGAGTCCAAGGGCCGCACCCACACCAGCGCCGTCAGCGTCATGGTGCTGCCCAGTTTCCCCGAATCCGACGCCACCGCCCTCGGCTTCGACGACCCCAACAGCGACTACTACATCGACCCGCAGGAGGTCAAGTCCGAGAAGATGCGCGCCGGCGGCGCCGGCGGCCAGCACGTCAACAAGACCGAGTCGGCCATCCGCCTCACCCATCTCCCCACGGGCCTCTCCGTTTCCATGCAGGATTCGCGCTCCCAACACGCCAACCGCAAGAAGGCCTGGCAGCTGCTGCGCGCCAAGCTGGCCGAGCGCCGCCAAGAGGCCCGCGAGCAGGAGACCGTCGCCCTCCGCCGCGGCGCCATGGGCGGCGTCGCCCGCATGGGTCGCGGCGACAAGATCCGCACCTACAACTACAGTCAGAGCCGCTGCACTGACCACCGCAGCGGCATCACCCTCCACGACCTGCACGGCGTGCTCGAAGGGGGCGACGGTCTCGACACAATTATGGACAGCGTCCGCAACTGGATGGTCGAGCAGGAGATTCAGGCCTTGGCCGCGGAGGAAACGGCCAAACTCAAGAACCAGAAATAAGCGCGAATTCCTTTTGATTCTTGAGCTGTGTATTTCTACATTTGCATTTCGTACATATACCATAGATGATTTGACAATATTACCGCATGAGACATGAGTTGTAAAATTTATCACTATATATACCAACGGCCCACGTGTCAATGGATCGCCTTGTCACGATAGAATGTACACGATGTTGAGGATATCAATCAATGGAACAAAATTAATCACGATACACCACACCGATAATACCAAAACGCCATATACATACAAACCCCCATCAATTTGAAAAACCCAGACAGCGCAACCCACAACAGACTAGCGAGACAACCCCTCCCGGCATGCGGCCCACAGAGGCACAAATCCCCCCCTGACACCCTCGGCTTCGCGGTCACGAATCGCTGGGTCCACCAGGAGGATACAGCGCACGAGGTGCTCCGCCACAGGCCCCTGCACCGGCACGGGCGGCGTTTCCCGGCCCATCATGGGCGCCCACGTGGTGACGACGTCGCGCGCACGCCGCACGTCCCCGAGGTCCGCGTGCAGCTGGAACAGCATCGCGTAATCGGCCGGCGGGTGTGGGCGGCCCTGGAGAGCGGTTCGGCGCCACAGCGTCCAGAACCGGTCAAAGTCGCCGTTGCGGAACAGGGTGGCCATGAAGGGGCGGGCCTCGTCGGGGTGGAAGGGACGATCGATGGCGCCGGCCAGCCAAGAGAGAATTTGGCTGCCGAGGGTGGGGTCTCCGTGGTGCGGATCGAGGGATTCGTGGGCGGGTAAGGTGGCGGCGTGGTACAGCGGGTTGAGAATGTTTAGATTGAGGAGATCCGTCCCACGAAGACTGAGATGGTTGAAAACGACGAGGGCCAGCTCCCGGTCGACGAGAGGCAACCACCCTGGAGACTCGGCTGCGGCATCGGCGGTAGGCCGCGAAGTCAGCAACGCCGAGGCCACCTGGAGGCCCAGATTGTCGGACACCCGATAGCCCACGGCGCTGCACTCCTTGAACGCGTCGCAGAGGCTCTCCTTGCTATAAGCGGGGTGTCTCCTGGCGATGGCGATGCAGGACAGCTCCATCCGGGCGAGGGCGGCCTCTTCCTCGGAGCGTTTCGCCAATTGACCGTGGAACAGCTGCAGAAACAGGGTTGAGCTCCGATCCGCCGGGCCATCGCCCAATTCCCATAGAGCCTTCTCGTCAGGTAACCGGGACAGATGACCCAGCAACGACTCGGCCGACATGCCTGCTGTGGCCCTGGCCCCCGCCATTCCCGCGTTCACCGGCATTTTGGGCGGGACATGGCCAACGGTTGGGTCCTGGTGAAGGGACCGGATGCTGCGACTGCTGTGGATCCGTCGGATTTGTTCAAAGGGAAGATTTACCGGCGACCTGGGAATGGAAAAATTTTCACAGTCAGAGGACAACGGCTGTGTCGGATGGAAAGCACGAGAACGAACATTTGGGGACGGTGCATCAGGCTGTTCCTGAGAGGCTCGCAATTGTTGGCGCTCGGCCCGGTCCAGCGTGGACTGCCACAGACCGTCCAAATCGGTCTCGGCTCTCTTTTCCTCCGTAAAGATCTGGACCACCACTCGAGTGCCCGCTGCGACGCTGCCAAACCCCTCGAAGTTGGGGTCTGGGGTCTCCGGGGCGGGGGCCTTCTCGACCACCCCGGCGTTGACACAGATCCATCCCGTGGTGATCCCGTCGTCTTTCTCGTCGAACGTGGCTCCCGACCGGGTGGCCACCCGGGCGCGACGGGCTTTGCGGCGGAGCTTGATCTTGAGCTCATTCCGACCCAACAGACCGTCCGCGTACGGGGTGAGCTTGTAGTTAGTTCGCAGCCAGCGACACAGTCGATCCGCCGACACGTTCAGGTGCTTGACGCTACGGGCGGTGCCAATCACCATGATGACATTCGCCCCCAGCGCCGCGGGGGTCTCCAGGCCCCGTAGATCAAAGAGCTTCAATTCATCCAGACCGAGATCCTTGAAGGTATAATCCAGCAGCACCGGGAGGATCTGGGGCGGGTCCTCCGGCAGCTCCGGGAGCTTATCGCGGGACGCGACCTGTTCCGGTTCCAACGGGAGTCCTTCTTCCTGCAGATACCACGGGATATGCGTCGACGGAGCTTCCGATTCTCCCGCCGCATTCTCCTCCTTTACTCGGGTCGCATGCGTCGAGGGGTTCGCCGGTCGTTCCAACTGCGTCCGATGGGCTGTGGAGACCAGGGACCGGCCAGCGGAGCGGGGGAGGGAGATTCTGGACGAGGCAGCAAGGCCGTCAAAGCGAGCCCACGGGGCCCTACGAAGGAAGACCCGATGCATGATGGCAAGAAATCACGTTGTGTAGATGGTTGAAGAATACCTATCAGAAGAAGAAGAAGCGAAGAAGTGAAGATATCAAGATCGTCGGAAATGCTGATGGATGGGGGAACAAACAGGACAAACCAAACACCTCGGCCCTTCGTTGTTCCAGATCACGTGCTTTGCTACGTTGTTTGGTCACTTTGTTTCTTTTGTTTACTTTGCTCACTTTGTCCCTTTGTTCCCTTTGTCTCTCGGTCTGGGCTTCGATGAAGATCACGGTCGTTCATTCACGATGTCTCATCTCTGTTGGTGGATCGGGAGCTTTGCCGTCAGGAGATCACCACGTTGTACCGCTCGGGCCAGACCTTGGTCATTACCTTGGCGCTCCGTCAGCGACAGTATCGGGTCGATGGTAATGAACGGACCACCTAACGTAGTCTCAAGCACTGGAAAGCTGTGAAGTATCAACGCCCGATGCAGCCACATCCAGAGCCTAAGTTGCGTATCGCAACGGGTAACGCGTCGCCTGAAGGACCAATATCGGGTGTTGGCGAGATCCTCCTAGTCCTGCAGGCAGAGAAACTCGACCGCGGCCTTGGTACGCTACACAGGGTCCGGTCCAGGTCCAGTCTTGGACGGAGGCGTCGGAGTGACCGAAACCCGAGCGACAAACAGAGGGAGCGCCTCGACATGAGCATGCTATCTCGGGAGCGTCTAGATCAACGAGGGATTTCTTGATTCCGAAGATGGATTATGGATCAATGGCTGACCGGGGCAGTGAAAGAAGTGACCAACCTTTGTCCTCCGGTCTTTGTTTAAAAGGGCTGGTGTCACACGAGGCAGGGTTTCGATTGCCAGCGACGAATAGAGCCCCTGGGAATGCCCGTGCAACGATGATAGTACATTGTATGGGGCTTTATTTCAAAGAAAGGTGCACCCGAGGAAGGTTCCTTTATATCTCGACAATACCCCGGGTCGTCCGTCATGGGGCGTGTTGGCGGATTTGTCCCCTATAAAAATACCCAGCACCCAGGTCGAGAGAGACCAATTTAAACCGTTGGAGCCCAAGTCTTACGACCTATCTCTCCCCTCCTACTCGGTCTGTAGTGGACCATCCAAATCGTTCCACATCTGTCTCCATGGGCCGCTCGTTTCTCTGCCGCGTCATGGACTTGCTCCTGCCCGCGTGCCCTGAGTACGATTACTCCGCCCTGTCACACTCCTCTCGGCCGCACTCCTCTCGGCCACGTTCTTCTCGGCGACGCTCCTCTAGGTCACGCTCCCATCGGTGGCCAGAGTATGAATATGAGTCCTTCCCGCCTCTGACCCGGCGAGAGCAACTCAGGCACGCCAGGCAGAAGCCACGCCCGAAGACTGTCCAGTGGGGAACGGTCACGGTCATCGAAGACGAGCCGCAGGGACGATCCCCCCAAGGCACGCGACGCGGCCGCGAGCCGGATGCAGGTACTCCCCCCTCCCGTTATCTCCGGCGGATTCGGAAGAGTTCTACGCGGCTCGACCAGGAGATGTATCTTATTAATATGAGGCGCATGGTCAAACTGGCGGAGTGGCGCCTCGACCTCAGTCATCGTTGTTTCGACGAGGGACTGGGGGAATATTTCCTTGACCAAATCTTCAGACTCGAAGAGCTTTACATGCGTCAAGAGGTCCAGTCGAGGAATCCTCCATCTCGACGACACCAAACAGAGTCAAGGAAGGGATGGTGGGGTGCTGATATTCACTAGCTGCCAATACCTGGCTTGTTCCCATCGCTTCTTGTTGCAACCCTCCGCTAGAGCCGTAGCCATACCAGGTTCAGACCAGATACGATGTCCATGTACTGTTCATGCTGTCCATGTTATGGTTGCGTTCGCTTGGAATTCGGCGTTTGTCAGTACATTGACTGTACCTCCACTGTACCAATATCCGACATAGAACGTCTGCTTAACAATGAGATTCTGGTGTACCATGCACCAGAGTGGTCAAGATGCACTAGCCAAGTCATGATAAATGCGATCCAACTATGGTACAATTTATCGTAATAATCATAGTTTGAAGTAGGAGAATAGTCTGACTCTGACAGTCACTGCCAGCACCGGGAGAGCCTGAGGCACCGCATCCACCTAATCCAGCTCCGACAATTCCTTCTCTCTCTCTTCCTCTCTTCCTCTCTTCCCCTTTTCCTCTCTATTTCAACCACTCTCTCCCAACTCCAGACTGATGGCGGGACCTGTGACTAGCACACACCGATACTACTATCAAACTAGTCGATGTTCATGGTACGGCCCTCATGTAGTCATCCACACCTTCATGCAACGCAACGGTACGAACATGGACTTCATCGACCACACGCCCGGTCCTGACATCGGTGAACTCTCCCCTCGAGAAATTCTCTTCTAGAATACACATGCTTTGTTCTGCATCCTTGAATCATCGGGCGTGGATTGAGGAGAAATTACGTGACGTGGTGGGTCTCAAGCTCGGATATACGTGGAACGTGTGCGCTCTTAGAAAGATGGAGTGCTCCACAATTCATCGTGTGGATTCAGCGCGAGGTACGTCTGCATTAGAAAATAGATTAAGGTCATCATCGATATGGATTATTATATACATATGGAAAACACGCCCATCCCTCAAACCATACCCATGTACCCAAACATATGCACTGGCGTGACAGAAATAGAAAGCAAGCAGTCTATTTCACAAATTCATAACTCTGTGACACGGTCACATCTTTATGGATGACCGGCCGATCGGCCATCCCCTTCTGCGACGATTCGCTGGGCGCCCACGTGCTGTCGTGGTCGGCGCCCTGCGCCGTCGAAATCAGATGGGCCTGGTCGGTATGCGGGTTCCCAACGTACGAGAAGCTGTCCGCGCGGCTCCGCTTCTGCGTCGAGATCTTCTGCCAGTGGTCCAGCTCGTGGGAGCGCAGGTAGCTGTTCTTGGCGTCCTGGCTGCTCTTGTTCTTGACGGTGGCGAAGAGTGCGCTCATGGCTGGGAGACAGGCGCAAATGAGTCCGATGCCGGCTTCGGCGTTTCTATTGTTTGACGTGGGTTAATTTTCTCTTCCAAACAGAATTCATCCAGCGGAAAAGGGAAGTGAGGGGAGCACATACGCAGTCAACACCGCTCGAATCCAGAAGTACGTTACATCCGGCGTCTGGCCTTCATCCACCATGATCTGCAGTCGCCAAATACTAAATGCCGTGGCCAGACCACCAGCCCCGAGCATGCCAATAACGCGCAGCTTCTTAACGACGGTCATGTTCAATGACCACAGCATGGGAATGGGCAGGACCAGAATCCACAGGTCGCTGATCATACTGATTGCCGAGTCGGCGATGATCACCTTCTGCTGGTCGATACAAGTGCCGCCGTTGTCTGTACCGAGCCAGTACGCCGACACAGGGCGGCAAAAGAACACCTTGATGAAGAGTGCTGGAACGTAGTAGCACACCAGAATCGCTAGACTGATGTAAATGATGAGGACCTTCTTGCGGTCGGGGGCGAAGATGCGCAGCATGACTGACAGAAGGGCCAGTTTAACTGTGAAAACCATCGGGACATAAATGATGGTGGTGGCATAGGAGGCCTATGGGGGGTTTATCCGTCAGGAAGCTGGCCAGGTGCAATGCAATAGTGGCGTGCGGAGGCAGGGCGGCCATACCTTTTGGAAGCTGATGAAGCTGCTCTTCGGAACGTCCCAGCCATGATATCCTCCGCCATGCTTGTTGACTGTTGTCTGTCAGATCTGCGTTGTGTCCTGGCGGAACGATTCCAGAAAAGAGATACGTACGCACGAGCATACAGGCACAGAAACCCGTAAACATGGCCTGCGAGACTGGACGTTAGCATTCCCTCACATGGCGTCGTTCAATCGTTCCGGGTGAAATACCCATCCAGCAAAGGTTGCATCTGTGAGCAAGTGGCAGTCAGTATTGTGCGTGATCTCTCAGACAGTACAACCTCATATGAGACTTACAGTCTTCTAAGTTGAGGCTCCGGTGCAAGTGTATGCGGACGAGCGCACGGATGATCACCACCACCGTGGTGACCACTAGACACAGGATCTGGGTGACCTTATTCACCGTGTGCAAGGCATCGTGCGGATGCTCAAAGTTGGAGGTGATTCCCGGTGGCGGCGGAATCACCGGTTCTATGTGTTGGACCATATCCCAATCAAGCAATTGGTGGGCTCAAAGGATCAAGAGTATAAAAAGGTTTTGTGCGAGAGGTCTGTTCTGAGGGCACGCGCTTGGGATGGGATATAAAAAAGCTTAAACCCGAAGAAGTCGTACAGTGTCAAGGGAAAAACCTAGAAAAAAAAACGAGAGACACCCCCGATTTCTATCCTATGTCCCGAACCATGGGGTCGAATTTTTCCACAGGAACCAGGGGATGCCAGGAGAGAAAGGGATCATCTGCTGACGAAACCGGAAAATTCGAGTAGCACTGAAGAACAAGGGACTGGTTCCTGACGGGCCGGGAATGATGGCAATCATTATCAAACAGACGTTTGTCACGTAACGGCCCCTCGGTAAGAACCTACTACGCTGTCTGTGAAATCGCTAACCCACCAGATCGGCGGGTCCGCAGCCCGTCAGGATGCGCTAGATCCATCGCGCCATTTAGCGGAAAAGCCGATTGTCTGGGAGGGGACTAGGATGATAAGGACCCCTGTCAGCCTCGAGTCAGAGCACGTTCTCGGGTTGCTTGCGGACGGCCGACCCCCCGCTTGTCTGGGTAAGCATTAGCAAGCCGGCAAACCACTCGATCCCCTGGCTTTTGAGAGGTCCTGAACTCTTCCAACACATCATGGAGGGTCTTTTTTTCTTCTTCTTCGTCACGCTCCCAAGTGCACGTCCCGATCGAGGGCTTGAAGTCTGGACCCAGAGTCTTCCCCGGAGTGTTCCAGGATGGAGGGTCGAAGACGAGTTTGCCACCGACTCCAAGAAGAGCACTGAGGAACACAATAGTGAAAAAGTCAATTTCGTGGGTCCTGGGTAAGGGAATGTGGCCCCTGTTCCAGGAGACCAAAACGAATCTATCGATAATCTTACATCAGGAGGGGGCGATGTTGCGTCGAGCGGAAGTTGGCCCGACCATGTCCCAGAGCAACCCGCTTCCGTCGAATGGGGAGGAAACTGAGCCCGGCGCGACGGGTCCACAGCCGATCATTGGGTATGGTGGGATGCGGGATATTCCCGATGTTTATAATGCATGGTCTGATGTGCAAGGATTGAGTACTGCTGAGGGTCTCGACCGTCGGAGCCCAGTGCCATCATCTCGTCCCCACAGGGTCATCGTACCGAGACCGACGAAGATTCATTCTTGTTCCGCTTCTTCATTCAACTTGACGACAGCAATATATTGGCGAGTTCCGACCACCACAGCTCTTCCTCAACCTTTGAGAAGCCTTGACCAATGGTTAGTTGGCGCCGATGGTTGCAACTAGTCTCGGTTAGGAGGTTGACGTTAGCGAGTTTTAGGTTAAGGGCCGCGCGGGACGGCTGCCGCGGGTGGGGCGGAGTGGGGCGGGATACAGGCTTGGCAGTACCTGATTTGTCCAGGTATCAACCCTCCTTTACGACATGCTTTCACTAGCCTTCGGCCCATCAGCCCAGGACTGGCATCCATGCCAGACATATGAAGATTGAGATTAAAATTGTCTCACAAGGTGAATCATTACTAAACTATTATCACAAAGGGGCTAGTATTAATATACAGTAGCAGACTATCTGGTACATACTTAAATGGGTCGTGGAGACCACTGGGCCGTCTCCAACACCCAAGGAGTGACGGTGCAGAGGGCGCCATGGGAAGAAAGAAGAAGAAAAAAAGATCAGAATATTAAGAAACGGCTAAAAGAGTGAAGAACACCGAGGGCACATCCGTCATGAACCCCGCACGCCTAGAAGCCCAAAATTCATCGGTTTTTTATCAATTACCTCGCCGGTCATTCTAGGGTCCCTGCTCCCCAATTATCATCTCTCTACGAGGAGTTGGAGTTGTCGGCACAGCTGAATGCAGAGCCTGGAATAAAGTCAGCAAGTTTCCTTACGTTTTTTTGGGGGCCCTTTGTCTTTGTTTTGCATAAACGACTCGCAGATGAGACATACCGATTTGGCCCGTCGCGTAGGCGGCCTTGATCTGCATGACCACACCATATGTGGCACCGACGAGGAAGAATAGACCCAGCAGCACCATCCCCACGTGTAGCACGTAGATGATCTTCTGCAGCAGCGTGCCCCTCTTGTAGTCTCCGTGGTCGTACAGCCACAGCCAACCGGGAAGCGCCATCGCCAGCGGGGCGAAGCACACGGAGCCCACCAGCGCGATCAGGAAGGTAAAGATGGGGATGGCCGAGGCCAACACGAAGGCCAGCGCGCCCATGACGAAAGTCGTCGACAGCCAGGTGCCCCAATGCACGAGCGAGTTGCTCTGCAGGTGGGGCGAACCGGCGAGGAGTCGCACGAAAACGTATTTGGCGCCGACCTAGATGATCCACAGTCAGAGGGAATCCACAAACTATCACCAGATTTGGGGAACATACGTGCAAGTACACCGTGGCGCTGACGATCAATCCCAGCAATCCGACACCGTACGACACCATCTTGACGGTTTGCCCGGCACTCTACAGTTCAGTTAGCTCTATGTCTTACAGCAAGAAAGAAGTAAACGGGGGGGACGCACTCCCAGCGAGGGACTGGCAAGGTACTGGCCGCACCAGCGGTACACGACCAAGCTAAAGGCCAAATAGGAAGCGTTGACCAAAAGCATGCAGAGATACAGCGGCTTCTTGTAATCCTTGGGGTTGCGCATCTCGGAGATGACGGGCAGGAAGGCACTGGTACCGGCGGACGAGACGAAGATGGTGCTGGAGGCGACCATGCCGGCCGCGAAGCCGGGGTTGTTGATGGCGTAGTAACCCAGATCGAAATCGCCCGTCTGGGGGGCCGCTGCGGGACGGTCGACAGTGGTGACTCCGATGACGACAATCAGGACAGCGATGTAGATCGACAGGAACCCGGCGTAGGTCAGCCAGCCGACGTGCTGGAGCTTGCGGATCGAGGCCGTAGCGATGGTCACCACGGTGGCAATGAGCGACCACCACACGGTACAGGCGGCGTGGTGCGAGAGCGCATTCAGCGCCGTCGACACACCAATGATGCCACTGCCCGTCACCAGGATGTAGGCGATGATGAAGAGCAAACCGGTCACCTCCTTGGCCACGACGCCACCAACCACGCCGGCCATGTCGGCCACCGAGTGGCAGCTGGGATGGCGGGCACGGAAGTCACCCAAGATGGTGAAGGCATACGTGTTGAAGCAACCCCAGGCGACGATGCTCAGCGAGCCTCCCACGGCACCCAGCGCGGCCAGCGACTCGGGCAGGGACAGCACACCCGTGGCAAAGAGAATCTTGGTGAAAATGATACCGGCATTGAACCAGCCGACCTTACGGAAGTCGACTCCGGAGTCGGTCTGCTTGAACACCTCCTCTTGCTCCCCGAAGGTGGTACTGGTCGGGCTGCCGCTGGACGGCTCAATGTCCGAGCCCACATGGGCCTCAGCCTCTTGCTTTTCCTGCATGACGGATGAGGTTCGTGGGTGGGGGTTGAAGGAGAGTGGAGGGATTAGAGGGACAAGGGACGGATCTCGATGACAGACAAAACCTTGAAAGGATTCTGCTAGCAATCGACAAGACTTGGGGATTTAACACATCCCAGGGTAAATCTTTTTTTCCCCCTCTTATTTTTCTCTCTGCTTCCTCTGCCAGAACGAGTGGAGACCAAGGTAGGGGATGGGAGAGGTCGGTTGGGACTACAAGGTACTAGACGCTGTTTTGAGACCCGGGAGGGGCTGGCAAGCTCCCACTTTTAATGGTCTTACTCTGGATCTTACTTTGCCCTGGCTGCCAGTCATGAAACAGCCCTTGTGCTTGCTTATTGGACGACGACTCAACGCCAAACAGGCCGATCATCGACAGGAATGAATCCCTGATCACTTGTGGCGATGCAGGGTTTTTTCCCCCAGCAATTGTCCCCTGAGGCCTCTCACACCATTCGAATATGACAGCAGTCAGGGAAACATGACAGCATCCCTGTCGGATCAAGACCCTCCGATCATCGACGGCAGATGATGATTGCACATCCCCGTTGCCCAGAATCACCTCGCAGAAAGGGGAGGGTGGAGAGTTTTAATGTCAATAATTCATGCGATCGTCTCTTGCCGCAATTGGGAGGGGCGAGAAATTAGGGTTACAGAGGTCACGCCATCCCCATCTCCTATCAAAATCACCATGAATGACCACCCACAACCCCCAAAAATTGGGGTCAATGAGGCAGATCATTTCGTTCATGACGTCGGGACAATTGTTCTGCTGACGGCCTTTCTCCGTTTCGAGTATGCGATCCGGTTCATGGCCATCCTGCTCGATCCTTTTTTTCTGCTTCTCTCCTTCCCTCCAACTAGCATCTCCACTAGGAGACTAGTGTCCGACTAATTCCTGGGAATCCACGAGGGCCCACTATCTCCACAGACCACGGTCGACAGAACCTTTGCGTTCAGGAGGTGGAACTTTGGGAGTCTGGGACACTAAATCCCCCGGTCATAGCTACTGTGGCCACTGGCCCCCCGAGGGGTTGGGGTTCGACGCGTTCGACCATCGACTGGTCGACCCCCCCCCCTCCCATGAACGACACGTGGGGACTGCTCGCTTACTGACTAACTAACTCGGTCTGGTGGTCGACACAGCGATAAAGAGCTTGGTCCAACATTCGACAGCCGGTCGCCGTAGGATTATCACGCCAAGGGAGGAGGGAGGTGGCCAGACTGACATCACTCATTGGTGACTCCGAGACGCGACCTTCCCCAACGGAATGTAGTTCCTAGCAATGGTTGAGGACTTCTGCACAAATCCGTACTGGTACAAAGCTCCGAGAACAGCGGATCGGAACACCAGAGGGGACGAAAACATGGCACATCCGCGGTCAAGAGGAATGGTTGGACGGATAGGGGCTGCCAACTGGGGCTGGTCCAATCTATCGGGACGTCCTCATGCATGAACGAACGCTTTGGGGACCCTCCCCTCCCAGTGTGTTGCCATGGAGGTATCACGCATTTGTCGTATCGCCCCTCCAGCAAGCGCATTCGCCATGTCGTATTTGGGCGGCGGGCGTCTCAAACTGATACAATCCCATTGTCTCGTTGGTGGACGCCAGCCCCGTGGGTCTTGGGTCCACTGACAAGCTGCTAGTCGCAGGATCGACAGAGATGTGGATCCCTGGGCTCAAATACCCGACCAATGACCATGAAAATCCACCTGCACAACAGTCAATGGGGATGGGGCAGGTCTGATCAAGACGGACGGAGATTCTTCCAGACTAGTTTAACTCGGGATGACAGAGGGGAGAACTGGAGAAGCCAGCAACGTGGCATTGGGTGGGACCGTTGGAGAAGGATATCAAAGACATTATTGATGAGTCTAGCTCTATCGATCATTCGATATGAGCATGGCTTCCCCCTCCACTGACGTTAGCTGATAATAGAAGATCCCTGCCGTTACTATTTCCCCCCTTCCCTTCCTCCCGGCCGTGCTATCTTCGTTGGAATCACTTCCTATCTCTCTGTTCACCTATCCACACCTCCTCTCCCCCCTTCTGTCCCCATCCTCCCCCTGAGCAGACTCGTGTCTCTCTCTCTCTCCCGTGCGCCCCCCTCCTCTCTCTCCTAGGACTAAACCATGTCCGATTCTCCTACGAACCAAGGCTACAAGCTCGGTGTGGATGTCGGTGGTACCTTCACCGACGTCTACATCTTCACCCCGCACGGTCAGACGGTCCGGGCGAAGGTCCCCACGACCATCCCGGATCAGAGTGTGGGCATCCAGAATGGCATCACCAAAGCCCGTCAACTGCTGAAAGAGCGGTTCGACTGGTCGGGGACTTTCCAGTTCATCCACCACGGCACCACCACGGCCACCAATGCCGTGCTCGAGGGCAAAGGCGCCCGCACCGGCCTGGTCGTCACCTCCGGCCACAAGGATATCCTCGCCCTGCGTCGCTCCCAGATCCCCGGCGGGCTGGGAGCCTGGCTGAACTTCACCCCGCCCGATCCCGTGGTGCCGCTGGAGCGCGTCGTGCAGTGCACCGAGCGCATGTCGGTGCACGGCGAGCCCGTGACCGACGTTGACGTGGAGGGCTTACGGCACAGCCTGCAGGCGCTGGTCCGCCAGCGGCCCGAGGCCGTGGCTATCTCGCTGCTGAACTCGCATAGCAACGACGCTCACGAGCGCATCGTCGCCCGCGTCGTCCAGGAGGAGCTGGGCCCCGATGTCGCCGTCATCTGCTCGGCCGACGTGCTCCGCGAGGTGGGCGAGTACGAGCGCACCGTGACCACGTGCACCAACGCCCTAGTAAAGCCCGTCGTGCAGACCTACCTGCGTAACCTGTCCGAAAAGCTGGCCCCCGAGAGCGACACCATCCGCGTGTTGAAGAGTGACGGCGGGCTGACCAGCCTGGCGCTGGCCGGTGAGCTGCCCGTCAACATCCTCATGTCCGGCCCCGCCGGTGGCGCCAAGGGCGTGGCCGATGTCGTGGCCCACAGCACCCCCTACAAGAACCTCATCACCCTCGACATGGGTGGCACCTCCACCGACTGCGCCCTCATCTACAACGGCCAGCCGCAGCTGCGCCGGGAGACCGTCGTCGAGAACCTGTCGGTGCGCTCGCCCGCCGTCGATATCCACACCGTCGGCGCGGGCGGCGGCTCCATCACCACCTACATGGAACTGACCGAGACGCTGCGCGTCGGGCCCGAGAGCGCGGGCGCCGCACCCGGACCGGCCTGCTACGGCAAGGGCGGCCGCCAGGCAACGGTCACCGATGCCAACCTGGTCCTGGGCTACCTGCCCAAGACGCTGCTGGGCGGCGAATTTGCGCTGGACGTGCAGGCGGCCGTGGCTGCTGTCGAGGACATCGCCACCCAGATGAAGCTTCCCGTCCCCCAGACCGCCGAGGACATCATCACCATCATCAACGAGACCATGTACGGCGCTCTGCGCCTGGTGTCGGTCGAGCAGGGCTACGACCCGCGCGAATTCGCCCTGGTGGCCTTCGGTGGCGCCGGACCGCTGCACGCCAACGCCGTCGGCGAGCTGCTGGGCGCCTGGCCTGTCATCGTCCCGCCGTCGCCGGGTATCCTTTGCGCACAGGGCGACGTGACCACCAAGCTGAGCCACGAACAATCAACCACCTTCATCCGCCTGATCACCGAGACCACCGCCGAGGACGCTCGCGCCCGGTACGCCGCCCTGGAGGCGCAGTGCCGCGAGACGCTGCAGCGGACTGCCGGCGAGAGCGGCCCCACCGAGTGGACGTCCAAGTACCAGGCGGACCTGCGGTACAAGGGACAGGCGCTCACCATCACCGTCGACCTGGACGCCGCCGAGCTGGCGGCCCTCGACACCCCCGGCTGGCACGGCGGCCTGCGGGCCAAGTTCGACCGCCAGCACCAGCAGCTGTTCACCTACACGCTGCCGGACTTTGAGCTGGAGCTCATGCGTCTGGGCGTCGTGCTGGAGGACGCCTCCCCCGGCATCGACATCCCCCAGGTGGGCGCTGCGGCGTCGCCGGCTCCGCCCGCGGAGGCCCGGGTCGGGGAGCAGACGATCATTGTGCGCGGCGTGGAGCAGACGGCGACGCTGTGGGACCGACAGAGCATCACCCAGCAGGGCGTGCGCGTCGACGGACCCTGCATCATCACGGAGATGGACAGCAACACGCTGATCCTGCCGGGCTACTACGGCGAGATCGACGCCATCGGCAACATCCTCATTCAGCCGGTGGACCACAAGCCCCGGGACGCGGTGGAGTCGCACACCCCCGAGACGGCGGGCGAGCTCGTCCGCAGCACGCCGCTGATCCCCACGCTGGTGGGAGCGGCGCTGGGATCGATCCGCGGTGAGATGGACAAGATGATGCTGCGGTGCAGCATGTCGCCGGCGATCCGCGAGCAACAGGACGAGTTCAACGTGATCACGAACTCGGCGGGCAAGATGCTGGTCGGCCAGTTCGGCAGCTTCATCACGCAGTTCCTCGAAATCTGGCACGGCACGATCGAGGAGGGCGACATCTTCGTGACCAACGACACGTACCAGGTGCAGGGAGCCATCAGCCATCTCAACGACCTCATCGTGTTGCTGCCCATCTTCCACGAGGGCCAAATCATCGGCTGGGCGTCACAGTTCGGCCATCTGACGGACGTGGGCGGCATGGTACCCGGCAGCATGTCGATCAACTCCACCTCGGTCTTCGACGACGGCGTCCAGGTGCCGTGCGTCAAGTTGTACGCGCGCGGCGTGCTCAACGCAGACCTGATCGAGCTGCTGGCGCGCAACTCGCGCCAGCCCGCCTGGTACCGCTCCGACCTCAGCGCGCTGGTGGCGGCCTGCACCATGGCAGCGACGCGCGTGCGCGAGCTGGCGGCCCGCTTCGGCCGCGAGGTCTACCTGGCGGCGTGCGCCGAGCTGCTGCATCGCAACCGGGCGGGGCTAGCCAAGATCGTCGAGCGACAGTTCGACGACCTGGAGAGCCGGTTCACCGACTTCGTCGACGACGACGGGCACGGGGTCGGTCCGTGGGCGCTGTCGTGCTCGATGCGCAAGATCGACGGGAACCGGCTGCGCTTCGACTGGTCGGGCACGTCGCCGCAGAGCACGCACAGTATCAACTTCTACCTGTCCGAGACCATGTTCCGCATGTTCATCGGATACTACCTCATCGCCGCGGCGGCGCCGGGCACGGTCATCAACGACGGCTTCCACGACCTGGTCGACGTGTACATCCCCGAGGGCACGGTGCTCAAGCCTGTGCGGCCGGCGCCCATCTCGTGCCGCACGCACCTGATGGGTCGCACGCTGGACATCGTCCAGGCGCTGATCGGCCAGAAGCACGACGCCTACCAGGCGGCCGCCGGCTTCAGCGACTCGCCGCACTTCTTCTACTCGGGCTTCAAGCCCGACGGCGAGTGGTACCAGCTGTACCAGATCGGGTTCGGCGGTGTGCCCGCGCGCCAGGCAGGCGACGGACCCGACTGCCACTGCCTCTTCCCAGCCATCAAGTCGATCCCGACCGAGAGCATCGAGCTCAACTACCCGCTCCGCATCGAGGCCAACGAGAGCATGGCCGACAGCGGCGGGCCGGGCTTCTACCGCGGCGGGAACGCCCAACGCACCCTCTACCGCTTCCTGGCCCGCGGTGAGTTCAGTCTGCACGACGACCGCTGGTTCACCAAGCCCTGGGGACTGAAGGGCGGCAAGCCGGGCTCGCGCTCGCGCAAGGTGCTGTACCGCCACTCGCAGTCCGCCACCAACCCGCCCACGGAGATCCTGCCGTCCAAGTGCGACCACGTCCGCGTCGACCCAGGCGACCTGCTCGAGTGGGTGACCTGGGGCGGCGGTGGTCTGGGCGATCCCCTGACCCGGCCGGCCGAGAAGGTCGCCCTCGAGGTCAGCCGCCACCTGGTGACCTTCGACGGTGCGCGCCAGGGCTATGGCGTCGTTGTCACCGAAGACTATAAGGTCGACACGGCCGCCACCGACGCGCTGCGCACGGAGATGCGTCTGGAGCGCGCCCAGCTGGGCGAGCCCCCGGTCTACGACCGCGGTGGCACCATCGAGGAGCTGCGCCAGTCGTGTCTGGCCGAGACGGGTCTGGAGCCGCCGTTGCCGCAGTGGGAGGTGGATGTGTATGGACCGCACTCTGGGGTGCCGTACGTGCGACAATGGTACGATGAGATGAAGACTAAGAACGGGTGGGATCTGTAATTTGCTTTCCTGGTCGCAGTGATGGGAAAGGGACGATGTGTTTGAACCATACTGTGAGATAGATACTATCAAGATGTTTGATTTACTTCAAGTCGCAATTCCTGTATAGTATCCCACCGTAGAACGTGACCGCGCGTACCCTAAGAGCATCGCCCAATGCAAGGTACATCGTCTGCCTCCTCTCGACATGCCTCCATGGTGCTGGCGAGGTCCATCCTGTCCGCCACCAAGAGGGGCCATATCCCTGCTTTGTCCAGTGGATCCCGATCCCGACCAAATCGGCGACCTGCATCCCAGGCACCTGGTGGGCCAGTCAGGCCATGCCAACCGCTCCAATGCGTTGTCACAACCCCCCCGAGCCTCCCCTGGTCGAATCACTAGCAGACGGGGCGTATCGCGAGAGACGGAAAGAAAGAAAGAAGCACGACCGAAACCGATTGGGCTCCCCCGCAGAGTGGGTCGCATGGCTGCCTAATGGCCAATCCGTGATGCTGACGGCATCTGCTGTATCACCCAGGCTTCTTGCTCTCTCGCTCTTTCCTGTCGCCGTATCTCTTTCTCTTTTTCCGCTTTCTCTTTTCTCACCGTCGTTCTGGTCAGTGGATGCCTCGCCAGAGCCATGTCGTCCCACGATCCAGAGGGATTCTGGGGAACATTGATCAATGCCGACAAGAGTCCCTCCCCCCGGTTGGAGCAGTTGTGTCTGGGCATCGCCCAGGTCATGGTCCGTTCCCCCTTCCTCGTGGGTCGGAGTGCATCGAGACCCTATCTAACCTCGCAGGGGATGCTGATAGTCCACCTTTGATGAGTTCGCCACGACCGACCTGACGCCCGGCCGTCTGGCCACTTTCTATCGCAAGACCGGGGGCAATTACGACGTCCTCTTCCTCGACACCAAGCCCTCGGCCCTGTCGTTCATCTATCAGCGGCTGGGCTGTTTCCACAGCATTCAGCCCTCCGCCGATCCCTACACCCCCCCGTCGGTTCCAGCCCTCCAGCCCAATGGCTTTGTGCGCTGGCAGACCATCCAGCTGCTCTTGGACCCCGAGGAGCACAGCCAGCACCTGCAGAACGCGGTGCGCCAATGGGACATCCAGACCCCCGAGGGCCGTCGCTTCCCCAGGACTATCCCCCGCCACGCCTTTCCGACAGCCTCGGATCCCGAGATGGTCGCCTGGCACGAGGAGATCAGTCGTCGCTTCGAGCTCGACTACTGGAAGAAGAACCTGCTGCGCTCTACTCCGCCCAATTTCAAGGGCTATACCCACCGTTTCGGAAAGCGAGAGAACCCCGTCACCAAACCCTCCTCGCCCCCGTCTCCTGCTGCGCCGCCGCCGCCGGCCCCCGCGCAAGCCCCGTCGTCGCAAACGCAACCGCGCCAGCAACGTCGTAAGAGCGCCGCCGACGTACCCCTCCGCTCGACCACTCGGCGTGTGCAATCCGTCTTCTTTCCGACCCCTCTTCCCCGCACCGAGGAGGCTCCCCCCGCAACGGGACATGGCTCACGGGCGCCTTCGCCCCCGTTCCCATCGTCCCCCTGGACCCGGCAGCCGGCCGCCCCGATGCCCCCGAACGATCCGCCCTCCGACTACGCCTCTTCCGAGGACTCATCTGTCCCGGAGCCCCGTCGCCCCCCGCCCTCCGCCCGCCAGCGCAGCTACAATCGGACGCTGTCCCCGCCGCGCACGTCCCACGCCCGCCGTCATTCCCACGAAGCCTACTTCCGCAAACCGCATCGCGACCTCTCACCGGACTCGCCGCGCCGCCGTCCCTCCTACCGTGACGCCGCCGTCTATCATCACACCGGCGGCAGTGGAAGTGGGAAAGGGGGAGGAGGGCGCCACTCGGACTCCGACGGCGCGCGTCGGGCGCGAGCCCCGCGATCCTCCTACCCCGACGATGGCCCCAGTCTGCGTGCCCGCACCCCGCCTCCGCAGGCGTCGCGGTTTGCCACCCCTGATGCATCCCCACCCTCGGGCGGGGTCTCCATGTCCGACGGCGTCCTCCTCTCCGGATACCCCGTGCATCCGCGCTACGTGAACCGCAGCAGCGTCAATCGCAACGTGGGCGCCGCCCCGTTCGTAGTGCGGAGGGTCGCCCCGGATGGGGACGGCGAGGTCCGTCGTCACAGCTACTGCCATCGGGGGAGTGGGTCCGCCGAGCGCGCGCGGTACGCCCAATCGGTGGGTGCCAGTGCTGGTCCCAGCGCGCGGCCCTCGCGCTGGTCGACGGTGAGTCCGGGGCCGGGATCGGCATCGGTGTCGGCATCTGGAAATCGGGGAGGTGGAGGGGTCCTGCCAATGCCGATGGGAGTGGAGATGGGAATGGGAACGGGAGAGGGAGAGTATCCTTCGAGGGGATGGCGGTCGAGCATGTATGAGCGGTGATATCTTATTTTCCTTGTGGTATGATATTTGTTATCTGATGGAGTCTGTATCCATGTGGGTGGTTTTTTCTTCTTTTGTCTTTTTTTCCATTTGCCTTTCGGTCTTTCGGTTCTGGCGTTGTTATCTGTTGACGGCCTCTATTGACCTCATGATTGATGACAGGCACTGCCTGCTTGGATCTATGAATCTAACGACTCACGACTCACGACTCACGGCAGCACTAGACCTAGAATTTAGGTTGTTTCATTTTTATCTCTGGTTCATTTCTATATCATGTTTAACCATACGTTTGGGTATATGTATGTAGCCAATACGGAGATTCGTATTGTCATGCAACAATGAAAGAATACATGAGCTGCTCACCGTGCTCACACATCTCGCATCAGCCAGATCATTGTAATCTGGTAGTCTTTAAGACACATATGGAAATATCGTGTACAGCCTCGCGGGAGAGTCAACAGATGTGGCTATGGCAACGATAAAGTGGCGATGCCGATGGTGCTGATGCGCAGCCGGGATGATTCTAAGCCACCTATCGAATGGCTCCAGATGTACATCATCATTCTACTCATCTCCAGTAGGGTCCGGTCTTTACTCGTGGAGATCACTCTTGGGCCTATCTGGTTGTATATTTATGTCAACATCGATGCGGGAAGCCTCCCACTCATGGAGATCGATGTCCGGATAAAGAAAGACGAGGAAGAGATGTGTAATAGCTTTATGAGCTTGTCAATTTGGATGTATAACAGATAAGAAAATGAACAGACGAGAAGAAGAAACGAGAAAGAAAAGAAGCGACGGAGTGAAGTGAAGTCGAAGTAGAAGAAGCACAAATGATGCAGCTGAATCAGCATGCACACGCCATGCACATTCTGGGCGGTCAACGGAGGCAGAATGCTGACATAAGCACTCACCGACGCGTCCCTGAGATCGCGATGGAAATGCCATCACGACGACCACCAAGACCAATGCGCCTGACCTCCCCTCAACCCACTCGACCATGCCCAAACGAAAAGCGAACGCTGCGGCCCCGGCCAGCTTCACGGGCTTGATCGGATCCGACGATGAAGACCCCATGATGCAGATTCCCGAGACACAGGAACCGCGCGATGTCGAGCGCCCCACGAAGAAACAACGCGGCCGTCCACGATCCAAGTCCGGCGATGGAAAGCCGTTGCCGGTACAGACGAAGCGCAGCTCTGTGGCGGCTGCCGCCCCGGAGGAACCGGAGCCGGTGTCGACCCGCCGGACGACGCGTCGGGGGAGGCCTAAGGGGAGTCGCAACTCGTCGCAAGCTGTCCCTGACGAGATCCCGGGGACTCAGGTCGAGCAGCTGGAAGATAACGGTGAGCATCCGCCGGCGGAGAGCGCTGCGGTGTCTCAGGATGAGCTCGACGCTCCGCAGAGAGGGGCGCAGTCGTCGTCCCGATCTGCGGCAGCGCCCGCGAAACCCAAGAGCGGGCGGGGTCGACGGAAGGGCAGCTCGGGGAAGCAAGTGACGGCTGACGGGGAGTTCGAATACACTCCGGCGGGGACGCGGCAGGTCAAACTGCCGGACCCGCGCAAGGAGACGGAGGAGAAGCCTAAGCGCTCGCGACGGGCGCCCGCCAAGAAAGTCCAGGAGGCACCGGTCCCCGCGGAGGAGGCGGAAGCGGCGCCGGAGGTTGTGGAAGAGACCATGATCGAGGAGGAGGAGGATGTACCGCCACCCCGCCGGTCGGTGTCGGCCTCCCCGACAAAGCGCAGACAGTCCATGCAGCGCCCGCCGTCGTACTCCCCGCTGAAACGGAAGGTCGGGACCGACGAGGAACGTTCCAACGGTGACCCGGAACTGCGACGCCGGCTCGGCGACCTGACTAAGAAGTTCGATGCGCTGGAGAATCGGTATCGGACCCTGAAGGAGATCGGGGTCGTCGAGGCCAACGCCAACGTGGACAAGCTGCGGAAACAGTGCGAGGCCATCTCCACCGGTATGTTCACGTTGAACCCTCCGTTCCATACTAGCCATGTCGTCTATTTGAGTCGTAAGACTTGACTAACCATCGCAGCCTCCAACAACCTGGTCGCTTCGCTGAAGAGCGAATTGGACGCGCAGAAGGCGCTGGGCCAACAGAGTCGGGGCCTACAGAAACAGCTAAAGCAGCGAGATGCCGAAGCCGCCCAATTCAGAACTGAGGCGGAAGAGGCCCAGGGCCAGTTGGCCTCGGCCCAGACCGAGGTCAAGGCCCTGCAGACCAAGCTGGCGGCGGCGCGCAACACGGCCGCCAGCATCGAGAACGCCGCCGCCAAGGCGCCTGGCAGCGCCGTCAAGGGCGGCAACAACCGGGCGGTCGCCGCGGTCAGCGCCGAGGCGGCGCAGGCGGCGACCGTCGCGCAGCTCAAGGAGGATCTCTACAGCGACCTGACGGGGTTGATCATCCGCGACGTGAAGCAGCGCGAGGCCGATTGCCTCTATGACTGCATCCAGACCGGCGTCAACGGCAGTAGGTCCCTCCCTCCCGGTGTTTTACCTTCCACCTACTCACGTTCACACAGCACTCCACTTCAAATTGCTCGTGCCGCACGTCTCGGCCGCCAACTTCGAGAATGCCGAATTCCAGTACCTCCCGCTGCTGGACGAGAGCCGCGATCGCGAGCTGGTGGACCTCCTACCCGAGTACCTAACGGTGGACATCACCTTTGTGCGGCAGCAGGCGTCGAAATTCTACACCCGCGTGATCGATGCGCTCACGAAGCGGCGTTCGAGCGCCGGCCACTGAGCACGCATTGGAGTCTTGGGATATTGCACTGGAGGCGTTGTCGTGTTGTATATATCAGTCTAGCCTGTTTTGAACTATTGTCCTTCTTCTCTTTCTGGTGTTTAAAATATCCAACAGTAGTGAGATCTACCCAGGTATAGCAGGTCTACTAGAGAAAGGCCAGTCTATTATTGCAGTGGAAAAACGCATCCGACCAAAACAGGAGCAAATAATTCATTCACGTGTACAACAACGCCGATCGGATCAATGATATCCGTGATAAATGTAGTTTTTTTCCCCCTCGCCGGGCATCCCCCGATGCCCATCCCATCTTCCGAGGTCGAAAAGCGAATCTATTCCTTCGCGTCCACCTTCTTAGCGGGGGGCTGCGCAGAGGACTCGTCGTCGCGGCTACGCTTCTGGCCGGATTCCGCGCTGTCGGTGGTGCTCTGCACGACGGGGACGCCACTGGATGGGTTAGTCTCATACACGGATGGATAAAAATGGGACAAGGTATTGAAAGGAAGGAAAAGGGACATACCGAGCATCCTTCTGCACGTCGCGGCGCTCACTCTGGCTGTCCTTCTGCTGGTCCTCGTTGCGACGCTGGCGCCAATCGCCCCCGTTGCGACCGCCACGACCCCGGCCGTGACCCCGGCCGCCACGACCGCGCCCACGACCGCGACCACCGCTGGGCCGGACACGGCCGGCCTCGATCTCCTTGACCTTCTCCTCGCAGTACTCCTTCTTGCTCTTGATGAGCAGGTCCTTGCCCTGCCACTGGGGCTTGGGGTCGAGGGCCAGGAAGGCCTGCTGCTTCTCCTCGGAGGCGAACTCGACGAAGACGCTGCCCTTGAAGAGCTTGTCGTGGGTGCGACGCAGACGGATGGCGTTGGTGGGGCCGTAGGGGGCGAAGAAGGCCTCGATGTCGAGCTGGGTGGTGGGGCCCTCCTCGCCGAAGCCCTTGGCGTAGATGCTGCGGCCCATGGCCTTGTCCTCGAAGACCTTGGCGACGCCGGGGTCGTGGGCCTCCTTGACGGTCTCGGGCAGCGGGGTCTTGCGGCGCACGGCGGTGTCGTTCTCGGTCAGCTCGACGGCGGCCGAGTCGCGGAGGGCGGCGACAATGGCGCTGCGGGGCTGGAAGCGACGCATGCGCTTGAAGGAGCACAGCAGCTCCAGAGCGACGGGGCGGTTGGCGCTGCCGCCAACCTGGGAGAGCAGGAACTTGTCCATGGGCAGGTTGGAGTCGGAGAAGTAGAACTCGACCTGCTTGCGGATCTCGACGGGGTCGTCGGTCTCCTGCTGGGAGCTGGGGTCAAAGCGCGCCTGGTTACGGCCCGCGCCCCGGCCGCGCTGCTGATTCTGCTCCTTCTGCTCCTCGGCCTTCTCCGACTTCTCCCCCAGCTGGGCGGCGGCCGCGACGATGCGCGCCTCGTCGGCGTCGGCGGAAGCTTCCTCCTTCTTCTCCTCCCCGTTGGCGGGGGCGCCGTTCTCTCCCTTCAAGTCCGCCAACACGTTCTGCACGTCCTGTTCGGCAGCGGCATTCCCCGCGGGGACCGTCTTCTGTTCTTCGGCCATCGTCGGTATCTTCGGAGCCGTCTGTCGCGACGGGTGATCGGTTCGGAGTGGGATTGCCGGGGGGGGATTGCGGGATGAACGTCGGAATCCTCAACTGTCAATTGTCACTGGGAATCAACCTGCGTCAGTCACTATCTGCGTCGATGTGAAGGAGGCGAGAATGAGAGGGGTAGAGAGGGCCGGACGGAGGATGCGGCTGGGATGACTCCATCCCGCCAAGGACCGTGAAGTCTCGAGCACCATCTAGGATGGGGAGAAGGCGTGCAAACCTACCAGAAATTCACGAACCAGACTGGACGATCGTCAGGGGAATTGATTCAGGCAAGAGATCGATCAGGAGAAAGAAGTTGGAGCGAAAGGAGAAAAGTTGGCGGGGAAGAAAAAAATCATTTTTATTTTTTATTTTCTATTTTTTGGTTTTCTTTTTTTTCAGGCTCCCCATTGCCGCCTCAGGCATATGCCGTCACGTGCGGCCCGTGATCTCATCTGGTTTTTTCTTCTCGTCGCGACTTTCCTTCTCCATCAAAAGTCTTTTGTTCCCTGGCATTTCGCTTTACCTATCGTGTGCACTGAGGACTTCCTCCGTGGGACATTCATCATCGTCGCTATGGCCCCTCCCTGTGCGTCGTCTGCCCGACTCGCCCTCCCGACCTTGCTGCGCCAGGTCTTTCGATCCACCTGGGCCCCAGACGCCGCCTGCCTGGATCGACGCCTCCTCGCGACACCCCTCTCACGTCGCCACTTTCACACATCCCGCGGCCTGGCAAGGCTATCCGGATCTCGGGACGACGTCGCCGGGCGCGACACGGCCTCCTCCAGCCCCGCGGATGCCGCGCCCGCCGATCGATCGTCCGCGGGCCCAACACCACGAGAACGCCGACGACCCAAGGCGTCGTCCCGGGACCGGGCCCCTCCGTCGCGGGAAGCACGGCCGGGACGGCCGCCGCAGCGAAAGCGCGAGGGGTGGCAGGTGCAGAAGGACGCGCTGAAGAACAAGTTCGGGGAAGGGTGGAGCCCGCAGAAGAAGCTGTCGCCGGACGCGCTGGACGGGATCCGGCAGCTGCACGCGGTGGCGCCCGACCGGTTTACGACGCCGGTGCTGGCGGAGCAGTTCAAAGTGTCACCTGAGGCGATCCGGCGCATCCTCAAGAGCAAGTGGCGGCCGTCTGGGGAGGAGGCCGAGGATCGGCGCCAGCGGTGGGACCGGCGTCATGAGCGCATCTGGGGACATATGGCGGAGTTGGGGCTGCGGCCGCACACCAAAAGTGCGACGCCATATACGGGGTCGCAGGCATTGTACGGGCCGGGGAAATCTAGGGGGGATTCGAGGGAGAGTTCGGAGGGGATGGATGAGTTCGACGGGGGAGAGAATGAGGGACGTGGACATGGGAATGAGGGACATGGAGGACATGGAAGACACGGGCTATAGGAGCGCTGTTGGGATGGGATTATTTGGCATGGGAGGATCATACTATGATGGACTATCGAATCTAATACTTCATACTGTTACTCTAATCAGACGGCGACGCCGCCAGTTGGCGGAGGGACATGACGCCCATCGGAATCCACCGATATAGAAATATATATCAGTCAGCGATCGCATCGGTGATCTCCGACACTCTCTACTTCTCCTTCATCTTCTTTCTCATATCCTCATTCCTCAAACATTCGTCTCTTCGTCCATTGAACCATTCAGTCAATGGACTCTTCCACTTCCCTCCGCACCGCCACCGACCGTCTCTCGCGTTACCAGAACTGGATCATTCCACCTCCATCTCCCGCATCAACCTCCCCCGCTTCAACAACCAGTTCAAACCCCAGCTCAACCACCAAACCACCCACCATGTCGCGCGATCCCATCACCTGTCACGTCCTCAACACCCTGACCGGCACTCCAGCCGCCAACCTCCCCGTCACCTTGACACGCGTCGTCCCATCCACCTCCACCACTCCCGCCCCGACCACCACCTACCACGCCACCACCAACGCCGACGGCCGCGTCGCCAACTGGACCCCCGCATCCGGGTCAGAAGGAACAACAGCCTCCGTCGCCGCCGTGCTGGCCGCACTCCCCGCCGACGCAGACCCCGTCACGCACTGGGCGGTGCGCTTCGACGTCGGCCCCTGGTACGCGGCTCAGGGCGTCGAGAGCTTCTGGCCCGATGTGGAGGTGCGCTTTACGGTTCGGGGGAGGGGGGTGGAGGGCCAGGATGGTTGGCGCCATTATCATGTGCCGGTGTTGTTGGGGCCGTGGAATTATTCGACTTATCGGGGGTCGTAGATCATAGTATCCAGGAAGGATGGATATGGGGGAGAGATGGATGGGTATCGGAGAAATGGGTGGGATGGGATGGATATAATAGGGAATGGGCATGGGATGAGAGGGAGACAGAGAATGTAGACTACGTACTCGGTGCGATAGGCTGTCGCACCATTCATGAACCGCCATAGGCACAATCAATGTACATTCCCACAGATGCGGGCTAATCAAAATGAATCTCTATGTACAATGGTGAGGAAGAGGATCACCGTCGTGACCGTCGGGGATCTGTCGCCTCCTGGCGGCGCCAGTCGCGAGTCTCCTTCGTCCCCAAACTACCAACGCCCCCCTCCTGTCGTCGTTCCCACCCGCCGAGTCGCACGACCAGGCAGGTCGCGTTGTCGCCCTCGCGACTCACTTCGGTAGCTAGATCAACCACCGCGCGGGCCCCCGCCTCGGGCGTCTTGGCCTCCTTGACGATGTCCACCACCTCCTGGTCCGACAGCGTGCCGCTGACCCCGTCCGACACCAGCACCAAAAAGGCGTACTCGGCCGGCGCCATCTCGATCCGTCGGATCTCCGGCTCCGCCGACACGCCGATGCGCTTCGACTGCACGTCGCCGAACGCCCGCGTGTTGGCCAGCCCGCTGATGCGCTCCTCGCCGAACGAGTCCGTCACGAACGTCGCCGCGTACCGCCGCAGGCGGGTCGCCTCCACCGGCGCCGACGGGTGATGGTCCGTCGTCAGCGCCACCGCCTCCCCCGTCACCGTCGAGCACAGCAGCATCCGCGTGTCGCCCACGTGTGACACCAGCAGGCTGGCCGCGCTGTCCGGGTGCCAGAAGGGCGTGGGCGTGGGCGTCGAGATCAGGGCGACGCTGGCCGTGCTGCCGCCCTTGAACCGACCCCGCGCCCCGTCGCCCGCCACGCGGGGGTGCCGTGGCCCGTAGAGGATCTGGTCCTGGGCGACGGGCCGGCCGACCTGGGCCAGCTCGTCGTCCGTCTGCCGGGCGGCCTGCGCCGCAACGAACTCCAAGTCGGCGCGCAGGAAGGCGTACTCGAGGATTTCCTCAATCGTCACGCCGTGCGTGCGGTCGGTGGCGCCAGACCCGGTGGCGGGGTCCGCGAGGTGGGCGAAGTGGGCGGGCACGTAGCGTCGGAAGTAGCCGCCCACGAGGGAGCGCCACCGCTGGACGAGCCGTCGCTCCAGCTCGGCCGCGCGCGCGGTGTTGCCGCCCTGGACAATGGGGCGGTCGCCTGTGCCGGGGCCCGAGTCCCGGAGGCAGGCGTCACGGGGGAGGCTGGACTGCAGTTCGACGGCGGCGGCAGTGTTCTGGATGTACTCGTGCAGCTGTTGCTGCAGGTAGGTGCTGCAGTCGGTGCCCCCGTGACCGTCGAAGATGCCAAAGTAGAACACCTGGGGGTCACCGCTGGCGCTGTCCGCCCCGCGGCCCTCGCCGGTCGACGCGTCGGACCGCCGGAGGGTCACGGAGGCGGGTGGCCGCTTGGCGAAGGCGGGGATGTCGAGGACGCCGGCCTGCCAGGTATCCTCATTGGTGGGCCGCGTGCCACGGGCGGTGGACGCGCCAAAGTGATGTTTCGCATTGCGCAGGGGGATGCGCACGACGGTGGTCTCGCGGTTGACCAGGGTCTGGAAGGTGGCCGGGGTGCGCGGGGTGTCCCCGGTGTGCGGGACGGAGTCGGCCCGCGGGAGTTTGTGGAACGAACTGAAGGCGCTCCGGGGGTCTGGGTGGAGCGAGGAGGAAGGAAGATGGGTGACAAAGTAATCGCGGAATTCCCGCCGACCACCGTGGAGGTCCGTCGGGGGCGGCGGACCGGGGGCGGGCGTGTTCGATTTGGTTGCGGCGGTCCGGACGGAGCAGACTATCCCGGGGGCGCGTATCAGCCCATGACCGTATCGCTGCGATCTCGATGGTTCCGTACACCTACCAAGATGGGCGACTCGGGCCCGGATGGGAACCGCGACTCGCGTGAGAGGCGTCCGACTCATAGAGGCCGGAGAGGCATTGGAGGGTGGGCGGACAGCAGACAGCGGAAGCGAGGGCGTTGCCGACCCGATTGGAAATCACGGCGACGCGACAGATTTAGAAGAGGCCCATGATGGGACGGAGTATAGAAATGAGAGAGTTGCGGAAGTCGAGGGAGTGCAGGGAGAGATGAGGTTGAAGGGAACGTCGAGAATATACTCCGTCGAGAGGAAGAAGGAGGAGAAGAAGTTGTGAAGTTGTTGGGAAGAAAGTTGAGCTGCATAACCTGCACAGCTGACTCAGGCCTGACTCAGCCGGTATTCGCGTCATCCTCGCGTTTCTCTCCACTGTCTCTCTTCTCTTGTCTCTCTTGTCTCGTCTTCTCTTCTCCAGGTATCTGTTGAATCAGATATATTACACGACATCATGGGTATCAAACGTGCGTCATAACTCTCCATCCCCCGCGGACGTCACTGATCATGCCTAGACCTGTTCCAGGTGATTTCCGAGAATGCCCCCGATGCGGTCAAGAACGGGGATATCAAGAACCACTTTGGTCGCAAGGTCGCCATTGTACGTGTGCCGTGGATGGAAGATTTGGAGGCTGTCATGCGAATGAGAGACTAACGAGAAGATGCGAGACAGGATGCGTACGTCTACACGAACCGAGAAGGACACCCCCCCTTCCCTCGCCGAGCGAAGATCTCCACTGACCCCCCACCAGGTCGATGAGTATCTACAGCTTCCTCATCGCCGTCCGGTCGGAAGGACAGCAGCTGATGAGTGAGTCGGGCGAGACCACCTCCCACCTGATGGGCATGTTCTACCGCACCCTACGCATGGTCGACAATGGCATCAAACCGCTCTACGTGTTCGACGGCGCCCCGCCCAAGCTCAAGTCCGGGGAGCTGGCCAAACGGTCGGCGCGTAAGAGCGAGGCCACCGAGGCCCACGAGGAGGCCAAGGAGACGGGCACGGCGGAGGATGTCGAGAAGTTCTCGCGGCGCACCGTGCGGGTCACCCGCGAGCACAACGCCGAGTGCAAGCGGCTACTGCAGTTGATGGGGGTGCCCTACATCGACGCGCCCACCGAGGCCGAGGCCCAGTGCGCCGTGCTGGCTCGCGCTGGCAAGGTCTACGCGGCCGCCTCGGAGGACATGGATACACTATGCTTCGACGCCCCCATCCTGCTACGGCACCTGACGTTCAGCGAGCAGCGCAAGGAGCCCATCCAGGAGATCCACCTGCCGCGGGCGTTGGAGGGGCTGGGTATGGATCGTTCACAGGTATGTCGGGCCGGATCCGGTGGTGCGGACTGGGGGGTGTATGGCTGACTGAGGAGACATCAAACAGTTCATCGACATGTGCATCCTTCTCGGCTGCGATTACCTCGAACCAATTCCCAAGGTGGGACCCAACACGGCGCTCAAACTGATCCGGGACCACGGGTCGCTGGAGGAGGTGGTGGCGGCCATCCAGAGCGACCCGAAGCAGAAGTACGTGCTGCCGACGGACTGGCCGTACCAGGACGCGCGGGAGCTGTTCCTCAACCCGGACGTGCGGGGGGCGGACGACCCGGCGTGCGACTTCAAATGGACGGCGCCGGACGTCGAGGGACTGGTGACATTCCTGGTGCAGGACAAGGGATTCAACGAGGACCGGGTGCGCAACGGGGCGGCGCGACTCCAGAAGACCCTGACGAGCGCGCAGCAGTCGCGACTGGAAGGATTCTTCCGGCCGGTGGCGCGGACCGACGCAGAGAAGGCATCGCTGAAGCGCAAACACGAGGAGAAACTGCAGGCGGAGAAGAAGCGCAAGAAGGATGAGGCCAAGGCGAAGAAGGAGGCCAAGGCGAAGCCCCGGGGGGCGGCGTAAGGAGAGGACGGACAGGCAGGACAGGCGTTGGTCTTTCTTTTTCTTTTTTATTCTCCATTTTTACCCTTCTATTCCTTTTTCTCCTCGTGATGCCCCCTCTTCCTCTCTTTCCCGTTGGAAATTGATAATCTGAATCGGGATCCCTCTTGGCGTCAGATTCTTCCGAGCTGGACGACCCTGCCACCCTGCCCAGCCGTCTCTAGCCGGACCCTACCATCTACGGCATCTTGGTCGTGTTTGATCTTGAGTCCGTTCGTGTCTGATACCAATCTATCTGGAGTGATATGATCCCATCGGGTGAAACCGGAGATGGACCGGGTCTGGCCCCGCCGCCTCAGGCAGGACCCCGCCTCAGGCCCTCCCCGCCTCAGGCATGACGAAACCAGTTGGCAGTCAGAAACCCTGAATTGAGGATCGACGACGAGGAAAATACCTAATAATGAGAATAATGGAACAATGGATTCGATCTGGTAAATGATATCATAAAACCCCATCCAAATCTAGAAAAAAAAAAAAGAGAAAAGAATGACAACACATGCGTCATCCGCCCTGACCGGTTTCCAGGGTGGAGCTGTTGGGTCACCTGCTTTGGGATCTCTTCTCCTCCTCATCTTTTCTCTCTTCGCTTCCTCTTCCTCTTCTGCTTTCTCCTCATCTTCGTTCTCCTCTTCATCACTGGAAAATATCCGGTTCTGTCAGCTTCCTGCTTTCTCCGTCACCCGAGGTTCTCTCCTGCATCGTCCCCGCCCCTCCATCGCCCCTCCATCGCCCCTAATCCCCGACGATCCCCTCCTGTCACCTCGTCTCCCCTCTCCTATCCACTTCTATCCACATCCCTAACGGTCAATTCACCCTCAATCCTATCTATCCCCTCACAATGTCGTCCTCTGGCAATGGTGCCCCGCCCGTGGGCCAGGAAAACATCAACACCGACATCGTCACCCTCACCCGCTTCCTCACGGAGGAGCAGACCAAGATCCCCGAGGCCACCGGAGACTTCACGTACGCGTCCCCCCTCCTGGATTCCCCTGGGGCCCCTCGTTCTCGTTAGGGCATGATAGATACTAACCGGTATAGTCTCCTCTGTCACGCCCTGCAGTTCGCCTTCAAGTCCATCGCCTACTACATCCGTCGGGCCTCCCTGATCAACCTCACCGGTCTGGCTGGTTCCTCCAACACCACCGGTGATGACCAGAAGAAGCTCGACGTCATCGGCAACGATGTCTTCCTCTCCGCCATGAAGGGCTCCGGCAAGTGCCGCATCCTCATCTCCGAGGAGGAGGAAGAGGCCATCGTCTTCGACGATGCCCCCTACGCTCGCTACGCCGTCGTCTGCGACCCCATCGACGGCTCCTCCAACCTGGACGCCGGAGTCTCGGTCGGCACCATCTTCGGCATCTTCAAGCTGCCCGACGAGTTGCTGGGCCCCAACAAGACCGTCACCGCCCAGGACGTCCTGCGACCCGGCACCGAGATGGTCGCCTCCGGTTTCACCATGTACGGCGCCTCCGCCCAGCTGGTCATCACCATGCGCAACGGCAGCGTCAACGGCTTCACCATGGAGAACTCCCTCGGCGAGTTCATCCTCACCCACCCCAACATGCGTCTGCCCGAGCAGCGCGCCATCTACTCCGTCAACGAGGGCAACAGCTCCTACTGGGAGGAGTGGACCCAGGCCTACTTCCACTCTCTCAAGTTCCCCCCCGGCGGCGGCAAGCCCTACAGCGCCCGCTACATCGGCAGCATGGTCGCCGATGCCTACCGCACCCTGCTTTACGGCGGTGTTTTCGCCTACCCCTCCGACTCCAAGAGCACCAAGGGCAAGCTGCGTATCCTGTACGAGTGCGCCCCCATGGCCATGCTGTTCGAGAACGCCGGCGGTCTGGCCGTCGATTCGCATATGAACCGTCTGCTCGAGGTCATGCCCGAGCACATCCACGACCGCAGCGGTGTCTACCTTGGCTCGCGCGGTGAGGTGCAAAAGGTCATCGACATGTACAATTCCCACAAGAAATAGATTCCCTTCCGGGCGCTCCCCTGCGCCTCCCTTTTGGTCATGAATTTTACGTGTATCTACTCAGAATGGAGATCTTCCCTTCCTGCCTCCTTTTCCTACTTCAATTCGATAGATGCCTGTAGCAACGCCGAAGGGTTTGCGGGGCACCCCGGTCTAGTCCATCACCGGCGTCCCGTCTGAATCCGGCTAAAGAAAACTCCCCCGGCAATGATCGGCTACCCGACCGACCGGTCCCCTGCCCCTCTCCACCCCTCATTCCCCACGGTATATCTAGTATCTACAACCCTCTCCCCGATCCTGGGTCCAGACCCCCGATACTCCCACCCAGTGATCTGTACATCCATCATGCGTCTCCCCTACGCCCCCCAGGAACCCCCCTCCGCGGACCCCGACACGGTCGCCATCTACCAGCGCATCGCCGAGCGCCGGCACCCCCGCCCCCTCATCCCGCTCGACCTCTCGCTGCTCCACGCGCCCCCCGTCGCCGACGGCTGGAACAGCTTCCTCGGCGCCATCCGCACACGCACCCAGGTCGACACCGGTCTCCTGGAAATGGCCGTCTGCCGCGTCGCCGTTCTCAACGGCGCCGTCTACGAGTGGAACTCCCACGCCCCGCTGGCCCTCAAGGGCGGCATCCCGCCCGCCGCCCTGCACGCTGTGCGCCATCTGGGCCCCACCGCCACTGGAGAGGACCTTGCCGGTGCTCGCGCCGCCCTCGATGCCGAGACCGCGCTGTCTACCGCCCAGCGTGCTGTCGTTCGCTACGTTGACGAGATGACCCAGACGGTGCGTGTCGCTGACGATACCTTTGCGGGCTTGCAGGCCGACGCCGGCCTCTCTGACCGTGAGATCGTTGAGTTGACTACTGGGATTGCCGGGTATAACTGCGTCAGTCGCGTGCTGGTGGCGTTGGATGTGGGGGAGAATAATGGGCGGGAGATGAAGAGTGTGGATGAGTTAGTGGCGGCGCTGTGATTTATGTCCTTCTTGTTCTTATTCTTGTTTTCGTTCTTCATCTTCTTCTGCGACGAAGATCACCGACAACCTATGAGATATGATGCACGCCCATGATCCACTTGGTGCGGGACAATAAATGAACCTGATGAGTTTGAGGACGCCTGTGCCGGTCCAAGATGTGTAGAGAAGATCCACATCTGCAACATGAGAACAACACCACTGTACTCTACTTGGCCGGAGCAGACGGCCGTCACATCAATTGAAGTGCTCACTCGCGATCCAGCAGGCTTAGGTTTGAACCGCCTCTCTGCCTTTACCTCTACTTCTACGTCTCGTTGTCTCATAGGCTTGTTCCTCTCCCCACACTGACACTGAAAATGATATTTCGATTGATCCTGCTGTTTTATAAGAAGTGAGACTCACAGCGTCTTCGTCTTGTGTCTCTGCAAGTACGTCTGCCGGAAGAACCCCACAAAGAGGAGCATCAGAACGCAAACGTACAGGAATCCTCCCCAAAAGACGAGAATATCCCCCCGGTTCTTGAGACAGGTGACAGTGCGGTACTGCGGGACCAGATCGTCCCCACCTGCCCCTGACGGCGAGCCGCGGGTGGTGTTGGCCGCCCGCGGGGAGGTGGACGGCGAGTCCTGGTCTGGTTGCCGGTCCATCCGCAGCGGGACATCGTACTGGATAAAGACGAAGGCTAAAGAGAACAGGAGCCCGACGCCAAACTGGCCGATCTGGATTACCGTCAGTCCAGCCTTCATCGGACTGGAGATGTGTATGCGGAAGGCCGAGAGCGTGTAATAAGAGTACTGTGGGACGGTGGGATCAGCCGAGAGGACGCCGGGAAGCCGGACGAGGATCAGGGACGGACTTACCACCAGCGTGTGGACCGTAGAATTTAACAGAAGACCAATGAAGCTCGCTTGCAGGACGTATCGGACGCTGGCCCAGCCGCAGAGCAGAACGCCCAGATGGTGATACACATGCAGCCTCGTGGCACGCTTCCCCTTGGCGAGGATGATCATTGTGTCGAGCATCTCGTATGCTTTGGAGAGGTAGAACGTCCAGGCGACGTAAACCCCCGCCGTCCAGGGCCCTTCAACCTCCGACTGGCCGCTAGCCGTCCGAAAATGGTGTCCACCGCAGATGCGATCCACCGTCCGCAGTGTGTACAGCGGATCCTGTCGGTCGACTCGGCTGGACCAAAGGAGGGTCCAGATGCTGACGCAGGCCCACAGCGAGTACAGTGTCAGGGCAATGTTGTGCAGGTAAACAAACCTTCGGAAGCCCCGCGTGCGACTGATTGCCCACGGTTGGCTCTGCCGCGCCTGATTGTGGCGATTGAGAAACATCGTGGCCACCGCATACGCGGCGATGATGACAATGGGGAACCTCGCGTCCATCGTCGCCTGGAAAAGCCACGTCGGAATCCATGTCGAATCGATCCACCCGAACCGTATCCGGGGACAAGGGGGATATCGCAGGGTATCCTGGCGCAAGAGCTTCGAGAAAGAGGCCCGGCGGAAATAGACGGTTGGCGGGTGGGACGACATGGCGCAAAGACAGGGCAGAGGGCCAGCAGAGAGTGCTTCCACTCCACGACGGGCAATTGTCTACTTCTATATTCAAGAGCTTGGCAGGGGGGGACGGAGGGAGGCAGAAAAAATCAGAGATCAGTCATGAAATGCGACGGGGTTCTGCAAGGAGGGTCCGACATGGAAATATGACCAGTCAGATGGGGCCACCACGTCGTCGACTCACCTACCATCTGCAAGGGAGGGAGGGTTTGTGTGGAAGATGTTCAGGACCGTCTGGGATCCTGGCTTGGGATCCGGCCAACTCGCGGCGTTATGATCCGCGCAACAGCCCAATAGAACCGCAACGGAAGTCGGTGGCCCATATCTGACATGGTGATGCCGATCCACGAGACTGTAATCCACGCCTAAAACGCCCTCGCATAAGATTTGACGCGGAGGTTGGTTCGGGGGAATGGCTGGTACTCCGGTCATGGTCGGGAGGGGTCTGCGCTTCGCTATACTGGGGATACTTAAAGGTCGAGTTGATCTCATGCTGGCCCCTACCTCAAACAATCCGTTGCGAATGCGGTTTCCAGAGCTCCATTGAGCAGAGAAACCCAGATACCCAGATCGTTGATTCATGGCTGGCCTCCAATTGTTTCCCGTCCTCGCCCATGCCATCGATGCATCGATGTCGAGAGCGCTCTTTGCGTGAGCATCTTCCACGTTCTGGGCATCAATGCGCTCTTATTCGTCCCGGCCCGCTGGGGGGCATGCTTCCTTGTCGCTTTGGGTCACACGGGCAGCGGAGTGGCCGTGACAGCTGGTTAGTAGTAGGACGGACTGGGCCCCAGGCGCCCCGGGGATCCAGGCCGGGTGAACTCCCACTAAACCGTGCCCTCTGGTATAGGATATTATCGTCTGTGGGGTCACCGAGTGTATACTGCTTGCCGGCCGCTGAGATAGGGTCTCGCGTTCCTGGCCACCGCGGCCGTCCAGAAGGACATCATCTGGTGGGTGCGACACCACTGCGCCCACCACCGCTATCTCGACACCCCGCAAGATCCCTACGACGCATCCAAGGGATTCCTCTGGTCCCACATCGGCGGGGTCTACCGCCACTTCTCCCACGCTCACCATCTGCTACAGAGGATGTCGGTAGCCGTGCTCTTTGGGGACGGTCAAGGGGAAAAGACGGCGTGATTTGGTTGAAGTGCGGTGTTGGACTGGTATGGCCAGAGTATGGCAAGTGGGGTCGACTTCCAAGACCAGATATAACGTGTTTGATTAAGTACAAGACACAAATGAATCAATCCATGAGTAAAACCCAAGATGAATCTGTCTATTGTCGCGAAGAAGAATGGGACGTAGTCAAACGACGGAGCAAGTGCGGCGCCTGATGTTTTTTTTTATACTGTTCTATTTTTTCCACTTCATTTCTTCACTCTGTCGACGACATCAACCGGCTGGACAGGTTGCCGGGACCAATAAATTCTCCCCAACATGGAATCTTCCAAGTTGAATGGCATGGGTGAGCACTGCTGGCATCGGAGGATACCACAACGGGTAGTGCAACGACAGGGAGGCTTCGATGGTGAAACCCACCTCTGAAATGGGTAGCCGATAGCTCAAACCGTCCCTCACAGTGGCATATGTCAGATAGATGCGTTTCTTGCATCTCCCCACATGACAGATCCGACGGTGGATGAGCTCGGACAGACATCGGTTTCTCCAACTCATCGATCCAATACAAACACATCATCGGGGCGGCGCGATAGGTCCAACTGATCGACCCATCAGGTCGGGTCAAGTGGATGACCCCCTTGAGTCGACGCGAGTCCGCGTGGCAGAATGACACGCCTTGCATTGCTCCAGATTAAAGCAGGGATCGCGACGATTGGAATGTTGATTGTTGATCGGTCGGAGCAGGACGTCTCAAGCAACAGGCGAATGATTGGATCTCTGTGAACTAGATTCAAACGCATCGTTCGCCACGCAGTTGAGAAGACGGCTGGGAACCGGTGAACGGGTGCCTCGATCCTCGAATTTCGTGTCGACATTGGGCTCTCGGCGTGGAAGATTGCGCGAACATGGCGTCGTGTGCCTCCGGTGGTGATCCAATCCCTCTCACACTACAGGATATCTGCTTGGATGGCTTCTACTGTTCGTTCGCCTCCTCTCTTCTTTCTCATCTGCTGCAGTGTACTGGAGCGCTGTCTTACTGACGATGTATGTCTACTGCAGGTCCGAATAACACGGCCAATCACCCCCCGCAACTATGTCCTCCGACGCCGGAGTGTTTGTTAAACAAGCTACAGATGGAACACAATGTGTGCCCATCATCCCAGGGCATTTACGAGCCGTCCGCCTGCCAGGCGGGCCACTATTGCCCCCCCGGGGGTCGGGAGCAGATCCGGTGTCCCGCCGGGCATTACTGTCCGTTGGGCGCGAGAAGGCCGGTGCAGTGTCTCGCCCTGTCGTATTGTCCCGAGGGCAGCGGTCGGGAGGTGCCGTTTCTCGGGATCTTGTGCTGCGCTTTGATCGACTTGGCGCTGGTTATTCTCACCGTGTGGCCGCGTCTGAGAAAGCGGGTTTCGCGTCGGCCGTGGAGGGAAAAGTCGGATGCACGGGTCGAGACCGGGCTGGAGATGCAATCTGCTGGCCTTCTGAGTGGAGCATACCTTTGCGGTTTGGAGGGAGATGGAACGGACTGTGATGACGCTGATGATCAATATGACGAGAGGTCAAGCGCCGGGCTGCAGATCGAGTTCAGAGACGTGATCGTTCGCAATCCACAGACGGGGGGCACCATTCTGGACGGCGTCAGCGGTGTTGCGGCGCAGGCCTCCCTCCTTGGGGTCCTAGGTCCCTCAGGATCGGGGAAGAGTGAGTGACACGGATCCTCTAAAGATGGCCCTTGCTCACACCACTCGCAGCTACCTTGGTCCATGTGCTGACCGGCCGCGTCAAGGCGACGTCGGCATCAGTGCTCTGGGATGGGGTCGAGCAAGACCTGACCCAGTAGGTTCCACGATCGATCCACGCCGGATAACATGACTGACCTGAGATACCTAGGCCCCGGGCCACTCGCGGTCTCGTCAAGTTTGTGGCCCAAGATGATGTGGTCCACCCGAACCTCACTGTCTGGGAGAATGTCCTTCACTCGGCCCGGATTCACCTGGGAGGATCCCGGACGAACCGGGAGATCGCCCGCCACACGCAGCGGGTCATCGACCGCCTGCAACTGACGGGGGTTCGGAATAGCATCGTCGGGGATGGCCACCGGCGGGGCGTCTCGGGAGGCGAACGCAAACGGGTCAGTATCGCACTGGAACTGGTGGCCTCCCCCGCGGTCTTAATCCTCGACGAACCCACCTCGGGACTCGACGCGCAGGCGGCCTTGTCGATCATCCAGCTCCTGAAGCGGCTGACCACCAAGGGCATCACGGTAATCTGTGTCATCCATCAGCCGCGCGTTGAGATCTTCGAGTCTCTCGATGCGATCCTCGTCTTGCAGTCGGGCCGCTCCCTGTACTCCGGTCCCGCGCAGGGAATCCAACCCCATTTCGAACACCTGGGCTACGAGTTCGACCCCCGACACAATCCAGCGGATGTCATCTTGGACATCGCCGCCGGCCAGCTCCAGCCCCAGATCGCTCGACCCGCGAAGTCTGCGACGGGCGGCGACCTGCCGAAAGTCGCCCAGTGCGAGACGCTCCCCCATGGGGCCCCCCGACCCCCCTCGACGGACAGAGGGCCCCAGCGGCTGGGCCCGGGTCGCATGGCGCCCTGGCATCGACAGGTCGTCTTCTGTTTCCAGCGGGATGTGAAGCAGCAGGCCCGACGACTCGATCTCTTCTGGACAGAAATCGCCGCGGGCGCGGTGACCGGATTGCTGTTAGGGCTCGCGGCGTCCGAGGTTCGCGGCCAGCTCTTCCAGGGGATGTATCACCCCCCGTTTCATTTCCTTTCGAGCGCGGTGAATTACTTCTCCATGCCCAATGTAGCCATGTTCAGCTGCTTCTGCATCGCATTTTCCAGCGCCGCACCGAGTGTGGCGGTCTTCGGGGAAGAAGGTGACAACCATTCGGCTGCCGAACCGACGTGATTGCAAGCTAATCCGACGCAGCTATCCTCGCGAACCGAGAATCGAAGGCGGGGCACTCCGAGAGTGCGTATTTTATGGCCAAGGTTCTATCGAGCCTGCTCCGGATGGCACTGTGCGCTCTTCACCATACCTCGGCTTACGTGGTGCTGGGCACACCGGCGGTTCCCTTTGGCGTCCTGCTTGGTCTTAACTATGTCTTCTTCTACTGTGGGTGGTTGTCTTTCCCCAATCCCACTTCTCTCCGTATTCACACGAAGATCCTAGGTATCTATGGCATCGGAGCCTTGATCGTCTCCCTGACGAGCCGTGAAGCCGCCCCCCTGGTTTGTTTGATGAGCACACTCATTGTCTCCGTCTTATCCGGCTGCCAGCCCCGTCTGGCCTCGGCAAGACGCTGGCATCTGACCTGGTTGTGGTACATGCTACCAGGGGTAAGACATCCATCGACAGGCGCAACTGTGGTTCCTCGCTGATCAGGTACAGACGTGGTATGCAGAGGCCTATATCAGCGTGCACATCACCCCGCTGGCCTATCTGTACGACACCCAGGCGGCAGCGCAGTACATGGGGTACACGTTCGGTCGACTGGGGCTCGATGTGGGGTACGTGCTTTCTCCGGTCATATTGCGAGGACCTTTACTGACATATGATAGAGTTGCGTTATTGATCGGAACGGCATATCGGATGCTAGGCTGCCTGTTGATAACCCTCCGGGCTCGAACCGGATGGTGGTAGCAGCTGACGCGCGATCAGACCTCATTATCCTGGCCACTGGCGAGAATGGATTATATAGGATCTGTAGAGATCGGCTCGTCAATCCTGTGATGCAAGGAGTACACTGCATTGATCCGCTAGACGTGATTCGCGATGACTGTAGAGTATTGGGAATGGGAGCGCCGGAAATTGGAATCCACATGTAAATTCGATTTGGCGATAGACTGCAATATAACCGATGATAGGGCTAGGTAGACACCTTGGCCATGCGATGCCCGGCCAAATTGAACTACAAATTAAGCTATAGATTTCCATGGATCTTTCGCTCACCAGCTGCTCATGACTCAATGCGCAAGGGAAGGATCATCTTAGAACTAGGAGGGATGAGACGTGTATCATGCAGAGAACTGGTAGGGGTGTATCACAGCAAGGGGTGACGGGTTGATGTTACTTCCCAGCTTGTCCGTGCGTTTGGACAGGTTTGATAGCCCTTGTCCAAACCATTCCTCAGAAGACTGGTTACTCTATGATGGAGAACTGACAGGCGAGAAACAATCCAGACACTTCGGCATAAGGCTCTGCCGATTGACATCCCGATTCACTGTGAAGCCTTCTGCTCGTCCACCAAAGCCACCGCCTAAAGATAGTCTGACCTACTTCCACCAATCCAAGAGATGGACTCGGCACTCCAGCTGCTATCGCTTGGTCTCCGGAATGGAAAGACTCTCACCTTGGACAGCAATGGACCGGTTCCAACGATCTGGAGAGCCATGATCTCCCATTCCCAGCCCATCCCCCCAACAGAGCTCGAATGGCTACGTGACAAGACGACACTGGTGACCGGCGCCACGTCTGGCTGCGGTTTGGAGTTAGCCAAGATCCTTGCCCAGTACAGCGCGCGCCTGATCATCACCGCACGCAATGAAGAGCGGGGCCAGAGCGCGCTCGCTGAAATTCAAAATGCCCAAGGAACGAATCGTCCCGCCCAGATCGACGTATGGCAGCTGGACATGGCATCGTTTGACTCCATCCGGGAATTCATCCAGCGGGTCTCGCTCTTGGAGGCGTTGGATTTCGCAGTGCTAAATGCTGGGGTCTTGTCACCGCAGTTCTCCCGCTCGCCGGCGTCATGGGAAATGCACCTCCAGGTCAACTACCTGGGCCAGTGCGCATTAATCCTCTCACTCCTGCCGGTGCTCCAGAGCCAGAGCCAGAAGCGTACGACCCCTGCACGCGTTCTGAATGTCACTTCCGAGGCCCATCTGTGGGAAAGCATGCCGCTCACCACGAACCCCGCCCAGGCGATCAGCGAATTCAACGACGAGGCGGCACTGGGCTTCCATCAGCGCTACCGTCGGTCGAAGCTGCTCAGCATGATGTGGACGCACACTCTGGCATCGGCATGGAAGGACACCGACTCGGTGGTCATCGGTACCGCAACGCCTGGTCTCTGCCAGACACCCATCTACCGTCAAATTACCTCGAGCTGGATCGCGGACGCGTTGATTCGCTGGTTTCTCAAGACCTCAACCCATGGAGCTTGGGATTATGTGCGGGCTCTCATTGTCCCGGCGTCGGAATACCACGATCAATTCTTCTATGACGGGTGTCCAGCCGAGTGTGTCCCCCCTTCTGGATCCTGCATTCATGGTCTGCTAACGATGCTGCAGCCCCGCCGATAGCGTCCGTTCCGAGGAGTACCGTGCATGGAGGGCCGATCTGTTCCGATATACGGTGGAGCTCGTGGAGCGGGAGATACCTGTGCCACAGGAGACACGGGCGTGGTTAGCGGTGATACTTGAGTCGACGCGGGACGCTGATATCAAGTAACCGAGCGTCCAACTTGACGAGTGTGGAAGACCGTTTCTTGGATCCAACATCTGGTCTATGTTACATGTGCAGACCTACATCACAGCCTCATCCTCTGACGCCATTCCATACTACCCGCTACAAGAAATTTAGTCCGCAGTGAGATGGATTATAACACGGGAACCAGTGGAGGTCAGTTCGACGCGAACAAGGCTACTACACGCGTAGATAATGATTAAGAAAATGTAATTGATGCGGTTGAGATGTCGTTTGTACGATCATGATAGAACGCCATGTCCCGTCTTATGAATCCCTCTTCAGATATCCTCACCCTCAACCTGACTGTTCCTGTTGCATGTTCAGGGTGATCGCCTTCGCCTTGGGGGCGCCTCCACACTCGTATGTCCCCAGAAGGGTATGGCCGTCGACAGCCTGGATGCCCGGCCAGTGGCTAGCCTCGGGGCAGAGGACGGTGGGCCGTGTCCAGAAGATGCGACCATCCTGCGGGGGCCCGCCAAACAGCACCTTGATGGAGGCGTTGTGGTGCCAGTGCGGGTTGGGCCAATCCTCATCCGTCATGAAGACAACGGCCAGGGAGCCGTCAGCGAAGGTAGCGATGCCCGGGGAGCCGGCGTGGCGGCCAGACTTGTGCGAGCGGTAGACCTCGTGGCGCCAGCCCCAGGTCTGGCCGTCGTCGTAGGAGAGCATACCCTCGATGCTGAAGGCGCGGTGGGTCGTAGTCTCGAAGACGAGAACGAGCACTTCGCGGCCCCGATCGTGCGCCACCGCGACGCTCGTCATGCCATCGCGGTAGTTGTCGCGCTCGCCGCCCAGACACTGCGGCGGGGTCCACGTAGCGCCGCCGTCGAACGACCGCACCAGCATGGTGCACTGGTTTTCGGGCGCGAACTCCTCCGAGTAGTAGAGTTGCACCTCGCCCTGGTGGCCCATGCGCATGAAGGGCTCCCAGATGCCCATGGGCGGCTTCTTCTCGGCCGCCTGCGACAGGTAGGACCAGTTCCGCCCGCCGTCCGTCGAGCGGCAGACGGTGATGCGGAATTGGGTGAAGCCGCCGCCGGGCTTCATGTCGTGGTTGCGGAAGGCCGCCAGCACCGTGCCGGGCGCGATCTCCAGCAGGAACAGGTTGTCGCAGTCGCCCGCGGCCCGGGTGACCTCGCCCCAGGGCTCGAAGGTGCGGCCGCCGTCGGTGCTACGCGTCACCCGGAGCAGGCGTTGGTTGCCCTCGAAGCGGGTGAAGGACCCGAGGAGGCTGCCGTCGCTCATGCGGGCCAGTCGTGCGTATGTGCCGTTGGGGATGGCGGCCAGCAGGCGCTCATCGTTTTCGATGACGCGATTCCCGGGTAGGCGGGCTCCATGGTCTGTTGGCGGTTGCTGCGGCGGTGGCTGGGTCGCCGGGGGGTGGTGTGGGTGGTCAATCCCGAAGGTCTTTAAGATCTTTTGTCCTAGTTTTCCCGGCATGATGGTGGTGGAGGTAGTATCAAAAACGGAGGAGTTCCTTTACGAGGAGCAACCGGTCAGATATGGTGGTTGATCGCGGGGCACTGCATGGATGATGTCGATCCAGGCCGGGATGTGCATGACGTCATCACGGAACGTGGTTGCCTGCGCCGACGCATGCGGCGTGGCGTGGATGCTCTGGGTCTGGGCGTGGAGCGGTGTGACAAGGTCTGGATGTCTGGTAGGGTTTTGGCTCCAAAGAAGGGCTGATAGCGTTGATATGTGTCCTGCAGATATCTAGTTCAATCTTGTTATAGTCGTGATGTCGAGCTGAACAGTGCGGTAGATGGGAGAGTGCTGGAGAAGGGCGAACGGCGGGCTGTCGGATGAGAATAAACTAGAAAAGAGAGAATAGGGACCAAGTAATCATCCTGACCAGCGATTGATCGTCATGAAGGATCATGAAGGTTTCTTGAAGCGTTTCATGACTTCATCGTGAGCCCTGCAGCAAGTAGAACAAACAGAACAGACACAACAAATAGAACACACAGAACGAACTAGACAAACTAGACAAACAGACAAAACAGACAAACAGCACAAACAGCGAAAATATGCGCACATCACGTGACTTAAATCCGCCGTCCCCGACAGCCAATCAGAGCCCGTCCGCGATCGGCCTGATCTTCACGGTCACTTGAGTCCACTTCGACCCGGTGGATTCCATCTGGGAACTTCCAATCCACTTCCCAAGACACAATCTCACCATGTCCTCCTCAAGGAGCCTTGCCGTCGCCCTAAGACGGGCTCGGGTGCCCCGTCCCCGTACGTTCGGACCGGCAATGGTCCCCCACCGGCCGTCGGGAGGGGCCGAAGCCGCCAGACGGTCCTTCAGCGTGGCGTCCACCGTCTATGCGCCGAAGGAGGTGAAATACACCACCGACTCCTATCCCAATATCCAGCGGAACCCCAAGTTTGCCGAGATCACCGCCGACGACGTGAAGTTCTTCCAGGACCGGCTGGGCGCCCCGTCCGCCGTGATCGACGGCGTCACGACCGACGCAACCGACGACATCGAGCCCTTCAATGGCGACTGGATGCGCAAGTACCGGGGCCACACGCGCCTGGTCCTGAAGCCGCGGTCGAAGGAGGAGGTCAGCGAGGTGATGAAATACTGCAATGAGCGGAAGTTGGCCGTCGTGCCGCAGGGCGGCAACACCGGCTTGGTGGGCGGATCCGTGCCCGTATTCGACGAGATCGTCCTCAACCTGTCGCGCATGAACCAGGTCCGCTCGTTCGACGATGCGTCGGGTGTCCTGGTGGCCGACGCCGGCGTGATCCTCGAGGTGGCCGACCAGCATGTCGCCCAGCACGATCACCTGTTCCCGCTGGACCTGGGCGCCAAGGGGTCCTGCCATATCGGCGGCAATGTCGCCACCAACGCCGGCGGCCTGCGTCTGCTGCGCTACGGCAGTCTGCACGGCAGTGTGCTAGGTCTCGAGGCGGTCCTGCCTGACGGGACCATCGTCGACGCCCTGTCGACCCTGCGGAAGAACAACACCGGCTACGACCTGAAGCAACTCTTCATCGGCGCCGAAGGCACCCTCGGCGTCATCACGGGCGTGTCGATCCTGTGCCCGCCGCGCCCTAAGGCGGTCAACGTCGCCTACTTTGGCCTCGAGAGCTACGACCAGGTCCGCCAGGCCTTCAAGCTCGCCAAGGGCCAGCTGTCGGAGATCCTGTCCGCCTTCGAGCTCATGGACGGCCGCAGCCAACAGCTCGTGCACCAGTCCACCGGCAACAACTACCCGCTGGAGGGCGAGTACCCCTTCTACTGCGTGGTCGAGACCAGCGGGTCGAACCCCGACCACGACATGGCCAAGCTGGAGGCCTTCCTCGAGCACATCATGAGCGAGGGCATCGTGGCGGACGGCGTGCTGGCCCAGGACGAGACCCAGTTCCAGGCTATCTGGCGCTGGCGTGAAGGCATCACCGAGGCGCTCAGCCACCTGGGCGGCACCTACAAGTACGACGTCTCCATCCCGCTGCCGGAGCTGTACCAGCTGGTCGACGACTGCCGCGAGCGGCTCACCAAGCTCGGCTTCGTCGGCGACGACGAGTCGCACCCCGTCCGCGCGGTCGTCGGCTACGGCCACATGGGCGACTCCAACTTGCACCTGAACATCGCTGTGCGGCAGTACAACAAGGAGGTAGAGAAGGCCATCGAGCCCTGGGTGTACGAGTGGATCCAGAAGCGGAACGGCAGCATCAGCGCCGAGCACGGCCTGGGTCTGGCCAAGAAGGAGTTCATCGGGTACAGCCAAAATGATACGATGGTGAAGCTCATGAAGCAGTTGAAGGATCTGTACGATCCGGTGAGTCTTCTCTCCTTACCCCTCCTGTTTGACGTGACTAACAGACCGCAGAACGGGATCATGAACCCATACAAGTACATTTAACGGATCAGCGTGTTTAGATACAATACCATATGTGAATATTGAAGTCATCTTATCCCCTTCTTTCTATAAACATGTCCCCGATGCATCCTTTCCATCTTGTTGTGTATATCCCACTGCTTCCCCTCTGCGCAAGCCTATGTGCTAATTTGGCCTGGCGGAGATCGGATTCCCTCTGTATAAATCATGGTAAGTGTGACAGGAGAGCAACATGACAGGTTGTTATTGATATCAGTCAGGTGGAGCCCTATACCAATCGTTAGGTCAACGCTTTGTTGTAGTGGTCTTGAGACATCTTTCTAATCCAGTTGACGAGTCCATTGCAGAGTCTCTCACATGTCTCAGGAGGACTAGCTCGACCTAGGAGCCATTGTCGCCATGGAGAATTTATCAACATTTCGTAGTCAGGACCGAGCCTCAATCAACAAGCGTTCACCATTGTTTGAATTAACCCTGTCTGACCACGTTTCGTCTCACTCCGTGGTTCAAACCAGTCTCGTTCGGGGTCATTGTGCGACCACTTCCGCTCGGGGAGAACTGCACCACTCTCCAGACTCGGGTTCAACGATGACGTGTGAAATCCTAGGTCGAGGTCGCAGCAAGCACCTGGCTAGTTTGGCCGATGTGTTCAGGCGCCGACGTGGGACCTGGGCGGATTTCGCCTACTTTCCCAAAAGCGCTCTTCGGGGAAGTCCCCTTCCCTGGGAGTGACGTTGGCCGGGGCGGCGTGCAGGCCCCGACAGTGATTCTGTGTCGACACAATGCCGACGGAGGACATGGCGAAGACCTCGAATCCGCGCATGGCTATCTGCCTCCCACCGCTGCCCGTCCCTGTATTGCCATGGGAACTTTTGACAAGGACAAGAACCCTGGTTTGGTGGTCGCCGACCTCTGTGTCATGGCTGCCCGGTTCTTATATGGCATCGGGAAGGGAGAACCGGCCGATGCACCATATCCCCGAGACTTTGAATTCCTCGATACAGCTGTCGATAATGCCCCCGGTAAAGAAGAGATGGACGCTGCCGATAGAGGACATGGTCTGATGAGTGTCGGAGAAGGGAGCCCAAACCTTCCATCCACTCCATCAACTGCCTCTGGTTCGCCGGAAAAGATCCCTCGCTCCAGCACCAAGATGAGGGTCGCCACCCTCGCCTGGCTATGGAAATTCGCCGATGACGCCGACAAGCTGCAGGCTCAATTTAAACACCTGCTCGATTTGCCGGCCGAGGTTGGGGTCTTGCATCTCTGCGGCTGTGGCATCTGCTCCAACACCGGTGTCGGGGTGAGAATGCTGGGATGCTGTGAGAAGACCCATTTGATCCTGGGCGATCAAAAGTTGAATGGGACCCATAAGACATTTCATCAAATGCTGAGGTTAATCCATACAGATGACTATCTGGAAACCGTGGCTATTATCCAGAGGGCGCGTGGTGGGAGAGGTGTGTTCTGAGGATGGGGTAAGATCAATGGAGTTTCAAAATTGAACGGTGGAGTTTGATCCAAATCTATGTACACATCTTTTTTAAGCTATCCTTCTATTCATCGTCTTCCTCGTCTTCCTCATCTTCTCCATCCTCATTGTTGTCATCATCATCATCATCATCATCATCGTCATCGTCAAACTCCACGCCCATCTCGCCCGTCAGATCCCAACGGTCGCCCTTGGCCGCCGCACTCACGTACTTGACGAACTTGAGCGTCCCGCTATCACGCAGGACAATGCTGAGCCGGTTCCACCCAGCCGCTGTGCTGAACAAAATGCCATCGTCTTCGTCAGCCTCCGCGGAGCGGTAAATGGCCGCGTCGTCGTCCTTCTCGTCATCGCCCGCCATGTAGATTTCGTAGCCGCCCACCGCGGGCTCCTCGCCGTCCGCTTTGGGCTTCTTCTCCGCCGCCTCGACCTTGGAGGCAGACTCCCCGTTGGCCTTGTCCTCTTTTTCTTCCTCCTCCTCGTCATCGTGGTCGCTCTCCTTCTCCCACCCCGGCGTCGGGGTCAGACAGAGGGTGAACTCCAGCCGCGGCTCCTCGCCGTCGTAGCTGCTGGCGAGGGTGTAGTCCTGCCCGCGGCGGAACCGGCGCGCTAGGAGGTCGTAGCTCGTGATGCGGTCGGCGCCCGTGACGTGCGCCAGCCATTTGCGGAACGCCGGTGACGGGAACAGGTCGTTCAGCAGCTCCTGGAGCGGCGTCTTCTGGTCCTGCGTCACCGCCGGGGACTGCTGATACAGGTAGCGCTGCTTGTGCGGCGGGCGGGCGACGGTCCAGCCGGTCTGGGCCCGGATCTCGTCGGCCGACGCGGGCAGCGACTGCCGCTCTTGCTCCTCGATGTAGGCGCGTACGCGCGCGGCGAACTTCTCCGACAGGAAGCGCTCGAGGCTGAGCGACGACTCGTTGGAGAAGGTCTCGGACATCTCCTCGGCGATGTCCGGCGTGAGGTACGACGGCGCGATGTACTGTACCAGGAAGGCCAGGTCGTTCTCGGTGAACTCGACGCTGTCGGACGGCTCCGCCACCGCCTCGGCCTTGGCTTTGCCCTTGCCCGTGCCCTCGGCTTCCGGTACGGCTGCGGGCCCGCACGGCGTCGGCTTGGACTGGGGCAGGTCGTAGATGTCGCCGCGACCCTGCAGCTGCGCCAGACTGCTCCGCTCGGCCAGCTTCTCCTCCAGGCCCTCCTCAAATCCGTCCTCGCCGCGTTGTGGGATGTGGAACCAGCCGCTGATGGCCATGCGCACGCGCTTCTGGGATCGGTCCTCGCCCTCCGCCGGGTGGTACACTTCCTCGACGTCGTGGAAGCTCTCGCCGGGCTGGACGGTGAAGAAGCTGAGCTGGTTGAAAGCCGGGGGAATGCTGAGACTGTAGTCCGGGCTCGGGATCTTGACATCCTCGCCCGCGGCGTCCTTCTGGGTCGTGGTTGGGAACATGCGCAGGGCGCCGCCCCACTCTGCCTGCCAGGGGGTGTCCGGGTCGGTCAGATACAAGATGTAGCTGAGGCGGCGGCTGCCGATGACGTCGTCGTGGCACAGCAGGTGGCAGCCCTCGTTGTAGATGTTGATGGCCATGTCGGTCTTGCTACCACTCAGCTTGCCCGAGTTGGTGACGCCGGAGAGGTACTCACGGAACCGGGCCGAGTACATGGCGTCACGGAGCTTCAGGATGGAGGGCAGTCGGGACAGGGAAGCATCGTCCAGGCCGTCGAGGTTGGCCAGATCGCCGGACTGGAAGATCTTGTAGATATCGGTCTCCTTCTCGGTGAAGTGCAGATGTTCCTGGATCTCGTTGCGCACCGCTCGGAGGAGGGAGGGCTCGATCAGGGGGTGAATGACGCCGTGCTTATACCTAGAATGGAGTTAGCTGCCACCCTCCCTCTCCATATCCTTCAATCCTGGGACTCTGCAGTACGTACGGGGCGGATTGGGCATATTCATCGGTGTACTTCTGCTGCTCCACCGGGTTAAACAGGCCGTCACGGAAGCGGGCGGCGGCCTCTTCGCTGGACAAGGCGCGTTTCTTGGAATCCGGCTGCCCGCTGACGTCCCGGGCGTCTTTCTCGTTCGTCTTGCGCTTCATCTTGGGCAATTGATGGTGGGAAGAGGAAAAAATGAGGGCGAGAAATGAATGGCGCCACGATGGGCTGATCGAAAGCTTTTCGTTTGTGGTGTTTGTCGGATTTGTCTGGTTTGCACCCGGTCGGAGCCGAATTCCGCCGACCATGCTCGACTATACGAGTCTACATATAGAAGGGAGAAATACAAGTACAGATCAATATAATAGACAGAGAAGGGGAAATATTCGAATATGAAGTAGACCAAATATGGGGGTAGATTCAGCAGCAGGGTACAAACTCCCAGAATTAATCCACCACCCCCGTGTCGTCCGCCCAACTGGGCTGAATACTGCGACAGACCGCTTCGTAATCCTGGAACCGCTGAGGATCCTCCACGAGCCCCGGGGTCGTCCAAAACATGGTCCAGTTGGTGTCGGCCAGCTTCCACGTTCCCGCCGACCGTTCAAAGTACCACTTGTTGACCGGGTTGTCCTGGCGGCTGCGCCAGCACACCCCCGCGGGGAAGCACGCACGCACCATGGCGTTGAAGACCATGTCGGCCACGCCCCCGGCACCCTGGCTGCGCTTCAGGACCGCGAACTTGTCCAGGTAGGGCACCCGCCGCGCCTGGCTGGCGGCGCTGCCGTCGTCCGGCACGCCGGGCGGCAGCTCCCACGTCAGGATCGCGCCGCCCTCGTACTCGCCCGCGATGATCAAGCCCGCCAGCTGGTGGTTCACCCGCTCCAGATAGGCCGGCACGTCGAGCCGGCGGTTGAAGGAGTCCTCGATCAGGTGGACAAGTCGGGGCAGGTCGATGCGCGGGTCGTCCAGCGTCACCGGCGACGGTGTCCGGGCGCTCCACGGGTCGAGCCGCGGGTCCGGGACCATGGTGAGCGGGAGGCCGCGCTTGACGAAGGTGGTGTGGGCCCGGGGCGCGCGTCGGCTGACGGGCAGCGAGGCGGAGAGGAGGGGCTTGTCGGTCAGTAGGTTGTGGATGAGCGGGTTCCGCTGCCGCCGGGTCCGCACCGCAGACATGTCGGGGGTCTCCCGCGGCGGTTCGGCGGAATGGGCCACCTCGGCCGCGGAACTGATGATGCCGGAGGACGCCGCCGGCAGCAGGGCGAGCGCCTCGTGGGCGAGCCGCAGATTGTCCAGGTGCCCGCCGATCGCCGGCTCCTCCGGATGGGGGACGGCCGGAATGGGCTCTTGCTCGGGCGGCACCCCGACGACCTCGGTGTGGGCGAACCGGGAGAAGGGATTGCTGTCAGCGACCGCCGAGAGGGATCCGTCCGCCGGCAGCGGGCGGTGTGCGTCGCCTGCCGCCAGCGACAGACGGACCCGCAGCAGCTCGTTCTCGATGTCGGCAAACTCCTGCTCCAGGTTGATAAAGACGTGGGAGGTCTGGGGTCCACTGAAGGAGGGGATGCCGCCCAAGGGATCGAGGAGGATGACCCGATCAAGCGACACCTCCTGCTGGACGCGAGCGATGCGCTCCGCCGTCACCAACGGATCCTCGTCCGGGTCGATGCGGGCCGCCAACCCGGCCAGCTCCCGGGTCAGGGCGAGCACGGCGTCATTGGCCGGGATGACTTCGGCCTTGGGGACGTCCTCGGTGTAGGCCACGGGGGCAATGACAACGATCTGTCCGTCGCGCAGCGGGCCCAGCAGCACCTTGCGCGAGAGGACCTTCGGGGTGGCGCCCCCGGCCTCGGACGGGAGGGTCAGGATCGCGTCGAGGTGGGCGGCTTTGGAATCGGGCTGCGCGTCGACGGCGTTGCACAGCCGATCGACCTGTTCAGCGGCGGTGACGCGCACCGTTCGACTGTCGTCGGCGGCACCGGGGTCGACGACGACGCAGCAGGCCATGCCCAGGCGGTTCAGCTGCGACAGGGTTTTGGCCACGCCATCGAGCGTGGCATCGTCGAGGCGTTGTGGAGCCTTGATCTTGATGAGGGCCAGGTGCAGACGTTCCGACTGCTGTTGCTGCTCCGGCGTGGGGGCGGGGGTGGAGTCTTGTCGAAACACGGGGGTGTCGGAGACGGATCGCGAGGCGCCGTAGAAGGCCCCCCCGTTGCCGCCCACGGGCGACGCCGGCGCACCCTCACCCGTCACCGACGTCTCTCGTCTGTCGGGCGGTGGAGTGTTCTGCGCCTTCAGGCGGGCGAGATAGGATTTCGCTTCTCGTTTAGTGGCGGCGGAGTTAAGGACGCTCAGAAAGAATTCCTATCCCACCCCGCATTCCTCCGATTAGCCCCTCTCTTCGAGGATCTCGTGCCGCGGGGGAGAACACCGTACCCGGTCCAACAGCTTCTCCTTGGCGCGCCGGCCCAGACGGTCGTAACTTCGGGTGGAGGAGGAGAAGTCGGAGGTGAAATCGGGCCCCGGGTGGGCGGGCCGATCCTCGGAGGGGGAAACGGGTCGACGACGGGCAGCGGCGTGCGTCGACTGCGAGCGGCAAGGCACGATTGACGCGGCCGGCTTCTGAATTCGCATTGGAGCGATCTGGTCAGCAATGACTCCCTGCAAACCATCATCCATCCCAGCATCTCCGTCCGGGGAAGCTCACCGTCAGCCACGCCGACCTCGCCGAGCGCGGCCAGATGGTGCGGACGGTCATGATCTCATGGGCAGGGGACCATGACAGACCGCCAAAACGGTTTCAAGAGAAGAACGATACGTTCGAAAGCAAAATAAGATAGAAAGCCAGAGAGGAACAGACGAAGTGGAAAAAGAAGAAGAAAAAGAAGAAGTAAAAGTTGGAGAGATGTTGGAGTGACGGGCCGCCAAGACCTTTCTGCCGCCGGGCGGTGACGATGGTTATCAGATCATGACTCATTCATAACCCTAAAGATGGGGGAGAATGCAGAAGACGTGGCGATTTTCAGGCGAACATGGGACTGGATGGGGTGATATAGATGGGATAAATCGCGCAGATGGAGTATCGGCCATGGGGGTCGCGAGAATGGACGGTTTCTGACCCCACTCGACGCCAGGCATGGTCCACAGGGGTCTGATAGGATAAAAATGACGCATGAGAAATACAGACAACGACGCCGAGACTGGAAGGAGACCATGACTCTTTAAGGCTTGTCAGTGATATCCTTTGTATGGTCAAGATCAAGACAGATCGATCTCCATCGCAGAGTCACACGGATGGTGGATCATAGTATATATATAAGGGACGGGCGGATATATGTTCTGATGACAGCACCATCGGTCATGATGTCCACAAACCACAGTCGTGCTCGCCTCGAGGAAAGCGGGGGAAATGGAAATCAAAAGGACTACGGAAGCGGAGAGATGGACGAGAAGCAATCACATAGCATCACCAGAGTGACGGTGTAGGTAGCCAATGATATTCCTTACAAATACACGGCCCGGAACGATGTCCCCAGAGCCATCGGTTCATTCATACTGTACAAACCCACCATTCAGCCCCCTAGAGCTTCTCCGACTCCGCCAGGAGCTCGTCGATCTTGAACCCCTGGACATCCCCCTGGGTGAACATGCGCAGCAGTTCGCCCTTGCGGCCGTGCGCCTGCCCCCCGAAGTCGTAGAACCGCTGCAGGCAGCTGGTCAGCCACGTCGCCTCCGACGTGGACACCCCTCCGTTCGGCATGACCTGTCCGTGCATCAGCACCAGTCCCGTCTCGGCCGCCAGGTCCAGGTGGTGCGTGAGAGTGGTGTGCGGCTGCGCGTACGCCCCGTGCAGCTTGTACGCCGCCAGCTGCGTGAAGATGACGGTCGAGGTGTGGGAGTTGACCTGCGGGCCCGAGGGCACCGTCGACGAGGGCGCCGTCGCCGGCGGGTGGAATCCCCACTGGAGGAAATGGATATCTGCGCCCACCGACTCGGGGGCGGGCTCGGAGCCCGCCTCCGGTGATGCGGGAGAGTCGCTGGGCGCCGAGGGCGTACGCGGCAGCGGGAGGATGAACTGGGGGTTTTGCCGGGCGGCGGCGGCGATGCGCTGGTAGGTGTCGAGGGGGATGACGGCGCAGATGGAATCGGCGCTGGAGGCGTGGCGCAGCCGCCAGAGAGCCTCAATCTCCTTGGCCGGCAGGTCGCGTATCTTCTCGACGTCGAGGTACGCACTCAGCGGTTTGATCCCCGACGCTTTTTTGGACGTCTCGGCCGCTTCTGCGAGGGGCGACGGCGCGGCCGGCGGCGGCGGAGGGACAGCGGAGGGTTTCTGGGGCGCCGCGGGGTCGTCGGGGGTGATGGGCGTGGTGGCTTTCTGCCGCAGGTCGGTGATCTTGTCTTGGTAGGCGTCTTTCAGGGAGTCGATCGATTGGTGGCCCTCACTAATAACCACTCCGCGGTCAGCATCCATCCCACCCCGTTCAGCACTCGGGGAACCACTCACCTCTTGGCCTTCTGGTCCAGTTTCGCCCGATATTTGTCCAACACATGCTTGGGGTCGTGATGCGTGGCGAGAAAGCGGACGTCGTGTACCTGGGCCCAGCGGCGCTGGTTGTGTCGCAGGAGCGGGATGCGCGCCCGGATCAGACTCGGAAGAGCCGAGGTCCTCAAGGATGCCATGTTCGGTCGCGAGATGACGATGGGGAGATGGAGGTCGATGGAAAACCGATCGTGATGCGGTTTTCTGATCGTTGATTTCCCCGGCCGGCGTCACGTGCGTTTGTCGGGTTTGTCTCGGCGTCCTCGGTCTTTCTCGACTTCAACTTCACTTCACGAGTGCTTCGACTTCTACTTGATCGCTGGATGATTTCTACTTCTACTGCACTTCAGCTTCGGATTCTACTTCATGCTGTGAGGCTATTCACGACATCGGTCGTCGGGACCCGATCCACAGCAGCATTGCATGGCTTATGAGGGCAAAGAACCTCGAGGAGGACCGTCGGGGAATGGACCCAACGGGGGGAGCAAGATCTCGCTGTGGGGATGATACCCCCCGCCGGAGACGGGAGCTCCTTGTGCTGATTCAGCGGTGGACGACACATGCAGGGGGAAACCCCCCCGGCAAGATCTAGGGGAATGATGAGTAGGACCAACGATACAGCAAATCAAACAGCTTCGATGGCGTATGCACACAGCAGACAAAATCCAACCACCCCGCATGAATGATGCTCTGGGACCCTCTCAGAACATAAACGGGCCTAATAGCATTCCCACCACTCCGCCGACGAGGTATCCGGGCCGGACAACTGTCTCGCGATGGAGACGCGATCGATCTTCCCCACATCGGTCAGCTGCATGCCGTCGTGGTCCCGTAACACGCGCAGGGCGATGGGGTGTTGAGTGGACTTGAGTCGCAACTGGAGATCGTGACGCAGTCGGGCCAGACCGATGGCGGCAGCACGGTGAGCGTGTCGCGACGAAAGACAGACTACGTGGATCGGGGATCGTTGCACGACCGCGCGAATCGTGTCCAGCGGAGCGTCCGGTCCGGCGAACCGCGACTCTGATTAGCGGGTTGATCTCTCCGAGAAGGTTGCGCGGCATCACCGACGGGATGGGCATAAAATCAGGGCGAGGCCGGCCAGCGCGGCGACCACGAGCTCATACCCGGTAGGCGCCAAGATTCCCACGTAGCGGTCGGTGTCGCGGTTGCCACCGGGGCCCCTCACCTGTTAAGCCAGCAGGGGCTGCAGGCGGGCCTGCATGTCCCGGACATCGCGCAACAACTGATCGCCGTAGAGGTCCCGGCCGAGGACCAGGTCATTGCGGAGTATGGGGTCCGGTTTCTCCTGCGCGACGCGGAGCAGCTTCCGAAAGATGGCATCGTTGGGGGGAGGGGTCGAGTCTGGTGTAATAGTCATGTTGGCTGATTCCTAGCCAGAACCACGGTCGACACGACGAAGTGTACCGTGTTGGCATACCTTAAATTGACGATGTTGACGGTTGTACGACGGTATCGCCGACCAACCTGATCATCGCAACCCCCTTGCGTCGGGCCTCTTCGCTCCATAAACAGAGAGAGGTCGCTCCAGGTCAAGGATGCATTTAGGAGGTCTCTGGCATTCTCAGCGCCGCCGTTTTCGAGACATGGCTGGTCCACCGTCCAGTATCATACCTGTCAAGTGCATGACGGATCGACCATGGGCGATCTCGACCATCGCCAGAGGCCGAGGGCGATAAATAATGACGTCACATGATACTTTCAACCACAAACAGCAAAGCAGCCGACAGCCGACGCGCCATTCTCGGTCCCAATGGCGAATGCCCTTGTCTGTTGAATGGGCCGTCGAGCCTGCGTGGACCCCAATCATACGGCTCATGCCTCCACCGTAATCACCACATCCATGCATGTCACTCGCAGCCGACGGCCGACAGGCGAGACAGACTGGGGGCAGGAGCGGGGGAAGGGAAAGATGATCCCGCTGCGGGGTATAGCAGCCCTATATCAAGACGCCTTCTGAAGGGCCCTGACCGCGGGCTCGCGGTGGAAAACACGAACTTCGATCGCAACTCACCAAACGTCATCAAAATGGCCCCCAAACGTCCCAACTTTCTCGTTGTTGTCGCTGATGACCTGGGCTTCTCGGACATCGAGTGCTTCGGCGGCGAGATCCGCACCCCCAACTTGAACAAACTGGCCGGGGAGGGCGTGCGATTTACGGATTTCCATGCGGCTGCGGCCTGTTCGTAGGTTTCCCGATTGCAGATCCTAGGTGGGAAGAAAGGAGAATGGAAGTACTGACAGCATGGGTAGACCCACGCGCGCGATGATCATGACCGGTACCGACCATCACATCGCCGGACTCGGGAACCTGATCGAATGGACCAACATCTCCGGACAGAACGATCCCAAAGGCGGTGGCTGGAGCACGGCCCCGCAGCGCGGCATGCCAGGATACGAAGGCTATCTCAACGAGCGCGTGGTGGCGCTGCCCGAGGTTCTGCGCGACGCCGGCTATCATACCCTGATGTCCGGCAAATGGCACCTGGGCCTCACGCCAGAGCGGTCTCCATTCCAGCGCGGCTTTGACCGCTCCCTGGCCCACCTGCCCGCCTGCTCCAACCACTACGCCTTCGAGCCGCAGCTGCGCGGTGCCGACGAGACGCCGACATTCCTCGAGGCCTCGACCATCGCCCTCCACATGGAGGACGACAACTACGTGAAGTCGCTGCCCGAAGGCTGGTACTCGTCTGACGGCTACGGCGACCGCATGAAGCAGTACCTCTCCGATTGGAAAGACCGCCCCGATGACGACCGCCCGTTCTTCGCTTACCTGCCCTTCACGGCGCCGCACTGGCCTCTCCAGGCGCCGCAGGAGTACATCCGCCACTATCGCGGGGTCTACGACGACGGGCCGGACGCGCTGCGGGCGCGGCGGCTCCAGCGACTCAAGGAGCTGGGCATGGTCCGCGAGGACGTCGAGCCGCACCCGGTGGTGGCGGAGGAGGACGGGGTGAAGCCTTGGGATGAGTTCACGCCCGAGGAGAAGACGTTGTCGGCACGCGCCATGGAAGTGTTCGCGGGCATGGTGGAATGCATCGACGCCAACGTAGGTAAGGTCGTCGACTACCTGGAGTCCATCGACGAGCTGGACAACACCTTCGTATGCTTCATGTCCGACAACGGCGCCGAGGGCGCCGCCTACGAGGCCTACCCCCTCGTCCAGAGCGGCGTCATGCCGCATCTGCAGCAGTACTACGACAATCGGCTGGAGAACCTAGGAAATGGAAACTCGTTCATCTGGTATGGCCCACGGTGGGCGCAGGCCGCCACCGCGCCGTCTCGCCTGTACAAGGCCTACACGACCGAGGGCGGCGTGCGCGTGCCCTTCCTAGCGCGCTTCCCGACGGGCGTCCCCGTGGCCGACCACGCCCGCAGCGGCGGCATCACGGATCAGTTCGCCACCGTCATGGACCTGGCACCGTCCATCCTGGCCATGGCGGGGGCGACGCACCCAGCGCCACAGTACCGCGGACGGGAGGTGGTGCCGATGCGGGGACGCAGTTTCGTCGACTGGGCGACGGGGACGGCGCCACGAATCCACGACCAGGACTTCATCCAGGGGTGGGAGACGTGCGGGCGCGCGGCCCTGCGCTGCGGCGACTGGAAGATCGTCTACATCCCCAAGCCCAAGGGACCCGAGCGCTGGCAGCTTTACAACCTTGTCGACGATCCCGGCGAGATCCACGACCGCGCCGAGCAGGAGCCGGATAGGCTGCAACGTCTGCTCCGCCTCTGGGACCAGTACGTCCTCGAGACAGGCGTGATCCCGCTGAACCCGGACTTGGGTAACTTTATGGAAGCCATGGACGCGCAGATGCCTGAAAATGCGTGGATGGAGTTTGATTATTGGAAGCCGGGGGCGCGCCAGGAGCCGGAAAAGTTCATGCGGCAGCCGCCCCGTCTGCAGCGAGTGGTGAAGCAGTTTTGATTGGACTTTTGGGGAGGTTGGCAAACTGTCAGTATTATGAAATTACGGAATGAATGATGAAGCGATATTCGAATTGATTTTACACGGATGTTCAATCGATCGTAGTTACAGCACTTTCTATGTGTCATGCTTTTCTTTGTATCCGTGTCATCTTATGCCGCGAAAAAAAAAAAACTCGAGCGTCTCCCCAGGGATGGAGTGGGTGGGTCTGGTTTGTCGTTCTCTATCAAAGGGAGTGGTGCTTTTATTTCAGCTTGGCATACGACAAAAAAGTGTAATAAAGATGGCCACGCTTATACTGGGTCAAGTGTGATAATCAACAAGATATGGCATTAATCTATTCCTTCAAACAAAGGCAACGCAGAACCGCAGTCCAGTTCATCCCAACGCCGTCCCATGCAGTATTTCCTCTGTCCACCGGCTGGCTGGCCACCTAGCTAGCCACCGCCAGCTGCGCCACGAGATCCGACGCCACGTCCAGGAACGGATAAGGGCTGGTCACCTCCTTCTCCTTGTTACGGAAGCGCTTGGTGATGGGATGCCAGTCGGCGCCGTCGTGCTCGGCACGGATCACGTTCTGGTAGCCGTCGCACTTGAAGTCCACCATGTAGTTGTGCTCCTCGAGCTGGTAGAGCTGGATGTCGACAAAGACCCACACCCCGTAGGTGATGCGTCGGATGGTGCTCCCCAGCTGCGTGGCTGACGATGGGCCCGACACTGGGGTCCCGTCCGCCGGTCCGCTGCCGCTGCCGCCCTTCTCTTCCGATGGGGTCCCGCCCGCCGCGCCGGGAGGCTGGAACCGCCGGCGGGACTCGCCCATGTCGCTGCGGCTGCTGTGCACGCTGCCGGACAGGCCGGGCGCTAGCACCCCCTGTTTCAGTAGGCGGGCCCGGATAAACCACGGGTCCCGCGGTACGTAGTAGTCCGGCGGCAGGTCGGGGTATTTAGTCTGCAAAGGCAACTCGCGCGGGTCCCGGCCGGGGGGTGGAGGCGGTGGGCTGGTGGCCAGACCGGCGTCGGCAGGTTGGATCTCCCAGACGCCGCCCTGGGCAGCGATGGCCTTGTAGAGGTAGAGCATGGCCTCGTAGGGCTGGTTGCGCGAGCGGATGCCGAACTGCCACTTGCGGCTGCGGCGGGGCTGATGCGGGGCGCTGCGCGACTCGGGCGGCTCCAGTCGCAGCTTCTCCAGGTCGACGATGCTGCGGGCGTGGGGCTTGAGGGCCCGGGCAGTCGCCTCCTGCTGCTGGCGGGCCTGCTCGGTGGGGTCGTCGGGGGCGGCGCGCTGCGCCTGCCCGGCGGCCGCGGCCTCGGCCTGCTGATCCTGGGCGCGGGCCCACTGCTCGCGCTCACGTGCACGCTGCTCCATCAATTGGTCGTGCACGTAGGGCAGACTGGTGGGCAGGATGCGCACGTGGCTGACGCGCGGCGTGGACAGGTCTTCGGTGGGCGTGGCGGGCGTGGCGGCAGCCGCGTGCGGGGACCCCGGTCCGGACGGGCGCTGGGAGTGACTGCGGGGTCGCGTGGGCAGGGTGGTGGTGGCAGTCGGTGGGGCCGGGGCCGGCCGACCGGCGGCAGGCCTCGGGGGACGCCCGGCCGCGCTAGGGGTTCGTTTGGGGGGCGGAGCCATCATCCGGTCTTCGGTGGGTGCTACGGAGGTTAGTCGTGGGCGTCGGGAGGAGAGTGCGTCAAAGGGGGGGGGGGAAAGAGAAAGAAACGTACAGTTGGTCTGCATCATCTCATTCTCGACGATGATGGCAAACGCATCCTTGATGGCGCTCGGTTCGGCGTTCTTCAGGGCATCCTCGATGTCGTCGCGGGCGTAGCCCATGCTCCGCTCGAGTTTAGTGATGGCGACCTCGTAGATCTTGTGCTGGACGGCGGGCGGCCTCCCAGCGGTGATGCGGCGGGGGTCGACGCCGCGGGTGGGGTCGGGGCCAGAGCCGCTGAACTCCTCCGGGGGCGGCTGCAGGTAGGGGGGCAGGTCCTGCAGGAACCACTCATTCTGGCGGATCTCGGGGATGGTCAGGCGATGGACGGGGTGGACCTGCAGCATCTGGCGGATGAGGGCGGCGGCGCCGGAAGAGATATAGGGGGGCATGTGGAAGTTGCCGGCGGCGATCTTCTTGAAGAGGGCGGGGATGTAGTCGTCATCGAAGGGTAGGCGGCCGACCAGCAGCACGTAGAGAATAACACCGCAACTCCAGACGTCGACCTCGGGCCCGGCGTAGAGTTTGCCGGAGATGACCTCGGGGGCGGCGTAGTTGGGGCTGCCGCAGCTGGTCTTGAGGAAGTTGCCGTCGGTCATGATGTTGCTGAGGCCGAAGTCGGCGATCTTGACGTTCTTGTTGCTGTCGATGAGGAGGTTCTCCGGCTTGAGGTCGCGGTGGACGATCTTGTGACGATGGCAGTACTCGACGGCGCAGATGATCTGCTGGAAGAACTTGCGGGCCTCGGAGTCGTTGCAGCGGCCACGCTTGACGAGATAGTCGAACAGCTCGCGCTCGGCGTACTCGAGGACCATGACGATGTCGGCCTTGGTGGCGATGACGGTGTAGAGTTTGATGATGTGGGGATGGCGCAGCAGCTGCAGGTACTGGATCTCGCGTTCGACGCGGCCCACCATGTCGCGGGAGAGGAGCTTGCGCCGGGAGATGATCTTGAGGGCGACCTGGCGGCCACTGGGCTGGTGAATAGCCAGCTTCACCTTGCCAAAAGACCCTTCCCCCAAAATCCGAATGGTCTGATACTGATCCAGGCGCTGCATGTCCCGAGTCGTCGCCGGGGAGGGGGCGGCCGCCGGGTCTGCCAGCCCCGTGGCGATGGGACGGGCGCGGTCGCCCTTGCGATCGAGCTCGGGGATGCGGTCTCGATCTCGATCTCGATTTGGATCTCGGGGATCCCGTTCTAGGGCGGGTAAGGAGACCGAAAGGTCTTCATCGTCAAACGCGGCAGCCATGACGGGTGTTGTGCGTTGTCGGAGAGCGAGAGAGAGAAAATGAAGTCAAAGTGGACGTTGAGATGAAGTCGATGATCACGTTCGTCATGCGGTCCGCGTATGGTCAGAACGGGCGAGAAAGGGGGGTAACTTTGGTATGGCACGGTATTGGTGGTACTTTTACTATCTCTTATCGCGGGGGCACGTGAGGCCCCGCCGGAGGGAATAATATTCTCCCGGTGCACTACACAAGATGCACAGCCATGCAAATGCACAAGAAAAGGGTTACAAACAGGTCAAACGTAACAAATGGAACAAATCGGACACAACGGGCAAACAAACAAACCCAACAAACAGACATCGACGCAGCCCTAATTCATCTTCATCAACATCAACATCGACATCAACGGGTCACAGTCAAAATGACAGCTAGAGGCTCCACAGTGGACAGGAATGACTTTTCTTGTCTGAGCTCGGACACAGACAGCCAATGGAGTCAGCCCCCACGCGTAACTGTTGCTGCGTCATCCCACGGATCAACGCCGAGGTGCGGGGTTGTCCTCTGATCCAGCCGCGGCGCCGTCCGGGCTGGCCATCCTTTATATCGGACTCCTCCCGGTCTGCCACGGTCAATCGGTCAGAGTCAACTCAGCGCAGTGTAGCACATCATGACGCAGTATCAGCTTCCGTTCACGGTGCGTCTCCCACAGCCCGTTCAGCATCTATACCCCCCCAGGACGGCAGACTAATGGAGATAGCTCCGCGACCCCTCCCTCTTCCATGACGACTCCTTCGTTGGAGACCGCTGGATCCCTGCCCGCAGCGGGGCTCGGTTTGAGGTGCGCGACCCCGGTACGGATCGTCCCTGGGCCAGCTGTCCTGTCAACACGGCCGACGACGTGCCCGCCGCCGTAGAGACAGCCCACACGGCCTTCGAGAGCTTCCGGCGGACCACCCCCCGCCAGCGCGCCCAGTGGCTGATGCGCTGGGACACCCTCGTCCGCGAGAACCGCGACGACCTGGCCCAGATCCTGACCCACGAGACCGGCAAGCCCCTGGCCGAGGCCCACGGCGAGCTCGACTACGCCGTCAGCTTCCTCTGGTGGTTTTCCGGCGAGGCCGAGCGCATCCACGGCTCCCTCAGCGTGCCCTCCATCCCCAACCGCCGCATCCTCACCGTCAAGCAGCCCGTCGGTGTCGCCGTTGCCCTCGTCCCCTGGAACTTCCCCGTCGCCATGATCCTGCGCAAGGCCGGCGCCGCCCTCGCCGCCGGCTGCTCGCTCATCATCAAGCCCAGCCCCGAGACCCCGCTGACCACGCTCGCCGTCGCCGAGCTGGGCCGCCGCGCAGGCCTCCCCGCCGGCGTCCTCACCGTTCTGACCACCGACCTAGCCGCCACCCCGGCCCTCAGCGAAGCCCTCTGCACCCACCCGCTCGTCGGCAAGGTCTCCTTCACGGGTTCCACCGCCGTCGGCAAGCTCATCGCCGCGCACTGCGCCCGCGGCCTCAAAAAGCTAACCCTCGAGCTGGGTGGCAACTGCCCCTTCCTCATCTTCGACGACGCCAACCTCGACCAGGCCCTCGACGCCCTCATGGCCCTCAAGTGGCGCCACGCCGGCCAGGCTTGCATCACCGCCAACCGCATCTACGTGCAATCCGGCATCTACGACCGTTTCGCTGCCGCGCTGACCGAGCGCACCGCCGCGCTAGTCATCGGCCACGGCGCCAAGGCCGGAACCACCCTGGGACCTGTCACAACCCCGCGCGGCCTCGACAAGGCCGAGCGCCAGGTCGAAGACGCGCGTCAGCGCGGCGCTGACGTCCTGCTGGATGGTGGAAGGGTTCAAGGCGAGACAGGGTACTTCTTCGCGCCGACCATCTTGGGCGGTATGACGCCCGAGATGCTCGTGTCGCAGGAGGAGACGTTTGCGCCCATCGCGGCGCTGTACCGCTTTGATGAGGAGGCCGAGGCTATCCGCTGGGCCAATGCTACTAGCATGGGTCTGGCTAGCTACGCTTTCACTAAGAACGTGGACCGGGTGTGGAGGTTGCTCGAGGCTCTCGAGGCTGGTATGGTTGGGCTCAACACGGGTAATGCCTCGGCTGCTGAGTCGCCTTTCGGCGGTATGAAGGAGTCGGGCTACGGCAAGGAGAGTGGGCGGGAGGTGGCTGTGGATGAGTACTTGGTGACCAAGACGGTTACTCTGACGCTGGAGATGTAGTTTACCCATATATCTTTTTCATTCATGGTCGGATATCATGAAGGGATTAGTGGGGTAAGAAGAAGAAGAAGAAGAAGCATGGTGTAATTCAAACATATTCATTACTCTTCCATCTACGTACACTCGGTCATTTAATCATACCAGATCGCGTTCATGCCGAACCCCGGCTCCGGGATGTCGACCCGCGCCACGCGGGCCAGCGTCTCGTTCCGGAAGCGGTAGATCTCGACGAAGCCCAGCTGGTCGTCGCACAGCGCCAGCCACTCGTCCGAGAAGTCGGCCGGGCTGACGGCGTTGGAATGCCCGCCGCTGGTGGACGTCGGGTGAATGAACAGCTGTCGCTCGATCTGACCGGCGGGGCCCAGCTTGAAGGCCGTGATGTAGCCGGTCACGTCGAAGTGGTTGCTGCGCGTGGTGGCGAAGAGGTACTCGCCGCTGCGGGTGGTGAACGTCACGTCGCCGCGGTATTTGTTGCGTGGGGGGAGCCCTATCGGTTGTCAGTAAACTGTTTCACAAAAGGGCAATGATAGAGATGGGACCTACCCTCCGGCAACAGCGGATACGCGTTGTGGGTGAAGACCGGCCGGTGCGTGCGCTCGTCGATGACGTACTCGGCCAGCCGGTTGCCCGCCTCCATCAGCGCGTACAGGTACTTGCCGCTGGGGTGCATCTCCACCCAGCGGGGGTGGTCATCCGGCGAGGGCGCCTCGAGACAATCCACCAGCGACACGGTGCCGGTTGCGGGGTCCTTTCGATGCGTCCAGATCTTGTTGGCCTGCAGATCGGCGGAGTACAGGTAGGTCTCGGTGGGGTCGAACACCATGCCGTGGATGCCGGTGTTCTCCTGGTACTCGAAGTTCTGGATGTTCTTGGCCAGGCTACCGTCGGGATTGGCTGAGAAGACGTTCCCGTAGCCCGCATACTTGTAGAACGGGTTGCCGTAGACGGCGTAGGGGGGCTGGCGGGCGGCGAGTACGAAGATGGCGCGGGTGTTGGTGTCGGCACTGGCGGCAAGTTCTCCCGCTGTCAGTTCTCTCGCTTTCCTTCTGAATGAGCAGATTGCATACCATGGCCTGCCACCGGATGCGAAACCTGATGCTCAATCTCGGTGGGACTCTTGACAGCGAAGCTATTCCACTTCTTCTGGGCAGCCCCGTAGATGGCCTTCTTGTCATGCGAGAAGGTCATCCACGAGATGGGCTCCGCCTCGGGGATGTCGGTCTTCTTGACGAGCTCCAGGGTGAGAGCCTCATCGTCAAAGGCGACGGTGTAGATGCGACCTGGCGGGGTCCAGGTGCCCACCATCAGATGGTGCTTCATGGCGGTGCGGGGTGCGGCGGAGAAGGCTCGCGCGAGTCGAGGGCGGATCGGGCGTGGGATGGGAGGGTGACGTGCACAAGTGGGTGATGCAGAGAAGACACAACGCTGTCCGACTGTTCGAAACAGATGCGATGCAGACATGGAGCGTCCTCCTGCATCTTCCAGGGCGGATGCGCAGTGACGAACGGCCAGGGCGGCAACCGAGCCGGCATTGGCAGCCGATGCGGGCGGGAAAAGCATTTAGCCCCGTGCGGGGACTAGCGGGGTTCGGGAGATGTCATGGACCGCCGGACATATTGATGTTCTCGAACACAGATGAATCTGGAGTTCGTCCAGAACCAAATTCAAGGTGGTCTGAGAAGAGAAGAGGTGTATAAGAGAAGAAAAGAAGAATCCAGAGTAGAAGAAGAGAGGGGGGAATATGATGCCTGAGGAGGCACGGCGCTACAAACATGACAAACCGATCAAACTAAACAAACGACCGGCGCAAGGAACCACGTGCCCACTGCTCTCAACAGTGTATGGCCGTATGCTTCAAGATAAATGAGAAAAGTAAGAAAATCAATACAAGAGTGAACAAATAAAATGCCCAAAGAAATCATTGGCCAGGGCTTGAATTGCGTGGGTGGTGTAGGAACACGAAGCGGGTGGGGGAATATCCATTATATATATTCTATAGATCTATGGACCCGGACCATATGGGAAGGATGAGAGTGATGGGAAAAGATGATGAGAATTTATCTATGAAATACTCGCAAGAAGTATGATCAATAGGAAATAAATAAGAAAACCCTGTCAGCGAATCCTGTGAGACCAGAGCACAACCACGACCGTACCTGACTTGAAGCAAGTTCGCCGGAGCGACAACGTTCCCAGGCGACCCGCTTGGGCCCATGGAAGAACAGACAAGTATGTAAACAAGTATGTCAGATAGAGCAGATGCAAAGTGCGTCTCCAACCCCGTCACGGACCTAGCGACAGCCGCTGCATCACCGCCTCCGCCAGCTCCGCCAGACCGTCCACCACGGTCACCCCGTACTTGCGACAAGTAATCTGCACGTTCCCCCACTTCCAGTATCCCGCCGGGCATCCCACGATTACCTTGCCCGGAGTTCGGGCCCAGAGCCCCAGCTCCAACAGACTCACAGGGGCTTGTGTCGCCGGGTGGAAGTAGACGACCACCAGGTCGGCCCGCTCCTGCCGGTCCAGCTCCCACTCCACCTGCTTGCGGTACGGAGCGAAGCTGAGATCCTCGCGCCACGTGCTGTCCCAGTCCGAGCGGTACGGATTGTAGATAGTCACGGGAATGTCTGACAGGGAGCGGGACAGCGTTGTGCGCCAGTCCTCCGGGTCCACGGGGCTGGTGGTGCCGGCGAGGAAGATGGACTGGCGGCCCCAGGGCGCGTCATCCGAGGGCGCGCAGATAATTTGACTGCGCGACGTCATTCTCGGGTGTGACAAGCTCGTGGCAAGGGTTGTGATGAATGGATGTGGAAGTCTGACCATGATCAAACGCTGGAATCAAAGGAAACAAAGAGACACCGGGACGGGCCGATCCTGAATCCCCACCGCCAAGACCAAGGAACACGTGATGGGAGAGCAACAGATTAACGATCTTTACAGGGATAGTCACGGAAACCAGGAGACCATATCATACAAGCAGAAAGTGGTCAATACAATTACAGAGACAGGAAGGAAGCAGTCATGGAATTGGCTGGAAATGCGACAGAAACAGATGCAGGGTGGAACGAACAGAGAACCCCGAATGGATGCGACGGTGAGAGCACTACTGGATCTTCCCCTTGTTCACTACGAAGCCCTCAAGCGCCGAGATGGCCGCCCACAGGCGGTTCTCCGCCTCGGGGAAGACCAGGGACTGGGGCCCGTAGAACACCTCGTCATTGACCTCCTCCGGATGCCGCGGGAGGCAGTGCATGAACTTCCACCCCTCCCGCGCGCCGCCCCGCTGGGCCAGCTCGTTGGTGACCTGGAAGCCGGCAAAGTCCTTCAGCCGCTGGATCTTCTCGCTCTCCTGGCCCATAGAGATCCACGTGTCAGTCACGATCACGTCGGCGTCCTTGACCGCCTCCTCGGGGACGGTGGTTTGGATCAGTCGACCGGCATTGGGAACTCCCTTCCCGGCGGCCTGGATGACCTGCAGCATGGACGCCGGAATCTCGTAGCCCGCCGGGGTGGCCACCGCCACATCGACGCCCGTCTTGGCCGCCGCGATCGCCATGTCGAACAGCACGTTGTTGGCATCGCCTACCCAGGCGATCTTCAGCCCCTCCAGCCCCAACCCAGCGGCTCCCTTCGGGGCGAAGTGCTCGTGGATCGTCTGGAAGTCGGCAATGGCTTGCAGCGGGTGGTACAGGTCGCAGAGGGCGTTGACGACGGGCACGGTGGAGTGCTGGGCTAGCTCGGCGACGTCGGCGTGTCGGGCCACGCGGGCCACCAGACAGGAGACCATGGACGAGGCCACCACGGCCGTGTCGTACATGGACTCGTTGACCCCCAATTGGATGTCGTCCTTCCCCAGGAACATCGGATGGCCGCCCATCTGGGCCACGGCGCCTTCGGTGGAGATGCGGGTCCGGGTGCTGCGCTTGCTGAAGATCATCGCAACGGTCTTGCCGGTCAGGGCCCCGCGCAGATTCGACGGGACGGTGCCGCCCTTAATGGCGACCTTGTGGGCGGCGGCATTGCGCACCAGCGTGGTGAACTCGGCGGGCGTGAGATCGGCGATGGAGAGGAGATGCCGGGGGGCGGCCGCGCCGGACGCGTATCGGCGCAGGGAAGGGGTCGGGACCCGCGACAGGCGCGACCGGGTAGCCCAGCGGAGACCGGAAGTCATGGACATGGTGGTAGTCGAGCAGAGGACGGCGGGGAGGAGGCAGGCGAGGCAATAATCACCATCCGGATCGATCTTGTTTGTGAATCGCGAAATTTGGCGATAGCCGGCCCGGAGAAACCATCCCGCCGTCCATCCCGGGTTGTCACTTCTCCACTTATCCATCGTTCAATCTTCGACCTCCAACCAACCATCCGGCACTCTTCGTTTTCGTCCGTTATGGATTGATCAATTTCCTGACGTTCAGGCATTTTACTCACGGATATTCTCCCCGGAACAATAGCAGTGGATGGCTACTAGTAACGGTTGAATAGGACAAGCGTGGTCAGCCCAGACAGCATGAAGACTTCGATGGAGCGGTGGTTTCAGGGAAGGAAGAGCTCAGCGACTGGTCGAAGAGGATAGATTGATCCGACTCCTCAATCGTGACATGTGACAAGCGTGGCCGGTGAACTCCAGCCGCGACGGTCAGACCTCCGAGAAGGAGTTAGAGTCCCAGATACAGAGAGGCGAGAGGGCTCTCTCCTTTCAGAAAACGTCGATTTAGACCGCGGATCTACATATGTCGCCCTTTAGCCAACCGACGAGAAGGAAAAGCAGAATTGCTGCGGCCACAAGAGGCATCCACGTTTACGCTTGGGAAGATTGAATGGGAAGATTGAATTATTATTATTATTTATTATTCATTCATACTCGCATCTGTCAGCCTATTACCGAGTGGCGGAGATCATCTATTAACAGCCAGGCTACTGCTGATATGATTACTAAATACATAAAGCTTTCAGATCCTATATCTATTCCCATCCCGGCTAACACAGCTCGCTTCTTTGTAGACACCGTCAGTAAGGTATATAAATCATAATAACTAATCTTCACCTGGAATTAGAGTGTCATTCGGAGCGGATTGGTGCGGATTCTCCCCGGGTAGAATCCAACTCGTTGCGGATTCGGTGCGGATCGATTCGAGTTTTGCGGATTGGAGATGACACTCTACCTGGAATTCATATGTCTACCTGTGTTAGCTCTTAACTTCTATCTTCCTGTCAAGCTTGCCCGTCACCTAGTACAGGCCTGAGGTGTCTCTTACTATTATTCTGTATCACTGGCCCTAAGAGGCCTGCAGCTCTGCCGGTCCCTTTATAAATATAATCTCTAATTATGTGGTAAGCCCTCTTACCCTCTTTCTAGGGCATCGCCAATGTTCTCTACTTAGTAGCCTGTACTACAGGCCTAGAGTGTCATCTCCAATCCGCAAAACTCGAATCGATCCGCACCGAATCCGCAACGAGTTGGATTCTACCCGGGGAGAATCCGCACCAATCCGCTCCGAATGACACTCTACCTGCAGCTTCTAAAGTATTTCTCACTTAATCTACCTTGTGGCTGCTGTGATCATGTTATTAATCCAGCTAAATATAGTGATGCTGCCCTCCAAGCAGACTACTACCAGGCATGCTGATAGCAGTCTATACCATGGCTATGAATACTGTAGTTTTGAGCTTGATTTAGTGTTCCAGACCCTTTCTATAACCACTTATCACCAAGCCCAAGGGGACTGTGACTAGAGTCCTATTAGGATTCCAAGTCATGCTTGGTAAGAGAGGACTGAAGAAAATCAGTCTAATCACAAGATGCTTGATCAGGGTCTTCTGTAGGAGCTTATTATTAGTAACTTTCTAGTTACAGTATTTCAGGATATAGCTTATAGATGCTTGAATATCAAGTACTATGTATATAGACCAGTGATCTAAGTCATGTTAAATATTATCAGCTTACTGCGTGTAGATAAGCTAGTTAAAGAGCGCGCTGGATATATATATGAGATTAATTATAGAGCTCTACAGGTTCCTCTCTTATATTACCACACCCTTGTCTGTGGTTAGCATGAGGTTAAATTTATTAACAACCTCGAGTAGTCTCTCTGTGTTGTGGTCAATCCTGGTCCCTGGGCCCTCTTATACAGGGTGATAAGTATTTATATCCCTGATAATCACATAGTCAGTGATTAGCAGGCAGCTCTGGTCTCGTGATACATGCAGGGTTACAAGCTTGCTCTGGAGCTGGTTAATCATGGGGCTCTGCAGTTAGTTATATATATTATATACATAGAGCATCTACTCCTCTGTGCCATGTTAGTACATGAGCTTAAGCAAGTAGTAGTCCTTCAAGATCACCCGCTGCGTCCAGGAGCCAGGATCAATACACTTAGACATGTGTATGCATACCCATGCCCAGTTGTCGCTCCCGTGGTCCTTGCATTTAGGATAGAGCAGCTGGTGGGACTACCAGGCTAGCTAGTACATGATTTCAGTCATAGGGTTAGCCCATGACTCCTGTATGACAATAATATCAGCCTGCAGGACCTTAGGATCCCGCAGAAAGATCACTATAATCCCTTCACAGGCCTTGCGTGCATTGTACTGGATGATTTGCATAGCTTTAAATATTATTATTAATATTATCTAGTTATTGGCGCGTCTCTTCCTGCGGGGCCCCACGGCCCTGGCAGGAGATTAATAATTCACTGATGACTTCCCAGGTGTTCATGTCTGCCTCCTGGGACAGGGGATCTGGTGATTCAGGTGATTCAGGGGCCTCTGGTTTCCAGGCTGAATCACTGATAAATTGCTCCAGGAGCTCCCGGTGTTGTTTGCTCAGAGGCTCCCTGTCTAGCTGGGTTTCCCTGTACAGGATTCTTTTCGGGGGTTCTCCCGCGGTTCCCGGGGAGTTCCGCGTCCGCTTCTGGGAGACCCCGCGCATGACCCGCTCGGGGTCCGACATCTGCGTGGCCAGGGGCCCCGAGCGGGTCGATCGGGCTGACTGGGACCGGCTGGCGCTGGCAGCAGACTCCACGCGGGTCAGTTGCCGCGTCGGCTCCGGTAGGCCTCCTTCGGAGGTGGTGGTTGTGCTTCTCGATTTCAGCGGGCGTCCGCGGGGCTTGGAGGCGGGCGTGGTAGTCAGGATCGTGGGTTTCCTTACCTCCCGCTGCGCCATCACCTCCTCCGTGGCCCAGGTCACGGGCGACTCCGGGTCCATGATAGGCTCAGAACCCCGAGCCTCTTCTGGCGCAGGCTTGGGAGATGGCCGGCTATGTCCCGCTAACTCCGGTTCCGCCAGCTCCGGTTCCGGGCCCTCGATCCCCTCCATGCGGTCATGATCGGGACCCGGTGGTGCCGGTTCCTGTCGGGGGACCGGGGGTGTTTTAGCTGGGGCTTTGGTTTTGCTTGATTTCGGGCCTTTTGCCCTCGCAGAGGTTCCCATACGGCTCTTGGAGCTCCGAGCAGTCCTCGGCTCGGGACCCTGGTTGGTCGCAGGGGCCTGGTTGGCCGCAGGGGCCTGGTCTTCCCTGTCTGTATCTATGTCAGCACCAAGCTATATGCCTAGTAAATCTTCTTATAAAGCTTGAGCACGTCTCTTGTGGGCTCTAGCAGGATAAACCGATTACCCCCCGCCGCTGCCAGCGCCCCCGATCTCCCTCCCGGAGATCCGCAGGGCAATCTTGCGCGCCGCATTAGGCAAGGCCCCAGGACTAGATAGCTTGCCAAACCAGGTGCTGCAGCAGGTGCTTTCTATGATAAAGCTATATCTTAACTAAAATTTTGACTAGTGCCTGCAGGTAGAATACTGCTCCAGAAACTTTTATCACTTAAATACTATAGTTCTCTATAAACCAGGTAAAGATGACTATACTAACTCAAAGAATTGCTAGCTAATTATACTATTTGGTTAAGTGTGGACGAGTAGAAACTAGACTGAATATTTACTCAAACTTGAAACTGTTATTAAACACGACTAATTAAACTATAGATATGTGATAATAAGTGTCCTTATATATTTATTGTCTGTATACTTCCTTGTATACCTTCTGAGATAGATAGCGAGATATATCCAATTAGTGTGCTTTGTCTCTGTATACTTTGCCATATACTTTCCGAAGTAGATTCCTGAGTACAGCATATCACGTGACTCGTACCTTCGTTCGTGCAAGGTTCTCGATCCTTTCGTTGACTGATTGGCGTTGGGCTTCTGCCTGGCTGTACCGCCTTCGTGGGGTATTAACCTCGTTGGGTTTCCGTAACAGGAACTTTCTGGCTCAGCACCTAGAAAACCAGTGGAAATATTTCAAGCGGGAAAGAGAAGGGTATAAAGTCTTCCAATTTCCCAGACCCTATTTTTTGAAAAGAGATTTGAATATACAGGAGATGATTAAAGTGTATCTTTAGTATGCAGCAATTAACTAAACCCTGAGATGAAAGAGATTCTACCAGAGGGATGGGCAAGGGCAATAATGCCTGCTCTGAACGCTAAGTGCCTTGGGCGATAGTTAGGGTGAAGCCATAATCTGATTTTACCTCTGTAAGCGATCCACTGCTCCTCGAGTAAAGACAATCCGTCAATTTCAGTCCCGATCCAAAGCCAATGGGAATGGTCCTCGAGGGTCTGGCGCAGCTCGCCGGTACGGGGATCCCAGAGCTTGACGGTCTCATCATCAGAGCCAGATGCCAGCAGTTGACTGTCTGGTGAGAAGGCCAGTGATTTAAGTGGATAGAAGTGGCCCTCAAGGGTCTGGCATAACTCGCCAGTACAGGGATTCCAGAGCTTGATAGTCTTATCATGAGAGCCAGATGCCAGTAGTTGACTGTCTGGTGAGAAGGCTAGTGGGTTAACTAAATCAGAACAGCCCTCAAGAGTCTGACACAGCTTGCCAGTATTAGAATCCCAGAGCTTGATAGTCTTATCACCAGAGCTAGATGCTAGTAGTTGACTGTCTGGTGAGAAGACTAGTGAGTTAATTAAATAAGAATAGCTCT